TGTACGGTACAAGGGGCAGTAAGGAAGAATTTGTGAGCTTCAGTGAGATGGAAACATCGACCGAAGCTCGTGTCGAGAAACCTAAGTGTGCGGCAGCACGGTGAGTCATTATTAACTACAGTACTCGGGCTAAATGAAGAGGTCCGAATCTAGTGCTGATCAGGAACGCAAGGAGCGCGACAATGTCGCGCAGATCCTGACGCGATGTCGCGGCGTCATGCGCGTGCCCACACGCGGGGTGAACTTGTATATGGGGTACACGGACACCTTGACTGAGATAATCGCATAGGCATGAGGCGTTATCCCTTTTACGTGAGTCGTTATCAGCTCATGTTTAAAAATTAATGCGCATATAGTGACCCCATTTTCGAGATCAGTGTTCTTTCCACCTCCGTCCCTCTTATTGAAGGCATCTAGTTCGTACTCGCATTCTCCAGTTCCCTCTCCCAGTGGCGGGCCCCTGGTGGGGTAGGAATACTCATTGGTGCGTCTACTCACTGCGAGTACCCCGTGTCTGATATAGCTGACTCTGCTTGCCGTGCTACACCTCATAGGTCTCATTCGTACATACTCCTTGCCACATCTTCTGTGTGGCGCTTAGCGCGGACAGGCACACACAACCCTTCAGAACATGAGGCTACACTTGAAGACAGTCCTCAAGCACACCATTGTCGACGGCAGCATGATGAATAGCATAGTGATAGATGTCCTTGCTGACATTAACTAGTTCACCCTCATGCAGTCTGAGATGCGAGAGTGCGTCCCGCTACCTGTCCTGTCCTACTTGTGTTCTCTGCTGACAATATGTGACTATGTAGATTGACTGAGCTGGGGTCTGCAATCCTGACAGGCCATATGTTGTGTCTGCTCGGCTGCAACATCAGCGAGCCCGAGATGTTGGTGGAAGCGCAGACGAGGAGAAGTGGTCAGGCTGAAAGCAAGTGGTGGAGCATCTCTGGGCGTGGGCAGTGGGTTGTTTAAGGACAATGGCATGTATATAAACAAATGGAGCGTATTTGAACAAATGGAGTGTATATTAACAATCGGAGCATATATGCACAATCGGAGCGTAGCGAGAATATTCAGATAGCTTTGTTCCGCACCGATGGGCTCTGATATGCCCCTCGGTTTCAGTCCAGAATTGGGAGGTACAGTGGGGCATAACGTGGTCTATCGGAAATTCTGACAGCACGTCAATTGCTCCGATACACCACGATTCCCCTGGATCTGCTCAGATGCGATTTTGACTGGGCTTGACCAGCGAAACGGTTAGTCTGGCTTCCTTCGTGGATCATCGACTAGTACTGCTCTATTCTGGATGACAGATGCTAGCTACTCTGACAGGCTCAGGTTCATCGTTGGGATCCACACCGACATGTCATAATGGAGCTTATTCGCCGTAAAGGTGAGGGTGTTATTACGACATCATTTTCGGGCGCTGCCATCGTGTATGTACGGTAAGTACGCGTGCCTAACATATCTACCTATGGAAATTTTGGACGGTAGCGTTTCAGCCCTCGCACACCCGTCGTGTTTATTCATATAGATAGGCGGACGTAGCATACATATCAACTCCTACCCATGTTAGCGAATTGCTTCAGGAGGCTCTGTGCACCTGCCCCCGCCAACCCTAAGACACCGCCCCCGAGAGCTTTCGCTGTATTGATGTTCCTAGCCAGCGTTTCGATACCACTCGCAGCAACACTCCACCCAACCTCTTGGGTGCTTGAACGGCGACTGCTTCCAGCGGACATCATGATGGCCGCCTTGATGGTATCAAGTTCATTCAGAACTTCAACCCCAACCGATCTGGCCCAAACTACTGGAGAGGCTGTCGTAGAATACAGCTTGTGAAGTTTGTCGACAGCAGACATAATCTTGTGGTTCTCGAAGTAGCGCTCTCGAGCGTAAGGCATGAGCGCAGTGTGCGAGCCTTCCCAAACAACGATCAACTCATCAACATAGCCATATGCTTTGCACTGATACATACCGACATCTGTGCCATTGGCCACAGCATTCTGGATACACCTGAACAGTGACTCCACGTCCGCGAGACCCATGTTAAGTCCCTGACCCGCTAATGGATGCACTGTGTGTGCGGCATCGCCAACCAAGATCGTTCGCGCGCCGTCGCCCCCACCGATGTAAGTGTCAGCATGATTGAAGCGTAGAGGGAAGGATGCAATCGTGTCCGGTTGAATAGATGTGATGAATGGCGGCAGTGCGTCAGAATCCTCAGGTGGGATGCCACCTGGAGCAGTCTTCCCAAGTGCGCTTAAGGAGTATGCAGAGTACTGATTAATGCTGTGAGAGCGTTCCCTCCAGCTAGTCTCTTCCAGAATCTGCTGTGGAGTCAGCGGCGTTCCTGCTGCGTGCGCCTCCAGAATCTGGCTATGCAAATACCGGATGGAGACCTCTGGCAGGCGAAATGCGGCGTTGATCATGGTTGCCAGTACCGCAGGATCCGACGCCGTAAGTGCCTTAGCGATAGGAGGCTTTGTGGACCAGACGATAGAGGAGACGGTTTCAGATAGTGGTAGAAAAGCAATAGGCCCGGTGGGGAGGAAGCGTTGGTAGGCCACGGTATTCGGTGGTTCAAAGTGCGTACGTGGGCGATGGTTGAGGGTCGCAACGATGGCTTGAGTATCATACGCCCACCCGTACGATTGAATACCGGCGTACGAACGCACAGGAGAGTTGAAACCATCGGCACCGACCTGAGCTTATCATCAACAATCATTTTTTATCATTGAGGACCGGCGTTACCAATAATCTCGCTCGAAGGACCCGACCGTCTGAAAGATGTACCAATGGCCATCCGCCTCCCTCTTCCTGTTCCTTTTCTATGGAATTCACCTTGACTTTATCAAGAAGCTTAATTGAGGGTGTGGTGTCTAGGTAACGGAGGAGGGCACGCTGAAGGTTCAAGTTCTCCGTGAGTCGTGCCATTTCAGGAGCCGTTGTCCCAGCCGGGGCCGCTTCTGTTGCCGAGAAAGTAATGCGTGCATCCGAGATTCCATCCCAGACCTGCAGCGATGCATGTGCCATCAGATCCTGAGAAAGTAATAACTTGTTACCAGTCATTACCTGCATCTCCTCAATAGGCATGGTGCGTCGTTCATCCACATAGGGCCACGCACCGATGGCTTCGGCACAAATTACAGCCTACCCGGTGGAAGTATACGCATTGCTTACCGGCCAAGAACTGCCTCGAAGTATTTGTTATTGAGCTAACACGATTTGAGAAGGAATCTGAGGCGACACTCCAGTCCCGGACCTTTGAAAGGTCGCTGGCCTCTACGAGGGTTATTTTAAGGCTATCCTGCACAACTGGTGACGATCCTAGGATTGCGATGAGTATCTCAGAGCACAAGTATGTCTGTACGCCCACCAAGAGCACTCGCAAGAGCGAGTCCCGCAGGGCCTCCCCCCACTATTACGACGTCACTGTCTTCATGGACAACTGTAGAGAGAGCGCGTAGCCCAGTACTGCCACTGCGTTTGCAGACTGAGGCCGCTAGGCGTGATCTAGTCAAGAGAGACATGACACCAGCACAATGCGGGAAGAGACGAGGCTGAGTCCCCGGCGCGTCGCGTCGCGCTCACGAGACCCGTACGTCATTGGTCCGATGAAGCTTGCGAACGAGCGGTTACCACTCTCAGCCTCCCAGAGCATTCGCCTGTACATCTGACTCTTTCCCTCACCTGCTTACTTAGGCCCCATTGCTTTTTGTATTGCTCTCTATCTGCATCACTAGGACGTCTTGCTGCTATTGAATAGTCCTCCGATATGGACATCGACAAACTGTTCAAGGTACCATCTTCGGCCATAGGTGTCGTGCCTACTCAACGCAGTCTTCTTCTAGGTTCCCAAGATGCCTGCAGGCAGTAATAAACGCAGGATGCCTGACAATCCCACCCCGGAGATGCTCAAACGGATGCGTATGGACACCGAGGATAGTAGTGTCACAACCCCCAGCAGTACGCACGATGACGCACCAAGCAAACACAATCCGCGTGCGGCATACGTGCGTGACGAAGAAGATGAAGAGGCTGAAGCAGCTGAGGGCGCTTTTGCTCCGGGAGGCGATGCGGATTACTTCGCGGAGGAAGACGAGGAGGGTCGTTTCTTCGGTGGCGGCCTGACAAAAGAGCAGAAGGATATCCTCAACATATTTGACAAGGCCGGTGGGGAAGAGGCTCGAGAAGACGTGAGTTAGTATACCATTTGGCATGTAGTCGCCGGTACTGACACTCGACAATCGTAGCTCGAAGAGCTGTCGTTGCCCGGCATCCGGAGGTTATTACTTCGTTTTGAGCGTGCAGCCAATAAGAACCAGGATCAACGTTCCAAGTACCCAGATGATCCAACAAAGTTAGCAAGCGTTATGCCTGTACTACCTGGCCGCTTTTGACATTGCCCGTAGATTCATAGACTCTGAAGCCGACCTCGACGCCGCAATCAAAGGTCTGCTACCTCTCGCCCAAACCCCCCTTCTGTCGTATCCTGAGTTCGTCAAAACCGGTGGTGTTGCGCGCCTTGTCGGCCTGCTGACACATGAAAATGCCGATATCGCCATCGACATTGTGGAGGTTGTGCACGAGTTGACGGATGAGGAAGTTGGGAACGAGATCGAGGAGGGCGAGGAGGGTGAGGGGACCAGGGAGGAGGCCCTGAAGATGCTCGTTGAGGCCCTGGTAGGTCTGTCTGAAGCGCGCCTACCTCGTGGCATGTACTTATCAATGTCTCGTATAGATGGAAAACAACATATTCGAGTTACTTGTCAACAACTTGAGCAGGCTGAACGAGGCTGAAGAGACCGATAGGTCAGGCGTCTTTCATATCCTAGGTGAGAGAGTGGTCGTATAAGTATGATGACCTACCACCTAACATCGTCGCAGGCATCTTCGAGAATTTGCTTGGCTTCAATGCCGACTTTGCACCCCTACTCGTCTCCAAGACACCTATCATGAAGTGGATCCTCAACCGGATCCAGTCAAAAGCACATGTTGAGAACAAGGGATATGCAGCAGAACTACTGTCTATTCTCCTGCAAAACAACCGAGCAAACCGCCTAGAGCTTGGTAATCAGGATGGTGTCGACGCGATCCTGAAAGTACTCTCGGTAAATGACAGATGTCTCGTTTTATCGACGGTCAATTGACAACGTCTCAGCAATATCGGCGTCGGGATCCAGTTGATGCCGATGAGACTGAGTTCATGGAGAATGTTTTCGACTCGTTATGCTCGGCGCTCGCAGAGCCAGAGATCAAGAAGCTCTTCCTCGACAGCGAAGGTGTGGACCTCATGGTGCTCATGATGAAGTGCGCCATCCTCATCCGCATTCTAGACTGATTGTTGACATTTGCCCCATCGCAGGGAGAAGATGCAGTCTCGTTCGCGATCCATCAAAGTCTTAGACTACGCAATGTCACGACAAGCAGGAACAGCTACTTGCGAGGTATTCGTCGAGGCCCTCGGGTTGAAGACACTGTTCGCGACCTTCATGGGCAAGGTATAATCCCTCAATCCTAGCAGATCGCTTATTCTGACCTAGATTCTGTAGACGTCCAAAAAGTCAAAAGCCGTTGTGCCAGCGTCTGAGGATGTATCACATACCCTCGGTATTGTGTCGTCCTTATTTTCCAACCTCCCTTCAGACTCGTCTGCACGGATACGTCTGTTGACCAAGTTCGTCGAAAACAACTATGAGAAGGCCGAGAAGTTGCTGGAAATAAGAGACTCCGCCCAAGGCCGTCTCAAGACGATCGACAAGGATATTGACACTGAGAGAAAGGTACTGCGATTCCTTCGTTCTGCTGATAATTATTGATGGCATTGCAGGAGATACTTGCCCAGGGTGAGGAGATAGATTCGGAAGAAGAGGACATGTGGTACCTCCGACGATTAGATGGTGGACTGTTTACGCTGCAGACTGTTGACTACATCCTAGCTTGGATCGTTATGGAAGACGATGGCGTATGTGCCACACTAATATCCGAATGCCCTCGCTGACTGGAGCATTTTTTGTAGATCCGAGCACATGTGCAACAGATGCTCAGCAGGAGAAACAAGACGCTCAAGGACATTGCAAACACGTTGCAAATTTACCATGACAATGTCGACGAGAACGATGATGTGAGCGGTCAAGACGGCGCCCCATCACGCAAAGAAATCCTGCGCAATCTGATTGCCTTCCTGGAAGGGTGCTGATAATGTATACTGTACTATACTTTTGAGCAATCGGACACTTGCTGGTGCCGTGCCGATCGCAAAGTAGAGGCCATGGCTGGACCACGTGCTACGCAACGGCGATGAGAGCGACAGAGGAGAGCAGCATATCCAGTGCGCCCTTCGTCTTGATAAGCTCCTTTTGAAAGCGAAGCTCGGCGGTGACCTTTTTCCGCAAGCGGGCAAAGAGGGTGTCGATGAGCGGTGACTGTCCAAGGACAGGTGTGTACATGTCTGAAAAGGTTTGTCAGGAGCCAGGACATTCGCAGGAGGTAAGAGTACGAACCTATGACTACACCAGCAACGTCGCACACCATTTCACCGAATCGTGGGTCCGCAACATGTTTCAGGAGTAGACGTAGTACAGGCTCAAGGAGGACATCATCACGACCGGCCAGCGCTGACCGTAAGCCATCCCGGTGGATGAGTTCTTGAATGAGCGAGAACGTAGTGGTCGGTGGTACTTGCTATCGCAAGACATAAGCGAGATGCAATGCATACTGGCGAGAAGTAAGGCCTACCTTGCGCAAGACAGAGTCCAGAGCTGCTGAGTACTTGAATCCTTTCAATAGTCGGTCGTACTCTCTCAACCGCTTCTTTCGTTTGCTCTCCACCTTAAACTCATTTACATCGCCTACCGGCCTGGACTTCGTCTTCTCGCGCATGCGGCCCTGGCCTACGGTAGGCAGCGTGCCGCTCAGGAACGAGTCGTACGCGCCTGTGCGGAGTGCTGCAGTAGACAGCAGGTCTTGGGCAGCGGGTTCAGATGCCTTAGGTTGTCGGCGACGCACAGACAATGTGCCGTCTGACATTCCCGCAGCAATATGCGTCTCATCAGGCTTTCACAAACCATGAGCGTTATCTCACCCTCATGATAATTTGTGAGACGTACTGATACTGCAAGGCAGAGAATGGGTGCGGGATAGCGCATCGTGTGGACGACCTTGTAGGTGCCGACGTCGTACACTTTGACCATCTGGTCTAGCCCACCGGTGAGCAGCCTACTTGCCTTGGAGTCGAATGCCAACGCTGTAACAGTCTTCTGATGATTTGACAACGCGCGCGTACACCGGCCTCCTGCGACAAGGTCCCACACACGCAAAATAGGGCCGGCGGAGGACAGTGCGACCGTTCCGGAGGGGAACATCAGGACCTGCTCTACCGGTGCAGTGTTGCGTCCCCCGCCCTCGCTAGCGCTGCCGCCCATGACCATCTCGGATTCTCCTGTTCTTGCATCGTATAGCCGTACCGTTGCGTCATATGAGCCAGTGAGGATGAGATTAGGGTTGGAGGAGGAGACCTGTCCTGAGCGGACGTAGTCGGTGTGGTCTACGAAGGTAGTAATACATGACTGGGATGGTACGTCCCATAGCTTGACTGTGGTATCGTCGGAGCAGGAGAGTACTTGGGTATGGTTGAGGGTGGAGAATTTTGTGACATGGACGGGTTGTTTGTGGGAATCAAGCGTACGAAGGATTGCGCGGGAGTTGATGTCGAATACCTGTGCAAATATAACGTCAGCGGTTGCACCGTCCTGTATTTTGCACTCTGCAAGTATAGTGAGGTTTCTGGACTGCTCGGGACACTCACCTGGACCAAGCCCGCGTCGTCTCCTGCTACGACCAATTTACCGTCTCCTCGTATGCACCCACTACGCGCAACATCCTTAAAACGCGAGATCGTCTTCGTTACTTTCTGCGTCCGCGGTGCGTATATTTGAACACGAGTAGCAGCGGTCACAGCATATCTATGCGGCTTGGAGGAGGAGAAATGTATGGAGGTGATGGGTGCATATTCCTTGATGAAGACTGGGTGTTTGAACTGCCGCCAGTACCGGGATTCTGCGCTATGCTTTGTCGCTGCAGGCCTCGGATGCTTTGCGACGACGACGGGCTGGTATTCCATGGTGGTTGTGCGCAAGCTCCAGGCTGCTTCAGCTTCAGGCTTCGAGTTCTGAGCCGAGTCCGGAGCAATTGGTCGAGCGCTCGATCACCTTCCCAAAGTGGCAGAGAAATTCGACGCGTACACGTGACCTGATAAAAGATCGATGGATCTCCGCATCCATTTTTTACTGCTATAAGCTGTGTACCATACGCTACCGCCGCCTTCACCTCCCGTCCGCTGTAGCCCCCGTCCCCTCCTTGTATCTATTCCCTCCCTCTAAAATTCCAAGATGTTGTTGTACACCGATGTCCTCAGCGGCGACGAGATGTTCTCGGACGCCTTCCCCATGTACGTGCCCGCGCCTCGTTCCCCCGGGTCCGCGGTTGACATCTGGCGTTTGCAGTAAGGTGGTCGACGATATCGTCTTCGAGGTGGACTGCTCCATGATCACGGTCAAGGCCGGCGCCGATGTCGACATCGGTGCGAACCCGTCTGCGGAGGATCAGGATGATGCCCTCGAGGAGGGTGCGACCCAAGTCAACAACGTCGCCTACTCCTTCCGCCTTCAATCGACCCAGTTCGACAAGAAGTCCTTCCTCACCTACCTCAAGGTACGCATCTCCATTTACAATTCGATCGCGAGCTTGAGCTAATTGATCCATCGGCAGGCCTACATGAAGGCTGTCAAGCAGGCGCTCCAGGACTCGAATCCCGAGCGGGTCGAGGCGTTCGAGAAGGGCGCACAGGCGTTCGCGAAGAAGGTCGTTACCAACTTCAAGGACTACGAATTCGTATGTGTTGATACTGATGTACTTGATGGTGTACTCACAAAATCTTTAGTACACCGGCGAGTCGATGAACCCTGATGGCATGGTTGCCCTCCTCAACTACCGCGAGGATGGTATCACCCGTATGTCAATTGTTTGTACATTGCGAAACGCGAATAACGTCGGTTCCCTTGCAGCCTACTTCACGTTTTGGAAGGATGGCCTCAAGGAGGTCAAGCTCTAAACCTTGCTATCCGCATTACATTTTTCATCCCTCGTTCGCACCCGGTCTATATTCTGCATTCTCATTTATCTCGGTGTCATATCAGCAAAGAGCAGCAGGTCAACAGTGTATTCCAGCATCTCATCATGTTTTAGTAGCGAGGCTAGATCTGGAGAATGCTCATCAATTCTCGCTTTCGCGTAGACTCTCCGTCAAAGACCGACAAGCTTCACATTATGCATTTGGAAAGCATTCGAATTCAAGAATAGTACAAATAATAACCATACGCATCAAGGAAATCAGAGCTCATCATGGTGCTCAGGTACAGCCTCAAAGTGCTGCTGCTGGGAGTCATTTTTGAAGGGGACGTTCGCGTCGAGTGGGTTCTTTGCGGTCTCCTGGACGAACGCGACCAGGCTCTCCAGTGAGCGATCGCCGTTGTAGTCGATGAAGTCGCGAGAACCGGCTTGCTTGAACTTGAGGGTGGGGAACCCAGAGATCCGGAAGGGCACGTCAGCAGGTAGGTCGTTCTCCTGTGCTTCCATCTTCGCACTACAGGTTGCGGATCAGCTAAGCACAACGCAATTACAAACCTTTGCGAGACATACATGGTGATCCGATCCTTGACATTTGCAAAGTGACTACCGAGCGAGTCCCAGGTGGGCTTGAGACGCTTGCAGTGACCGCACCTGAATATAAATGGTTAGGGAGGGTGTCTCAATATCATTCGGCTAAGTGACCCACCAGCTTGCGTAGAACTCGACGAAGACGTCCTTCTCATCGTCAAAGACAACCTCGTCAAATTGCTTGCCAACGAGGTTGAAGACAGGCTCGTCCTGGGTCGCCGGAATCGGCTGGCTCTTGAGCTGCGGCTGGAGCTTGCCCTCGGCGTACTCTGCCACCATCTTCTCAATCTCCTCTGCCTGGAATTCCTTGCTCTGGTCGTACGGGAACTTGAGCTGCTTCTGCAGGTCCTGGATCACGAAACTCGGCCACTTCGGCTCGTTCAGGTTCAACGCCTTCGCGTGGTCACCAAACTTGATCGCGTCGATCCACACAAAGTTGACGTTGTTCTTGTACTTCGTCGCGACGGAACGCAATGAGGCGATGTACTCGTCGTGGAGCGAGTCGGTCGGGTCAAGGAAGAGGTACGCGAGCGGCTTGCCGCTCTGGGCATACATCTGGTAGTTCTCCGTGTTGACCTCATCAATGACAGGGATCGAGAGCTCCTTGATCCACTTCTCGATGTCCTTCACCTTTGCGGAGCCGATCGGGTAGGGGTACTCGGTTTTCGGCTCGTCGAAGGCGCGGTATAGGACGATAGCGGGCGGAGAGACGCCCTCAGCCTCAGCAAGAGCACTGTTAGTTGTGGAGCCGAACAGGTAGTCATCTCGGTGCTTGTTCGCTGTTGCGGTAAACTCGGGTCCAGGAGCGTCAGCAGACGAGGGTAGGTATGCGACCGCAACAATCTTGTCCGCTTGGATAAACTCGTTGAAGTTGTCCGGCGTGACGTCAGACACAGCAGGGAGAGATTGCCTAGTAGAAAGTATGAGGGAACATTTCACGGCGGTTTCCTGACAGACACGTACTTGACCATGTAAGCGATGATCCCATCGGCCTTGCGAGGGCCAGTGTAGTCGGTGTGGTCGCCATTGCGGTACACCCGCAATGTCCTTGAGGGAAGAGCATTTCTCAGAGCCTTGAGAGCACCTCAGGGAAGGAACATTGCTCACGGGTAACCCTGGATGCCGTTGGCCTGGCACAGGTCTGCTTGGTCAACACAGTCGACCTTTGCGAGCTTCACCTTCTTCTCCTTCAACGCGGTGGCGGCCTCTTCATAGTGCGGCGCAAGGGCCTTACAGTGACCGCACCTGGATTGTAAGTGTCAGTACAGAACGGATGAATAGACTGAGCAGAAATCCCGACCATGGCGCGAAGAATTCGACAAGGATCAGGGGCTCTGGGTTAACCACGGAGTCGAAGCTGTCCGCGGTGAGGCTGAGCACATCGGAAGCACCGTCAGCAACAACGACGGTCGCGAGCGCAAGCGCGATCGCTGACGAGAAGAGGTGAGAGAACCGCATGCTGCAGCGGGTGAGAGGGGGAGAACGGAGCTGGGTCGCGAAGAGACCTGTTACGCTGCTATATAGACTGATCGACCGCCAGACTGACGTGTCACTGCAATAGGCGCCATGTGCAGCCATCACTTATTGACAAGCGGAGGCCTGGTCAAGCCCGACCCAGCTGAGCAATCCCGCCCCGACACAGGATTCTCATCATTTACTACACCCGAGGCGTTCGGAACGGTGATAGGAACACAAATGAAACAACGCCCAGCGGCAACGCGATCCATCTGGGACTCGGAACTCAGTCGCGACAGCGGTGCCATGTGCAATGACAGGAAGTCGGGCATGGTCAGCACGTAGAGCAAACCGTAATATATTACCATGAACACTATTGAGAGAAGATACGTGGTCCGTCAACCATCCTACGGTTACGGAAACTACAACACAGCAAGGTCAAAATCGCTTCCCTTTTGCCGACCTCCACTATACTTCTTCACGCTAGGATTGAACGGTCGCGGTGGCGGGAAGCCAGTCACCGGGAACGTATGGGAGCCTGCCAGTGGTGGGGGCGTGGGTACTGCAAGCAGCGGTAAGTATGTCAGTTGCGGAGGAGCGGGAATCAGAAGCACCCACTCTTTCGGTGATTCGAAGGTGTACTCGCGCCATTGATCTGTATACCAAGTGTAGACGGCACCCTGCTAGGCGGAGCTGTAGGGACGCTGGACGTTGACTGAGTCCTGGACCTAGCAGGCAAAAAAGAAGCAGGCGGAGGGGGCGGCGCGAGGGAGTGCCGGGAGGACGGAGGTCCAGGCGGAGGGGGCGGGGGGCCAGGCGGCGCGGGCGTGTGTCGTGCCGGTGCAGGCGGGGGCGACGGCGTCGGGCGATGCGTCTCCTCTGCGACCGTCCTCACGCGCGAAGGTGGCGGAGGCGGAGCCACACTAACCGGTCGCCTGGGCGGAGGCGGGGGCGCAGCGCGCGAGGTGGCAGCGGATTCCGCATGTGGCTTGAGGCTGGACGGTCTCGCTGGTGGCGGAGGCGGCGCTCGACCGGGTGTAGTTGGGGGCGGGGGAACCTTACGATGAGGAAGGGCGGATGTTGGACGCACTGGGATGCTCGGAGGGGCACGAGCGGACGCGTTCGAGGACGCACGGGCTGGAAGGGCAGGCGGGCTGCTCGGTGGAGACGCGGAACGTGCAGGACGAGGCGGTGGACGTGCACTCGGTGGCGCCGGGACTGTCCTGGCCGGAAGACTTGGGGCAGGACGGCTCGGGGGTGTGGGTGCGCTCGGCGCTGGCGCGGGTGGCGGTGGTGGCCGAGCTGGCGAAGGTCTGCTCGGAGGGGCGGGGGGCGCAGGAGGTGCCGAGGCAGCACCATTTCGTTTGGGTATAGATGGTGGTTTCCCTAGTGTAGGAGGTTTGCCTACGGAAGGCGGGATGTGTTCATGATCGTGCCAGCTCGAAAGCGTGATGTTGCGCACCTAGATTGCTCTGCCCCGCGGGCTTCAACTTAGGCATACCACCAGCGAATAGCCCGCCCAGCTGGGGCGGCCCCGCTGACGCAGAGGCCGCCATGGCTATCGCAGAGTGGCCCGACGATCCTCCGCCTGCACTGACCGATCTGCCCCCCACGCCCGCACCTTTTGGTGCCTCGACGGCAGGCGCGCTGCGGTCATTCGTCTCTGCTTTCTTGAGCATCCTGCCCGCCTGAATTTGCTTCAAAAGATCCGCTGACGCCATGTCTGAGCCGCACTAGTCCACGAGGGAGGTGGTTGGTGGAAGCAGGAAATGGAATGACGCCGCGTACCAGGTGAGACCTATTACCGAGGCTGCGTGCCGCGGCGTTCACCGGGCCCGCCACAATCGAGCACCGCTTTGCACACTGCGCAGACGACTGCGTGCGACTCAAGGGAATTACAGCGGGCTTACAATAATAGAGCATGAATAAGGGTACATTCGTAGCCAGTACGGTTGTAATATAAAAAGGCTTTTAAGACGACGAACTCCACCTGCGAAGCGAAGCTACGCGCTGTGGCCGTCGGACGCGAGGCCAGTGTTGTCACTTCTCTCGGAAATTGGCGATACCCCCACCACCAAATCCGCTCGAAGGCTGCTCCTCAGTTCGCGATCAGGCCCTGGCGACTTCGAACCGCTCCTTGGAGGGCGCGGGCCCCTGACCATACTCCCGCGCCCTATGCCACTGCCAGTGGGACTCGCTACAGGCAGGGGAGAGGCAGGGAGTACGGGAGTGAATGGGAGCGGCGGGATGCTTGGCGGTATGTCCCCCTTGAAGATCGTGGCAAGGCGGGACAGCGATGGTACGCGGGCCGGCATCGGTTCGTCTGGGGACATCACGCTTTGCTTGCTCTGACCGAACGTCGTCCTCCTGCTTCTGGAACGGCCAGTGGAGGATCTCGGAAGACTCGAGTGACTGTCTGACGATCCTTCCAACACCGTAGGAAGCTCCTCTCGCGCTTGAGTGCGAGTGGACGCGTAGGACTGGCGGAGGAACCTCCAGGAGAATCGTCGCGGCGAGTCAGAAGGCGATCGCATGCTGTCCGGTGGGACCATACTCTGCGCATACTCGTCCGCGGACGACTCCCCGGACATCGAATACTTGTTCTGCGTGTATGCAGAAGAGGACGATGTCGACCGATAGAAGGCAGAGCACGGTATTGGGACCGGGTCGTTGACCGGGGAGTAAGGGAAACACGACGGTGCTGCCGAGTCCGGCGAGAGTAGTCTCGAGTCACTAGGTTTCTTGTGCGGCGTGCGTGGCGTGAGCCTGATGATGTCCGAGCCCATAATAGTCCCGTGCGAATTGTGCTTCTCCACCGTCGGCTCAGAATCCTCATCGTGAATAACGACGAACATGTGTGGACGTTCTTTGGGCTTCCGTACAATAGGACCCGTGGGCAGAGATTCCGCCTGCTCTTCCAGATGCCTCGCGTATTCGACTTGGAAAGGGAGGATCTTGCGCGAGCGCGATTCGTTTGCTTCTGAGGGATCAGTAAGCTTGGGCGGCGCGCTGTGTGGGGGAGCCGGGATATCACTCGGTTGCGCATTCCCTGGAAAATTGAGCGTGGATTCTCTGGTGATATGGAGGACCAGATCCCGCCCTGCTCCGGACCCTGTCCGGCCGTGTTGGCTTGGTCTCAATGTCTCATTGGGCATTGATGCAAGGGGCGTGTCGGTGAAATGGAGAAGGAAGGGGCTCGGCGTGAGCAGCGAATTGTGGGACATTCTCTGCATATTCAAAGCAGAGCTGTTCCGGGGGTTGTAATCATGGCTCCTTTGGCGGCGTGGGGTCGCACTTCTTTCCTGCTTCTCAGGATAGTTGAACGTCCCTGCAAGCGCCAAGTAAGTATAGACTCGCAAATGCAATATATGACACTCACCAATGACAAGCAAAGCACTGAAGCAGAATGGAAGATTCTGAGCCAGCGTGTTGACCCACCACAGACCTGGAACAAGAGTGCAAAGATCGAGTGCGAAGAGGCTGGCTGCTCTCGCGACGTTCAAACTCGCGAAACCTTTGGAAACGACGCGGACGCCCAGGGGGCGGTACGTTGCCAATGAGACAAAACGCAGTATTGTGTAAAGCTCCAGGCCCATAAGCGTGCCGGATAACGCAACTGAGAGCGGCAGGTAGCTATGCATACAACGTTAATAATCTGCGTAGAGAGGAGGGAGCGTTGCACACATTTGCTTATAGCATATTGAGATACCATTCGGTGCTAGTATACTGTAAAGGATTATTGTGAAGACAGGTATAAACCTAGGTAGAAGTACCTACCTCGTGGTGCCCGGACCTGTCGCGTTGAGGGCAAAGACAAGACCTACGACGATTAATTAGCAGGATGCTTCCGCGATGGTTACATGAACGAACCCAAGACGGCCAGAAGGCCTACCCAGAATACACACGACTCTACAAATCTGATACCCAGGCGCCGAAGCCTCCAACTGAGCATCAACAGGCCAAATATACGAGCAGACTCTGCAGCCATGCTGCCCCATGCGACCACAAACGCTGCGTTCATATACTTAGCTCATGGATGCCGGACTTTTCGACGTGCAGACTCACCACAAGCGACGCTATCGCCATTCGGAGAGTCGAGATTGAGGAGTGAAGCGAATTCAGCAACAGCAGTGAACGCAAAGCAAAGGTTTAGGATAAAGACAAATGCACTGTCGTTTATCTCCCAGCGTGTCATAGATGACTGGTCCGAGTCGCGACTGTCCTGAGCTTTCTCTTGGCTAGAAGGAGCCTCCACATCGCCTGTATTCATCCTGGGTTGCGAGAGCCTGAGGGCGAGGCATAACCTGCGGATCACATCACGGAGTAAAGCACAGCACACGATATGGTACACGCTAATCAGGAACACCCATCCAAGAAAGAAGGCAGCAATGACGCGACTGCAGGGAGAGAGCTGCCGTCAGACAGATCCACACGCAAGGCCATTGTCTCTTGAGACCGCTTACTAATCGGGGTGGGCGTAAAACTCTTGGACCGATGGAGCCTGAGGGTCTTCCACAGCGACCTGTCCACCCAGAGTGCGAAACATAAGGAGCGAACGTTGTACCAGGACCAGCCGGACGAAAGGAGGCTTAGAGTAAGCAGACCAGCTGGCGTGGAGATGAAGGCCAGCTTCAAGTGACCAGAGTCGTCGAATCCGACTTAATGGAGATGGCGGGCGGGCGGTAAAAGTGCCCACTCAGATCATCGGGAGGGACAGCGAAAGGCAGCGTCCTCTCGTTGCAGCACATCTCATATGGCGAGCTGGGCGTCTCGTGCCGCCGGCTGTGTCTGACGCTGGATACGACCATATCACCACGAACGAAGCAACCCTCTCGGCGCAAAAAGCTGCGAAATCCAGACAGTTCGAGGTCTGTCCTACGCGGGGAAACCAAGCTCAGAACCGGCATGGCGGTACGCAGTCCGTCGTTAAGTACCCAACAGTGCTTGTTTCAGACATCGCTTATGGGCGCTTAGTTATAGCACGATCGGAGAGGATCTCAGATGCATCACGTGCATATCACGTGCCACAGAGCTTACAGGGTCTGGCGGACGCGGACGCTCCTCCATCGAACGCGCCCCGCCACACTGGCTTAACGGCACCTGGACGTCGCTCTTCCTCTCGTCCTCCTGTTCTCTAAAATCTTGGCTTCAAACAACACTTGCGACGCTTGTCAACATGGACAATGCGCCGCAGCTCACGACGGCCGCTGACCTGGAGATGCGTGCCGCGAGGGTGGCGGATCCTGGTATAGGTGAGTAGCAAACAGGTCGACGTCTGAATCCGCGCTCATAACCAATGTTACAGATCTGAAGACCAAATACAATGTCGCCTGTGAACTACGAGAGATGATAGACGTTGTTCGTGAAGCAGAGTCGGGTCGGGTCATTCCTCACATGGTCCCCGTGCTGCTCGACATCCTCAGGTCTGGCGAAGCGTCCTTCCAGAAGGACAGTATGGAGTATCAATTTCGCCGTTGCCTTCTCGACATCTTGCATCGTATTCCTTCAAATGAGGCTGTCCGTCCTCAAGCTCTCACCCTCATGCACGGTATGCTCAACCTCTTGCGACACGACAATGAGGAGAATGGCATAACTTGCTGCAAAAGCGTCATTGAGCTCCTTCGCACTTACCGCGTAGTTGATGATGGGGTACTGTCAGAGTTCGTCCCAATCCTGCAGGACTTGCTGCAGAATATCCAGGGCTTGGTTGCCGAGACCCTCGCCGAGGAGTCTGCTCCTTTGGATGCCAATGTTATCTTTCCCGCACGTCGCAGCTTCAAGGTCCTGTCAGAGGTTGCCTTGATTGTTGTGACTCTCCTTCAGACCAATCGCCAGCTCGCTACCGCGGCGCTTCAGCCTGTCGTACCTCTCCTTTTCAGTGTAATCTGCCTCGAGTCACAGGCTCAGAAGAAAGCCAGAGAGGACTGCGAAGCCATGGGCGGAATATGGTGCGGTATGGCTCCCAGCATCAAGAACCACGCTACCTATGTGGATATGGTCACCGCTCAAGTCAAGGTTGTTTCATGCATTGCGTTCATCTTTCGAGGATATGGTGAACAGTTCGAGGGAGGAGATACCCTCATCGTCGCTGTTGTACGCCTCCTGCAGGATATTCCGTCCGCTTCAGTCGGCCCGAGGAGGGTAGGTCCTCCCTTCGTGAATCAGTAGCATTTACTCATCTTTCAATGCCGTACTTTAGGACCTCATCGTGGTGTTCAGACATATGTTCTCAACCCCATTCAAACGTGCTTTGATTCCATTCATTGACAAATTACTCGACGAGCGAGTTGTTATAGGTACAGGCGTGGGCTGTAAGGAAGCTTTACGGTAATGTTTCGACGCATTCAGCGCATGGCATACCCTGATGTTGTATCAAATCTCACTGCAGGGGACATGGATTCGGCTGTTACGTCGATATTCTGCACCAATTGCGTAGCGAGATGTCTGTGTCACAGCTGAACCGCATCTGCCAGATATATCTCCGCAACCTTCACGACCCGCGGTGTCCTAACCATGTGCACACCGTGTGTGCAAAGATGAGCTTCCCCTTCATCGAATCCCTCGTAATCAAGGACACAGCGCAAGGCGCAGCGAAGACTCTTCGGGTTGTACTAGACTCAACGGTCGAGAAGATGGAGTCCTTGGCCGACGTTCATAATGCGCTATACAGCAAGATCGAGAAGACCAGGAAAGGGGAGAGTGATTCTGTTGATACCACAGTGATCGAGAAGTCAAGGCCCATCGGTGCTCCTCTGTACGCGCTCGAGAAGCCAGAGGATGTTTTGACTTGTAAGTTCTTACATCGAAGGTCGTTCGACTCAGTATATTGAGCGTATTGTGTAGCACAACGGGAACTTGTACGCCTTCTTTTACAGGGATTCCGGGCTATCCTTGCCGCCCTAAAGAAGTGTGATGCTCCAGTGCCCGAGGGTACTATCGTCATTCGACTATTCGAGAGCGCTGTACGCTGCATCACCCTCTTTGAGGGGGACCAGCGGGAAGCAGTAGAATGCATGGAGATTCTTTGCAACGCGCTCCTCGAGGTGAATCTTCATGTATTCCAAGAAGTGTGGTCGCAGAAGATTGGGTTCTTCTTCGAAAATGCAGAGAAGCGGCCAGCTCTGATGAACCTCGCACACTCTCTATTTAACCGGGACGTCAGCTCGCCCACCATCACTGCCATCGTCCTCCGCTATCTCGTTGCGCGGCTACCGCAGCTCGGCGAGTACGATGACCAGAAAGCCGCCGTCACGATCAGGATGTTCAAAATGGCGTTCAGCGCGGTATCCATGCACGGTGCCGCCAACGAGCCTATCCTAGCGCACCATCTGGGTAAGATCATCATGGACTCATTTCCACTTGCCGCGAAGGCGACTAAGCCGATCAACTACTTCCACCTTCTGCGGCTGCTCTTCCGCGCGATCGGTGGTGGTGGGGGCCGGTTCGAGTTGCTGTACAAAGAGGTCCTGCCTCTCTTGCCCGAGATGCTCGAATGCCTCACCCGTCAGCTGAATTCCTCCGAGGGCATGATCCGCGACATGATTGTCGAGCTCTGCCTGACAGTTCCGCTGCGCTTGACGCATCTTTTGCCGTATCTTTCGTATCTCATGAAGCCGCTTGTCCTCGCACTGCGAGGGAATCCTGAACTCGTCTCGCAAGGTCTCCGGACTCTGGAACTATGCATAGACAACCTCACCCCAGATTTCCTCGATCCTACGCTCAACATTGTGCTCAGGGATCTCATGGAGGCGCTCCATAGCCATCTCAAACCACTCCCCGCGAACCATCATCATTCGCATACGACGATCCGCATTTTGGGGAAGCTCGGAGGCCGCAACCGACGACTTTTGGACAAAGAGCCTGTCCTGAAGTATCACGAGTACGCAGAGCCGGCGACGTCGAGGATCTCGTTCGGAGGCGCCGTACAGGCTATCGAGCTCAGGCCCTTGGTCCCTCTTGCGTCAAGTACTTTGGTGTCTGGGAAGGGAGGGGCAACATACCGCGTCCATTCGTACGACTATCTCGAGAGTTGTGTGACGCTTTTGTTGCACGAGGTAAGTCTATCTTTTTATGGTGTAAGCGCGGCAAGTAATCAACGATTTCTGTTTGATAGGGCCTCAGAGGACGCGACCGAGAAGCGATTTTTGTGCAGTGCATGCAAGGCCTTTTTCACGCAATCCACATACCGGAGCTGCAAGAAAGGGCGGAGAAGACCGTGCGCGAGGTCTCACTATACATATTGTCGTCAGAGGCCCGCAGGCCCGTGCCGAAAGATATGTTCGCCCACAGACTCAACAGTCCCCTTTTGCTTTGCTACCTTGAGGCCCTCCCTCACGGCATGGCACGTGAAAACCTAGCAGAGGCCAAGAAGATTCATGCCATCGTCTTTGATCTCATGCACGAGTTGGCGGCCATGCTGACACAGCCCGATGTCACAGCTCAACAGGTCGTCTACACTTTCACCATGGTTGCCGACCGATTCAGCCTTCTGTGCATCGAGGAGACCTGGGTGCTCAAAAGCGCTGGCTGTAGTGGCATCGGGATCATGACCCAGATTCCCGGGCCCGGTGTTAGGTGGATCGTCGAACGCGAGGTAGATCTCGTCAAGTCGCTGCTGCTGGTTCTCAAGGACATGCCGTACGAGGTTCCCCGCGACATGGAGAGCGTCACCGAAGTCCTTACTCAGGTTGTTCGAGTGGGAAGCGCCGATCTGGGCACTCCGGGAGACGAGGACATGACAATGAAGAGCAGATTCGTGAATCTGATTACTACCCTCTTCGGGGAACTTTCGAGCCCAAGTGCAATGGTGCGAAAGGCGGTACAGAAGTGCATACAGCTTCTCGCGGAGTTGTCTGGTAAAACACCCGCAGAATTATTCATTCCGCACCGGGACAGACTGCTCTCCAAACTCTACACAAAACCTCTGAGGGCTCTCCCGTTCCCCATTCAGATTGGAATGCTCGAAGCTCTCCGCTACTGCATCAGTCTTCAACCTCCGCTTCCTGACCTTAGCGAAGAGCTCCTACGGCTACTGCATGAGACACTCGCTCTTGCCGATGCCGATGATGTGACTCTTATTGCGCGCACCAACCCTCGTCAGTCTAGCCTCGAGATCATCAAGCTTCGCGTCTCCTGCATCAAGTTGCTGACTGCTTCCATGTCCTTGACGGATTTCTTCGCAAGGCAGCCCCAGACGCGACAAAGGTCCGTTACATGGGAATATATTAACGACATGTGCTAACGGCATATTTCTAGGGTCACTAGCGTATATTTCAAGTCGCTGTACTCCCCCGTGCAGGAAATAAAGGAGGTTGCTCACGAGGGTCTCTGCATGGTCCTTACACATCAAAGTCGATTGCCGAGAGAGTTGCTACAGACTGGTCTTCGTCCCATTCTAATGAACCTGGCCGACCCTAAGCGGCTTTCGATTTCTGGGTTGGAAGGTTTGGCGCGGCTGCTGGAGTTGTTAACAAATTACTTCAAAGTGGAGATTGGCCACAAGCTCTTGGACCATTTCCGTGTCGTGGCCGATCCACAAATGTTGCAGGCTTCATCACGATTGCCACTGACAGAGAACGAGGGAATCACCAAACTGGTGCGATTGGCGAACATTTTTCATCTTCTCCCCTCCGCAGCCAATATCTTCCTCGAGAATCTCGTCAACGCAATTGTTCAGACTGAAGCTCAGATGCACTTCTCGGGTCGAAGTCCGTTCTCCGAGCCTCTCGCCAAATACCTCAATCGATATCCCGTGGATGCTGTTGAATTCTTCATGCGTCATCTTCACTTCCCGCGGCACGTACGGACCCTGCGCAGCATTCTGCAGGCCAAGTTGGCGTCCGGTTTATTGCGTGAACTTGCGTCTCGAACATCTACCATCGTCGGGACGTGCTTCGATGGACGGGAACCTACTTTGATCTTGCCTGGACTTCTGATATGTACGGACCTCGCGGATCTCGTCCCAGACTGGCTGCAGGAAAACCAAGATGCAATCGACGCCATGTTGAATCTCTGGTCTATCAATCCATCTTCCCTTGAGCAGTCTGGTCCTCCTGTCGGCGAAATCACTCAGCGGTACAAATTGCTGGCCAACATATTCATCAAGGCTTTACGACAGACTCCGCGCATCGATCTGTTATTCGATCTGGTCGCTATCTTCTCGCACACCCTGCCCATCGATCTAATCCACGTCTCTCAATTCCTTTATGAGCATGTGGCTTTCAGCAACGACCTCGCCTTCCGTCGGAACGTGTTGACGCGCTTCATCATTTGGTTCCGCGATACATCGGTTCCTTGGTCGCACAAGACACATTTCCTCCGGTTTGTCTTCACCCCCACTATCCTTGTTCATGCAGCTCGATCACCGACGAAGACTGGACTCATCGATGAAAGTCTCGTGAACAAACTCCACATGCACATCTGGCAGCCAATGAATGACGACGCTACACTCAATGACGCTGACGATTCTGTCAAGATCGAGTTACTTCACCTGACGACGGTCATGGTACATCGGTACCCCGAGCTCCTGCCTGATGCAAAGAAAGACATCATCAGGTGTGCTTGGCACTATATCACAAGCGAAGACGCAGTTGTCAAGCAAACTGCATACTTGCTCGCAGCACGGTTTTTCGAGGCTTTCGAGGGTCCGCAGAAGTTCCACCTCAGGGTTTGGACTGGACTACTGAAACCACCACATACGGAAGGGAAGACGCTTACTCGTCAAGCGCTCGATATCATTGCACCTGTGCTTCTTCGTTCCCAGTCCCCTGATACGGGTTATCCTCAGTGGGCGAAGACGACGCGGCGATTGTTGGCAGAGGAAGGTGCTGGCTGGCAACAAATCGGTATGATATACCAGCTCATCGTTCGTCAAGCGGCGCTCTTTTACCCTGTCCGGGCCTTGTTCATCCCACATATTGTCAACTACGTCCCAAAGCTTGGTCTGGCACCGTCGGCGTCAAACGAGACACGATTGTTATCTATAGAGATACTCCAGGTCATCTTCGATTGGGAGCAGAAAGCAACAGCTTCGAAAGATGATATTTCCACAGCAGCGTCGACCAGTACTGACGCTTGGATCACTCCCCTACCCTTCCGCGAGAGCATGGTGAGCTACTTGGTCCGCCTAGCGACCACAGCACAGGAACAGCAAGGCCGTAAAGATATAGTGTCCCGTGCGCTGTCTCTCCTGCGATTGATGGTGGGACCTGGTGGTTGGAGCGACGTGACATTCAAGTTGCACTACTTCTCTCGTGCATTGGAGCAGGTGTGTACAAATGATAGTTCTTTACACCTAGTACTGATACATGTGTATCAGAATGACGTCAAAGGCGACGCATCTGCTTTGAGTCAAGCACAAAGTGCAGCTAAAGTCCTTCAGGTCATATCCGCAGACAAAACCGATCTATGGTTCATCTCGAACGCAGTTATTCTCACAAAGCTGGTCAAGAAGGGATTGAGCAGCGAGGATGTTGCCCTACAAGACTCTCTCCATCCCATCTTTGATCGCTTAGTGCGTCTATTTCCGCTCCCGAAAGAAGAGGACGATCAGCAGACGGACGCGTCGGACTTTCACTCTTTCGTATACACGTCAATCAGCGAAAACTTACGCAATGCTGATGAACTGCGAAACACTAGCTGGGTGATCCTGCGAGGTAGCCTTTCTATGCTGAAATCAGTGGCTCAAGTAGTCCCCGAACGGATAGAACCGTTCAGCACGTATCTCATGAAGCTCCTGGTTCGCTTAGCGAAAGACCATATCCAATCCTCCCCATCGACTCCTGGGTTTGAGACCACTGTTCGCCTAGTCACGACCATACTAGAGATCTCCCATATCTCGGTAGCGCATCTTGGCGAGCAGAGGAAGGCCCTTCTTAGCGCCTTGTCTATAATGGTCGAGAAGTCGAAGAGTGGAGGGCTTTGCAGGTATATGCTCGATATTGCTCGCGACTGGGTGATGAACAAGCGCGACCCATATCCTACGATGAAGGAGAAAGCAGCATTGCTACAGAAGATGGCCGCTTTCGAGATGCGCGGCGAACGCGGAGAAGCCCTCTTCAACAGCTATCTGGAGTTGATTTATGAGATCTACACTGACCCAAGCTTGCGCCGCACAGACTTGACAACAAGGCTGGAACAACCATTCCTCCTGGGTTGTCGGGCAACAGACATTGCCATTCGCGAGCGATTTGTGGATCTGATTGACGTCAGCATACCGCGCCCCCTATACAATCGACTGACGTACATCCTCGGCGTACAGAGTTGGGAAGCACTATCGGATCACTATTGGTTGTTCCTGGCACTCCATTTACTCTTGGGCTCTGCCGATATGGACATTGTGCTTACGCCTGACCGGAAGGACACTCTGGAGTCCACTTTCACACCTCCACCACTGAATTTGGGTTGCTCATCAACTTTACTTCGGCCATTACAACGACTAGCGTTCTTCGATTCCCAAGTGGTCCACGAGGTTTGGATTTCTGTCTTTCCCGCTGCTTGGGCGTGCCTTTCCAGACGGGAACAAATCGAGATTACACACCATATGATCGTTCTCCTTAGCAAGGAATACCATATACGACAAACGGATCTGCGACCAAATGTCATTCAGACAATCCTGGCAGGCATCCAAGCCTGTGATCCGCCCATGAGTCTACCTCCTCACCTTGTCAAGTACCTCGCGAAGACATTCGGAGCTTGGCACGTATCGTCAGAAATCCTACAATCATCACTTCTCCAAGTTCGCGACGACGAGGCCGTAGTGCGCGATACTACCTACGACTCACTTGCAGAGATATACGCCGAATTGGCAGAAGAAGATTTATTTTATGGCCTTTGGCGTCGTCGGTCTTTGTTCTCGGAGACGAATACGGCGATAGCATTCGAGCAATCCGGCATGTGGGATCAGGCAATGAGCACGTACGAAACGGCCCAGGGCAAAACTCGAGCGGGTACTCTGCCGTTCTCGGAAGCAGAATTTTGTCTCTGGGAAGACCACTGGGTCCTGGCCTCAGAAAAGCTTCAGCAATGGGACGGACTTCTAGAACTTGCTCGTGTCGAGGGTAACCACGAACTCATGCTGGAGAGCGCCTGGCGAGTCAAGGACTGGTCAGCCAGCGTCGACGAGTTAGAAGCTCAAATCAGTCAGCTTCCCGACGTCGCCACCCCCCGTCGACGCGTATTCGAGGCATTCATCGCGTTGCTCAAACTGCCAGGTGCATTAGAGAAGAACCTAGATTTTACCAGACTCTTGGAAGATGCGATGCAACTGTCCCTTCGGAAATGGGTCAGCTTACCTCCCAATTTATCAGCGGCCCACATTCCCCTTTTGCAACATTTCCAACAATTTGTGGAACTCCAAGAGGCGGTGCAGATCTTTGGTTCCCTTTCCACGACGACTGCCCTCAATCTCGAGAAGAAATCATCTGATCTGAAGATGGTGTTGCAAGCTTGGCGGGAGCGACTGCCCAATGTATGTGATGACATCAGCATCTGGAGCGACCTTGTAGCATGGCGCCAGAACGTCTTTCAGGCGATCAATAAGACCTACATCCCTCTCATTAATCCTGCGGGTTCAAATGGGTCGGCAGGCGGTAACTCACCCACCTTTGGCTACCGCGGCTATCATGAGACGGCTTGGATCATCAATCGCTTCGCTCATGTTGCTCGTAAACATGATCTCCTCGAGGTCTGCGGCAGCCAGCTTGCAAGGATCTACACATTGCCCAATATCGAGATATCAGAGGCTTTTTTGAAGCTCCGAGAGCAAGCACGTTGCCACTACCAAAAGCCGGGCGACCTTCAGGCCGGTCTGGAAGTCATTAACAACACCAACTTGATGTACTTCTCAAACTCCCAGAAAGCCGAATTCTATACTCTGAAGGGCATGTTCCACGCCAAATTCGGTCGCGCTGATGACGCAAATCAAGCATTCGGTCAGGCAGTCCAGCTGGACATGAATCAAGCGAAGGCTTGGGCTGCATGGGGTCGGTTCAATGATCAGATGTTCAAAGACGGGAACGACATGGCCATCGCTGCGAATGCAGTCAGTTGTTACCTGCAAGCTGCCGGGCTATACAAGAGCCGGAAGAGTCGACCCTTGCTTACTCGTGTGCTCTGGTTGCTGAGCGTGGACGACTTCAGTTACACGATCTCACGCGCCTTTGATACCTACAGAGGCGATGCTGCATTCTGGTATTGGATCACCCTGATTCCCCAACTTCTACTCTCTGTAGGGCATCGAGAAGTCAAGCAGGCGCGTTATATTCTATTGAACCTAGCGAAGCTCTACCCCCAGGTTCGTGATGAACGCCTTTGATAAGCGGCTCGAACTAAAAGATCCCTAGGCTCTATACTTCCAATTGCGGACTACCAAAGAAGACATGACCAATGATAGACGTCGGTTGGCAATGGCAGCTCAGCGAGTACACAACGCCGGCGAAGTCCAAACACCCACGCAAGGTGCAAATGGGGAGCTACCTAGACGATCTGATCCTGGGCCGTCGGGACACGACATGGCTGGTGAGAGCACCGTCGACGTTAAGCCTAATACGTCGCTTGATGATGTCTCACGAGCTTCAGCGATGAGCTCGCATGCAACAGCTGAGGGGTTACCTATCGCTACGCGGCCACCAACAGTTTCCACAGATACTGCTTCTCACCCAGCGCGCCAGACTTGGGACTATGTGGATGAAGTTGTCCAGATGCTGAAGACGGCTTTCCCATTACTCGTCGTCAGTATGGAAGGGATGGTCGAACAGGTGCAAAATCGCTTCAGAGGTGGGCATGATGAAGAGGTTTATAGGTTGCTCTGCATGGTTGCGACTGATGCCATGAACGTACGTCACTGCCATTTTCCAGCGACAGCCTTGCTCACATTTTTAACAGCAATACATGATCCGTATCAGTAACGAGGATGACAATCAAACACCCCCGCAATCTCTGAACACCCTGTTCCGGGCGGCTCAGAACATTCCTCCTCCCAGACGGGTAGGTGCCTCAACAAAATCATGCTACTTATGGGAGACTAAATTGAGACCTCAGAAAGAGTGGGAGGACGACTTTTTGAAGGAGAAGCTAGATATGTCAGAATTCATTCGGCGCCTCCAACGGTGGCAAGCCAAGTACGAACGTTACTTCGATGCTCGTCCTCGATTCCAACCTCTAGACATTCCCCACGGATCTTTGATGGAGTTCCAGCATACCAAGTTCGATGATATCGAGGTTCCCGGTCAGTATACCGAGGTGAGTGGGGTCAATCGACTGTTTCAGCGTCAGTGACACGTCTTCAGGATAAGGACAGCAATCAGAATTTTGTCAAGGTATCCAGATTTGATCCAAGAGTCGAGAATTGTCGAACGTTCGGATACTGCTGGAAGCGTTTGACGATACACGGACACGATGCTTCGAAGACGACCTTCGCGGTACAGAATCCGGCTGCAAGACATTGTCGTAGGGAAGAGAGGGTTATGCAACTTTTCCGCACATTCAATGGGTGTGTCTTCAGGATCTTCTGGGCTCGCCTTCACACCTAACGGCCTCCCAGCGCTTTGTACCGTAAGAAGGAAAGCCGCAAGCGGAACTTACATTTCCACCTGCCAGTCATTATACCGTTCACTCCCTCGTTGCGTCTAGTGCAAAATGATTCATCTTATGTCACGTTGGGAGACATCTATGATCAGCACTGTCTCGAGGCTGGTTTTGTGCGAGATGATCCAATCTTGCTCATCGGCGAGAAGGCCAAGGCGACGCTCAAGGCATTCAGAGAGACGCATGGGAGAAAGGTATGTGGAACCTCTTATATCAATGAGTTCGAATGACCAACCTCGGCGCTACAGCTGGACAACGTAGGACTCAAGAAGGAATTGATGGATGAGGTCACCTTGAAGATGGTACCAGACAATATCATTACTCGGGTGAGTCCCTCTTATGCGCCGGGCAGCTCAGATGTACTGATTATAGGCAGTACTTGATTCGTACGATGGATGGTGCTTGTGAGCTCTGGCGAATGCGAAAGCAATTCGCTTCGCAGGTCGCTAGCACCAGCTTCATGACCTATCTATTGCTCCTGTCCTACCGAGCTCCTTCACGATTCCACTTGTCTCGCACAACGGGACAAATCGCGCTGAGCGAAGTTTTGCCATGTATGGTGGCAGTCTTGTCACTGTGTCTCTCTGTCTGATTTTTGTGCTGCAGCGCACGTCAACACGTCGCCAATATTTGGGACTATCGAACAAACGCCGTTCCGATTGACACCCAACATGCAACACTTCATAGGACCCTTATACATGGATGGCATCCTGGCGTGTGGGATCATGTCGATCGGTCGCTGTCTCACAGAGCCTGAGGCAAGTGTCTCCTGGAGAGTACAGCTATCAGCCATGCTAATGATGTGCCTTAGTTCGACCTCGAGAACCAGCTGTGTCTGTTCATACGCGACGAAGTGATCTATTGGATTCATACTCGGGGCAAACCGTGGAGCAAGGACCACTCACTGCGCGCAATCGCACAAGCCACTACAGAGGGCGTCGTGCAGCGGGCAGAGACACTTGCATGTAAGCTAGAGCGAGAACAGGTACGTTTATCCCTGACGATGCACTACTGGCATATCTCACTATTCCTTCAGGCACTCAACAATCCTCAGACTCCGGGCACCGCACCAGTGCTACAGACTGTGACCAATTTGATCAGCGCAGCAACTAACCCTGTCAATCTTGCGAAGATGAATGAGCTAAATTTCCCCTGGTTTTGAGATTACGAGTCGTGCTTTGTCAATGCTGTCGTGTGCATATCTTGTATTATACTGTCACTGCTACATCGGGAATCTGTAATGTGAATATATCGTTATCGCAACTTTCATCTAGTCAAGATTCATGAGAACACACACCTTCCATGGAAACCTTCGGTTTGCTGGAATGTTTGAATATGACCCTCGCTCTCCAGCATCATCTGCGCGCACAATGTCATTTACACACACCCAGATCCTGGGCAGATGAACAATCTCACCTCTTCAGCCATATTGTAAATCTCAGAGCCAGGTCTGTTATACATCATCGCATTCGCGAACATGAGATACACGTCTCTTTGGAACTCGAGCGAGCTCGAGATGAGTCCGTCCTTGATTCGCGCCTTGATTGTCTTGAGGTCCATCGGCCGCTTGACGATGTCATGGTAGTCGGACGCCTCAACCTTGCGGATCGGGTTGTGAAAGATAGTCCCATAGCGGTGCTGCGAGATCTGCGAGTGCACCATTGTGATCATTGTCTGGAAGCGCTTTGACACGGGTGGGGTGTCTACCGCAGGCGGGCGCCCGGGGCGGCGTCCTTTGGGCGCAGTGCTGGGACCTACACAGATGATGAGCACAACAAAAAGGCGGAGAGAACAGAGACTGACCGGGTTCTTCCTCCGTAGCTTCGGACCCTTCACGGAGACGTTTCTTATCTCGTTGAGCATCCAGCGGTGTACCTTCTTCCGACGCCTTGCGCTTTGCTACGGCGCGGATCAGTACGGACTGTCGCGAGGGGAGTGGTAAAATATCACCGTCTGTGCGAGACTCGTCCTCGGGCACGGGGGTCGCCTCACCCTCGGCTTGCACTTCTTGCTTGTCCACGTCCACATCCATCGGGACGTCACCTTCTGTCGCTAGCGTCGTAGACTCCGGCACGTCCTGCTCTTCAATCGCGTCTTCTTCCCTCGGGTCATTCGCCTGGACTTGTACGTCTGCTTCTGCAGCTGACTGGTCCTCATAGGTAACCTCGGGTTCCTCGGCAACCTCCTCTTCAACCCCTTCCATTGCATTTTCATCTGGCTCTTCTGCGCTGGGCTCGGCGGCGGTTGGTTCAGGTACATCCAAAGGCTCCGGCTCCTGTACAAGAGTCGGCTCCTGGGAGGTCTAATTATGGCCATTTATTCAATATGCATGCGCGCGGTGGTGAGGGACTTACTGCTGCCTCTGATGGCTGTTCTTCACTTGGAAGAACTTCCACTGGCACAGCTTGCTCCGGCGGCGATTCTGCCGACACATCAACTGTTTCTACATCTGGCTCTTCTTCGCCGCCGAATGTGCCCTCGGTCTGGAAACGGGGTTGAGGCTCAGCATAGAGTATGTAGTCAATACAACTGCTTACCAGATCGACAATCACCTGAGCTTCTTCAGGATGATCTTGTTCGTCATCGTCATCATCATCCTCTTCAGATATGTGCACCTCCATAGGTTGTTCGGCAGTTGAAGGTGGCTTTTCTGTTTGTGCCTCTTCTGCTTGGGCCTCTTCTATTTGTGCCTCTTCTGCAGGAGGAAACTCTGGCTCTGGCTCTGGCTCTGCAGGAGACATGGCTAGACTCGCGCGTATTTTGTCATCCCACAGACCGCCACGGATTTCGTCAATCTCGGTAACCAGCGTTCTGATTATACATGCAGTCAGGGCTTCACAGTGAGGCAGACATGCAATGGCATACTTGAATTTGGCCTCTTCGGCCGCAATGAGCTCTCTGAGCTCTAAGATACGGATACGGTAGTGACGCTCAGCAAGCCTCAGGTTCACATGTGCTATGCCCTGCTTAAGCCTTGAAGGTAGAGATTGTTCAAGGGCGATACACATACCTTTAGGAATGACGTTCGCTTCTGAGCTTTCATGTACACATGAGATGTGTCTCAAACTCTACAGCCGTACCACTGACCTTTCCAAGCCAGCTTCTTCTAGTAGCTGTAGATATATTTTGGAACATGTCTAGAGTACGCACACGTCTCAACACAAGTACGCGAAGGACACAGAGGGTGCAGGCTGACTTGGGCCGTAAAGAAGCTTTCCGGACGTGAGAGCATGGGATGCTCTGTCATGATGATCGATACTTTTGGCCATGCCTCTGAACCGTGCTCATACACTGCCTGGGAGAGAATGAGTCGTTCGACATTTTTCAAGGCAGATGCGTCTGTGTTGTCGCCATGCTGCACGCGAGCCATTGACGAGGTGCAGCGCGTGAGCCGAACGAGGCTAGCCGAGGAGTGTACGACTTTGAGGCAGGAAGCAGACAGCAGCAGCGGTGCGCGAGTGCCCCGAAGCGTGCAGATGAGAACCTGAGGCGCGTCGGCGGAGGTCGGCGGCCCCGGCCGGCACGGGAGGCACGCATCACCGAGTGCCACAAAGGTAGGCCGGAAGCAACCAGCGAGGCTAACCCGCACTGACGCAGTCGCTCTTGACTCCCACCATCATGTTGCTCAAGGCTGCCCCCCTCATCCTGCTACCCCTTGCTGCCGCCGCGGGCGGTGTTCACAAGCTCAAGCTCAGCAAGCTACCCCAGACACTCGCCAATCCGGAGCTTGAGAGTGCATACCTCGTGGAGAAGTATGGCGGCGAGGTGCAGACGCCCCTCATGGGTGCTGGCGGCGCGGGGCGCAACGTGCGTCTCGCCCGGCCCTCACACCAGGATGGGGAGCCCCTCTTCTGGACCCAGGAGGATGCGCTCGCGAACGGAGGACACAGTGTTCCCCTCAGCAGTATGTCATCGCGCCTGGCTTCATGCAAGGTGCAAGCGAGTGACGTTACACATTTAGATTTTATGAATGCTCAATACTTTGCTGAGATCGAGCTTGGCTCGCCGGCACAATCTGTAAGAGCAATGTTCCCAAGTAAGGGAATAAGAAAAGCGAACTGACCTTGCCGCAGTTCAAGGTTATTTTGGATACGGGGTGTGTTTTACATTCTTATCTTAGTTACCGTAATATTAGTTGCTGACATATGCCAAGGTCGAGTAACCTCTGGGTCCCAAGCACCAAGTGCAGCTCGATTGCATGCTTCCTCCACGCCAAGTACGATTCCAGCTCCTCGTCGACTTACAAGGTGAACGGAACCGAGTTCTCGATCCAATATGGTTCGGGCTCTATGGAGGGCTTCGTGTCCCAGGATACCTTGAAGATCGGAGATCTCAGCATCAAGCACCAGGATTTCGCAGAGGCAACGAAGGAGCCAGGCTTGGCGTTTGCGTTCGGCAAGTAAGTACAAGACTTCCACGCCCTGGAGCCAGGCCTGATTTGGTTTGCAGGTTCGATGGCATCCTCGGTCTTGCCTACAACACTATCTCGGTCAACCATATCACGCCTCCGTTTTACAACATGATTGACCAAGGTCTCATTGACTCCCCTGTGTTCTCGTTCCGCCTAGGCTCGTCGGAAGAGGATGGTGGAGAGGCCATCTTCGGTGGTGTTGACCACTCTGCTTACTCGGGTTCCATCCACTATGTCCCTGTCCGCCGCAAGGCATACTGGGAGGTTGAGCTCGAGAAAGTTGCCCTTGGTGATGACGAGCTGGAGCTTGAGAACACCGGCGCTGCGATTGACACCGGTGAGGCAAGACAATGCGTAACATCCCACTACCTGCTCACGTATATTACCTACAGGTACTTCTCTCATTGCTTTGCCCACTGACATGGCGGAGATGCTCAACACCCAGATTGGTGCCCAGAGGCAATGGAATGGCCAGTATACCGTGGATTGCGCTACGGTTCCCAATCTCCCCGAGCTCACTTTAACGTTCAGCGGCAAGCCCTACCCGCTCAAGGGTACAGACTATATCCTTGAGGTCCAGGGCACTTGCATGTCTGCATTCACTGGCATGGATATCCAGATGCCCGGCGGTGGCTCACTTTGGATCGTCGGTACGTATCGGAATAGGGTGAACCTTGCACGTTATGCTGAACTACATTGTCTGTTAGGTGACGTCTTCCTCCGTCGCTACTACACGGTGTATGACCTTGGCAACAATGCTGTCGGTTTTGCTGAGGCGGTTTAATTTGCGCTCATGACCTGCCATTTCTTGTCCTCGTCACATCTTTTCGTTACGACAGTCCGCGTTTGCATGTTCATTGTACTGTAGTCCTGCAATTCGACGTTATGGTTGAGACGCGCTAGTCCTTTCCAGTGGATTAAGCGCCAAGAACAACTTCGGCACATGGATATGACGACTTCGTTTCTCATGACGAAGTTGCCGCAAATGCGCGAGATGTCTAGTCTACAACAACTTTCTACTTATCTACTTTATGCGAAGAGCTGCCGTCGAATGCCGAATTGAGATACCATCCGCGACCATCAAGAAAGCATCATGTCAATGGTCAATGCTTTCACTCAGATACCCATTACCAGATCTGCTCCTTCCAGCAGTCTGTCCAGAACATGGAAGGAACGCCTGCATTCCTACTCGCTCGAGCAACCCTTGGACCGCGTGAATGTCCTCGGAGATGATACACATGGGCATACAGGGTGCGTTGAATGAACGGAGGCATATAGGCTCTCGCTGACAGCGAGTTCGCATAGATGTGTGAATGCGTTGTCTTGGGCGAAGGACGGAGAGCTCCTAATGAGCGGCGGGGACGACAGGACGTGCGTCGACTACAAAGTCCCTTCAGGAAACGACACTGATTAGCTATCCCAGAGTGCGGCTATGGCGCATAGATCCCAGCGACACCACGAAGGACTATCCTTTCGTCTGCGAGGCGGTCATATTCACCGGACATACCGCGAACATCTTCAATGCACAGATGCTGCCAAACTCCAACCGCATGTAAGTCGCTCGACGTGTTGATGTGCCCATCTGGGGCCTCACCGGCTCGTACATCCAGAGTCACAGTGGCAGGCGACAAGCAAGTGCGCATTTCCGACGTAGGAGCTGCTTTTCTCTCCTCGCAACACCGTGGTGAGACAGAGTACAGCAGCCGTCAGGCGAACGTCCGCGTGTTGCATTGCCACAGTGCCCGAGTAAAGCGCATTGTGACAGAGGAGAGCCCGGATCTGTTTCTCACTGTCTCTGAGGTGCGTGTTTGGCAACTCACATGTCGCTGATATTCGTAGATCTGCTCACACATCACCACTTATGGCATTAGGACGGCACAGTGCGGCAGCACGATCTGCGTGTCCCGCACCAATGCCGCTTGGGGACGTGCCCTGCCCCTCTCGTCAGAGTGGACCATGAGCTGAGTACCATGGCACTCTCCCCTTTGGCGCCATACCAGCTCGTAGTGGCCGGAGAATCGCCATATGTAGGTCGCACCTTTGCGTCTCCTCCTAGCAGGGCTTCACCGCATTAAACTAGGGCTACCTCTTCGACAGGCGGCATGCAGGGCGGTCGTTCAGAGAGGAATGGGGTATGCTTCCGGAGATGGACGATGTCACTACATGTGTGCGTCGCCTTGGACGTGCTAGTCACGGCCTGGGTGAACGGAGGGGATCTGAGCACATTACCGGCGCGCGCATGGCATCTACCAATAGTCATGAGGTAAGAATTCGATTCTTTCAAGGCTGGGAATAAGAACAATGACTGAGCTTCAGAACAGGTGCTGCTGTGTATGTTCAACCTACCATCAGCGTCTGGATATGTTTCCTGACATGAAGCTCAGCATATAGCTCCGACGCTGTCTATCTGTATTCGACACATGATGAGCCTCAGACACCAGAAATGTCTGGTGAGAGTTCTGTCCTCCCTCCGAATAACAAGTCGTCAAGAGAGGGTTCGGCAGCGCCTTTGGCGAATAACGATACGGGGGAACGTGGCGTGGGTCCTATGTCCGAGGTCGACATACAGATACAGGAAGACCTCGAACGCTACTACGCTGAAGCTGCCCTCATGGATGACGAAGATGAAGCCCACTCAGACGATAGGGACGCCAGTGACGAAGAGGAAGAAGAGAGGCAGGAAGAAGAACAGCTGCAAGCGACCGCGTCTTCCTACAAGACCCCAGTTATATACCCTCGCGCACGCTTTGCCGGTGCCTGCAATGTGGAGACGGTCAAAGATGGCGAGTATCTCTTATTCCTACCTACTATTAGGACTAATGCTCGAACAGTCAATTTCTTAGGTCCCCACGATGAGTTCGTGGTTTCCGGCTCTGATGACGGTTATTTCTTCATGTGGAAGAAATCCACACGACAGCTCCACGACATCATTGAGGGCGACGGTTCTGTGGTTAATGTGATTGAGGGACATCCTCACCTACCTCTCATTGCTGTCAGCGGCATCGACACAACCGTGAAGGTATGCTTTGGCATGTTATTATTGTCGCATGCTTAGACTGACTGACGTCTGCGCAGCTATTCGGACCCGGGCGTGGGCACAGCTTCTTCTCGAGGTTGAGCGACGCGGATGCCATCATTCGTCGCAATAGCGAGGCTGCTTCGAGGAGAGTTGACCTCGCCAGCTTATTCCTCCGTTATCAGATTTCTCGGCGAGCAGCAGTCGGCGGGTCTAATACAGGTTGCACATTTCAATGACAATGCGGACATGACGCTGTGTATAGTATTGTATTCTTTGTACGCATAGAAGGAGTGTTTGTAGGTTGTGGTGTGTTGCGCTGCGGTGTGTGACCAAGCGAGAGAATGTGGCTGCACAGTTCGACTCCGAAATGTTCGAGTGGGCGACACTAAAATACTCCTTGCCACATCACCACGTTGTCAAAGCGACTTACTTTCTCCTGCTCGCGCATTTACATGCTCGAGGTCGTGGCTCCAAAGGAGATTGTGCAGTGGATAGTTGTTTTGCGCAGAGAGACAGGAATTGATGGAGGCGAGATTGTTGGGCATCGGCCTTTGCATCCATCCCGGAGGAGAGAAGTTGGCGGCTCTCTGCGTTTGTCCTCTGCATTCGTTGCCCCCGGGTCTGGCTCCTTCACCGAGAGTTGGCCACAGGAGGTTGTTGCCCCTCCATTTTTCCTCTGCGGCACTATCGCGGCCTCATCAGAGAAGGTTGAGAGACTACACTATAGATGTAAGTGTAAATTTTGCTTTAACGGGCTTAAGGAGTAGAACCTGTGCTAATATCCTTCCAACGTCGGTTTTTTTTTACCATGCTGGCCCAGAATCCTCCTTTCTCTTTCTCTGAGTGATTTTGGATGCTTGTCTGTTTTTCGACTGAGTTGTCAGCTAGTGCCTGCGGCCACAATTGCATCAGCCCCGAGGGGGAACCCTTTGACCCTCAACAAGACTCCGTCACGACACGTAACGCGAGCGTCCAACTTCATCGTGTCCACCACCTTCAACTTGCTCAAGACTGTCTCCATCGACTTAGTCGAGCTCACCGGCAGCAGGACGGTGTGTACAACGGCGGCTGCACCGCTGTCACCTCTGATCCCACGGACTAAAATTCGCTTCCAACCGTTTGCGACGCCTCGTCTCTTCCTCTCATCGTGCTAAGTCTCAGACTGCCACACTCTTCAACATTATCGCCACAATGAGACAGGAGGCATCAACCTCTCGCGGCCGTCGAGACGACGGTTGGAGGCCGCCTACAGACAACGTTCCACCTCCACACGACCGCTACGGATATGGGCCTCCCAAACAGGACCATGGCCACACCGGTAGGGAAGATTATTGGGATGCCTCTGGGAGATCCTATAGCTATGACCAGGGCTACGTGCCCCCAAACTATCCTGACAATGGCTGGACGCCGTCGGGCTCTCGCTTCGATAGACCCCGAGGGTTTGATCAATGGCCGGCTGATGAGGGACAGCATGACGAGAGAGGTCGTAGTAGATATCCCCCCGACAGACCGGACAATGGCTGGGCCACGAGAGATCGTCGAGAAGGCGCCCCGAACTTGCGAAGAGACTCTGGTTGGGACAAGCGGCCCCCAGAAAACCAAGACCAACCTTGGGAAGACTCATCACGACCATGGAAAGCCGACGGCTCACGACACCCAGAAGACCGTTCTTGGGAACCTTCTGCTACATGGCAGCCAAGCAGTCGAGGTGGTCAGGGGCAGCGAAACCAGAGGCCAAATAAAAATTCGCATAATAATAAGAACGGGAAGGGGAAGAAGAACCAGAAGCAAAAGCGCGATTGGAGGGCGGACGACAGCCAGCTGAATAAGTACGTGTTATTTACTCTGTTGATGTCACTCTCTTGATCTTGGATACTAGCTGGACACGGAGAGACGATCCAAAGCAGTCGAGTAAGAGCAATAGAGCTGCTGGCAAGCGTCGGCAGCGTCATTCACCCTCGCGAACTCGTTCGCGCTCTCCGACTGGGTCGTACTACTCCCGACGATCGTCTAGGGGACGCTCATTTTCGCCGGACGTGTCGAAAAGAAGGCGTCGAGACGACAGTCGTTTGCGTTCTCGGAGCCCGAGTCCATCTGTGCAAGACCGCAACAGAAATGGTTATACACGGAAGCGACGTTCAAGATCGCCCTCTTCGTCTCCCCCCAGCGTCGACAGCAGGGGTCGTGCTCGGCGACGACGAAGTTTGTCGACTACTACCAGCACCAGCAGGAGCAGAAGTCGCAGTATCAGTCGCACCCCCAGGGAACGCGTAAAAACGGTACACCGACTACCTGCTGCGACACCCATTAGTGCTATCCCACTAGCACTAATCCGAGAACGTGAATCCCCCAGAGGCAAACGAGATGGAAAAGGCGCTTCTGCTGGCAAGGCATCCGAGGTGCGTTTCAACGACCCTTCATCAAGGAAGACACTGACCTTTTCCCGACCTAGCATTTATTGAAATCGCCGGAGAGCGGACGCAAGCGTCATCATTCCGATGTCAAAGATATGGGCACTATGCCACCTCCTAGTGTGCCGGAAGGCAGCTTCCCACGATCTTCCACTCCGTCAAGTTCGCCTACGAGCTCTCGTGCACAACCATCTACATCACGTATCTCGTCGACCAAGAACGCCGGCTTCAGACCGATAGGACAGCCTAGTAGTGCGGTCAAGAGGTTCTTCCCTGGTGACGATGATGACGACGAACTTGAGGCTACTCCTCCACGCTCTACGCCCGCAGTGGTTTCTTCCACTTCTGGATCACATTCACTACCACCCGTTCATCTAAGCTCCTCACCGCCGAAGGAGGGACCATCCACGCCTGAAGTAGTTGAACCGCGTCCATCGAGAGGCGCGCGTAGTCCACGCCATGATGGATCTCCTTCAAAGGAGGGAGGTCTTCCGATCAGCAGTCGCCACGTTCAGAACGGACGAGACCCCGCCGATACTGGTGTCGAGAAGCCTGTCATTCCGCCACCTGTAGTATCAAATAACGGTGGCCCATCGCGCAGCCAAGGCGGACTGGCGCGTTTGGCACCCTCTCGTTCTCAGACGGACCGGGAAGAACGAAGTGCAACGCCTATTCTCACCAGACCTCCCACCCCTGTCCGATATGGCCAGTATGATTGCCTAAACCAGGTTGGAGAGGGTACTTTTGGACAGGTTTGGAAAGCGCGCAGTACGAAGGACGGTAGGTATGTGGCATTGAAGAAAATTCGTATGGAGGCCGAACGCGATGGGTTCCCTGTGACCGCGATGCGTGAGATCAAGTTGTTGCAGTCGTTACGGCACGACAACATTGTGCGGCTATACGAGATGATGGTGTCAAATGGTATGGCATCGCTCCAATGATCGTATGTTCCGTCTTGTTGACCTTTCCATAGGCTCTGTCTTCATGGTCTTCCAGTACATGGACCATGACCTCACTGGCGTTCTGTCACAGACCCAGTTTGTGTTCACCGACGCGCATCTAAAGTCATTTTGTCGGCAAATGCTCGCTGGCCTGGCATACCTGCATCACAAAGGTGTCATACATCGGGACATCAAGGGTTCAAACATCCTGATCAACAATCGTGGCGAGTTGAAGCTCGCAGACTTTGGTCTTGCACGCTTTTATCAAAAGCGTAGGCAGAGTGATTACACCAACCGTGTCATCACGCTGTGGTACCGGCCTCCGGAGTTGCTGCTCGGGACAACAGTGTATGGGCCTGAGGTTGATATGTGGAGCGCAGGGTAAGGTCGATATCTACTATGCTTGCATCTCCGCTCATGTTGGTCGCTGTCTAGGTGTATCATGCTTGAGCTGTTCACGAAGAAGCCCGTGTTCCAGGGCAATGATGAGATTCACCAGCTCGACGTGATTTATCGGATCCTCGGCACACCCGTCGTTGAACAGTGGCCTGGCATGACTAGTCTCCCGTGGTATGAACTTGTCAAACCCAAGGAGACGATACCGAATCACTTCAGGCAGTTGTTTGAGAAGTGAGTTCTCTACACTGTACAATCAACGCGAGTTGACCATCTGTCCCTTATAGATGGCTCTCCCCCGCCGGTCTTGATCTCGCGGAGCGATTGTTGACTTACGACCCGGCTCGGAGGGTCACCGCTGTCCAAGCTCTTGAGGCCCCGTACTTCAATCAGGAGCAGCCATCGCCAGCAGCCCCAGTCAGGTCTGTACTTTTCGCCGTTTGACTTATATTGTTGCTGATGCGTCCGCAGTCTGTCGACCATGGAGGGTGAATGGCACGAATTCGAGGCAAAACGAGAACGGGCGAAGAAACGGCGAAGAATGGAGTAGCTATCGTTACATGCGTTCTAATATCTTACAAGCATACAGATCAATGGACTGAGCGACTTGCTAGTCTCCGCTATGATGTATTACACAGTCGTTGCACTTTGCCTATTATTCACGCAAGCACAGCCTCAAATTTGAAGATACCCTTGTCCGTTAGATGCTGCACGATAGACTCGACCTATCAAAACGCATGTCAATATAAGGGCATGGTCAAGAACTCGATAAAACCCTACGTTGGCTGCAGTCGTGCGGATCTGGTGGTCCCAACGCTTCGTGAAGGGTGCGCCGGTATCTTCTGGCGTCTGCTCGACGTCGCCCAGTCCTCCAGCCTTACCCTGAGCGTCGTCCTCCTCCTTCGTGGCCTCAAACCAGATCAACTTTTCTACCTGGTCAATCGAACCCTTGAGCCGGCCCTGCTCAATCATCTTCCGCGCCATCGTCTCCGCCGCGCCCGGCGTGAGGTCAAGCAATGCACCAAGCCCGCTGAACGTAATATTATTGTAGATCTTCGAGCTCGCGAGCACGTTGTGCTCCATCACCGCACGGTCGAGCACGGTCGACGGGCCCGTGCGTTTGCTCGCGTTCGGGTCGGCCGTGGCGTCATCGTCGGCGACGGCGGACGCAAGGCGGTCGTTTGACGAGAGCGTGATCTTGGCAAGCTGGTGTGGCTTAAGCGTCGCCTCGAAGTCCTTGACCTCGGACGGGCGCAGGATGCGGTCGTGGAACATCTTAAGGAGGATGTTGAAGGTGGGCATATCGGCTGTGCGCTCGTCGCGGCATAGCGAAGCGAGAACGCGCGAGCGTGCGGGGCCGGCGGGGGCGAGGACGGCGCAGGTCATGGAGGATGATCTGCATGGGCTGTTTGGGAATGATGCAGAAGACAAATTGCGGGGGAACTCACAGTAGGTTGAGGCGTTCCTCCTCGTCGACCTCAACTACCCAGCTTAGTTCATGGTACCTGCTGGCTGCTTCGAGGAATTTTCGGGAGTAGTCATTGATCCTGGCTTGGCAGAGCTTGAACTGGATCAGGGATTCCTGGTCCGATGTTGACGGTGCAAGGAGGGCAGCGCGGTTGTAGTATGTCTCCGCCTGCACGGATTCCTCGTCTTCCAGGAGGAGACGAACGATGCGCAAGTAAACCCGGAATTTCTCCTCATCGATTCTGCAAGTAGAGCATGAAATCCAAAGACGTGCTCAGGGCTGATGGTACGTACCGTTGGCCGGCATCCAGTGAGATGCCCATGAGCGTGCGCGCGGCTTCGCTCCATTCCTCCTCTGACTCTAGAATATCTGCCAGTTGAAAGCGAAGGGAGTTTACCTATAAAGGCGGTCAATCGCACAGCAGACGGTCGACGACCGCGCATACCTGCTCCTCGTAGCTCACAGCACGGGGTTGAATTGTGGCGAGGGTATCTTGGACGATGCGTTTCTTGAGCACGGGCTCTGTGACCGTCTCTGTTTCCAGTGCCCTTACAAGCCCTGAGAGCACTTGTCTGCCAATGACAAGACCGACGCTGTCCTGGATGACATTCTCAACGAGGATACGGATGTCTGTAGCAAGGGATGTCTGATCGGGGCGTGCGAGCAGGTCGGTGAGGATGGACCCATATGCGATGGCCTTGTCTTTCTGGCTCAGGCCTGCGATCTGTGCGAGTCTGCTCTCCATTTCAAGCAGCACTATATAGGTAGATATTGAGGACAGGCGGGTGGCACGCAGGCAAGGCACAGACGCGTGCAAGGAGACGCGTCCTCGATCACAGAGCCACGTGCATGCAATACACTCGGAGTCCCAGAAAGGCAAGCAAGATGGAAGGCCGGTGTCATGGCCACGGTCGCGGGTAAAGTTGCCCAGTCGGCCGGGCATCCTCTCCCACCTTCGTTCTCACCGCGAGCAGCTCCGTCTCGCACAGTTGCCCTGCTACCTCCGGACAGGCACTTGGCCTGACACGGTCTCCTTGGGGATTACCAACCGTGCGTTCCCGTTGTCACCGTCAATCAGTCAGCTGTACTGAAGCAGATGTGCAGCGCAAATTCTATTTGAAAGCGTCCTTACAGAGTTCCTTCCGTTGCTTCCCTCGCTGCTAGCCAGCGCGCCAACTACCTCGCCACTCTTTATACGAAACACCCGGGTCGATTCCCCCAGTAATGTCTCACCTGCTTGCCAACCCCATGCAGAGGCCCTACCTCTTCGAGCTTCCCCGCCCTGCCCATCCCCTCACTCCACCAGACACCGATAACGAGTTTGCTACCCAGCCATTCCCGTCTGCCCCTGTAGCAAGCACCTCGCATGCCGCAGACCAGGATTTCACCACCTCCGCCGAAGCTGCGACTCCATTCTATCGTAAGCCGTCCTCTTTCGCCTATGTGAACTCTGGCTTCCGCGAGCAACGCGAGCGAGTCCCTCCCCGGAGCTTGATCAAATGGCTTGTGGTCGTGATTCCCCCTGCTTCCTTCACTCGAGAGCATGGCCACCTTGGGCACACCCTGTCTACGGGCTCCCCCAACCGATTGTCCCAGGGCATTCTCATGCCGTTGTTCCCCACTGTGAGTAACAGAGCATTCTGGCTATGGCAACTATTGATGCAGATGTCTCTTGTCAGATGGGTGGTCAGCTCGCTGCTATCGCGCGCGAGTTCAGCATGCCGAGCACGGCAGGGATCTGCCTGTACCTGCATACCACGCACAACAGCATTGCGCTGTATCCGCGGATCTCAGACGATACTTGGCATATCCTATGGGCTCATCTTTTCGAGGCAAGATCCCCCGCCCCGGCGCAACAACAACTGCCCATCAGCGGTCAAATAGAATTCGACATTGATCTAATGAAGGCTCGCTGGTATGATTCCTGGATAGCCTCACCGAGACGGGAGTTTGCGGATGTACCTCACTCCGTTGCGCACTCGCGTCGGCAGTCAATGACACACTGGCGAGGGGACAGCAGGACGACATTCTTAGACGACCAGGCAGACGAACAGCTGGACAACATCTCCATCGTGCAGCAGTCGAGAGGTGTGCCGAATGCACCGAGACTTGGGCCCAAGAAGCTGTCTTTACTTGACCGGTTTGATGCCTCGTCCGCCATCTCCGGTATGAAACCTCCCCGTCATCTGTCGCCTCACAGCCCCACCGATGAGGCGCACATGCGCATGCTGTCCCCAATAGCCCAGGCCGAAGAACCGAAGACCGCGAAGAAGGACATTGACTCATTTGTTACTTCATGGCGCGCGTCCGCAACCCTAGCTGCCAGTCCGCTGGCCGCCACTGGGCAGACGAGCCTTGACCCTGCCAACATGCCGAACACCATCGCAGACTTCATGACGGCGAACACGCCTGATGATCACTCCGAGCTCAATCTCGACGACTATGCGTGGTCTGTGTCTTCTATGGGCCCTCCCGATTACGACCTCGACGATGACGCGGAGTCCTTCGCATGGCGTCTGCCTTCACCTGACCTCGCGAGGCGTACTATGTCCGATGTACCTCCGACGCCGTCTACCGCCACGAGCTGGGGTGCTCCGTTATCGTACCCGCCATCGCCAGTCGACAACCACTCCATGTATGCGCCCTCCATCGACATCGCAGGGCGTACCATGTACAGCCGGCCTGTCACGCCGGCCACTGCAACCTCCTGGGGCCCCGGGTCGTACCCCGCGTCGCCAGCGTTCTACCAACCTGAACTCCGCGTACCGTCCCCCGACCTTGGCGCCCGCGGCATGCTGAGTGTCCCCCCAACGCCCGCGACAGCCACTTCCTGGGGAGCGCCATCCTATCCGGCGTCCCCCGCACAGAGCGACTTCCGCGCGCCCTCCCCGGACCTCGGTGCGCGCGGCATGCTCAGCGTGCCGCCGACGCCCGCGACTGCGACTTCGTGGGGCGCACCATCGTACCCGGTGTCGCCGGCATACAGCGAGTTCCGTGTGTCCTCACCAGACCTCGGTGCACGAATGCTAAGCGCACCTGTGTCTCCGCTTCCGTTCAGGCGGCGCGAACGCGCGGTGGAAGTAGAGGGCGAGGAGTCGCCAAACACGCCGTCGAGGATGGTATTCCCGTACTATCACGCACCAGCGCCGGCGTGGCAGCATGTCTGGCCGTACGAGAGTGCGCATGAGGATCAGTGAGTTGCGTTGCGAATTCTAACACTGTGATTGTACTGAATATATGCGTTGCAGGCCGTCCCATGAACCGTCCTTCCACAACGCTCGGCCATCGCAGGGCAATCCCAGCCAAGGACGCCCGGCGAGGCTTGCATTCCCGTACTACACCCCTTCGGCGCAAGTATGGCTTCACGTGTGGCCGTACACAAGGGAGGTATCCAAACCGGCTGCGAGCAGTGCTCCGAGGTCGCCCACCTGGGAGCATGTATGGCCGTACACGAAGGCAGAGACATCCTCGAAGGTCAACACAAGTTATGCGTCGTCTGGCTACCCGTACATTGTGCTATGTAAGAATCTGTGGCAGTCATATGGTTATTAGCATGTCCTGATGATTTGCAGACCCGGCCGTGTACCCCAACTTCGACATCTATCCGCTCACTGTCAGAATGGACGGCAGGAGTCGTGAGGTCTCTGTTCGGCTTACGGCAGTGTACCCTGCTCTCCAGATGTGTATGTTCAAATCCAAGGCTTGCTGACCGGATTACTGATCATTTGTGCAGATCCTGCGGTGTATCCCAACTTTGACATCTATCCCGCTATTGCGGGCGCGATTGAACATCGAACGTCAGTACAGAAGGAGTCGCGCGAGATGCAGGCCCTGGCTCCTCCGCGGCTAGCTCAGTATCCCGAGTTCAACCTGTGTAAGCCCTCAATCCTTCATCCCACTTTGATATTCACATTCGCCTATCAGATCCTCCCGTCTATCCATGGAATCTCGTGGAGATCTACCCTGCTCGACGGATGGCAGGAAGCCTTTCCACGGTGCAGGCCATCGATGTACGCTTGCCTGTTAGGTATCCTACTTTTGACCTTTGTGAGTACCCGTGTCCCCTTATCATCGTCCACATACTTAATATCGCGCCTAGACCCTGCGGTATATCCCCACAGTGTGCAGAGGATCTATCCGACCGTTCGCCCCGGACCCCGTGCTGAACACGTCTTGATACCTTCGCCTTCGGCCATTGTGGTGGCTTTACCTGTCTCGTATCCTCGGTTTGATATTTGTAAGGACAGACAGTTTTGCCTTTTGTGCTCCTGCCTGACTGTTGTTTTCTCAGATCCTGCTGTGTATCCCCACAACCTCACTATCTATCCATCGGCAACTGAGGACCGACAGTCTCAGGTCATAGTTACAAAACTGCCAGTGCATTACCCTAGCTTCGAGATCTGTGGGTCATCACATTCCCGATGAACAGTTTTATCACTCACCGCGCGCTAGATCGCCCGGTATATCCTCACAGCCTGTCTTACATCTATCCCTCGAAGACCTTGCAGGAGAAGAGCCCACTGCCCACGTCATCAGTGGCAACCGCAGGTATTGTGTCTTCGGCTTTTTCTAGAACCTACCCGGACCTTGTTTTGTGTGCGTGGCGTCTCCAGGTCTTATTGCGTGCTGAATGTGACTTACCGTTTCTTGCTGTGCAGATCCCTCTGTGTACCCATGGAACGTCTACGAGATCTACCCGTCGCGAGAGACCGCTAGCCGGAGCACTCCCCGACGTGCGGTAGGCTCGGTGCCCATCATACTAGAAGCACGCTATCCCGAATTCAACATCTGTGTGTTTTCAGCTTCAACGTCGAGTATACTGCGTATGAACTGACTTACTTCTTGCAGACCCCGCTGTCTATCCCTTCAATTTGGACAGGATCTACCCCACCATTGGAACCCCTTCGGAACAGTCTATGAGCAACACGCTGCGTGCCTTGTATCCGCATCTAGAAATCTGTATGAGCTTGTTTTCACACAGAGCTGATAGGCCGACTGACGCATGGGATTCACAGATGCCCCTGTGTATCCTCACAACCTCGCTCACATCTACCCTCCTATCCGCATCGCGTCCCCAATCCCAGCTCGAGTTCCATCCACTTCTCAGCGCAAGGGCATATGGGTGTCGTTGGTCTCGTCGTATCCCTACATCTGCCTATGTAAGCTTATGTATTCAGCGAGTCATGCCCGTCTAATATTCTGCTACAGATCCGCCTGTCTATCCTTCTATGGTGATTTATCCGGAAGTTGCCTCAGCCGAGCCCTCACAAAGAAGCCGGGAGCCGAAGATAGTCGTGAATTACCCTGCATTTGACATTTGTTTGTGACATTATCTTCTCTGAAGGCAGCCCTTGGCTTATCATCCTGTCAGATCCGGCGGTGTACCCATTCATCCGGGTTTATCCAACCGTTTGGAGATTCAATGAAGCCACAAAGCCTTCGCCCAGGATGATTGCGAAGACTCCGTTGAGTGCCCCTCGACGCAAGCCAAAATTCACCCATATGGACTTGCACGAACAGGTGTTCGGAACAGCTCCTGTAGAGGATAAACCTGTTACGGTCCAGCCGTCTACATCGCCGTTGCAGAGGGTACAACAGGAGTCTAGCACGTCGGCCCACTTGCGTTCGCGTTCTCGATCAGGAACAGTCAGTATGCGCCCGAGCCCTCCTCCAAAGCCCGCGGATATATCAAGCTCGAAGATAGCCGGACCATCGTCTCCTGCACCGAATCCTGCAACGTCTGTTACTCCAAGGCTTCCGATCACTCATGCTGGCAGGCGACCGGTATCAACGATCGGGTTGCCTTCACATCCTGCGGCTAATCGCAGAATGTCTGTGCTGGCGGCGAAGCCCAGGTCGACTACGCCTACGACCCTGCCCACTGTAGTCGAGCCTCAGGAGTCGGCAGAGCCATCTCGACAGCGGCAAGTTCCGTCATCGTATTCTACGACCGGCGCCGCAAACTTGCGGTCAATCCCTCGTATCGATGTCGATGGACCGCCACAAGACGCATCCACAGGGCAGTCGGTATCTGCCACACTACCCTCAAAGCTGATGTCGACAAACACGGGTGCCGAGCTCAACCGGGCAAAGACCCTCCCTGGACGACGGGCTAGCGCGGTGATGCAGAGAGCACGGGCGTTTAATCAGCCCAATTGTGAGTTCTATGTCATCTAGTATCGCAAGCTTCCATGCTGAATGGCTGTCACCAGCCGCCTCGACTGACGATCCACCAGCGCGGATAACGATGTCGACATTGTCACAGTTTCCGACACCTCCGCGGCCACCGGTTCCACCGGTTCCATCAGGCAGACCGGTGTCGAAATTGGATCGGTCGAAGTACCCATTCTCATGACTGACAGTTCCCGTCGAGATTTAGTATCTACTTCGTTGTGCAATTGCCTAGCTTTGTAATAGAGGCTGCTCGAGGTCTCTAGAGGAAGTCATGCGACGTCAGGCAGGCTCATGTTCCCCTGAGGACTCGCCGTCGTCCAATGCCTTGCTGTCGCGCCTCAAATCAGCTAGCGTTTTGACGACTGCAGGTGATTTCTTCGACTTCGGCGGCAAACGTGGGATGTCATCGGCGACGCCGCCACGCCTTTCGCGTGTTGCCCGTGCACGAACGGACAGTCGGTCGTCCTGAAACTTTAGCATGATCTATGATGTGGGTCAGATATGCAATTTGCGAGTAAGATGACAACGCATGTCGACCTTCTGTTTGGCCTTCGCTTCCGCGGCTTTGGCCTCCTCCAAAGCTCTTTCTTCACGCTCTTGTTTAGGGGATTCTCGCTCTATGGTTTCATTGATGATGGCGAGCCCCATCTTTAAATCGTCGAGTCGCTTCATGTGGAAGACATAGTACGGCTGCCATTCAACCTCATCAACCTGTGGCGACGTAAGACATCATCTCTAGTGCATAAAGGAATGCGAGTACCTCCGGATTGAAACCCATCTACGGAAACTATAGATCAGTTGATAAATTACATAGCATCGTACTACGAACGAACCTCTCTGATGTACTCCACGACCCCCGGAGGGTTGATCAGCAGCTCCAGTATCTTAGCATTGGTTGGCTTGATTCTATGAAATTTCACTTCGTCCGGAGACCGCAATATATTCTCAGCCAATGTCTTCATCGTCTACAATTGAATCAGTAGTAGCTAGAGCTGAAGGCCACCCATGTTACACAACCTGCAGCGCCTTCAATGTTACCTCCGTAGAGTTCGAGCGTATGATGCCAGGGTCAATCAAACGTCTAAAGTGGCGTCGCCGGGGATGGTCTTCGTCGAAGTCGACGTACAGAGCACCGCGAGGCCGCTCCAAACGTATGCCTTCCAGCCTTCGTTCGATAGCCTGCATCACCTCATCGCGGTTCGGTGTCCTATACGAGGTTGCCATTGGGTAAACACTGGTAGGTGGAACACGACGTCGGTACCGGATGGCGGTCTGAAACCAACGTAGTGTGTGTTGAGAGATAATCGCACAGTTCTGTCTTTATATGAGGCGCCGCGTGTGAATCGTGCTGCAGTCTTCGAGCCTGATATGACAAACAGAAGGCCCTCCGGAACCCCCGAAGCACGCCCACGAGATCCAATGACGCCCACCCATGCCTATACCGTCCAAACATAATCATGGTCGGAGGGGGAATGGGGGAAGAGGATTACTCATTGAGTTCTTTGTTGAATTGGAAAAAGCACCACTCTCTGGGAAAGCGTGACAACGGACGCCCAGCGCGCATACCTCATTCTCTCGCATTTGATCCAGCGGGGGAGTGAGGAATGCCCTACAATGACACAAACAAACGAGGAGCCGTTTCTACAGATATGATTATTGAGGCCACTTAGATGGTGTGGTTTCAACTTGTTTCGGAGTTTAACTGTAGTTTGGGGGCTGTGGCGGTCGATCAAAAGTTATGGATGGATCTAGTGAATGGCCCCAGAACAACATATAAATGAGACTCACAACGTCGTGACCTACACCACAGTGACTTCAGCGCATGAGTAAATGAATCATACATTGAAGTCATGTCTACACCATGTGACTGCTTTGGGATATCCTCTTCGCTGACACTTGTGAAGACAGAGCAAACAGTACTTTGTAGATCAGCGAGATCGTGTGAAGCCTCCTTATCGTATACTATACATCCAGTCCTATCTTACCTTCACTCGTCTTCATCTTGTTCATCTTCTGATTCATCTTTATATGGAGGCGGTATATCTTCCCCTGCGTCGTCCGCATCCGCAACGGTCTGTCCGCTTAAGGTACGACCCGTACCCCGCATGCGTGGAACTCTCCTGCCAGTGCGTGCGGGGGTAACAGTGACTGGAGGTGATGCAGGGGGTCTCGATGGAGACGATATGCGCTGTGCAGCTAACGCCTCTCGAGCTTCGCGCTCACGCTGCTGGCGCATAGCCGTAGATTTCCGATCGTCCAAAAACTGACGCTTCAGCTGTGTAGTCCCAATGATCCATGTCACCCAAGGACGCCATGTGATAAGAGCCGGTTGTCAACGTACCTTTTCCTTGGCAGCCAATTCTGCTTCTTTGGCTTCTCGCTTCGCTCGCTCTTCTCGCTCCTTCTTTGAGGTCTCTCGATCAAGGGTCTCATTGATCATTGCGAGCCCAATGTTCAGATCGGTGGTGCGGCGTGTGTCAAATATATAGAACGGTTGGAAGTTCTCTACCTAGCCAATTTGGTCCATCAGTCGCTGCAGAATACGCAAAAGAACAACCAGTGGTGGCACCTCTGGACGGAACCCCATCTACTCCCCAATCAGCAAACAATTGACAGCACAACCAGCAATGACAAACCTCGACCGCATATTCGAGCGTGCCTTTAGGCTCTACCAAAGTTCGCCTGATCTTGCTATTAGTCGGCTTGAATCGCCGATATTTCTCTTCCCCTGGATGCTGTAGTATGTTCTCCGCAAGCATCTTCAAGGTCTACGTCTCCAAATCAATCAACATTCGTAGTGAGCGCCACATGCGCACGAGGACTCACTTGTAGTGATTCAAGAGCTAATTCCTTAGCATTAGGCCGGACAATGCCTGGGTCAATCAGACGGCGGAATTCCTGCCGCCGTTCGTAATTCTCATCAAAGGATGTCTCTACTTTGGCGGCTGCCGCCGCTTCCTCAGCCTGCTCGCGCTGCTGCTGGAGGCGTCGCTCAATGGCAGCAGCGACATCATCGTTGCGCTGTGATTCTTGAATGGTAGAATCATGTTGTTGTCCGTCCATGGTCGTTACGCAAGGTAGATCGCAGAGTATATTCACCAAGTAATCCCTAGGAGTTGGTAGTGTAATGAGAAGTCGTCATCCTTTGTGGCGGCCCGCCCCCTCAACCCTAACCATAATATCCCACGCGAGAGCGCTCAACCAATAATAACTAGGAGCGTTCTTCCCAACACCGACTCGGCCTGCAGTCGCGTTGCCACTGAGTACAGGTGTCCCTATTTTAATAGCACCGAATATTGTGTATGACCTTACAGGAGTATGGCCCGGGAATAAAGCGTGAAGCGGTGTGCCAGTGACTAGTGATGCCCACGCAGTGGCTGCATATACTACTAGGGTATGTATTTTTTTCAATCTGAGGGACAGGTGTGAAACCTGATTACAAATGCTAGGCTTAGAGCACGATTAGTAGTAGAGGTGACGAATAGTATCGTAATGGCTACGAGGGGTAGCTTTACTCGGTTCGCAGCTGAAGTGACGTGCGGATTGATAAGTAGCAGCACTAATAAATATTAAGTAGGAATGTTGCCTGAGTCCAGTGCATTGTAGGACTTCGGTTTTCGCAATCATGCGAGTCACCTAGACGGCGACATGGGAAGCAGACATAGAAGCTGATGAAATAACCAGTATAGGAATATTCCGAACTACCACAGAAATCGCCTCGGGAGCACGCACGAGAGTTTCGGTGACCGGAACAAAGCATAATATAATTTATTCAAGGTCATGAGGTTGAGGTGGAACGGATGCCTGGCGTATGGTTTGTTATTTTAATCGACATCGATATGTCATGTGTAACCTCATAGGATGTCGTGGGGTAGTATGGAGCTTGATGAGTTATGATCAAGTAGGATGCGGACAGATGATCGCAAGTGTATACGGATGAACCGTTAACGAACAATATGCAGTCTGCCGAGGAGCGTGACGCTTGGTAGGATGTCGACAAGGGGTGGGCGGCTTATGTAGCACGAATAGCCTGTGTCTGATAGCATGAGATAAGACAGTTCACATGGATGCCGTGTAGTCTTGATAGGTAAACTGACGCTTCAAGGACAGTGTGTAGCAGGAGCCAAACTTGTTGGCCGCAGATTACCACTAGGAGCGCCGAGATGTAGGCCAGCTAGACATGCAAGCAACGAGAGTTCGCAACTAGGATGACAGAAGCGTCGTCCAGGTAGGTAGTCACCAGCGACAGAGTGATGGATCTTGGCACCACTCGGGGGTGATGGGCGCAGATACCAATAGGCAGGTGATGTAGATCGGTGAGGACACAATCCACGGTCTGCTCAATTCGTCACAAGCTGAGAGGAAGGTCTAGAGGGCGTCCAAGAAAAACTAGAAGCGAAATCAGGCAACGACTGTAGTGCAAGCTGTGATCGTCCGGGGAGTCAGCACAGGCTGATCAAAACCACGATGCGCGATGTGATACGCTGTGGTCGAATAAGAACCAGCCGAGGGAAGGCATCTATGACGACCATGTAGCGGCTTGCCAAGCGTACCAGAATTCCAACCGAGTCTTCCGAAAATAGTTTTAGATCCTGAACCGTGCGCAGGAATACAGCGGAACGCACCTAGGCAAGCCTACCGCTAAACCAGCGCAATGAAGTTAGAATGCTGAGTACATCCATCTCTATTCAACGAGTGGAGGCGGAAATGCTTGCGGAGTGTGTCGGCCGTGTAAAGGTAAGGTGAATATCAAGATCTAAGCGAGTTGAGGTCGGACTCGGAGAGAGTGCTATGTCAGCCACACTAGGGTAAAGCCAGTATCACAGTAGAAGCAGATTTTGTGAGCGGAACCGAGATATAGGGACTCGTTCGTAGGCAAGTCAAGACAGTCGCGGTGACGGGCCGTTGGCAAATCCAGATTATAGGCAAATCGAAAGAGACGAAGAGAAAAATAGTGAACTTGAGTTGTGCCCTGGCGAATACCGATACAAATGGCTGAGACGAAGGAAACACTAATTGATATGATTTGCGGAAGGGCCAGGCAGGCATATCGCCGGGGGGTTGCTGGCGGTCTTGTGAATCTGAGCTTGAGCCTCTCTGGTGAAAGAATGATGCAGATACAAATACAGTTCTTCGCCTCTTGTGGGCGTATATGTCGATGAAGATACGGGAGATGCTGTCCTAGAGCTAGGTAGATCGGTCTTGAAGATATTGAAGGCTGGGCACCTCGCAAGATAGATCGTGGATGATATCATTCGGTGTTAATCCTTCTAGAATTGGAGATTGGAAACCGAAGAAAGAATTTCGAGACTTGCTGCAAATGAATGATGTCGCAGCGTTACGCGTGAAGTGAAGTCGCAAGGCAGGCTGCTGATAAGGGGACGCGAGATGCCTGAACCTCAGGCAAGGTCAGAGTTCGGCTAGTCAACGTCAAGGGTGGTTTGCGAGTCCGTGCGATATGTAGTGAAGATCGCAGCTGGCGGCGTCAAGGTAGGTTGGCGCAATCCGACGGAGACTACTACAAATCCGCATCCCAGAGCCGCAGACGGGTTCAGGCGGATATGCGCAGGGAATTGGTCCATAAATGTTGCGGTCGGAACCCAGGGGGTCGCTGGCATCCTGCTGATAGATGAACTTGGCGAGATCGATGGCAGAGAACACGTCGAGAGGGAAGAACTTGTGTATGGCAGTGCATGAAGATCCGATGGCAGAGAGACACAAGCGCGGGGCAGAGTCGGCGGTGAGTCGGCCTTCCCGAGCACTTTAACAGGTATCGTCATCCCAGAGTCGATTGAATAATCTGTATAGTCGTCGAGGTTGTAAAGCGTCATCTCGGTGTTTATATCTTCGTTGCTGAGCGTGAGCTTAGCGAAGAGGTCCGTGAGCTCGTCCATTTCTTTGTGGAGCTCAGAGACGACAGCGAGCATGGAGAAGGCGTCGCAGAGATCGTCAAAGTCGGTAGATACAGTGAGCGAAGAGATCCCTTCACAGAGATCGTCGACGTCGGTACCATCCAACATCGGGCCGTTATTGGAGGCATACTCGTGGATGGTACACTCCGCGAGCTCATCAGCTAGAGCAGAAATTGAGTCAGCGGATGACGAGCTCTTGGGAGCAGTATCTCTAGAGGGCTCCTGATTGTCATCGGCGAGGTGCCTAATCGTCGACTCGGGGGACAGGTCGACGTTCATAAGACCTCGTCCGAACTTCGAGCATCGACCTGGAATGACATCATCAACCTGAAGAAGAACGGGACTGGTAATGACTTGAGAGGAGCGCCAAAGCGTAAAAAGCCAAGCCTTGTATTGACGGAACGGCTGCCAAAGTTGAACGTTGAACGTTGAAGTGGGAGTCGGGAGTGTGTCAATAGCTGCTCATCGCATACACGGAATGGAGATTCCAACCTTGACTGGAGCCGCAGATAACACGAAGGTATCACGTTTGCCAACCTTGATTGATGTGCCATCTCGATATGAGGACAACTTTACGGGTTGGCGAACCGCGGTGGAGACAGGTTCTTTGACGCCGCGAAGGCCAGGGTAGCGGGCCATTGCGTAAATAATAGTGATGATTCGAAGGAGTGAGGTTGATGGATTGCTTGTTGTAAATATTGTTGTCGAGGGTAGCTACTAATGGAACGGAATGAAGAGGAAGGGTCGGCCAGCAAGCAAGTCCAACATGGCGCGTTACACTCGATCGAGACGTCATAGATCGGCAGTGTGACGCAGCATCAGAGCAGTCGAGTGCCGATTTTGCTCACCGAAATAATCTTTAGTGAGTGTTCGTTAAGCCACTGTATGATTCCATTATGCATGCAGTCGCCAAAGACTTTGCGCACTGAGCAGCTGCAATGCCCGTTCGGCTTGCTACAATCATACACTGGGTTAAATATGAAAGGGATGGAGGGCAAGCAGGAGTAGGTGTAAGCCTAAGCTTACGCACTTCCACTTTAGACTCGACGTCGTGCTAACGTCATTTGTTTGCATCGACCTGTCATACTATTTGGCGCCGCGAGGCTGCTTTCGCGCGCGCACCAATTTACGGTACTCTTACTTCTTTCCCTCGTTCCACCATCATCACACACATTTTTCGTCTCTTACCTAGCGCTAGTAACGCTCAATAACAAACCCCCGCGTTTTGCTCCGTTCTGTCGCTGTTCGAGATCATACGAGATTGCGAGAAAAGGAGACGAACTACTAGACCTTCCAAATTAAGACAGGTGATCCCGTCTATTATTAAATAAACGCTGACTAGTGCCACCTGGTGTGCTCGGTTCATGCATGCGCAGGCAGCGCTGGAGCTGCCTCTGCCCGCAGCCAAGAGCTTATCTGTGCACGCAAGGCCAGCCTCATGGACTCTCGTCAGAAGCTGGCAGAGCTCCGGTCCGCTTCTCGTCTTACCATCCCTGCCAACTCGCTCCCGAGAAACGGCTCTCTGCTCACACCGGGTACAATCTCACCGGCGTCCGTCTCACCTCTCGCTGGCACCTCTCGTTCTTGGTCTCACCACAGCTCCCCGCCATCCATCCTAACACGTTCTCAGCCACCGACACCCCTGGAGTCCCCTCAGGTCTCGTCCAGCTATGTCTCCCTCACGGGCACCCCGCGGCGCCTTCTGATGCCGACCGTGCGTCCTCCTCGATCGACATCCTCTCCTCGAATTCCGCACCACAAGACGTCTCCGTCAAAGTCTCGTTCACGCGCCGGCTCCGTGTCCACGCACCTGTCCTCCTCAGAGCGGACAGAGCGTGCGCCCACGCCAAATGCACCAGACTGGATTGGTGGTGGCTGTAGGTTCGAGGTCGTGGAGGACCAGATAGAACTCGAGGGGTACCAAATATATGCGGTCGAGAAGTGGTGCGTTATTTCACATCCCACACGCTAAGGGTCCCAATGTCATAGTCGTCTGCCGTAGGATCGTGGAGCGCCGGAGACCTGTAATCGTGCTAACTGTCTTCACAGGCGACCCTAAACACAAAGTGTGATACCACCCTTGTCCAGAGTGCGAACTGTTCTTACGGCCGTTTCAGATACTTGTCACGGCACTCAGTCCCCAATCGTCGCTGAGTCCTGTTGACGCTTATGTCGAATGGGACAAGGCTACGCGCATCCTCCGCACCGACGGAGCGCGTCCGAAGGAGGTACACTTCTGAGTTGCTGCCAGGGAGGTCGTCTAAAGTTGCGCTACTCTGTCCACAGACCAGCAAAGGCACCCTGTTCGTGACTTCCCTCGCCAACTTCCGCTCTGACTACACCATCGTACACATACCCAACGGTAACTTCCTTGACATCCGGGAACAGCTGTATACCAACATCAACCTCCTCAGAATGGGATGCAGTGGACGGAGTGCTCTTACCTTAGAAGAACCTAGGTCAGTTTCCAGCTGAGCCGTCTTGTCTCTTGTCACTGAATCTCACTCTCACAGTGATACCACGAAAGACCGCTTTGTGCTCATGTATGAAATCCCTGACAAGGCGCTCTCAAAGTCTGGGTCGTTCTTCAATGCCACCGTACTGGAGCTTGTCAAGCTGATTCAGGCCGCACTTGCGATATTCGACATGTTTGACCTGTCCCCTGAAGAGAGAAATGGTCTTCTGTGCGATGTGACCTCTGAGGGCATCAAGCGTTGGGTCACTGAGGTAGGAGAGCAATGCATGAAGGTCGAGGTCAGTCTGTGTTGGATTAGTGGCATACGAAGATAAGCTTAACTGCACTCAACCGCAGCACATGGAAAGGGTCGCCGACCCAACCGTAGTGGCCGCCCTTCTGAGTCTCATACTCACGGTCAGAAATAAACTGCATGCCCTCGGTTATGTACGCACTAGACTTCCCGCTCATGCGCCTATTCACACTGCTCACAGTACGTCCCGTAGTACGTCCCCAAGGACCCATTCCTCGACCCTCAAGGCTTCACGCGCGCCCTCGCGGCCTACCACGCCGCCAAACCGCACGGACACGCGCACGCGCACCACCTCGTCCATGGGCACCCCCCGCGCGGGTCGTCGCCCCCCGGGTCCCGCACGAGCCCCACCCTCGTCGCTAGCTCCGGCCCCGCCGCGCCGTCGCCGTCGCCCAACCCCTCACCCATTCCGACCGTCGCGTGCCTCTCGCACGCGCTCGTGGAGGCGATCCACTCCGCGTACGAGAAGAAGGCGCGCCAGAACGAGTCGTACAAGGTGCACCGCGTGCTGAAGAGCAAGCTCGACGACCTCGCGTCCGACCTGCGCACCGGCACGGACAGCGGCGGCGGCGGCGATGGCTCCAGCGCAAGCGGGGTGGTCCCGACAGCGGACATGGCAACGTTCGTGAAGGTCGTCGTCGGCAGCTCGAAGGACGCGCCGCACAGCCTGCGGTACCTCTGGACGGGCCGACCCGAGGAGGTCGGACGCAAGCGGCGGGAGAAGGAGGCGGTGTGGAGCGACGCGGAGCGCGAGGAACGCGAGAAGGACGGCGAGCGGGACGGTGTGAAGGACGCGCGGGACGAGCGCGATAAGGAGATGCGGTCGTCTGGCGACGAGAGCGAGGCGAAGCCCTGGCCTGGGCGGGTGCAGCGCAAGATCGAGAGCTGGGCGGCGTGAGCATCACATGCGGCCCCTGAGTTAACGGCTGAACTTCAGGCTGACTGATGTCATGCAGGCTGGGACGCACGAAGAAGCTGAGCGTCGACTTTGGAGTGTTGGGCAAGTCCATCATGGAGTCTCCCAATCGCGGAGGACCCTCCGAGCAGTCCGGGCTATCGTCAACCGTTCCGTCTGTTAGGGTCACTGGGTGAGCGCTTGTCTCGTAAGGCATGCCTGGACAGAGACTCACATGCACGCGCAGCGAAACCGAGGAGCCCTTGAGCAGCGGCCAAGTCTCGCCAACTTGTAAGTCATCTGCAGTGCTCGGCCAGGCTCTCGCTAACTTGGAGATTGCTTAGACGACTCATCCAGAAATCTCCCGCTCGGCATTGGATCATCTACACCTGCGCTGCGCTCGGAGAGCGAGTTGCTGGAGTACGACAGGCGCATCTTTGAGTTCAACAAGAAGCGTCCCCTAACCAGACCGCACATACAGTCTCGCGTTATCAGCTGGTCCGATCCCGTCAGCGCCAAGGAGCTGGTGGACGATGAAGACGCGAAGGACGAGGCCCAAGCAGTGACCTTGCAAGTGCCTCAGCTCGAAGCAGACGACGAGGCCGCTAGTGTGACGAGTGACACCGAGATGGAGGGTAGGCAGCGCAGAAGGACACTGACGCTCCGGCCCCGACGTTGTCGCAGCTTCGACGCCGCCGCCGACTTCCGGGGTGTGCGCGTCCTCCCCACCGAGCGCTTGCGCATCGACGTCGACCTGTGCGGCCAGCTGCTCGTCATGCGCCGGCGCGAGCAGCACCTCGCGAACGTCGTCGCGTGCCTCTCCGCGCTCACCGCGCGCATCTCGCACACGAACACGCGCCTGCGCGCGGACCACGAGGGCGCGCGGCCGGCGCTCGACGACCTGCGCGAGCGCGCGCGGGTGCTGCAGGACGTCGAGGCCGCGCGCACGCGGGCGGACGGGCTCACGCAGGAGACGCACGCGCTGGCGTACGAGTCCGCGCAGTTCCTCGTCGAGGACCTGTGGCACATGGCCGCGCAGCCGCGCCGGCGCGTGCTCGCGATGCGCGAGAAGGCGTTTGGGACCGGGCGGCGGCACCCGCAGGGCGTGCGCGGTGCGGATGGGCGGGTGACGCGCGTGCAGTGGACGCTGGACGGGCGGGAGCGCCTCGTCGACGCGCTGGGCCGGACGGAGAGCGAGGCGGAGGAAGAGGAGGGGCTCCTTGGTGCAGAAGACCTCGGTCTCGAGGACGACGGGGGGGAAGTGGACGCAGTGGAGAACCAGTCGCTGCGCCCGACGTGGCTGCTTAAGTTCTTCAACTACTGGGGCAGCAAGTGGAAGGGGACGGATAGGCCGAAGGCTCCAACCAAGGTGACTGAGAGCGATAGGGAGGATTCTCCTGCGAGCGGCTCCAGCACTTCCCTGCCACCATTGCCTGAACCACTGCAGGCGAGGCCATCAGCGAGACAAATTATAACGGCATGATTTACTCTCGCGCACTCCCTGTGAAACCTTTAAAATACTTGCTTCACTATTCACGAATATACGCAATGCAACATGTACACTAGATGCACATAATTTATTCTACCATGTTCTTGCATCACAACAAAGTGGCGATAACCCGGAAACCAAGATGTCGATCTGCGGCAGTATGCGTGTGCTACCGCACCTTGACCCTTCCTTGGCTCTTACGCATGGCGCGCTTCTTTTCGCGGTCCATAGCCTGTGGATGCTGATGTGAACACACGTCCTCTTCGCACAGCACACTACTCACCTTTTTCTGGTCCGCCGCACTCAATCGCGACAGGCGCTCCTCCTCCGCCTTGCGTTTCGCCGCCGCCTTCTCCTCTGCCTGCTCCTCGCGCTTCTCTTTCACCGCATCCTCCCTGATCTCCTTGTCGACCTCCTCCCTGATTTTCCGCAGCTTCACGCGTGTCTCGGGGCGCAGCTGCCCATTCAGCCCGCCGCGCAGGCCCGCCTTGCCCGTGCCCGCAATGGCGTCGACAAGCTGGAACGCGGCTACGAGCAGGGGGAGCGTCGCGCCCGCCTCGGACGCGGGAGGGAGCGCGAGCGTGAGCGTGAGGTGCCTGCGGCGGTCCGCGGGCGGGACGGGTATGGACGGGCGTGTGCGCGGCTGGTCGGTGAGCGAGAGGCAGCGGAAGTAGGGCAGGATCGTCGGGTCGGAGAGCACGGCAGGCAGGTTCAGCGGCCCGAGGGGCTTGAGGAGGTTAGCGGTGATGTCCGCGAATTCTATAGGGAGGATGAGCAGGGCGCGGGGTCGATGCACTCGGCAATCACATACCGGACATGACCGTGAGCGAGGGTGGGAGGCCAGGCTGGTCGGTTGTCTTAGTGAAGGTCTGCACACATGCACGTTAGCCCAGCACACTGCTACAGAGGCCCTGTGTGAGGTATGTACCAAGTCCCATCTCCTCTTCCTTATGCTCTTGATTTCGTCCTTGGCCACAACAGCCCACACACAGTCCGGCACCGTGCTTTCCTTCCCCGATGAATCCTTGAAGGTGAAGTCGAGCTCGACTTCGTCGTACACCCGGTAGTCGAGCTCGACGAGCCCTTTCCCGATCTGAAATGCATACTGGAAGAAGTCGTGTCGGGGCCGCACGGTGAAGATCGTGTGCAGGGAGGTGAGCGCACGCCGGCCAGTGGAGTAGTTAAACCAGTCTGAGTTTCCATCTGAAAAGGAGACGAAGATTAATATCGAGAGGTAGTAGACCGTTTGGGACGGAGGGGGGGGGGAGGAGGCTGCAACGCGATTGGACGTACCACGTATAAGACCTCTGTCTGTGGGTTTCGAGAACTGGGCCTCGAGAAGCGGTCTATGTGCTTCATACCTGGAAAGGATGATGGTCGGCACATGGACCTCAAGGACAAGCCGACAGAAGCAAGCACTGACCATGTGTTCACTCGGGTCTCGTTCGCTTTTTTGCCCCAGAAATGAAACGCGACATAAAGCAAGACACCGACGAGGAGGAAGGGTTCATACTGGAAGACTAGACATCCAGAGGGCGTTAGATACTGTGCTTAGCATGAAGAGGGCGGAGGAAGCGCATACATGCAGGCCTGAATGTGAACATCTTCCATCTATACTCGACGCCATCGTAGTCGGGTGAGGTATTGACTGGTGGCGGCGTGAGGGCGCTGAGCAAAAGGGAAGCCATGGTGGGCTGAGGCGGGGACGACTGCAGACGAGGCGCGACGCGCTGGCGCAGAACCCGACAATTCGGAGAGCGTCAATTAGGCACATGATGCTGCGGCGGGGATGCCATATATGGGCCAGCGCCCAGCGCCTAGCTCGAGCGTGTAAGAATGGGCTATTGCACTCATACTAATAAGTAAGCGGGGCAGACGCTCTGCATCGTGTCTTCCCCTCTGGATCCACCCGCGTCCAGATTCGGGCCCTCGGTGCCTCGAGATTCAGCTCTGGAGAGCAATATCTGAGTTGCTCAAGTGTTGATTAGTTGTCAGTCCATTTCGCGTCCCTTTCGGCTCGGACACTGTGCGCATTCACGTCAATTTCGCTGTGCTTGAAACAGACCCTGATTGCCTTTTCGCTCGACACGGGAGCTATTTGGTGCTCATGGCCGATCCGCACCTCCAGGTAGGCCTAATTGCGCTCCATCATCTGACATACTCATGTCCTATTTCACACTTGCGGCGGATCCAGCTCCCTCCCACAGGCTCCGGTTCGGGCGCGTCATCGCGCTCGCCCCCGACGGACTACGGTGCCTTCGTATTACAGATGCTGCCGCGCATGTCGCAGCCCTCAGGGTCCGTGAACCAATCCGTGCTCCGCCAATGTCTGGGGCTGTCTTCCTCGTATCTGGTCACGGACACAACCATGGACCCAGACCGCGGTCTCGCGAGCTGGCATACAGGGTTCAATCGACTCATTGACGTGGTCGTTGCGCTGCACACGCGCGGCGAACTCGAGCTAGCCACTATCAACGATGCGAGTAGGGCGTGTTCAGAGTGCTGGACCGTTGCTGGTTCATGGCGCGACATGGAGGGCGGCCGAGACAGCGTCAAGGGCGTGGCGGCACGTCTGAAGACTCTGCTGGACCAGAATGGCAAAACGTACCGTGGGGGGCGGATCTACGTGCCATAACGACCTGAGGGTAGTCGTATTTATACTGCATATATCTGACTCCGACGAAGACAAGAGCAATGGCTAGGGGGCCGCGCGATGATCACCCTCCTCATGTCAGCATTCAACTCCGCCCCACGATCGACCTCCCTGTTTCCCTTATCCGTAGACTTCTTGGCCTGATATTATCCCGTCACGTCTCCTGCTAGGTTGTTTAAGCAGCTCTTGCAGACATTCATACTTACCCATCAGTGGCTCACAACTCGTAGCTACGCCCCGATTACGTACCCATCTCTGTTCGTATTAATGATGGTTATTTCGGAATGACTGTAGTACGGTTGCGCATCTCTATCACATCTGACAGTAGTCTAGTGTTTCGTGTTACGGCTTTAAATGCTGCATATGAATTCCTACTCTATTCGTAATGAGCGGCCTGACGAACCGATGCGATTACCATGCTTCAGCCAACCTCCTCGCGAAGTACGGTAGTCGCGGCGCCTGAAGGACAGTATCCGCCTGCAAAAGTCTACAGCAATCATCCACACCTTGAAGAATCAGCTCAGGGCCTTTGCGAGGCACAACGTTTTGCATGTAGCTTACTATATGGCACACCGGGCAACGCGGAGGTGGTGTGCGGCAATGCTCATCATGATCGAATTGCGGGTCGCGTAGAAAACGCCACTAATACATGCGGTAGGTTACGTGAAGAAGTCCGAGGCGGGGCATAATCGGACGTCTCTCCCTGCGCTAAGAATGGCGTCCACCTCACTGGTTGCTTGTATCATGGTTCACAAGTGATCCTCGAAAGACATCCCGTCAGCCGTTAGGCAAGCTCAAACAAAGTGTGACGGGACATTCTTAAGTTGTTGAATTGTTGCCATCAATCTTCGATCGATCACCTCAAGTATTGGGATGAAACGCACTTGTTGTAGATCTCGGCGTCTATTATACTGCGTCGCCTCTGACCTGTAGATTCCATTTGTACCTTACTGAGACACGGGTGGGCCTCATCCGCTCATTGCGGCAATACAGCTCTATGAAACATGGCCGATTCGGCTCTCACCAAGCGGCCGGCATCTCTCGAGTCTCCATGGGGTACACTCTTGTACATACACCAGCCTGCAGTCAACGGGATCGGCAATCGGCATCGGCGGCCAGCCTGGTCTGCATGCCCCTGCAGCCGATCGGCTATGTGCTGAACCAACACACGCTGCGCAGCTCGAGCGCTCTGCAGACATATATAAGATGGTCATCTCGCGTCTACTTTTCCTCAGCCCTCAGTTGATCTGTCGAGCCCATCGTTCCTAAGTTCAAGTACTGGTTACTTGGCTTATTTCGTCTTCGCTATTCGTCTTTATTTCACGACTTCACTTTCCTTCATTACGCCCGTTACGACATCAGTATCATTCTTCCTAATTCCAACGAACATCATGCGTTCTACTATCGTCCTCATCGCTGCTGTTGCGCTCGCCGCACCCCTTGTTGCGTAAGTGCTTCAATTTAGATCATGACATATTGACTAACGATTATTGTAGCGCGTACCCTACGCCCCCTGCCTCTAATGGTGAGGCTTCTGCCCCCAGCATGCAGCCGCATGAAGGCCAGCACCGCGGTAACAGGCATGGCGGCCCTAAGCACGAGGTTGCTGGTGCCGAGCGCGAGCGGCAGACCAACCGTCAACGGTGAATAGCGTAATACCTCTTTGGTTCTGTCCCCCATTACTTATGCGGAGCTTCTAGTGATCTTGGCGCCCTCGAGAACATCTTTGCGCGTGCTTTACGGGAAGGTGACCGCGAGGATCGCGAGCGGGAGGGCGACGACGAGCGCCGCCAGCATCGCCTTGGCCATGAGCGCGAACGCTTCCGTGGGGATGAACACGAGCACTTCCGCGGGCACAAGCACGAGCACGGGCACGACCTTGGGCGCGAGCACGAGCGGTTCCGCGGTCAGGAGCACGGTCGCTTCCGTGGCCACGAGCATGACCGCTTCCGGGAGCACGAGCACGAGCATGAGCACGAGCATGGTCTTCACCGCGCCCATGGTCACGAGCATGGCCGCTTCCGGCACCACGAAGGCTATGGTCACAGACATGGTGAAGACCACGGTCGCAAGTTCCGCGAGGGCTTCAAGCACCACGGTGAACATGACCGTGAGCACGAAGAACGTCCTGCTCGTTTCCGTCACGAGGACCACTTCCGTGGCAAGCCCCAAGAAGCTGATCGTGAGCGTCACGAGGACTCGAGGTAAGTCTGCTCTTGTTGTGTATATGATTGCTGGCTAAACAATGGCTTAGGCGTCCGGATGGTATCGCGAGGCGGAGCATTGGTGCTTGGGCGCGCTCGCTCCTTAATGAGTTGGATTGAAGAGGTGTTGGTTTATGCAGTAGCAGGTGTATGTTAGCTTGTGATTTTGACGAATAGCGAATCTTTCTGGGGGCTCAAACAAGTGTGATCTGAGACAGTTGTGTGCGATGAGTCAACATTGATATTGCAAAGTGAATGTCTGGAGATGTGTACATTTACTGTCGGTGATGTGATGATCAACGCTTTTCGTCTGATGTATGTGTAGGTGTGTACCAGTTCTCTTATGTCGCTTTTTAAAACATAGAGGCGTCGTTCTGCCTGTGCTATTTTGATGTAAACGCCATCAACCAACAATATGTCTCCAGCCGTCTCCGCAGGTCAGTGGCAAAGGCCAGACAGTGCGGAAGCCTTTCGTAGAAGTATTGGTTAGGTGTGTCTCGCCTTCAAGTTTGCTGATTGATCTGACACGCCGAGCTTCAGGGCGACAGTCCCCTGTATCGCACCGCTATCACGATGAGATGGTGCCCAGCAGTGCTGTCGGAGTCGTACATGACAGGCAAGTCGGGCCTCGGCTTGGTCAATGCGGCGGGCCATTGCTCCCGGGTGAGTGTCAGAAGCTGCATGCGCACATACTCGATTGAACAACTTCATAAGTCTCTGCATATGATAACCTTGCAGCGAAGTCCCCACGAAGCAGACTTGCATCAGGTAGGCTGGATGAGCTGGTGCATGACTTCTGCTTTTGGGTTCACGTATCAGTGTGACCGATGATATCCATGGAACGCGGGACCGTGCGCCCAGGTCCACTTCTGTTGCGTCCGTCGTCACCGGTCACAATATCTAAGATCTGTCTACGGAGACCAAGGTCCACTTACTACTAGTGCAACATGTTTGCGAGCATGCAGCTGCAGCCTCAAGAGCCTGTCCAGTCAGTGTAATCAATGGTATTGGCTGCCAGGGCTGGATTGGCTCTTGAGGCTTTCAGATACAGTTCAGCACTGCGAATGCAGTGAAACGCTAGCCACTCTCGACATCTTCCTCAGCTCCATCCAGCCGTTCACAAAGCTTGTGGCAGCAACGCTATAATCAATGCAGACTCCACATACATCTGAAACAAGGTCAGTCAGAGACATCACTCCAATTCGAGCAAGATATCACAGCATCTCTCCACGGGATGCAACTCGGATGCTGAACCATAGATCTGACAACTGCGCCCCGCCGCGTGCCCGCAGCAGCAATACCCCTGCTTTCCACCTCTCGGCACTCTTTTCAAGCGTCGGCCATCTTCTGGGGTAGCACCAACGATGCACTGCACGACTGCGCGCGAGCGCCGTTCAGGCGTCTCGCTATCACCGACGTGCTGCTATAAAAGATGCCCGCCGTGCACTCGAATTTCCTCAGCCCTCAGTTGACCTGTTGAGCCAAACGTCCCCAAGTCCAAGTACCGGTTACTTGACTTGTTTCGCTTTTCGCCTTCGCTATTCGTTCTTTGTCACGACTTTCTCCCCTTCTATCACGCCTATTACGAAGACTCATTCCCAAACCCTACTCTCGACGAACATCATGCGCTCTACCACCGTCCTCATCGCCGCTGCTGCGCTCGCTGCCCCGCTCGTCGCGTAAGTGCTCTCAGTATCAGAATGATGTCGCGCTTTCATTGTCTTTGTGAATAGCGCCTACCCGACTCCTCCAGCTCCTAATGGCGAGGCTCCTGCCCCCAGCCAACCGTCGAATTGGGTGGGAAAGGCGAATGGTATGAAGGGCAAGCATCCCCACCACCACTCCCACCCCCATAACGCCGCTGCGGCCGAGCGACCCGAGGAAAACGAGAACCACCGGGCGGTCCAGCGGTAAGTTTGACGACGTGCATGGCCTAGTGTTTCGTGCTTGCTGACGCGTTCCCTGCAGTGACCTCGTGGAATTCCTGGCTCGCGCTCTCCAGGAGGCCGAGCCTGAGAACCCGAAAGGGAGCCAGCCTGCGCAGACGCAGGTCAGCAAGCCTGCTACGCCGCAAGGTGCCGGCAGTGAGCACCCTCAGGGTCAGGAACGTAAGCACCGCAAACACCGCAAACATCCGCATGGCCAGGGGCGCAAGCACCCTCAGGGCCAGCAGGGTAAGCAACCTCAAGGCCAGGAGCAACAACATGCGCAGGGTCAACAGCCTCAACAACCGCAGGGCCAGGAGGGCGGCGTCCAACACGTCCACCAGCGCGAGTACGAGCATGAGCGCGAACGCGGTCGCGGACACTTCCACGACCATGAGCGGGAGCACGAGCACGAGCGCGGACACTTCCGCGAGCATGAATTCTCGCACCCGCACCATCACGGCCATGAGCACGGACACGACGGCTATGGCCGCTGGCGCGGCGAAGGCCACGGTCGCAAGTTCCGCGGGGACTTCAGGCACCACGACGAGCACGCCTCGGAGCACCGCGGTGGTCGCTTCCACCACGACGAGGACCGCTTCCGCCACGACGGGGGCCGCGAGAGTGCTCAAGGTCGGGAACATGAGAGCCCCCGCCCCGCTGGCCACGAAGCGGAGCACAAGGGGTAGGTGACTTTTTGTCTGCCTTATGCATGTATACTTACAAGTGTCACTCCAGCCGCTCCGACATGTACGACCTTCAGAGGCGAATTGTCCCGGTGAACATTGGCACGGTCAGGCCTCACAACGTTCCTTACAACCCTATTGATGGCTGGAATGTTCATGCTGTGGCGCGTTCCATTCTCGACGAGTTGGACTGAAGGAGATGTAGTGGTTATGAGATAGTTGGTGTATTTTACTAGTTCATGACTTTTACGAATAGCGAATTGGACTGAGGGCTCAAAATCAGTGTGCCTGAGATGGTCGGCAAAATTGGGACTCCAAGTTGTTCCTTGACGGCGTTTGTGGCTGTAGTGATGCGTTGCAGCAACGGTGGACTGCACCCGAAGACTGCGCGGTGGCGGGGTGCTGCGGTCCGAGACGCAGCAGCATCTTGTCAAGTGTCAGACTGGGGTCAATTGAGTAATGAGATGATCGGAAGGAACGTGACGTCACGCGCGCGCCCGACCGGGGATTGAGCCCGACAGTCGAAATCGACACAGGGTCCCCTCTCGCCACACTCTCACTCTCGCTCATCGTGCCTCGCGATGAACGCCGTCGTCGATACCTCGTCCTCTGACACCGTTCCTCATGATCCCCCCTCGCTCAGCGATGTGCCCAGCTCACCAGAGCAGTCATTTATCACGCCCCTCTCCTCCCCAGCCGGCTCTCGGGAGGTCGATCTTCCGCAGGAGTCCAGCGCACCACAAACGTCGTCGAAAGGCAAAATGACCGAATGCCCTGAGACATCCTCTCCAACCCGTGAGCCAACAACGGCCGATCTAACTACTCTTACACCCCTGCGCGCGCACTACCTCAAGAAACAGCTAATATCACTGCAATTCCAGCGCGAGCTCGATGCCCTCATCGCAGCCCCCGCACACAATGTTTCCCCGTTCTCTTACCTGGGTCCGCCCTTCACTCCGCCCCCGAAGGACGCCCCGCGCCTTGAGCTGCCGTTCCTCCGCTATTGCTTTCGCCGTTTCGTGCTCTCCTTTCCCTTCCTCGCCGCAGCGCCACCAGACTTCTTCCCCGATAAGCTGCAGCCATTCATGGCATCCATGCTTTCCAAGAACCTCTCCTCATCATCCGCAGCCCTCGACGAGAAGTCTGAAGATGCAGAGGAGACGGCGCGGAATAAGCTGCTCACGAAATTGGAACGCAACGCATCCATGCTCATGACTAGCGGTGTCAAGATTGTCGAGAAGGAGGAGGTCGTGCGTCTGAGCCAAGCAGATCTTGACCGCCTAGAAGCGATCGCACGCAAACGGGCAGCGCGAGAACGGCGCATGAAGGATCGCTTCGAGGTCAATGTCATCTGCGTTCGGACAGTAACCGAGAAGGGACGCGTGCGGAGTAGGGTGCATGAGGTGTGCAAAATGTCTATGGTTTCTACTCGTATCCTAACGGTATACAGGAATTTATTGTACGCACCCGCAGGGGCCATCAGCCCGATGTGTATGTGTCGCGGCGATACGGTGACTTTAAGACCCTTGCTGCAGAATTGCGGAAAGCACATCCAGGCGAGTCAATACCCGCCCCTCCGGCGAAGGACCGCACGATTGTCAGTCTGAGCACAATGACGTCCCCCGTTGGGACACAGATACCGGGAACGTCACGCCCAGGCAGCCCGCGCGGCGCGATATATGCGACAGGACGGAATACGAGTGGTGATTCCTTCTCCTCACAAAGCACGACGAGCCCGATATCGCCGACGATGCCGATGCTGGGTGTGGGCGGCCCAACCTACACGGGTGGCGCATCACGGCTGGCGCGAGAAAAGAACAGGCTCACTTTGCGGGCTTACCTTCACTCACTCTTGGCGTCCCCGGAGCTCGCATCGTCCCCCGTCCTGCGCTCTTTCCTGCTCTCTGGTCCGACACAACTGACGGCAGAAGAAATGGAGGATGCAATCAGACGTGAAGAGGCAGATAAGTTGAGGGAAGACGGCCGCAAACGGTTTGCGAGAGAGATCGCAGCGCGGGTGGATGGTCTGCGGGAGGCTGCGCGCAGCGTGAAGGGCGAACTTTTCGCAAAGAGTATGTGACTTTATTCTCTATCTATGAAATTGACTGATATTGATGGTCCAGATGGGCTGACGCATATATTCGCGACGATCAAGGAAACGGAGGACATTCGTCAGCTGCCATCAAACTATCAAGCAGTGATTGAATGGGCGCGCATATCGTATGTTTTGGGCGCTATCGCTCAGCCTTCGTGGATGTATACTTGACTGACACAGTTGCATCTGATCACAGACTTGCCTCGACTGTATTCCAGCACTTTGTCGCCGCCGACACTGCGTCGGAAAGCTTCGCTAGTCTGAAACGCATACATGGATTAATGCCATACTTCATGCTGAAGACAATCCTGAAGATCAGCAATCCAATGGCCATGATCCGAGGTCAGTATTGTTCTTGCGATTGATACTACTGGAAATCTAATTGAAATCTTGTTGCGGACATTGGGTAGGCGTACTCGACTTATTCCTCGCACATCCATTCGGCGGCAGAAGCTTGTTGCAAAGGTAATAAATCCATCTATTCTCTGGTCGCAGTTAAGTGATGCTAACCTGTCGCTGACAGAATGTTCACAGGCTCGCTGGTTGAGGAGGCCAAGGCGATCGAAGAAGATATTCAGTCGGTGAAGGACAAGGTCGAAGATCCTGTGATCTGCGAAAAAGTCCGCCAGTTTGTCTATGCGCCACGCGAGATTCAATCAATTTTCAAGGCAGACGCAGGTACGCTCTTCCGTCTCTATGGTAGAGTATTGTTCATGATCGTCTGTACGTATATTGTACAGCCGAAGAGAATATCCACGTTCTGGTCGCTGTCTTGCGCTCCGGTGAAGAACCTGCTCTATCTCGCGGACAGCTCCAGCGGGTCATGCGCGCGCACCGTGCGCACAAGGAGTATGTCAAGTCTCAGGAGTCGCTACAGGACTCTGACGACGACGAGGGTCCGCAGGATGAGGAAGCGTGGCTATTTGAGGATCTCAGCGTGCTCACCAAGCTCTACTCTCGCTTGCGCGACCGCGAGCAGCTCATCGAGCTCATATTCGAGGTAGGCACTTTCGGACCCTTCACGATAGGTTTAGAGACCTTATACCGTAATAGGGCACCACGGCGGATTTACTGAAGGATATCATTACCATATTTTACGCGCCATTAGCGCAAGTCTACAGGGCGGCAAGCATTGCGGACTCTCTAGGTGACCTGCAAAACTTCATGAATGACCTGACCCGAACAGTAGAGTCGGTAGAGGAGCGTAAGTCCGAAAAGATTGCCTTCACGTTTTCTTACTGACTTGGCCGGCAATTGCAGTCAGTCAGCAGGATCCTGCCAAGACCGTGCAGATATTTATCGACCTGATCAAACGGCACGAGCAGGCCTTTTACAGCTTTGTTCACAAGGTCCATTCGAAGGGCGAGGGCCTTTTTAGCAACCTCATGCAGTGGATAGAGCTGTTCCTTACGCTCATGCGTGACGGCCTCGGCGACCGCATCAGCCTGGAGTTCCTGCTCCCACACACCGGTAAGGAGCGTGAAGACATCTTGCGCGAGGTGGACGAAATCGCCCTCTACCATTACAAGCTCAAGGTGACGTACGAAGACAGAGTCAGAAGGCGGTTTGGACGCACGCAAGGCCTGAACGATGCCGATGCGGAAGATGAGATCGCTGCACAGATGGTCGACGGGGTCGTGAAGGATCTCAGCTTTGGCGATCTGATTCAGGGCGACGCGGAAGATCTCGCAGCCGAGGAGACAGACTCCGAGGACGACTCGAGCGGCGATGACTATTCCAGCGAAGATGAGGACTCAGAGTCGGACGAGAGCAGCAGTGAGGAGAGCAGCGAGACGGATTTGACAGAGCGAGAAAACACTCCCCATCCGGGCAATTCACCGACGTCGGTGAAGCGCTCGCACACCATAGCTCACTCGCCTCACGCATCCCGACCGCCACCTTTGCCTCCCAAACAAGCAAGTCACAAGCAGTCTCTGGATCTTCCCCAGGATCGTCCGCCTGTGAAGCTTCGGCACTCACGCTCGTTGACCGCTGCGCACCCTGGCGCGCCACCGCTCCCGCCAAAGGATCATATACCTAAGTCTGCACCACCTGTACCTCCGAAGCACCACGCGTCGAAGCAGTCTCCTTTCCCCGTTCCTCGCGCAAGCAGATCGCCATCACGGGTGCGTGCGCAGTCGCAGCCACCATCGAAGAGGAAGAAAGCACCCGCGCTCAAACCACCAGAACTCAAGCACCTCCCCCACTTGCTTCCTATCCTCGTTGAGCTTGTACGTCCGCTTCGCGTCTGCTGATTTCCATCTTTGCTTTTAGCTCACCTATCGTTCTAGATGAGACATCAATTGCGTGCTTAACGAGACCCCGTTTACCTCGCCACATTCACCGCCTTCTTGTCGTAAGTATGCTGTAGCAATGGGGGTTAACCAGTCCGTTAGAAGGACATGTCACATATGTTGTACCATTACTAGTATCACGCTTTCCCATGAACGTTATCCTAATGAATCCATGCAACGACAATCTCATGTTGACTGAAGACGAAGCTATATACTACATTGACTTAATGCAATTCCATGCAGAGATAAATCCGAAGCGAAGCACCAGAAGTAAACCTAGAAAGCTTGAGAGGAGACCGAGAATCGCTTGAATGTGTACCTGTCGCGGCAGAAGTCAGCTATAGATTCGTCACTGTACGCGCGCGATTGACATACCCCAAGAAGGCCAGATCCTTGCTCGCACCGGTGGTGTCTGCGCCGACAGGCTCGTCCGGAACCTGCTCGAGCTCATCTGTGGGGAAGTACGATGTGTCGGTGATAGATCGCAGACGCGGGATGAATGGCGCTTCGATTTGTCGGATGCCCGTCCAGCTGACGCCGTAGAAGAAGGGGTGCTTCTTGAGCTGCTCAGCGGTCATCCGGCGGTCGGGAGAGGTAATGAGTCTACATGAATCGATGCAACGTCAGTACCTGGGGAATGTAGATGCATGGTATACTGACCGTCGGATAATGTCCTCGGCTTCGCGGCTGAGGTGCACATCGTCGGGGAACATGAGGTAGTTCTGCCACTGGAGGATCTTCTGATATGTCTCGTGTGTCGACTCCGAACAGAACGGCGGGTATCCGACGAGACATTCGAACATGATCGCGCCGAGCGACCACCAGTCGCACTCATTGCCGTATCCTTTCTGCAAGAATATTTCTGGGGCGATGTAGTCGGGAGTGCCAACGGTCGAGTAAGCCTGGATGGCCGTAGGTAAGTACGAGTACCAGGGTAGACATTTCTGCGTACGTACAAGCTTCCGGCGGTTCGCTTTCCAGGTGGCAATTTGGTCCTTGCTTGACATAGTTAAATGGATCGCATTGACCATGACACTGTTCCGCGCCGCAGTTGTCGGCGACTGCACGCCATTAGCCGAGTCCAGAAGTCGCTGATAGTAGCTTGAATCGTGGTTCTTGTGGAATCCGGTGGATAAACCGAAATCCGACAGTTTGATGTGACCGTCTTTGTCAATCAGGATGTTGTCAGGCTTGATGTCACTACATTCCGCAAACCCTGTCAGATATGTGGACACTAAACCCGCCTAGATAGCGACTAACCGATGGATGAAGCCCAGTTGATGTACAGCTTCAATAGCAAGAACACACTCAGCGATGTAGAAACGCGTCACATCCTCCGAGAATGTGTCGTATTTGATCAGCATGGTCATAAGGTCACCACCAGGCAGGAACTCCATGATCAGATAGAGATACGCGGAATCCTGGAACGAGTAGTAAAGCTGTACGACCCATGGAGAGTTAGACTCGGCCAAAACATCGCGCTCTGCGCGGACATGGGCAAGCTAAGCTAGATGAGCACGAATTTGTGGGAGCTAATGACGGCATAGCACGCACCTGGTCCTTCTTCAACATTTCGTCTTTCCGGAGTGTCTTCATAGCATAGATCTTGCCTGTATCTGTCTTCTGAACTACCCTGACCTGGAGAAGACTGTCGGATCATGGATCACAGCGTACAAACGGCGCCAGCCGACATGGCATACCTCTCCGAATGCACCCTTTCCAATGACTTTCACCGTCCTGAAGTCATCGAGACCTAGCTTCGTCCTCCGGAGACGCAGGAAAGCTGACTCGCGCTTGCCGAGCTGTTGCAACTGCCGCTGCTTTCGCTCATCGGACATCGCAGTCTCAGTTGCCAACTTCCTCTCAAGCTCGACGCGTCTGACGCATGTCATTTAACATCTTATATACCTCTTCCTTGAGGCGGTCAGTGCGCACCTTGTGTTGCGCTCAATAGCGGCATCCACAGCAACCTTATAGAAGTGCTCCAGCTTTAGTTGCGCCGTCTTGGCGCGTGGTACAGCATCATCCGAGAAACCTGCTGTGGTCCGCTCGAAGTAGACATAATCTGCCGGCTTGCCATTGGACTGTGCGCTGTTTATGCTGGAAGAGGAGTGAGAGCCCTGAAGGGAGGGACGGGAAGGGGAAGGAGGGGCAGCGTTGGCAGTGTTGGCAGCGGTTGCCATCTTGTCGGAAAGCGAGAGCTGGAAAACACAACTGCTGTAACGAGGCGCCCATTCAATGTTATAGCCTCCTATCCACGTGACTGATCGACGCTTGAACTGTAGCCGGCGCTTGTTGTAGTTCCGCCTCCCGAATCCAGATCTCAACTTTACGGGGCCGGCGCCCGCACTTGGCCACCAAATCCTCGGCCGCATCTTGAATTGGCATTCCTTTTGCCTATCACTTCAGTGCTTGCTCGTCTTTGTGGGCGCCCAATGTATTCTTTCCCCCTAGGTTACCGGTTACCGTCGATCGTTGTTTAAGCCGCAAGGTCCTCGCTCTATCGGTGACCAGCGTAGCTTGATGTCGATCCCATAATCCCGACGCTTCTTCATCTCATATAGAAGACACACACAGCCTTTCATGTTGCTGATCTCAATCCATTCGGCATACTCTAATGGCTTCATTCATCAACATGCAGGGCAGCCTGAGACCATAGTGCATCTGATCCCAAGCTCAGAGATACCAAAGTATCAAGATGCGCTAGTACATATTAGATACATTCCTTCACAGCTCGATGCCTTCCAAATTTGTACCCTACGGACAAGATGTCAGCGAGAGGTAATATCCACAGAATGTATCGCTTGCCAATCTCGGGAGCCGTAAATATGCATCAGTACCTGCAAAGGAGGTATCAGTATTTCAGACTACATTATAATCGAATTCAAGGTTGATCTGTACCGTAGCCATCCACGCTAACAAGCTCCAGTGAGCCACCAAAATATCTGATGACACGAAAGTCAAAATGGCTGTACATCCAGACGGACGATGTTATCCTACGTCGCGAAGATGTTGCTCATGGGCAAGCCAATTCCTATCCTCGGATGCGATCCGATGCCTGCGTTTTGTTGAGGGTCTTCGCTGTGCGCCTGACTCTTCCACACATTAACTTGCTCGTCCACGGTCGCTGTCATACCTTGCTGACTTGAGCGGACGACACGGAGGGCCCCTAGGCGAGAGATATCCATGCGATGGGGATTACGGAGATGTGAGAAAGAATAGAGATCTGAGGGATGTCTAATTTCGGGCGATAAAAGACCGCCACCTAGAGAGAGATAATTTCCGGTAAGACTCGCTATAGTGACTACCGCCTTAGACAACATACCTTGGTCAGAGATGCGGATGGTCACGTCATGTTCTCCTGCCACGATGGTGGCACGTACTGAAGGCAACTGCTCAGCCTTGGCGTGCTTCAGTCGCGTAGCCCGGAATGACTACAATATTCGATGAGTAATCCAGGTGCAGGGGGTTGTTATCAACTGCCTCACATTCTTGAGAAGCTCAAAAACAATGTATCTATGCAGCGATATCAGCAAGGTGTCAGCTCGTACAAGCACACTACTCACTCAAGATGTGGCTGGATATACGAGAATTTGGTATCCAGATGTCCGTCGATAACAACCTCCGACTGGGCGGTGGTATGCGTCGCCCCCTCAAGAGCATCTTGGTCAACGTCAAATGGCCATCTCCGCAGAAAGCTGGCGCATTTCTCGATGCTCTCCTTGACGTTCAGAGACAGGCTGATGATGCCAACGCTGTCTCCCTTTGCTGGTTCGCCGTTGAGCTTGACAGCGAGGGATTGCGACAGACTGATATGATGCTCCGCCAAGACTCTGCGAGATATTCGCGAGATCAGCATACGACGCAGGAACGAATCCAGGCGGTCGGGTTCCAGGTATGGAGACGACAGGGAGAGACCGAGCGAGAGATTCGGGATTGCCGTTTTACTGTGATCCCGAGCGTTAGGAGCGCACCTGACGCCATGTATGCGACTGACTGTTCATCGAGTAACGACCGCACGAAGCGACAAAATTCACGATTTTCCTCTAGGGTGGTGATTGGAGGATACCGCCGAAACCTATAGGCAAATTTTCAGTGACTAGCATTGTGCCACTATGTGTGTACATACTTATCGAAGGCATTCCAATATGCCTGTACGACAACGCCCAGGTTGAGTACGTACAATCACATGAAACCGTTGACATACTTCGTAGACGTCTGCTACACCCTCCTGGTTGACAACTACATACGGGAGCGTCTGCATCTCCCGAAGCCTATGCGCAATCCGAACAGGCAGCTCCGTCCGAACATAATTCGCGCTCTAACACGATACGGGTAAGCCGCCTCATGAGAATTTGTCACGCACGCTAGACCCACCTGGATGAGGCGCCCTTCGTTTATAGACTTTCCAAAGAAGACCTAGTGTGACGGTCTTAGGGGTGCACGATAGGGTTACCACATGAGACTACCAGCTGCCTTATGGTCAATCTCCGTGCTTCCTTTGACGCATACAGCTCCAGTTGTCGATTCTGGTAGAAATGGAGAGCGCTTGAAGCCGAGCGGGTGAAGAAATGTGTGGGCCTCTGGTGCCGCTTCATGCGTAGTGAATGGCTGCTTGCCAGTGCTGGCATCCTGAGCATGGGGCAGGTCGTCCTAGACATCCTTGGCAAGAGTTTAAGGAAGAGATGGGTTGTCAAACTCAAAGAGAACCCCAGATGTTCTCTCAGTCATCAAACATCAGCCTGTCCCTCCCGAGCTGGTGCGCGCCGGCAGAGGGATATCCAGAAGCAGAGAGCTGTTTCAACGAGGTCGAGTCGTGGTCGCCGTACATTACGTCCGAGCCCGCCCCATCAAGCAGCTTGTTACACCGAATGACTCCTTAAGCGCCCATGGAACGCATTCACGATCATACATGTGCACCTTATCACCGATCAATGGTATCAGCCCCCGCGTTCTCGACTAAAAACTCTAAAGCGTCCGGCAGAAAGTCCTCCGTGGGGTAACTATATAATTTATAGCATTCTCATATCAACCCCTCTTGTTTCAATGCACCTACTATCAAGTACGCAGATCTACGGTCTCGGTTGAGACCCGTCCAGTCACCTGGCTGTGCTCGAGGGAGGTCATCCGGAGATACGAAGATATCGTCAATGACTGTGGAATGTCCGTCCGACTCGGAGTCGGCATCCTCGTCATCTATGCCGCCAAGAACCTCTTCCCATATCGTATCGGCGACAGTGACAGCCACCATTTTTGCAGACGCTGTGATTGGAATGACCGAAGTAAGCAAAGCTATTAGCAGCTCTGAAGAGCCGTCTATGGTCTGTTCATGCAGGGCAGGGAGCGGGAGGTACTCGGCCTGCAAGATGGGCTAAATGTACTGTGCGAGAGACACGCGATTTTACACACCTCGATGAGCATTCCCTTCACCGCTCCTCCGGCCAAGATGACATGACCGAAACGTATGAGCCAGTCATTGCCGATAGAATATATCAGGCCGTCAACGGTCACTTGTTGAGCAGCATTTTGAGATTTTTGACTGCCAGTAGGAGCACCTCGAACCGGCAACCATCGTGCACGGAGTTGTGCTATGAGCTGTTCAAGAGCCCCAGGAGGACTTACGGTCATTAATGTGTTACGGTAGTGGGGTGGTGGAGGGAACGAGCGTGGTGATTGGCCCTGCGCCTCTAATAGCTGAGGAATCTCGGCTCGTGTTGGGGCGCCAGGATCCTCTATCTGGACGAATACGTTGTCTGTAACGCTGCGTTTTACCGACAGAGCCTCTACACAGGCTCTGTCCGGGCTCACCATTCATGGTCACAGTATACATAGCCCGCTCAGGGATCTGCATGTTGGGGGCACCAAGAGAAGAACGCCAGGATCCTAGACTCAGCTGCCATTTGCCGCGCATGACACCCTATTCGAAGATGCACTTCAGCGTATTAGTAAAATAAGAGCACGAGGATAATCATACCTGGTGGTTCCGCGTGATGTTTTGACGGACGAGCTCGACACCGGTTGTGGGAGCGTTGATCCATCTAGCCAGCCTGCCAGGGCGGTGGAATCGTCGTTGATGTAAGCTTGCGCGCAGCATGAGAAAGCTCGGCGTACCCTGTCACTCCCATGGCATATAGCGGCAGACAGACAGATGCTATGCTGGTTTACAGCGCGTCGTTGGTATGGTCGACATGCGCGTATGAATTGTGGCGAGCATTCGAGTCACGCTATTGGGGATGGCGCGTGACAACCCATGACGGATCGCGTCGCGTCACGGATTCTTGCGTCAGGCGAATCGCGATCACCTTGCCTCTGAGATTCGCCTTGTACTCAATAGACAGCCTGGACTGCCCCTTTCCTTCGCGTCGTCGTCTCAGCTTAGGATGCCTCCAAAACGCAAGGCTTCGGAACACACGGATGCTCCCCCGGCAACGAAGAGGACACTGCGGTCCACGGCCGCCGTGGCTGCTCCAGTGGCCACTTTGCCTACAAGACGATCAACGCGAGGATGCAAAGGGGAGAGCTCAGACACTGACGAAGGCGTGGAAGAAAATGCGGGCCACGTAGAACCAGTTGCTCCCACGACGAGAAAGCGGCGTACCACAGTGAAACCAAGCGCCATACCGACTGCCCAGGACGTACCAGAGGCGAGCAGTTCGCGCGTCCAGCTACCTGACCCGATTACCACTACGCGCAGGGGGAACCTCGCATACGTAGAGGAGGAATCCGATGAGCTGCTCTTGACTGTTGCAAGGAAGAGAGCTGTACGACCAGTGACACCGCCGAGAACTACCGCGACTCGGGTAGGGACTCCTCGTACTGTCCTGGAATGTGTGGAAATTGTAACGCCGTCGAGGCGCTTCCTAGCTGGCTCTCCTGTCTCTCGCTCTGGCAGGACGCAGCCTGGCGGTCAACGTGCGTTGGATGCCTTGAACCGAGCGACCTCACCATCACCCTCGAAACGTCCGGCACGCGTTGCATCACCTACCAAGCAAAGGCCCGCTCAACCAGCGCGTTCCAGGTCTTCCAGCCCAGATGCATTGCTCCTGCAACGGGGACGACACGCAAAGCCCGTTACTTCTCCGCCGCCACCTTCAAGACGATCCCAAACACTTACAACCCCCGCTTCCTCGCCTTCTAAACGGCAAGGTAGGGCGGACGCGCAAGAGGCACCAACACGGGACCCTGGACCGCTTCCTCCTCACCTGCACACATGTCTACGAGCACAGCAACGTGCTATTCTGAAGAGCCTGCGCCACATTCCTGACACCGCGGATGATCACGATGCGGATGATGTTGGTCCCTCGACCAATACCATGGCGTTTGAGCAACTGCGCGACCTCCTGAACGGCACAGTAACGCGCGGGGAGGGTAACAGCTGTTTACTAATAGGGCCACGCGGGAGTGGCAAGACACGAGTAAGCTTTGTGACTGTAAGTCTTATGCTTCTCTCATCTCACTCTCACCAGCTCGTCGAGCAAGCAATTGCTGCTCAACCAGAGAGGCCTATCATCGTGCGCCTATCAGGGCATGCACAGCAGAATGACAGACTGGCAATACGCGAGATTGCTCGTCAATTGACACAGCAGACGGGAAGTTCCTTCCTGCTGGAGGAGGACGAGGACAAACCTGCAAATGACCCCTTCACTGACCCAGAAAATCCATTCCTAGATACATCAGACCCGGATCCTGCCCCTGCAATCGCATTACCTGCTCCTGCACATTTACTGGCTCTAATCTCCATGATTCCCACCCTCCCCCGTGCGACCGTCGTCGTCATCGATGCGTTTGACAAATTCGCCACACATGCTCGCCAGTCCCTTCTGTACTGCCTCCTCGATACGGTGCAAAGCTGCCGCGCAGGTAAAGGGAACAAGGGGCTCGCAGTGATTGGCGTCACGACGCGAGTAGACACCATTAATCTCCTTGAAAAACGCGTCAAGAGCCGCTTCTCAGGACGAATACTCAGAACGGCTTGTCCTGGGCGTCTACAATACTGGATTGATGTTGCAAGGACCATCTTGACCGCTCCTATAGATGTGGACGCATCAGATGAATGGCCAACGCGGTGGGCCACCTCTGTTGAAGACTTTCTGAGGCAGGACACAGTCACCGAATCCTTAAGGGTATCCTACGCGCTAACTCGAGACGTCGATACATTGCGCCGAATGCTGGCAAGTTGGCTTATCGTGACAGATGCCCCACTGCCTCTGACATCGATTCTAGACCCTGAGTGTGTTGGAACTATCGCCGACAGCCCCATCTCTGTCCGTGTCTCGATTCGCTGCCACAATCGTTGCACAACGATGTCCCTCACGTTTCCCTTTCCTTGACAGTAAGCGCCTGTTCATTTCACAAGGGTGGCTGTCGTGCCGTCTCACTCATGACGCTTTCTCTTTTCAGCATTACCGTATCCCGCGATATGTCTGCTCATCGCCGCGACGCACGCGCAGACATCCGGACATGACCACTTCACCTTCGAAATGCTTCACGAGGCTTTTCGGGATCAGGTGCGCACGTCGCAGTCTGCCCCGGTTCAATTCGAGGGCGGCAGCATCGGAATGGTGCGATGCAGTCGTGAAGTGCTCATTGGTGTGCGTACCCTCGGTGTCCCTTCTTGTCCGAAAGACTGAACACGTCTTCTGTGTGTATAGGCATTCGAACGCCTGGTGTCTATACGCGTGTTCGTGGCTGTTGTCCCACCGTCAATCAGTACGACAAGGGAGTTCGTCCTGCATCGATGCGCGGTAGACAGATTCGAGGTCAAGAAGGCAGTTGAGGCGATCGGGCAGACGAGTTTGAAAAAGTGGTTCAGCAAGGCATGACGTACAGTAGTGAATATCATAACGGATACGTTTCCTCTCCGTCAGTGTGCACCCCGGCTGTCTTCGGACAAAGTTTGCCGTTGCAAAATTGGGTTGGTAATGATAATAACTAGCGAATGTCCTGCACCATCAGTAGAATTCAGCACGAGCTGTCACATGTCATTGCTGAATGTGTCTTTTCGCAATCGTGCAGAGATGATAACGATATGTATTGTCAGAATGGCGACTTGACAGGACTTGGCCGGGACTTATTGGTCGAAGTGTTGTCATGGCTTGTGGAAACCAACGTGAATTCGACTGATCTCATCACATCGACTACCTGATCAATCAATGCGCTGTGATGTTATCGGATGGTATCATTGCACAAGTCTTATCGATATAGGTACAGACTACACAACTACTTTCTGCCATTCACCGCGACAACCCCCGCCTAGTAGACGGTGTAGTCCTGCTGGACGACGTTGACGTCGACCTGCTCCTGGGCTATACGTGGCGATAAGTTCGAGCGAGAATTCAACGATGAGCATAAAGTACGAACCATGACGCTTCGCCTTCTCGCGGTCGATGAAGTCAAGACCCTTGGTCTCGACCAAGCGGTCGACGAACGCACCAGCGAAGCCAGCACTAGGAAGGAAAGTCAATTCGATGATCTATATTGTCCAACGCGTCATGGTACTCACAGAAGCTCCTTCGCCTCGGCGTGGGACTCGGGCTTGCCGTTGGCAGCGCAGTGCTTCTCGTACGCCTTCGCAGCCTGTAGAAGCATTGTGTCAGCACCGAGGATATCCACCCGAAATGCGGGACGATGTTGCACTAACCTCGTAGGCAGCGGCACCAGAGATGAGCTCGTGCGAGAGCTCAGCCTTGTGGGGGGCGTTGTTAACCTGAACAAGGTAACGTTAGTCTGATGCAACGCGACGTAGAACGTCGACAGTACTGACCTGGTCGTAGGCGTTGGCCTGGTCAGAGTCTTCAGAGAACCAACCCATTGTAATGATGTAGATAGATGAGGTATGAAGTAGAGAAGAGCGTTGTGAGGGGTCCACAACGACGCGGGGGTTTATATACCTCTCGCACTGGATGATATTACCAAAGATGGGTATTTAGCAGATCGATAGCGTGATCTAGAGATTCGGCCCCTTTGATGACAAGAAGTCACCCGGAAAAGTCAGCTTATTGCGCAAACCTACCGGAAGAAGTAAGCCCTGCAGCCGTATGCATCGCCTTCCGATGCACATCGGCGTCTTACCCAGCCTCATCATGATATCGCCCTTACTCACATCGTGCTGTGTGTTCACAGCCTGCATTGCCTCACTCCATGGGGGGGAGGATTTGCCTGCTGCGGAGTACAAAGGAAGCACCCCTGTAGGTATGGAGTGCCAAGTGCAAGCATGAACCATTCAACATCTAGCGTGCCTCGGACGCATCCGCAGTCGGCACCTTGCGTTCATTCATTCAACGGCTGTGTCAGAAGACAGACGTCAGGCTTCGGAACAAAGGCAATTCAGGTCCAAGCGCATTGCACCCTTCATCGCTCCCAGACCGGCCACAATTAGCTATCTGGTCGCCTTACTCACCATGGTATCCACCAGTACAATTCACGCTCGCTCCAACAACAGACAGATGGTGGGCATAGAGACCAATGCGTCATCCCAGGTTGGCTGCCAGCTACCAGCCCAACGGCATGGGAACAGCGCCGGATGAGATGCTAGCTGCTGAGCAGTGCATATCAGAACTATCGCGAAATCTATCAGAATCTGTGAGCGCTGCTATATTCCAACATGAAATTGGAAGAAGGCGAGATGGACAGCAGTGGATAACGTGAACGGGGGTAGTACCCCCATCTGAGCGGGGACGTACTGATTTATCGAGGAACTCAGCGATACCTGTGTGTGCACTATGGTTCGTGGATGCGTGTGACTCGTGAAGCAGTACCTCGACGTAGAGATTATCCTGTCAGCATCGCTGACCGTGCCACCGAGACACCAGCGGGCGAAGATGAAGAAGCTAATCATATTAGAGAACCGCTTCTCGATGGCTTCAGTATCCGATACTAAGCATACATTCAACATGGCCGCCTAACTCGAAGCTCTAGTAAGTTTGAGACTTGGATTAGCAGACGTAACGCTGTCCAATAGTGTTGAGAACCTGTGCAATCGAGCGAAGAGTCGGAAGCGCAGCTCAAGCTCGGGGTCGTGTGGTTATGCTGTTGTTGCCAGCAGACTCAATGTAGTACTAGAACTCGAAGTTGAACTTGGTACTAGTACTTGAGTGTGCATTTCGGTTACTCGCAAGCGCCCATTTAACGCACGTGATTATTCTTCCGGCCGGCGTCGGCGAGGTCGACCATGGTGTACATGTAACTAGACAGCCACAACGACATTCGCTTGCTCCTCATACCCTAACGACGCTCTATTTATTGCTCGCCCGACAGGTCCTTTGATCAATCTGCTATAATGCCACAAAGCCGAGCTTCATTTCCAACCACAAGAGACGATTCGGGAAGCCTGTTCCCAGATCTGGAAGCCGACTATGTCAATGAAGAGTCAGTACTAGTTATGTTTTCGAGGAAACCAGAGATGTGTATTGAAGAATATCGCGTAGGCATATGCAAGCCTTCGCTGGGGCCTTGCAGACAGAGGACTACGATTTGAATGACCAGCCCCATGTTCCGAGCCCTAGCTCACCTACAGATACGGCTACACCTCCTGGGCAGCGAGTGCGGAAGGTCTCCGCGCTATCTGACTTCGCACCTGTCAATATGAAGGTGAAAAGGTAATCACATACATTGTCCTTTGGCCGAGCACAAGTTGATGTTGCGGTGTGAAGGCGCAGAAGGCAAAGTGAGACTTCGCACAAGAGGCAAGAGTGGATGTATATCCTTGTACGATGGCCATTGCTGGTACGTGCTCTATCTGGAAAGTTTGACCGGGAATCATAGCTGCTTCAAAGGGTCTTATATTCTTCTTCATGGCTCTTCAATTCAGCCTATACATACTAATTCGGCAGTTGGTAAACGCGAAGGAATGGCTCTCTGCGTGTATGTGTGCGCTCACCAAGCTGATAATCAGCTGACGACCTGCTCTAGGGCGGGGCCGCAAGGGTGTCCTGCGACAGCGTTTGCGTAGTGCCAAGACTTACGAGGTTTGTTGACTATCAGCCTTCTCATGACAGTGATATGCTAACCGCTCTCTTGCAGGATTGGAAGGATGCTGCATTGATTCTTGATGAATATATGCACTTCAACGAATGGAAACATGCCGACGAAGATCCCTTCTATGACTGGAGATTAGTGAGAAAGGTAGGTTCCCCGCCCTATCGCATGTCTCAATTCTAAGCACTCGGACCGCAACAGGTCCGCAGGTCCTTGAAGAATCTAAGGGAAAAGAGAGATGCGCGAGGTTTACTTGGTGTGCTGGAAACCTGTGTCCGCACGAACTTCGCCGGGGTTGAGTCAGCACGGTAGGTTTCGGCAGTCTCATGATCAAAGTATACCGCCTCTGACTTCCTCTATAGGCTATATAGCGAAGTAGGTTTCTCGCATAGCTCATTTATGTTTTCGGGTAACAGCTATGCACATCAGACATTCTTCGGGACGAAGGATTTGATTGAAGGCACGCTGATTGTAATCCCTCGGTAATGAGCATGGTCTCAATGCTGAATCTAGACTATATCGCCGAAGAAGAGAAGGCGCTTGAGTTCATTCGGACGTCGTCTGATATTTCCAATGAGGAGAAGAAGCGGTTCTTCAAAATGGCCAATACGAACCTCGGCACCTCTGCGCTCTGTCTCTCCGGTGGTGCTTCATTCGGATACTGTGAGTGGAATTGGCATGTTAAACGGAAACCTAGTGATCAATGACGGCTTGTCTGCGAAGATCATTTTGGCGTCGTGAAGGCGTTCCTGCATGCAGGTCTTCTTCCTCGTGTCATATCAGGTACATCGGCGGGAGGTGTTGTTGCAGCAATGGCATGCACACGCACAGACGCGGAGTTGAAACGGCTCCTTGTTCCTGAGCTGGCCACGCGCATCACAGCATTCGAAGAGCCCTATGGGGTCTGGATCAAGCGCTTTTGGACAACCGGCGCAAGGTTCGACAGTGTGCACTGGGCGAGGAAGGCAAGTTTATTCGACACGTTCCCAACGATATCGCTAAACGGTTATCTCATGCTCTCGCTAGCTATGCTTCTTCACACGGGGCTCCATGACATTTCGGGAGGCGTACATGCGGACGGGACGCATCCTCAACATTTCCGTCGTGCCTGCGGACCGCCATTCGTGAGTGACCTGTTTCGTGGTCGCAGCCATCTCGCTTAATGTCGCGTTAGCCCCACGAAGCTTCTGAATTATATCACAGCACCGGACACGATAATCTGGAGTGCATTGCTTGCTTCTGCGGCTGTACCCGGAATTTTGAACCCGGTCGTCCTAATGCAGAAGCTCAAAGACGGTAGAGTAATTCCGTGGAACTGGGGTAGCAAATTCAAGGATGGTTCTCTGAGGTAAGCATGTTCCACGCAACAAGCGTTCTCGGTGAGTTGATCGCCGTGCGCGGCAGAGTTGACATACCCGTACAAGCGCTGAATTTGTACTTCAACGGTAAGCTTATTATCGCTCGAGGACATGGCGTTCGCTAACAAGCGCCATGGCAGTCACGCATCCTATTGTCTCGCAAGTCAATCCACATGTGCACTTATTCTTCTTCGCTCCACAAGGCTCGGCAGGGAAACCCGTTGCGCATCGCAAGAATAAGGGTAATGCCATTGGCTTCTCGAACGTAAGGCAAGGTGCTGATTATTCATGCACACCAGGGTGGCGAGGCAATTTCCTGCTATCTGCCGCAGAACAATGGCTCAAACTGGAGCTTACTAAGAATTTCAAGGTAGGATCGTAGTGGGTCCACGCAAACAGAGGCTAACCGTCCAGTGACCAGTTGATTCGCGATCTCGACCTTTTACCGCAGCTTCTTGGCCAAGACTGGTCCAGTGTATTCTTGCAGCGCTTCGAAGGCAGCGTCACGTAGGTTAACTTTTGGTGATTTCTGGTGCGTGGCTCACGTTTTCACGCCGCAGAATCTGGCCTCGCACTCGGTTCATGGTGCGTCTTGCTTATACTAAGAGCCGGAAGCTAGCGTTAATTGACCCGCTGATTTACAGGATTGGATACACATCTTAAGTGATCCAGACGAAACAGAGCTAACGAGGATGATGCATGTTGGTCAGCTGGTCACCTGGCCTAAGGTGAGCTATAAATATCAACGTCTAGCCAGCCATCAGTTAACAAGCGTGCAGCTGCATATGATCGAGAATCGATACCGCCTCGAGAAGCAAATTTTCCTGGGTCGACAGACAGTGCGTAAGGTCATGCATAATCGTGGTCAAGACCGAAGCACGTCGGCAATCGAGACCCAGCCACAGGAACATGTTCCCGTTCCCAACACAGGCACTCGGCTCCCAGTCAGTAAGGGGACACCAATCGCACCAAGTCTCTCAGAGGTACCACTGCCGATGGACACTGATGCGGAGGCGGCCTATATAAATGGAACGCGTGAAAATAACCATCGATCTACGGCGGGCGGCAGTAGCCAATTCCCGCACCGCACCTCGAAGCGACGTCATCGGAACAGAGGGGACCAAGATGCCACGAGGGAGGCGGGCCCCACTCCAGATCCCCCACCTCCACCCAAGGATTCCGGACGACAGCATGCGCAGTCGGTGGCGAACCAAATATCATCTACCCACGCCAACCCCGTCGAGTTCTTGCGCCGTCTTGGTAATGGTTCGATTACCGGCGGATTCTCGCCGTTTGGATCGCTGCGACGCAGCAACAAGGACGTGGCATCGAACTCGCGCGAAGATGTGGCAGAGGGGGCTTCGTGGTCTGGAGACAGTTCATCGGATGACGATGACTTGTCTATAATATCGCGCAGACAACGACACTCCTCGACGTATGAGCTACGACCAGAGCTGGATAGGAGATACTCTGGAGTAGAAGGGGAGGATGCAGATTACTGAGATTGTGTACTGTACATATTGCATTGTGCATGCAAAAGATACTCTGGACTAACGCAATACCCACGGACGGATTTGTTGTAATCTTATTCCGCGTTAATGATCATCACGGCGTTGTAGTATAAGTGAAATCTAACTGTGTTTCTTGTTACCGTACACTCCCTAATGGCTCCGAACACCCTGTACAGTGTACATGTGCGCTGAAGTGTTCAAGTTTATGGCTTGGGTCATATGAAGACGAGGACCAATTTGAACGTACCTCCCAAGTACTGGCGATTGTAATACACTTGGTCAGACTCAACGTCATTCATGCGCATGGTAATGTCAGAGAATCAACATATCATTAGACGGACATGGTAATGATGCGTGCACAATCGGGAAACGCGAAATACTCTGACATGACTCCATCTCCCAGTCGAACATACATGCCAATAACAGATACATATCGGACGCTAAAGCGGTCGGCCACGCTCGGAGCGATATCTCATCTGCACTTCGCGTCAACTTCAGGAGTTTCGATAAATCATTACGAGAACCTACGAGGGTTAGAGACCGCACACAGACGCATCCAGTTGCGTAGCGTTCGCCTGAACATTATACCACAGGAACTGGTGGTGGCCCGTCAGGTCGTTTGCCGCCTCTTCGGTAATGACGAATCCGTCCGCTGCCCCATTAATGACTACGACGGTGGTTCTTCCCACATCACTAACCAAGCTCCAGCAAGTCCCGCATCCCGTCGTATTCGAGTCGGTCACGAAGGATGCTCCCGCGAGGTAAGGGAACGTCGGCACCGCACCGAAGGTGGGGTAGGATTGGTCGAGGACGGTAGCGCATGTTGTGGTGTTCATCCCTGTAGAGGAAGTGTCGTAGTCCGAGTTCCATATCACGGAGACAGTCGATTGGGCGAGAGCAATTGGGGAGAACATGAGGACAAGGACTGAGGCGACTGTGGACGATCTCATGTTCGTTGCGGTTGCGAGAACTGAGCCGTACCTTTGAGAAACAGATGAACCCCTCCGTGGGTTTATAACTGGCAGCTCGGCGTTGATGCCGCAAACGTGTCGGACGGACTACGGTCTCACAGGGGCCTTTGCCGGTCACTGAAACGACGCCTAGGAGAACGTTTGTCGAGAGTGAAGCTCCATCTTGATAGGTACAGCGTCACATTGCAAGGCTACAAAGATCGTAGCCGTCTTTGCGCACGACCCCACCACCCCCTTTTCAACGTCCATGAGACCAATGTCCGGTGCAGGAAGACCGGGGGATAGTGTCGCCACACAGGGCTACAATTCATACTTTCTCGATGAGGCACGATGTATCAGCCACTTAGTCACGACAAGGCACTTGCTGAGAACGATCGCCGAATGAGGACATCTTGACAATGCAGTGCAGCGCTGAGGAACGATCTCCGCCTCCTTGGGAAGAGCCGTATCCTTTGAGCGCGTCTTGCGATGCAAACCTGTCTGCATTTTGCGTGAGTCTATCACATTGCCTGAAACACGCACCAGAAACTAAGACCCAATGATCGCTTCGCCTGCCGCCGGATGGCGATATGCTGCAATCTGCATATATTGCTGTGAAAACGACTGCATACCTAAAATGTACAGCAAGTTCGCCAAAGGATGAGGACACATGAGAACAATTAGATAGAATGCAAACAAAGTGAGTGATGAATGAGATCGAATGCGTGAGCTATTACATCAGTGAGTATCAATAACAACAGAGGTCGCGAGGTGATGCACCGATGTCCAACGGCGAGCCAAAAATATGATGGCTTGATCCTCGAATAAGGGAGTGGTCATGAAGGATGGGTCATGAGTGTCGTGAAGTAGCGAGCATGCGAAGCACAACGATGACAGCGATGTCGGCAATAAACAGTCCTAAAGATGGTCACATATTGTTCACGCCATGCGACGTCCTATAATCAAGGACAACGGCTGCGCTCAGAGTATACTGGGCCACTTGAGCCGCAGGCCCTCTAACCAGCGCATATAAAGCAGCTCAGCAATGGGCGATTTGCGTGTAGGCGAGCTGGGCTCCTCGCCCGGTGTCGGTGAAGATGAAGCTGGCAAGCCTGAGATCTCTTCCTCCTCGGTGACAACGAGGCCCTTTGCCGTCATTTCGCTCTTGCGGATGATCCGCCTGTGCGGGAAGAGACCACGTGCCGTTTGAACGTGCTGGCGGACAGCAGTATTCCTAGATAGCGGCGACAATGAGCAACCTTAGCAAGGAACCGATCGTGAATATTTGCTGTACGTACTCATTGATACCCGAGAGCAAATCCAGAATGACGTTGTATGCAAGCTCAGGATTTACGTCCCTCAGTTCTTCAAAGCCCCGGGAAATCATGCTTATAGATTCAATCTCCCTTGCATCCATATCATCCCTTGTCGCCTGATTTTTACCTGACAGTCAGCGCCAGCCTTACCGCCGCCTACGCCACCAACTCACCTTTGACAACAGTGGTAGCAACACCTCATCGACGATGCTCTTTCCCGCAGTGGCAGCATCGCTGGCCGATCTCTTCCTTGGAGACTTCGTGCCTTGGGGCGACGACGGCGCCGAGGAGCTCCCCTCCCGGCTGCGTGTCGTACCCACGAACTCCTCCGACAGCCGGAGTGAACGCACTGTGTCCACCTTCTTTACTGGCCGGATCGTGTCCACACCGCTACCCAGGTCTGCCTCTCCCAGTACTGTGCCAGTGCTCACGTTATTCCGCGCTTGGAACGATGCGCGCCGGGTCGAACGCATCGAGCCCGAATACGCGGGCGGGGGTTCCGAGTTCTCGGGCGCCTGCAGTGGGGTCCGCGGGCCTGCTGTCTCGTCCGATCCAGTATCGGCCATCAGGCCTGGCATGTCCTTCTCGTCCATGGGCGAGGACGGTCCCACTTGTCGGATAATGACCGTCGAGTGCTGCGCGCCTATGTTCAAGCCGAGCGCCGTGCCCGAGAGGGGCACATCGCTGCCCCTTGTCGTCGCAGCGGTCGTGTCGATAGAGCTGTCGGGGTAAATCGATACATCGTCCTCATAGTACTCTTCATCCGGAATGGTCTCTGCAGGCATGATGTCCTTCGCCATACTCCGCAACGAGCCCATGGCAGACGATGTCCGAATGGTATCAAAGGACCAGTCGCTTCGTAATGTCCCATCCCACGCCCCGCTGTTGCGTACCGATGCCTGGTACATTTGTGGCTGTTTTCCTGGGGTACGTGCCCGAAAGTCTTGATGCCGCTCAATCAACTCCGTCAAATACGAGGTCTTCCGTGCGCTCTTAATGAACCGGTGTTGCAGCAGTTCTTTCGCGGTGGGTCGCTTCGGTCCAGGTGAGCATATATACTATCCCGTGTCCAGGAAGACTCACGAGAACAGGGTCCTTGGTCAGGCATTGCGACACGAAATCTTTGAACGCGGTCGAGAATGCGCCCTCAAGGACAGGCGGCTTTGCCTTCGGGATCAAAAAGAGGACACGCATTGGATGATACTCGGCCAGTGGTGGTTCGCCCTTTGCCATCTCGATGGCCGTGATCCCCAAGCTCCAGATGTCTGCCTTCGCATCATATCCTGCTTGTCTGATAACCTCGGGTGCCATCCAAAACGGCGTGCCCACGAACGTATGCCGAAGAGTGCTGGTTAGTTGCGCAGCGACACCGAAGTCTGCCAGCTTAACCTTTCCCGATGCGGATAGAAGGACGTTGGCGGCCTTGATGTCGCGATGGATCGTGCCTTCGACGTGAAGATAGTCCAATCCCTGCAGGAGTTCCTTACAGATGACGGCTATATGCGCCTCGGAAAACACACCCGGCTTGAGAAGATCGAGACAGGACCCTCCCGCGAGGTATTCCATGACGATCCAAAGCTTATACGCCACCACGAAGGAGCCATAGTACCGTGTCACGTACTCCGAGTCAAATTGCGCGAGGTTGGCAATCTCTTGCTGGATCTCAGAGATGTCGTCGTCGGAATCTTCGAGGTCTATACATTGCATCAGCGTTAGTGGAGCTCATGATGCGCTCCTAATAGGGAACGAAGTGTGCGCACCGATCTGTTTTATGGCTACAATTTGCTTCGTCTCATTATGCATGGCTTTGTACACGGTGCCGAAGCTACCGGTGCCGAGTTTTTCCAGGAGCGTGTACTGACTTGCGGGATTATTGCTTGGGACAGGGTACGGCTCCGGAGTGCGCTTTGCATCGCGGGGCGAGGGTGGTGGGGATTTCGTCAACTGTCGAGGGTGCAAAGCACGCCCAGAGTCAGAAGAATTGGTCTTACGCAGTAGCCGGGAGCCTGAAACAACGCGCTGCATGGCGGACAACACGCTGTGCGCGGCGGGGCGAGATCAGGGGAGGCGGCAGACGTCGTCACGGAGCACGTCTAGCCGTCTATGCACGGATGTTGTCTCTTGGACACACGTGGGGGCCCATGAGGTGTATGGATAGAGTGAAGACGCTCCATCGCGCATGGCTTTATCTGCAGACACGCGCCGGGACCAGAACTCGACGGACATGAGGGATCACGCACCATGTTCATCAGAGTCGTAGATAAGCTTCGTAAATAGACGTTAGGGAGCTGTCGTGGATCGATGCACGCTGCAGCAGCGGCGCAGGCTGTCCGGCGCGATGTGCAAATTGAAGGATCTCGGGGAGAATAGAAGTGATGGCCGCTGTGCTCTGCCGGATATGGCGAGAAGTCTGGGCGGATGGGTCGCTATGGGCGTCGTCAAGGCGGCTGCGCTCGACGCCGGTCGGCAAAGGTTGCTGAGGCGGAGGACGTGGGGAACAACGAGAGAGAGAAAGGACGAGGATGAAGAGGGCGGCGGGGGCAACGGCGATGACGTCCGAAAGCGACAAGGCGTGATCGTGCACCCAGCGATCTCGCGCCCCGGACCGTGGGTAGCTAGAACGGGCGTCTCCACGCGCTTTTGGCTATCCCCGCACGGCGCCGGGTGTCTCCTCACCCAAGCTGCTCCTTTCTGCCACACCGACGTCGCCATCATAATATTTGCCAAAGCCTCTCAGCATGACGCGTCTTGTTTCACCTGCTCCGCTCCCGTGTAATGGCGGCGCCGGCCATATACGCTTACATGTAGATCAGACGTCGTAGCGCTTCGCATGACACCCTCTCAGGCTAAATATTGGGAACCCATCTCTCAGCTCACGCTGACGGACAGCGTCCATGCGCGCCACAGGCAGTCCGCATCTCCCGGTGAGAGCCGCCCTGAGTCCCGAGGCCAACGTGAGACTACCACCGTGCCGAGGGCCGGGCGAGCAATCAGAATGTTTGCGTCAAGAAGCATGAGCGTGCGCATGAAAACATGCCATAGTATCGCATGGCGAGTTGGTAGTGGCGTACGGCATACACAGAAAGAATAAAGTCAGAACAACACCCCGCTCCGCGACCTCCCTCTGACACCGCCATTGCTCATGCTGCCTTGACAGCGTACTTCCTCAGCGGGAAGTGGATGTCTTTCTTGCGCTGCTTGAGGGTCTTGAGCGACTTCTCGTGCTGCATGCAAACCATACACGATTAGTTATCACAAACGAAGTCTCATGAGACCTGCACGCACAGGTGTCAATCGCCGTCTGATCGCCCGCGTCTTCTTCGGTCGGAGGTCGAGAGGCAGGTACTTCTTGTTCTTGTAGAACTCGCGCAGGTTTTGTCGCTGCTTTTGGTTCATGACGGTCAAGACACGCGCGATCGACTTGCGGACAGTGTTGCTACATAGTCATTCAGCTGTCAGAAACACAGATACAGGCAAGCACCAAGCAACTTACATCTTGGTCAACTTTGCCGCGGAACCACCGGCGATTTTCTGTACCCGCAGGGTCAGGAGCTCATTCTTAAGCTCGGTGAGCTGCTTCGACAAGTCATTCTTCGACCTGAGCGTCCCCATGCAATTAGCTGCCGTTCTGTGTGCATATAGCTGACAACGCACTTGGATTGGAGCTCGTAAGCCTTGACCTTGTTGCTGGGCATGGTGGTGGAGTCTAACAGGACAAGACTGAATCAACATTATGTTCTCCAGGGATCCACAGAATAGCCAGAAATGCCGACATAAGCGTCGAACAACTTCATACGGAACGCAAGTAGCCTGACAGCATTCCAGCAGCACGAAGAACCGAGATATTTACCTTGAGGGATGTCGTGGAGGATATGCGCGCCCGGCTCAGAATGGAGAGAAGACCGTGGGATCGGACGAGGTGGTGCTACCTAGTTGCTCAAGCCACAGATCCCACGCTGGTCATACCTGCCGCATTTGGAAGGTCCGCCACACTGTCGACCCGCTGTTCGCCACGGGCCTGTTCCAAGTGTTCACTCGCTGGGGCCTATCACTGGGGTGACATGTCTTTCTCGGTTGCACTGGATGGTCGACAATTGGCGGGCAGTCACTCAGACCAAAACGCGACTCTTCAGCTATCGAGAGGGGCTTGGGTGATGACTTTCTGTCTTGGGTCTTGTGGGGCGTCTGATTGTCCATTGCCTGTCGTGGCGATGATCCTTCCTGCCCTTGCTCCCCGCCGACTACAAATGCGCGCATTCATAAAACTCTCCTGATTGCCTCCGGACTGCATTCAGCTACTTCCTCCGCGTCATCTTCACGTCTTCAATTTCCGCCGGCTGCTCGCCACAAATTTCACTCATGTCCCAAAAACCAGTCCACCCGCCGAGCCAGGGCCTGTGCGACCTGCTGTACCTCTTCCCGCACGTCGACAACGAGACCATCGCTGCCATACTCGCACACACGCTTCCCGCTGCCGACATCTACAAGCTCGACTCTCGCCGCATACTCGAGGCGGAATACGACCTCGTCAACCCCGCGCTCGAGGACAGCGTCATGGGCCCCACGCTGCCTGTGGCTACCGATCTCTACAAAACGCTCGACGCTCTGCTCGTGCCGCTGAACGCGTACTTCTCCATCCTTACTCTGCACCAGCTCGCGTGTGGCGCGCCGGCGATGCTCCCGTACTACTTCTTCCGCTATAGCAGCCATCTTGTCAAGATCGCATCGCAGTACGAGTGGCCCGCCGTTCTCGTGTATCATTTCGCGTTCTTCGCGCGGCGATGCCGGGATATGTACGATGGAGAATACGCTGGGTGGGGCAAGGTGGATGTCGACCTGATGGAGCAATTCCTGGTGCCATACCGGAAAAACAAGGTCGTGTACTCGCGCCGTCCGTCTGTCCCTGCATAGGGTGCTGATGTGCGATCGCATCGATAGCCCCGAAAAAATGGATGGAAGAAATGACGAGCATACCCAAAAGCTCGCCGTGAAACCTCGCTAGACTACAACAGTATGACCGTATATTTGTATCTTTACAGCTTGCTTGGTAGTGATACATAGTTCACCCTCTCCAGATACATAGGTTGGATGTGTAGCAACAGATGAATACCAGAGTTCTCCCGGATTAGTGCTTGACCTCCGTGTCCGATCGTTTCCGATCGTCCGGTCGAACCCCAGCCTTGAAGACATGGATGTAGCAAGAGAGATCGAACCCGTCAATGGAAATGGGCGTACCTCTACATCTGGTATTTCCTGCAATCGCTTTGCCACCTGCCGCATACGCTCAATGCCTCGGCCGTCATCTTTACGTGGTGTATACCCTTGCTGCAGCTCGACCTCATGCATGAAAGCCGCCACATCTGCGAGTGATGCCCCGACGTTCTTGACGGCCCCCAGGTGAGCTCTAATCGATATCCACGCTCAGCAGCCGGTCCTGCCATGCAACAGCAAAGGAAGTCATTCGCACCGTATTCGCTGATTGTCTTGCAGAAGATGTCGCAGGTCGTTCCGCCGCAGCTTCTCCCACTCCGCCCGCATATGATCCCGCTGCATTCCGTCCGCCTCCAGCCGCTCGAGCATCCGCCTCATTCCCCGCAGCTCGCCCTGCACCCTCGCCTCCGCATCTGCCCTCGTTGACCGACCGTCCTCCGTCTCCTCCCTCAGCTTTTCGACGCAGCTCTTCGTCTCCTCTAGCAGTGCGATCACCTTCCGATGCTCCGTGCGCTGTGCCGACGCCAACAGCGCACGCCACCGCATGTTACGACGCAGCGTTTCCTCACGCTCGATACGTAACGCCGCGACCTCGGTCTGGAGCGAGACGAGGCGCCTCCGTGCGAGTACGTACGGGGCAAGTGCTATTGTCCCGAGACAGAGGAGCGTCAAGTATGGAGTATGTGTTCCCCGCGGGGCGTCCACGGGCTGCGCGGAACCATACGCGTCTATCTGGAATCCGACGGGCGTCGGGCTGATCGATGGTGGGCTGGTTGACAGGCATTCTTGGGCCATGCCGACAGGAGAAGTGAAGACGCTCTGCTACTCGATTGTAGGAATCGTATGGATGGGTGGAGGCTACGACGCGTTGCGGGAACGCGCAATCTAATGCATTCACCTGACCCCACACGTGCCCGAGGATGTCTACCAATGACACGCAAGCTTAGTGAGCGGAATATGGCAATCTGGGAGCACGACGCGTGTATGATACATAATACATGTACAGCAAGACGATCAGAGGATGTCGATGAGATTCAGAGACGAAGTCCGCATTTAGTTCTTCGTCCAGCCGGGAATGGTGAAGTGGTTCAGGAGATTGCGCCTCCATTCCGCGCCCGCTTGATCGCGCTTGACGGCATCGGCCTCCGCTCTCTGAACAGCCTGAAGCAATGTCTTCATGGCCTCATGCAACCTCTCGTTCATCTCTAATCTCGTCACCTCTCCCTGCCGGACCTGCTCCTTTATATCCTCCACGCCCTCCAGTCCTGCCCTGTGGTGCTCCTCCAAGAGTTGTAGTTGTTTCCTGATGTCTTGCAGACCAGCGCCGCGCTCGCCTAGCGTCTTCGCTAGTTCCCCCCTCATCAGGGTGTTCTCCGTGACTAGGTTGTGTATATCTCTGCGCATCAGCGCATCGGCAGTGGCCGCTTTCGCTACTTGGTCATGGAGGAGTGCGAGTCGCTTGCGAACGAGGGCATACGGAAGGACTATGGCGGAGACGAGGGCGACGGAGCTTACGGCGAGCAATGGTATGAGAATGGATGGACGTGGTGGTCGAGTTTGTGCGACGAGTTGCCGGTTATCAGTTGCTGGGAAGTCTATCCGTGACGGATTTCTGTCAGCGAGACCAACCATCCCGGCAGGCAGCAGGGACGCAGGTTCAGGCAATGTCGCGGTGAAACGAATAAAACGCCCAGCACTCACGGTGTCTGACCTTCTGACACGTGAAGGCCTTATCTTGCGCGAACGAGACGCCAAACGTCAACGTAGACGACAACCAGACTTGACTGTATGCATCGAACACGAGACTTCCAAGAATGACCCACGATCTTACGTTATATAAGAGGCTATGATACAGCATTAATGTGAGCGATAACCACAACAGCGAAACAGCAAGCAGATACCACGGAAAGCAAGAATACATTGCACATAAACGTCATCGTAAAGCAAGCCGGACTCATGACTTCTCAGCTTTCTTCCTCCACTTCAGTTTGCTGAGGAGGTTGCGTTTCTTTTTCGGCTTCTCCTCCGGCTTGGGCGGTAATCTGCCAACCAAAATTCAGTGAGGGTGGAGAACGACAAATTCGGTAGACGCACTCTTCAACATAAACAGGGTAATCCTGCTCGAGGTTCTCCTTCGCCGCCATGATATCTTGTTCATAGGCCTGGCGTAGACTCTCAGGCACAGGAAGTTTTCTCCTCCAAACGGCCATACTGTTTCCACTATTCGAGAGCAAGAAGACAAAAACGATGACCTGCATAGAAGGGTCATACAGCGCGACAGACTCTTGCAGGATGCGATCGAGCGTTAGCTGAAGCTGCGCCATATTGATCCAGTCGAAGGCAGGTTGAGCCGGAGTGCCTACACGGTGGTCAGCGTTGGTGATGAGCGCGCCGCGTTCTCCCGTCTGCAAGAACTTCTGAAGCTGCATCACGGCGAGAACATCTCAGCATGAGTACTCCGCCTCGCGGGGGGGACAGGACAAGTAAGACTGACACCAATTGTCGCGAGCCCGTTCGACATGGCCTGCACCCACCGCAACAGCGACGCGACGCGGTCGTCCTTATTCGGATTGAACGCCCAGTAGATCCGCTCCTTCGCGGGGCGGCTGCGGCTGAAGAAGGCGCGCTGCGCATGCATCAATGCTTGGCCGCGCGATTCGATGAACGCATTCTCGCCAAGGCCGTTGCGGGGCGACGCTAGCTCGAACACAGTCGTATGTCGGCCTGTCGCCATGTCCATAGTCTTTGATGCCTTTTCGTCGGTCCAGAATGACGGGTGAATCGCTTGGGGATAGGCTGACGGCGTGAAAGCAGCAGCAGCAGCAGCAGGCGGAGGGGGCGGAGGTGGTGGTGCCGACATGGGTGTCCCATATGGACGAGGACCGCGCGCGGTAGGGGGCTCTGTGTGATAGGAGACTGCTGGCGAGAAACGCACGCGCTGCCCATAACCTCCTCCGTCTTCGCCACCGCCGTATCCGTAGCCATCGTTGCCGTATTCTTCCTCGTCGTACTCGTCGTATTCCTCTTCTTCCTCGCCCTCCTCTTCTTCTGGAATCGGCTGAGGCCAGTTGGAGTTCCAGCCTCCAGCCCCCGAGCCATTGCTGCCCCAGCTGTCGGCTTGCTGCATGGGAGGCGCGCGGTGCACCTGCGAAGGGTAGCCTTGTCGGTGCATCGCTGGCTGTGCTGGTGGCTGCGCCCGAGCTTGTTGTGGCATCGTCTGAAGCCTCCTCTGCTGCTCCATGTGCTGTTGTAGGGCTGCCACCGCTTGTTGGTGCATGGCGGCTTGCTGCTGCCGATCCGCGGGTGGCCCGGGTTGAGACTGTAGGGGAACAGCCTTAGTTTGTGTCGGGTGCGTAAGCAGGGACTGCAGACGCTGCGACTGCTGCTCCGGAGACAGCATAGGCCTGCTCCTCGGAGCGGCAGCAGTCAGGAAGGGGGCTGCGCTCGCAGCGGAAGGAGGCACCGAACTAGTAGCAGTAATCACCTTCGGGAGCCCTCTCGCCTCGTTCCCCCAGTTCTTCCATGCTCCAGACGGTCCAGATGGCCGACCAGCGAGGGACGGCGCAGACATGGGCGGAGGTGGTGGTGCGGGAGGAGGGGCCGGGCCGGGCCACCCTGATGGCTGCGGCTCGTCCCATCCCCCTGCCGACTGCGCCCAGCCCGAAGGGGGAGGGGCGCCCCATGATGGCTGGGCGTTACCCCAGCCTCCGGTCGCGGTGCCAGCTGTCAACGCCGGCGATGGTGCGGCGGCAGCGAAGGAGGCGGGCGGAGGAGGAACGAAGGCTGATCCGCCCCTCTTATCCCCACTCTCTTTGGCAGATGCCGGGGTCCAAGCCGAAGCTGGCTGATCCCACCCTCCTACCGCCGCACCGCCGGGCATCCCCCAGTCCATGTCTGCGCCGCCCGCAGCAGATGCCGCAGATCCCCCGCCCCACATGTCAGAGCCTTCATCGGCCACAGGGCCCCAGCCGTCATCATCGGGGGCTGCAGCTGCCGGTGGTTGGGCTGCGCTCCATGCGGCATTCGTTGAAACTGCGTTGCGACGAGAACGAGCCATAGCGAGCCGCGCGGTGGGTCAAAGCGTAGCGGAGGAACAGCGGGAGCAAAGTCATGGTTGGAGACATATAAAGTGGAGAGATAAGCGCACGAACATACCTGGAGCAGCCTGCTGACCTGTTACACCTGGAATAACTTCTCGATGTGCTGTATCCTGTTCTGGCGCCTCCGTCAAGAGAGCTGAACTTTGCTCAGCAGACTTGGGATGATCAACGGTGATCTGCTCGACACTTGCTGATGGCACGGCAGCTGGTTTCTCCGCCCCCTTCACCTTGGCTTTCTTGGGTCCCTTCGCCATCGAGTGTGCGCGCCAGAAAGACGCACACGCAGTGCAGAACTGGATGACAAACTTGCAGATGCTGGTCCTGAAGCAAGCCGCCCAGCTCACTATGATCCCAACACAGCCTTGGATATCTAAGAGCCCGTATCAAGCGCGGAGACACCCTGTGAGAACGGCAGGGCATCCGGTGGTAGATATCCGGACGCTGAGGACCACGAGGCATGGCTGGACGGATGGAGAGTTGATCCTACCAAAGGCGAGCAACTTCGAGCGTTCCCCGCCTGAAATGACCGTGGGAACTGATATTGGCATACTGGACAGCGACGAGGAGGGACAGCGAGAGACGTACCAGAGTTGTGCGACCATTACAGCGCTTCCCCCTCGTGTGCCGGTATGGACAAGTTCGGAATAGCTGGATAACTATTGTGTTCCATTGCAAGTTCATATACTCTAACGCGGGTTGATTGAATTCAGATTACTTCTCAAGTCTACCCAATTTGTCGTGGCGCACACAACAAAGCCGCCAGCCTCTAGGCTTCAGCGACCAAGTACTGGGAGTCGCCGTGTCCTTTGTCATTCAATGACTTGATCCACTCTACCACCGAGGTCGATAGATCCTTCTAGTCCATTGTTGCACTAGCATACGCTGCGCGGTCCGCTTGCTCGCATATAACGTGTACAGTGATTGGGTTCCTTCAGCAAGGCCCAGAGGCCACTTGTGAGCCTTTACATATAGAAATATCAAGATCTCCGATCACACTCGATCAATGTATTCTCGATCATCATCAAGTATGGTCCTGAGCCTGAGTCATGACACCCGTTCACCCTTCCTGAGCTCAGAAACAGAGAACGCACAGGATGCCGCCAGCCACTCTGTCTTCAATCAATATCACCATCCTCGGCAGCGCATCCGCTCAACCGTCGTCTACCCGCAACCACTCCGCCCTCGCTCTACGTCTCGGCGGAGATGTCTGGCTCTTCGACTGCGGCGAGGCCACTCAACACCGTGTCCAGAAGAGCACCGTCAAGATGGGCAGGACACAGAAAATTTTCATCACGCATACACATGGTAAGCCCTGGCCTGTTAGCCAGACGACTTGCCTGTCGACGTGCTGCGCAGGGGACCACATATTTGGCCTGTTACCTCTGCTAGCGAGCCGTCTTGACGGTGCTGGTGGGGTGGTCGACGCCGACGATCCCAGAACAAAAGCCGAAAGTCGACAAGCTGTCCCAGTCAGTCTCGACGTGCTCCTTTTCAGTCTATAAACTGACCTCACTTTCACTACAAGCCTCTAGAGATCTACGGCCCGCTTGGTACTCGTGCCTACATCCGGAGTGGGCTCACTTACACCCATACCCTGCTGGGAGCACCTTACGTCGTGCATGAACTACGCTTTACTTCTGACCCTCCACTGGATCCCACTGCCCTTCCTCCGCACTCATTCGAGCTCCCCGGAAGGGACATACAGCAAGTCGACGGCGTTTGGCCAGAAATATACAGGGACGACCTGGTCACAGTTTCTGCTGCGCCAATCATGCACTCCGTCCCCTGCGTTGGCTATGTCGTCACCGAGCTTCCAGTCCCCGGCAAGATGGATCCCAAGTTGTACATCCCTCACCTCAAGCGCACGAAAATGCCGATGTCCCTCATGAGCAGATTGCAGCAAGGGGAAAGCGTCGAGCTATCTGACGGCACCGTGCTGCGCGGTCCCTCGCGAAGACCTGGTCGCAAGCTTGTCATTCTGGGCGACACGTATGATCCCTCCCCTATAGCCGACCTTGCCGCGGATGCGGACATCCTGGTGCACGAGGCTACAAATTCGCACCTTCCTGGTGTCGACCCGGAGACGAAGGCAGAAGACACTCACGCCAGCGTAGAGGCGCGGGCGAAATCGCGAGGTCACTCGACCCCACAGATGGCAGGCAGATTCGCGAGACGGATACGTGCTCGCAAGCTGCTGTTGAACCATTTCTCCGCTCGATATGCAGGGAACGACGACGTGGACGAGCAAGCTAGGAGCATTATGGAAGCTATCAAGGCGTTAGCCGTCAGTGAGTTCGACGGGGAGGTTGTATGCGCCAGAGACTTCATGAGCTTCGATGTTGAATTGCGACAAGAAGGATAGCGGTGTTACAATAAACATGCAGTAATTATAGACTGAACGGAAGCACAACAGCGAGTGGCTGTAATTAGTCGTCTGGAGGCTCCGACAACTCACTGCTTTCATCGCTTGCCTCGCCCTCCTCCAGCTCCTCTTCCCTTGCCTTCTTTTTCAACGGCTTGAACTCCTTGGGTTCCTCGGCCACCTCTCCCATCTCAATATCGTCCTCGTCTGCGACCTGGATGGTCGGCACAGGTGTTGAGCGAGTGGTTGACGAACGTAATGCGGGAGTCGACGTCCGTGACGTCCCAGGTAGGAATGGCCGAGCACCCGGATTGAGTATGACCCTCGCGAGTGGGACATCGTCGTCAGACTCTTTGTCGTCCTCACCCTCTTCTTTATCCTCCCTCAGCTCTCCTGACTCCTCCCGCGTCCGCACACTTGCCGACCCGTCCATCTCGAAATCTTCTTCCACAGAGGGAACCTCTGGCGCAGGAGTGTCTGCAGGGGACGGATCTGCGCTATGGTGCTTGCCCATGAGGCGCAAGGCATTGAGATCGAGTATGACGTCGTCTAATGCCGCCTTTTGTGACTGCAGCGTTCGTGTTTGGTTCTCGTGTTCTGACCGGATAGCCGCCATGTCGTTTTCCAGGAGGCTGATGGTCCTGTGGTATCGTTGACTTTGAGTTTTATGTTTGATCCATATTGACTATAAAACCAACCTGTTAAGCTCATCCCTACTCGGGAGTGTGTTGATCTTCTCGGCAATAGCGTCATATTCAATCTTGCGCTTCCGCTCTAACTGGGCGTACTCGAGCGAGGTCTTGAGGTGTTCTATTTGACCCTGCAGAAGGTGATGTTCTGAAGCTTGACGGCAGTGTAATGACGTTCAACGACGAATGCTGCACGTTATGCCACACAACACACCTATACGTTCCCTCTCCCTCTGGTACTCTTGCACTTGCCGCGCCTCGGCCTCGCACACCATCAGATTCTTCTTCAACGATAGATGGAATGACGCCAATTCGACAAGGAATGCTTCTCGTGCATCGTCCACGGGTGATGTGGTCGACGGTGAGAATGGTGCCGCGGTAGTGTTCGCCACTGAGGCGTAGTTATGGAACTTCTTTGTTACCCGCCGAAGAGCTTTCTCGTCGTTGGTGATTCGCATATGAATGATAGCATCTGGAAAAAAAGGTCCTGTATGTGAGCCTACATAGCCAATACTAGATGTTATCCCTAACACACCTTCTTGCTGAATTGACATCGGTGGTGGAACATAGGGCTTTTCCGAGGCAACCACGGGTGTGCCATCCTGCATGGGCTGGTCTGCAAGTCCAGACATAGTGCTCGATGCTGCAGACGACAGCACGAATGAATGTCAACCAAACTCGAGCTACAACGTCTTAGTTTAGAACGCCGAGGTTTGAGATGTGACGCTCCGCCACGACGGTGTCACCGTGACAATTGTACCTCCTGCTTGTCACGCAGAAACGTCCAAGAAATGCCCGCGGACCTGTGACGTCGCGCACGTTCGTGGTCGCCTGCCATTTTGGTCTAAGACATCCTCCAACGGCCCAGCCTGCTGAGCCCGCGGTCGGGTTCGCGAAATCCAATCCTCCTTCCTTCGCCGCTCACCTTCGTAATGTCGACTCAGCCTCTGCTGCAGCGCACGGCCGCAAAGCGCATCGCGCTCCCTGTCAGAGTGGAACCTAAGGTGTCGTTTGCGAATGAGCGCACGTTTCTTTCATGGCTGCACTTCACGGTCGTGCTCGGTGGCCTTGCCGTAGGGCTGTTAAATTTTGGAGACCAGGTACGCCATGTCATTTTGTGTACTCGGCACGGGTTGAAATGCCTCGTACGTCCAGATTGGCAGGATTAGTGCCGCTATGTTTTCTGTTGTCGGTGAGTGCCTATCTAGCTCAGGAGATTGGCCGACTAATGGTCGTGTGACCGACTGCAGCCATGGCTGTAATGCTCTACGCCCTCTACACATACCACTGGCGCGCGAACGCCATCCGTACAGGCGGACGTGGTCCGTACGATGACCGTTTTGGTCCCGTGAGCATGCGTTCATCCATGTTATGCAGTACTCTTACTGAATTATCTCGTAGACAATACTATGCATTGCTTTGCTCGGTATGTTTGCATACTTACATCCTATGTCTGAAATATGCTTAACACGAAAGTAGTTGCTATCGTTGCCAACTTCATTCTACGCTTCACACAGCCCGATGTATAATCTTGCGTCTCTCCACCGTATGGCATGGACGACGCGGGTCATAGGCTGGCGAACACGAGAGCGATTTGATGGAGACATGGACATTGATACCACGATCTCCATGACTGGCCGAACAGGCAGATGCTCCGCACACCTCGATCTCCAGGATTGCTTGCTTAATGTACTGCTGTAGCTGTCGACGTTTTCCTCCTGCTCACGCCATTGCATCCGTCGCTTATGAGGACAGACTGAGGAAGTGCACGGTTGAGCACCGCCGCGGTGATAAATAGTGCATATAACCGTCATTTTCGAAAGCATTCAGGTTACGAGACGAGGTGAGACAGCATCGGGAAAACAAGGCAATAGGCTTTCTACTTCTGTACGCCGGTGAACACTGGCTTCTGGACTTCATGTATAGGCGTCTTGCCCTCAGGGCTGCCGGGAATGACCTTTGCCAGGCCCTGCACAACATGAGAGAATGGGCGCCCTGCAGAATATGTGATTCGAATCAGGACTCACGAATTTCTCGAACATACACTTGTTCAGAGTGCGCTCTGGTTTGCGGCAAGGATAGTACTCCTGTGGCGATCTTCCTATGAGGATGGAAAATCATTGAATTTCAAAGGACGGACCTGGTTACTCTTCTCCAAGCAACTCCAGTGCTGCTCGAACTCCTGGCTGCAGCTCTCCCGCATCTTGGTGATCCTGCGACGGTAGCCGCATTCGGTATTGGACATCACCATAGTATTAGGATGATACGTACAGGTCAATTGCACACCGCGTCACCCGCCGGCCCTCCTTCAGACAGTGTTCAGGGTCGCGATTCTCTCCCTTGCAGAGCATGAAATCCTCTGTACGGTAGACAGCACGTCAATCTTCAAATATAAAGCGGATTAAGATGTAAAATTGGCAGAGCCTCTAAGCTAATAACAATGCAAAGACCGTGCACGCAAAGAATGTATGCACGCACCATTGTAGTCCTTGCAGTACGTCCCAAGGAAGAAGGCAGCACTCTTGAGGGGCGCACTAGTCGCACCGAGCTCGGGAACCTTCGGGACATTGGCCGGGAGAGGCGTGGGGTCCCTGTAGGGCTGCGCCGACTCGGCGGGATCGTGGTACCTGCTCATAGTGGTCGATGTACAGCGATGCGGTCAACGACAACCACCCAACCGAGACTGGCCGTGGGCGCTTACTCTTCCGGATGTGGCGAACGCGATAAGCGCCAATCCTTCCTTGCTCTCTCTTGACATCGACGCGTACAAACTCGCGTATTTACTCGCTCCTCCTCCACCATGGTCTGTAGACTGGGCTCCTCTGCCTTCAACATTGTGGCTGATGCGACTTTGCCTAGCCTCCTCTTCGAGCGCAGCCGCAAACCTACATATTACCACTCAAAACGCATAAATTTACCGCGTACTTAACGGCAAGCCTCGGTGATACAGTTCAGTCTATCAAGGAGGAAGCTCTCGCGGCTCTTAAAGCGGATGTCTTGCGCGCCCCTAATCCGCATGCCGACATGGGCATGATCATTGACACAGACGACGAAGCCGAATGGATAGTGCCACAAGTCCAGAGTGTGGCAGACTTCGAGTTGTGCCGGGCAGTCAAAGAGCGAGGTCGCCCAACAGGTGTCTACGAACTATTGGATGAGAGCATGGTTGTCAAGAATACACTCGCGAACTGGGATGCTGTCTTTGTGCGGTTCAAGAATACCAATGGTGAGTCCTGTCCATCATTCCCCGCACTCCCTTCGTGTCTTCATGTTCCACGTACGAATTATCATACACCTCTGCTCTGACCTCGTGGTCATCCGATTGTCGACGACGTACAAACTTCAAGGCGAGCTGCTCCCCATCAAGGTTTTGTTGCCTCCGGTCCTGGACGAAGAGGAGGACGAAGCGGAGCTGGCGGCGGCGCGGAAGGGAAAGCGCAAAGCTCCCCCCGAAACCCAATGAAGGCGTTATCTCTTGGCATTATATCCGTTGTCCTGCTGTCTGCCGCTATCCTGATCGTTTTGGTGTTCTCTGGTATATCGCGAAGCGGTCGGCTTGTATGAATGTAATCCTCCGTGACGTCAAGATCCTACTGCTGTTCGCATGTTCATTCGTCCCGCGGCCGGATGTCTACGATCACTCTGAGACCCGGCTCCACGACCGAGCGGTAAGAGGCAGAAGGGCCGCCGCAACGCGTCGGCCTTCCTCCGTGAGTAAGTTGTACGTAGAACAGGCATTCCACTAGAGGTCAATACGGATGAGTGCCCCGAAGTGAATATAGTATTTAAGGACACGAACCGTGCTCATCACGTCGACTTGTATACCGGTTTGATTGAGGTATTGCCGAAGTGCAGGAGGGACGAACGACACCGTCTTACCTGTCCCCAACAACAGGATTTCTACAGGCGGCAGAGAATAATTCGACACATTGTGTAGCAACAAGAGTGTCCAAGTCTCACCCGGTTTGGGTACGACCATCTCAAATATTTCGAAATGCTTCTTGTCCCAGCCCTCCCATTGCTTCTCCGGAACATCCCACAGGAAAACTTTACCGTCAAGGAATATGCACGCAGAGGGTATCACAAGTCCGTCCGCGAGCTGAATGCCGTCTGGCGTAATAGTTTTCACCTGGACGGCAGGTGCAGGTCCGCCTTCTAGCATGTTGGTGAAACCACCAGCTTGATTCAGTCTGTACGGCGAGGCATGCAGAAATCGTTGGCCAGATGTCCTTAGAGATAGAGCGCGAGTAGCGGAGCGAACAAGCATGTTCATAGCGAACGAGCGGAAGCAACCTTGAAGGCGCCAGCAGAAGCAGCTTCAAGTAACTTACTGGACTTGATATGACGTGTTGTAGTCTGTAAGTTTGCGTGAATGTAATTTGTGAATTACTTATATTTAGTTACTTCTTATAGTAATGCTTACTTTTCGCTTGTTGACTTGTAACTTCCACTCGTCTGTGGCCACAAATCCCTTGGAGGTGTTTTGTCTTGCCTGGCTCTACTTACTCTTGAGACTTTCAGCGGATCCTAACTCGTGATTCGATAAACCTCAGTGATCCCTCTGTGTTCCTGGACTTTGTGACACCGGAGAAGTGCTTAAATGGCAGGAGCGTCTGCTGCAGACGTCCGTAGTATCCTCTCGCTACCGAACCCGTCAACCCCCGGTCCGTCTCAGCCTCGCAAGCCTTCCAATGCCGGAGAACGCGCACGCAAGCCCGAGGGTATATCTAGAGAGCTATATTCTTTAATAGGGCCTTCGGCTCCATCGCTCGCCGCGCAATTCGTGAAGCCTCGCCTAAAGCAGAAGCCCAACTTTGGGAGCGGCGGTAGAGTTAAATGGTGAGTAATAGAAGTAGGCATTCAACACGTTTGCTGAATTCAGTCGTCTGCTTCCGCGCAGGGAATGGCGTCCCTTCAAGAATGGCGCACGGGCGGACTCTATGAGACTTCATCACTGGGCAAAGACAGGGACAGATCCTGAGGCTGGTATGCTTCGTTCAATTCTGGGGCAATACAGACTACAATCATGCACTCGTGTACTAGACTACCCCTTCGCAAAATATAACATCCAGCCAATATCGTTTGTCTATTCACAAGACGAGTATACGCGATTGTTGGAAGGTGAGCCATTGGCAGGCGCTATCTCTAGAACCCGCGGTGAACAATACGAAGATCAGGAATGGACCAAGGAAGAAACAGACTACCTGTTCGAGCTCGTCCGTGAATATGACCAGCGTTGGCATATCGTCCATGACCGCTACGAATATATTGGAGGGTCAGAGAGAAGCCTTGAGGTTTGCCTGACGAGCTTTGTGCAATATCTCTGCGCCTCATAAGATCCCTCAGGACCTTAAAGATCGCTACTTCACTGTCTGTCGCAAACTTGTGAAGAACAGACCATGGGCTGGGGATGAGGCTAGCAAATCGCAACTCTTGTCGAGCCTGCAATTTGACAAAGGTGAGGCGTCAATAGATATCATGATGCCTTTGTTCATCTTTTGGTGGTCTCAGAGCGAGAAATCACGCGCAAGAGGTACATCGCCAGTCTCGAGAGTCGCACGCCGCAGCAGAAAGCGGAAGAGGATGCTCTGTATGTCGAGCTGAAGCGTCTTGAACAATCGGAGAGGCGGTTCAAGCGGGAACGAGACGAACTTCTTCGCACCCTCCTCGGAATCGAATCCGGTCTGTCTGAGCTACCACTGGACGAGGAGGGAATTGCCACTGGTCCTCCGGATACGAAGAGGAGGAAGAAGGGAAACCACACCGCTGAACCAGACACGCCGATCTCGGCGACACCCTCGTCCAACGTCATATCACTAGGGCAACCTCAGCCGAGAAAGGCACAGACCGCGAAGTCTGCAGCATATGGTACGTGACCTCGATGCCTAATATTCCGTTATAGGCTGAGCGAATCGTACAGACGCTCTGCATTTCATATATCGAACTGAGGTACCACCGACTACAACTTCTACCACGAAGGCTTCGCATCAAGCAGCTTACCTGCGCTCGTATAAACTACCCCAACCCAAAATTACGTCCGCAGCGAAGGTCGCTCAGGTGCTCGGAGAAATTGGTATCTCCCATGGGCGTCTCGTCATGCCCACTCGAGACAACTGCGTGCAATTAGAGAGCTTGCTCGAAGCCGCCACAGCGCTTGTTGAGACCAAGAAGGTTGTCGACAAGGTGGAGCAGGATATCCGTGTGCTGAAAGCTAGGCTCGGAAAACGAGAGAGCGAAGGAGCTGAGGATAGCTTCGGTACTGGTGAGGCAGCGCCGACACCCATGGACGTGGACGAGGTCGAGGCTGAGGCAGACGGCCGCGCACAAAGCGTGGTGAGCACGAGGAGTGCGAGGAGCGTCCGGAGCCGGAAACAGGTGAGCAGTACTCGACTGCCGTTCGAAAATTGTGTATTTATAGGGCCTTATTTACGTAGTCCCGACGGTCCATGTCTATCTCATCGGTAGACACCTCTGCTGCAGGTGCATCTAGAAGGCAGAAGCGTCAGAGGGATTGAGTTGTGTTTTGCATGCTTTGGTTCTGCTGTACTGTTTTTTTTTGCTTAGTTGCATTCGATATGAGCATCGTGTCTAACGCTGAGTGCATGTTAAATAAGTTCGACCCCGCCATACGCGCACGACGCGTGCTATAACGCGGCGGTGCGCGCGACGAGACGCGTCTCACGCGTCTCTTGGCTGCTCGCTCACGTTCGGTGCCATTGTATATAATTGGCCCATACACGTATGCTACCCGCCCTTCGGCCTGCAGGAGGTCGTCTCAATCAATGGGCACGTAGCTACGCTACAGCACTGACTCCCGACCGCTCTATATACGTGTCAAATTCGACAAACCCATATTTCAATCTCTCTTTGGAGGATTGGTGAGCATATATATAGGCACGACTGACTCACGTATCTCCGCCTTACCGACTTAAGGCTCTTCAGACACAAACCGCATAAGGAACCTCTGCTGCTTATCTATCGTGACGAGCCATGCGTGGTCATAGGCAGAAACCAGAACCCATGGAAGGAGGTGAATGTGCGAGCTTCCCGGCGGACTGGCATACCGTTCATACGTAGGAGAAGCGGAGGAGGGACCGTTTATCACGTAGGCGTCCCAGGCTGGATTGGCCTCTGAACATGCTCACCCGTCTTTGTACAGGACCTCGGCAATACGAATTTCTCCATCCACTTGCCGCGCACGTCCTTCGACCGCCATGCCACAGCACAAGTGATACTCAGGGCAGTTCGTAGCCTCGGCATCAATGCACATGTGAACGACCGGAATGACATTTGCGTGGGGAAGGAAAAGATAGGTACCTTCCAATGCATACCCTCAAATTGTGCTGACTTACTGTCGCTACGATACGTGTCGGGCTCCGCATACAAGATTGTCAACAACCGGGCGTACCACCATGGAACTATGCTCATCTCTACACGATTGGACATGTTAGGGGACCTGCTCCACTCTGACAAGGCAAGTCAGGCCGTCCCGAGGAGTCAAATCGATTGAAGCTTAGACGACAAGCAGGAAACCATGCACACGAAAGGCGTTGCGTCTGTCCGCTCGCCAGTACACAACTTACAGCAGTTCAATCCATCCGTCAGCCATGAAAGGTTTATCGAATCTGCAGTACTCGCATTCCGCGAGGAGTACAGACTTAACGACGACGTGAGCTTCCTGAAATACATTGGCATGCGTCGCGGAAACCTACTGACGCGCTGCCATATTAGATATACTATGTAGACGAGAACGAGGACACACGAAACATCGATTTCATTCGTGATGTAATGACCGAGCTGCCAGTATGTTTATCAATGCTTGCCAGGGCGATGCCATACTCAAGGAATGCGATATGTTCTCAGAGTTGGGACTGGGCCTACGGCCAAACTCCAGAATTCACGCATGCCGTCCAGCGCTCGTTTGCTTGGGGCAACACCGTAAGCACGCCAGCTTTTGGATCCCTGCCAGACGTTGATTGCCCGCCAGGTTGCGGAGTTGCACTCGAAACACGGAATCATCATATCCTGCGAGTTCGTGCTGCCTGACGGCGTCGATCCGTCCCTCTCAGCACGGCTGAAGGCTATGGCAGACAGGCTGAAGGACCAGCGGTATGGTTTCGTAGACGACTCCGTGATAGAGTCTGAGATGCGGGGTAGCAGCGAGCTGTCAGATGTCTGGCAATGGTTGAGGTCAGAGATGGATAGTTAACGCCACGCTCAGTATATTGTTCTGGTTGCTTTCTTGTATCCGATGTGTTCAGGTCAGGCAGTGGTACGAGATGGATGCAGTCGGATAGCAATATGCAGGAGAATGACATGGAGGCGATCTCTCGGGCTCACGAAGCCCTTTCTGTGTACCATACGCTGCTGGTCTCGAACCCCTCCGGCGCTGTTGGGGTTGACTGCGGCATTCTCAGAATATAGGGTGCAGGGCCAGAACTGACACAACTCACCGTCTGCCCCCGCATGTGTCCTGTCAACCTCTTGTCCCTGTCCATCATCATCTCGTCCCAAGCATCAATGTGGTAACGGACGGGCTAATATCGCAGGGTGCCAGCTAGCTGAGAAACGAGGCGGCTATATACTCAGAGTAGTCGCACCTTGCCCTGGTTCTGTGCTCTCTTGGAGATATTGAGCAGCGTGCCCGCTGCAGCAAACATGGTCGTGACAAGACCTGACCGGGAGATTTTTCAGCGTACAAAATCCATGCCTATTCACATACATCAACATACCGAAGGGGATGAGGGCCTCCCATGGGACGGGCATGTTGGCGAGCTGGTCGGTACTTTACGCTATGAGCTCAGAGCTACCCGCTGGACCCGATCGCGGTCGCGGTGTGTGACTTTCCGTGACAGGCAATATCAAGGGCGTGACTGTGACCAGTTCTCCGAGTCTGAGCCGAATCTCGCGGCCTCAGCCTCCGGTTGTTCATAAAACACCCAAAGTTAAACAAGTGCTATTCTCATATCTATCCCAAAGACCGTACAATACAAAGCTCTAGTCATTTGTCCATTCAAAAACGTGATAAACAGGAAGTCATTTATGCATTCAGGACTGTCGCTTGCTCAAAGGTACCCTTAATGATATCCGCCGCTGTACGCCACACAAGACATTAGTACATCGCTTTGTGTTTTAGCAGAGGAGGAGGAGGACGTACCTTGCTCTGCAATAGCATAAACTGTGGCTAAGATGGATATCAGTGCATGCCATTAGAACGTCAGCGGTAGAAATGTTTACCTTGGGGGTGGGCGCCGAAATGCAGGGGAACCACAGAAAGATCGACCACACGAATATTGTTTGTTCCGTATACCTGAAAGCAAGTGGATTAATATCGGATAACCTCCTGCATGAAATATGAGGTTCTACCTTGAGCGCAGGATCGACTACACCTCCTTTCGGCTGTGGCAACATGGAACATGTCCCAGCAGTATCTACGAAAACAAGGGAATGATTCAGGGGGAGTACGTCATTGGAACAGACCCGATACTCACGCCAAGTTGTTCCGAAGTACGTTTTGATCCATTCTGCAGAAACGATAAGCAGGAAATCGGCGCACAAGGCAAGTCCTGGCATACCACGAAGCTGGCCATCGTCTTCAACCGAGGGACCAGGATTGACCTCTTTCACTGTCGACGCGTTATAACGGAGGCTGTAACAAGCGATAGCTGACGACTTACCGATCATGTCTTTCAGCGGCGATACCTGCGACAGGCCTCTCACGAACTTCGTTGTTTCGCACCAGATATCAAGATCTGATGTAGTGTAAGATACTCTTGTATCGAACGTAAGCTAAGGGTTTGTGTACGCACCGACTTCTTCTTCAAGATAGTGAGGGTCGAACTCTGGTTCTTTGCGAGGATTAGAGGAAGTGGAATGCTTTCGGAAATTTATGAGATTAATGCAGCTTCATGAATCGCTAGGCAAGTGCTTACAACTGTGCCACGCGAGAAACAGTGGTTCATCGCCACGAGCAATGTCAGATAGCGTTTCCCATTTTCGGGTTGACCTGCAAAACGGAAATCAGCAGGCAGATAGGTAGAGCTCGTGAGCTTACAAGGTGCAGACAAATGGCCTGGGAAGCTGATAATCTCACAGCCAGGGGCATCGGTTCTCAGACGCTCCAGCTGGATCTTGTATTGTTCCAGTAGGCCAGGAGGATACTTGTCTGCGTTCCGCACAATCTTCTCTTCAGCCGCTTTATAGATGTCGCCGCTTTTGTCGGACAGCATGCTCAGTGGGACGAATGCAAATCCAACAATTCCTTTGGTGAAAATGCCTGAGCCAAGAGAACTGAGATATAAATCAGGAGAACCCGTTTCTGGAGAGGGCTCTTCACCGACTCACTGTAGCTCGAGATGTTGGGCAGCGAATACAGGGTCACGGAGCAAATCCACGGTATCGAAGTCTACATCGTCACGCAATTCTATAACATGGTTAGTCGCATCGGGCACAGAGTAAAAGAGATGACATTGTTGTTCACCGAAACTGACGCCGATGAATGTGTGTTCCTGACTGTTCTCTCCGACACCAGGGAGCTCAAGTTTGAGCGGCACGCCAGCTTTTGCTAAGACTTCTTTGGACCCTATTCCGGACAACTCGAGGATCTGGGGCGATTTCAAGGATCTACACGAGGTCAGTACAATCATTAGCTGACGGCACGCGTCCCGTTTATAAACCATAAAGGCTGACCCTGCTGACAAAATGACTTCCTTACGGGCGTTGACCGTACACTTTTTGCCTCCATGCTCAAACTCGACTCCAACCGCACTCAGCTTGCCACTCTTTGTCCTTTCAGTGCGGACGTAGTCGACTGCGGCGTCGACAAGGACTGCAAGATTCTCACGACCCTTGTTAGGCGTGTAGAATGCCTGTACCCCATATTGTAACGAGTTGTAAAATCTGCTGGTTACTTCACTCACTGTGGTTGCATATGAGCGGGTGTGCGACGCAGGATCATAAGTGTTTGGAGCGAGGAACACTCCTGTTGGCTGTCGGAAAGGGTTTCATAAGAGACATCATAAGAACACTGCTGCGACGTACGTCTCCACTCAGCTATGCGTCACCGCATTAGAGGTCAGTAGAAGGTGTTATACACTTCATCTCATGACGAACCGGAAGAGGTGCACTGGGAAGCCCAGCGTTAATCAGGGTCTGTCAAACATGAATATGTTTGTGAGTGTTAGAAGGCCATATGACAATGCGAATCGTATTACCTGCAATATTCTTGACTCGGCCTCGTCGATTGTGCCTGGATACGTAATTCTGAGGGGGCCTATGTGCACGACACTGTGTCAAGAACTGAAGGGCCGAGATAGACTAACCCATCACTGACCATCCCGCCCCATTCTCCAAGAGTCGAAGCACATGTTGTTCCTCTTCTGTACATCAAGGTTTGGGGCCAGGAAACTAGCCCGTGAAAGCTCGCGTGAGTACCGGCACGGCTAAAGACCAAAGGGTGAACATACCCTTCTGTCCTCGAGAGATATTTCTCGTAGTTCTTCCAGTTCCAACCGGGGTTACCAAGCTTCTCCAAGTCTGCGCACAGCAGTGAATATGACCATCTCCCGTTTACGGACTATCTCACCATCAATATCATTGGCATGGGGCTTTGTCCAGCACATGAAGTTGATGCTGGAGCTTCCACCCAAGCCTTTGCCTCTGAAAGTCCAAGAACATTTAGTCAATGAAAATCGATACAGTCAGGCTTTTTGACCTCTGCCAAGTGTGTTGTGTGTCGCCGGTGTTCCTTTGCTTGGTCTGCACGGTTATCAAGGCATCAGCACCCAAAACAGAAGCAAGGGAAGGCTATTTACAGTCTGATATGTCCAAGTGTACGCGTCGTTCGCAAAATGAGAGGCCCAGCTTGCCGGACGCACTACTCATGATGTCAATATGGAAGGATACCGCGTGTGTCTAGTGAACTGACGAATTGCGGGATCGTCAATGTTCGTTCCCCCAGCTTCCAGGACCAGCACGGAGACGTTTGGATCCTCGCTGAGGCGCGCCGCGAGAGTGAGCCCTGCGGTCTGAGTCGCATCAACATCGTGGAAATACAACTACAACAACGGTCGAGGCTTACTCCGCCACCTGAGGTGGACATGGCCAGGTTCAACGGACTTATGAGCGCGCAAGCAGATATGAAACGCACCGCAAATTACATAGTCGAAAAAGCGGTTGGAGACATCGTCAAGAGAGGCAGACATGTTTCGCGGGCGAGCACGGGTAACGCAAGAAAGTGGGAGAGCGGAAAGTGTGGTGCAACGTCGCTCGGCACCGGGGCGTGTCTTATATATCGGCTTGGACGTGCCATGGCACCTTCTTCACCATGTGCTAGGTGACCATGATCAATATCAAAGGAAGGGGTCTTGCTATTCTTATCATTCAACCTCCGCGTTTGGAAAACGCAGGAAGATGTGACGCCTGAGGATTTAGGGAAGATGCCAAGGGTACTGGCCAAGAGCCGGGCAGCGCTTCCCATGCCGCCCGGGATCTTCATTTACATCATTTTGGCTCGTCGAACGGGTTGACTGACCTTGAACATGAGCTGGAATGATGAAGGCAGTGAGCAAATGGGGCGTTGGCAGCAGCCCAGCGTTCATCCCACAGACCGGATGATTAACCCGAACTGCAACGTGTCTAATTTAAGGGATGGGATTGGGACAGATATGCCATGTACAGAAGAGCTCACAGTTGACGACGACGTGCGCATGTCCAAGATGTGCTTCTTAGTTGTTGTCAGCCAATCAGCGTGCCCGCACGTGAGTTTGTGGACCGATCGATCTGCCTCCGGGACCCATCTCGGACCTGCACGAGCGCCGGTCACGACGCGTGTTTCATCAATGGAGTGGGGGCCAACTGGTGGACAGCTTCCCGACCTGTTCATCGTGGCCATCACCGTACCAACAGCCCGGCTTTCCACGTTCCGTCGCGGGACGGGGGATGACATCGATGACGCCCGTTAGTCAGGATGACAGAAGGTAAGATCCGTCCCCGATGTCAGTCTTGGTTCTTGCCTATTTGCAGGCTCGAAGGCGCCATTTCCACATCGGGCTACAACGTCTTCTCGCGTGCCTGTGCGCTCATGTGCATGACCTGCATGTCAAAGCAAGTCGAGACCTCCATGAGTAAACGGATATCAAGCCGGCCGCTTGCAATGTCCGGGACAGAGGTCAAATTGGCCCGCACTGATTATACATACTACTTATACCCCCAGTGTTGGTACAGCAGGTATCGTACATTCCGTATTTGACTTGCCGTCTGCAGCGTTCAACGGTCATTCTCCATCACCGCCACCAGCTGTCCCAGTATTATACCCATCCCCCTAATCTAGCCGACTATGGCCGCACACACCGGTCCGCAACTTTCCCTCGCATCCCTTGATGCCCGCCAAGAGCGCGCCCCTGAGCCTTTCATCGAACACAAACATGAGCGCGGGCCTCGCCAATCGTTCATCCTACCTCTGCACACCATGGCTGCCGCTGCCACGCAGACCCTCTACCAATATTCCTGGTTCAGCCCGGGCTTCGCGCGCTACCGCCGCGCCGCGCTCAGGTCTTACGTGCTCTCCAACGTCGCGAACTGGATCATCATGTGGATCAGTCTCGCCGTCGTGTATGGCGCGTACTTCAAGAACAACCAGCTCGGCAAGCTGCCGGTCTATGTCGTCGACTTCGACGGCAGCACCCTTGGCGCGCAGGTCGTAGACGCGTTCAGGGCGTCCCTCGCGCAGCCGAATCACTTTAAGCTGATATTTGACGCACCGTTCACGTCCAATGCGGAGGTGCGACACGCCGTCTACGACGAAAAGGCCTGGGGCGCCGTGGTCGGTAAGGACGCGCCACCTCTAAGCACAGATATAAATTAAATTAATTGACATTCACGCTAATATAGTGAACCGCGGAGCGACAGATGCCCTGCAGTCCGCACTGGCATCCGGAAACGCCAGCTACGACCCAGCATCCGCGATCGAGGTCATCTCCGAGGGTGCACGGAACGCGCTTACGGCGAACAGCCATGTCGTTCCGAATATTCTCGCTATCCTCGCGCCCGTCGTCACGGCCGCAGCAGAAAACGCGACCGCCGCATTCCTCTCTGCGCACACAGACGACCCTGCGGCGCTCCAGACGGCGCTACGCTGCCCACGGTGCCTCGCGACCGCGTACGCGTACACGCAGACGGACCTGCGCCCAGCGGACAATGCCTCGGCGTTCGGCGCCGTGCTCAGCGGCGCGATCGCGGTAAGCGCCACATTTATCCCGTGTATTTGTGCGGCTCGTTTGATGCGAACGTTTGCCCGCAGCTCATCGTGTTCACGTTCACCGTCGCGGGCACGAGCAATACGATCGGCCTCGCCATCGGCGAGCATCTGAACATCCCATCCACCATCGTCTGGAGGATCCTAAATTGTCTCGTCGCATATTTATTCATATCGCTGTCCATCACCGGCGTCCAGGCGGCCTTTGGCATACCGGTGACCGTGCCGTTTGGCGGGCGGGGATTTATTATTCTGTGGATGTGCGTGCGCCTCGCTCAGTTTGTCGGGCGTTGAAGATGCTGACATACTCGCCGTCCTGGCTAGGCTGAATTTCCTGACTGTTTCCTGTGCGTCGTCTCCCACTTCTTCTTTCCCGAGCCAACGGCTCTGATGTGATGCGCGTCTGCAGCGTTTGGCTACGCACTCGAAGCGATCGTGACCACATTCGGCATCTGGATCAATAATTGGTTCCTCAACTTCTGTGAGTGACATTTCTCCGCTGTCCGCTGTCCGATGGTTTGGGCATATGTCATTTAAACGCTGACTGTTGTCAAGGGGTGTTCTGGAATTCGGCGGCGGCGTCCTATTCAGCCGAGTTGATGCCAGGCTTTTATTTGTACGACCTCGGGTTTCCGCTCGTGCACGCTGTAAGTTGTCTACTTGACACACGGATTGCATGCGACAATTGTTGATTGACTTCACGCACACATATACAGATCCAGGGCACGTCAACAATCATGTACGGGACCAAGAGCCACCTTGCTACCAACTTTGGTGTCCTCGCTGCTTGGACTGTCGGCTGGGCTGCAGCGATGTCAGTCGCGACAATCGTGCGCCTCAGGTGGAATATGCGCCAAGGCTATCATCAACTTCCTTAAGATACGAGACATCCAGCCACACACTTTAATGTACTCGGGGACAGGTTCACTGTAGGTCAAAAAGCTCGTATCGTCGCTCGTCGAGATTACGGTAGTCAGCATGTCAGCGGAGAAAGTGTGGTTAATATTGCGGGTGCCAATACTAGTACATATATAATGTTAGCGAGACGGTAATTGCGGGGCGAATTCTGCATAGTGTGTGTGCGGTCGATGCGTTAATGAAGCGTGTAATACGATCGTCAGTGAGTCAATGATGGGTTCCTTGATGTATGCAATATGAATGAGCAGCAAATTCTATGTCCCCTGCTACGCGCTGCGGCTCATCTCCCAGTCGCGCCCCGGGTCTTCGTCTCCATCGTCGACGCCGGCCGTCGCGCGCGCACCGTACTCGCATTCCCCTCCTGCTCGAGCGCCCGCGAAGTCGGCCTCCGCGACGTCTGGGCCCGGATGGTCGATGCGTCCACAACCGTTTTGCGGCTCGACGCGCGGATCGTCCGGTTGCTGTCCCCCCGGGTCGTCGCAGGGCGCGGCAGGCGGTCGCCCGGGACACCCGGCACCCGCCGCCGCTTGGCGTCCGACGGGTCGCCGCTCCCATCGCTGCCGGAGCCGCCAGACTCGTCCTCGCCTTCGTCCGCGGACACGTTCGCCGACGAGTCCGGGTGCTCGCGCGCCGCGGCGCGCAGGCGTGACTGGAGCTGCACCGCGGACGGACGCGCCCCGAGGGCTTTTGTGTCCGCGGCCGGCTTGATACGGATGCGGTGGGCCTTGTTGCCGATGGCGGCGCCGCTTTTCGTGGAGTCGGTGCGAGGCAGCCGTCGTTTTTTCCCGGCGACGGACGCGCTGTCGGTCGTCAGGGTCGTGGAGGCGACTGAGTTCGACCGTGTGAGCAGCGAAGACTCGTAGTCGGTGGTGCTCAGTTTGGTTGACCTACTCGCCAAGCTTTCCGAAGAGTTAGAGGCCAGGGGACGCGCGGCCGCCACCGCTTCGCGGAGGTGTTTCTTGTGGCGCGGGGTGCGCAGCGTCACGTCGAAGTCATCCTCTTCTTCTATGTCGTCTTCGTCTTCGTCCCCCGTCTCCTCTTCGTCTACGTCCATACCGTCCGCAACGAAACTGTCCTCCTGGGTTCCGTTCACGTCGTCGCTCAAGTCGTCAGCAGAGTCGGAGTCCGGGAACTCATGCGACGACTTGAGCGACTCGTGAAAACCCTCTGGCATCTCGGAGGTCGTGTGACCCGGCAGCCCCGGCGGTAACTGGTCATCCATAGAGTCTTCGGGGACATCGGCAAGGGAGGCCTTCACGTTAAGCGCAGGTAGTCTTGGTGGGACGGGTAACGGCGTTGCGGGGTACGCAGAAGGGAATGCTGGATATTGCCTCCAGTCATCTACAGCTGCCGCAGGTCGCGATGGCGTAGTCTCTTCGAATGGGGGAGGGTTGTCAGCCGGAGGCGTTGGAAGCCCAGAAGGATTGGTCGACGTATCAGCCTCATATGCAGACGCGGGCGGATGCCAGACTTCATAGGGCGGCGGTGCAACATCGGAGTCTTCAGCTTGCGGTCGTGATCGGGATGCTCTTGTCGCAGGTCGGGGAATGCCAGTTGACTTCGTGCGTACAAACGTCTGCCTGGCCGGTGGATCCTGCGCAGTCCTACCTCTGGACGATGTGGTGCCACGTGTGGCATCGGACCGGGCACCCTTGAGGCGCGAGCTTCGGGTGGGTTCCACCTCAAAAGCGGGCATAGCACTCTTGGAACGCTGGGCACTTTTGCCAGATCCGTTTGTTGATTTGGGGGTCTCAGCTGCCGACTGCTTGGCCTGTGTTGACTTTGCGCCCGAGGAAGTCCATCGTCTATAGTGATTTAGGACGAAATGGACGGGGATCATAGTGAAGAGGATGAAGAGGTCGCCAAAGGTAGACGCGAACTCCAGTGACGCGTCGAGGGTGGCAGCATAAGGCTTGATGAATGGCCGCACCACGTGAAGAAAAATGGGCTCTGCCCCCTGAAAGTATGATGCACGCGTTAGAATAAGGATTCGCCCACAAATAGTAAAGCGTACATACACGAGCCCTCGTGAAGAGGAAGAACAGGATGACTAGGGATTTCACCTCATCGTAGAAGGGAACAAAGAGTCTGACCATGGAATCGACTGTTCGTTCGTACACGGCGAAGCAGCCCTACCGATGGGGGAATATCGTCAGTAGCCACACCAACAAAGAGCCGTGAAATGGTAGCACTTACCCATACGATCCAGACAGACATACAACCTTTCATCGCGCGTTTTCTTTGGCTCATCGCGCGTGCGCTTGGCTGGCCGTTATTCTTGCTTGAAGGAGGTGGCAGCCTTAGAGTCTTGAATGTGTCGAATACATTTATGAAGACGTAGGCCATACGCAGAGCAGGGACGATCAAAGGCATGATTGAGAATGAGCTCGTAGGCGTTGCTCAGAAAGTATGTCAAGCCGCGAGACACAGGGGACAAGAGCTGGGACTTTCAACTACTTCAGGCCAAACAACAGTAAGTGCTGTCCCAGAATGGGCCACCGATACCTGAAGTGGTCGAGCTGTTGGTATTAAGAGGCAGAAAGTCACCCAAGTGCACGAGGGAAGTCGCTATATAGCAGCAGAAGGATGCAAGGCCTGCACTCCCGCGGCAAGCGTTCTATGAGCGAGTCGCGGACGGACGGAGGCGACTGAGACGGCGTCTATGCCGCGTTCAACGCGTCTTCAACGAGGCGCCTTACGTAAACCGCGTTTCGCTCTCCTTCCCCTTCCACCTCGCGCCACAACCACCACCTTCTCTCCAGAGTCCTTCGATTCAGACATTGAAAGCCCCCGGGTATGCCGAAGATACGGACGACCAGAACTAAGAGGCCTCCTGAGGGGTTCGAGGATATAGAAGCGGTACGTAGGGCAACTCCTGCCCGCCGCAAGTCATCCTGACACAACTCATAATTATCTGCAGATCCTCGACGACTACGCGAAGAAAATGCGCGACGCTGAGAACGAATCCCACGAAGGCAAGCGCAAGGCCGAATCCCTCTGGCCCATCATGCGTATATCGCACACTCGTTCACGGTACATTTATGAGCTGTACTACAAACGCGATGCTATTAGCAAAGAGCTATATGACTGGCTGTTGAAAGAAGGATATGCAGATGCAAAGTATGTTCTTACTCTGCTCGCAGTGTGCATGCTCTTATCGTGTTTCATGTAGCCTCATTGCTAAGTGGAAGAAACCTGGATATGAGAAGCTCTGTTGTATTCGGTGCATACAGACAAGGGTGCGAATGACCCGCGCTCTCCGCAATAAGCTGTGCTAACCGGGCCTGCGTCAGGATATGAACTATCAAGGATCAACGTGCATCTGTCGTGTACCTAAAGGCCAGCTGAGGGCGGGGACGATCGTAGAATGTGTGCATTGCGGTGTGTACATCTTTCATCTGTCGCATTATAGTTCAGTCTGACGTATTCCTCAGGATGTCGCGGATGTAGTTCCGACTCATGACCTCTACTCGTACCTGGATCAATCCTCCTGATGAGAAAAGTGTAGTGGATTTGAAGGCTGGTGCTGCTCACTCTCTGTACGTTACTATACTTGTTCTACTGCTATGAATGCACTTGCTTTCGAATTGCCAAACTCTATCTCAAGTAGTGGTGCGGATACCAGATGTTCTGTTCCTGGCCAGGATCCGAAACATTCGGCTTATCCGAATTTGGTATGTATCTGACACAGCCCGCAGTCGCGCTACTACCGCATCTGCAATCATGGCGTCTCAGCCGACTGTGAGACAGTTGTGTCCGCGTTAACACGGAAGTTGCACAAATTTAGCCTGAGGGCCTTAAGCTTTATCTGCTTCCGCACTCACTGAACCCCCTGATCGTGGGGCTCTCACACAGCGAGTCTCCCATCTGCGGTCAACAATGGGCTTCCTGACTAGAGATGTGGGCGATGTCGTGGAATTAGCGAAGCGGGCCTCAGCGTCATCAGTACGTTTTCCCTGCTCGAAGAGATTCCTCCTATTCATGAGCAAGCAGCCTAGCATATTTAATGGGTTGAATCCGTCAACGTATAATGCCAGCGATCCTTTCCCCCTATGGGTGATTCAAGTCGGTGCGTTGTGCAGTGCTGGTTCGCCGGTAAACTGAATACGAGGTTTTGCAGTCGTTATTATTGGCATGACCCAGTTACTGGCGTTGATTCTGGGACGCATACGGCAGCCTCGCGTCATCTCAGAGGTGATTGGTGGTGTCCTGTTAGGCCCGTCTGTTATGGGGCGCATTCCAGGATTTTCAAACACTGTGTTCCCCAACAACGCCTCCATCGCCATCTTGACGCTCACGGCCGACATTGGCCTTATTCTGTTTCTCTTCCTCGTGGGACTGGAAATCGACGTCCGTGTAATGCGTCGGAATGCCAGGGCGTCTATCGCGATATCCCTTGCAGGTCTCATTGTTCCCCTGGGCTTGGGCGCAGCACTGGCCGTGCCGATATACCACAACTTCATCGACCAATCCGTCAACTTCGGCTATTTCATCTTGTTCGTGGCCGTCGCGGTGGGAATCACAGCATTCCCTGTTCTATGCCGTATCCTCACGGAACTGAAACTCGTGGACACAACCGTCGGTGTGGTGGTACTTGCCGCGGGTGTCGGAAACGATAGTAAGTGCGCTCAAGGATGCCAACCTTCCGCTGATTGACGCGGCCATGTAGTCATTGGCTGGGTGCTCCTTGCACTGACCGTGGCCCTCGTCAATTCCTCCAAGGGAATCACAGCACTCTGGATATTACTGGCTGCTGTGGCATATATCTTGTTCCTGACCATTCCTGTCCGGTGGGGTTATCGCTGGCTTGCCCGGCGCACCGGAAGCCTGGAGACTGGCCAGCCTTCATTGCTCATGATGACGGTGACAGTGGTCATCATCTTCATATCCGCTTTCTACACTGATATTATCGGAATTCATCCCATCTTCGTAAGTCTCGTTGTCCGTCGGATTACCCTTGCTGATACATAGCATGCAGGGCGGCTTCCTAGCTGGTCTCATCATACCTCACGATAATGGCTACGCTATCGCCCTCGTTGAGAAGGTGGAAGATCTGGTCTCGGTTCTGCTTCTTCCTCTGGTAGGCTACATACCTTTCACTGACGAGCACACCAATCTCATTCGTCATATCGGCAGTATTTCGCCTTATCTGGCCTGCGAACCAACCTGGGCTTATTGAACAACGGTATCACTTGGGGCTACACCATCCTCATTTGCGTTGTCTCGTTCTTCTCCAAATTCTTGGGTTGTTCCATCTCCGCGAGGCTCACTGGTTTCAGCCTCAGAGAATCAGGCGCCATCGGCTCACTGATGGCATGTAAGGGGTATGTCCTCTTTGGTCCCGTTTAGTCATGCACGGCTAACGTGGTGGATCTGCTGCCAGCCTGGTGGAACTGATCGCGCTGAACATTGGCCTCCAGGCCGGGATCCTCAACACTCGCGTGTTCTCCATGTTCGTGCTGCATGCCCTCGTCACCACGTTCGTCACCACCCCGCTCGTGCTGATGTTCTACCCGGAGAGGTTCCACGTGCGCGTTTACAATCCAGCCAATACCGGGATGAAGAAGGCGCACCACGAGAGTGGCCACCACGATGTTGCGCCTGATGGCCTGAAGACCAGGTTCACCGTGGCCCTTGATAGGGTTGAGCAGCTGCCCGCTGCCATGACCCTAGCGCACTTGCTGCATAGCCCAGAGCCCACCACACCCTGCGAGTCGCCGAAGCTGGCCGACAACGAGACCAGTTTGACCGTCTACCGCGGCGGCCAAGTCTCCGTCAACGCTCTCCGGCTCATCCCCCTCTCTGACAGAACATCCGCGGTGTTCAAGTCGCACGAGACGGAGAGCCTTATCCGGAGCGACACCATCCTCAGCGTCTTCGGTACCTTCGGGCACCTCAATCGCATTGCCGTGTCGAGCGCATTGTCTGTGCTCAGCCCGGAGGACTACTCGGCGCACATCATCAACTATGCTCGCGAGACCGCATCGCAGATGATCGTCCTCCCCTGGACCATTGCGCCGTCCTCCAGCGGGGCAGCGTCGGACAATGCTGAAGTGATAACGTCCGCAAGCTCCGCTTCTGCGGACAGCGCGCTGGACGGCCTCTTCCAGATGTCCTCGAACGTCATCCGGAAGCTGTTTATCGAGTCGCCGATAGACGTTGCACTCTTTGTCGACAGAAGTTCGCTGCAGCCGGTCGGCGGACGTCAGCACGTCTTCCTTCCCTTCTTTGGTGGCGCAGACGACCGCCTGGCACTGACATTCGTGGCGCAGCTGTGCATGAGGCCGGACGTCACTGCGACAGTGCTCCGTGTCAAGCTCGGCGCGATGGCGAAGCTCACGCCGTACAGCACGGCCGAAGACTCCCCGAAGGGCGCAGACATAGACTCTGCAATCCCTACTTTAGCTTATGTGAGTTCCAGCCTCCCCTTTTCCCCATAATTTGACTGATGAACGTCCAATCTCGCAGACACCGTATCCCGATACGGTGTACGCAGCCGACAGCACGCAGACACGATTGGAATCTGACACAGCGGATGATCTGCTCTGGGGCCAGTACGTCTCTTCGACAGAAGAAGCTGGGGCTGCGGCACGCATGTCACTGAAGGAGCTGTATGCGGAGCGACCCTTGCATGAGGTCCTGCAGGCGGCGAGGGAGGTCGCGCAAGCGGACGTGCAACTGCTCGTTGTGGCGGGACGCTCCCGGCGCACGTCGCAAGGTCTGCAGAACGCGGAAGTTCGTGAGCTCTGTACGGAGCGCGGGGTGTCTTTCAACATTGAATTGTCGAAGACGATGGGCGATGCGGCTGCCGCATTCGTGGTCGACAACGTCCGGGGAAATTTGCTTGTGATGCAGAGAGCGCAGAGACACCCATGATTATTTACGAATGATTTTGTCACATACTATGTTATTGCTACCTGTATTACTTTGCCGTAAGGACAAGCTTGCCCGAAGGATGCAACGCCACTGTTTCCTTTTGTGGTATGTATGCATGCCTCTTAAGGAAGCCCACGTGGGCAGTGGCTGCAAGGACGCGATAATAGCGCTCGGACAAGACACTCGCCATCGAGCTGATGTCGTACACACCGAACGATGCGACCACCAATGAGGCGGACACGCCGAAAAAGCCAGCCATCCATGTAACTATCCAGCCACGCTCTTACCTCCTCCCTGGGGCAGCCGTCCTAGTAGGCACGATGATCGGCCTCCGGCGTGGTGCGCGCACGGCGTCGCTGCAATTCCTGGCTGAGAATGCACACCGGCCGCCGACGACGGTGCAGGGGTGGTACTTTTACAACAAGACGAAGAATTATCGCGTGCTGATGAGCGGGCTGAAGGAGGCGGGGAAGGAGGCGTGCAAGCTGGGTGCAACAGCGGCTATATGGGTCGCCATCGAGGAGGGGTGCTCACGGCTGGGCGAGCCATGGACTGAGGCGAGCGAGGTCGCGGCGGGATTGGGGACCGCAGGCGTGTTCTCGGGCATATGTGAGTCGGCTTCCATTTCGCCATCCTGATTTGCAATTCGCGCCTTTTTGTGCGCTGCGGACTGGCAAATGTTCTGCGTGGAAATTTGTCCTCACCTGTATTCCCTGTGCACACTTCTCTATGCGGCTGGTGCTGACCGGGCCTGGAATAGACCGACTGCCATGGAAAGCAGCGCGCCGTGCGCTGGTGTTGGGAGTGAGTATAGGGGCGGTGCTTCGGGGCCTGCGGTGGAGCCAGGGTAATCTGCGGGAGCGGGCGGCGGTGCGGGTGAACGAAATGGAGGCAGGGGCGGGCGAGGAAAAGAGTGCGGAGGGTGCGGTGGGTGCGGCGGTAGACAGCGGACGAGCCTAGACCAGCGACGATATAGGAGAGATTTGCGGGGAGATCAGAGAGGGTGGGGATCTAGACACGCGTGTCCGGGGAGATAATTGTCGGACCAAAAAGAACTGGGGGGCTGGTTGCACATAGGCTGCGGAGGAGGGCAGGAAGTGCCTCGGCGTCGCAGTGGTGTAGCCCTGATGGAAAGTGGAGACCCCTCGCCCACGGCCGAGCCTGCAGATGACGGCCTCAAACTATCGTGCTCGCCGTCTGTTTCCTCGCCGCCACCGTCTGCTACAGCGTTCTGCGCCAACCCGCCATCGCTCAACCTCCCAGGACTATTTCGTGCTTCTGCCCACAAGATGCTCAAGTTTTGGCCGTCTAGCCCTGCCGATCTCACGCCCAAAGCGGGCCCAGATGGCAGGGAGCGCCGGAACCCCTTCGAGGAGGGCATCCAGCACCAGCTGCAGAGCAGCTCCCTGCACGTTCATCCTCTCCCTTCCCCTTCTGTCCCCAGCTATCACCACCACCTCCTCAGCACCCACCAGCACGCCCTGTCTCCTTCCGTCTCTCGTCCCGACCAACGCTTGAACCCGCCTGAACCACAGCCATCTCCTGCTCCCCTCTCCCCCTCCGGCAGCACACTTCCCGCTGCGCTGCCTACCACGAGCCTTTCGCTTCATGCTCCTGTCTTCAATATGCAGCAACCCCCACCTCCGAAACGTGCCGGTCTTAGCCGCCAACCACCCGCTCAGCCCTCGCCCGTATCCTCTGCATCCTCGTCGGTCTCGAACGGCACCAACGGTTCCCTTCAGCAAACCGCCAATGGCACGCCTGCATCTACCAACTCCGCAACGCCATCCAAGGGCCAGATACACGTCAAGCTGATCCAGGCCCGCGGGCTGAACGTCCGTTCTGCCAATTCGCGCCCGTACGTCGTGGTGCAATTTGAGCAGAACGAGTTTGTCAGCCGCGATCCTACCGACGAGATGGACAAGGAGGTCCGCGGCATTGCGACTAATCTTTCCCGCAACTCTTCCTCGAGTGCGATCAGTGCACTTGGTGCGCTGAACAAGGCAAACCCCGCCAGCCGGAACGGCAGCGCGAAGAACAGCCTCTCGAGCTCACCGTCGTCCACGAGCAGCGCGCTGAAAGCCGGGCTGTTTGGGACCCGGATCTCAGCCCCGAACCCGGTGTGGAAACACGAGGTATCCTTGTGAGTACTGTGCTCCGTACCCGACGCGCGCATGTGCTCACCCCTGGCAGCGATGTCACATCGGACCTGTCAGTCATCACTATCAACGTGTACGACCGAGCTGCTATCGACCCAGGTTTCCTGGGCACGGTGCAAATCAAGCCGGTGCTCGTGCACGAGCACACCGTCGATGACTGGTACAAGTGAGTCGCGTCCGCCATTTTTTCGCGGGTCCCGGACTTCCGAGCTGCGGCTGATGAATGTCCCCACCCTTTTTTCTATTGAATTACCGATCCCCTACGCGCGCCTGCACCGTGCATCAGACTGCGTCCTTTTGAGAACGAGCCTGTGAGCGGGGAGATGCGCGTTCAGGTCACGTTCGAAGCAAACAAGGTACGCGCATGTGATCCGCTCTCTCTCTCGTAACGGCACTCATCACCTCGCGTATTTCCCCACCGTTGCCCCACACGCTTCTTTACCTCACTCCCGATTTTGTCTTCGCTCATCACATTTATCACGTACACGCGTCTGCCGCGATCTCGTTTGTCGCGCCCATGTGACCCGTGACACGCGACAGACCAAGCGCGCGCTCATGCCCCGCGACTTCGAATTCCTCAAGCTCATCGGCCGCGGCACGTTCGGCCGCGTGTTCCAGGTGCGCAAGAAGGACACGAAGCGGATATATGCTATGAAGGTCCTCTCGAAGCGCGAAATTATTGCGAAGAAGGAGGTTGCGCACACGATTGGCGAACGTAAGATCCTCCAGCGTTCGCTCGACTCGCCTTTCCTCGTTGGTCTCAAGTTTAGCTTCCAAACGGACACGGACTTGTATCTGGTCACGGACTTCAAGAGTGGCGGTGAACTCTTCTGGCACCTGCAAAGGGAAACTCGGTTCAGCGAAGAACGGGCTAGGTTCTATGTTGCCGAGTTGATCTTGGCCCTCGAACATCTACACAAGTATGATATTGTATATCGGTATGTTCTCCTTGCAGCTACTGTATGTCTAGGACCGTCGACCGATCTTGTGACAGGGATCTCAAGCCAGAAAACATCTTGCTCGATGCGACAGGTCACGTCGCTCTTTGTGACTTTGGGCTCTCGAAGCCAGATCTCCGGTCAGACGAGTTGACAAACACGTTCTGTGGTACTACGGAATACCTTGCACCGGAAGTTCTTCTAGACGAGCATGGATACTCAAAGCTGGTCGACTTCTGGAGTCTAGGTGTACTACTGTTTGAGATGTGTTGTGGCTGGAGTCCATTCTACGCGGAGGATACACAGCAAATGTACAAGAACATCTGCTTCGGGAAAATTAAATTCCCCAAGGGTGTCATCTGTGAGGATGGGAAGCAGTTTGTTAAGGGGGTAAGTCTATTCGTCAATCCCACGATCATCAACGCTGATCATTGCCCAGCTCCTGAACAGGAATCCCAAGCACCGATTAGGTGCGCAACGAGATGCCGCGGAACTCAAGGCGCATCCCTTCTTCAAGACGATCGACTGGGACGCACTCGCGCGCAAGCAAGTTACGCCCCCGTTCAAGCCCAGTGTTGAGTCCGACGAGTCCGTGGCGAACTTCGACCCGGAGTTCACCTCCGCGGACATGCGTGAGGCCGGGCTGGATGACATGGACCTTGACGAGGAGGACCCGTCGGAGGACTGGGTCGCGCGCACGTCGAGCGCGATAGTCGGCTCCCTGCACACGCCCAACGGGCCCCTGGGCAGCGACAAGCCCATGGGCACGCTCCCCACGCCGCCGGCGCCTGCGGGGATCCAGATCGCGCCGAAGAAAAAGAAGAAGCGCAACGTCGCAGAGAGCCCCCTGACGAACAGCGTGCAGGAGAACTTCCGCGGGTTCACGTACCACGGCGAGTCTGTCATGCCTGCCGCGGTGGGCATGCTCGCGGAGGCGGGGCGGCCGGTGGAGGAGGATGCGGTGACCCCGACGAGCGAGGTAGATGTCACGGACGACGAGCTGGACGAGACGCCTGTGGGTCGGTACGCGCACAGAGGAAACGGTCACGTCGACGGCTTCGATGAAGATCTTTCCATGTGAATGCTCCTGCTCGCTACTGCTGCTTACCATCATCGTCCAACACACCCATCACCCCCGGGCCTCACACTCGCAACACCCATCATTATTTATTTCGTCCGGCTCGCCGACTGCTCCTGCTCCTTGACGCCGTCAATCACCAATCTCAAATTTCCGCATATACTGCAACTCATCAGAGAGACATACAATATGGACCGGACTGCCGGCTTTTACTGCATTTTATGGCCCACACCCTCCCACATTCTCCAACGCTTCATATGCTTTTTTCTCCTCTTTTAACAGTCAGTCACGAACCGGCCTCTCAGTGCTCGCTAGACATTTGGGTCTTCGAGGGTGCATCATACGGAAGTAGAGGGCGCGCAGTGTGTGCATGCAGTATTCGGTGCACCGTTTACAATCGCTAAGTCGATGCGTCTATGGGTTTCTCAATGTGTATTCTACCTGCCTCCCCATATGATAGTGTAATATGAAATTCGGAATTTTGAGGTATATCATTCACCGCGGCCCGCAGTGCGCAGCTCGACGGTGTCTTTCTTAAAAAACTCCCGCGGGTCATTATATTATATTCCATACCGTAAGCTTAGGCATACGTAGAGTGCGAACGAGCCTCCAATAGCTCTTAACACTGCTCTGCGCCCTCGTACGGAAATGCCCATCGCATCGCCGCATGGTATTTTTGTCCTACAGTTTCGGACAGACAAGAATTTAAAGGTGCGCACCCCGTGTCGACTTAAACACGAACGTTCCTCGCACGCGGCACGTCGCTTCAGTTTCTCGAAGGCGAGGTCGGGTGGGCCGCCTATTGCACTTCCCCTCGGGGCCCCTGCCCCCCCAATGCGGAGTCGGATTGGATTAAGCTTCAGAAACGATGGTAGGGCGCGAGGGTGCCTCAGCGTCGCGCTCATGTCATAGCGGGCGATGTCACTCAGTTATCGGGTCTTGCAATCCAATCTCAGCCTGCATAAAAGTGGTCTCTACGGTAAATACTACCAGTCGTGAAGACTCGCCCGTCCAGGTCGGGCGAGGTTGAGGCCTCCGCGCAGAAGGGGAGAAAGAACCTTTCCCTCGATGACGGTCTCCTTAACGATGGCATCGACCTCATGAGGCGTGACTCGGCCGTACCAAATTGTCGCTCCTTGAGGCGTGTTGATCTGCACAGATAGATGTCAGCATGGGCAATGGCAGCACATCCAGGAAACTCACAATAACATTCCCAGCAAACTTATGTCCACCCATGTGCGAGTTGCGGACGATGAGCGCGCGCTTGGTTTCAGCATTCTTGGGGTCGACACTCTTGAGGCGGCGGAGAACCTCTGCTTCCTTATCTTGCTCTGTGCCTGAGACTTCTTCTAGCGGGGGTCCCAGGAGGGAAGGATCCTCTACTTGTGTGTGCACTTCCCAGCCTTCGCGCTCGAGAGCTCCCGTGAGGGCTGGAAAGGATCGGCATGAGCTCAGGCATGCAGGGTCGTGTTCTAGGGGCATACCTTTCTCAAGCTTTGGGGCGGCGATAGCGCAACGTTTGTCCCTCCGCTTATGCGAACCTGGAGTCGGTATTTAGACAGGTGCCTGGCTTGTGCCCCGAGGATGGCAGAACACATACAGAGCAGGATAACGCACGAGTACGGGAGCACCCACGTCTTCAGCGAGTCCCCAGAATCGCTGTGTCCGAGTGACTGCAGCAGCTTCCTTGCGCCCTCTTCCGATCTATCCACTTCGGTCACCACCTTGTAGTCCGGAAACACGAGTACTGTCTCGCGCGCCGTGTCATCGCAGACGGTGACATGGCTGCCGTTCAGGATCGTGACTTTGGATGCCTCTGAGGAGTCGTATATGCCCGGCGGTGCGGAGCCGGGGCCGTTTCGGGGAGCCTTCTTGGATTTGGTCTTTGGGACCTCGCCTCGGACTGTCTCGACATACGCCGCGAGGCTGCCTCTTGCGTCCGCTATGTCCTTCTCCCAGTCCGACTTGCCAGTCGACAACACCAGCTTCAGAAGGACATATGAGCACACTTGGAGCATTAGGTCCGGGACCCAATGACGCACCTGACGGGAGTACGGCTTTATTGAGCCCAGCATTTGAGTCTCCATGTCTACATCGAATCTTGATGGATATTCGTCATGCCCTAGACACGGTCAGCAGGGAACCGAGGTCGCCGTTCGTTGCTCACCTTCGTCGCACGGGTCGGCACAACCTCTACAGTCCGCCTCGGACACTGGGACGGCGGCAGCCTTGAGCTCGGAGGATTGGTCGCCGACACCGCCCACCACATATGCCTTGAGTTTCCTGAGACTGGACATGGGGGGCTCGGGGACAGGGGGACACTGAAGGACGGTTAATGAGTGTATGTGGGTCAGAAGCTCATCCTCTTATATTGCAGGGGTTTGTCAGTCTAGAATAGACTTGACGACATAACAGACGGCATTCGCAAACGGGTGGCTGCCCGGCATGATCGCATGTGCCTGTCATGTTATCTGATAAGATGCTTTGCCGCAGTCTGTCCGCAGCTTCCCAGCCGCCGGCCATTAGCGCCTTCTTCCCGACGTACATCGGCGATATCGTCTCTCGTACACCCCTTGAAATGTTGACTATCCGCGGAATAATCGCACATTTACTTCTACAGTAATTACAGCGGGGTATGCAGAGAAGTTGTACGACAGTACATCGGCGTGGGCCCGCTACCACGATACAACACCGCGGACGAATATAAGCGCATACATTTGTCAGTGACTGAACCTACTCGACGAATAGAGAATGATGAGTTCTGAACGATTGGAAATCACGCCGGATGAAACGAGTCCTGTCATCGACCAAAATCATCCGGCACAAATGGGGTAACCAGGTCGTACGTCTCCGCGTTGACGTCCCTCGAGGATTTCGATCCGAAGCCGACGAGGTTCTTGAGTTTCTGCCTCATGCCCACCCTGTCATCATCGCTTAATCTCCTGCGTTCCTCGGGATACAAGGTGTCGACCACTTTCGCGAGCCTATTCAGTCCGTGGTAGTTCTGGCCGTCGTTGACGCCGTTCCTCGAGACGTCGAGCGCGGACGCGAGGTACATCGCGAGGTCGGGAAACGTAATCGGCAGCAAGGGGTATAGGTTGCCCGGCGTGCTCGGGATAGTGTAGAACTTGGACATCGCCGCGTCCGCGCCGTCCCGTAGCACTGCAGGCGGCGCTGACAGCAGGTATGAGTACGGAAGAACACAGGTGTCGCCGTTACGGAATTTCGATGCACTCGGTCCATTAGGAACCGGGCGATCAATCGTCATGTACAGGACAGTGTTCCAGGAAGGCGAGGAGTGATGCACCTAGACCGCACAGGGATGATTATCAACTGTGCTCGAACTGTCCAGGAAAAACACACCTTCACGAAGGACACAACTACGCGCAGCCTCATCCCAGTCTTGACCTTGGCAATCGCGTCCACAGATGGCTCTATGCGCGTATTGCTCAACCTCGCCATGAGTTTGAGCAGGCTCCGCCAATTCAGCCCCCGTATATGGAACGGAGAGTGCTCGTATGGCAGAGAGATCACGTTCGGCAGTGGCTCCGGCATCGGTTGCCGGGAGCCAGTGATACTAGGCACGCCGAAACCCATCGCTAAGGCCAGCGCACATGAGTCAACTTGATCGGTGAGGCGGGGAAACTCGCAACGCACATACGCCTGAAAGGAGCTCCTGCGGAACGTGTTGTTGGCTTGTGCCTACCATGAGCGGTGAAGATGCATCCGCCGCTGGAGACGCCACAAATAAGTTAGGAGGTGGCCAAGACGGCGATGTAAACGGCACGACGCACGGAGGGTCTGCACACTGTCTGCCGGCGTGTGCGGGACATCCTGTCCGTCGGATGGAAACTCGGCCTCAGTTGGGCTGGATGTCAGGGCGTCCGATGGCACTAAACTGGTGGGCGGGGTCTGTTCGGTGCGGCCATTCTTCGCGTCGAGTGCATGGTGTGCGCCGGTCTTCTCAACGGGATATCCGTGTGCCTCGGACTGACCCGCCACGTGTTCATCGTATTCGTAGGGAGGGAGGGTATCTACAGAGGCATTTTGCGTTATGGGAATGTACTTAGAATGGTCGAGGTAAGTGCTCGACCGCGATGGATGCACTGGTGGTTGCGGCGGGACGAAGAGCTGTGGCGGGGTCGCAGAACCATGTTGGTGAGACTGCGTATGCCGATGGCTCCTCGAGGATGGATGGAGCGGTGGGGGAATGATTTGATTTGGTTGCACATACGTAGGAGAGTGCGCGGCGGAATGTGAGTGCCTGTGTCTTCTGTGGGGGCGCTCCTCCTCTGGCAAGGCGAACTCTGGCGAGGTGTTGCGTATGTGCAGAACATGATCAACACCAGCCGAGTCGGACGGATCGCGGGGCGATGAGGATGCAGGGGTCATGAACGATGCTCTGGGAGATAGCCTCGGCCTTTCCACTGGGGATGAGCTAGGTGACCAAGGGGAGGTCAAGCGTGAACCTTGTGCTGCAGGGGATACCCTCCCATCTACGCCTTGGGTTGGGGCGAGTTGTTGGGGTTCCAAATGCGAACGGTGTGAATGTGTCGGATCGCTCATCAGTCCGAGAGATCCCTCCAGTTTTCGGGCAAGATCCTCATCTTGACTGCCTCCCGTATGCTGTCTCTGTGGCGCTGGCTCCTGCGATGGATTCCCCCAGGCTGGCGGTTTTGGAGGCAAGGAGGGTTTCCGGACGGCCGGCGGAGGGTGAGGTGCATAGGCTTGAGATTGTCGGGCGTGATAGCTGGGCTCACGAGAGGGCTCTGGAAAGGAATATGCGGGTCTCTGTGGAACGGGAGGTCGATCGAACGATGGTTTGCGGGGCAGAGGAGGGGCGGGTGCGGAATGCGTCTGGATCAGTCGAGGTGCGACTACAGGCTCGGGAAATGAGAAGGTATGTTGGTGAGAGAAGTAATCGCCCGAGCTGGGGCCCGCGATAGCAGGCTGCGGTCCGTAAGGAGTTGATGGTGATGCGTACCCAAGACCTGGATACTGGCCCTCGAACGATGAGCCCCGCGGAGGGTAATATGATTGAGGCCGAGGGACCTGACCAGCATGGGGATGACGATGCGCCGGGGGTTTCTGCTGCGGAATATGGGCCTGGGACATACTAAAGTATCCATCCTGATAATCCGGTGCGGCAGTCGAAGTGCCCTCTCTAATCGCTGCTTGAGAAATTGCAATTTCCATCGCCGTAAGCATGGTGGACAGGGTCGAGAGTAGGCTCAAACACACCTTCGAGTCCTTGGCTCACACTGTACACCATTTGTTCTGGCCTACTGGCTACATGATAAGCAGAATACGGATGGGTGGCCATATCTTGAAGCGAAGTAAGGCGTGTGTGCGTGTGCACCTCGCCTCGCAAGCTCTCAGATGCGGTAGAAATACCCACGGCAATGGGGGTTACGGCACTCAGCAGCCTCGCCAGACAGGACGGCACGAGTGTAAGGAATCGCCTGAGACGGTATTTACCGGTTGCAGGTTGTAAGCAGGACCACAGAACAGCGCTCACAGTCAGACAGTGGGCCTCAAGGCAACTCAAAGCCTCGTTGAGAGGGCGAGGCGCTCATATCGCTCAAATACAATCGTCGCCAATGAATGGCACAGGTTTCGGTGTATCGGCAGTGCTGGTTGAAGTCATCGTCAGCCGAGAGGTGCCTGTGCGCCAAGTCGATAGCCTCGAGGCGGTGTTGTCGTCTCGGGATCCGTCGCTTAAACGTGATCATAAATCGAGATTTGGCTACTCAGGTCCGTCTTATGTTTTCACGGGGCATCGCTCACCCGAGTGTATCTGCACAGCCATCACAACGAGCAGAAAGGGAGCAAGGCTATGCCTGAAATTCATGACATAAGTAGCTCTAGCTTAAATTTACAATGCAATGAAAAACCGAAAATAATGCAGATGTGTGTGCAGAGCGATGTGAGGTGAGATGCATGAAAAATGCCAATGAGAGTACGTCAGAGATGAGGGTGATGGGGCATGATATGGGACATTAGAAGACGAATCCGAACCCAAATACACAGAGGGAAAGAAACGAACGAAAAGCGATAAACCATAACGAATGCTATCGTGCAGCGGCCGTGACTTTTGCGGTCTGCCCCCGCCCCTGTCCCTGCGCAGTCGACGTCTTGAACCCGAGTTGTCGCATAACGGAAATCAAGTCTGCCTTCTGGACCGGTTTCGAGATGTAGCCCGCAAACAAGTTGCCAGCTTCCAATGTATCCGACCCGCTATAGGCACTAACGGCGATGATGGGCGTGCTGGCATTCTTGTTGCTGGTGTTTTTGATGTACCGGGCGGCACCCTCGCCGTCGACTGTTCACATACGTGTCAATATGATGTGCGTCGCGCACGTTACATAACAACTCACGAATTGGCATATGCAAGTCCATCAGAATGCAGTCAAACTCTGCGATAATTCCGGTCAGTCTCGTGGCAGGGGCGAACGGATATCGACACGTACTGATATCACCCATAGCAACGCTAATGGCTTCCGACCCGTCCGCAACAACCACACACCGGCAACCCAGGCGTATGAGCAGTGTCTCGAGGATCTTGGCCGTGATTGGGTTGTCCTCGGCTAACAAACATGTCACGGCACGGTCGTTCGGGTCCGGACCCCTCTTGAGGTCGATCGACACAACAGATGAAGGAGGCGTGTTGACCTCGAAGTGATTCGAATGAGCACTGGGGACCGCCCATTCCGACGTAACGCTCTCCCCTGTCGTAGACACTGAGGCTGTCCTCAGCCGACTTGGCATTGAATTCCGCCTGGAGGGGTCTCCTTCAAGGTGGTTGTGCTTGAACCGCTCGACCGCACCGTAGTCAGACGGTTTCCGGGCATGGCCGCTCGCACTACCTGGGGTGGGTGGTCCTCGGGACATTGAAGACGATATCGAAGACGTTGAGGTCGCCGGCGATGGTGGACTCGTCACCGAGGGCTTGCCCCCATTGTCGGTTGAAATGGTGACATTGGCAGGTTTCTTGAGGTTGACGCGGGCTGAGACACTCTTTCGTCGTGCGTGGCCAGTGTTCGGCTCTGATAGAGTTTGTGCGAGTGGGGCCATCTGATCGGTCTTCATCTTGCGAATCATGTCATCGTTCGCTTGCTTCAACACAGGCAAGTTCTTGAAGCTGAAGGATCCAAAGTCATCGTCAGATGGGGAGGCGGCATGATCGTTGGCTAAAGCGGGAGGCGCCGAAGCCACAGCTGGGTTGATAGTGTCGATTCCAATCGGTGGGCTATCCGTGGTCTGCGGCTGTTCGTTGTCGTGAAACAGCTGGAGGACGGCACCGCGCGGGTCGAAGTAGTCCGTCGACTCGGGGTCAGTGACTTGCGGTATGAATGCAGCCTCTGTCATTGTGACCTTGTCCCAATCAATTCCGGCAAAGAATGGATGTGTCTTGACCTCGTCAGCACCATTAGCACCCAAACGATCACTTGGGTCCAATGTCAACAGCCGTTTGATGAAGTCTTTAGCCTCATTTGACATCTCAATGAAGTCGTCGTGCCATTCGAACCGCCCAGATAGAATATTCTCAAAGACCTTCTCTGGTGTCTCATCATGGAAGGGAGGGATGCCGTACAGGAACTCATATGTGATGACACCGAGTGCCCACTGAAACGAAGAGCGTTAGCACAGGAATTACTGGATGAGACATTGACAAACCCAATCGACTGCAGCATCGTCTCCACGTAGACCTAGAATGGTTTCTGGGGCAAGGTAGTCTGGCGTGCCAACCACTTTCTGTTCGCCGGGGGGCGTCCCACCAGGAGTAGGATGCGAGCGCAGATCCGTGGTGAGCTCAGTCGCAAATGACTGCGCGGGGCTGTCCGAGTACGGCTGGTTCTTGCTGCCAGTCCGCCGTAGGGGATAAAGCCCAGACCCTTGCAAAGACTCAGACCCACTGGACTCGCTTACATCATCTGAAAGTGACAGATAAGGTGACGATCCTAGGCGAGGAATCGAATGGGTCCTCTGCGTAAAGTACGAACCTCCGAGGTGCAGATCTGGTACGAACATCGGGGATGACGACATGTACGCAGAATCAATGGAAGGAGGCCGGGATCCAGGACTGTATCTCGAACGAGTTCGAAGACCGCGGTCGAACGAGAGCTGGGAATCCCGTGTTTGACGCCCTAGGAGACCAATCCTGCTAAGTCCAAAGTCCGTGAGCTTGAGATGACCATGCTGGTCAATGAGAAGGTTGTCAGGTTTCAAGTCACTACAAGGATGGCGTCATTAGCAATGGGACAGGAGATGAAGGGCGAACACGCATACCGATGCACAATTCCACGCTGATGTAGGTACTCTAAACCAAGAACGACTTCAGCGATATAGTTGCGCGTCCATTCCTCAGGTAGGGATCCAAGCGACTTGATCAGAGCCGCACAGTCGCCACCGTTGAGGTACTCCATAACCAAGTATAAGTTCTCCTTGCTTTGAAAGGTGAAGTAGAGCTTGGCGACAAATGGCGACTCAGCCTGCTTCATGAGAATCATGCGTTCTGCCTTGACATTTGTGATCTGGTTCTTCGCAATCATGTCTGCCTTCTTCAGCACCTTGATTGCGAAGTAGTCGCCGGTCGCTTTCTTCTTCGCGAGGAAGACAGATCCGAACGCGCCCTTGCTGATGGGCTTGATGATCTCAAAGTCCTTGATGGACGTCGGCGTCGTGCGGGACAGTGGTGCAACGGACGGCAGACGAGGCGAGAGGGGAGTACTGGACATAGAGTTAGTGGGACTGAGGATAGGCTGAGCAGTAGAATGCCGACGCCGTCCTGGCCGACGCTGAGTTGACGCATCCTCGGGGGAAACCAAAGGCGACAAGGGAGGTGTAATGAGTAGCCGAGGCTCGAGAGTACCGAGCGAGGGCCGCGAACGTATCGTGTTCTGGTTGTAGCCCTCGTTGAGATCCATGGGAGGTGGATCCAACACACTGGAGGCAACGATGGGGGCTGCCAATGCGAGGGGTGACGACACAGAGGAAGGCGTCGACGACCGTGTCTGATGGAAGACACTTGTAGGATATGCGGGAACTGGTGCCACAGGAACCATAGGCAATGGTAGACTGGAGGTGGACGAGAACGGCCCGCCTGTACTTCGGTCGTGCCCGCCGCTGAACGGAATGGGCGAAGCCGACGCCAGCGGCGTCGGATCAGGTGAGGATGTCTGACCATTATAAGCATACTCCGACGTATTGCTTGAATGGTCGCCGTCCTCGTCGCCGTCCTCACCTTCCTCGTCGCCCTCTTCCTCGTCGAGGTCATCCTGCGCGAAGCTCTGCGCAACCTTCTCCTCCCACTCCTGGCGGATCTTCTCCGAGTATTTGATGGTGTTCTGCAATCGCACAACGTTGTCAATCTTCTGCCGCATGACACGCTCAGCATCATCTATCAGCTGAGTCAACGCCGCATCTTCGATGGTGGGCTTGCACCACCGCCGTACGATCGACATCTTACTCTCGGAAGCGGGCGACAGCAGCCTCTGCCGTTCAATGGGCTCAGCAGATTCCTCCTCCTTGAGCGCCGGAACGGAGACGTCGGCGGCGGTTTGCAGGATGGTCTCCAGCTGCTCGAGGACGCCTCGCTGCATACGCTTCACGCTCATCTTCTTCATCTTCAACGGCGCGCGAAGCAGCTGCATCGGCGAAGAAGAGCTTGGAGACGTTGATGGCGAGAAAATAGGCATACCGCGGTACTCCGGGACGGTGATCGGCGACGAGCGGTCCATCGCTGTCTGCAGGTCGCGGATCGTATTGCGCAGCTCTCCCATGGACTCATTGCACTCGCTGATTTCCGCTTCGAGACGATGCGTTTCTGCACACGTCTCGTTGTGCTTCTCGAAATACCATTGTGGTACCGTGCACTCGCATATGCGGCAGAGAATAGGCTGGGTACTGATCGGACGCGCGAAGGGAAATGGCGTTACGGGGTCGGTGGTCTGACGCTCACCGAAGCCGACCTGTGTCGCTTCCGCAGATGCAGGCTCCTCGCCGACGTCGCCCGACTCAAGAAGAATGGAAGGTGGTGGCTGTAGATATTCCGGAGAGCCCACCGGTTTAACAACCCACATTGTGTGTGTTGGTGTCCCATCTTCGCGGTCAGTCATCAGCATACCCTTGCCCTCCATCTGCTGGTACAGGTTCCGGAACGATGCGATGTCAGCATTAGGGTCCGTGACCTTAATCTTGAACTTGACTTCGACAGTGCTCGAATCGTTCTCCTGGAGGCGGCGCGTTGCATCTCTGAAGACATGCCAGTCTGAAGGTGCAAGCAGTTTGGAGACCCGGGTGCCAATTAGGTCTTCCGGGTCGGTTCTACAGCAGACCCAGACGATTAATATCACTTCGTTTTACCCATGAGGTATATGCCAGCGACATACCCAACAACATTGCGCCAAGCGTAGTTGACCCAAAGGAAATGATCGCCATCCATGCTGAGCTCCAAAACAATGTTCTGGTTCTGTGCAATCTCTGCCTGCAAGCGCAACCGCTCAGTTGCAAGCACACGAGCAGACTCTGTATTGTCAGGGAGTTTCGACAAGCTCCTGGGTGCATGCTCAGATCCCTGACGAGCTGGCGTCAGAGACAGATCCTTAGGCGCTTCATCCCTCCATCGTCGGCCTTGGCTCGACGTTCGCGACATGCGCAGTCTGCTCTCCTCCTCCTGAGTGAGTCGCAGTGCCCCGCCCTCCATGTCAGTTCGTACCGGCGGCGTGGATACCAATGACTGCTCCTCTTCGGCCGGCTTCAACACGAAGGTCAATGGTTCTTCCTGCTCGTCATCGTTGTCGTCGAAGTTCCAGAACTGTTTCTCCGCCTCCCACCACTCGACAACACGGCTGAGACTTGCAATGGCTAGTAGTACCTGAACGTACCAATTGCGGCCGTGCCAATCTGGGTGTTCATCCCACGCCTTGCCGATATTCTGCACACGCTGCACGAGTTCCTCGCACACTTTCGGCTGCGCGGTGAGCTGGTTAAGTGACATCTCCTGTACGTCCTGTGCGACGCCAATGATCTCGTACAGCGTCGTCATTATCGGATCCACGGGGTCGTCGACAAGAATGCGCGACGAGCGACGATTGTTGTTAGACTGGTCGACATGATGTGGTCGTGGAAGGGGAGAGCGTGAACGGGATGTGGATCGAGAGCTTGCACCAGAGCGAACTGGACGGGTAGGAATGTGGATAGTTCGTGATAGGCGGCGGTTGGCGAGCGTCTGCCCACTCCAGTCGCGGGTAGCGGCGGCGGAACTCTGCTTGCGCGGGCTCACGACTTCTGGGGGAGGGGTAGGGCTTGTCATGGCGCTCAGCGCAGGGCTGGATGTGCCTGTGCTCGCTGATGGTACATCATTAACCGATCGGTTACGCGGTAAAGTAGAGTGCCTCCGTAGGGACGCTGGGCTCGCTGATGATACAGATGCTGTGAGAAGTCCGGGCGACGGGGGCCCGCCAGTCAGCGCGTGCTGTGCCGCACGATCGTCATCGAGAGACGCACGATGTCGGCTGTGGTAGCTCGTGCTTCCTTCTTGCTCGGCGTCGTACCCGCCGTCAGATCCCACGTCCTCGAACTGCAGCGCCGACCTGAGCTGCGCGGGCTGGAATACGAACGCCTCTTTGAGGGGCTCGCCGCGAGCGTCAGAGCGATCCCGCCCCCGCTCGTGCTCGTTCTCGCGTTCACGCTGCTCCCTCTCCGACTCCGCCTCGTGATCACCCTCCCGCAAGCGCTCCTCGAAGAAGGCCGTGATGGAGTTGACGACACGCTGCAGCTCCTTGTCGCACTCGGCCTTTGCCGCCTTCAGACGACGCGTTACATGGCGCCTCACGAACGGCATAGAGACGGTGTTAGAACCCGAGCTATGGACACTAGCTGTGACATTGCTGCTGCCAGAGTGCGATTGGGATAGAATTGGAGGTAGAACCGTTTCTGGCGAGAAGACAAGTGGGCTGGGAGGCTGGCGACGAGGATGACCAGAGTCTGAGGACATGTAGAGATTGAGGAACGCAGACAGAGCAGATTAAGTCGGGCGACAAGACCGCGATATTAGGAGGGAGTCCAGGTGCCGACGCTAGCAGGATCCGAGTGAAAGAGACGAGAAATATGCGTTGCGAGTTCAGGGCGACATGGGCGATGGTGGAGGTGGGTTGGATACACGATGGACTTGGAGACGAGGTGGTGGGACGGACCAAGCTCGAATTCAGCGGCGCAGCGATTCGCACCCCGCTACCATTTTCGGACATCAATGATGAGTTTCGCCCGAAATACTGATCGCGGCTTTCCGGGGCCCTGGTAACGACTGTAACCCCCCGTCGTTCGAGACCAAAGTATCGCGCCTTTTCCACTTTTCTCCAGCTAAAGAATCTTGGGTGAATTCTATTGTAGCGATATAATACATGTGATGGATGCAGAAGGACGTCAAGGGAACTTGAACCCACAGCGTGTAAGTATTATGGGACCGGTTATAAGTACTTACCATTGCAACGGGGTGCCGCACGGGGCCGGACCCCAGAACGACTTCGGGCCCGCGTCCGGTCTCGGTGGCTCTGTCCGGGCGGCTCCTGTGCACGCGACGGTCTTCTGTGAGATATTATGGAGACGAAGCCATGGTGCTGGACAACGATGAAGCTGCTGGGGAGAAGCGGAATGAGGCTAGCCCCTGCGTAGCGGTCTGGCTCGGATGCGAAGATACAGAAACGCAAAAGTTATAATTGCATGAGCGGCGCCGGTAGTATCGCGGCTCTCGCCGTGCTCGCTCCTGCGCCTATTTGACTTCTCGCTTGACCTCCATGAACCGTGCGGAGAATCCTTGCTCAACATAAACGGACACTACTGGCCAACAAATCCACCTGTACGGTAACGTAGTTCTATCATCCTGCGTTTGTATTGACGCATTCTTGCCCAGACTGCCCGCGGCGCTCCTCCCACGCGCGGTCACCTGCTGCCCCATCCGCTTCTATCCCCCTTTCGCTATCACTTGGTATGCATTTCTGTCTTCTTTGGAGTCCCCTGTAGCTCGGAATCAAACCTTGCTTCATAGCTGCTCAACGTCACCGACATTCTCACTGGACAAGTGACCATTGCCGTCACTAGATGCAGGCCCTCACATGCGCGATCCGCTCCGCCCTCCGCCGCTCCAGCTCACAATGGCGTAGCTCAGCCGCAGTATCCGCTGCAACCGCTGCCAGGCGACATAATTCATCTTCAGCGCCAGCTAATGCAGAAGTCGTTGAGGCTCTCCAGGATGCTGGTGACAGCACACAGGAGGCACCTGCGGCACGGCTAGCAGCGGGCTTTCAAGGTGAGGCCATAATCTTGTCATCAGCGAGAGGTCCCCTAACTCGCTTCACAGGCGTCAATACACCCCTTGCCAGCGACAAGTTGCATCTGCGAGGGTTTCAAAAGCACAAGGTCAGTGACATTCGCTCCGTGGAACTCATATTGCGACATTGACATACATACAGTTCATCAGGCCCGCTCATCTGACCTACAATAGCCGAGTCTCCACGAGACGTCGTCCCGCGAGGCATCTCCTCGGGCTCGATGCAAAGGCGGCTCGCTTGAGTGACTTGTTCCATCAGCTCAACGTCGACCCGCTGGACGAGTGTACCAACTCGTCGCTGCTCTCCCGTTACGTCACGGATATTGGCAAGATCCAAAGTCGTGCAGTGACAGGCTTGACGTGGAAAAATCAGCGTCGCCTCGGCAAATCGATTCGCCGCGCAAAGATGATGGGCATCATCCCCGTTCTCAGCAAACGGCCACTCTCGTTGTTCAATAGGGAGTATTAAAGACCATGTCCTCAGAATACGTGTTCTTTGTACGGCCAGGGTTCTGTGGCAATGCGCTTGCCTATCTGTTTGACTAGTGTCCGTCATGTGCACGCGAGAAGGTGTCCCTCTAAGTTAGGTCTTGCGAAGAAGGTCGTTGGAAATCCTCGTGCCTAACTCGTCAGACTGCTTCGCTATCCATTCAATCCATTGCTCAGGGTATAAGCTCGTGTCGGTCGGCGAAGTCAACTCAAGCGATAACGGATGGTGGCGTGACGGGCACGAAGCTGGTCCTCATTACAGGAGGGAAAGAAGATGTTATGGGTGTGTCCTTCTATCTCTGGAACAATCCAATAAGGTGAATAGGATGATCTCCGCCGGCCGTGCCTCGAAGACTGCTGCGTCTGACCTCTCCTTCGAAGGGCGTCGTCCCAAATTTGAAGACTTAGTGCCTGAGAGATAATTGGAGCGTCTTCTTCTCAACGCATCGATACTGGCTTCATGATCCCAGATAGGGCTTTTGAAAGGGCTTTTGAAGTTCCCTTCTGGATGCCTTGCCCAAAACCCAAGGGAAGATAGGGAGAGTAGAGGGAGTTAGTACATGTGGCATTCACATACCTTCGTATTCCTGGTCACCACTACTTCCTGTGCGCACATATGGGTCGGCTTGGTCATCTGACGTCGACCGTCTGGTCATTCTTCGGGGCCGTCGTTTATTTTCACATGGGGGGCTTCTAATGCAGTCCCCTTTACAACCCTTGCCGCGTGCCATGTTGCACACCAGTCATTTTGTCATTCACAGCGAATTTGATCATATTCTATCTTTGACGATACAACTACAACGCTGCCATGGCTCCCCGTACGCCTGGGAGCCTCATCTCGACCAGAGCATTGGAACTTTGGCATTCCCATATCCTCGTCAACGTCAAGCCCGCTCTGGTGGCTAACGTGCTGAACATCTCCGGTGTCCGCTCCATACCATTGTGCACCGCCATCATAACGAGATCGTGTACGTTAGTCGATTGGTGTGCGGAGCCGTAATTAGGCGGGAGCGGCCAGGGTGCCGACTTCAGCCGTGAAGAGCCCGCAGTCGTATGCACCACCTTGTCGGCGATCAGGACAATAGACTCTGGGCACATAGCCTTCCGTAGCTGGGACAGGATTGCCACGCATTCGTCGTCTGGCCAGTCGTGCCTGTAGCAGTCGATGAGTGCGGTCGATCGGCGCCGCAATGCAGGACGTACAGGATATGCCGCAGAAAGTACACCCTTGCACCTCTGATAGGCTGTTCGGTGAAGAAATCGTGGGTCAGGAGTCGTACCCGCCCATTACCGATGGCTTCGGGATATTCCTGCGACCAAACAACTTTGGCTTGCTCAATGGTCGGCTCGCGGTCCTCGACAACGAAGTGTAGATGAGGAAACTGTTTGGCTAGATCGAGGCTCGTTCCTCCTGTGGGTTTGAGATTCAGCGAGCACTCATTGCCAATATTGGGAGAATGATACGCACCAACGCCTCCGCCTACGTCAACGAGAGTCCCGGTACCGAGACAATTCCACGGATAATCTATCGTATTCGTGTGTGAGATGCAGTACCCCTTCATCAACATGCACAAGTGCACAAACCAGTTGATATTGTAGATGCGAACGCATGGCCGCCGCCTATCATACCCAGTGCGTAGATTTCTAAGTCTGCTCGCGGCTTTACCGTGCCATTGGACTGCTTGACGCTTTGCTCCAGGTATTCCCATAACGTCAAATTGGACCCAATAGCATCTTGCCATGCTGAGATAGTCGGTGAAGTCGAATGGGTCTTGACAGGGTCAAACAAGAACGGTACTAATTTGTCCGATGCAGTATATACTTCTGCGGAGCTGTGCGAGTCGTGGTTATCGTTATTGAGATGTCATCAATTTTACGGCTGAACACTGACTGTAAAAGAATCCAGCATCGTAGAAACTCGTTCCCAACCAGAGGTTGACTAGTAGAACTGTTTGCAAAATAGCCATCCTTGACCTCGGTAAAGATGTGCACAGTACACAACGCCCGCAGAATCCGTGCTGTAGATAGATTAGTTTCATAATATACACAGTAGTAGCACAACCCACAGAGTTTCTGTTCGTCGATTCCTACCTCTTTGCTAATAAGCCCCACAGAGACACCACCCTGTCGATCTCCGCGGGCTAAGACATCGGCCACGCGTGCCCGGACAGCGACATGTAATGCTCGGGAAAGAAAAAACGAGAATCCGACGGCTGATAAGCGGCTTTCGGGCTCCTCGACGAGATCAACGCACATGCCACAAGCGCCGCTAATTATGCGTCGTGCATCGTACAAGGAGGCACTGGAAGGACGTGATGAAGCAGTCCCGGAAGTCTGCCTGCCTAGGGACACCCGCTCGGCATATTCCCAATCACTGATCACCACCTCCGAAGCATCCGAAATCATGCGGATCAGTGCGCGAAGTTCTTGTGCCTTTTTGACCGCAGACATATGGAGGAATGCTACGAGAGAAGGCCATGTAAATATGTCAGCGAGGTTTATATGAGTTTTGAACAAGACAGCATACGCGAGCACCAGCGTTTGATGGCCTTGACACGACTCCGCTGGTCGATGGAAGACCTTATAAGTTGGACTTGAGGTTCCCAGCTAGCATTACAGGGCTCTTCGTTCGTGAGACATATTGTACGTCAAGGGCGACGAATGGAGAAAGCAGGCAGGCTCAACAATAAGAGGTTCTCTCAGGGAGCATGCCGATGTAGATTGCGCGCATATGTTCCTTCAACGCCTTTGAAATGCAGCAGCCGCGCCGATGAGATGCTACATGACTGTACAAGGATGAGTGAATAAGTCCTCAAAATCATCAAATCAGGGAGCCGTACGTTAGTGTTCGCACTACAGGACAATGCTGTGAGAACGAGCCGATTCGTTTGGAATTTCTGTCATCGATGATACACACCGTCCTGAGTACCCTCGCATTCAATGGGCCTACATCGGTATTCATTTCGTACCGGGACGACCCGTACTGGCCCGGGTGACCTTCTTTGTGCGTACAGTTTGCTACGTACACCTTGATATACACACGCTAAGATACAGAAAGTGGTACGGCGAGCGTCACGCCGCTCAATATGATCCTAGTTCTCCTATTTGAAGGCCGCAGCTTGACTCAGCAGTTGATTTGGCACGAGAGAGACAGGCCTCGCGAATGATGGTTCAGGTACAAATCTTGAAGACGACGACCTTCGCGAGGTTGAAATATTCAAGAAGTGGCGATAGATCTGCCAGGAGTCTGAGCGTATCTCACGGGGAGTATTCGCGCCAATTACAGCAGCATTGAACGAGATGTTTCGCACAGATCTGATCGCCGCATCTAAATCTGATGCACGATGATCATAGTCGATCATTCTTATTTTCCTTGCGCGCGGCACCGTACCGGAGGAGCATTCATTGAAACGGTATCCGACATATAAATTCGGGACATTAGGCCCTTTCTCGCACCATCTCTGTGATAGACATGGTGCTTCGACTCTCCCAAATTTTCGTGATCTTCAAACCTGCACGCTGCGCCACTGTTTCAAGCATTTCTGGGGTACGCTCCATGCCGTTGTGGCATGCCATCATAGCGAGATCGTGGAGGTTCCCAAACGCTTGCGCAACTCCATAATTCGCTGGGAGAGGGAAGGGAGCTGGCTTCAACTGGTCGGAACCCACACTCGTGTTGAGCACCTTGTCCACAATCAGCAGCTTTGAAGTGGGAGACATTGCATCACACAAATGCGACAAGATTGTAACGCATTCATCGTCAGGCCAATCATGACTAGACGCAGAGGCGAGCGTGAGATCCAAATGCTGTCGCGAGGTGAAGAAAGAGACTGACAGGATATATCGCATGAAGTAGACCTCGGCTCCTCGTATCGGCTGTCTAGAAAAGAAATTATGGGGAACAAGCTTGACACGACCCATCTGTATCGCTTGAGGATATTCATGCGCCCAAACATATTCGGCCTGCTGGATGGTGGATGGGCGATCTTCAACAACGAAGGACAAATTGGGAAACTTTCTCGACAAATCGAGACTGGTACCGCCTGCATGATTATCGTATATGTCATTATTTGACAGTAGGAAGCGCTCCGGAACGTACCAGCTCCACCTCCGACATCCACCACGGTACTGTTACCGAGAGACTCCCAGGGATAATCTAAGCCGGTTATGATAAGTGAAACTGGACACTGGTGGGGATGATGGATACAAACCTGCATCTAGGCACGAAGCGTCCGCTCGACCCCCTGCAACCATTCCGTGCGCCCACACTGCGAGAGACGGCCGCGGGACTAGAGTGCCATCTGGTTGCTCGACCTTTTGCTCTAAGTACTCCCAGACCGTCTGGTCAGAGCCTATGGCTTCCTGCCATGCAGTTTCACGATTCGACGTGGAGTGGCCCTTGACGGGGTTGAGCAACAGCGGAAGTAACTCATCCGAGGCAGTGAACAGCTCTATGCCACTATTGCAAGTAGTCAGACATCCTATGCTCGTGAGCCACAAGATGCGACATACTGAAGAAGAATCCAACATCGCAAGTATTCGTCACCCACTAGTACCTGGCTAGTGCGACTATTGGCGAAGTGATGGTCCCGCACTTCAAGGAAGATGTGGAAAGTGCAGAGGGTGCGCAAAACACGGGCTGACGAGATGTGAGTAAGCCATCGACACAAGAATGTCAACCATGGCGCACTCAGTTTCTGCTCATGAATACCTGTCCGTCGGCTGATCTCGTGCGACGACATGCCCGTTTGGGGTTCCGCCTCAGCTAAGATATCAGGAATACCGCTCTGCACTGCGATGTGCAATGCACGCGCAAGGAAATTATAGCAAGCTATCTCTGTCAGGCGAATCCCAGGCTCCTGGCAAAGGTCGGCACACATGCCGCTGACTCCCAGAATGGTCCTACAAGCATTATGAAGGGCAAATGAGGGGACAGTGTGTCCAGCGTCGGAGGCAGGAGATTTCTCCTGGGACTCCCACTCGCTGATCGCCACTTCAGCGGCATCGGAGAACAAACGGACCAAAGAGCGCAACTGCTCCGCTTTCCCCGCGCTAGACATTCTGGGTAAGGCAGACGTGCGGCTATTTTCGTTGACTAAGTGAAGATGTAAATGGACGCCGATTGAGGACTCACGTAGGTCGATGAGAAGGGGTCAGTGCGCTGCTTCAGATTGTAGAGAGGGTACAAGGGCGCTCGAGGTGAGCATAGCCTAGCCTTTATACTTAATTCCACGATTGACCACGGGCAGCCGACGGGCCGTAACAGCATACGACAACAGCAGCCGTCAGTCATTCCTACATTTGCTTCAAGTGTGCTTCGTGGAGCGTCCTTGGTGTCAGTGGGGATGATTATCTATAGAACTGCCGGGATAATATTCTTCCATGTTCTGTGAACGCACGTCAGGCATCATACGAAGCCAGGAACCGGCGTACGCGAATCGGGCTTGCTGATTGTGCACGTCGACGAGCTTTCAATTTGAGATACTTTGCCCATACAATCGATGTGTGCAGACGCACCTGGCGGCTAGGCCGTCCTTGACTGGTACTGCAAGGAAGGTGCAGACACTACAATCTATCGCTCAAACATACACGCCCTCCTCCCAGAGACAGGATACGCTTTCGGAAAAAGGTGGGGAAGGGGGAAAGCCATACACTTCTGATGGTGGATTTCTCAATGTGCCGTTCACACACGAGCAATCACCACAACTCCCGATCGCAGCCACAATGCGCGAGAAAATCACATGTCGACTATGATGTCAAGGCAAAAAATTATGTGGGACGGTCTGACCGAGAGCGGTGTTCGTCGGTGCCGAATGTAGGTGCCCTTTGCGTCGAATTATGAGGCATAAACACGTCAACCTGGGATCTACAACGCCGATGGTCAGTTTGCGGTCAACCGCAATCAAAACAAAGCGGAAATACCATACATGCCGACCATTATCACACCCGATCCCGGCGACCATACTACTTAACGTAGTCTTGAGCAGCTAAGCCAGAATCCCATGGTTGTATGCCGGCCGAGCCTATCTAACACATTGGGCACTACTGGATACCATGGAGAATGCATCCGAGTGACAGAGAATATGGCATAGCCCAAGGGTCACCTGAACACATACTGATATATGCGTGCGTTGCCTTACCACATATCTACAACAATGGAAGTAGTCCACAATGATGAGGGAATGGTAACAAAAGTCCGCATCTCGGATAAAACTACAGCTCAGCGAGGAGCATGGTGCCCAGGTTCTGTACTACCTGGTTTCCCATGGCCTTCTCGACTTGCTCTTCGAGATGCCGCTTCGGATCTTGTTTGCCCACATGTCGTGTCTTGAGCTGATCAGACGTGAGCGTTGACTCCTCCTGAACAGACTTGTTGTACGCTTCCGAGAGACTCAGCATCGACTAAGGCTAGAGTGAGTATTATCCGTTGCTTCAGGGAATGCAGGGTCACATACTTTGATCGCTTTCTCGTTTGCCTCCTTGTGCACCTTGAAATCCCGTAGTTTCAGTCCCTCGGTCCAGTTACGTTTGTGGAGATTCATCAACATGGCCTGCTCGAGCTCGGTCTTGCGATACTGGACAGCGATCGAGTAGTAATGCCGATTCAGCCCGTGAATGAGGGCTTGGATCGAAGGCTTGTTAATATGACCGATATTTGAAGTAGTTTGTCGTGGCTCCTGGCCCTGGAGCACCGTAGCGGGGTTGATGAGGCGGAAGGCATCGATAACGACTTTCCCCTTGACAGATTGAATGGGATCAACGACTACGGCGACTGATCGTGGGTCCAATTGTTCAAAGGACTGCGTTCACAGGTCAAAATGGAGTCTCGCTTCGCCAAGAATCGACGTGCCTGCTGAGTGTTGATGTCGACGCTTGATAGCCAACATCCGAAGCCAGGGTGTGAATGGTACCACCCAACCACCATCTCCGATCTGACTGGAATCAGGAAGAGTTTTCGACGGACAATCACGCGACGTACCTGCCTGTTTGCTTCAACATGTCCACCATTCTGGTTTGGAATACATGGTCCACGGACTCCACGGATACTGAGGTTCCAGATTGTGGCATTGCGAAGACGTCAACGACCTGCACGGTATACTCGTCCACGAACTCCCCGAGCATAAGTCCCATGACCTCCATGGGAACGCCTGCTCGGCCGTGCTTAAGCATCTGAGCAGGCATGTTAGAGAGCACATCATGGAAGTGTTGTAATATGTTCACCTTGAGGAGAGCAAGGGAAGAAATGTGAATTGTTTCTCCACTATAATACTCATGAGAGATGCCTAATGTACGCTCGGGGAAAGTCGTACTTGTCTGGTACACTGGTTTCCTGGCCTGGTGCGCGGCCACCTGCCTGCGCAATCATGCGATCAATGTCGGTCTCCATGGTGGACGTTTGTCGGCGGAAGCGGTATGAGACGGTGTGGTGTTGAGCAAGCGAGTCTGGTCGCGTCCCGCTGACGCGTCCAATGAATGCAAGACGCGCACGTGTTCAGCGCGCCAAACGAGCGCCCGTTTCGAGCGTCTTTCATCCGCCCAGAACGAATGTAGTAACCTTCCTCAAGCTGAATGGCTTTCCAGCCATGTCGAGCGAGCTTTCCAATGCACTCAACCCCAATATCGTCACAACTCGAAGGCAAAGACCCGTAGATGTCTTAGTGCCAGCCCGTGTTCCACTAGTCGAGCAGCCGCGGCCATTCATTCCACACAGGAGTGAATTAGAGTATGCTATCGTCGAGCCACCGGCCCAGCCACCGCCAGCTCCTGCGCAGTGAGTATTCTCACTTTTGTGTGGAACTGCTAATCAATTGCGTGTAGGGCACCTCCGCCGGCAGCGCGAACGACTGTTGCTGTCAATGAGCTCCTTCGTGTGTTCTCAGCCACCAAGGAGGCTGCAGAAGTAGAGCGAAGGAGGAGACTTGCATGGGAACAAGACCAAGAGACCAAGAGTTCTCAGAAACAAGCTGAGATGGAGCAGCAGATCCTCGCAATGCGTGAGGAGATGTCTGTCCTCAAATCTTATGTCGCTTGGCGCGCGGTTTCGGACGGTAGACAACCCAACGGATCCGTGCAGCCCACGGGGCGCATACAGGCCATCGAGGCTGGTCCATCAGAGCCTATCGTACAGTCTCCAGATGTGCAGAACGTCTCAGCCATCCAGTCGCCAGAGTCTCATTTAGGCTCGATACAAACATTCACACCGCCGACTCCGACTCCCGCACCGACGGTCCCTCGCAGTTCAAATACCTTTGCGTCCAGACATGTCCCATGTAGCCTTCCTACCCATCCTGTACCGTCACGACATACCAGTCCCGCTATTTCAGAAACACATCGACATTCGGTAATGCATGGCCCGTCGTCCATGGCATCGTATCCCCAACCCAATATAGCAAATCCACAACCATTAATGCCACACGCAGACCAACATGGTTCACCCTCATTTGTGGAAGGGTGCTCTTCACGACCATTGTTGTCGCCAGCACATACACCGCATTACATCGCTTCTCCTACCAGTACCCATACTCCTCTGTACACGCCGGTACCCCCTACACCCAGTCCAAGTCTCCCGACCCCACCGGATAGCGCTTTTGCAACGCCCCCTTTGACTCCGATGACCGTACCGCGCAAGAGGCCAACAATTACTACGGAATATAGCACGGACGAGGAGGGAAGTAGCTCAGATGAATCAGCACGGGAAGGCCGGCCTCGCAAACGCTTTAACGGACATGATGATCGTTGCCTGACCATTCATGTAAGTTCGTTGAATATCTGTCGCCTCGAATTGGTATCCTAACCAACCTTAGCATGCAATGCGCTTGCACATATCCAGAATGATGGGAATTTCAAAGGACGATGAACTCCCAGATAGCTATGTTGAAGGCAGAGACGTTCCGACTAACGACTCCATTCGGTTCGTCTGGGATAAGACCCCGAAACAATCCAAGCATAATACCGCCATGAGAGATAGAGTCTTAATCGACCTCAAGGCCAATCGTAACCTCTACAAATATGTCCCTGAGAAAGACTTCTCCAGGAAGAGTCTCGAGACTGTCTTCGAACAAACCTTCAGGACTTTTCGGCAGAAGTTCAAGGCGCAAAAGGACAGCTCCGCTGCACTTCAGCTGAAGAAGAGGGAGGGCCAGAAAGCGTCCAAAGTTAGGAGATTGAGCAGGAAAAAACATGTACGTTCTGCGCCAGTCGAACACAATCATCTCTAATGATCGCCGTCTGTTCTTAGAAGCTTGCTAATCGGACTGAAGCGCGGAAGAAGCTGGACATGTTCTCGCATCCTGCATTTGATGGCGCGTTGCAGTTAGAATGCATGTCGTCAGAAGAGTCAGGTGAAGATGAACTTGAACCATCGACCGACACCGACGATCGCCAAACGGTACAGTTCCTCTGCATCCGTCCACTTCCCTGGCGAGCAGAACGATTGCAGCGTTTCTACGCTGTTCTAGATGAGCAGCAGCGTGAGGACGTCAGCCAAAAACCCAAACGTGGAGTTGGGCGGAAAGAACGGCGTCTTGGCGGGCACAAAGAGGGTCTTCTCATACCTCCCGACGGTGTCGCTAGCTGGATGCTTAGCAAGCGATGGATGCGGACGCTGCAGATGACGCGTCCTGACCTTGTTGACCAGGTCAGGTTGCGGGTCACAGACCCGCCAGGATTTGACTGGAGCGAGTGCTTCGCGTTGGGTGCCGAGAGCGACGATGAGGGTCGGCTCACCGAGGTTGTACCACAAGGACATATACCTTATTCTAACGCGAGTTATTCCCTGGGACATGCTCTCGATCCGATATCATGATTTTTATGTATAATATCTACTAGCAACGAGCATTTCATTCAAGGGACTATCCTGGAGTCAATGAGACTGTTTGAAATCAGCCGTATATGGTAGACGCCACTGTCAGTTGGCGCAGCGAGGTCATCACTGGTCATTGCCCTCCGCATTCCCTACGCTACATCCCTCTAGTCTGCCTCCCACTCTCATTCCCTTCGAATAGCCTATATACCACTTGTTTATGCCCAATGCATCTGCCGTTCACTCCCAACCATATACACCTCATCTCGACATGCTATCCGCCGTCCTCAGCTTTGCTTACTTCTGGCCCGGAATATCTTCCAAACTCGCAGGAGCTCTCCCGCCTAACATACTACGCTTCCAACCGACCCGGCAAGATCAACAAGCTTGCCAGTGAGCTCGAAAAGCGCGTGCGGGCGGATTGTCGCAGGGCGCAGGCGGGGAATACACGCTCTCGCGCGTGAGTTTCTCGTACTCGTGAAATCACAGTCAGATGAAACCAGGCGCATGTCAGGTCTCTCCTCATCACCCTGTACATATTCAAGTCGCTCGCCGCGGAATGTCGTCGCGACATATCACTGCTAACATCATCCCTCTTGTCTGCCATAACAACTACACTCGCCGGTCTCTCATCAGACTTGGAGGTGGCAGCCAGGGCTGCAACTGTTGTGAGTACGTCCTCGAGAACTTATGAGTACACCATCAATAATGTACGCAGTTCACCACATGGACGACATACACGGACGGCCATCTTATAGGCGTTGACCAAGGCGTCACTCAAGACTATGTCTCGTGTCTCCGACAATTCTCTGCTATGGGTGGGAAGAAGGTGAACGACACAGAGATAACTAACCGGTACGTCCGATGACTTGCTATACGTGACATGCCATTTATGCCCCGCTAGCACACGTCTTGTCGGCCTTGCAGCTCTCACAGCTGCTGTACACTCCGAGGCCCTTTACCACTCATCTACACACTTCAATCTACAGGTAACGACGATTATGCCTGCACTTCTGACATCTTTATTCGAGGTGGGGCTAGAAGCGGTGAATCGAGAGTGAGTATTTCTCTATCTCTTTGCTCTGGTGACGCTTAGGAGCGTAGAGCCTCTGCTATCAAGGAGGAACCAAATCTGGCCTTCATGGACGATTTCCGGACAAGACCTGCATTGGAGAGACGGGCAGCATCAATACATCTTCATGTCGACGGCGATAGGGGCCCTTCTTCTGGCGATGTGGTCAATGCATCTCTGCATGCACTGTCATCTATTCTTGGACACTCAACAGGAAATCAAGTGACCATCATCATGTCCGCCGTTTTTGACTTCCTCAATGACTCTGGCGGATGGGAGAAAGTCAATCATTGTCGCTGGCTAGCAGCGAAAGCAAGCGAGTGGACACAATACCAGTACCGATATGCAGTTCCGACGCGCATCGTTGAGTGTTTGGTCGAGGGGCAAGATGTGCCGCAGTCGACTGCTCGTCATAGCACTCTTGCTGCTATGGTCACTACCGTCTTCACCTCCCCGACGCCACTCGTGAATTTATCGACCTCTGATATGATCTCGGGTCTCATCTCCCTCATATTCCGGAGAATTACCGTCGATCCCGAGGACTTGCTGCTTCCCGTACTGGTCGAATGTATTGCTTCGCTTGGTACCCATGTCTACTACGCCGATCAGATCCAGGATCTGGCTGGCGAGTTGATCAGCCGGCTCCTCCTCGTCGAATCAAATGGCATCCCTGGCCCAAGCAAACCGAACGCCGAAAAGGCGAGGTCGCAGGCCATCAGGAGTCTATTGGCCGGTTTACTTGGTCTAATGCATGCAGCAGACATGCACCAGGTAGTAAAGGATGATGGACTACCCGATGACAAGGAACCACCTCCGACTGGGACTAGCGCTGAGCTACCTTCCGGATCTTCTCCCGCCCCTCAGAATGTCCATATTCGTCCTTCCCGCCGCACGAAGATCGCACCGGAGGTTTGGCAAGACACACTGGTGCTTCTCTGCGACCAAGACTATGCAGTGCGCGCAGACTACGCTGTCGCTCTCGTCTCGTACCTGCAGACGGAGATACCAAAGCTTGGTGAACACGTCGACGTCGATGGCGTGAAACGCATGCGGTCATTGGCGGAAGGGCCTTCGGAGCAGGCGAAAACGATGGCTGCCATGGTCTATGGTGACTCGACCACGCGATTCCTGAACGCGCTGCATGCATATGTCTACCTCCTTGCTACTTCAGCGGCCTTCGATTTACACACGGGGCCTGCTACAGCTGATGGCAATGGGTCGTCTGTGCAGGAAGGAAACGCAAATCATGACTCACACGGTCGGCGTTCGATAACAGTCCCTCCGCGTTCTCGCAAAACGTCCTTCATCTTGCGCGCCATGCAGAACGCGCCCAAGAAGCTATCACAGTCCGACGCACCCAGTGCAACCCTGTCTGACTGTGGAAATATACTCACCGTCCTCACGGTGGTACACGAAAACCTACCTATTCGTGGCCTTCTGACAGGTGCTCCGATGCTGGTGGCTCTGGAGAAAGCTGCTAGGGCAGACGAAGCTAGTATTGCGGTGTTGCCGCTTGCGGTGACTATCCAGCACATAGTGGCCCAGACATGGACGACAATCGGAAGGGTTTGGAAGTGTCCAGAAGTTGTAAGCGTAGCTGAACAGGTACATTCCTTAACACGCCTGTGCCATTATCGAGCTGACTGACATCTCGCAGGCTACATTGAGTATGCCGTTGCAAACAGCTCTGCCCGTCTTGCCGGAAGCACAACCGGGTACATTGCACACACCCCAGATCCCCGTGACCTTGCCATCCGAGATGTCTGACGCTCTCCCTGCTCTGGACACGAATGCTATGCAACAGTCGCTCGCCTTCAGTCAAAATGTGAAGGACACCACCGGTCTCGAACAAGAAGCTCTGCTCCGCCGTCTCACTGTCTACTGGACGCCAGAGTTGGCATTCCGTGATTGTAAGTAGTCCCATTCCCCGGGAACATACAAGTGCTCAACTTTATGTTTCTAGCTGTCGAAGCAAACACGAACTATGACTCACTCCGTCGCGATGGATTGTCGCCCCTGATCAAGGTGGCACCAGCACTCATGCACATTGACAACATATCCCTGCAAAGTCTCGCGCGTTCGACTAGAGGTGTCGGCGTGACGGACTTGCGAGATGCATTAGAAGGTCGCAGCAGCATTTCCAATCCGAACTTGTCAAATAGAGCGCCATCCATCTCGACCCTCGACCACACGTCTTTCGTGACACATCCTGACTCGCACAACAAGCTGACTCCGACGAAGTCAAGGCCTCAGCGTAGCAAGCTGGCAGGTCCCGGAGAGGTCCGCGATGTTCTTAACAAACTAGGGATTGGGAAGCAGAACGGTGCCTCACAGTTGAAGTCGTCTTTCCCAATCCTTCAGAAACCGGATCAACGGTGAGTAGAGTGAGGCTTGTGTGAGGCAGTCCCTCATCAACCGTCCGTCCGTCTTACAGAGCTCCCGTGCTAACACCACCATACAAGGCATGAGCTGCATGAGCATATTTCAGCCCAAGGGTAGACTCACCTCATTATTACATTTGGTTTTCCAAGATACTTATCCACCAGGACTCATGTCTCTAATCACTATGTGTAGCATTAATCCCCATTTATATTGCCATGTTGGACACCATGTCATCGCTCTATATTCCTGGATCTTGTTCACCTGGGTCTGTTCGTAGAGACAATCCTACGTCGTGCTTCCTCTTCTCGTCCGCGCCAAAACGCAATCTCACTTTGTGCCTTTGGGTGGCTCGTCGCTCCTCGCTGCAGACAAGAAATATTGAGCGAGCGCATATATACCATGATGTCCTCTCACTTACACTAAGACCCTGCAGAATGATCTCGTACATCGAACCTTGCATTGTCGCTCTCGCAACAACATCGTTAATCTTGTCCGTATGGCTTGTGATAAGCGTCGAGAGCTCTTGTCTAAGGCGGAACAAACTGATTACAGTTATCAGCATTCCCTTCGGAGGCCTGTCGATCAAAGGACATACTTCGAGAAAATCATGGTCTCCTCTGGTTGGTCCGTGAGTGCTATGAAGGAATTGAAGACGCGCACATATCGGCGGCATATCTAGATCATTTGGTTAGCTTGGCAAAGGAAATAACGAACGATGCTCACGCTCATCACGGTCGCGTCAGTGGTTGTAGACCCTCTACGGAAGTATCCGGATGTCGTACCCTCAGCAAGCTTCTTTAAGGACTCAACATTGTCTGCCATGGCCTTCTGGAACACGGGCCACATCTGCAGTCGGATTGTGAAGATGAAAGTCTCCAATGGTGAACAGCTGCGTCTCTGCACTTCCGCCATAACATCTTCCGTGAGTCGAATCATGGTAAGCAATGGCACCACAGGAGGCGCAGGGTCAAGCATCGATCGAACAAATGTCTAACATCAACAATGCTTGAGTTAAGTTCGTAGCCCAGCAATCTCCCACTAACCTGACAATACTCGAGAACTGGATCCATAATTTGCTTCCAAATAACGTTCATAGCAGACTGATCGTCCTTGGTAGCCTGTCCTTCTGCATTCATCAATGCGCCGATACTTCCGATACTGGTCACGCGCTGCTTGGGCGTGAAGCCAAAATCAGAACCCGCATTAGAGCGGCTGTCATCAAAGTCGCCTTGTGTAGGCGAGAGAAGGGAAGTCGGGGAGAGAATAGATCCGCTGGACTGCTTGGAGTGCATGGACGGTCGGGGTTCCACCGCGAAGAAGGCCATGATGAACGTGTACTCAGCCGTTGCATTATCCATGAGGACAAGCAGCATGGACCGCAGCAAGGCTTCGACCGGTTCTTTCTGATGGGTGTGTCAAGACGGAACTTCGGCGAAGTTGTGCATGGCTCACATGAGACTTATCGTCCACCATGTATGCGAGTACCGGTCCAGGACCGTCAATCCGCGAGTGCGAGAACCTGTCGACGTCTACCTCCGGCTCCACGTTCGTCTCTCCAGCACCAGCGATGATCGTCTCATTTTTCTCCACCCAGCGTGCCTGCGTATGTGATGAGTAGGGCAGAGACGTAGTCTCAATGTGAAGCACCTTAAGATACCCCAGACTGCGTATATACCGGCGGAATCCAGTCTCAAAATATGTACGGGCTGTTCCCACGTACGCCCTCTGCACCTCACTTGCTACGGGTGGGGCATGGCGCTGCAGGAATTCGAAAAGAGACCTGTATTTCAACAGGACCGAGGTCTGAATGACTTGCATGTTGGTTGTCATGCTGCTCCGTATCGGCTGCAGCATGGCAAGAAAGAAAGTACGCAGCTTTGTCGCCGCCTGTATGAAAGTCTTCAACGTCCGTATATGCGGGTGAAAGAAGGGGTAACGCACCACGATCCGCAAACCTTCTGCTACTTCTGCGAGATCTCTCGCAGCCTTGACTCGAACGCGGACTTTCACGGCATCTAGCCTGTTCTCGAACTCGACTATAGCTGGTATCCATGGCTCACCCACGGGGGTATCAAGGATGAGGGTAGCCAATTCCGGTGAAATACAGAGGTCCACAAGTAAGTGAGATAGCGGTTTCTCGATTTTCTGAGCGACGTATGTCAGAACGGCGGTAGCACACCAAGGGCAAAATATCAGATACCCTGCGGCTCTTCAATTTGTTCTCGATGTCCTTGCTACGGTCCTGTAGGGTGGATATCTGCCCAGACACAGCCGACAAGTCTTTCTGAAACGTCGATAGGAAGTTCTCCAGAGAGTCGAGCAGATTCACGCTTGTCTGTTATGTACATGTCAGATATCAACGAAGCCGCTGAAAAAGGATGTTCGATGCTACTTGTACTTGGTCGTGCAGCTCCACGAAGTCTTGGGCACGTCGACCATCTTCTAGCACGTCCGTCAAGAATGTGTTCGTAAGGGCCTCGGACATAATGATATTCACTCACAAGACATCCTATCCGACCTATATGCCTCATGTGAATGCGACCCCTCACCCGGAGAGATGCTCAGCGGCGTAATACTAGTATCTGACCTGGAGGCGTGAGTATGCTGCAACGAGCGATTCTTTGACCATGCGAACCAATTGAGGCCATTTCTATCTCTCAGACAGTTTTCAACGTCCTCCCTTGAGCGACGACAGTGATATACCACGCGTCGGAGCTATTACCAGCCTATGGTAAAGATGTGGGAGGTGGGAGGTGGGAGGTGGAAGCTAAGCGCGGTGGAAGCGCCGCTGGCGGTGAGACGCCACAACGATCGTGCGCCATCGTGTTTACTATGATCTTGCCCCATATGGCAGACATCTTAGTTCGCTGATGCCCATACTATAGAGCTGTCCCAGCCCAAGAATTAAAATTATAGGTCGAACCGGCAGTATCTTACAGCGTCATCGGTAGTCCAGAAGTATTTTTCGTGGTCTTACTTCACCATTCTAAACTGTTCTATCAAACCCCTGTGCAGATGATCTGGGCCTCCGAGGTGTCTCAGAGACTAGATGCTACCAACATGTGGAGCGGTGTTTGTTGCGAATGCGCCAGCTCTCATCACAATTGGCCGCGCCCATAGACCATGGACGCATAGCATTGCTATCACGGTATCGAACATTGTTTTGTCCGCGCGGTGAAGAACATGATACGGTACCCGATACAACAGACACATTCGATATACACAGCGGATACCACGAAATACATTGTTTAAATAACTAGACGACATAAGTAAATCAAGTTTTCAGACAAAGGATTAAATAAATGCCTCGTTTAACTCCATAAATCATTATACAGTCTTGTCCATGAGGCTACGACGAGAAGTCCCGGCATCAAACATGTCCGCTATGTTTCTCGTAGTCGTGTCGTTGATAACAGAGTATCCCCGTTCTGACAGACGCTTCCCAGCGCCGATACTGTCAGTGACCCATTCGGGCTTGACAACGTGTACCTTGCTTTTGGACCTCGTTGTCAGCAGCTTCTGCGTTTTGGCTCCGCTGAGCTGTTGGGACGTGAGAATGTGAGTTGCGCCGGAAGCTGTGTGTCTGACAAGATGATCAATATAAGCCTGCCTGGAAGGTCGGACATTTGGAAACGGGAAGGCTCACAAAATCTGTCCTCCAGCGAGCGTTACGATCCGCTTCATCTCGGTGTCCGTGGTGCCATCCAGATACCCATTGATGTAAACCAGGACATTGCTTAGAACTTTTGCGTCGCGGCCAGAGGGTTTCTCAGGCAATTGCTGCGCCAGCTTCTCGCTTCTCGACTCCCAGTAGCTCTTCTGGTTCACACGGCGATCTGAGCGCTGATGTCCTGTAGCAGCAGACGAGATGTGATCTACGCCAATAGTAATTTTTAATTTGACGAGGCGACTATCGAATTTGGGATACCGACCTGAGCGTTCATAAATATCTGAGTGGGTGATCGGGTTTGATTCGTCAGATAGCGTGTTGAGCAAATGCTTGGTAAGGGCAGCCGATGATGGCTTGCCACCGTCCTTGAGTAACGGCGCGAGAATTCTGTGGGACAACTTGAATTGGCGACCTGGACAAGTGAATCTGAAAGAGAAGTACTTCGAGGTCCTTTTCCTGTCTCTCGACTGTTCTAATCTGCGTTCATGCGACTTGCTGACACCGTAAGGATTATAGCGTAGCACCGGTCGCTGTTTCTCCCTGTCCGCCCCTACTTCGCGCGTCGTCGATGGTTTCACGATATTCACGAAACGGTCCATGAAGAATGGGAAGAAATATGTACAAAGTGAATTGAAGGAGTGGTGGAGGTTTAAACGGCAGACATGGGTTGAACAAAGCGCACTCTCGAGGGTCCGACTCGCTTCAAGTGCGTGAACGCGGTTGTGGCGGCGTAATTAGCCTCGGTCACGGGACAATGTCACATTGTGACCGACGTGTTGTTTCGCTTTGTTTGCATCTGAACCTGTAAGTTTCTACGCCTGCCTTCAATGCACGCCCGGTCAATATCATGCTCGCAGGTCTAACCGCGGGGCTTTGATACTCACCAACACAGCTATTCACAGCCCCTCGTTCAACATCCATCTTTAGTATAAACATAGTGTCTTAGGAGCAGCTTGACTGCAATCGCAATGCGGTTCTAAAGCAAATATCATTCGTACACAATGGGTCTGGGCCCAAATGCAAAGCGTTATAGGTCTGTTTCATACCTTGACCGACCAACGGACGCCCATCGTGAAAACGCGAGGGTCTGGTGTGGGTCTGTCCCAGCCTAGCCAGACTTCGCCTCCAACCTCACGCCCAGTCAACCGGAGGGCTTGCCTCCAGACGTGGGTCTGGGTATGAGGTGCGACTTTGACAAATCAGCGCGGCTCGCATACAATGTCCATAGAACGCGAGAAGATCACGGCGTGCCTATTTTTACGCGTACTCGTGGTCCTATCTAGTCCTATCTGCCCTTCGACGCCGTTGGCGGGTTTCACGGTGAGTTGGTCGGGTCTAGTACGGGCACGAGAAGCGAGGCAAAAGCATACTTTCGGGCACTATGCCGAGGGCCCGGCAATGCAGCGCAGTGCCTCTTTGTAACTCTAGTCTGTGGCTGCAACGAACTGATTGTTGCATGATGACAGGGTCTAAATGATCTCCAGATGTGGGTCATACGAATTGGATGGTACAGTATGGCTACGTCTTAATAATAGTCTCATAAGTCAAAACGTCACCTGGTTTTACTTATGGCACGAGCCTGGACCTCATGCGGCGACATTGTGCTGCGGGAACCCGCTTGCTCCCTTTGGTCATGCCGATTCACGCTTCTTCCGAGGCTAGCAGTAACATCCCCTGATACTTCCCGAAACATGGCAAACCACAGCGGCGATATCTCGGTCGAGCTGATGTCATAGCGATTCTGCCTATCTTTCTCACGCTCACACTGTTGTCATCAAAATGCCCGATCGTGCATATTGCATGTATGGCCGAGCAGCAACGCAAAATTTCCTTGGCTTAGCGCAAAGTGTTTGGGTTCCGGCAATATCATTTTCACAATGACGAATACATACGCATTACTTTTTCTGGATACTGATATCCAGCCGCTTCGCTAAGAAACCAAGAGCAAATAGACCCATGAAGGCGGTAGCAACAGCCAGAGGTTTCTTCAAGTGCGCCGTGACCGGCACTTTGTATGTCACCTGGACACGCATTTGTCAGATTCTGAACGCATGGCAAATAGACGACTTACATATATGACGCCAGCATGTTTATGAGTGAGCCGCCCATACCTCAAGACTATTGCAGGCCGCCCAACCGTATCAAGATATGTAACATGTGTGGTGATACCGCTCTCGGTCGGTACGAACGGAGGATAATAATCAACGTCACTGAGGCTCCGCAGATCAGCGTTTAGTTCATAACAGGATAGCGGAGTACTCACGTCGCCGCTTCGGGCAGGATGATGTTGATTTCTGCTTCATCCACCACCGCGCCGGGAATCATCGTCATAAGTGGAATACCGACGATGTACTTGCCAGTGGCCTTCTCATAGCTGGAATAATCCGCAAGCGGGGAATCCCAACCTAATGTGAAAGTGTAGTTCCATCCTCCCATAAGCGGGTAGCGCGGTCGAAGCTCGAGCAAGCTCGGCTGGCTGCGACCGTTCTTTCCCTGCGAGGGCGAAGTACGTAAATGGGAAGTAGAAACATTTCCGATTAGGTCATAGTAGTAGGGAGAGTGGATGCCTGCTGGCAGCTGAACAGTCAGGGAAGGAAGCACATGCGGCGGCGGACGTCCGTAGAACATCGTGGACTGGTGTTCCAGACGCGAGAAGTGCCCCTTCAACCTATGAGCGAAGAGTGATTAGCATGGTCCGGTCTCAATGAAATCCTATATGGAGTATAGAATCGACAACGTACGCGGGGCCCGCATTGCGCAGGTGAAACGTATCTTCAATGTTCAAGTTTGCGCCCCAGTGACTAATCTCGGCCGACCTCTTGAGCTTCATGACCTCAACTAGAGGACTGTCGTAGGCGTAGTGTACCGCGACGTGCTCCTGCTTCGCGTCAAGGAATTCCTTCGCAGAAGTGATCGGGATGTTATTAAAGGGACCATATGTGATCGTCGCGCCAGATTTTGTCACGGGTATTTCAACGGTGAAGTCGTCAAGGCCGGGGGGATTAGTGTAAGAATGGATATTGGGAGTGGGAGTCCTGGTACGGCATTCATATTGGTGCTGAGTGGCTGGCGTGATAAAACATACCTAAATTTGATACGCTCTACCAACGTCTTGTACGGACTGACTACGAAAAGATCCGTTTCGTACTTTAACGACTGCGGGTCCTTCTGTGATGCCTGCTCCGGCCAAGGGTACGTTGCATGCGTCTCAACCGTCTCGACGACAAGGTTGGCGGTCTCGTTGATCTTCATTGCGTGTGGCAACGCAACGGTGTAGAAATGCACTCCGCTATTACATAGGCCATGTAGTGAGTACTCGAGCCAGTCACGCACGCGTACATACATCTCGGGATCATAGCCGCCCTCGAACAAGGGCAAAATAGCGGCCTGACCCTTTATCTTGGCTTCTAGCCAGCTTGTCCTCTCGTGTTCACGCTCCCCCAGGGCGATAGTATATTCTGAGGCATCGCCTTCCAGTGCTTTCACTGCAAACGTCGTGGTGACCTGGACGAGCGAGCCGGCCACCTCGACTGTCCGTACAACAGCGGTATTCTCAAAGGAGTGATCAGCAGAGACGAAGGACTGAAGCAGCAAGCTCAGGAGCAGCAGTGGCGAACATCGCCAGCGAAGGACCATGGTGTACGGTCGAGGTAGGTGTTGGGTTCTCAGCCACCGCAGTTGTAGACGTGGTCGATGATCGAACCGACCCAATTTGGCAACTTGAGCTTCACACAGTGTCACGGCGACCATTGGATGCCAACTACAAACTGGACATACGCAAACGCCAACCAAAACACCCCCAGTCACGTAGAAAGAGTAAAAGATTGGAATGAAGTGGACCGAATACAGAGTGAAGGCACGATGTGCTACCAAGCCCATGATGAGCCGGGGTTTCGAATGGGCACGTCATCCCTGGTAATCCCTGCTGACACAATCCTCCTCAGCTTTCGCGCTCGCTCGTCCTTGAGAAGCTCTGCTCTCGTTTTCCCTTCCCGCAGCATGACATGCAAGCGCGAATCTGGGTGTTCTCGAATGCCCATCCTGCCGCGACCCTTGGGCTCAATGCGCTTGAGTACCTTCGGACCCTTCGTTACCCATGCCTCCGCTACCCAGCATATTAGCCAATAAGCACAGAATGAAATCAAAGTCTTTTAGACGCACCAACGATGAGTTTCTTCTCCTGAAGACCCTTCAGCCTCGTGGCATGGTCCTTCGCTACAGCCAGCATGCTTTTGATACGCTTACTCGCCCGCTTCTCGCTGAATTGCATTTGCAAGATGGCAAGGTCGACTGGCTTGCCAGAAATCTGCCGCCCAAGCATGTTCAGTTTGCGGTGTGAGATCTTGAAGTTAGCCGTGGAGTATTTGTGCTGCATGCGCGGTCAAAATGCTTCTTTATCCCCTAGATTGGGTAGTGTGCACATGCCTCGGTGTATTTCTTGGACAAGTCGGCACCGGGGGCAGAGCTTCCTTCTTCTGTCGCAGTAGGAAGGGACTCGAAGACGCTCAAATGCCCCTTCTCCACCTGGTCTTTACGAGCAGCAGCAAGCTCCTCTTCTGTCATTTGCTTGCGCACGTTCATCCCCAAGTTCTGTCGGATCCAGCCCAATGGTCCGCTGGAAGCACTGCATAGGATAAATATCGTGAATGTTGCAACGCCAGTGTCCCGAGCATAAAACGTACTGTCGGCGGGGATCCCAAAATATCCGTGAGCTGGACGCAATTGGTGAGGCCTTCAGAATAGCCGATCGACACCCAGCTATTGCGGCCATTCAGATAATAAGTCAAAGTGTGAATTCACTGGCCTACCATGTCGCAGACCCGCCCCAAAAGCCTGCATTGTCTGCTAAGATGTACGCTGTGAGTGAAGGGCCTACACCAGCGTCAATGTCCAAGAAGTAAATGGCCGACGCGATTTCCCACGGCGTGGGCGCGTCGCGTCTGCGATCACTCTGGCGCGCAGGACAGACTTGGACAGGCACGACATCCTTCCGCTGCCACGACCTCAGAACTCAAGTCGGGGGACACTATACATCTCATGGCTCTTACGCTCGGCACTATTCTCTATGTCGCCATCCTTCTTATAAATGCCATGGCGGTTCTCAGCGAGGACAGGTTCCTTGCGCGAAGTGCGTCGTACGGAAATCCAGCGTCATTTGTGCCTTCTCACATTCCGCATCAGTTGGATGGTCATCAGCACCAGTACCGACGGTAGCTGCTGGGTTTCAGGCGTACGGGGCCGCCTATGACCAGCCAGGCTATCCAGGAGCTCAGGACGTTAGTGTGAAAGCACGGCTCATAAACCTCATCAGTGCGGTGCGGACGTTGATGCGAAGTACGTGGTATGGTCAATACTTTATGTGTCGGTGCTCACAAGTCTGCTTTGCAGTACCTCTGATCGGACTGAACCTTGTCGTCATCGGATACGAACTCATCCTCGGTAGTTGAATACTGGCAACAGATCAACCATACTACAACATCAGTCGCTCATACTGCCACTATCGCCACTGTCTCCGTTTAGCTTTTCATACGCCTCATTAATCTGCCTGACGAAGTCATGAGGGCTGTGGCCGTTCTGTGTGTAAGATGTGTATATCAGTAGCTTACGAGGAATATCTCAGCGCGGCGCACCTCGCACTGCTTCCACGTTTCGTCGTGGATGCAGACTTGCTTGCCGTTGATCATGATCGTACAGCTGTTGCTAACGTCGAGTATGAATGGTGCCTCACGTCATGAGGCCTAATAACTTGACTTACACAATCCCTAAGCTGTGGCTGGCCCTCACACTCTCTTGCAGTAATTGCACACCCTCCGCCGCTTTGCCGCTACCATCGGTTCCGGCACAGGCTCCCACGCTGCTTCCCTCCCAATCAATGTTGTGAGTGCTGGAACACTGCAACGCCGTTTGTGGAAGGCCAATCTTGTCTTTGCCCTGATAGTTCAGGCATTGTACAAATTCCCAGGACTGAGTTGGGGTGGCATATTTCTGAACGCAGAGCTCGTGCACATTTCCGGCACACTCCTCCGGTCCATGTTTGCATGTAACGCCGAAATCCGGTTCCGAAGGGTTGATGCTGTTCAGATCCCATCTGTTATAGAAATGAAATGGCGTTGGGTTGAATAGCACTTACGATCCAATGAACGAGAGTGACAAGTCAACCTTGTTTCCGACCCTCTTGAGGACGTGGTCGAAAACCGATTCGCACAGAATAGCATCTGGGCAGCGGCTCATTACGCCGAGAACGACCGGGACTTTGACGTCGGCATCCAGATCATAGTTGACTTGAGGTTCAGACTGGACAACTAGGGGCGGAGAGGCAACAACGGCGCCGATGGCCAGTGCAGAGAGTACAAGATATGCGTACGCGCCCGACATGGTGGCCGGGAGATGACGAGGGAAGGGACCGCCTGGACCACTTGCGCCCAGCATGGCGCAATTGGGACTGCCGGACTGCCAACATGGTCATCCGCGTTCTCAGCACATGCATGAGCGTGACATTGGAGCGAAATGTGAAGCACCTTAACCGATGAGGATTCAATCTTATCTTATCTATCAGCGGTGGCTGTCTGAGGGGACAAACAGAATCGCGGTTATTGACTATAAGTACTACATAAAGACAGACAGTAGCAGACGACCGCAACAATTCGATCCACGTCCCCGCCAATGTAAAGCTTTACCGAGCTATTCGACGCCGAGGGCGGAAGTTTAAGGCTATCTATCGGAGGTACCTGACCGCTGCCCGACTGTGATCTTGTCCCAGTTTCAGAGGCAATGTGTTGCGCATCACGGCGTGTGATTGTTCCCGTTCTGGGGTCTGGCAGAAGGTACCTAGGTGATTTGATGATATCCGATTTTGACGGAGGTAGAACAGTGTTCTTGACAACACTGCAAAGCATGTCGTGTCGAGGAAAGTCTGAGATACGAGATGTCCTGTGTGAATTTGCATACAGGAGGGTCAAGGCCTGAGCAACATAAAATATAACGGCGACAAGTCGGCGTGTCTAGCGACCGCTGAGTGCTCGTTAAGGTATTTGATGAACTGCCTTCAAACACGAGAACGGCAGTCGCACAGATATGAAGAATCAATTACATACAGTCGCTCTTAATTTTGAGTTGGGACGGCTTTCATGACGGCACACTGGTGGTGCATTCAATGAACGAGCGCCTGCGGAGAACTGCATTGGGAGTTGCACAATCTGTCCAAAACAAAGAAAACATACGGACGGACGGATCTGCCAAGACCCCCGGAATGAAGAATCCTCCCCAAAGCGCTGTTTCTCATCGTCCAGCTCGGGCACTATCCCACCATTCCCGAGCCTCTGCTTCTGATGATGGTGGCTCGAAATATTTACAGCGCGAGCGAAATGCTGCGGAGCGTTAACTACAGGGCATAGGCCGGGTTGGATGAGAACATACCATCCAGGGATCTTTGACGCACGATCTGCTCTACGGCCAACTCGTTGTGCACCTGATTGCGCTGTCACGGGCTGTCAGTAAGATACCGAGTAAGTTCGAGCACTGAGACGGGGTCTCACTTTGACATCCTCCGCATAAAGTGCACCCTGTGTCCGACGTTGTTGTGTAGGGTCGTTTCCTTCGGTGTCTAATGACCTGCGCTTTTCATCCATGGATTGATCCACTACACCAACGCAATAGTTGATAATCTCTGTGCGGCGCTTCCAGTTGGCTACGCTAAAGCTATCAATACAACGAGGAAGCGGCAACATCTCATGTCCGAACGTACCCATGAGTTCTCGCCATATTTGAGCGCACGCCTGTTCCTCCACATTCCCACCGCCGCCGAGACCCTGTCTGTCTCGATCACGAAACTGTGCGTTGGTACGGTTGAGCCGCATAGTGATTGTATCGTCCAATCTACGATACTCCTTCATGAGATCTGTGCCAGGTGAGCGCCATCAAGACGCGATGTATCAAGCATTCAGAAGATGCCACTAGCGATGAGACAGAGAACGGAACCTTTGAATAAAGTGAGGTTATGACAAGTTGCTGGCGAGACATGCACCGTCTTTGGTGCTAGCGTCGGTGCCTGTACAGCGAGGCTGCCAAGGGGAATATGAGCGGGCATTGCAGATGTACGCGCGAAGGAGGTTCGCGTCGAGCGCTAGGGCATCTGAATCCGTGCGTCACCGGCACCGCATCGGCGAAGCGTGCTGCCGACGGCGTCCATCGAAATCATTAACATAGATCTACATGGGCGCTCCGAAACCACATTAGGATTGCCGAAATTGAATATACATCCATGAGCAAATTACTGTACGGGCGGAGACTACAATGGTGTGTGGTATACTAGAGCAAACAGACCGGCGTCAGCAGGCGCACAAACAATCAACAATATGACATGACGCCTCCCACGCGCGATAAGCCAAACGTCCGCAAGGCCATGGGAAGCCACGAGCAAAGTAGCAGAAATAGAAAGCGAAATCCGTGATACCCGACACCCGTGAGGACAGATGCACTCTATAGGGCCCGCGATGTCGGACTTTGTCCAGGCTGTCACATCCGTCCCGTGACGTGCGCTGCAGCGGAGTCATTCCGACTCATTCATTGCACACGCCGCTCACCACACTGCTCTTCCTCGCTGGCAGGATCGGTGTCGTACTGCGCTGTCATAGGAAACATTCTCCTGTCCCTTTTCGACCTCGACGGAACATGGCCGTGAACAGAAGACATGTGTCTTTGCCGCCGTGCTGGGTCTTTGAACTTCTCTCCGCAATCGGGGTAAGGGCACACGTGCGGTGTCGCGCCAGTACTGTGTGAAACACCCGTTCAATGGTGCTGCTCCATGACGGTCAATAAATTACAACTCACTGTGTATTCAAGTGGGTATCCAGGTTACTTTTCTGGGCGAAAGCTTTACCGCAGAACTTGCACTTATGAGGCCTGCCATCAGGTGTGAGTAAGATGTCACCTTTTAGTGTGCATGCATCCGGAGACTTACCGAAATCCTATGTGTTTCGCCAGAATGTGACGTTTCACTAGATGTCGTTTTGAGGAGTACGCACAGGGCACTATATGTCCATGGCTGTCCTCTTGGGTCCAGATACAGGTCCATGGATGATTGGAGCCAGATTGCGGTGGGTGAGCAAAAGCCTCCCAATCGTCCGGTTCTTGCTCTTCGATAATATCAGCATCGGTCACTACCGATGAGTTCCGATCGGTTGCTAGAGGAGAAGGAGCAGTGATGCTGCCATTCGTGATGGCAATTTCGTCCTGGAGTGGCGATTGGGAAGCCGTGTGAGATGATTCTTCTTCACTTTGCTCGGACTCGATGTCTAATCTGTCAAATGTCCATGGCAAGTCTCGTTCGGGTCGCAGCACCTGGCTACAGCTTGACGGCGGCCGGATAGTAGATGGATTGTGATCTGTGTCGCGCGGCGACCTTTGGGCCGGCGATTTCCTGTAGTATGGTCAACAAATGTCAGCAAGAAGACAAGCAGGTGGTACGTACCTTGCGTTCTTATATGCTCTTTCCGAAGAGCTATCCGGTGACAAGCTAGATCCAGGGCCAAACATTAGCACTCAATGCGAATGAGAGAAGCTTATGCCTTACTCAGATTCTATCGATGAACCTCGCTTTCTTGAGTGCCGCTCTTGGCTGTTTATGTCCATTGCACGGCACTGACGTCTGCAGCCAGGAGTAAGTCACTGTGGAAAGCAAGGAATGTCGCAACTTACAGAGGATGCTGCCCTCTACATTGAGAGCGAGGCTGATTTCGCGATGGACTGGAGGCGGGTGCAGGCTTGTATGCGACATAGAGTAGAGGTCGATCAGTTTGTGGTACCTGAAATATGGGATTGAAGCGGGGCCAGGTATACGTCGCGGTTGGTGACTCGTAGACCGACAGAGGTAGTTGACGAGGTGTCGCTTTCGTAGTAGGCACTCTTGTAATACCTGTTCCCGGATGCGACAATCTAATATTTGCATCAGTACTATTAGCTTGAGGCAGGGAGCAGTGACATCTCACGATCGATCCAATTCTTGGATGCCAGGGATACGTTCAGATACGCTCCCAAATGGCCTGGAAGCATTGTAGTATGAGTACGACGTTGTGAGTAATACTGAAAGCTCATACACTGTGTGGGCCTTAGCAGGTGCATGTGGTGCTGGCCCTTGTCTCTGATTCCAATGCGCGGGCGAGAGTTCATAGGCAATTGGCGATAGCGTGCGGAGCATTTCGACTTGTGTACTGGGATGGCACTGACGATTAATGCTAGCGAGTCGTAAGGGCTCTCCTTCAGTGTCAGTTGGGACAGCGGCAGAAGACGACCTGTTTGGGGGTAGATAGGGCAAAAGTCAGCAGTCTTATATATGTCCGTCGAGAGCCCGGAATAATAATAGCCATCAATAATGGCATGATGGATATGCGCCACAGATGGTATTTTACGGGGACTCGCCACTGTACGCCACACCCACCTTGGACTGGAGATGCTTCGGGCGGAGGTGGAGGTCATCGTGTTGGGCAGTGACTGGGCGTAAGGCAGACTCATTCGACGGCGGGCAGAAGAGCCAAGAGGGAATCCGGAGGGTCGGACAGTAGGGAGGAGGTCAGGGTCAGGGACTTATAAACCGATCGGTGGGTCCCCGGACGCATAGGAATTGAGCGTCAGGGCGTAGGCGCATCTGCGAAATCTGATGATGCGGACCTTCAAATTCCGCGAATGCCAGAACTTCGCAACATGGACCTACTACGTCGCGGGAGGACGCTGCATCGATTGGGCGCCGAGTGGTCAACGGTGCGTGCTCGCGAGAACAAGGCCATGGGATATAATGGGGAAAAATGCGTTGGGTCGCATGGCAGACTGCATCAGCGGGACCCACAAGCGCAATCCTCAGGCTTCGCCCCAACCACTGGTTTTGCGGTCGGCTGATCAGTCATTTCGGCCCCCCGCCAGCTTCGGCGGAAATCTGCTAAGAGGCCAGGTTCAGCATCAGGTCACAACACAATCGCCATGGAACTCCCCATGGTGGGCGTATCATCTCAATTGGCAAAGTAGACGCCAGCTCTCGAAATACGCTGCACATCAGCGCTCATTACAAAAGCTAGAATGATCGATGCGCGCCGCCACCAAAACCCATGCAGACGGGGTGGCCGGGGCCAGCGGAGTTGCTACGTGTCAAGGATATGGCCAACACCTGATCTTTTCAGGAGTATCTGTACACAATTCATGTCCGTCGGTTAGGGCGCTACCATCTGCGTTCGCCGAGGCGGTCGGTTAGACGTATAACGCTAGCCGCGAAGGGTTGTTTACTTTGATCTCCGCACATCGCGGCACTCCTTTCCTGGAAGTAGCTTCCTCTTATGGGAATTTCAGACGCAGTCCGCTTTTGGTGTCCCGGTATATCCCCGAAGCCCTATTGTGCTCACTTGCCTAGACGTAACACGACGGAGTGGTTCTTATGCGTGATCCCTGGTCATGAAACGCAAGGCAAGGTACGTGTACGCATATCGCGCGTCCTCGAGGCGAGGTCTCGACGAGTACACTAACATGAAAATTGTAAGGGCTACTGCGGAGATTCGCTGTTTCTAGGGCTCCTTGACAATTGTGCATTCATGTAGGGACTAGTCTAAATCATTGTTCGTCCGTTTGGAAATACTTCTCCCAGGTCGGGCGACATTCACATAGTGGACTAACAAATATGCCTAGAATGCCCTGCGAGGATCATGTCTGACAAAATGTGACAAGGCGACGGTCTATTCTTCTACTGTTGCTGTCTTGATTCATTGTCGACCTACAGCCATGTAGATTGGCCACGCGATCTTCTATTTTCGGTGTATGACTCTTGAAGCCTTTCAATATCGGCGGGTTTACTTCCATACCCGTTTCAATCAGCGAGAATTCAGGCTTCAGATCACGTCAACAGAATAGCACCGTCGCTTTTGAAGAATGTGCCAAATCATTGCCAAATCACCCATCGTGCAGGTCAATCATGAGTGAGTAAAATTATATGAACCATGGATGTGGAGGATGGCGGCGAATCTGACAGGGGGAATCAGCATGGTCTTCGATGCGAAACTCCTTTGACGCATCTAAACATACGAAGTTCCGAACATAGGCGTGAGCACATGTATTAACGACAACTTTGGATATACACTAGGTGGAGTGATTACTGTATTCAAGAATATACGGATACAACTATACGACGACGAGATACAGTAGCCTGTACAAGATATGTATGATACAGTAGACAAACGGCAGCCAACGACGAGATCCAGTAGCATGTACAAGATGTGTATGATACAGTAGACAAATGGCAGCCAAGTTACATGCGAAAAGAAATTAAGCAGTGCTATGTTAGTGTCTGAGCTTCAACTAGAGGGAAATGTACGCGATGGTAATACAGGGCGATAAATACTTTGAGGCATGTTCAGGCGTTGGGAGTATATCCATGGTTCTGGACCATATGCTGCAGCGCGCTATTCGGATCGGTGAAAGAAACCTGACAATGAGGGCATTTGCTCCAACTTGTCGTTCGAAGTGATTGTATACATTGACGTCAGCGGCGGGTGCGAATGAGGTAGAACAAGAACTCACTGCTTGACAGAATGAACATCTAGGGCGGCCTTCGTTGCATAGGACCATCCACAGACTGGGCACCTGTACGAGCTTTGCGCCAATGATGTGAGCGTGCGACTCAACGGCAGAAGTGTCATCATACGCACTTGCTCTGCAGATGAGCTTCGATATGACGTTGTACCGTAGAGGCGTCGCCTTGAAACCCACAGAGAGCTCCGTTGCCTTTCGGGTGCTTACAGAGCATCCTGTTTCCCATTGGCTGCGCATAGGAAATCCATTGGGGTCCACTGCAGTAAAAGCGGTCAATATAAGGCTGCCCCCACAGCAGTATATGGTGATGTAACATAGAGGAAGGAATGGGAGTCGACTAAGGACATGGGCCAACCCACGAAGATGATTGTGCAGGCTAGGTGACAGTAGATGCAGAGCTACTCACCTGGTTGCCATGTTTCTTCGTGTCGTAGAACGCTTGCCTTGCACTCTGGTATCCATCGCTCCATCCTCACGAAGTTTTATACGGCTTCATCGCATGAGCGTCCGCGACTTCAGTTGCGGCGAGCGGATGAGGCAGGTATGTGTAAGGACTGAATGGTATGATAGGGATGGAGTGACAGTCGCTAGGCCTAGGACACCGCTCGCAATTGAGCTGCTGGCGAGGCACGAAAGGTAGATGAGAGTGAAACGGGAAACCAAACATATATCCGTGTGGAGATGAGACCGATTCCATCATCGAGGATGGGGAGCGGGGGGGACGGGCGATGTGCGGCTGACAGCGCCTAAACTGTTCGTTTTCGGCTGTATGTGCTTGAGTGTCCATGTCGCGCCGGGGAGTTTGCGACACCATACTCATATTTTGTCCAATAAGATACGTTAAGAGTGTCTCAGCATCTACATCTGCGATTGCGATTTTGCGTGGCCGAGTGAGATAATCACTCGGGCCACATACTCTTACCCTAGGGCCTCGAGGCTCGGTGACATTTCCTGGTGAGGCCGGCAATCGAGCGGCGACGGTTTCTTCGACCTTACCTTGAAATTCCGATTAACATTTTCTGGGTCCCGTTAACTAACGGTACATCTGATTGACCGCGTAGTCTGAATCAAGGGATACGATCAACACGATAACAGTGAGTCCCAGTTGTGCATCCTACCGAGTCTTTGAAAATGACGATGTGTACAAAGGGTGCTTTGTCGGACCTTGGCACCGGTAACAATCGCAAAGAGAGCATTTTTACCAATTACCAAGGAACGCACGTCTCATACACAACGGGAATGCAAGTCGCAGCTTTGACCTTCACGGCCTCAACTGCTTGCACAGTCTTAAGAAGGCCTTGAACTGAATGAGCAAACCCGTTGGCATGATGAAGGTAAAACAGAGACGGTTCGGCTGTGCGTAGTACTGCATAGGGAGATCGTGATGTTGGCTCACAGTCTACATCGTTTCAAGCTTGCCTTCATCAGAACAGTTTACTACGAGCCAGCGCTCAACAAGGTCTACAATGTGGGTTTGATCTGGTTGCAGACCGCAAAAAGCACGACTTGTAGTCGAGCAGCGCGATTTTTGAGTGTGGCACCAAGCTATTGTTTTGAGTTCAGCTTGAACGCCAGCAGTATCTGGATGAGTGGTCTGTCAGACGCGTGCGCATCTCGCACGCGGGCGAGTACCCGTGGCACGCGCATGCGAGTTGAGGCCCAAGTGCCGTCATAGGTTCGGCGCGATGCCAGATACCAACGGTGAACGCGTGCATCGTCACCAGGGTGCCGGCTTGTTGCCCGACCATTCTACCGAGACCGAGGAGTGCTGGCCCAAGAAGGAATCAGTTAGCATTGACTGACCGAGGTCTAAACCGAGCCCGAAGATATTGCTGTTCCAGTTACACTGACATGGCAAGTTGAGAAGTCAAGGGCGTCTGTAGCCATCAAATACGAGGAACACTCCCGATCTTCAGAACCACAGAACCGCAACGCATGCCCGATCACGGTCAGATTTGGCATACGACGTGCACGTGGAACATCTGCGAGACGCTCGTGATGAACGCATACTGTAATGGAGTAGTACTAGTACGTTACATGACTCCTTGTGTTCCAGTCTTAACATCGGCAGCTTCGACGCCCCGCTGCAAATAAGACTCGTTCAGGCGTGTATCACAGTGGACCGGCGGGGCGACAGCTTCTGATATACACGTGAACAACACTCGTGCAAGGACCGCTGCATTCCCGGCAGCACGACCTTTTAGCGGAAGGTTTGCCCACTATGGCACATACCACCGGACAAGCGTCACGTACCATGTCTCAGAGGCGTTGCTGCCGTGGTAACACACGCCTAGCTGTGAACGCGCACCGGCGGAATGTTTGACCTCATATATTAATAACATATTGTGCTCATAGATGAAGTACCACAAATGCAGGTACATAATGGATGGACTGTCTCGGTATCGCAGGAAACTTGTGACTAACCTGTCCAGATAACAGAGAGACACAGTAATGAGAAACGAATTCATGGGCCTCCATATAATGCTCCCTGGGGAGGAATAGGATTGATTCAAAAGAAACTGGCGCTACGAATCTCTGCGGTTTCCCGAGGCGTATTGGGGCAACGAATGGACAGGTGTCCGAGAATGTATGAGCTGGCAACTCATATTTCAGGGGTGATGTTATGCGCCGTCCGTCAAGTAGCAAATTCGCAAGGCTAACGCAGGGCATGACGCGACGCTGACTCACTTAGTGCATCTGCTCCAGGATCATCGACAGAGGAAGGCACAGGGACTGCACACCTCGATGACCCGACACGACGGAACACCTTTCAGCTGAAAGCGTCGCAATCATGCCTGGATCCGCTATTTACGGACCATTTGTGCGTGATCTCAGTCACTTCACTCCACTGTGGTTCTCATGAATGCAGTTCATACAAGAGATTGTGATGTGATCGTCGAGGTCTTTCAACTACCTTTGTGTGATCGAAGTCTGAGCAACGGTTGTGTGTAGCACTGGTTTTTTCTATAGAGCTAGCAATCTGAAGTAAAATTGTAGCGCTCTATAACGGCGGCTAGAAAGTGAAAGAAGTCACCGGTGCCATCCTGACCTACCACGTTCGACCAATGAAGTCACTGAGCTTATATCCCGGTGCCGCGTCGCTATTTGGACACAGACGATGGACATCAGTATGTAGCAGTATGTATGCACCAGAATTGATGAGCGCGCCGGGTATATTTCTGAGCGGTCGATCGCCGGAGGTAAATGGGGCTAGCAAACGGATCGTGTCCAATGCAGAGCTATGTCATAGTGATCCGTCCCCCGCGAGACCTGAAGGCAGAGAGGCATCCCGAGTCCCCAGCGATAGCAAACGGACGCTGAGAGCTGAGATAGCGTGGAGGTTGCCGGCGGTGGCGAGCACGGGACAAGAGCTAACGTGGCGGGGAAATGTAAGGGGTCAGCGTGGGCCGTTGTGGAAAAGGCGTGTGTCTGCGCAAGCGCCGATCAGCTACGGTCTGGAAACGCCGTTCACGGCCTCGACAAAGAGTTCGTCTCAACGCTCACGACTCTCTTCATCGCGAGCGCGGGCGCAGCACCCCCCTCGATCTCCTGGCTTGGAAAATGGTCTGGTCGCTCCGTCTCTGCATCTCATGGACTCTGCTGGCGCTTATCTTACGCCCTACGACTATTACTCATGCTCAACAAATCTCGACCAACACCCCAGTCCCGCCCTTGCAGTGGATAAACCTCACGAACCATCTCTCGGGGGAATCTCCACCCCCTCTCAAGGACGCCTCCATAGGATACGACGACACTACGCGTACACTCATCATATTTGGTGGAGTATCTGCTCAGGGCATCAGGCAGCAGTCCACGTACCTGTTCGTTTCCTGCCATCGCGTACGATCGCCGTATCCTCACTGTATGACCTTGTGACATCCCATAGACTTAATCTTAACTCTCTGACATGGAGCCAGCCTTCACCACCTACTGGAAACACACAGGCGCCTCCGGCGAGAAGTGCTGCTATCAGCGGTTATGATTTGGCTGCCAGCTAGTGAGCATACATTAGTGTCCGACGCGTTCAGTCGCTCACATGGTACAGTCGCGAGGGGCATATAGTCATAGGCGGAATAGGCGCAGATGGAAGTGCACTGTCTGATGTTTGGGTGAGTACCTGTGCCAAGCTTGGTCGATCTGTTTCTCTGACATTCTCCAGGAATTCGACTTCGTTAACCAATTCTGGCAAGAAGTGCAAGTATCCCCAGGAGGTCCTTCGCCAAGGTACGGTGCTGTCGGCGGCAGAGATCGTCGGGTCTTAGCCGCATCCGTGCCGAACCTCTCTTGGCCAAACACTTCATTCTATCTTGCAGGAGGTATCGACGCCTCTACCGTTTCCCCTCTGTCAGACGTGTGGCGTCTGGATGTCACCGGCACACTTTCGTCCAACAACCTGAACGACATCTTCGCTAGTTGGGATCAGGTTGATATCTCTACTACCGGTATCCCGTCGAAGGTCGGTGCTGCAGGAGCAGTCATAAGTCAGGGAGCGTACCAGATGCTCGCCGCAGTCGATGGTTGCAGCTCATCCGTCGCGTTCACGCCGAATTCGTCGTGTGCCCAACCAGACTCATACATCATCAATACCGGGGCAGGCACTGTCGCGTCTGCTAGTCCATGTCCTGCCCCGCGTCTTGACGGGACAGTGCTACCGAATTTTAACCCAGTTGGCACCTCATCGACGCCGCAGGTTTTCCTGGTGTTAGGCCTTGTCAATTATACGCTGTGGAACGACCAAGGCGGGCTCGAGAAAGGCGAAGTGGTAAGGATTCCCTACATGTAGTTGGCGATATCTACATGCTTACTTCCGTCTGATCCAGGATGTTCTCGATATCGGCACAGGTATGTACGCGGATCACGGTTCTTGGAACGTACATAATATTGGTGTTTGCAGGGGAATGGGCACGGATTCTTCCTGCAGGTGATCCTGGTAGCTCAAATCCTGGCGGAACGCCTGCCTATCCGTCTGCGCGGCAAGGCGCCGTCGGCCTTACGTTCACCGAGGCGTTAGTTGGCAACTCTCGCGGTAATGCTACCGACTCAATTGTGTTCGGTGGCGTCGACGCGGAAGGAAACTACTTGTCTGAAGTCTGGATACTCAGGGCCTATAATGCTCAATTGACACAGAGCAATCAGAGTTGGACGAACTACGATGGCCAACTCGTAGGTGGACCTGACGCGACCGGACAAGGTGTCACCGATCAATATATGACCGTGTGTGCATCTGCGCTTTCTCCCAAAGCGACTCAGACCACTGCCTTCGAGCCGTCTGCCACATCGACGGGTGCATCTCCCACCGTGACGTCCTCGCCTACACCGTCACCTTACGATACTTCCGTCACCCATAAAGCCCTTTCACCCATCTCTGTCGCGCTGGTCATGCCCGCCGTTATATTTTCGCGCCTAGCCTGGCCTGCTGTATCAGCACAAACTACAGGAGTTTTCAGCCCGTTCCTGCTACTCTCCGTGGTTTTGGGACTCGGAGCCTATGCTCTGGGTATCACTGGTCTGGCTACGTCCTTTACAACAATACACACCACGGTCATATCAGTCGTCAAGCGCTCCTCGACATCTTCCAACATCCTCAAGACGGCACACGGCCGCGCGGGCCTCGCGCTCTTCGTTGTATTCTATGGACTACTTCCTCTACTATTCGCGTTTTCTTTCTGTATCAGGCGTCCGTCTGGAGCTCCCAGCCAGCACGAAGTGAACGGCAATGGTGAAGCGAGACACCGTGCGAATTCTAGTGTCGCCGCGGAGAAGGAAGGCCTCTTTGCACGCGTGGGTAGTCCTATTCGACAATCGATTGATAGGTCGTCGCCCGACTCGCGCCCCGACCCTCGTCCACGGGTGAAATCGTGGGGCGGCATTGGTTCGTTGGGTGTGGGTGTCCGCAGGTCTAGCGAGAGCACCCCCGACACGGCTTTATCGCCACCATCTTCTAATCGTTCCTTTGAAGTCACCAATAGGCCCGCTCGCACGCGACGCGCCAGTGGTAACAGTTTGGCCGCTTTCTCCGACCCCCGTTCGTCGGGCACCCCGCGGAATCTCAGCGATCTGAGTTGGTGGGAACGACGACGGAGTCTGAACACCGTGGTGAGTTCTACTGACGTTATGGCAGCCGAACATACTGATTTTATTCGTCTAGGGTGAGCTGGATTATGCGCTTGGCCAATTGGGCCCAAGAAATGGCGACCCCAGCACACCTGCGACTACAGTTATGGATATGACAAGTACCAACGGCCTCATGACGGGTCCGGGTGCCCAGCCACGAACAGCCCCAGAAATGCCCAACACATTTGACAGTTGTCTACACATTCTTTTCCATCTGCTACTCCTCGGACTCTGCATCCTCATTCTTGTCGCGCTGTGGTACCGTGCACCAAAAGCAGGCTTCATCATCTTCCTCGTTGGGACAATATTATTCTATGCCGCACAGGTATCACTCGCCTGGTATGGGCGTCCGAGGGTATCAGTACTCACAGTGATGCTGGCTCGCTTACGTGGTGATCCGGGCCTCATGACGCCGATCCCAGGCACTCCTGGCCCCTCACGACCCCTCTCCACTGTTGGCTCAGAAGTTCCTTTCCCGACAACAAACGAACATCGAAGCCCATACCAACACCATCATCCGCCCTTCAGGACGACAATGTCTGCGGGACTCGATGAGTACCCGACGTCGGTGTCTCATGGACACGGCACCACTGAGGTTGATGATGATGATGAAGAGGACGAGGACACCCGACAGCGGAGGATTGAGGATGAGTTGAGTAGGCGAGATGTGTCCATCGTTACTGTGCCCAGGCGCAAGCTGTTCCTTACCAATCCGGAGGAACAGTTTTCTTCTTGAACACTTGCTTCGACCCGTCGCTTGCTTTCTGTTGTGCACTATGCCATTCTGTCAGGGTATACCATAGCATTTAGGAATATCTCACTTGTACTTTCGCTAGTAGATGATATCGGACAGTCTACTCGTTGCTGTATTTCAGATTATTGCAGGATTATGTTATTGTGCATGTAGTAAGTGTGGAGGACAGTAGACGCAAAAATGAATCCGTGTGGGGTCCGTGGATGAGGAAACTGAAGGTCCGACGAAATGCAAAAGACCCAATGAATGATGAGAAATAAGAAACTACTCTGGCCCCTCCACAGCAACATCATGCCGCCATTTATCTACTCGACCGAATTTCCCTGTTTCGTGCATTGGAGGCGGGGTGGCAGGCAATTGAGGAGGCATCATCATAGGGGGAGGCATTGGAGGACCAAAGAAGCCTGAGGCCATCATAGAAGGGGTCCCAAATATCATAGACTGAGTAAATTGCGCCTGCATCATCAGTTGCTGTTGTTGTTGCTGCTGCTGAGCCATCATGTACTGTGTACGCCGCATCTGCTCGGGATGGAACGCGAGAGGTTTGTCGTCGTCAGCCTCCTGGCTGGCCGAACTGAGTGCCTGTGAGGAGTTGATCACTCTGGAAACTCGAAGACCGAGGGGCTTGTCGTCTTCTTCATCCTGGTCGCCCTTGGCGCTATCAGGGAAGAGGCTGTCTCCGAACGAGCCAACAGAGGACAGCTTGAGCTTTGTCTTGTCAAGTGTCTTGTCGAGTATGACGGACAGAGGTTTTTCCTCGTCAGAGTCGTCATCTTGCAAGTTAGCACGAGTCATGCGCCGCGCCGCGCGATCGATGGTAGCAACAAGGGGGAGGTCTTCTTCACTGCTCTCGTCGTCCACCTTCCTAAAGTTCGGAGCTGTGGAGACGCGATTGCTGCCACTATTCTTGACAAAGCGCGGCCCAGTGCCTGGTACGCGAAGACGCTGAACTCTGTCCTCCTCGTCAGACGACCCCGCAACCCATTGGTCTGCTTCGACCTCCTTCGCGAGTGTCTTCCGATTGTTCACACCTGGAGTGTCGGAGTCGCTCTCACCATCCGACTGGTCGTCACCAGCAGTAGGCGGAGGCGGACGTCTTCGAGCACTCGCCCTTGGGATATTTGGCAAGACATACGAGGGGGAGGCGGCGCCTGGCGCCGCTTCTTCTGGCGCAGATGAAAGCGTGAGGTTGGTGGCCGACTCTGCAAGGACCTCGCTAGACTCAGGCTCCTCTCCCGTGTGTTTGCCTTTCTTGCTCTTCTTACCCTTCTTGCCTTTCTTGCCATGCTTAGCGTCCTCTGCCGTTTGGCGTCTTGCTGCGTCCTCCGCCTCGTGGCGTTCTTGCTGCTCCATCTCGCGCAGTTTCGCAAGCTCGCGCTCCCACAACGTGTCCACACCAAACACTGACTTCTTGTTGCCCGGGCTGGCCGAGTCCATGGCGCCGAGATGCTGGCTAGCCCGCACACCCGGTATTCCATCTTCCAAGTTCACCAGGGTCTTCGAGTTCCGGCGCGAGAGGTTCGGCTGCGAGTGGTACGAGTCCATATGTTGCGACTGCGGCCGCTGCTTGAGTGACTCAGGATCGATGAGCGTGCTCGAACGTTGCATTGGGGTCCGCGCCATCATGGATGGCCGCTCATCTCCTCGGAACGTCCTGAGAGATAGTCAAAACTCTATCCACACTGTGGTCTATCTGTTAACGCACCGTTGTTTGCCCTTCATCTCGGCCTTGCGCGATTCGAGGGCGTCGATAAGGCTCTTACCATAAAGCTTGCCTGCAGGGCGCCTCGACCGGTCCGCAGGGTCCAGCACAATTGCCGGAGGCGGCATTGGGGTCGTCGGATTCGGTTCAGGCTCCGGCTCAGGTTCAGGTTCAATTTGCTGGCCATCATGCGTTGCGCGACGCAGGTGGCTCTCAATATCAGCATACGACGGATCCCTCTGGCCGTCGACAGCAAGGGTGTTACGAAATGTCAACTGCGACAGCGTAAGGCTGGCCCGTGGATTGGGAGTAAAGGAGTTGGACGCGACCAAGCCAGGCGACGTAGACGTGTCGATCATGGACATGGTCGAGGAAGCGGCACGGCGCGCCGCACGCGCACCCGGGGGAAGCGGCGGTCCATCTGTGTGCATTTCGAACCCGTCGAGCGAGCGAGGCGGCATGGACGGCTGCGACGGGCGCGCGGCAGACTGGAGCGGGCTAGGCATGATAAGGACCTTGGGGCGCATAAGTTCGAGACGCGAGTAGCGTCGCGGGCGCGGGGATGCATCGGGGCTACTCGAGCGCGCGTCGTAGCGGTCATTGTCAAGTAGCATCTGCGTGCCGAGCGAGCCGTTGGACACCGTGCGTGCGCGGATCGCCTTGGGGTCGAATCGCGAGGAACGGCTGGGCGAGGGTGGGCGTAATGCGAAGGGGTTCGTGTCGTCCCCGTTGAGCCCTGGGGTGAGCGCACCGAATGAGGCCTGTGATGCGGTGCGGGCGCGTGCCTTAGGATCGAAGCGGGATGCACGGTCTGGGGATGGCGGACGGACGGCGAAGGGGTTGGGAAGTTCCTCGTCCTGCTCCTCGTTGGAAAGCATCTGGGAGCCCAGGCTTGCCGTCGAGGAGGTGCGACCATGAGCTCTATTGAGCACATTCTCGGAGACGAGAGAGGACGGTCTCATCATTGGGGTGCCTTCGGTGGGTAGAGGCGACACGGAACGCACAGATTCGCTTGTTGGGAAGGGAATCGAGTGAAGGGGAGGAGTCGGGGGTATGTTTTCAATGAGCGCGTGGGATGACGCCGTGCGCCCGCGGTGAGTCCGCTGCTCAACAGGTCGCTTAGCTTGGGGGAAGTCAAGGGCAGTGCCGATGGAATGTCGACGACTACCCATTGTAGGCCTTGCGTCCAGGAACGCACCGCCCTCGCCGAATGAGTCGAAATTGCCCATACTCATAGTCCTCCCAGCATGAACACCTTGACGGCCCATCTCCGACCTAGCACCACCAGGTCGTTCGCTAGGAATGGCGGCATGGGGATTAGGCAGTACCTCAGACTTAGCCTTCTTCCGTGCATCCTTGTCCTCCTTGTCCTGAGGTAACAGGGCATCGAGACCCCATGAAGAGAGGTCGACCTCCATTTCGTTTTCTTCTTCGTCTTCTCCCAGGATGCCCTCGTACGTAGAGTCGCGTCCGAACGGATTACGGAGTGCATCAAAGGACCCTCGAGAGCGTCGCGAGTCGTCGACAATGGATTCCCCGCCCATCATGCTTCCTGTCTCACCTGGTATAGCTACGCCGAGGTAGTCTGTACTGCGACGCGCTGCAGAGCGATGTGTAGGGTTGTTTCGGCGAAGGTGCGCAAATATGACACTTTCTTGCGCCGACTTGCGAGGTTTGGTCGGATCGGAATCATCATTATCGTACTCTGTCGATTACGATGCGAGGTAGTCTGAGACCTCAGCGAGCTGAGCTATGTACAGTCTGTGCTACTCACCGATCAGTGCTGCCGCCAGCTGAATACGGGAGAATGCAGCTGCCATTGCGATTTACAGATTGGCCGAATTATGATGCTACTCTTTCGTGGGTTCGGCGAACCACCTCGCGAGACCGTGACAAGGCCAGTAGTGACTAGAGTGAATATACCTGGAGGAGTGTGAAGCGTCCTTCACGAATGGCGGGTATCAGAAAATATAAAAGCGGAAGGAAGGGACAGCTGGGAGGGCGAGGGAAGGCAGCGGGAAGTCCTGGCCAGTGGCCTGCCTCTGGATACTCACAGGCGCTCATATGCATGAATGCCAAGTACACGTGCTATCCACCTTAAGTTCGCTCTCAGGACGGCAAGCACTTATCTTCAAGCCGAGTAGCTCTGCCACAGGAATTAGGACCATCTGAGAGCTATGCGAATGAATACACTCGGCTATTGGTACGCTATGAGCCCCACATGCACTAAACCTCAATAGATGGCATTATGGAAGTTCATAGAGCGGACTTAGTGCCGTTGGAATGTTACTCTGGCTGAATCGTTCGACACCTGTTCACGAGGAAGACGAGGAGCACATGCTGTCGCATAATCAGTGAGGCTCATCGGTTCTGGAATGTCTCAATATCAGAGAGTGAAGATATGGGCCAAGCAGTGCAACATTGATAATATTGTGGCTGCTGGCCACAGCCGGTTGCTTTGAGCGCTTAAAAGGACAAGAGTAGACGCTGGTAGGCGCGTGACGCGACGCGTCGACTCGGACGCGTGTGAGTGATCGAGATGATCGAAAGCGCCCGATTTGGACACGTCAGTAGCATCGGAGGACACGTCCTCGCTCACATGGGTTGTGGACGCCACAGCACTACATATACTTTCTAGTTTGCGTTCATTCTGCGCTTGCAGTCAGTTCTCTCTCAGCCATGCGGCTCTTCCGCCCGCTGTTACTCTCGCTCACCGTCCTAGCATCACACGTCTTTGCTCAAGAGTCTGCGGAAGTACCAAAGCAGAAGCATGACTACCAGGTTCGTCAGATCCCTAAAGGATGCAAGCTCCCGGCCTAACTCCCTGCGCAGAGCGATGTGGCACGTCTCCGCAAGATTGTCATCAACAGGTCAGTACGGCTCAATTTGTGTGAAGCATTGACTGATATAATGTGCCTATTAGTCTATATTCCCATCGGTATATCAGCACCCTTTTTATGCTTGGATACACGATTTGACCATGATTCTGAAGGGACGTATTCTTACGCGAGCTGATCTCAAATGCAAACGACGCGCTTGAGAAGCTGCGTTTGACGTCGCTCACCGACAAAGAGGTTCTGTCGGGGGCCGAAGACTTGAACATCACCATTAAGGCATTCAAGGACCAGGATGGTCACGGTCGCATTATCATCAGGGGTATGCCTGCCTCTGCTGTCTGCCCACAAAGGATCTCATCACATTTTCAGACACCGGGATTGGTATGACACCTGAAGAATTAACGGCAAACCTCGTACGTGCAGCTACGCATTCTATGTCGCATCATTTCGTGCTCACAACCATCTTGGCGGCAGGGAACTCTGGCAAAGTCTGGCACATCCGAATTCCTCGCGAGAGCGGAGAGCACAGATACTACAGGCACGGGCAACCTGATTGGCGCGTTTGGTCTCGGATTCTACAGCAGGTAACGTAGACACTTACTGGAATGCATGGGTTTTATGCTGATGCTTGATTAGCTTCCTCGTTGCGGACCACGTCTATGTCTCCTCGCTGGCTGCAAAGTCCTCGCAGAACCCGTCGCCAACCCAGTATGTCTTCAGCTCGGGCGCGGATGAGAGCTCCTTTGAGATATACCCCGATCCGCATGGTAACACGCTTGGTCGGGGTACCGAGATCATACTCGTGCTCAAAGACGACGCCCTGGAGTACACCGACCAGCACAAGGTCTCCGACCTCATGTATGCGCGACTTCCTTACCGTCCATGTGTTTACTAATTATCTGCCTGCAGCGACAAACATTCATCTTTTTCGTCGGCATTCCCAATCTACCTCTACACGGAACGGACGGAACAGGTGCCTGTCGAGGTCGAGGAGACGAAGTCGGATGATGTCGACGAGGATGTGGCTGTTGTCGAAGACGCGGACGAGAAAGACACAGAACCTAAGACGGAGGCCGTTACCGTCGAGGAATGGATTCACGTCAACTCTCAGCCGCCCATCTGGATGCGGTGCGTCCCTCGCGGTTGCGCGCCCAGTTCTACGACTGACTATATGCGCAGCGACCCGAAGACTGTCACGGAGGAGGAGTACAAGACTTTCTACCAAGCGACGTTCAAGGACTATGAGGAGCCACTCGCGTGGCACCACTTCTCTGGCGACTCGGGCTCCGGCGTGTCCTTCAAGGCAATCATCTATGTCCCTTCGCATCTGTACGTCCATCACTTGGTTGGTAACCGTGTGGGGGGCAGAATCTGAGTATGTGAGGCTTGCAGAGATGACTCGTGGTGGCAGAATCCGCTTCAAACCAGCTCAAAGGACATCCGGTTGATGGTCAAGCGTGTGTTTATCACATCTGACCTCGGCGAGGATGCGCTGCCGAAGTGGGCCAACTGGGTGAAAGTCGTCGTTGATGGTGAGCTTTGCCCCCCTTGTCCTTGTGTATTCGTGCGAGCCGACATCCGACTCCTGTGTCATCTGCAGCGGAGGACCTACCGTTGAATGTATCCCGTGAGATGCTGCAGTCGACGCGATTCCTGAAGCAGCTGCGCTCGATTATCCTGCGCCACATCCTACAAATGCTCGTGCGCATCGCTGAGGATGACCCAGAGAAATGGGCGCAGGTGCAGAAAGTGTACGGGAATGTGTTCAAGCTCGGTGCGGTGGAGGACGTGAAGAACCGCGACAAGCTGGTCGGACTCACGCGCTTTGGGACGAACCAGCGAGATAGCACGTCGCTGGACGAGGTGAGCTGTGTGCAGCGTGCGGGGTAGGATTGACGGTGCTAACGGTACGGCGTTTAGTATTTGGAGAACAGAAAGAAGGGACAAAAACAGGTGGGCGTTGGTGATATGACAGGGCTTTGCGTGTTGCTGAACGTATGACGGACAGATCTTCTACATCGCCGACATGGGCAGCACCCCGGAGATCCTCGCCAAGAGCGTGTTCATCGAGAAGCTCCATGCGCGTGGCTACGAAGTCCTCCTGCTGACTGACCCGCTCGATGAGATCTTTGTCCAGAACTTGCGGCTGTGGAAGTGAGTGAATTTTGCCTTCAGTTCTTAGACTAGATGCGACTGGCCTCCTCCTAGGAAGGTACAATTCCAGGATGTCGCAAAGGCCGGGTTGAGATTCGGAGACGAAGGTGCGCTCTTTGAGTGATTTGACAAAATCAGTCATCATGACCTGGGATACGTGTTTAGAGATGAGCCCCGAGGAAGAGAAGGAAGAACAAAAAACCCTAACTGAGCAGTTCAAGCCTCTGCTCGACTGGCTAAAGGAGGAGGCGAAGGATGTCGTCCGTGATGGTGAGTGCGACGTGTCGATGCGTCCTCAGCGGAATTGACGTTTCCTGCGTAGTCGTGATCTCGAATCGCCTGGTGACGAGTTCGTGCGCCGTGGTCGCCGATCAAATGGGTTACACCGGGAACATCGAGAGGATGATGAGTGCGTGCATTACAAATTCTGGGCAGCGCAGATCTGACAAAATGACCGTCGATTAGGCAGTTCGCAGGGCGCCAAGAACCCGATGCATGCGTTCGCAAAGAAACAGAAGATCCTCGAAATCAATCCGCGCTCGCCCACGATCCAGGGTCTACTGCGCAGAATTGAGCAGCTTCCGTCCGAAGAGGACGGCAGGGACTTGGATACGGAGGAAGAAATGAAGGAGGTGGCGTCCGTGCTCATTGACGGAGCGTTGGTCCGCTCTGGGTTCAGTGTCCCAGACTCGAACGAGTGAGTATCTCTGGCGTGTGCGTTCTGCTGATGGTTGCTAATGTGAATGTAGGTTCTTCGTGCGGGTTGACCGTATTCTGCGCCGCTCACTTGGCGTTTCGGAGACGGCGCCAACAGACACGACCGTCAAGCCCGCGCCTGAGGTTGACACAGAACCGCTCAATCTCGAAGACCCGCTGCTCGACATGGAGTGGCCAGACTATGTCCCAGGCTCACTCAGACAGCCCCCGCCCGAGTCCGAATACAAGCCGGAGAACCAAGTTTTCTGGGAGGTCGAGGAGATTGACGAGGAGGGGAACCCAGTGAAGAAGTCCGACGAGAACATTGTAATCAAGCCTCACGATGAGCTGTGAGAGGTTGCGGGGAGTGATCTGTATTATTATATCCAATGTTTTCTTGCTTTTTCTTGGTGGTGGCGGATAGGAATGACTGGACACAGTAGAGCTTGACCTACCTCTGTTATGTGTGTTGAGAAAACACCCCGGAATCCGGGGAGTCTTCGACAGTGGTCATATAGATCAAGTTTTCGAACCTATTACTAGTGCAGGCATGATCGAGATCCATTTCTATCGGCGCCTATGCTATTATGGGCGCTTGTGTAATGACCTCAGCGTCTCAGCGTTTGTCCACCACCGTCACCTCGCTCGGCTTGCATCACGCCTCGGGTACCCTACTCTTTTCTCATACTGACAAGGTATTCTTCATTTTACACAGCGTAGCCATTTCCTTCATGTCTGCGTCATTTGTCCTAATGGGCCCTCCACCCCTTCCTGCTGGGTGGACTGAGCACATCAGTAAGTAGCAGACGAGCCTTGCAACTCTGTGATGTAGATTAATCCATCGCCAATGCTGATTAGGCCCTAATGGACAATCGTACTACTACAATGCGGCAACACAGGAGTCAACTTATGTCCGACCTATGCCTGGGTTCCCTCCGGGAACTGTGCTCCCTACTCCGCCAGGACCGCAAAAGAAGAAAGAGAAGCCCCTCGAAAAGACACCGATACCAGGCACCGACTGGTTGCGCGTCGTGACGACGGAGGGCAACACGTTCTACACGCACAAGGTTGAGAAGCGCAGTATATGGACAGTCCCCGACGAGATACGCGACGCCGTGCAGGCGCTCGAGCACCAGGAGCAGGAGGCCCGCGCAAAAGCAGAGCATGAGGCGAAGGAGAAAGCGGAGCGCGATGCGAAGAGAGTCGAAGAGGAGGTCCAGAGGATCAAGTCGGAGGTGCAGGGCATGGTCGGGAAGCGAAAAGCGGAGGAGTCTGTGCCGGTCGACGAGCTGGTGATCACGAAGAAGCCAAAAGTCGATGACGAGGAAGAGGATGAGGATGAAGACGAAGATGAAAGTGAGGAAGAGGAGGAAGAGGAGTGGCAGCGAGAAGCCGCTGCGCAGCTTGCTGCTGAGGCAGAGGAGGAAAGAAAACGACAGGAGGAGGAGCGAAAACGACAAGAGGAAGAGGAGAAGAAGTTGAAGGAGGCTGAGACAACAAGAGGGAAGGCTCAATTAAACATGCCCGATCGAGTCGACCTGTCTCTTGACGAGGCTAAGGCACTATTCAAGGTGAGTGGCGGGATGGCTATGGAGACTGCTCGAGAGGGCTCATTGCAGCTATTCATCTTAGACACTACTCCAGGAAAAAGACGTCAACCCCCTCCACCCCTGGGACACCTCCCTCCCGCTCTTTATCTCCGACCCGCGCTATGTCCTCCTCCCTTCTGTCTCCGCGCGCAAGGAGGCATTCGACGAGTACTGCCGCGACCGCGCCCGTGAGCGGCGGCAGTCGAACGTCAAAAAGGAGAAGGAGGCTGCAAACCCGAAGGAGGAGTTCGAGCGGCTGCTGCGCGAGGAGGTGAAGAGCACGCGCACGAGCTGGACAGAGTGGCGTCGACAGTGGAAGAAAGATCGACGCTTCTTCGGCTGGGGCCGCGACGATCGAGAGCGCGAGAAGCGATTTAGAGAATATGTCAAGGAGTTGGGCGAGAGTGAGTCCCGTGTACATGTGACATGCAGGATACAGACTCATTGGAGACATAGAGAAGCGCGCCGCTGCCCAGAAAGCGGAAGCGGACTTCTTCGCATTGCTTAAGGAGAGCGGGATCGCTAAACCAGGCGCGGTCTGGAAAGAGGTGTGGTATCTGGTGAACTGCTATATCCCTGTATTGAATTGCATTTTGTGGCACTTCTAGGTCAAGCGCACGATCATCAATGACTCGCGTTACGATGCCGTCGGTTCGTCCTCCTTGCGCGAAGAGCTCTTCAACACGTTCCTGAAAGCTCACGGTGCCAGCGCGACGCCAGAGCCGACTTCTCGAGACAAGCCCGATTACAACGAGAAAGCGGAACAGAAAATAGACGAGGAAGATGAGGCAGAGCGCGAACGTACGAAGCGCGAGAAAAAGGAGCGAGCGGTAAGAGAGCGGGAGGAAAGGGTCAAGGTAGAACGGAGCAAGGTGGAAGCTGCCATCGACCGCTCGCGGATGGGTTTGACCAAGGAGGAGGGCGAGCTGGAGTTTAGGTGCGCCGCGTGTCTTGTTCCACTTCTATGCAGTTACTGGGCGCCGCTTACCTTGCTCAACTTTAATTCACAGGACGATGCTCACAGATGCCATTCGGGATCCACAGGTACGAACGCGCATATATTTAGACTGTAGGCTAAGCCCCTACTTTTTGTTATGCAGGTCACTTGGGACAGTGTGCTACCACAACTAAAGACTGATCCCCGCTTCACAAACTCACCTTTGCCGCTCAACCAACAATTACATATCTTCCACTCACACATTGCTGCCCTGCGGTCAAAACATCTCGCAAGCCTACACGCGCTCTTCGTTTCGCATTCCCCCTCACTCGCCACGCCGTTCACCGAGCTGCCGGTGGCGTCTTTGATCTCCTCGCTGCCCGTGACGAAGCTTGGCTTCGACGTTGACCAACTTGAGCAGGAGTATGCCAAGTACCAGCGCGAGCGCACGCACGAGGCGCGGCTCGCGTTTGACCAAATGCTCAGCGAGAACGCGTTCGTGGAGTTCTGGGGTCGGCTCGGGAAGATCGGCGGGCAGGGCGTGGACCAGAGCATCAAGGTGGACGATCTCGAAGACGATGCAGAGGAGGGGCAGGTCGACATGAAAGCGCTCGCGAAGAACGTCGATCTCAAGGAGATAGTGAAGGTGCTCAAGGTGAGCTGTGATTCGAACGGCTCGCGGCTGGCCCAGGCGGAGCGGATGCTTACCAGGGACGCGTGTGACAGAATGACAAGCGGTATCTCGTGTTTGACCACATACCCGAGCAGCGAGAGCAGTGGTTGAGGGTGAGGGAATCCGTGCCTGTCTCGGTAGCGCCTTTATTGACTGCTGTCTCAGGATTATTTGGCACAATTACCTCCACCGAAGTTATCTGTGCATGTTTCATAGCGGAGGCGGTGTCACATTTCAATTTAGACTGGCGGTGCCGAGTCATCAAGCTCCATTGGCACCATCTGTATTGAATTGTTGTGAATTGGCCTGCTTGACAACCGTGCGTAAGCATATGTCTACGGGTCTATTCTTGTGAGACTATGGTATCAAGTACATGGTCATTGCCCCAGGAGTTTCGCCACGGTGTCGCTGTGTAGCTGCGGTAACCAACAACATGATGAGGAACGCAGATCTCCGTGCTCTGGCTGCATCGGTGATGAGCATCGTTGAGCCGGTCCACATCTCAATCAATCATGTTTAAGATGCGCCTCGTACTCCGAAGACAGCATCCGCGCTTACTTCTCCGGCGTGCGAAGCGTCTGGCGGCCGCTGCTGTCATTGCGGGCCGGCTTCGATTGGGTGGTCAATGTCCGCTGTCATGGCTGGGCCAAGCCGCCGTTGTGCATTGTGTCCGTATCTCACATACGCTGTCGGTCAGGACCATAACGCAAACGGCGGTCGGCACCGGGCTTCAATGCAAATCCTGCTGGCCAGCACAGTACACGTCGAGCTACTCTCGGTTCTCGGTTTTAACCTCGGATTGACGGTAATCAAAGACATACCACCGGAGGCTGTATCCTTAGCGAGCGAACTTTCAACTCGAAGATGAAGGTCAAAGGTACTGCATTGGCCGGACTTATTTTAGTACGATATCTGATGACCGTGCAAGTGCCGTAGCTGTGTGACCAGCCGCGGAGCAAGGTCGACTCATCTTGCGGATGAACAGTCGGCGGAACTGCCTCACTTCCGTCGTGTACCGACAAATCGATCTACCCCGATGCATGGGATAGCCGTAGCAGTGCGGGCCATGACTCGACCCTAGGTATCCGCATTCCGCATTAAAGTCCGGGTAGAGTTACGCGCTGTGCAGCCTTGCCTTCAGTATATAAGGACGGGAGGATGGGGGGCAGAGCCAGCAATTCCCATCTCAATCCTACCCACAACGAAAGCAAGATGTCGCTCCACTTTGATCACTCGTCGATTGACCACTCTTACCAACCCCCGATCCAAGGGGCTTGCCGATCTCCTTGTCCAGCCCTCAACGCCCTTGCAAACCACGGGTACCTGTAAGTCATTCCTTAGAATATCAGGTTGCGGAGGGCTGATTCCCATCACGTAGTCCTCGCGATGGGCAAAATGTGACCGTCCCCCAGCTGGTGCATGCAACAACCACAGTCTATCACCTTTCATATCCGCTCGCCCTCATTCTCTCCGTTGTTGGTGCCATCAAGTGCGGGAACGGATGGTCGATTGATCTCCACGCCCTAGCCAAACATGGTGCTATTGAGCACGACGGCTCCCTCGTACACGCCGATACGCCCTCCGGCTGTCCATACGCGCCCACAACCGTTGATTCAGACCTTGTGCAGCAATTGCTGTCAGTCACGCCAGAGTCATCCCTATCACTACACGACTTCGCCCGGGCACGAGCAGAGCGTGACGTTGCCATGTGTAATCCACTGGACAAGCTGCATGCGGAAATCGCACGCGGAGAATCAGCTCTGACTGTCGAAATTCTCGGATCCGATGGTGTCGACAAGTTAGGCAAGGAGGACACTCGTGGTTGTCCCGAGAGGAGAGTTTCGAAAGCATTCATCGAGCAATGGTTCGTCCAAGAGAAGTTGCCCGACGGGTGGCGAAGGCCTGAGAAGGCAGTAGGGTTACTCAATATCGCCGCCAAGTCGAAGGAAGTCGCGCAGATGGTGCTGGCCATTCGCTCAGGCCAATCGTCATAGCAGATGTCGAAGTCCATGCCACAACACCACAGCATACCCCTATCGAGGGCCGATACCCTTCTGCATGTTTGTTCTTATACCACACAACTGTTGTAACACTTCTACGGACTGTCGAGTAATCAAGGAGCGTTGCCGACCATCACGATGCTTTTATTTGAAAGAATAAGACACAAGCGCTCATATAGGCCAGAAAAGCATGAACGTCGCACAAGGGAAGCTGATAGATAACCTGTCCTCCCAAAGTAACATCGTATTGCACGAACAAATTCACTGCCTATACGAGAAACATCTTCGGAGAATGTGAATGCATGCACTGTGATACTTGGTGGATCAAGTCTCGGTGTACACCACAACCTGGTACATATCCCCTGCATAGTCTGTAGGACATGCTATCAGCAGATATTTCACAGCAAGAGGCACGATCACTAACCAGTCTGATTAGCACCGATGATAATGGTGTTTGAACCCGGCTTGAGGTAAAGTTGAACAGGCACACTGAGAATCGCATGGACTCCCCCAGTATTAGCCTGACCCACGACCACGTTTGATCCACCATTGACGCTATTGAGGTAGTCATATGTGAGCTGTCATACGTATCAACTGGGGCGAATTAGTACGGGACCTGATAGTCGTGTTTCTGTAGGAGTTGGTATCATACATTTGTTGAGAACACAGACAGCATTCAAACACACGCACCTCCATGACGAGTCCGCGTTTGCATAGTACAATGATACCCATTGCTCCGCCCCAATACCATCAATGGTCATGGTTAGGGTACCCCCATTGCCTAGCAACTATTGTTAGCTGAAGAAAGGATTGTGCCTGGGGCGCATACGCACCGAGATATCCAACACCTTCATAACCGTTGTATGTGTAATTTGATCCCAACAATTCCGAGCTCCCGCCCAGTGTGCCATTGACTGCTGGGTACGTTGTGCCGGTCGCTACTGAGTATGTCCCTGTAGTTGATGCAACAGCATGTCAGCGAGGCCCCGAGGCAGGCATTTCGTGCTTACCAGCTTCGTAATCGACGGTCCAGAGATCTGCGTATACTATCTGTGGATCACCCGTCGACCAGCTGAGAGGATACCATGCGTAGCGGCTGTTGCCCAACAAATTCGAGTCCCAGCGATCCCCCATATATATCGCATCCGAGCCTAAGGGAAGGTCGTACGCGTTCTGTGAGGAGTATGTGTCTGTGTCTTCTGGCGCTATGTCAGCTTGGCTGGACCAATTTCCCGATATATTCTATAAAACGGTATCTGTCGAGCACAACTGGACAGGGCGACGAGGAGGGAAACGCACAGTCGCATAAAAGTATTTGTTGGGATTCGGGGCCCATCCACTGGTGTGCGAGGCCAAAAGCCAGTATACCTAGGGCCTGTCAAGCTGCATAACATTGAGCGAAAGTTCATCGCTCACTCCGTCTCTCTTCAGCATTCCTGGAGCTTCCAGAGTTGCGCCTACAAAATACTCCCATTAATACGTGTTGGGACATCAGCCTTGTAGGATGGATATACCAGTCATCTCGGATACCACTTCTGTGACATTGTAGTAGTTGGAATCGAGGCGTGCAATCTTGAAATCCTGGTTATTGTCACTGGCGTACAACAGATACGCTGTTCTCGCAGCTAGAATGTTATTGTTGGCAATACGTCAACAGAAGAAATAAAGATTAAGCTCCCAAGCCTACCGTCATCTAGACCAGACATGAATAAGCGATGAAATTATCTTGTGAATTGACAACAACACTAACCGTCTTGGAAAATGCTTTCGTCACGCGATTGGGCTCCGAGCGGATTGAAGCTACCTCTGTAGGAGTATGGGCCGCAGGGCGTATCCGCTGTTGCGACACCGACCATGGCTAGACCGTAGCTATCATAATCCACTGTCAAAAAATCCAGTATTGGTACTTATTCTCTACTCACTCAGAATTGTCCGAGTGGAACCACATGACATATTCCTCATTCTGTTGCTTCAAGGTAAGTAGTCAAACAGCGTGAAGTGGGACCGCCTGAGAGACCTTCTCGTTGTATATCACTGCGGACCCGAAATGTGAATCAACCAATATGTTGACATTGTATGATCAAACCTTTGGGTCGTTCAACTATGTCAGAGGTGCTAATGTTTGTGCCAGCCAGAGGGGTAAGTGCATCATTGTGGCGAGCCCAATTGACTAGATCCGTTGACTTTCAGACGCATCAATCAGGTTTCCAGTCGGACAACTTTTAAGTGAATACCAACACTATAGCAACTGACGGCAGAAAATAAATAGTTATTGTTCGCCTTATCTTCACCAAACCAATAAAACGTGCTTCCGACCTGCATATTGAGATGAGCCAAGCAGGAACATCTGAGGCTATCGTTTGAAATGCGCACTGTCAGGATCCCCGTTCCATGTGCCTGTATTTCGTTGCCATCGGTGTCGTACCAGAGGGCTCCCGGTACGATTAAGCTCTGGGCATCGACAGATTTGAGGATGCATACGAGCAGCACAAGCCATGCTGTGAGGGCTCGCGCCCTGAGACATGCAGTGATGGCATTCATTGCGAAGGAGCACGTATTGTCAATTACTTCCCGGACGTTCTTATACGAGTATCCGTGGAAGGGGTTTATCATCTTCCAAGAATAAAGGACGCCATGCGAATCCATGACGGTCCGCTTGAAGCGCACGAGCACCGAGATTTCCTCTAATGTCCCGATTGCGAATAACGCTGTAGGCTTCACATCATCCGGACCGGTATGATGACACCTAGGATACCGGTTGACGACGTCTTCGGGGGTTACTACACCTTGTGCCGGTCAGAGCACGAGGCACAAGAAGTGATTTCACGCTCACCTGACCGTCAGCTTCAAATCATGACCACTCAGTTGTTGCATGAGGTTCCCCCATTAGGTTCTAGGGAGTGCACATCTTCATCAGCCGAGTGCGGTCCACAAGTAGAACGTGTGAACTGCCTTCCGATCTACGGAGAGAAGCTCAGTAGGGGAAACCATACAAACTAGTTGAAACGTCTGCTGTGTTACATATCGTGTCCTTCAGCCGGTAGATGTAGAGAACCATACATGATAATACAATTTGCTTGATATCAGAGTAACGGTACATTGTAAGCAGTGTGGTAACGACGCGTGCAATAGAAAGCAAGTACGATATGATCATTGCAAGTATTGAAGAAATTGCAGCGAGGGCGGTAACAGAGCATGAGATCAAATGTCATACATAGAATCTGAAAGGAGTTGTGAACATCGAGAGGTAGTAACAAGAAAGGACTTACTTCTTGTTAATTTGCCACAAGAGTAGATTAAGGTTGAACTTTGCTAGACCGCTGAATAGGGAATAAGATGCGCGATTCTCAAATTGTGCTTGCAAGAGATCCTCCATCTTCACGTCGGCTGATGCAACTCGGTTGGTGATACCCAGCGCATTGTTGAAGACCTCGATCGTGAAGACCCCCACATCATTGGACGACATGACGATGTCAATGTCGTCAAACTGACGCGGTGAATATTGATCAATCGAGAGCAGCACGCCCTTCTTGTAGAGACGTTGTGCTGTATACTTGAAAGAGCCGAATTGGGGCGGTTTGCCAGCTTTCTGCAACTCCCGCATGTGAAAGTACTGCTGTGTGAAAGGGATCACAAATCGTCGTTTGCTGTCGGAATGTCCGAAGATTAGTACTGTTGCATACACACATAGTGGGGGGCATACCCTTTGCCTCGCTGCATCGTGTTCATCGCGTTCTCGACAAAGTTGTGATAGTAATTGATTTGTTCCTCGAAAGCCTTCTTGCGTTCGGCTAAGTACTTCAAGGCTTCTTCCATACTTTCCTTCTCGTGCTGTCGCTGGAGTCGCCTGCGGTTCTTGCTCCTCACATCTCCAGCGATCGCGTTGAGAATACCTTGATAGCCATCCATGCGGGAAATCTTGCCCAACTTTTCGAGTTCGAGTAGGAAGTAGATTGCATGTGCTTTCACTTCTCGGAAGGACATCCTGCATGCAAGGGTGCTGTAAGTCAAAGCTAGTTACAATATGAACAAATTAAGCGCTTACGATCGAATATCCTCAAGACGATATGCCGAATCTGCTGCAGTGGTAGAAGGCATACGCCTCTGATGACGCGATTGCTCTCTCTCCATTTCCTCCAGTATTCCTTCCCATATCACCTCGTGCTCGTCAATGACCGGCTGCATGAGGGAGTCCACGAGGTCTTTCGCAGGCTGTACACGGAGAATGGCCAGTACTGCTCTCTTTGCTTGCACCCATAACGTCTTCTCATCCGCGGCAGGGTCTAGGGAATATGAGTTTACGAGCATCTTGAAGAGAAATATTGTACACACCTCTTACGTGCGCAAACCGGTTTGTGAGTTGCAGCTCTATGGCGGTGTCGCGAGCTTCGTTTAGTTCTTCGTTTCCAATGTGAGGGACACCGTCGAGTTCCGTCAGAATAACCCTGAGAGTGTCTTCGCGTGTAGGGGCCTACAAAATCTTCCTTAATCAGTGGGACTGTCAAGAGTAATCGCACACCCACCAGAAAATCAAGGTGCTGTGATAGCAGAGTGTGCATCGCGTAGACTTCGTTGGGAGATATGAAGATGGACTTTGGTTGAACCGTGGCATCCAAGAACTCATGAGCATGATACTCGGTTTCGGCATCTTGGACGTTGGCGACTATACGACTCGAGTCAGTAGGACAACATCATGAACACGCAAGGGGCTTCAAACCTTCAATCAGCCATGCCGAGATCTGTTTAATGGCTTTCCAGACGTAGTCATTGACGGGAATGTAACTCGGAGTGTCATCACCGAATTCGACTCCATTGGTGATTTGCGTAAGCATTCTGGAAACCTGAGCCAAATTCTTCCGAGACGCGATATCAATAGTGCTGGAAACGATATCGAATGTCTCTGGGGTGCTGCAGACGGACTCGCGTCAGCACGTATTCGCGTTAGAGTGGTGGACCGCCCTTCGTACATGATTGCAGGATTGATATAACGATAATACACTAGTCTCGCAATACATGCAGCGCATGCTTCCACAGATGCGTCGGGGAACTTGCTCTAATGAATCCGCCCAATCTGAGATATTGATGCGTCACCACATCAGCGCAAACGAACACGTACCTTTACAGCGTTCAGAGTTTCTCGGGCCATGTATCGCATGCCGTAGGGCATCTTCTGGACAGACTGTGTGATGGCCTTCACGAACTCTTCCGTCCACCATTGTAGAACTTGCAAGTCTGTCTTAATTGGTCAGACAGAGCCAGTCGTTGCCTGGAAAATCACAGACGTCGTATATACTCAGCTCGAGTGTCTGGATCATTGAGCGCGGTGTGAAAAGGAACATCCTTGGCCTGCTTGCTGGGGACCCCGGAACGCATTTCCTCGAGGTCAATCCTAGCCCGATAGATCTAGGCGCAATCAATACACTACTTGGATGTGTTATGTCAGATGTCGTACCTTGGAAGGATCCGTTTCGAGATCAAGATCCTCAGATTCGATGACACCACGAATGACAGCTTGGAGAGTCTCTCGGATGTATGCCGTTTGCTTCGGGCGTAGATAGTGAACAGCTACGTTGATGAACATGGGATGTCCCCGAGTGATGTCCTCGATGGACTGAGCAGCAGTCGCCTCTTCGTGTATCGCCATCTAATGTAATCCCCGTCAGTCCCGTAACTGGTCAAGTAATAGAAGCGCATGCATACCTGGAAGAACTTCAGTAGCAAGTACTCCTCACGACGATCGTGGCCGTAACCGAATAAAGTCAGTACAACTCGTTCGGTAAGTCGTCGGTGCTTCTCCCAATCCTTCTCCATCGTCATTCTCGTGAACAGCTTGGTAAGGTATCCAGCCTTTGTCTGGAGAAAATAGAAGAGCTGTTGATATAGCTCGAGCTTGCGTTTGGCCGAGCGGTCAAGCGTACTTGGGCCCGCGAAGGGATCACCGTGCGCCGCAAGAACAGAAGTTCTGGCAGCGTGAACAGCCGCGCTATCAGGGCCAAGTGTGCGACGAAGTTTAGTCAACTCTTCAAAGCTCTTGACATTCTGAACAACAAGGGCGATCTTGGTATCAAGCTCGTTAACGTCGCTCTCGAGAGCCTGATTCTCGCGAATCCGCTTCACAACATCTTGCCTGAGGCGCTCTACTTTGATCTCCTCCTGGAAGTCGGCTTCTGAGTCGTCAAGCAGGTGAACAAAGTTCTTTATGGTGCCAACAGTGACATTAGTTCCCACTGTCAGCTGTCGGTACTGTTCGCGAGTCTCTTTAGCACGGAAGAGGGACTGTATCTGGACAATCTTGTCGAGATTTGAGCGGTAGTACTCCATCTTGGCCCGGAATTTTCTACGCTGGAGAACACCACGCAGCAGCGCTTGTAAGATCGTGGCCTGGGGGTGACTGTGGCGCAGATAATCTCTCCAGGCGGTGTAACTACAGCGGACCAGAGCACCTCGAGCGACTGATTGGAAGCCAACGACGTCCGGTTGTACAAATTCGAGACGCTTGGTCTGCTCTTGATGCCGATTGCGCGCCAGTGCTGCACGGGCGAAAGCCTGGAATCCTCCGACAGATGTCATAACCTGTACCTGTGAGAGGGCCTTGTGCATTGCCTGGTGGCGTTGTCCAGCGAGTTTAGCTCGTGCACGAGCCTGGAGGCTGACGAGAGCAGGTGTAGCTTTACGGAGAGCTCGAATGAGAGTAAGTAGTCGTTTGCGGGCGAGGAAAGTGCGAGCGGCCGCCTGGATACGGATGACAACGTCAGTCACATCCTCGAGCTTTGCGAGCTGCGTGCCAATGCGACGTCGAACAAGCACACCCCGTGTATGAGCCTGGAGATGAATGATAGGAATGGCCACTCTTTGCAGGAGCGACCGTTGGCGAGCAAGTTGCAATCGGCGCAATACGCCCCTAGCTTGGGCTTGGAGGCTAACAATGTTCTCCATAACTAACGGTGTCGCAAAGGTTTTCGCGAGCTCTTTGTGACTCCGCTGTACAATTCGTGCACGGGCAGCTGTCTGCAATTTGACGACGGAGATCTTGGAACTTCGCAATGCTGATTTCAGCCTGAGGAACCACCGGCGCTGCAAGACGCCTCGCGCTTGTGCTTGCACCATGACGACGTAGTCGAAGGATGCGTCGATGGCGTCCAGTCGCACTTGCCATTCTCGTCTCACCAGGACACCTCGGGCTTGAGCTTGGACGCCAATGGCCCAAGGTATGAGGTCAGCGCGCTTGTCACGTTCACGCTGATGCCGTTGCCGGAACAGGAGCGCTCTGCACTGTGCTTGGATCTTCGGGACATATCGCTCAGCCATTCGGATACGAGCGTGCTGTGTGGCTTGGGCCTTCCGTACAAGGAAAGCGCGGGCAACAGCCTGCGTTGCGAGGATAGAGTCTTCATTCTCGAACAAAAGCCGGTCACGACCTAGAGCGTCGAGCGCGAGGTATACTGAACAGCGGCTCGGAAATCCGGACGCATGCTCACTCACGTTCCTCCTCAGTCTCAACCTCTTCTTCAGGTTCCTCGGGCTCCTCATTGATCTCTTTTGCAAGTTCCCTGCCTACGTTACCGAAATTCGGCATCGCGACGCCTGAGTCTTTGAGGCCCTTTTGAGTTTGTTGAAGCTGGTCATCGGTGAACTGAAGATGGCCGACCAGGTTTCCGATGCGCTGCGCTAATCCACGACGCGCAAGCAGATGACTAGTGACAAACGTGAATGAGTCGCGAGCAAACGGGTCGAGCTGCTATGACACACCTCAAGGCGTGAATACAGTAGATTACTTTCGGAAAGTTCTTCTTCTCGTATAAATCTGTCAGTTCGAAGATGAAATCCTAGCAAAGTGTCACTGTATGTCAGAAACATGGCGAGGAACCTCGCGTACCTCTGGAAGACCGACATTCCGCACAAAGGTGAAGAAGTGGTTGATGTTGTCGGAATGTCGGAAGTCAAGTTTCGGCGCCTAGTATAACCATTACAGCATTGATGGCAACAAGCCATGTCATCACGTACATCGTAGATTCTTCGCACAGCACCTTCCCCTTTGAATACTCGAACGAGTCTTGCAAGTACAACGCCATTCCGTAAACCCTCCTCCATCTCCACGACACCGAAGCTCAATTCTTCGCCGAGGCAACCCTCGATCCACTGCTGTGCTTCACCGACGTGACAGAGATACTCGTATGCCTGCAGTAGGTGCCGTTGAACATCGGCCCAAAGCCCTCGCGTGAGACGGGAAGAAGGAAGCGGAGATGTAGGCGTAGTAGGAGCCAGGTCGCGAGAAAGGCGCAGTCGACCAGGGATGCCTGCTACGTCCCCAGCGTCCGTTACCCCCGGCACCACCAGTTCAGGCTCACGGATCTTCTCTGGCGATGGCGGCTCCCAGTCACGCGTACGTAGTCGCTCCTCTCTTCGGCTCGATCTGTCCTGAGGTGGCGGTAGCTCTTCTTCCACCTTTGTCTCGTCAACCCAATCCTCCGGCGCATCACCACTGGCGATACGCGGCAAATGTCGTCCAAGCCTGTAGCCGGTTGTCAGAGATTCGCCGTACGCAGACGCCTTCTTGTTAGCCATGTATGAACTTCTGTAGGGAGCCGGGGTCATTACAGAGGACGCTGTGGATGCCGACGAGGGTGTGACGGAGCTACTCGACGGCTTGTCTGGTGAAAGTGAGGAAGCTCGCCCAAGAGTAACGCTCGACGTCGTCCGCGTCCTGGGCTTTTCGGGAGAGGGGGGCATTGAATATTGCCCACCGTAAAGTGAAGTCGGTCTCCGCTTCGGCGCAGGAGCTGGCGTCTGTTCAGGTGGCCACACGCGCGATATACGCGACGGGCCAGAGGATGAAGACGACTGATCGGATGATACCGAGGAGCCGGTATTGCTAGGGTTAATGCTGTCCAAAGTGTTGGCACGACGTACTCTGGACGCAACGCTTGCGCTCGGCGACTCGGGGGAAGCGGGAACGGCATAATTGCTCAGATGCTTCAGTGCCGACACCGATGACGACTGCAGTGGTGTGGACACAGGCAAGCGTATGCGCTGGGGTGTGGGTGTTGAGAAAGAATATGGTGGCGAGTCCGGGCTCTCGACAGTTACGCCTGTGGTATTCGGGGAAAGAGGAGATGCGATAATTGGGGCAGGAATAGTGTACCGTTTGAGCGCAGGAGGGGTAGTCTGCTGAATGTCTGCAATACCATCCCTTGATGGGAAATGGGCTGAAAATCGGTCTGTAGACTGCACCCTGGTCGCGGGATCGGGTGACCCGTTAGCAGAGGAGGAAGGGGTCATACTAAGGGTGCGAGTTCGTTGCTCCGCATGAACGGTTGGCAGAGTGCGACTCTCGTCTAGTGTATCAGCCTTTGAGCGCTCCTCCCATTTACCCCGCACAGTATCTAAGCTGTTCGCGACGCGATGAGTGGGCGTCCATCGTCTGGTAGCAGTACCGTTGCCAGTAGGCGAAGCAAGGATACCACCAGTTCTAGATACCGACGCTGCACGCGAGAGTGACCCCGTACCGCTCCGAGAAGATGTGCGCTCTAGTAGGCGTGTTTGGTAGGCGAAGGGACCCACAGCCCCAGAGCCGGATCTCGAGGATGAGCCCGTCGATGAGAGTGAGTCTGATCGCTCCATAGTCAAATTGAAGTCGTAAAGTCGTAAGGTCGTCGCAAGTAAGGAATGATTGACGCAATCAAAATATCAGAGGCAGGAAAAGACAAGCAGAGAGAATGCGCGGAGGACGCGACGATCGCCGTTGAGGTCGATGGCCCGGCGAGTCTGGCGGGAAGAGTACACTACCCATTTTAGGAAGGCGCATCATTAGCGGCGCATATAGGCGCCCGAAATCCGTTTACCACGGCCGCACGGGACTTACTTTTTCGAACTCTCCCCTGTTCTTGGTGTTACTCAAGTTGCGCCCCATTACGGCGGACGGTCTCCCTGACGACAGACTAATTGCAATTCAGAAAACCCGACATGCCGTTTGACAAGAAACCCGATGTTTCTCCGGAATGGTTCTCGCCAGGTAAGTTTGATCTGCTGTTTCTGTTTGGAGTAGTTACGTCCACAAGTTATTCTCTCTACACCGTGGTTAGGTTCATAACCGAATTGCCTACGAATACCAAGAGAACATCTCGACCTTGCATTCCTAAATCTTCTATCTAGAGCTAACTTGAAGCGTCTACACAACCTTCATTGGTACAATGCTATGTCGGCGCTGTTGTAGTAAACCAAAGTGGCGCCTCATGTAAGGGCCGGTTGCTATCGAATGCGAAGAATTGCTATTTGTCTCTCCTGCTCACAATATGGACTGGCGAAATCAGAAACATTAGTATGCTTATTCTTACAGGCTCGAAAGACCTGAAAGGCACTGCAGTTCTACTATGAGGTTTAACAGCTAGCGGATAACAGGAAGTACGACAAATAGAAAGGCGCATCGACGGAAGACCTGTCAGCGGGCGGTGGTAGCGCGCTGCTGCAATGATGTCCGTTCCAGGAAGGGACTAGCTCGCTCTAGGAGACGCTACAGCAGCTCTCCAGTACAGTACAGCTGGCCAGTTTGATTTGGATAGAAATGCCTAGTAGATGCCTGGCACGGACAGATGCGTTCTCGGGTGTTTGGACATGAGCGGTCTAGGTCTATCAGAAGCACGAGTACCGGTTCTCTCTGCCATGCGCATGAGAATTATTTAGGTCCAGTCGTCCTCGCGCCATTGCATTGATATGTTGCTCATCTCCGAGCCCCACCAAGGCGGTGCGGATCTGAGGACAGCTGCCCCGGCGGAGACTTGTAACATGTCGCCACAGCGCTAGGCTCGCCACAGGCGTCTTTCATTGAGGATATCTAAGACAACATCTGACCGCACTCACTCTGGCACCACCGTCTTTCGCCTTTCATAACCGGAACCTACTCGAGATCATCACAATGTCTGAACCTCTTCGCCCCGTCGTACTCACCCTCACCGCTTGGATGGAAGATCGCCTGAAGGCCATCTACAGCGCGACGACTGCAGCAGCATTTGACGAAGCGTTCGATGCATTCCTCGCCAAACATGCCCATATCACGGTCAATGGGAAGCAACTCAGCCGCGAACATTATAAGCAGCACCTCAGGAAGGAAAAAAATGACGAACTCTCTGCAAAGGTCACTATTAGTGACACTGTAGAGGTTCCTGCGAACAGCGCGAAGCCTTCGAATGTAAGGCAATACAGCATCTATCGAGATGGCATACTCACCTTGGACAATAGGCCGGGAACGTAGGTGTGTTTTTCACAGCTGCCATCACCAACCACCTCATCAAGACAAGCAATGTGAACTCGTCACTGAATGTCATGTATGTTGTTTCATCTGGAGTCTTCCGTAACGGGACTTACTGATGTATTTCACAGCATCATCCAGGATGAACACGTGCAGCAGCCGGGAGGCCCAATTGGTGGTGGGGTCTTGGACATTCGCAGGGTCTCCGCGTTGAGCGAGGTATCAGTTGATCAGCCCGAGACTGGCCTGCAACCTGGAATTGTGTCTGCTTAGTCTACTTGCCTGGTCGCGTGTTCCAGTCGCCGTCAGACCGAGTGACTGCGCAAGTGTACTATATGCTGTATGAGCTCGATGACTATGAATTATGCCTTTATGAACATCATGTTTGCATGCCTGTGAGCTTAGGATGACTTAGCATTGCTCCTGGCATGATGGAAATGTGCATGTATAAGTATGCGGAGGAAGTCACGGCGTGAAGCTAGTACCATAGGTCAGCTCTCGTATGTGTTTGACAGTCGTTTCTCTGCACTCACAGTCAGCAGGCTGGATTGCAGGGAACGCGACAAGTGGAAGGGCGCAATGACGCGACGGTTCTCAACAGGACGTATCAGCTGGTTATAGTAGCGCCCTGCTACGATGATGTCTATTCTTTGGAGGGGTGAATTTTGATGGAAGCTTAGTGACGCCTGGCGCCAACAGATGCGCCCGCTAGTGTTGACACGAGAGGTCTGTCAGAATGTAAACACTGGTTCTCTCCGCGACGTCGGGTATACACTAGGCCCAGGTCCATTCGTGCTCACGTCATTGTGTGGGTACACTGCCCATGACCGATCCCCATGAACGGTGGGGTGATCTCGAGGACAGCTGCTTCGGCAGGGTCTTGCAACATGCTCAACAACTCTAGATCCAATACTAGCGTCTAGTTTCAATTCCGAAGACTATTTCCGACCGCACTCACCTCAACATTATCGTCTTCCGCTCTTGATACGACAATTCCTCATAATCCTCACAATGTCTCTCACTCTGCAGCCACAGCCAGCTTTATCCATCCTCACCGCTTGAACGGAAGAGCACTTCACGGCTATTTATACTGCGAAAACCAAGGAGACCTTCGACGAAGCATTCGACGCATTCCTGGCTAAACACGCACATATCACTGTCAATGGCAAACATCTCAGCCACGCCCAATACAAGCAGCTCCTGAAGAAGGAGAAGTACGAAGAGGCTGGCGCGACCGTCACATCCAATGGCGCTGTGGAGGCTCCCACGAACAGCGCGAAGCCAGTTGATGTGAGACATCATAACGTCCGTCGAGAACGTCTAATGACCTTGGATGATAGGCCGGGTCCATGGGCGTGTTCTACAAGGCCGCCATCGCCAACCGCGCTATCTACACGACGAATGTGAGCACATCCATAAACCTTGTGTATGTTTTTGTCAGGGATAATTTTGTAACGAAACTTACTGCTATCCTCGACACATCCAAGACGAGCACGTTCAGCAGCCAGGAGGTCCAATTAGTGGGAGGATATTTGGATATTTGCAGGGTCTCCACCCTGAGCGGGGTATTGGTTGATCAGCTCGAAACTGGTCTGCAACCTGGAGTTGTGTCTGCTTAGTTTACTTACCTCGTCGCACGTCCCAGTCGTCAGACCGAGCGGCTGCGAAAGTGTACTATATGCTGTATGAACTCAAATACCTAAGGTTTGTGCCTTCAAGAGTCGCATGTTTGTATGTCTATGGCATCTGAGGATGACTGGGAAATACTCCTAGCATGATGACCATGAGGATGAATATGTACGAGGAAGTCGTGACGGTGGCATGAACTTAAGCACTTCATAAGCGCTCATTGCATGAACGCGATCGGAGTACGCGTTCAACGCGATCTCGATTCTCAACGCGTCCTGTCTCATGCACTCATGCCTTCCACACTTGAGTCCCTCGTCTGCTCTCTCGTCCCCAAGGCTAGGAATGACGTCGTCCTAAGGCAGGAGCTCACAGAGCACTGCCAGGAGATCCTCAGCAGGTACGGTGTATTTCTTTGCCCAGTCTTTACTTCCAAGCTCTTCCCCTCGCGAGCAGCCGAGACTCTGATCGCAATGCATTCCACTTGACGCTCACGCCTTGATAGCCATATAGGGCAAAATGTAGACCCAGACATAGGACACCTTGCAGACGTGATCAAGCGGCACCGTTCGTTATACCTTTGTCGTGAAAACGCACAGGAAGCTCATACTCAATAGTGCTACAGTCATCTCCGAATGGCGTGACGACATTGCGCTTCACAAATCTCCTCTCGCGCCTTCTTGACCAGGTGAGTGACCGGCACTGTTGGTTCTGTATAAATGTTTACTGAGGCCCGAGCAGCCGGTTCTATCAAGGAAACATGCGTCGCTGTCGTTTCTGCACTCGCTCGCTGTATCTCCAAAACCGCCATCTACGCCCTCCGCTTTCTTGCCTTCTCTTGCTCCGCCACCGCCACCCCGACACTCGGCGTACTCTAATCCGAGCACTCCGGCGGACCCTTCACCCCCGGCGAAAGCCCAGAAGGGCAAGTCAAAAGCCGAAATCCTTCGTGAATATCGTCGAAAGACTGGTCAGTTATTTTGTGCGCAGCACTGGTAGGATTACTTATCTTGTAATTGGACAGGTCACCCCCATCTGTCTGAACACCTGATTTTAAGGGATACCTTGTACCTATTGCAAGGCATTTCCGGGAAATATGTACACTTCTCTCCAAGCACCGATCCGAATGGAAACAACGAGCTCATCTTCACAGACGACCCGGTAAGTAACATCAATCTGTCAAGCCACGAGGACCTCACTCGTCTTTGCCAGAGATACCTTATTCCAAACCCAACTAAGGCTTTGATTCACCGGCTCGCCGAGGTGGGCCACCTATACATGCGTGTTGATGCTTTTGTGCAAGAACGCGAAGGCAAAGGTGGGGTAGGGATGATCGAGCAGAGCCTGTGCCATCATCTGCAGACGCAGTTGACAGAATACTATCGTCTCATTGCTGTCCTCGAGTCGCAAATGTCCACCACCAACACCGGAACAGATGCCACAGACCCTGATGACGTGAATGTCCGGGAAGAGGAGACAGGTCTCACCCTAAAGCGACTAGACGTTTGGATAGAGGATTGGCGCCTGCGAATGCGTATGATGAGTGTTTGCGTGGAAGGCGCTCGCGGTATGTGCATATAACTGCTAGACAGACATTATCTAATAGGTGTAGCAAGGTGCGCACGGCGGAGCGCTGGTCAATCTCATTCATGGATATGCAGATAACGGTGATCCTTTCGTGCGGAAATTCACCGATCAACTACTGGAGGAGGTATGTTGTGTCTTCGCTCGTGTAAATCTGGATCCAAGGGTTTCACATTTCATAGGTATCAAAACCATTCTTCTCAACATTACACAAATGGCTCTTTTCCGGCGAACTCAACGACCCATTCTCCGAATTCTTCGTCGCTGTGGACCCAGAGCTTGCTCATCTACAATATGTGCAACCAGGAGGTCATGACGGGTCGGGAGCGCTGGCCAATGATAGCGGCTTTGGTGGATTTGGAGGTGATGCAGAGGATTTGTCAGCTGAGCGTGAAGGCGGCCTGAAACTCTGGGAGTCAAAACATCAGTTCCGCAAAGAGATGCTACCTGCCTTTGTCGGCGAGGTTTTCGGCAGAAAGGTCTTTGCAATCATCTTTCCAATGATGTACACTCCCATCTTATCCTACCTCCCAGATTTTCTCCACGGGGAAGAGCTTGAACTTCATCAGGTATACATGCCAAGATAGTGACTGGGTTGCGACAAGGGAGAAGCTCAGCAACACTGGAGGAAGTGAGTCCGAATGCTATCATGAGCGCTCTAGGCAAATCTGAGGATGCGAAGCTCTCAAGTACAGTGACATTGCTGGTTTGGAGCGATCAATCGACACCGCATACCAGATTGCAAGTCAGCGCTTGTTCGAGGTGTTCTTCGAGAAATACAAGCTCCTAGACCATCTGCAAGCGCTAAAGCATTATCTTCTGCTGGGATACGGCGACTTCACTGACCAATTGATGGAGACACTCTCGTATGGACCTTATACCTTAACTGGATGGCTTCGTGTCTGACTCTTATCGCAATACCAGGCCAAGTCTAACAAGACCAGCAAATACCCTGTACCGACACAACCTCACCGCCACACTGGAGTCTGCGATCCGTTCCTCGAATGCGCAGAACGACCCGCCAGATGTCTTGCGCCGGCTGGACGCTCGTATGATGGAGTACTCGCATGGCGAGATTGGCTGGGATGTATTCACGCTGGAGTATAAGGTCGACTCGCCAATAGACACCGTTCTCGACCCCGAAGCCATGATCAAGTACCTCAAGCTATTCAACCATCTATGGAAGATCAAGCGGATCGAGAACACCTTGAGCAATGGTTGGATGAGAATTGCTGGAGGTGCGCGAACGTTCTTGAGGGTCCCAGGTAGGGTCGTTTGTTGTGCACAGCGTGCCGATTCTGAAGGGTCAGTGAACAGATCTCGATCATGAATGGCATCAAATTCGCATCGTGATGGCCGAAATGATTCATTTCATACGGCAAATAGAAGCTTACTGCCAGCTGGAAGTAATAGAGTGCTCGTGGAAGGCCCTCTTTGAGTTCGTGCAGAAGAAGGAAGGCGATCTGGACGCTCTCATCGAAAGTCACCGCGTCTATCTTGACCGTATGGTCAAGAAGATCCTCCTGCTGAGCCCCAAAGCCGGTCGGGAAGAGAATCTTTTGAACCAGGTCCGGGATGTCTTCACTATCATTCTGCAATTCCGCGAAGCTACAGTGAGTCATTCGAGAATACCAGGGAAGTTGTTTACCGACATTGCCAATAGGATGACTTCTATAACTACTGCCTTTCTGAGGCTGCTCGACGAGACTCTGAAAAGGATGCAGAACGTGTACGGAACTCCGCGTCTTTTCTTCGACATGAGCTAATGTTGGGACGCCTACTAGGGTCTCTACACGTACGCTGAAAGGGCGACCGATAGAAGATACAACCCAGAGGCTGTCCATGATATTCTGGGTCGCGTACGAGAATATGGATCGTCATTCTCTGACCGTACACAAACCATCGTTCAAGCACTACAGGTTCATGCCGACCTGGACTGCCGCTTTCTGGCTGTCCGCCTGTCGTTTTCAGACTTCTATAGAACGCGCAAGGAACAGCAACAGCGGTCATGATGTTGAAATAGTCATATTAACATATTCGTCAAGGTATCGTATAAACATCTGAAATGAGTATGAACATGATGGCTAATATACAATGCGATGCTCAGGCTATCGTACAGATGGTGTACTAAATTATATCCAAGTCCCAAGGCTGTAGACTATTCTTACAGGTGTAATCATTACAGGCATAATTCCATGGCTCTATTGATAGGAGGTGATCGCAAAGAATCTCATTGTCGATACTTCGACGGCTCTTTGTAAAGTTTGAGCAAGAGGGAGCTGCAAACGACAGAAACGGATCTAGAGTAGTCGCGGTCAATGTGTGTTTACATCGTTGTCTTTGCGAGATACTTACGATAGAGCCATAAGAAGCGAAGCCCATACCGGAGGAAGTCGCGCATTGCCAGCAGGGTAAATCACGCCTGCTGCTATGGGTACGGCGATAGCATTGTAGATTGTCGCCCATAGCTGCAAGAAAGTTCAATGGAAAGGTTATAGTGTAGTGCTGACGTTACTCACGAAATTGAATTTAACACGGTTGAAGACTTTACGCGACAAATCCGTCAACGTCAAGAGGGTGTAAAGATTTGAGGAAACAAGAATGAACGCTGCACTGGAGATGGCCACATCGCCTGCAATAATAGATCAGTCTAGATTTCTCACGACGCGCGAAAGATGCGACTTACTTCCAGAGCCGATGGCAATCCCGACATCAGCGGCAGTCAGGGCGGGCGCGTCGTTAATACCATCCCCTACCATCGCCACCACACAGCGATTGTTGACTTTCTCCTTGGTAAATAAGCTTCGCAGGCTGCGTTGGGGTCTTTTCATGCCAACTTGCTGCAGCCACTGAATCTTCTCAGCCTAAAGAGGAGGGTTAGTAGCCGATATGGAGTCGCACGGAACATTGCGTACCTTCTCGTGAGGAAGCACGCCTGCAATGACGTTCGTCTCGGGAATCCCAACAGTGCGAGCAACAGCCTTGGCCGTAATCACATTATCTCCCGAGATCATCCATGTACCGATGCCTTGCCCGTGAAGCTGCGCGATGACATCTTGTGCTTCGGGTCTGAGCGGATCCGCGACCGCGAACATCGCGGCGACCGTGAACGAAAAAACTGATCCAGCCACCGACTCGTCACGGATAGCAAGGATGATCACACTCTTTCCTTCGGTCTTCCAAGCGTCTAGCTTATTCGCAAGCTGTCCGTCAACCTGACAGTCGTTCGCCGCCATCCATGCCTCGTTGCCGATGATGGCGGAGCAATGCAAGGAGTCGAACTGGGCAGACAGGCCTCGACCAGGAGTCTCCGAGAACTCAGAGCCAATTTGAGCAGCAGCGGAATTCTCGGCACAGTATTGTCGGATTGCGGTCGCGAGGGGATGCGAACTGGCGGATTCGATCTCAGCGGCTATGCCAAGTACCACTTCGCGCGTCCGCCGCGAGTCGGATTCGGAAGACACGACCTCGATATCCGTAACGCGTGGCTCGCCGCCCTGGGTGAGAGTGCCGGTCTTGTCGAATACGATGATGTCGAGCTGGGCCGCTTCCTGGAAGGCCTCTCCACCACCGCGCGCTAGAATCCCGTATTTGGCAGCGAGGCCGGATCCCACGAGAAGCGCGGTAGGCGCGGCAAGCCCGATCCCACAGGGACAAGCGACAACGAACACCGCAATGGCAAATTCCAGCGACCAGACAACTGACAGATGTCCAAAGTTAGTATGCACCCAAAATAAGCTAGTGTGAGACGACGCACCCCAACCACCAACGTCGATGTCGAGATAGCTTTCAGGCAGCACACCGCCGAGCCCCAGACCAAGCCAAATCACCCAGGTCACGACCGCAAGCAGCGTCACCACAGGCACGAAATAGCCTGTGAGCAGATCGGCGACCCGCTCGATTGGTGCGCGGCGCGTCTGGCCTTCGCGGACTACTTTAACAACGTGGTCGAGCATCGTCTCGCCGCCGATCGCGTCGACCCGCACGTCGACCACGCCAGCCTTGTTTATCGTGCCGAGGAAGATCTTGTCGCCGACGTTCTTCTTCACGAGCCTCGACTCACCAGTGAGTGAGCTCTCGTCGAAGGCGCCATCGTTGCCCGCAACGATGGTACCGTCGGCCGGAGGAGTGGAGCCGTTCTGCACACGGACGATGTCTCCCACCTCGAGGAGCTCGGCGTCTACTCTTTGGACCGTCATTTCCTGCTTCGTCGCAAGGTCGCTGCCTTCTCGTTCAGGCTTTCCTTTCTCAAGATCCTCATCTTGAGATGCGGAGTTTGACAATGATCCCTCGCTGCTATCGGTGATGGATTCCGTGGCAGGGACCACGAGGAGAGCCGAAGTCGGACGCAACTTCCCAAGAGCCGTGATGGCATCCGCTGTACGCCCTTTGCTGTACGCCTCCAGGAACCGACCTATCATATAGCTTTAATACGTGCAAAGATGTATGTATCCAATGTGCTCACCAATCAACAGGAACATAGTGAGAAAGACAACGGAGTCGAAGTATGTGGTCATATCGCCGCGGCCGCTGGGCGATGGCGCTTGTAATGCTGATAATGCAAGCAGGGCTATTGATGCAAAGTAGGCCACAGACACTCCGGTGGACACCTGAACTTTTTGTGAGCTCGAGATGTGCATATGAGCTTAGATATACGTACTAGCAGATTCATGCTCCCAAAGCGGACGAATCGCCTCCACACAGGCGTCCTGCTACCTGGCCTCCAGAGCGCCCAGACCTCCTTCAAGCTTCTGCGATGGAACGTCCCCGCGCTGTAGAACATAACCGGCGTCGCGAGGAAGAATAGCGCCCACACTGCGCGTGCGGCGTTGCCCCACATTGGTTCCTCGAACCAGATCCGCCGCGGGTTCGACGATGGGAGGAGGTCCATGTAGACAATGCCGATGATGAACGTTGGGATCGCGACGATGACAGAAAATATCAGGCGCTCGAGGAGGTGCCACTGCTCGCGCTGCTGCATGTTACGGGCGCGGTCCTCGAGGGAAGGTGGGTGGTGGATCGTGACCGTGAAGGGCGAGGCGGGTGTGGCAGAAGAGGAGATCGCATGGATGATGTGGCGCAACGTAAAGGTAGGCGGGGATGGCAGGTAAGAAATGCTGATGATAGTGTCCGTATGTGATGTGGTAGGTTTCTCAATGGTGAGGCGGTCCCCGAACGAAGAGATAGCAGACATGACCTTCTCGGGACAGTGTCTAGTTCCCACTCATCAGTGGTACTTTTTTTTAAAAGGGATGAAAGGTACGCACGAGCAGAACATGCCTTCTATGCGAAGAGACACAGTACGTGGGCCTACTTCCTCCTCGTCCCCGTCGGGCTGATCGAGAGGTTCGACACTAATGACTTCGGCTTCATAGCCGGCATCCTCGATGGCCTCCACCACCTGCGGCGAGAGGTCCTTCCGCTCGATAACTGCAGTCGCGGAACCACCAAGGAGATTAACGACCACATCGGAGACGCCAGACAACGCGGACATGATATCAGTCACCGTGTTGGAGCACGATGCGCACGTCATCCCGCCGACGGACACTGTAAGCCGGTGAGCACCGTCGATCTCCGCGCGTGAGGCATGGCGAGTAGTAGGTGTAGGGCGTAGAGGTTGAACGGTGACGACCTCTGCCTCGTAACCGATATCCTCGATGGTTTCCACGAGGGTAGGTACGAGTTCAGCGCGTGCTACTTTCGCAGTTGCAGAATGTCCCAGGAGGTTGACAACGGCATCAGATACTCCAGGGAGCTCACTCAGCGCATGCGTGACCGCGCTGGAACATGATGCGCAGGTCATGCCCCCGACGGAGAGCGTGACATGCTGAGGAATATCCTCAGGCACGGCCGGGTCCTGCGTGGACGGTCGATCAGCAGGAGGGGTCGTAGCATGCTTCTCCTCTCGATCTGAGGTTGCGGAAGTGAGTTCAGGGTCCTCTTTAATTTCCGGTTCACCTGTCAGCGTGTCTTCGCCGAACTTCTCGCGCTGTGATACCCGTGAGGGCTCGCCATTGGCTGCGAGCTTTGACTGGTGGTCAGTCTGGCACGACGAGCACTGCTGGAAGTGCTTCTGCGATCTGCCAGTGAGCAGGGCCGGAATTCGGGTGAAGCTGTGGATGGACAGAGGGGTGCATTGTTCGACCCCAGTCGGAGTGGCGACGATATCGAACCCCGCTGCGTCTATCGTGGACTTTATGTCAAACGGCGTGAGCTCTGGGGAGTGTTTCACGGTCACTGTCTGCGTGACAATAGAGACCTCTATCGAAGAGGGCGCAGGAGACAATGATGATAGGGCATCCTGGATGGTGTGAACACAGCTGGGGACGCCAGAAGGTGAGAAGAGGTTTCCTTTGGACGGGAATAACGCACCTGCTGCAATGTAGGTTGGAAACGAAGACGGTGGTGATGAGCTCGGAGCCGTCGCGCTTGAGACTCGAGATTTGTTCCATCTTGAGGTGGGGAAGAGGCCTGCCATGACGGGGAGCCCGGCGAGCATAAATACTCATGGTCGCTTCTGTCTAGACTGTGGGTGTGGGGAAGAAAGGAAAAACACTGGACATAGAATAGTGTGTGTGACGCTGGGATGATATACGGTCGCCTGCAGACCTCCACTAAATCCCTCACGCGCGCCAACATTCTCCGCGAAAAGGACTCGCCTGGAATGGAAATTCCACGCCACTAGAGCGTCGCCTTCGTAATCGCGCGCAATAATCGCTCATGTAGATCTCATCAGAAATCATGTGATCTCCATCTCAGATGGAGCTGGGCAAGGCCCCAGGACACCCCGATTTCCAGATTGGGAAATTTGGGACCCAGCGTGGCGGACGGTGGCCGGCGCATTAATCCTGCCATCTTGCAGGCTGCAGGCTGCCGCGAGCTGGAGCCTTGCAGGCTCTTGCTTCCTTACGTTCTCTACTTCGTCTCGTTCATCTGTTCACGGGTCTTGAAGAGCCGTCTGACAGCCTCGTACGATGGACAGTTCCACCGTATCTCGCGATCGCAAGTCTCGCATGAATTTCTTTCATTCGCCAGAGAGATACTCTCGCTCGAATTCTGTTCTCACCAGATCCTCTACTCCTTCCCCGAATGGCTCTCATTCAGATATCTCTGCCGTCACAGACCAAAGCAGGCCGCCAATTATCCTTGGCATATGCGCCATGGACATTAAAGCCCGGTCTAAGGCAATGCGCGAGATCCTCACTAGACTGGTGGAGCGAACGCGCGGCGTCATCGAAGTCAAAGTCTTTGGTGACAAGGTCATTCTCGATGAAGGTACGTCTCGTGCTCTATGTTAGCATCAGCGAGGCCCTAATCGTGCCGAACTACCTCACGCCTGTTCACCAGACGTGGAGAACTGGCCCCGGTGTGATGTTCTCATATCCTTTTTCTCCACGGACTTCCCACTAGATAAAGCAATTTCCTATGTCAAACTTCGCAATTCGTTCTGCATAAACGACCTGCCACCGCAGGCTTTGCTATGGGACCGTCGCTTGGTTGGTCATGTCCTCGACCACCTCAAAGTGCCCACGCCAAGACGTCTTGAAGTGTCTCGCGACGGGGGACCCAAGGTTGACGACGAACTACGCGAGTTCATGAAGAAAAAGATTGGGATTGAGCTAGGCGGTTTCCAAGTTACACCGGAAGTCAGCATGAGTGAAGATGGAAACGCCATCATCATTGACGGTCATGTGATGGAGAAGCCCTTTGTCGAAAAGCCTGTGAGCGGCGAGGATCACAACGTGTACATCTATTTCCGAGGAGGCGGGGGTCGCCGGTTATTCAGGAAGGTCAGTAAACCACCGGTAAATGAGCAATCAGATCATGTGCTGAACGCTCATTCGCCGGGCATTGCTAGGTCGGGAACAAATCGAGTGAATTGGATCCCTCTTTGAACTGCCCACGCACGGATGGTTCATACATTTATGAGAAGTTCGTGGATGTCGACAATTCCGAAGACATCAAGGTGTACACAGTCGGTAAAGACTATACCCACGCAGAGACGCGCAAATCGCCCTTTGTAGATGGTGTCGTCAGGCGTAACACGGACGGCAAGGAAATTAGGCACGCCTTTTACCTACTCGTTAAGCCTCCGAGCGCCGTGACTTACGGCAATCCGCACTCGTTTCCCCCACATGCAGATTTATTACGCGTTTGAGCGACGAAGAGAGGGCCTGGGCAGCCCGAATAAGCGAGGGTTTTGGGCAGACAGTGTGCGGGTTCGACATGCTTCGTTGCGATAACGGAAGAACCAGCCAAGTGATTGATGTCAATGGCTGGAGCTTCGTCAAGGGCAACGAATCATACTACGGTGAGCAACACGGCAAACATTCCCTTAGCGGGCCGGGGTCCTGTTGACACAGTGTCACTGATGACTATCCTCGTCAGACAAGGCCGCCGAAATCCTCGCTGCAAGCTGTATCCATGCCTCTGCATCGGCCGAACGACCCCTGTCTGCCGCCGAGGCTACAATTGAGGAATCTCCCACCTGGTTGCTCAAGGCAAACGTCACTGTGTTCCGCCATGCGGATCGCACGCCCAAGCAAAAGCTGAAGTTCAGCTTCCCGATTGGCGAGTCATGGACGGAGCCCTTCGTGCAGTTGCTCAACGGCGAGAAGGAGGAGATCATCCTCCGCGAGCGCGTGCAACTTAGCCGCATACAGACCGCGGTTGAAGAGGCCAAGGGTCTCGGCGCCGGCGGAGACGACCTTGCAAAGCTCACTCAGCTGAGCAATGCGCTGATCAGCAAGATCGAGCTCCCGGGAACGAAAGCGCAGCTTAAGCCTGTCTATACGAAGAAGCAGGCAGGCCAAGCCAGGAAGCTCACTAAGCTGACGTTGGTTTTCAAATGGGGCGGAGAGGTGCGTCCCTGACCCGTGGCGCCCGTACGCAGTGCAGCTGAATAGCCCTCAGTTCACACATTCGGCGCGGTACCAGTCACGCGACCTTGGCGAGAACATGAAGAAGGATATTTCAATAATGAGTACGTGCCTATTCAGGTTGATCCACACTTGACTTGATTGACACTTTCAATCATGATTGTCCAAATGTAGACAAGGAGGTTCTGAAAAACGTCAAAGTGAGCTCATTCTGCGTCATATATTTCTAATCGTCCGTATTTCTACATTCGCATTCCATAACAGATATACACCTCGTCGGAGCGCCGCGTCATCGCCTCAGCAGAGATTTTTGCCGCCGCTCTATTTGAAACACAACGGGACACATATCCGATGTCAGCGCCAGGCGCTCCCCCAAACAGCGGAAGCTCGACACGTTCGTCGCAAGATGGAAGGGATGGTGTGAACACGCCAAATCACGCTTCGACCACTGGGAGTGGGTTCCGACCCTCAACGCCCAGGCGCGAGCACTCTTTACTGTCAAGGCAAAATGCGCCGAAGCTTATCGTACGCAAGGACCTACTGGACGATTCGAACGCGGCAAAGGACCTCATGGACGATGTCAAGAAGCGCTTAAAGATCCTTTTGCGTCCCGGTGAGCCTGAGAAGCGTCCGGAGCTGACGTGGCCGAAGAGCATGAAAAAGGAACCCGTTGAAGTGGTCAAGGTATGCGTGCCGCAATGGATTGATCGCCGTCGCGCTGAACACATCTGTCAACGCCACTGCAGGAAGTCATTGATCTGCTCCGGGACTTCCGGGACATTATGCGACGGAACTGGGAGACCGTCGACGTTGACAAAATACAGGAACGATGGTGAGTAAGCACAGGGCACAGTGATTTGTCACGCCTTCATTGCCCTTGGCGCAGGTGTTGCGGCGACGAACCATGGCTCTTCCGCGAGCGGTGGGAGAAGCTGTTCGAGGACTTTTGCGATGTCAAACAAGAAAAATTCGACCCCTCCCGGGTCTCGGAGCTTTACGACACTATTAAATACTGCGCACTGCACCATCGCCAGTTCTTATTCTCCATCTTCAGCGAGAACGGCCAGCCAGGTTCTCACGATCGTCAGCTGCACGAGCTGTACGGCCGCGCCAAGGCGCTCTTCGACCTCGTCGCGCCACAGGAGTACGGCATCGAGCCCGAGGAGAAGTACGTCCCCCAAGTCATTTTATTGGCCCCTGCGCTGCTTCCCTGCATCTCACTCTAACCTACGCTGACTCGGTCACGTTTTTTCAGAGAGGAGATTGGTGTGCTGACATCTCTGCCGCTTCTGCGTCACGTTGTGGACGACCTCGAGAACGCGCGGAACAATGAAGAGTGTTCTCTCACACTGTACTTCACGAAGGAGAGCCACATTCACACACTCGTGAACCTCGTCCTGCTCTCCGGCCTCCCCATCGCGAACCGGCGGATCCCGGAGCTGGACTACTGTGTACGTTCTTCATCGCCTGGGGTCCTCTTCTGCCTACTCATCGCGTCACCTGCTTTGCACGGCTCTTACATACGCGCAGTCACATATCACGTATGTGCAAACCTATTCACCTGCGTGCCCTGCGTGACTGACTCTCCAGGTTCGAGCTGTACGAACGCAATCACGGCAGGGGCAAGTCCGACAAGGAGTACTCCATCCGACTCTCTCTAAGCGAGGGTGCACACTCGTCCAACGTGCTCGACTCTGCCCTCGACGCACGGCACTCGCTTAATGTGCAGCCGCGCCGCAAGCTGACGCAGCACCTGCCCTACAGCCTCGTCATAGAGAAGTTCTCCAAGCACTTTGGGAGGGTCCCGGACGTGTGTACCTTCGCTCTCATGATCCAGTCTCCATCCTGACCAGCTGCACTACTCAGGACGACGAGACAGGCCCTGACGAGCCGTTCGAGACGATCGACGCGCTTAACGCGCCGGTCGCGAACCAGAGCCCGCAGGACGATCCTTAGCAACTACAGCTCCCCTTCCTGCGCTCGTGGCCCTCGCCTCGGTCCTCGGCGGCGACATGGCCGACGGTACGGACGCCCTCGCTACCGCCGACAGGTTGCTGGCCGGAGAACTGCATCACGCGGCTATGGTGCACCCGACCTGTCATGCAGACCTGATCTCGAACTCTTCCTTCACTCACCTCTCGGACACAGGATAGTCTTCGTGATACCATATGAACTATCAGTGCTGCGTTCTAGGTATAGCTTACAGATAAGGGTATCCTACTACTAGAATATTTCTACTGTACATACTTCTTATTCTACGCATAATGCATGGTGCCGTGGCGATGATTAGATCACGCACATCTGCACCGTTGTAGGGAATGAGGTCAGGGGATCGTGATTTCGCCCCAGTCTTGCAGGCCAAGCTTGGCGCGGAGGTTGTCGAGCTGCTCGGACTTGAGCTCGCGGAAGTGTATGCTATGCGAACCTTTGCCAGCCATGGACGGATGGTCTCGGTCGAATAGGGCTGACGCTGACTGTGAGAGCATGGACGACTGGGTGGCTAGCGCGGCGAAAGAAGACGTCGTGTCATGGTATCTGCATGAGCGTCGTATTAGACAAGGCAAACGATGGACTGTGACTCAAACTTACAGTCTGCTGATAAGTTAGAGGGCTATACGAGCGAGTGGTGGATATACTTACCTGTAGGCTTCTTTGTTCAGACAATCAGCTTCCTTGATGTCATCCAGGGCATGCTTTTTGAACGCCGCCTTGACCCAGTGCAGAACGTCGAAGATTTGATGTTCTTTTGGTCTGCACCCCCTTAGCTTTGAGAGCGCTTCTTCCTGCAGATAGATCCGACATACCTCCACAGACGGAAGCGCGGTGCAAGGTTGAATGTGCCATCTTGCTGTGATATCAGCGGATGAAACACGTCGGTCAGAAACTGGACAATAGGCGGGCGCTCAGGATAATTCGGCGGGAACGTTAGGCGGAACTTGAGAATCGAATCTGCATAGTACCCTACACCACAAGTCGCCTGAACACTCGTTGGGCGGACTGTGTAAGCATACTGACCTTGGTGTACGAAGAAGACTGCGTCCCAGACAAGCAGATCGCCGGTGGACGGCGTGACATACATGCCAAGCGGGCAGTGCCCGGAGTACCTGAGGGCGGCATACTCTAACGAGACGGCGGTGCGGGTGAGGGCGGGACTTGCTTGGTCAGGGATGACAGCATTGCTCGACGGGACACGGGAGGAGGGTCTCGGTCTGCTCTTCGCGGACGCAGAGAGATCGATGGTGGGTGAGGCCATGAGACTACCTATTCCGAGCATGGAGGGTCTGAAAGAGTGAGCCCGGAGATTATGCAGACCGTTCAGGCGCAGGACTGCAGTGAGTAGTGGTAGTAGTACTTACTTGTCGTTGCTTCACGGCTGTAGCAGCGCGCACGTGCTGCGGGGAAGATCGAGCAGACCCGGGTCCATGCTGACAAGCGCCCGTAGATGCTTTCCGATACGCCCCGATTCGTGCAAGATCGCCGGCCATGTCGCGCTCGCTATTTTCGTTTATAAGGTCGCTTCACTGCCCCAGAATCAGGACTTGTCTCACAGGTTCCCCACATACCACACCCCTGCCCACATTATCACTAGCGCATATTCATTTCAGGTTTCACCTACAATCATGAAGGTCGGTCATAATCCTTCTCATTACAGCCACAACGTGCTCACCTTTCCTGTCTTTTGCAGTTGGCCACCAAAGAAGAGCTCGAGGCCCACCAAGCCGCTACCGTCCGCGGGGCCCTCGAGGGCACCGTCGCCGGCCTTGCCATCTCCGTCCCGGCATCCTTCTGGTTGCATCGCAGCTGGCCCGCCTACCGTGCGCTTCCCGTCCACCTTAAGGTCATGGGCGCCATCTTCGTCGTCGCGCCCCTTTACGCCATCCAGGCCGAGCGCCGTGGCGTCGAGTTCGACAAGTCCACGTGGACCGGTGCTGGCAAGGCCGAGCTTGAGCGCGAGCACGAGCAGGAGGTCTCCCGCTGGAACCGCCTCGACAGCAAGGAGAAGATCACTGACTGGGCGAACCGCAACCAGTACAAGATCATCCTGGGCAGCTGGGCAGCTAGCATGGCTGTTGCTGGTGCTCTCGTGATGCGCAACAAGTATGCATGACTGGGTCTGGCATGAGTCTTCATTTGTAACATCCATGCATAGACATCAAACTGCATCACAGAAAATCGTCCAGGCCCGTATGTGGGCGCAGGGTCTCACCGTTGGTGTCTTGATCGCCGCGGGTGTCCTCACACACGCCAACCGAGCAGAGGCAGCCACACACGTACGTACTTCGCATCCATGGTTTAAACTCTGAGCTTACATGACATCACAGCGCCAGGTTGACCATACATGGCAGAACATGGTTGAGGAGTTCCAGCAAGAGGAGCGTATAGCGAAGGCGAAGCTCGCCGTACTCCCGGCTCCTCAGCACTCATGAACATCGCATCAAGGTCACTCCTTCCCCTTACGACCCTCATGCCCACATTATCGTCTACACTACCACACAGTTACCTAATGGACGCCTTGCAACCTGTAGACTCATCCTTGGCCAGCTAGATTTAGATCGTTTGCCTAGATCGCGCCTTACACTTTTGCATAGCATGCTATTTATCTATTATTCATCCTGTAACACTCCTACATGCGCAACGCAGCAACCAGACAATCTATATCATCCATGTATACTCCCATCTCTGAAATACTTGTATTTGGTTCCTTCTACTGTCTGTCAACATCGCACAGCGAATGATTGAGGTGTTGCACAATCTGAGACTGCATATGTCTGCATAGATGCATTAAGCTCTGAATCAGATCTGGGGCAGAAGCGGATATTCAGAGTTTGCGGCGGAGGTTTGAAGAAACAAGTATCTTAGGAGACTAAGCTCGTCAGGGAAACAATTGACCATGCATCTGTAAGGTATTAGGGCCAGCCTTATGGTGTTTGTTTGGTATGGAGAGACGGTATCCCAGATCAAAGGTTCTGCGCATTGCCCTCTCTGCGATCTTTCTCGAGCTGTTTGCGGAGCGACTTGATCTGTGCACGGGTCACGCTAGCAAAAAGCAACTTCTTGTTGCTCGCAAGCAGGACGAGTGACGCGACACTGGAGGGCCCGTGGCATGGCAAATCAGCACGCATACAGACGTTTTGACAATCAAATACGTACAACACCTCCTTCAGGTAGGCGAAGCTGAAGCCGTCCGTCGTCGCCGCAATCTCGGCGACGAGGCTGTCTGGGAACAGGACACCCTTGTTGTCGTGCAGTTTGTCCTGCCAGTACTTCGCGTACATCCCGCGCTCCTCCTCGTCCGGGTTCTCAAACGGGCTGTATGCAATCGGTCAGCGTCCTCTCTGCAGGCGCCCCCAATAACGCAATTATGACGCACTATTTGCGATCGAACCTGCTCGGGCGGTTGCTCAGCGCGGGGTCGAGCCGCTCAAAGTGGTTCGTCGAGGCGAGCACGAGCAGCCCGTCATTCCCCGCGAGGCCGTCGAGCTGGTTCAGGAAGAACGCGCGGTTGCCCTCGTTGATCAGCGAGTCGAGGTCCTCGAGCACGACCACGCACGGCGCCATCTCGCGCGCCTTCCGGAAGACCTGGGCGATGCTGTACTCCTCGCCCGCAGCGCTCTTGAACGACTTGACGTAGAGCGGCGCATGGCCTGCGGCGTAGCAGTCCTTCATGATCGCCTTGACGCTGATCGTCTTCCCGTTGCCTGGGGGTCCTAGCATGATGATCCCGCGCTAGATACCCGAACGTCGTGAGCCCCGGGGACATTGACGGTCTGACTTCAAGGTAAATCAAACATGCCTTCCACGGAATGGCGAGCGATTTGTACAGCTTCTGCGAGTCGAAGAATCCGGTGACGTCTTGCTGCAGCTCGTCCTTGAATTCCTGCTTCAAGATGATGTCATCCCAGCTGGCCTTCTGCATGTCCGTCCACAGCTCGCTGTCCTTCTTCCAGTAACCACGCTCAAAGACGAGTATTTCTTCGTGCAGTTGTCTAGTCCAGCCCGCTGCGGCGAGCAGGAGCTCGCGAGACCGCGCTTCAGGGCCCTTGTGTAAAATGTAGTGTTGGACCACATCGAATGAACTGTGAGGATACTGAGAAACGCGTCAGCTGATTTTCGTAATGCTGTAAATATATTGCATGCCTTCAGAATATAGACGATGAAGTCATGGCCCTATCAAAATTGTTAAGCAGTGATATGTGTACACAGCAACAATAGAGTACATACGCTCCATTTGACGTTATACGTTCCGAATTTGACGTCCTCGGAGAATGTTCCTGGGATGGAACTCGACATCCGCGGGAAGGGGATAAAGCTCAAGGACGAGATGGATTCATGCGGGGATCCGAGCGTTTTTTCTAGATGAGGGAAATCGAGTAACTGGAAGCCCGTGCGGTCTGTAAATAGCAGAAGGGAGTGGTGGGGATATAGTCGGCGAAGGGCGTCAGCTCTGAGTGTTTATATATTTAGTTGAATGAGGCAAAAGTCCCTCAGACTATGGCAACCCACGCGTAAGTACTGGGTTCGCTGAAGGGCGATGATGCTGCCAAGGCAAAATGCGTTTGAACGAATTTGCAGAACATGCAATGCGCTCGCATACCTTGCTCGATCCAGTGGCCGTAGAACCGATCACCAGCGTCCGCCTTTGTGGTCGCACATGTACGGGTCAGCTGATCTGGAGCTCCGGAACTGCTGTAATTGCGCGTGTTAGATGCAGTGAGCTGAACCATGGGGACACTGCGAACTGCCAGATTGCCTCCATCGCTTTATACCATCTATAACGATTGCCGCTGGCGTGTTCCGATAGGCACATGACAGGCGAGTGGTGTTCCCCTGCTTCTTGCGCAGTGTGGAGAAGCATCTTCTTCCTGTTTGGGATATGTTTTCACGTTTCTACAGGCCTCGACAGATCGGAGCTGCACCTTCTGACAGACGAATGCCGTCAGAGGCTCAACCTAATCTACCGTGCATCAGTATGCGCACAGGTGTCCGGGCATTATCACCCCCATGAGAATATATCGTCCATCCTCGACAATGGAAGTCGAATTCCGCGTCTAGTGACTCGTGGCAAATGGGCGTTCTCTGTCTGGGCGGGACCCTTAGGACGTCTCAGTCACCAACCCAGTCCTGATTTTCACCACAGATGTCTGCGGAGGGTTTATTTAGAATGCGGGAACGGCAGTTGTGACTGTATGTGGATGATGGTTGTCTAGCGCTGGTCCATGGGCGCCTTTGGCTGGGAGGATTCGTCGATCTAGATCTGATCGTAGATTTCGTTCTCCTGCTCCTTGCTCTTTCTTGCTCTACTTCGCTCCAGCACGGGCGCACCATGTCTGTTTCCCCGCATTCACCCACTCCCAGTAGCTCGCATGCTGACTCCAGCCCGAGCAGAAGAAAAAGAAAATTGCGCGACGTCGACTCGGACTCGGGCTCAGCCTCGGACTCGGACAACAGCGGTGATGAGAACGAGTCTGGCTCAGGTTCCGACCCCGAAGCATCTGAGCCTCCTGTTCTCTCGCATGCCGAGCAGCGAAGACAGCGTAAAAAGCAAGAGAAATCAGCTGCACAACCTTCAGCAGACGCAAAGCCTACCAAGGAGAAGTCAGTAAAGAACACCGCAGAGCTAGCACCGTCAAAGGTGCCAAAACGACAGAACTCGGTATGGGTCGGTAACATGTCCTTCAAGACGACACCAGAGGCGCTCCGCCAATTCTTCGACGGCGTTGGCGAGATCACTAGGATTCACATGCCTACAAAGCTCGCGAATCCTGGTCCTGAGGGCAAGGGTGTTAGAAAGGAAAATCGTGGGTTCGTTTCGTCCATCATAGCGACGCCAGTGTCATCTCTGATACTGTGCACCCTAGGTTCGCCTATGTGGATTTCTCCACACCTGATGCGAAAACTGCGGCAATCACGCGGTCGGAGAACCCACTCGATGGCAGACGGCTTCTCATAAAGGATGGTATGCATTCTGCCTTCTTTCAGCCTGCACAACCTGTAATCTACTTACGCTTGTCTTGTGCGCAGGTGACGACTTTAACGGCCGCCCTACAGCCGCGAGCGCCGACGCCCAGGACGGTGCATCGAAATCGAGTTTGTCCGGACACACCAAAACTGCCCAGAAAATCCTGAGCGCGCAGAAGCAGCCCGCAGGGCCCACGCTTTTCCTCGGAAACCTCGGATTCGAGGCGACGGAGCAGTCCATCCGCACATTATTTGACTCGTATCGCCCGAAGGCCGTCGGCGGTGCAGACGCAGATCCGGACGCAGATGCAGATGCGGGTGCGGAGAAACCAAAGCCGTGGATACGTAAAGTGCGCCTGGGCACGTTCGAAGATAGTGGGAAGTGCAAAGGGTGCGTTCGGTTCTCGCCTCCTCGAGCATGGGCACGATGCGTCATGCATCAGCGCCTGGGAGCTGCCTGGGCTGTTCTTCTACATAGCCAATATATTCGGGCGTGCATTCCAGCCTCCCGGTCATCACAGATACGTCGCGTTACTATCATACTGATTCCGATTGTCAGATGGGCATTTATCGACTTCACAAGCACCGAGCACGCAACGACCGCGTTGGTCAGTTCAAAGATCCATTTTTTGGACGGCCGGAAACTCGTAGTTGAGTACGCCTCCCCGGATGCAGTACGTCGCGGGGGGAACTTTTCTGAGTTGAGAGAAAAGAGAATAAAAGGAGACAAGGGCAGCTATGACGAGCAGCGGCCTAGGAGAAAGCCCTCAGGCAAACTCCACCAGAGCAGAACAACAGCCAACGAAGCGGATGCTCCCATGGGTGGCGAGGAGCAACAGGAGGTTCCCGCCAAGCGGCGTCGGATAGAGGATGCATCTCAATCGTTCGAGAAACGTACCAGGGACGGAAAGCCGCAAAGGGTGAGAACGAAGCCTGGTGCGGCTCTGGCCTTAGCCAAGCGAGAGACGGCGGCGATTGTTCCTAGTCAGGGAAAGAAAATCGTGTTTTAGTGCTGAGTACAACATCGTATTCTAGTATACTTTTTGATCAGGGATCAGGTAGCACGGTGCTGTACGAATTATAGGATCACTTATGCAAAGAGGCAAGGAGATACACGCGAGAATGTGTGGAGACATGTGTAAATGTCACAGAGCTCATGAGGACGAAGACCATGTATGCATACAGAGCACATAGTGCCATCAGTCGTCAGTCTCAACCATTCCGACCTCGAACTCCCCGCATACGTCCCAACGCGAGCCTTGAGCCGCGGCAGACACATATTTAACGAAGCGCATCACGCCTTCGTCGCGCAACACGAGTAGCAGGCGGTTGAAGCCGGGCTGTACGGTCAGCAGTGTGCCATTGTCCTCGTCCTCTTCATCCTCATCTTCCTGCATCGCATCCGAACCGTGGCTATTTGCACGGGTGTGCCCGTTTCCGTTGGTGTGGTCGTTGGCATTGGTGCCGTTCCTGTTCGCGCCGTGGCCGTTCGCAGCAGCACCGTTTGGCGTTCCCGACTTGGACTTGTGCGAGCCAGACCGGTATACGGCCGGATCATCCTCCTCGTCGTGCGGGGCCATATAACACTGCGAAGGACACTCGGTCAGGACAATGCAGCTCAACGACGGGCGCACAAAACACACTGACCTCCCAGCCACCCCATTCACCACTCTGCCACCCATGTAGCTCCTCCTCCTCGCCGATCATCTCCTGACTCTCGTCTGGCGTGCCGACTTGGGGCGTCAGCCCAAGCACCACGTCCAGCCTCGTCTCCTTCGTCTCGCCCGTTGCGAGCGTATAGTCCAAGCCCGGGCGGAAACGGCGCGCCTCCACCGCGTACCGCAGAGGCAGCAGGCGTGTGACGACCGCCAGCCACGCGCGGAAGGGCGCGCTCGGGAACAGCTCGTCCTGCAGCGCGCGCACGATCTCATCCGGCGACTCCTCCGCCCACCGCGGGTCCGTCCTGGCCGTCCTGCTGCTCTGCTGGCCCTTCAACGTGCAGTACCGCCACTTGTGTGGCGGGCCCTTGATCGTCCACGCGCCTTCCGAGCCCGCAGTATGCGGAGGGATGGGCGGCGCGCGCTGTGGGCCGACACCGTCCGCTGCATCAACGGCACAAAGGCCTGCCCCGAGTTTGGCTGCAAGCGGGGCGCACAGAAGCTCGTGCAGCTCGAGAGAGGACTCCTCGACGAAGCGCGAGGCAAGGCCCTTCATCGTCCGGGGCTGCAGATATACGGGATTCAGGAACTGGGAGAGGAATGATTTATCGTCGTCGCTGAGCGGCTCGTCAGGCAAGGGTGGGTCTTCTATATTTGTATATGACTTGAAGTCTGTTGATGACGATGTCTAGCGACAGCAATTCATGAGCACCTAGATATATTTTCAGACAAGAATTTACCCTCACAAGCTGCTCGCGTGAGCTCTTAAGCTCGGGCGCGTTTTCTGGCTGGTAGCCCTCCTCGCCCTGCTGGGCAGCGTGGAACCATCCACTGATACTCAGTCGCTGTCGCCCGTCCTCGCCCTCGCCGACGACGACCTCCTCTACAGAGTGGAAGCTCTGCCCTGGTTGCACTTCGAAAAAGACAAACTGGTTCCAGCTTGGGGGAATGCTTTTGCTTGGGACAGGCTCAGGCTCGGGAACACCGTCGGGTCCCGACTTCGTTGGGTACAGTTCGAGCGCACCGCCCCATTCCTTCTGCCAGCCCATATAGTTGGGGAGGGGCATGTAGAGGATGTACGACACCCGCCGGGTGCCAATCACGTCGTCGTGGTTGAGCAGATGGCAGGACTTCACGTACGAGACGATCGACATGTCCTGCTTGCTGCCCGAGAGCGGTCCGCAGCCAGTAACCGCGCGGAGGAATGCGCGGAACTCGGCCGAGTACAGCGCATCGCGGAGGGCTAGGAGGTTGGGAAGGAGCGCGCGCTGCTCGTCGGTGAGGAACGAGAGCGAGGCCAGATCGCCCGTCTGCTTCACCTGTCAACCAGTCATCCGTTACCATGTAGTCAGCCTACAGCCCCACGGACAAGGATTGAGGAAGTCTCTGAAAGGGACTCTACGGAGCGATCGGGACCACCTCGCACGAGATTCAAGTAGCCCAACAAAGCTCTTGCACTGATTAGATCTCAGCAAGCCGTCACCCACGTCTGTCGACGCGTTCTGCAGGTTATTGCGCTACCGGAGTGTCGGTACTCACATTAAATGATCCGACAAACCAGGCCAGGAACCGCGTAGGCTCTCCGTACGACCCTGCAGGCCCCGGAAGGCCTTAAAGTTCCCGCGGGATACTTCCAGAGACACCCTCGAAACACGCAGGCTCACCTTGTAAATATCCGTCTCCTTCTCCGAGAAGCTGAGCTCGGCGAGCGCCTCGTCCTTCACGCGCTGGAGGAGGTCGTCCTGGAAGAGCTTGTCGACGACGGCGTGCTTGAACGGGCCGCTCTGCTCGTACTCGGCGTGCAGGCGGTGGATGTTCCCGTGGGCGAACAGCTCAGCGGCAAAGTGGCCCTCGACGTCCTCGGGGCCCGAGATATGGCTGACCTTCATGCGCTTGAGCAGCGCAGGCTCGTCGCTGGCCTCTGCGCCGGGCGCGGGACTCTGGGAGCGGGCGTGGGTGCGCGTCATCGAGTGCGCGGGTGTGCCTCCGAGGCTTCGAATTTTAGCAGGTCAGTCCGGGCAGACGCTCTGGGAAGAAAACGATCCCCTAGGAGACGCGTTTGCGGGTTTGGGTCTCGCGATGCAGGGGCCCAAATGCGGGTAGAGCGTCGACGGAAAGGCGAGGGTCGGCCGACAAGTATATGTGGGCGAGGAGAACAGTCTCGGCCAGACGAGACGGAGGATGCTAGGCTCATGATCGACCGTATGCAGCAGCTGCTCACAAGCGCCGAAATTGCCTGAGGACGTCTAGGCCGGCCCTCTCAGCTCCCAGATGTCGTCTGGTATTTGTATATTACTGATTCTGCGCATGCGAGCGACCAGATCATCATCGCGGGTATTCTTGCGAAGAGACACCCTTCCATAATCTAGGCTTAGCACACGTAAAGACGTCATACCAAACACTAAATGCACCATCCCCCAGGGAATACATAGACGGCACGTAAAATGTGCATCATGCCGGTCATCCATGAATTACACCGTGAACGTAATGTACGCTGGCATCGCGTGCGCAGTTGGTACACCGTATACCGACGACCCGGGCATATCCTTCTAACAAGGACTGGCCTGGGACCACAAGACATACAGGAGGAAGAAGAAAAGGACATGCAGCGAGCTGCGTCGTAGTCAAACAAATGAAGGACTAATTGTGTAGAAACGCGGGGGGTAGTATGGCGGGAAATGGCAACGGGACGGACACATCGCCAGGCAACGAGGCATAAATATTGCAGACCAGTCTAAACACCAGTTAAAAACCAGTAAGCATGCAACGGCCACGAGCAACATGAGAAGCTGGATCTCCAGATGAACAATGGTAGGTGGAGGACATATGTGCGGTGGGTGGGGAATACGAGACGCGCGGGACGGACCTAGAATACACGGAAGGGAGCGATGAAACAAATGCTACATTGCGTCACCCATCCGGCATCAGACGAGCGGGCCCATCTCCGACTTCTCATCTACCGGAGCGCACGCCTCTCTCCGTACCGCGGGGACACGCGGCACGGAACTATGATGGCGGTGCGAGTGTGCCGACGACGAACGCGTGCGTCTGTGCCCGTGCGCGCGCGGAGTACTGGCACCATCGGAGCTCTGGCGTAGCGGGATCCATGCCTCCGTCGCGTTCATCTTGCGCGCCTCCTGCTCGGACATGCCGCCCACTGGTACGGGCGCGTACACAACGATGTTGTTGTCCGAGTTGGATCGGGCATGCGCAGATGTGTCAAAGTGGTTGAAGCTGAAGGAGGTGGACGGTGGGGAAGTGGGTGTGGGAAGGAGGTAGATGCGGTGCAGCGAGTCGGTGTTGATCGAGCGCAGGCTCGTGTGCGACTTGCTACTCGCGAAATGGTCACGCGCGAGGTGACGCTGGTATCTCGACAGCGCGATGAGCGTGTGCATCTGCAATGTCATGTATCGATGAATGACCGCCTCACAACAGGGCACAAGTGAACTCACTCTGATCACCATGAGGATGAACATCACGCCCACCGCTGCCACGACGGCACGCTCGAACCACAACTCGCAGTTCTCGAGGTTGAGACCCATCTCGACCATGTCGCGCATGAGGTCGGGATGGCGGGAAAGCTCTTCGCACACGCTTGTTCGCACATACGGTCTGCTGAAGGCGGTGTAGCCTACGAAGAGGGTGCCGACTGTGACGAACGCGAAGTCGGCGATGGAGTAGTCGCGGTAGAAGCGGACAAATGAAGGGATGGTCTAGCGGCCGCACAGAATCAGCCAAGCCGCCGCGCGTCGCGATAAGGGGGAGGAAACGCACCTTCGTGAGACCGACGAAGCCGACGAAACACGCGAGCGAGGCCGCTGCGAAGTACGTCGACAGCAGCCCCCACACGATCTTGACGCTATCGACCCTCCAGACATCCGACGCCTCCCACTCGGACTCGGACTCCCAGCCGAGCGATCGCCACAGGGCAAGCAGGCGAACGGCGAAGACAAGGTTGAAGACGGCGCCGGCGAAAGACGCTGCAATGGACACGGACCTGAGGGGTTTGTGCATGATGCGGGTCAGCATGTATGCGGCCAGAGGGCGGACGCGGCGGGAGGGGAGGGCGAGGAGACGGAGAGAGAGGCGAGAGACGAAATAGTAGGGAGAGAAGGGCAGGGTCGAGACTGGATTGGACGATGATGGAAGAGGGGGAGCTGCGGCGGGGACGAAATCGTGCGACTGACCTGGCTAAGCGGCGCGTCATGCCGAGGGATCTGCCGGAAACTTACGGTGGACAGTTTACTCGTGCTGGTCAACGGCGGACGGGCAGCAGGCGTCGAGGGCGGCGACGAGGGGCGGGGTGGACGACAATTAGCAGAGCACCGTCTGTGTTTTTGTCTTTCCGGGACCGAGTGCTGGTCTTTGGCGCAGCGCGTGCCCGATTAGAAATGAAGCCAGACGCCCCCACGGCATCATTCCGGCGGCGGGTATGTTGCTCTCCGACTCAATCCGCCTTCCGGTGTCGCAGTTGCTTCCACAAACAAGTTGCGGATGCATTGTGTCTCGTTTGAGACTGCACAGCACCCCCACCCCGCCGTCACTATTCAACATTGCATTCGCCTCAGCCGTTCGCAGCAACTGTCGGGGAGACCGGTCTCGTAAGGAGGCGGGGGGTGTCGGGGCGGAGTGCGAACGTGGATCACGGCCGATATACAACATTCTAGGCATCCATGACTGCATCTCGATTACAAATGATCACCCAGACCGTCATCCACCTCGACTCCTGTCCTTGTCTCTCGGCCACACCCTTACCGTCCCGAGAACACTGTATACTATACTAAGGCGACTCCACCTATTCAACGCAGCCAACTTCTTCCAATCCGCCCTCGCCACTTGCTCTCTATCTGTCTTGCCGCTGGATTCTTTGCTGGCGTACCCGTTCCATTTGCCCATCAATCTGACACATTCAACTTTCTGCCACTGCTGACGCACACCCGCGACCTTGGTAATCAGATCTGAGACAGGGGCTTCTACAATTTGATGAACAGACCGACGTAGAAGCGGCGGAATGGTGGCCACCACACCTGTTAGGTGTGGTCTCCTCGCGCACGACACCCCCAACATTCAGATACCTTGCTCACCCCGTCGTGGGTCGGCACCGGATGTTGTGGGAATAAACCTTATATACCCCGGCGGGCGGCAGTTGTCCTGGAGATGTGCACAAGAAGTCCACTCAGCTGTGTTGTAATAAGATAACAAGTACTGGTCAGGCGACACAACGGCTCAACTGAAGCTTCGCAGCTATCGTGAGTCGTTGCGACTTGCACCCATCATCAGTTAGCGGTCATAACCTCGTACTACATGAGCTCAGAATCAGGGAACTGTCCGAGAAGATTCTGGTTTGCTTCAATCCATCTTTCATCTATCACGCAGCTCACTTGGCATTGTACATTCCTCGACGGCCGTTTTCAAATACTCTTGTTCGGCTGCTGTTCCTTGAGGTGCTTCTCTTCTTGGGCAACGATGTCTCGCCACGAGTGATCAGGCTCCTGTAACATTACAATGAGTCCTTGTACGCTGCAAGCGGCAAACAACATTGGCTTACTATGTGGCGGTGACCGAACTCATCTACTTCCTTCGCTTTTCTTGCGTGCGTGAGGGCGCCCGCCGCGATCAGCACACCAATAGTCAAGCCCTGCGCCCACATACGCGCTTGGACAACCTAGAAACATGCATCAGTCACGGTATGTCTCTCGGCACCTTGAACAGGGATCGTACCTTCTGCGGCAGCGTCTGGTATCTGTCAGACGCGTCGTGTGTCAGCAAGTAAGTCTTCCGAATATCATCTAATCACTCACGGGTTCCGCATGATGTACCCGAACGCGCCCACCATGGTCGCCGCCCATGCGCCGCCAATGAACCCGTACTCGTGTCTCGCGGCACTGTCGCGGATCTTCTGTGTCCAGGTCAACGATTCCCATCGTAGCTGCTCGCGTGCCTGCTTCACATCCATTTCTTCCTTCCCGAGGTCGTGCCTTCAAGTCGGTCCAGTGAGCTCTGCAGTGTCTTCTGGAAGGCAGCGGATTGCTCACCAGTTCTGTTTTTCATAATTGAGGCCAGCGTGCTCTGCATTGATAACGAACGAAGGGACGGCGATGAGGATGACGCCAAAAGCTTTCAGGGAGGGCGGAAGATGGCGGTAGTGCTGGACGCGGCGATTCAGGAGGTACGAGAGAGGAAGGGCAACGGCAAGGCCACCCGCGAAACCCTTCGCGCCTCCGACGATCGTCGCGCGCATCTGCGCATCCTGCTCTTCCTTCGTGACAATCTGCGATGTCAAAAACGTTGTCAGTCTCCCGCTCGCTGTTCCTCACGTCCCTGCCTCGTACCTTCATCTTTTAGGAAAATGCAAGCCTATATGCGTGGACGACGTCAAGTGAGGGCGTGGGTAACGCGCTGCCAATGCGGGGTCGGCCATCCGCGAGTTGTGCATTTATATAGCGTTCGCTACAAATCGACCTGCCCGTCCGGGCGCGATGACGTCGTGCTACAACTCCCCGCGAGTCAGTACTTGCCCGAATAGGAAATCCTAAGCGAATCTGTCCGAACTCGACGCGGTAACGTGACTGCAACACGCTCAGCACGTTCCGGGCTGCTCCTCGCGCCTGGAGAAGATCGTGTCCATCCACACTTTCGTGATCCGAGGGCGTTGAAGCATCTGGTCTCGCCCAGGCACCCAGTGAATGGCAATGATTGTTAAATAAGACCAATCTAGTTGTGCGAGCAGGCTGATATCTAGATAGTTGCACCTCTTGTATGACGCCGCCGCTCTGCCTCATCAAGGACGCTCTTCGGTCCCCGCTTCGCCATCGCCCATAAAAAGACCAAAATGACGAGCACGAACTGCAGCCACAACCACACCTCCAGCATGAGGCCCGTGAGGCCTTGCCTCCGTCTCTCAGCGGGTCCCAGAACCTCACCTGGTAGCACCCGGACGGCCACGCGCTCTGTTTCCGTGCTTTCCTCGTCCATAGGGTCTCCATCGAACTCTGTACCTGGGCCACGAACCGCAGGTGCGTGCAAGAATGGCGAAGTAGAAACCTCGCCGTTCTGCAGATCGAGAGGATCGTTCGTTAGAACGGCCGAACTCATTCCTGAGCGCTGTCTGACAGTTGCAGGCTTCGGAACGCGCCGTCGAGGAGGGTCCGAGGATGACACGGGCGAAAATCGCCCCTCCACCCAGCGGTGTGTGCGCGAGCGCATTGTTTGGGACAATCGATATGCTCTCGTCAACCCAGGCTTCTCCAACTTGTCCGCGGATGAAGGCGTCGGGGGCTCCACGGTCAGCTGCAGGCCTCGAGGGGGAGTCGAAGGTCCAGCTTCCGGGTCTGCAGCCCAGCTGCCGGTTTCGGGAGACGTCCCAGGCGAGGTTACATCTGGCACTGGAAAGACGAACAAAGGCCGCTCGCTAACAGCGGGAGACAAGGAGGCCTCTCGGGAAAGATCAAGTCCGGAGATATTGTAGAGGCTGGTGTTACGCAGGTGGTGATTGGGCGCGTTCGCACTCCAGTCGTCTCCAAACTCGCTCCCCAGCTCGCTTCCCAGGGTTCTGCCGAACCCTGGCCCCTCGACGGGCGTGGGCAGCATGCTGCTGAAAGGCGAAGGCGGTGCCAATCCGTCCGTAGCAGCGGTCGACCAGGTTGTCATCTCACCCATCTCCGACTCGCTATCAGCGGTCTGGCCATGAGTGGTGGGCCACTTCAAGGGTGCATGAGAGACGTCCGCTGATGTATCGCCGGATACTGGGTCTGAATCAGAATCGAACAAGCCAACGACAGATTTCCTGGGCCTATGACCGCCGGCATGGCGCTGCTGGTCCAACATGCTACGGGCAGTGCTTTGCATGTCACGCGAAATCCCACTTGCAAACGAGTCTGGCTCTTCCGTGTGGAGCCCACTGAGATCCTGGTGGATGGAACGCTGCAGACTGCTGAACTTGATGGTACCGCCAGATACTATCCGTTTCCCAAGGGTCGGGCTTTCTTCCGGATCGTCCTCGTCGACCATCTCGAGCTCGACCCCAGTTTGGTCGTTGAGAAAGTCGTACGTACGTTTGATACTCTCGACATCCCACTGAGCAGAGCGCATGCGTTCTTCTGTACCCCTCTGTTCCTGCTTGATCTCGGCATTGGTTTGTTCTAGCTCGTGGATCTTGGCTAGCAATTGTGAAACGATCGCGGATTCCGCTGCAGACTGCGATCGAGCAATTGTAGATGAGAGGTGAACCCGCGATGATAGTGCACCGTCGGACGACGAAATGGCAGCATTACCAGCCAAACCCATATCCTCAGCCTCTGTGTCCGCTGGAGATTTGGTCGTTCGGGGGATCCTGAGCGACGTAGAACTCGCCAACTCCGAGGGAGGGGCAAAGTCTCTAACCTCCTCGCTTTCCACGTCGGACTCCGTCGACTGTACAACCCCGCCTTTGAAGGCCCTAACGCGTTCTTCCCGTTCCCTTCGCCTTTGCGACTCTGTTGCACTAGCGTGAAGAGCGGTTCTTGCCTTCTCCTCCAATTCCGCCTCTTTCTCTTGGGTCTGCTCAAGCTCTTCACGTAAACCTTGGATCTCCCGCTCGAGCTTCCGGAGCTTACGCCTCCCCGCCTGATCTGCTTCCTGTGACTCTGCCTCGAGCCTTTCAAGCTTGTCGAGCAACTCTGCATTCTGATCCGCAAGACGCGTCAGGTCGGAAGTTGTCACTGATATCCGCCTCTGGTGACGGAAACGGGGAGCAGGGAGGAGTGCATCGTCGTAGTTGGGGGAACGAGGGAGAGCGGCGGAGTCGTATGGTGGGGATAGCACATTCGGCGTACCGGGCACGCTGGGTGCAGGAGACGTAGGCAGGCGAGCCAGCAGCGTTTCGTGCTTGTTTTTCAGCGCGATATTGTCATTAAATAAGGTCTTGCACAGCGCGGATGTCACGCTCAATTCTGCCCGAGTACTCAGCCCCCGCAGGATGTCTTGCACCTATGCCGGACATCTCAGCTCTCACCTGATTCGCGTGATTTGATCAGTCCGTCGGCCTGCAAGAGGAGATGAGACAGCTCCTCTCTCGACTTCTCGTTGACCCATGCCTCCGCGTCATGAGTTGGGAGAGGGAGCGGCATGTCATCCGGGGAACCCGGGCCAGCTCCAGCGACATCTAGCACGACTTGATCCAACGACGGGGCATAAGGAGGAGGAGGAAAGCTAGGGAACTGAAGGGAAGAGGCCCTGCGGGCCTTGGCCGGTGGCCGTGGTCGTGGTGTCGTAGAGTTCTCGTCGGACATCATCTGCATCCTTTAGCACTGAGATGATTGTTCGTCAACGAACAGCGTGAGTGAAGCAGCGCGAAACGTCTGCAGGTCTAATAGACGGGCTGAACCAGCCACAGCAGCATAAATGTGGATCAAGCCGGAGAGAGGGAAGGAGGTATCCGAGTAGGTGAAGGGGGGGCATGGCCAGAGGTCATCTAGGTCAGCCGCGTAATAGATGCTACTGGTCTCGTATCCAGACCCGCCGTATCCGCACCTTTTCGCGGTGGTGGGGTCCCCATGCGTACTGCAAAGTTGCCGCATCACGCATGAACGCTGCCGCCAAGATCACCCTGTGCGTTGCCATATGCATGGGGAAATGGCATAAGTTACCACGGATGCTTAGGTTTATAATACATGCGATACGGATGACATAGCTACATTATCTAGACGGCCTGTACACTTGGGAGTAAACCGATATTCACACATAGAAACATGTTGTACGAAGTAGTACGTCACTGTTTTTGATTCTGGTTTGAGGTCGTTGAATTGAACGACGAAAAGGCGCCAGAGTTGTTCCCGAATCCGAATCCACCAGGACCTAGTTGCGATTGTTGACCGAAGGTACTTGAAGCAGCTGGCTGTGCCCCAAACGCAGGTGCTTGGCCCGATGTCGACGGCGCAGCAGGCTGAGCAGCAAACGCTGACATGGGGTTTGATGATCCTGACGATGTCGCGGGCTGCGTACCGAACGGGTTTGAAGAGGACGAAGATGACGGAGCACCGTCAAAATTGAACGAAAATGCAGGCTTAGTCTGGGTTGCATTCGTGTTGCCACTTGGCGCTGCGCTACTGGATCCAGCAGACATCGCAGGTGCGGATGATGCAGGCGTTGCGAAGGAGAACGAGGGAGCACTTGTTGGAGCGGCTGGGGTCGACGTCGTTGCCTGATTACTTCCAAACGATGGAGTACCTGAGAAACCTGTCCCACCGGGCGTGAAGCTGAAGAGTGGCTTGGGACTGTCCGCAGGCTTCGCCTGCGCGTTGTTAGCTGCTCCACCAAACAGGGACCCGCTTCCCGACGAGCCCGCAGGCGCTGCGAAGGGATTTGACGCCGGCGTAGTCGAACTGCCTGTGGGGCCAAAGCCAAACGCAGACTTCCCAGTGTTCGTCGGATTCGCAGGCTGTGCAGCAGTCATAGTCGCATTGTTATTGGTGCTAAATGCGCTGGACGAACTTGGTTGCGAGGGTGTGAAACCGAACGGTGACGGAGAAGACGACGAACCCGAGGGTGCTGCGGCCGGCGGAGCGGTGAAGCCGAATGGGCTCTTCGGTGCAGCTGTAGTGGTAGTCGTGGAACCTGATTGTGCGGGGGCATCCGTGCTCGCCGAAGGCGTAGGCTTCGAAAACCCGAAGTTGAACTTGGGCGCAGTGGTCGAGGTGCCAGTGGTCGAGGCGGGAGCTGTGCTACCAGCGTTTGACGGAGTAGCAAATAATCCACCAGCAGCGGGCGTCCCAGAATTCGCAGGTGCATCAGGTTTGGCAAATGAGAACGTGGCATTGTTCGAGGAGCCACTCGGCGCATTGGTTGTAGCCGGTGCATTATTCGTCGCAGGTGCAAAGCTCCCTAGTCTGTTGAACAAGGGGTTACCCGAGGCGCCCGACGAGGCAGGCTGATTCCACTTCTCCTGCTCCGTGCTCTTCTGACCAGATGAGGGCCCGAATGAGAAGGTCGATTTGGGCGTCGAGTCTGTTGCTGCCGGAGCCGACGGTGTCTGCGAGTTGGCGCCAAAGGGGTTGAAGCCAGACGTACCACTTGGGGCGGTCGTTGCAGGCTTGGCAAAGCTGAAGGTCGCAGGCGTCGTGCCAGTTGCAGGGCCTGCATTCTGGCTGGCTGGCGCGCCCTGAACGGATGTCGTCGTCGGTTGGATCGAGCCTGTGGATGTCGCAGCAGTAGGCGCAGTAGCAAAGGAAAACGTGGAGGGAGCGGGGGCCTTTGCTTGAGCTGCAGGCGCCGGAGCAATAACTGGGAAATGGAGTGAATTGGAGGTTTTGGGCGCCTCCAACGTGCCGGGAGTAGGAGGCTTGGGCGCGCCCAAGAACGAGGTTCCACCAGTTGTCGAAGGTGTGGATGCTGGCGGCGCGATGGATGCAGGGGCTGCGACCGCTTTCGCGGTTCCCGGTTGTACATCCTTCTCTGCAGGCTTCGCAAAACTGAAAGTGGGTGCCGGTGCCGCAGGAGCGATCGATTGGCAGGACGGTGCACTTTCTGCCTTCTTGGCTTCAGGAGCCGGAAGGGCGTCGAACTGTGACTTCACTCTGATCCTGGACATTGCCTGTGCCTCAATATCCTGTTTCTCCCATTTAGAGTAAGAACGAGTGCTGCGACTCTTGGCATTCTCCGGTGTAGACGGTAAAGCAGCGGGCCCTTCGGTAGAATCGACACGGCGAATAGGACCTGGTGGCGCCGGTGAAGCCGGTGAATACGGCACTGGGTTAATCCGAAGGTTTGATGCAACCGATTGTCTGAAGGGCCCTCTCTGTAAACTATCCTGCCGCGTTCTGGGTTGCCACAAAAGGCCCTTGTTTGTTGCTGCCGAAAATCCCTGAAGTGGGACAATGAGCATGGTATACTGCATTGTGCGGTGTACTGTCACTTACGGAAACATCTACCGGAGTGGTAGGCTCACTCGTCGTATCTTGCCATGCGAACTCACGGCGCTCCTTAGCAATCTTGTACTCTTCTTCGGTCAGCCAAGTCTCTACGTAAACCTCAATGCTCGTTCCACGATCCGGGTGCTGTGAATCAATGGGCTGCAGAAATACGTAGTAATCACTAATCAAGTTCAAGAAACTGTAGACGAAAACATACCATAGGGAATTTGGAGCGCGGTCTCTTGACTGTTGCCTGACGCAATCGCTGGCCATTAGGACCGACCTTGAAGCGCACACCGTTCGATTCCCATTCTCCGCCGATACGCCGGCCTTTGCAGAGGGGATCATTCGACACACCTGCAACAATGACCGCATCACCGGAGTATGAGCCTTTCTTGCGCATGTCCCGTTTCTTCGGTCTGTCGCCATCTTCGTCACTGTCTGCTGGGTCGACCTCACGACCGCGCTTCTGGCCACGAGCTGCGACACCCGCTGACCTCCTCGACATCGTACGCCTCTTTCTGCGCCTGCCAGACATCTGCCGTTCTTCAAGATCGGCTTCATCCACGAAGGAGTCATCACCGTCAATGGTCGAATCCGCTTCAGTTCTATCGCGCTTCTTGCCTCTGCGAGATGGCTCAAACTCTGGAGTCATCGGAGATCCATCCTCTTCATCGACCATCTCAACATCGGGCTGCACAGCTGCCTTCTGCGACGAGACCTTGCGTGCCCTCTTATCTCTGCCTACCCCACGAGCCCCATCAGCATTCTCATCATCCTCAGAATTGGCCGACCGCTTCGCGCCGCGCTTCGGCCTTTCCTCGACATCCTCATCAACCTCCATATCATCTCCGGACTGTTGCTCTCCATCACTCTGACCTCCTTGTGTTCCGTCCCCAGCTAATCTCGTCTTCTTCTCGAATACAGGATCAGCCTCCTCTTCGCGCGCATGTTTGCCGCCACGCTGAAATACCGGAGCCGCTGATTGAACATGACTAGCCTGACTCAACGTCGAGGAGCTGGAACTTGTACCAGGGGAGTGCTGATGAGTGGAAACAACGGGTGGTACTGCTTGTGAGAATCTGTGGCAACAACGTTGATTGTAGACACAGCTACCATGAGAATGAAGACGTACGCTGATGGACCAGGTGGTGGAATATGGTGCTGATACTCGGAGAACAGATGCGCAGATGGCAAGACTCCGTTCAACACGTTGTGATTGACTGGACATGAGATGAGAAACGGCGCGATCAAGGGAGGATCATGCGCACCTGAGGCTTGTGGGACACGGTGTCGTAGATTGTGATCTTCTACAGGGAATGTGGGGGGCATAGGCTGTGCATGTGGCTGGTCTCCGTGAGCAAAACGTGCCGATGCCTGACCATCCAGTTTTTGAGATGCCCAGGCTACGCTGAACGGGCGACGGTCCTTGTCCCTAACGCCAAAACGGCGGCGCATCCGTCTGAAAGTCGTACATTAGAGGCCGAAAGCGCTCAATGGGAAGGGGGAACGTACCTGCGATACTTGTCATCGGCCCACCTGCGCACAGGGGGACACTGCATGTAGAGCGCGACGACCGCAAGAAAGAGGCAACCTCCGGCCACGCCCGCACGTAAGAAGACTTGCGACCAAGAAAGACCAGGAGGAGAGACTTGGAGGCGTCCTCCCAGAATGTCGGTAGAATCGACTTTCATGCCGGCGTCGAGGGTTGATAGAGAGATGCCGAATGTCGCGACCAGCGGGGCAAGAGCAGAGGGTGAGGATCACAAAAGCCACCTCGTGGCAAACTGGGCACGGCTGGACGCGTTGCGGAGCTTTAAATACAGTCGCGTCAACGCCACCGTGTCTCCACGCCACATTCAAGCCTTGGCCGTCTACAAGCACCATCCCTGGCCACAACAAAGCTCTCGAAACTCGACCAAGCGACCCACAACTAAGGCCCACGAAAGCTTTATGATATGTCAGGGTCGGCAATTGAGACCATCTCCCAGACCAACTTACGTGTGATACCGCAACCCGCTGCTCACCTCAGCACCTCAGCACATTTGCATCACCGCGGAGCAATCTAGGCGGTATGGTGTCATGATTTGATACACACTAGTGGTGGCTGCGCACGGTGGCCAGTGGGTCAATGAGACGATGTACTTCCAATTTATTCGGAAAGCGGACAACCTCCGTCGCCACTGAAGCCTCCGCTCGCACAACAGTGGCAGCTCTTCATTATTGTATATATTTAAAGCCATTCCTGAGCACGGACCGCATCTAGCACCGTAGGCGTAATGATCCTTACCTCGAATGCGCAGAGAAGTGCTGTACGGTACCCGCATGTCATTCGATTTTACCACGTGTGAAAACATCAGCGGCCTCAGCCGATCGCATAAAACAGCCTATGATCGTCCGACAATTACTCGTCTTCCCCGGCCAGCCAGCTCACCTGCCCCGCTCTCTATTCTCCCCTTCCTTCTGTTATAACCATGGCTGAATCCAGGGTCATCACCTACGAGGAGCTCAAGGCGAACAACACAAAGGCGAGCCTGTATGTCCTTATCCACCAGAAGGGTACGTGCACTCGACTACGACCTGCTATAATGTAACATGCTCTTAACATTGCAATAGTGTACAATGTCGCAAAATTCATTGACGAGGTGTGTATATGTCTATGATAACAGCACGCTTGCATTCTTACATTTGGTGTCCAGCACCCTGGAGGAGATGAGGTGATTCTCGCAGAAACCGGTGAGTTGTGCTGTGTGTATCTCCGCGATTGCGAGAGGCTAAGCTAGATGTTGCAGGCAAGGATGCAACGGAGCCATTTGAGGACGTTGGCCACTCGGATGAGGCGCGTGCGATCCTCAAGGACCTCTACGTTGGCGAGTTCGAAAAGAATAGCGTACGTTCGTCCGGTTTGTATCCGATATCCTCTTTGACCAGGTATCACTGTTTTATAGACTCTCAAGACAAAGGGGGGATACGACAGCAGCGCATCTTCCAGCCAGGCCGTCAACACTGCAGTGCAACAAGGGTCAAAGTATGTCCCTCTGCGTGACGCATCATCGCGCGGCTTGACTGACGTTGCTCTTCTCAGTCTGATGTACTTTGTTCCTCTCGGGATGCTCGGTGCCTACTTTGCGTGGCGGTACTACTCCAGCGGCACTGTCTAGAGGATCGTTTACCATTTCATCTCCTGTTGTGCTGCTATATCATTTATTGAATTCTGGATGTCTGGACTGCATCCGGCGTGCGTAGTTTGCTTATCTCGACCAAGTCGAGACTCGGTCAAGCCGCTATCGGGTCTGTGACGGAGCGAGATGCTTGACTACATGTGGATTGTGCATGAAATGCGGTTGTCTCGGGCTCTCAGACAGAGAAGTAAGAAGGCCAGTTCGTGCGAACATAGAGAACATCGGCAATAATAAACGGATCACCTGAGTCTTCTGTACGGAATCACTTCAGCGTCAGCGACGGCCGCAGTAACAAACGCGTACGCGTCACGTCTCCAACCACCATGCCGCCGCCTGCGCTCCGCCTTAACGCAGTCGCCTTCGTGTCCCCGCACAACCACCCCATCCTCATCCGCACCTTCGCCCAGCCCCGCGCCGACGAGCTCAAGTACCACTACATCGCCCACACCTCCCTTGATGTCGTCGAGGAACGCAGTGCGCCCCGCCGTCTGCGCCGCCGCCTGTGCGCGCACCCCTGACGCCCCGCTCTCCCCGCAGTCGCCGCCGCCAACGCGGCCAAGTCGACCGAGTGCTACCTGAGCCTCCTCTACACGATGGAGGATGTCGCCGTGTACGGCTACGTCACGCCCCTCCGCGTCAAGATCATCATCGCGCTCGCCCTCACCGACACCGTCGTGCGCGACGCCGACGTCATCACGGTGCGTCTCCGAGCTTGTCTCGTCCCACGTAGCGACGCGATCTGCCCCACAGATCTTCCGTGCGCTGCACACCGCGTACCGCCTGTCTGTCGCGAACCCGTTCCTCAAGGCAAATACCCCGCTGGAGGGCGTAAACGACCACACCGCGATGCTCAACGCAGGCAGTGCCAAGTGGAAGGGCTTCCGGCGGCGCGTAGACGAAGTAGGCAGGGCCCTTGCGGGCGTCACCACCTCGTCGAGTTCCTCGACCCAATTCCACTGATGATTTCCTCCGGACCATGTTCAGAGCGGACAGTGTGACGATGAGTGCATGCTGTATTCTGTTAGTTGAGAATATGGTTCCTGTCCCCGTTTCAGATGCCAGGCCCCGCCTATTCCCATCATCTGGATCGTGGACGCATCGCCGTCCGTCTCGAGGGACTGGGCCAGAGCACATGAACCCAGATCGAAGAAAATGCCTTCTTATTGACTCAGCTTGTTTGAGCTTACCTTGGCTGGGACAGATACGAGGCAGACATCGCCGCCTTCAGACAAAATATCATCCTAAGGACCGTATACACCCTGTCCATCGAGTATTAATGAGATACAATGTCGGAAAAGGAGTCTTCTGGTGCGTGAATTGGGAGCAAGCATTTATTATTGGCACAGAGAAATCCTGGGCTGTTGCGTACATAAGCGGACTAGGCTGTGAGGCAATGGCGAGATCTACTCTAAATTACAACATTCCACCCATCAATAACCCCAGTACTTCTTCTCTATATACCGTAGCGGCGGGAAGACAACCGCGGTGAATGCGAAACTGAGCTCGAAGCCAATATCACCGCCTACATAATGGTCAGCACACGCACACGCAGTCGAATAAGGCAAACACACGTACCATAAATGGGGTCGCCAATATGTCGCGCAATCTGGCCAACATACCACACCTGCGCCATACCGAGAACCGCGCCGGCAACACCGCATCCGAGCGCAATGAACGACGCGACGCCAAGCGGCAGCTTGCGCCAGTTATTGTACTCATCAGGCTCATAGTTCGCCCAGCGGCCACGGCGGAAGATGAGGTGCTCCTCGATGAGGATCGTGCTGAAGATCGCGAGCCAGTAGCTCAGGATCGTGAGCAGCGTGTCGAGCCACTCCTCAAAGTGGCTCGCGCCGACGATCGCGAGCACGATGTACACGACGCTGCCGACGACGACGATGAACACGCGCGGGATCGCCTGCGCGTACGGGTGGATGTTCTGGAACGTCAGCGCGAGCGAGTAGATGTTCGGGATGTTGTTCGCGATGATGCTCAGCGAGAGGATCACGAGCAGGAAGCGCCCGAACCCGCCCATGGGCCCCGACAGCCCCGCGCCGAGCAGCCCGCCGACCGAGTTGGCGGCGTACGCGTCCGCCCACGTCGTCTTGGCCGTGAGCGTCGTCATCGCGGCCGCGCCGAGGCACTCGACGAGGATGAGCGGGATGTTGAGCCCGATGTACGTCCACACGAAGACCTTGACGGAGGAGATGTTCTCTGGCATGCGCACGGTGTAGTCAGCTGCGAGGGACGTCCACCCGAGGGCGAAGCCAGCTAGGAAAGGTGGAGGCAATGAGTGTCAGAAACCACAGAGAAGGAAGCAGGCCCACACACCGATGGCAGCACCGAAGGAGAGCACGTTGCCAGCTTCGACGGGGCCGGTTCCTCCCCATGGGCCGCTGTCGCAGAAGCGTGCTATTTGCCCGAGGTAAATGATGAAGATGACTGCCACCTGCGATTTGGATATGTTCGGGGAGGTTTATCTGGTGCAGAGAGTAACACCTACGGGTATCCATGAATACTTCTCGTATAGGTGGACGACGCGGTAGCCCATGAACGAGACGGCGATAGTGCCGATGGCAATGACGATGATTGCCGCGGCGGTAGGTATTTGATGTGAGTCGCTGACTGCTCGGAGCGCCTGTGCACCGACGATAGAATTTACCACAGACCACCCAACACAGGCTATGCAGTTGAGCACGATGGGGATAAGAGACTAGGAAAGCCCAGCGTGTCAGGTTTTGTGCGACTAGACGGAACCACTGGACTCACGGTGAGGTAGCCGAAGGAAAAGCGAGACAAAGTTAATTGCCGCAAACCAAGCTTGGGGCCCCAGGTAGAGAAGTAGGCGACGGGGAGTGTACATAGCAGGTTGAAGAAAATGATGGTTAGGACTGCATCTCGGAGACCCAAGTAGAACAAGGAATTTCCGAGCGTCCCCAGTGAGAACGTCGACGTCTGCGCCGGTCGTAAGCGTGATGCTGTCGAGCACAGTAGATGCGATGCTCACGGTCATATTTGCGGCCAACCACATCCAGAAGGGCGCCAGAACGGCTGCAGAGGCATTTCGTTCAATGACAACTCGGACAGTCATTTTTCGGAATGAACGTACACGTCTGGTTGCGCTGATCTGAGGGAATGCGCTCGATTCCCTGCGCCTCGACACCATACTTGTCGAGCTTCTCGACGATGGCCCACAGTGCGCGGAAGCGAGTGCGGGGGACATTGTCGTAGCTCGGTGGAACAGGCTGCACACTGGCCGAAACTTGTCAGGGAGAAACGGGCTCGCCCGTGTGGAAAACGGTGCGCACAAGTGCTCGACGTCCTTGATGTTGTCGGAGTTGACCGAACGCTTCTCTTCTGCGGAGGAGGCAGACATGGGGGACGGAGACCCGTGGGGGGTGGCTATGGCTGGGAAGCCGTGAAAGCAGCAGAAGGAAAATCGCTGCGGGGATGCGACCTTATCATAGGAGCGGCCCTCGTGCGTATCTGCCCCGGCGCATCTCCCAACGTCAAAATCTGCGCCACCCTCGATCCCATCCGCCCGATTGGTCCCCCCGCCCGCTTGGCCTGCTTTTCCCCACTCCCCATTGGCTCCCGACCGCCTGCCACGTGCATCGCCGGTGGATAAACGCCCAGGCACCTGGCTCTCGAAGCCAATCGACCGATCGCCCCTGACTGTGATCGCTGACGAGAACTCATCTCGCCCTCGGCTTCGCCGACGCCGCCGCCGGAGCTTGCACAGGGCGGTAGCACATCGTCGGATGCGTTCAAGCAGTCACACGAGCAGCTACCAACATCTGTCGTGCAAGGCATTGCGCAGCATGTCTCGTCTCCAACATGCGCGTCATGCGGGTAGATAGCCACAACTACTTATCTCGCTATCTCGCTAAGCTGGCCAAGGCACGCCCGTCAACGTCTGCATGCAATTCATATCCCCATCATTGCTTCTGCTAATTGGTCCAGTCCCTCCAACGTCTCGCGTGCCATCACCCTCACCACCGCGTCCTCGTCCGTCGCAGCAACGTAGCCAAGCGTCGTCTTGGTCCGCCTCACCAGCTGTGGCGGAAACACCATGTCCGTTCCGTCGGACGACTCGTACAGCCGTGCGGTGCATGCCTGTATCAACAGCGAGAGGAAATGCAACGCCGCGCGGCGCAGGGGTGGGAACTTGGAGTTCGTCGACGTCGGCTGGGCATCCATCGTAGCAGGCGTCGGCGGCTCCAGCCATTCTATTTCGTCTTCCTCCTCCACAGAAGCCTTCTTGGCCGCAGGCGCTGCCGGCACCGTCTCCACCTGCAGCAGATCGACCATAGCTTCCGACAGGTCCGCCGCATACGGCAAAATGGCCAGCTCGTTCGTCTTCACGCACTGCGCCAGCAGCGCCACGGCCGAGGTCCGCAGCGTCGTTGGATAATGCGCCGCCCGCATGACACCAAACAGCCGCGGAACTAGCATGCTTGCTAGCGACAGGCACATATGAACCCACGTCAGAACAGACAGCTCGAGACACCCATATCATATAAGCAAGCACAAGGCACGCACCATACGCCGGCAGCGCGTCCCCACAGCGCCGTATCACCTGCCCGAGCGCCTCGCCGACCCGCGTCCTGACGTCCACGTCCTGCTGCGTCAAGCCCGTCCCGCCGAGGCCGTCCAAGCCTTCCGCGTACACATTCACCAGGCCCTTCAGCACGTCGCGTCCGAAGCCGTTCACCATCGCCGCGAGCCCCTGCACCGCGTTTAGAAACATGTATGAATCGTCGTCCTGCACGGACTGCAGGAAGATCGAGAGGATGCCCGGCACCAGCGCGCGGTCGATCGCAGGCTCCTCGAGCGTGGAGCTCCGCGACTCGGGATTTGCCTTGCGCATGGAGACGAGCTGCCGGAGGAGCAGCAGGCCGTGGGCGCGCACGGGGAGCAGCGGGTCCTGCAAGAGCTTGAGCGCCTTCTGGTACGTCTCTTGCGGGCTCTCCTCGTCATCCTTGTTGCGCTTCTGCTTGCCCTTGGAGGTCGGGATGGAGGCAGATGCTAGACGTGCGGTCATGACCATCCTGGCTTCCCGCGCAAGAGGCCGTACCGTGTCCGACGACTCCTTTGCTAGGGGCTCGAGAAGCGAGAATATCTCGTTGAGTATCGGAGCTGTGCGTGCAGACAGATCCGGGTGTGCTTGGGTTGCTGTCAGCAGCGCATACTCATCGAGTGTATGTGCTGTGCTCACCTTCCAAGATAGACAAGAAGAGGTTCACTGCAGTCGCGACCATCTCGTCGTCTGTCGTACCACCTGGGATAGAATCAGGCGCCTCATCATCACTGTCACCCTCCTCGAACTCCTCCTCTTCCTTTTGTACGATGCGCAGGTCTTCCATCCGTAGGCCGGATACTGGGTTTGAATCGCGTCGTTGATGCTGCGAAGGCGCAGCCGGCCTCGCAGACTCGAGCGCATGCTTGATGAACGAGAGGATGTGGTCAGGCTTGCTGAGGATGTTGGACGCAGAGTCCTCCGCAGCGAGCTGGTTCTGCATCTGCAGAATCAGCTGTAGATACAGGAGTGTCCTGGCACATAGCACAGTTTGTCATCAGCTATCCCATCTTTCAGGACTGCAGGCCTACGAACCGGAGCGGATCCGCGTCGGCCTCCGCCTTGACCTCCTTGTACGCCTCGAGCAGTCTAACGAACAGTTCAGACGAGATGTCCGACCGCTCAATCGACTTCAGGAAGCGCACGAAGCGCATGGGATCGGGACGTAAGTCGAGTAGGTTCGAATCGACATCGAGCTCGCCTTCCTCCTCTGCACGCTTGAGGTCTTCCGGGGTGAATAGAGACAGTGTTGGCTGTTTCTCGGACCTTTATAGAACAAGGTAAAACACTGCTGTGAGGGTATAGACGTGGGAGGCCAACTTTTTTAGTCTCGTGAGGTGGCCGGCGACGTCGACTTTCCAGTCACCACCTTCGCCCTGGACGACAAGCCAGAGCGCAGCGATACCTTCAGCAGCACCGACCACCCGGCCCCACGTGGAAAGCAACCCTCTTACTGATTCTCTCAAGGCGGGGTCCGATGTTTTGTTGGCCTCGAGATGCGACAGGATCGCATAGAGGGGTGGCACAATCGGCGTCAAGAGATTCGTGATGAACGTTGGAGACGGATCTGCATTGGTGAGGAGCGTTTGTATAGAAGACAAAGCGGAAGATGGGACGGGGTGTTCAGTAGCGCGGGATGAATCAGATGTATCTGTGTTTATTCCATCTGCAGCGTCTTCTCGGGGAAGAACTATGAACGGCCGGTGGAGGCTGGACAGTAAGATTTTAGAGACCAGACCGCCCTCATCCCTCTGCTCGTCTGCAAGCATCCTGGACAAGGAGAAGGCCACTGCGCGACGGTGGACAGGTGGTATTCTGTTGGCGTCAGCCGACAATAGAACGAGCAGCTTGGGAATGATCGTGGCGTAGTAGTCCTGTTCACCAAATGGTTTAGCATCCCGGATGGGCACAAAATGGATACACCGACCTCTGGCTTCATGCTCGCAGGCACCGTCGTGAGTAGACGGCCAACATGTTCAAGCTTCTCTAGCGGAGCATCCTCTCCGGACATGTCTTCCTCCCCAAACACAGCGGAGAGCAAGCCCGGAATGCCCTCTGGGCGAAGCAATTGACGACTCAAGAGGAAGCTGCATGACTTGCGCGCGTATGGCAGGCTGATAGATGAATCAGACAGAATGATGCCTAGAGCAGCAATAGTCTGAGAAACAGGCAATCTGATTCAGAGATTAGTTTATAGTATCAAAATGATGATTCTCAACGACCTACATAGCCAGGATCCGCATGACATATGGGCGGAATTCATCCACAGGACGGACAGACTCCGTCGCAAGATTCTTTGGAAGCCATCCCAGGACTAGACACGGTCGTAACAAGTCCGAAAGATGCCTGTTAGCGAGAGCAGAGGCGATGGCGGTCTGAGACGGTGCTGACTGCACGCCGGCAGGAAACAGCAGGCGAAGCAGTCGAGAGACGGCTGTAGTCAGGCTGGTGTAGTCCGCAGGGATGCTGGTGAGGTCGATAATCCTGGGAGCAGCATGGACACGGGTGTGTGGGTCTGCTTTGGCGGGTATTGCATTGGCGACACCAGAGAGGAATGGCTCGACGGCCCACTTGAAGACGATCGACAGAAGGGTGCGGATCTGCGCCAAATCTCGTGTTCCGACCACGCCTGCTGATGGGTTTATAGGGCTGGCCGGTGCGGAAGATGGTCCCGCGACAACCTCCGACTCCCAGGCAGTCTGCAGACGCTCCAGAATATTCAAACACTCGTTGCCGGTCTGCAGCTGCAGCTCTTCCGTCGAGCCATCCACATGAAGTTCTTCGGGGCCAAAGTAGGAGTGATAGCGAGTCAATCTGCGATGCAGAACCTCTCGAATATCTGTTACTGCACCCTCAGAAGCAGATGAGCCAGTGAGCAGGAGTGCGCCGCTGAAAAGCTTTTCCGCACTGATATCTTCCATGAGAGACGAAGTGAAGAAATGGCAGAGCTCAGAATGGACTGTGGCTTGGCCTTACTAACGCAACTCAACGTCGCATCGAGTTGAGTAGATGAGATAGTAGATGAGATAGTTATGTCTCATGAACTGCATTTTCAATGGCATCGCACTCCAGGATTCATGGCGTGAGAACTAGTTGACCCCATGCTGAGAGGAGAGAACGCGTGGATGTTGTGTACCAAGAGCGAATATTGCGTGTCTGCATCAGACAGAGGAATTTGCTGAACGCCTTATGCGTCTCGGCTATCATTTACGCACGAGCCCTTATTCCGGATCAAGCAAGTGGCATGAACCGCATACAAGATCGTATCGTCAATATAGTGCAGTACTTATACAAAACTCTGAAATCATGGCGCACAATGGCATGGCTCCGCACTGCCCTGCTGGGCTCAACCAATCAAGAATACACTGTAGTCATCGTCGAAAAGCTGTCTATCCACGGAACAACGAACCCCTTGGCTTCCTCAACGACTCGGCTATTCCCAGAAATGTCTCAGCGAGACGGACCTGGGTGGCAATTCAACGTGCATCCGCAAGGAAAATCTCGTACAAGCTACTCACGCTATCGAGAGCTTCTGCGAATGTTGACGTAGGAACCGGATGTTGGGCATTCGGCGGCGCTCGATTCTGGACGTCAACAGCAATATGAGCCATTCGCTGCAAGACCGCGCTACGGGGCCCAAAGGACACAGAGTGGAAAGAAAGCGGTTTTCTGTGTTTGTCGCATAAGTTGTGGCGTTGACGGGACAGGGTAGCGGTATGCTTACCCAAGCGCTATAGACCTAAGACACAAGTTCTGCATCACTTCGTCTGATATGCTACTTTCACCATCAGACAGGAATATCACAACGGGAGTCCTATTCGGTCGACGTCAGCATATAATCATCTCCAACTGTAACACCGTACCTCTCGTTGCTCCAATGCTGTTCCATTTGAGCTTGAGCACGTTGAATAGCGCTAGTAAAATTAGTACCCCCATCTGCCGAATGCCGGAGAACTGCAGCCAGCAGCTGATCAGGGCTACTTGCAAAGTCGTGTACCAAGCATTCTGACACCGCCTCATTGAACAGAAGCACAGTGTACGCGTCCCTTCTAATAGCACCCGCTTGACCAGCATTCACAGCCTGGCTCCGAGCGGCCCAAAACGCGTGTAGGGAGGAGTAGACGGCACCGAGGCGATTGTTGTGTCTGCGGGAGATGGTAGCAGTAGTGGGCGTGTTACCAAGCGGGCGGCGATCGCTGAGGTCCATTGATCCAGATCTAAACGACACGAGTTATACAACCATGGGCATCATCTAGACTCACGGACACTCATACCTGTCAATTGCGAATATTCTGCAAGCCAGACGATTAGATCCATATCTAATACTTGGATAGAGGGAGACCTACACGTGGAATGCTTGGTGCATGACAGCAGGGTTCGGGCAGTGGAATGCGTGTCCATCGTTAGAAATATATCCAAGACCATTGCGAGGGACAGGCTGGTCCAGAGTGTGCCGGGCGTGCAAGACAGGTAGCGTACAATATGAGGGCTGAGCGCCTGCGTTCACGTTCCTGTCGTGCTCGGGACCTGTGCCTCTGTAAATATCGAGTATTCGCACTACTCCAGAACACTACCTGGGCACATAGCATCGCTTTCGAATTCCAAATGAGATGAAAATCATTAACGGTGTGCTCTAGGAGCACTCACCAGAGAGCGAAGTTCGCCTTCTCCTCTTGCGAATACGGATCTAATCGACGGTCAAATTGAACCCTGCTTGGACAGGTAACTGAACACTACCTTTGAAGCCTGAAGAGAAAATGAGCATAGCGTCGTGAATGTCTGCCTGTCTCCATATACTTTACCTGTTCTCCTCCAGTAGAGGTCGTGACTGATCCAATCCTTCGTACGATCAGGGTTGGGATGCATTCGCTTGGTGATATGCTCGTGGTCCGGCCCTCCACAAACGTCGTTCGCATCTGTTCTGCAATAATCAACGTGAACGTGCCTTCCCATCGTTCCACAATACAGCGAGCAGAGCATGGGTGCCCCTTCATCGTTGGTGCCAAACTTCCGGCCATCCAGTTCTACTACTGTGCCATCAGGCCCATCGATCGTCCACTGTGTTCTCGACATGGAGCCATGGCTGGTTTCGTGTTCCTGTTGAGGATGGCCTGCATGATAGATGAGGACAAGCTGATGAGGACAAACTGATAGGTTCGTCACCTAAGCGTAAAGTGCAGAAGTATCCACAGTTTTCACATCTTGATCGCCATAGGTCAAGTTACGTACGGTCCGTCCAAGAGAGTAACTACAGTACCTTGCTTCGCAGAAATGAAAGGGGTCGGGATCTAGACTATGGCGATGAGGACCGATTTCGAGATGATCAATGCGACCAGGGCCTATGGGGATGACGCATCGCAGACGTTTGGATACTAGGCTGAATTCAATATTGGAATTTATGCCTCTCTCGTTGAAAACGGACCTTGCGTATACTAGACCGATGGGGCTAGTGAGAATGTGTGGCCGTCTGATGTACAAAAAGCTCAAACCTTGGTGTACTGGAATGTTTCATGTCTTCCAGTGAAAGTCGCCTCAATAGATTGAGGGGCTGTTTCAATTTGACAAATTCCATGTGCCGAACATAATGCCTCGCACGAGTGTTCTTGTCTGTCAGCAGGATACATGAGTACTTCGATATGCTTATTGCCCTTCAAAAGATACAGACCCGCAGAGATGCACAGCTCCAGGCATCAGCGCGTGCAGGTGGTTTGTACTTGCACACAACCTTTTGCAGAGCTGGCATTGTATCGGGCACTGCCGCGTATCGCATACATGGTCATCGTGGTTCTCGTGACTAGTACTTACGATGAGTATAGTCATATATAGACTAACAATCTGCGATACCTTGGGATTCGACAAGGTTCCGGGCAAGAGAACGTCTGCCCGTTCGGCATCTCAATGCCGTGCAAACTACAAGCCTATCCCGTCGATCAGCTAAACCTCACGTGCTGATCAGAAGATCATGTATTACCGCTCCACATTCATGCACAATGGCGGCACACATGTGCCCCTCGTCTTGGTGGTCGATAACCTACATAGCGTAAAGATAAAAATGTACGAACGCAAGAGGAGGCACTGCACATCACCTTCGTACACTCCTTGAGGCATCCGCGTTTTCCGTCGAGTACACACGGCTTCCCACAGAGATGTGCGGTAATATCACATCTGAAAGACCATTAGGTAGAGGATAACTTTGACCTATGATACATACACATGCTTTCCAGGGTGACCAGCCCTGAGAATTCAGTCAGTCGTGAAACACATTCCTGAGTTCTTGGCTGTACGCACGGTAGGCCACACGGTTCATCCCCATGATCCTCGAATTGACAACTGTGAGGGCATTTGTGCGATGTTTGACAATCATGCCGACCGTCGTGATGTCGTCTGTGGATACACGACAATTGGCAATCCGCACACTGCAGGGCGCAGATTTGCACGTTGGACTTCAGATCAATGATCATGTTCCTAGCTGCACGGTGAAGAGTTTGGATGTCGGCATGTTCGGCAGGATAGCGCGCTGTATTCATCGACAACCACTCCTCAACCGCTTCGATTCGCAACTGAACGACGTGGTCCACGAATTTCGTCAGCTCTCCAATCCATGGCTCTTCCTGTACCGTAGTACGCTCCGAAAACTGATCCCAGGATCGAACAACGGTAGCAAGGGCATTATCTCGTCCAGGTGCACCCTCTTCATGTGAGAGTTCTGATAAAAAGAAGCGAGCGGATGTGTCGGGCTTCGCTACGACAATGTTGGTGTCGAAATCCTAGCAAGCGAGCATCAGGGAAATATTCATCCAAGTGGAGCGCAGTTGTCACCTTCAGTGGTTCACGTTCAGGGACAATCTCTGTTGCGCCCAATGCAAGGGCTCTCGGAAGCAAGGCAAGTAGGAGTTGTGCGCGGTGTGCAGCCATGGTCTCTACAAGACAATGACAATTAATCATGAACGAAAGCGAACATCCTTTACGTACGAGATAAAGCTCCCCAATCATTCGCCTATGGCAAATGTGAGCTTCGACACAGCTCCCTCTCAGATAAGCTTTGAATGCACACCTTCAATTTAGCCATTAGAGTTTTCAGAGTTTGTAGGAAGACGCTTCCGCCAGAATGCGTTAATTCTTGCTTGTCGAGTTGGCGTTTCATGCTATTAAACAAGGTGTAGAATTGACGGGATTCGATTACCGGCCATGGGACAATGGCTAACTTCCCGCCGTGCAATTGACTGATGAAATTTGACCCTTGCTCTTGCTGCACGATCTGCTGGAATTTAAGCTTGAATCTTTAAAGCGGCTGCTCAGCGAGGCAATGATTTCCTGGTTCCAGCATACGTACTCTTTCACGATCTCGTTCGTGTCTGATTCAACCACGTCCTGACATTTGCGGAATTAATTAAACAAAAAGCAGAGGCAAGCACCCGTGTGAGACACATGCCTTGATGATGATCACGAGGGTTGAACGAAACAACGTAGGGTTCGCAGTGGGGTCAAGAACAGACGATGACGATTGGAAAGACTTGAAAAGACCAGTAATGTCTCTTGATAGTGCGAAGTTATTACGAAACAGGACCTGTGTCTTCCTCAGTACGAATCAATATAGACGCGGAAACCAAAACCGACCAAGTTAGAAATGGCGGTATTAAATAGCACAAGAAGTGTATCTTCCTGCGCTGATCGCTCGATACTGTGCACACCTACGTCCGAATTGTCAGTATTAGAAGATGGGGCTTACATATACGCACCCTCGAAATCGAGTGCAACTATGATCGAGTCATCCAGCGGAGCAACTGACATCCAGACACCTTCCGTTGTGCGCATTGCAGATCCAGCAAAGGACGTGTCCACAAGATGATTTAAAGCAAAACTCTTGCCGACCGATTGCTCGCCTGCAAATTGACTCAGTTCAAATCTGTTTCGTCGATATTTAGACATTCCTTACCCATCGAGGACACGACTTTCACCGGCTAGGGACGACATAAGATTAAAAGGTGGAGATGGCGGGCGATATGCATTACCTTGTGAGCCATGTATGACTGGAACAGACTCTCATACCAACCAAAAGATAAGCTGTTGATGATCCTTGGGACATCTGCACCGAGAAGCGAGCGTTCAAGATTGTTGGAGAATACGCCATCCTTGATAGGGATGAATCTGTTCTCTCTTGCTACAGCGATCTGAATGGGGATTAGGCACAAGATATCGGCAAGCCATTCGCCAGCACAAAAGCGTGACACGTTGCTGCCTGGATCCAGATGAGAGACAAAGGTTTCGTATTGGAAAGCAGCCACGCTGATGGCGCTGAGCTCGGTACCAGTGGGTTTGCGGGTCGACCTCTCGAAAGAAGAGATGGAGTCGGCGAAGTAAGGTGCATATGCGTCGTGATCATGGGGCGTGATGAATGTGATCGAACGTGGGCGGCGACGAGCGGACAAGGTGATCGTCTGTCGTCTAACAGCAGGGACGACTGGGAATCGCTTCCAAACGTCAGCATGACAGTCGACGAAGCAGTTGCGAGCGACCGTGTTGTCCTTCTTTACCCGCGAGCCCCCGCCGCTCTCTTCAAAGGCGAATTCAGTTGCCTTGCGCGTGATGTCCAGGGCCAGCGAGATGCAACACCCCCGATCCATGTCCAAGCCCACTAGATGAACATGTCCCCTTTTGCCTATGGAGGTGACCACTACACCCACGGCCTCCAGCCCCACCAAGTCGACGTCAAGGCCAGCCGAACTTCCAAATGTAGACCAGTGATACGCTCGGATCACGGGAGCATCGGCGAAAGTGTGCATGGTGAGAAGGCATGAGCCGTCAGGCGTACTGAAAATAGCTTCTGGATTGCAGTCTAATTGCTGTGACGCCGGCCTTGTGGAACATCAGTATTGCATCACATAACATGCGGCGGAAAATACCTGAATTGCTGGGTAACGAACGAAAACACTCGAACACGGGCGTTGTTATCCACAAGAACGAGCTCTTCGCTCCCGCAAACGAAAGCTGTGTGCGTAATGGTGGGAATTTCATCGTACCACCCCGTCAAATTAACAGAACTCCCCAAGCCTTGGAGTGTACTGTAGTTTTCGTCGAAGACAAACATGTTCAATTGTAGCCGACGTTCCACCTAGACAAGCTCGCATAATCAGAGATTATCGTGAATGATCAGCTCTGTACTTACGTGGGATGTACCCAGGACGGCCAACATACGCTTCGCTTCATCATATGCGAAGAGACAATTCTCTCCAATCTTCTCTCGGCTGAGCAGTTTCTTGCGTCCGGTCTCACGGCTTACTACAGTACCGATGAGAAACAAAGAATCCAAGTAGATCTTGATCGCGCCGCGACGATCATCCACAATGAGTAGACATTTATCATTCGCGAGCAGCTGGATGTGCCTACGGGTATTGCATGTCAGTTTACAGCTAGTGTGAAGGACTAAATACCCACGAGATGCGTTGATCAAGAGAAAGCTGGAATGATGATCCCGCATTAGGTGGCATTCGCGGACTGGGGATGAACGCAGGGTTCAACTGCAATTGTTGCCTATCCTCCTCGGTCAGTTGCATTGGGCGTATGGTGTAACGCAGCGCGGCATCAGAAGAGGTCTCCTGATACCCGGTTAAGGACCAGGTATCGCCCACTGTCCATGAGCCTAGCCATGTCAGCTTGATAAGCCATAAAGTTCGTGGATGATTCAACGTACTCTGCTTCTGTTCGACATTGTCAATCATGACGACTGTTCTGTAAAGCAAGATAGGTAACGGCTCAGAACCCCAGTCTATATAGACTTACTTCGAACCTGCCACTAGCGCTAGGGTGCCAGATGTGGCCTTCAGGAAATCAACGCGCGCGGCTTCGGCTTGACGATTGCATTGATTGACCACTTCTTGCTGAATCTGCGTTCTAATATTTTCGTCCTGAACAGTTTGAACGCGGTTGACGAGTGTATGGGTCCGGTTATTGATGCTTCGAGCGAGAATGTCATGGGCCATCTCCTTGGCTTGCTGTGCTGCATCAGTGAGGAGAGGCTCGCATTCGACTATACTATCAAGGTGAGACAAGAAAACCGAGTTGCTCGTGACTTCCGCGGCCCTTCTCATTTCCGCGAGGCGTTCCTTGGGTGAGTCTGATCCAATAACGTAGGACAACAGAGATGCCGCTTTAGAGACGATTCCCCCAGGTTGCGGCTTGCTAGACCCTTCGTAACTCTTCAGCAGTTCTGCTAAGTTCTTCGTGTGTCCTTCTTCAAGTACAGCGCCAACGAGCTCCTCACGCTTCTCGAGAGGTAATCTGTGTTCGCCTTCGCTTTGTAGTATGGAATCAAGGAGGACTAAGCGCTCTTTGAGCACCTTGAAGGCCCTTTGGTTCATATACCACTTTGAAGTCCCCGTGCCCTCAATCTCGGAAGCGATCACAGCATCGATGCGCGGGTGCATCATGGCCAAATCGGTCAGATACTCTGACGATGAATGGCCAATTAGAATACTTAAGGCCAAGCACGTATCTGCTCACCGTCGCTCTTTTGTTCCACGTCGACGTCTGCCTCCTCCTGTTTCCCAGACAGTACGGTTGGATCCAGAGACCTGGCAGAGGGGACATTAGCCCTTCTCCATAGCATAAACAGGGACGGGATGACTGACGGATATGCACGTACGACAGACTGAACACATCGGAGTCGGATGGCACGCTCCAATAGCTTGTTCCCCTGCTGGATTCGCGTGCGTGTCTCAGCTCCTTGTTCTTGACGGGTTTTGTCCGCCCATCGCTCGATTTCTTTCAATCGCGCCCGATACGCTTTTGCTGCTTCTGGAGCTCGCTTCTCCAGCCCATGCTTCAGTAGAATCTCGATGGCGCTCGACGATAAGTCTGCACTGAGTTGAAGAGAGGTCGATTCTCTGTCACGAGACTATGAGGGTGTCGACTCCGCGGAAATAGCTACTTTGGCACGTACATAGCGCCCCTTAGCCGCATGGAATTAAAATGTTCTGTAATGCGACGTCCACTTTTGGCTTCACGTACATACATTACCTCTAGGAGGCCTTATCGTTCCTCTCCAGGAATAACCTGCGGTTGCAAAGCAGCTGGATCCACCGGTATGTCGGGCGGATGATCCCGCCGCAACCAAGGCACTTCAATCTGAAGGATTCGTCAATGAAGCGGAGCTAAACAGCGCCGGGAAGTGGAATCCTTCTTACCGAGAAACCAAGCCGTGCGGCTACGTTTTCCTCCTGCTCATGCGACTTGGTGACCTCGAACGTGAACATACGATCCGTGTCATCATCGTCGGGATTTGTGATCACAACGTCGTGAATCTCCTCCTTCCAAATGATCTTTCGCGCATCGTCGTCGGATATGAGCGCGACCACTTGATCGGCAATCTTTGTGAGATACCTTGTAATAGAAGGTGAGCACGATCATTCCAGTTCAGAAGGACAGCCACCGACCGCATGAAGGTTATTCTGTTGCGCTTTACAGTCGAGATCGCATTGTAATCCCAGGTGGTGTCTTCCGGCCAGTATACCGCATAGAGGACTTCCGGGTCGTCGGGGTTCGCTTTCGGAGCTCGTATTATGTAGAGACCCGACCGGAGGACAGGGCGAGCAGCAGAGATAGACTGCGAGTTCTCGGTGCGGAGAGAGTGAGCACTGCTATATTTCAGTAACATGACGATTCAATGTATACTGGTGACCCACATTGTCTTGTCAATGGAACCCAGCGTTTCTAGAAAACGAACGATTTCGTTCTTGCTGCCGTAGATCCCGGTCGGCTTTACAGAGATAGTGTCGAGTGCATTGAAGTCGACTTTCGTCATGCTCGTGTATGAACCCGGGCGGAGGTCGTTCATCAGCCGGCCTAGGGAGTCTTGGGCGATGATGATCTTGTCGACTGTGCGTACAAAGAATCAGCAGAACAGAATCTCTATGAACGAATGCACCTACCAAGACCACCGCTGCCTTGCTCATTGATAAGATCAAGAACACGATACATTCCGCGGACAGCAGTGACGAGATCAGGCATTTGAGGCTCATGCGTCGCTGAGCTGAAAGTTGTGGCATGGCGACCCTCGGATGGGTCCTCAGACGACATATACGCCTCATGTCCGAGCATATTCGCCGGAAGAGTTTCGTTCGACATGGATCCTCGTATTCCGGCCCTACCTACAGTTGTGCTGGCTCCATCATTGTTGGTGTCAACGTCCATCGCAGCTCCATCGTCGTGCTTATGTCCAACATCAGACTGCAAGACATGTCCCGAAAAATGAAGGGGCGCCGCGTTTGGACGATATATACTCACATTCGAGTTTCTATCTCCTAACTGCTGCCCTAGATCCTGGTTCGATTGATCGGAATCCCTCAGGCGATCATAGTGCAGCGGGGGCGGATCACCAGAGTGACCTCCGATGACTTTCGTAACGAGTAGATGAAAGAAATCACGGTTAGTACATATTTCTCATGTACAGATCTGCCTATGTGAAATATACCATCATTACTTAGGTTGGTGATCTTCGCAGCGTCGCCGAACACAGGTGGTGGGACGAATGCTTCCGACATTTTGGCGGATATTTGGGTTAGAGAAAAGAGTAGCAAGGCTGATGCCACTGGTTGCTCGCTCAAGTTGGGGGAACAGCCTGCGGCCGAAGAACTTTACGACGTCTGGCGCAGGTTAATATACGCAGAGCGGGGCATGCCATGGGTAGCATTATGCTTGATTTAGGCAGGTTCTTTCGAAGGAATACTGCGTGCGTGCACGAGTTGATCATGCGGGCTTGCAGAACAGAAGGAACAAGATCCGTATGAGGGTGCTCGTCGAGAGATACGCTGTCGAAACGGGCTACCGCTGAGCACCTACGGGAGTGTTACATAGACAAGTTGGTCTTAGCGCCGACGCGATGCCTGCAGGAGATTGAGTTCATTTTGCGCGCCCCGCTTTGTTGGCTCCTGGTTACCATATATGCTACTTGTTTGGTCGGATATGAGCAACTTCCTCCGTCTGCGGGTCACACGCTGCCTTGTGGTATCCTCCTCTCAGGTAACACCTAGGGTTCCATATGTCGCCATCGTCTGATAGAACAATGGCCTACGTCTTCAGCACGTCCTTATCGTGCTGCGATCTCGTGGACCTTGTCGACGAACTTTCATTTATTAGTTTGGCTGGGGCCGGAAAAAGCTGAACCTTGCACGTCGAGCTTTATCGGTTTCGAACAGACCTCTGTTCACCATGACAATTACAGTGGTTCGTAAGATCGCGGAGCATGAGGCCAAGATAGTCTCCCGTAGGCAGCACATCGATAGTAGTACTCCCTTCAGACCTTCGGGCTCGCATCTGACAGCCAAGACGCTCGCACCCGTCTTCCTCGACCTCCTACAAGCCTCCTCGCTTGAGTATCCCCGTGGCCTCCTGAGCACTATGATGATGTCGTCTAAGGATGTCGCACCGGCGGACGTCGCGCGAAGAATCACATCAGCATCCTTGTACGAGTATGTCGTCTCGCATCCCGGCCGAAGTCAATACAGCCGCAGTGGCGGAGGAGTCTCCGCTTGTGGTTTGGCAACTCTGAATTGCGCTCGTGTCATTTTCGAGCTGGAACGCACTGGCATCAAGAACGCTGAATTCATCTGCGCGCTCGTGAGGCGCGAATTTATGGAGGTGCACGACAGTCCTTTATGTTCGGATTAAGTAGGATGCTGAAGAATTTGGGTAGGATGTATTACGGCCGTGTCTTTCATGGTCGAGCCCAGTGCACCTCGATGTTGACGAGATACATAAGGTGCCTATCTTCCGCAAGACGCTCAAGATGATAACGTCCGACTTCGCTCAATCCGGGCTAGAGCAGTTCAAGACAGTGCTCGGGTATGTCCCTCTATCTCCTCTTGGCCATTTCTCACTTCTGCTGCCTGTATCGTTCAGACGACTCCAAGATATGACCAGGAAAGGAGGGTCCATTACCTGCGCTATTGTTACTCGACCGCCCGAAATCATTGCCTGCTTCATGATACCGACGGATGGTAATGACTATTTTGTCATCTTCGACTCTCATCCTCGTCCCGATAAACACCCGCACGGCGCCGGATTCATTCTCAATAACTCTTTGTCGGCTACTGCATCGTACATCACTAATCTGCTCAAATACGACGATCGTCTCCTCTCGGACAGCACTCTGCAATGGCAGGCACAGCTACTAGCACACTTCTCCGCTCATATCTTCACATCCTCTCCTACCTCGGGTTCAGCTGCCGAGCTCACCGAGGCAACACTTCAAGCCAGTCTTGAAGTTTTGAGTCTGCGAGCACGGGTTCTGGACATGGAGAGTCAGAACGGATATCTCACCACGGATAATGAGCGCCTCTCTGGCGAAGTGTCGCGTCTCGAGGATGAGGTTGCCGAGCTCAAAGCGCAGGCTCGACGGGCAAGAGCGCCATCTCAGACGCAGCTATTTGTACAGGACAGGAGCTATCGCAACGCCTCTCGCGCCGTCGACGTCATCCGAGACTCTCAGTCTCAGAAGGGGAAGGGCAGGGAGGTATATGTTCCTTACGCCAGTACGAACGAGGTCGACAGCAAGCAATACATACCCCCCAGGCGGCAGATCGAAGGGAATTACGCCTCCAGCTCGCGTCATGCGGGATCAGCTTATCATGATCCGATGTACGACCGTGACTTTGCTCTGGCCGCGGCTCTACAGGCCGAGCAGATGCCCAGTCAAGACGGAGCGTATGCGGCGTCGATGCAGCGTGAGTTCGATGGTGAGGATGCACGACTTAAGGCTCAGATGACGACCCTCAAACACACGGCGCCGGGTATCTTTGAGTGCGGGGTCTGTCTCGAAGAATTCAATGTCGATGTCGTTGCGCGGATAGACATCTGCGGGCACCAGTTCTGCAGAACATGTATTCTAGGGCACACAGCGGCGAAGATCGACGAACGACGATACCCGATCGTTTGTCCTATTTGTATGGCTGACAAAGGGCTCAAAAAGCAAGGAGGTGCGTCCTGGTGGGTCATTCTGGTGGTTCGTTTACCTCCTCATGCATACTATCTTAGTCGTAGACGATGTAATCATACACCAACTCGGGCTTTCAGAGAGGCAGTACGAAGTCTTTGTGGAGATGCAGCTAGCCGCGTTCTCTGTTATACTTCATTGCCGCAAGTACGACATCTCACTGCCGTTAACGTTCGATTATAACGCATTTTGCTTGTAGATGTAAGAACACCGTTTTCGTGGACAAGAGCGAGCACGCTGCAGCGGAGATCCTCGTGTGTCCGTTGCAAGGCTGTACCTATGCATGGTGCAAGTCATGTTCGCAGAAAATTGAATTCGAAGGACCCAAACATTCATGTGATGGCTCTTCGGAGCTGAAGCACCTCATGCAACAGCGCGGCTGGAAGTATTGCCCAGGTATGCTCAAAGCACGCATGACTTCGTTGTTTCTTATCCGGTACGTAGGATGCAAGACCCCTGCAGAGAAGATTGACGGTTGTAACCACATGACGGTATGCTCAACCCTGCACTCTAACGCACTCTAACGAACATACATGTTGACCTGCGCTGTTACAGTGCATGGCTCCAGGCTGCAACACGTACGTACTCAGCTTTTCCTGGACCCCACGGTCTGCTTATGTTCCGTTGGTAGGCATTTCTGCTACGTCTGTGGAGAGGCCATTACCCAATCAGTCTCGCGGTTGGGGATCAAAGCTGCACTCTCTGCACACTATCTGCGGTGTACACTATTCGAGGATGTTGCATGAGAAGGTGGTGCATGATGGATGCGATAGGCCGTTTGTTATGGGACGGATATATGCAAAGGTGATTTCGGATGCACTCAGGTTGTCGCGAGTAACCTTTGAGACCTGGACAACTTCATTTGTAGCGAGCAATGAGACCGCCGACTCGGATTATGTAATTCGAATCTGCGTTCGAGTTTCCATATCTCATCGAGGTCGGTCACGGTACCCTATGTCGGATACGTTACATGCGGGGTGGAAGACTGCTAGTTTAGAGAAACAATACCTGCCCACTTCCAAAAGAGAGAGGCTGATGCGACTCCTTTTGCATCATGGGGCCCAGGTAGCATCCTCTTCGGTATATGCAATGTGCTCATGTTCAGCATGTCCACATATCCCGTCAAGAGCGATTCTACAGTAGTCAATTTGCGCATGTCGTCCCAAGGACCTACAAGCCTCGTCTGTCGTATCTCGCATACGCGTTTCGACAACCGAGGCTTCAAGCTTGTGGGGGATACAACATCATCTGAATGCAATACAGGTCTCGCTGGCCAAATGTGATTCTGGTTTTACGGTCTCGCAAAGACCGCATACAAGTACAAGCCTACGCTGTTATACTCATACAAAGCATCGCTGAGCTAGCTCCGCACGTCGCCGAAATACCACTATGAGAAACCAGTCTTTCCAAGGAACAACGAACCCCTTGGCTTCCTCAACGACTCCGCTATTCCCAGGAATGTCTCGGCCAGACGAACCTGTGTACAGTGAATCAATCCCAAGCAGAAGTTTGGTGGTGGACTAGTGCCTCTCACGTTATCGAGAGCCTCAGAATACGTCGATGGTGAGGCAGGATGTTGACGATCAGGAGGAGCACGCCCTTGAACATCGATGGCAACATTAGCCATTCTTTGCAAAACGGCACTACGAGGCCCAAATGCCACTGTATGGAACGATAGCGGTTTCCTGTGGTCCGCGATGAGAAGGCGGACCTTTCAGGCTACAAATACGACCTACCCTAGCGCAATGGACCTAAGGCAAATATTCTGCATCGTTACGTCCGCAATGCTACTTTCCCCGTCCGACAGGAAGATGACGACAGGAGACCTGGTTTATCGTTATCAGTGTGTAACCCTCAGTATCACAAGATGCAGCAAACCTCTCATTGCTCCAGTGCCGTTCCATCATGGACTGCGCTCTCCGAATGGCCACAGTGAAGTTGGTGTCTCCTCCTGCAGAGTAGGAAAGGACCGAATCCAACAATCGTTCAGGAGTGCTTGCGAAGTCATATTCCAGACATTCGGATACCGCCTCATTAAAGAGCAGCACGGTGTATGCATCCCGTCTAATCGCGTGTGGTTGCCCCATGTTCGCGGCATTGCCCCGGGCGGCCCAAAATGTGTATAATGACGAGTATACAGCACCCAATCTGTTGTTATGCCTGCCACGAATTGTAGCAGCAGCAGGTGTATCCGGCAAGGGACGCTGATCTCCCGAGCGCATTGAGCCCGATCTACAGACTGTTAATTTCTCAAGTTCGCGAGATGCAGCAAAAGGAACCCATACTTATCAATGACGAAAATCCTTCAGATCTGCGTGTGAGCAACGCGGCGAAAGATCATAGAGCATTCAGACTTACACATGAAATGACTCCTGCATCACGGCGGGATTCCGGCAGTTGAATGCATGTCCATCGTTGGATATGTACCCAACGTCATTGACAGGTTGGCCCATCGTATGCCGATGCAGAACCGGGAGGGTACATAGCGAGGGCCTTGCAGTAGTATTCGTCTGGATGTCATGCTCAGGTCCTGTGTCTGTGTCAAAATGGTTTTCGCGTCATTGTGAACTCCGCTATATACCTGAACACATCGCATCGCTTATGTAGCTGCCTGTCAATGGCGTATATGCTCAAAACACGTGGAGTTCTCACCAAAGAGCGAAGTCCGCTTGCTCCTCGTGAGAATAAGGATCTGGGAAAATTCGAGTAAACTACGGTCAATAGCCGTCATTTGCAGTGACCAATACCTTTAAACCCTTGTCGAATAGTCAGCAGCATAGCTATGTATCTGAATTGAATAGAATCACCTGTTCTCCTCCAGTAGAGGCTGTGGTTCACCCAGTCCTTTGACCGTTCGGGGTGAGGATTCATCTGTGTAGTGATATGTTCGTAATCCTGTCCTTCGCATTTGACACCTAATTCAGTTCTGCAGTAATCAACGTGGACATGTCTTCCCATTGATCTGCAGTAAATTGAGCATAGCATAGGGGCTCCCTCGTCGCCAGAGCCAAACTTCCTTCCGTCAAGTTCGACCGTCGTGCCGTCTGGTCCCGCGATAGCCCATTGCGTCGACGACATTGAACCATGATTAGTGTCATGCTCTTGCTGCGTGTGCCCTGCGTGCAACTTCAAAATGGCTAATTCACGTTCCGCCTAAATTCACCCACCTAGTCGTAACGTGCAGAAATAGCCACAGTTGTCGCATCTGTCATGATGGTCTGCGGTGTGAGAATACGTCCATATTCATGTGTGAATGTCCGTACTTGGCTTTACAAAAGTGGAAGGGGTCCGGGTCCAAACTATGAGAGTGAGGCCCGGTATCCAAATGGTCAATTCGGCCAGGAACGATCGGGATTACACATTGGAGGCGTTTAGACACTGGGCGACATGGTCAGGTATAAATGCGATGCTATCCACGAGATATCTACCTTGCGTATACTGGGCAGCATACCGAGTTAGTATTTCAAGTAACCAGGAAGCAGTCTTCCGTACCTTTGTATACTGGAACGTCTCATGTCGCCCAGTGAACGTCGCCTCGACAGACTGTGGCGTTGTTTCGATGTAGCATAAGCCTGGTGCTGCACATAGTGCGTCACAAGCATGTTCTTGACTAACAGCAAGTCTTTTTTAGAATAGATGTGGATTGACAGTTGAGAACTGCTCTCACCCACACAGATGCAGCGCCTCCCCTTGCAGGGCGTGTAGATGGTCCCCATCGGCACACAGCCGTTTGCATAGTTGACACTGGATCGGGCATTGTCGCGTATCACATATATGTCGGTCGTGAGGTTCGTGACTGATCTTATCGTGTCAGATATTGCTGCGCGGCTGCAACTACTTTACCTTGGGATTCTGCACAATTCCGGGCAAGAGAAATGCTGTCCACCGGTACCTGGTATCCTCACGTCGTTTAGGCTACAAGGCTACAGAAGATATCGTCAGATCCGGATCCTGGCGCGGAATAAAGTTCCTGAGCACCTCTCCGCATTCGTGCACGGAAGCAACGCATATGTGCTGCTCGTCTGAATGTCCAACAACCTAGGTATGAATATCAGCAAAGGCTAGACAGATATCGCGTTACGCGACCCAGGACCTTTGAGCACTCCTTCAGGCAGCCACGTTTACCTCTCAATTCACATGGCTTCCCACAAAGATGAGCCGTGATGTGGCAGCTGGAGGGCATTCATATTTAGACATTTCAAAAATGGTTTTCGGCACGTACATGTGGGTTCCAGGATGGCCGGCGCTAATAAACACATGAACACATCAGTCGCGAGTGCTGGAGATAAAATCGCAGTCTGCAAACTTACGGCAATCCACACGGCTCAACGTCGCGCTCCTCATATTCGCAATTGAGCAAGCATTTATGTGATGTTTGACAGCTATGCCCGCCCTCATGGTGCCGCCGTAGGATACATGATAGCTGACACTCCGCACACTGTAAAGTACAAACCTGTACGTTTGATTTGAGGTCGATGATCATACTTCTTGCCGCTCGTTGAAGGGACTGCATATCAGCATGATCTGCCGGGCAACGCTTGGTGTTCATCGAGATCCACTCTTGCACGGCTCCGATCCGCTTTTCAACAGTGCGATCCAAGAAGCTTGTCAGATCTTCGATCCATTCTTGCTCTGGAATTTCGGGCCGCTTGGCGAAATTGTGCCACGATCTGATCACTGTCGCCAGAGCATCATCGCGCTGAATCATGCCTTCTCTGTCGATCAACTCTGTCACGAAAAATCGAGAAGTAGTGTCAGGCTCAGTGATGAGGATATTTGTGTCAAGATCCTTAGATCCGATTGTGAGTCGATGATACTCCCATGCCAGCGACCAGAACGCTCACCTTTAGTGGTTCAAATTCAGGCGTGACTTCCGTTGCTCCGAAAGCTAATGCGTTTGGGAGCAGCGTGAGAAGGAGTTGCGCACGATGAGCAGTCATAGTCTCTGCATGCAATAGTCATAAACAGAGTGATCTATGTCGTTTATATGGACGCACGAGAGAGAGCACCCCAATCGTTCGACTAGGGCAATATTAGTGTACCCACATAGTGTAAATGTATACACAATACCTTCAGCTTCGCCATGAGAGTCTTCAGAGTCTGCAGGAAGACGCTCCCGTTAGGATGCGTCGGCTTCTGTTTCTCGAGAAGCCGCTTCATGCGACCAAACAAAGTATAGAATTGACGTGATTCAATGACTGGCCATGGGACTATCGCTAGGTTTCCATCATGTAGTTGACTGATGAAATTGGCGCCTTGCTCTTGCTCTACTATTTGTTCGAACTTAAGGCTGAACCTGCGAGTTTGTGCGAGTTTGGATTTCCTGAATCCAATCATTAATGAATGCACTGCAAAAGGACTCACTCCTTTACGACGTCTTTAGCGTCAGGTTCTACTACATCCTGTATGCACGAGATCGGATCAGATGGAGCACGAAGGAACACCGATCCATTCACCTTGATGATGATCACGAGAGTGGAACAAAATAAAGTGGGATTCGCGTCGGGGTCTAGAATCGACGAGGAGGATTGGAAAGATTTGAACAGGCCTGTAATATCCCTTGAGAGCGCAAAATTATTGCGAAAGAGGACCTGTGAATAATGAAAGTAGGCCATGCGAGTCTAGCGACTAATCATGTAATCACGGACCAAATTAGATATAGCGGTATTGAACAACACAAGGAGTGTATCCTCCTGCGCTGATCTCTCGATACTGTGTACACCTACTCGCAAAGTTGTTTGGCCCAAGGCTTCTAAATCGGATGAAGACATACCTTCAAAGTCAAGTGCTACGATGATCATATCATCTAGCGGAGCAACCGACATCCAGACACCTTCAGTTGTACGCATTGCCGAACCAGCGAAGGATGTATCCACAAGATGATTGAGTGCGAAACTTTTGCCAACGGATTGTTCACCTATACCCCTATTATGATGACTTCAACCGCATGATAAACTATAAGAAAACACACCCATCGAAGATACGACCTTGACTTGCTGTAGACAGATTCACTCTCAACAAAGATTTGGGATTGAAGGATAGTGGTCACCTTATGAGCCATGTAGGACCGGAACAATGATTCATACCAACCGATGGACAGGCTGTCAATGATTCTCGCGACATCAGCTCCGAGGAGCGAACGTTCGAGGTCATTTGAAAAGACGCCGTCTTTGATCGGGATGAACCTGTTTTCTCTCGCGACAGCTATCTGGATAGGTATCAGGCACAAAATATCCGCGAGCCATTCACCGGCACGGAAGCATGACACATCGCCTCCTAGGTCCGTTCGAGATGCGAATGCTTCATACCGGAGTGCTGTTGCTTCAATGCCGCTGAGTTCTGTGCCAGTTGGTTTTTGAGTTGCCTTCTCGAACGACGAGATACAATTCGCGAAGTAGGGTGCATAGGCTGCTTGGTCAAGACTCGTCACACAAACAAGTGTACGAGATTTGCGTCTCGATGATGAACTGATTGTCTGTCGCCGTATAGCAGAAATTACCGGGAATCTTCTCCAGACGTCGACGTGACAGTCCAAGAAGCAGTTGCGGGCGGCCTCCGTCTGCGTAGACTGAGCAACTCCTTCCTTCTCCCCCCGGAATGCGAACTCGGTAGCTTTGCGGGTGATGTCTAGCGCAAGTGAGGCGCAGCGTCCGGAGTCCGCGTCCAAGCTCACTACATGTACGTTCGTTCTTCTGCATAGAGACGTGACTACGCAATCATTTGTGTTCAGCTCGTTAAGCCCAACGGAAATACCACCTGACGATCCAAATGTTGACCAGTGGTATACTCGCATGACGGACGTGCCAGCGACAGTGTGCAGGGACAGTAGACAGGCACCATCCGGGGAGCTATAGATAGCATCCGGCACGCTGTCCAATTGCTGGAACGCTGGCCTGAAGACAAGATAGGTTCAGTCAACGAATGCTTTACAGGTTCTATCCCACCTAAATTGCTGAGTAACGATCGAGAATATTCTGACACGTGCACGGTCATCCACGAGAGCAAGCTCTTCGCTCCCGCAGACAAATGTGGCATGTGTGATAGTGACCGCGTTGTCGTACCATGGGTTAAGCTTCACTGCACTTCCCAGTCCTTTGAGAGTGGTGTAATTCTCGTCGAACACAAAAATATGAAGTTCCACTCGATGTTCAGCCTAGAGCGCATGCCTTTATACACGTTTCTAGCAACTGAATCTGAATACTCACTTGGGAAATACCCAGGACTGCAAGCATACGCTTGGCCTCATTGAAAGCGAATATGCACTGTTCGCCAATTTTCTCCCGACTGAGCAATTTCTTCTCCGCATTGTGGTGCTCCAAAGCGTGGGCCAGGCTAAGCAGGGGCTCTAAGTAGACCTTCACTGTGCTACGCCGATCGTCAACAATGAGTAAACATCTGTTGTTCGGCAGCGCCTGGATATGGCTAAAGTAGGGTGTTAGCTTGCTGTGGATATCATGTTTGTCCACCTACGATATATGTTTCTCGAGAGGAAGCTCAAAAGACGCCGCTGCATAGGAAGGCACTCTTGGAGTAGGTATGAAGGATGGATCAAGTTTCAAGCGGTTACCATCTTCTTCCGTCAGAAGAATGGGTCGTATGGTATACCGCAGCGCCGATTCGGAGTACTCCTCGCTACTTCCACTGACGGCCCAAGAATGAAAGCTTATATATCCTATGACATACAGCTCGTGAACAACATCTTGTAATCACATATCCAAACATACTTGATGCCTTCGTAACTGTGTTGATCAGATAAAACGTCCTGTAGACGAATTGGTGCCAATTTATTCCTTCCTATGCAAAGCAGACATACCTTCCTGTAGTCGACACGAAACTGTCATACACGGCCTGTACGAATTCAGTGCGTGCAAGCTCAATATCATGATCGCGTTGGCTGTTGACGTCATGCCATATCTGGGGTTTGAGAGCATCCTCCTGTAACTTCTGAATGCGAGCCATGAGTTTGTGCATCTGAGTATTAACGTTACGTTTCAGTGTCTCGTGCGCCAGTCTCTTCGTTTCCAACGCCGCGTCGAAGAGAAGAGGCTCCCTCTCTACGATCGAATCGAGACTCGACAGAAACACAGCATAGCTGACGTCAGCAGCATAATTCTCTGCCTGTGTGATGCGATCCTTAGCAACGTCTGTGCCAAAGAAAAAGGACAAGGTCTTCGCAAAAAAGCTTTGATTGGATCCATCGGAGCTCTTCACTACCTCCGCCATGGTTTTGGTGTCGCCTTGGTTGATGACAGCATTGATGAGCTCCGCCATTTCGTCCCGCGTCGCATGTGCATTGCCTAGATCTTGAAACATGAAGTCGAGAAGTAGGATACGCTCCTTGTACTTCTTCATCTGTGGTGTTCGGACTGATTGCCACTGGTGGTCTTTCTCAGCATCCGCCAACACATCCCGGATACCTGGATGCAACTTGGATAGATCATCGAGAGCGTCTACGCAAACAATGGTCAGCGGAAGTACGACTTGTTCTGCAGACAGGATGGTACCGTGGCCGTGCTGGGTACCAACGTCGGTTGAGTCGGAGGAGTCCTGAGTGCTCGGTTCAGCCAGACTCAGAGGGTCCACAGCACTACCAAAGGACACGTGAGCTTAGCATCTACTTACGACATACCCACTCACGGATATTTTCGTATTATGTGCTGGATACACATATCACGTAGAGCGCGTTGTAGCCGGTCAGCATTTTCCTTAAGTTTCGTCTGGATTTGCTTCTCCTGAGCGGTGCCTGATTCCTTCGCACGGCATTGGATTTCGTCCACCCGGGAACGGTAAGCCTTTGACGCTGCCGGGGCGCGCTCTACCAGTCCGAGCGATAACAGTATTTCAATAGACGCCACGGAAATGTCGTGGTCAAGTCTGAAAGACTTGTCTTTGCTATCACGTCATCGCCAGTTGCATGAATAATTATGTCACTCAGCCCATTGCTTTACTCACATTAGTGAACGTAGCCGCGACTCTGTGAAAACCTCGTCGAGGGCTTTGCTGATTCTACGCGCCGGCACGAATACTGCATGAAGTAGACCTTGCCGCTCTTCCCCATGAATGAGGCACGGCAGAGAGGCAAAATTGTCCGATATATTAGGCGGTGGGGACGACGGAAATGAAGGGACCTCAATCTACCACGCGGGGATTCCGTTGTTAGTACTACCCAACTTGGCAATGCGATGTGCTTCACCGTCCATCCAGGTCTTGATGTTACATTCTCTTCTTGCTCATGCAACTTCGTCACCTTGAATATGAACATGCGGTCGTCTTCATCTTCATCTTCGTCGAGATCATGGGGCGCAACGTCGTCATCATCTCCTTTCCAAATTATCTTCCCCGCGTCGTCGTCGGAAATAAGGGCCACCAATTGGTCGGCAATCTTTGTCAGATAGCTAGCGTTGATAAGTCAGCCGCTTGAGCATAATCAGGTTTTCGAACTGGGTAGTACCGCATGAAAGTAACTCTGTTGCGCTCTGCAGTGGAAGGAGGGTTATACTCCCAAGTTGTGTCTTCCGGCCAGTAGATCGCATATAGAACTTCCGCACCATCCTCGACACCTCCTTGAGGAACTCGTAGGATGTACAAGCCTGAGCGTAGGACGGGCCGCACAGCACTGAGAGACTGAGATGTCTCAGCACGAAGTGCATGAGCCCTGGAGTTGTTCAACATTTGTGATACATTGTTTATAATGTACGAGCCGCTCACGTTGCATTACCGACCGCGTCCACACTTTCGAGGAAGCGAATGATCTCGGTCTTACTACCGTAGATTCCGATCGGCTTGACTCCAATGTTGTCCAGCACAGCGAAATCGACTTTAGTGATCGAGATATACGACCCCGGTTGCAGGTCGTTCATGAATTTTCCGAGGGATTCTTGGGAAATGATGACCTTGTCCACTATTCGTCAAAGGATTCAGTGCAGAACATGCACTCAACCTCAGAACCCATACCAAGTCCTCCGCTGCCTTGCTCGTTGATCAGGTCGAGAATACGATACATGCCTCGAATAGAAGTCACTAGATCGGGCATGTTAGGTTCATGTGTCGGGAGGCGGTTCCCCGTAGCGGCCTGATTCTGGAACGCGTCCTCGAAGACATGTTGTTCAGGTGAAAGGGTATTCGCTGACCGCTCATCCTGCGCATTGCTGACGACATCTTCTGTCTTGTAGGCTCCTGTACCACTACCCGCCTCCGCTTCTGAGTCCGCGTCCGTCGTGGCGATTGCGTGGGTCCTATTCTCGTTAGACTATAACCCATCATGAGGAACCATTCGTGTCTCTTCAACGACGTCAGCACTTACGCTAGTATGCTGCTCAGTCGACTCTTTTGGGACCAGCTGATCTGGGTATTGGTCATGCGATATATGCACGGGGGATGGATCAACAACTTTGCCACAGGAAAGCGTCATGTTCGATAGTCAGTACTTGCTCAGAGGAGAGCTTCGCCAAAGAAAATATACCATCGTTGCTCAAAATCGTGATCTGAACGCCCTGCGAATCGGGAAACAACGGTGGAGGTAGAAATGATTCAGACATTCTGGATGAAAGCCACTGGTCTGGTCGGCACTGATTGCTCGCTCAAGTTGGGGAACAGCCTGCAACCGAGGCATCAGTATAATGTCTGGCCCAAACTATATACACGTCGGCAATGCGTCGATAGAAGCATGCTTAGCAGTGGGCCACGATCAGATAATCTCGAATGTGTACGGTGAGTTACACGAATTACCCAGGAGGATGGGATATGGATTCGAATTCGGAGACCGTCGACCTTCTGCTTGAGTTCCGCGGAACCAGAGCGCGTTTGGCGCTGGCGGGTTGCTTGCAGGTGATTGAGTTCATTGTGTACTGTGCCGTGTTATTGGGTCCTGCAGACCATTTATGGCTTGTTTGACTCGACATGAGCAGTGAAATACTTCCTTCGTCTCTAGCCTCGTGCTCTCGTTCTCACCATGGTCCTTCCAGCGAGATTCCATTACACCATCACGGCTCTGCTTGATTGATAGCAGACCGTGTAGAGCACACCGGGCATACTGTCGTTATCGTCCTTACGACATTCGAGACCCAGATTTTTGCAATTGCTTGTAGAAGTCCCAAAGGGCCTTCTACTCTGTCATGCCACTTGTACTCGTGACAATCATGCACGGAATTATCTTTCGCGCACCAGTGACAATCAGAGCGTATCTACTGATCTCTGTCGTTCAATGCTCAATTGTCTAGTCTTCTTGATATCTGTGCGCCGTCCCCTGAGGAGGCCAGTGCCGCAACCGTCGCGCAGAAGATCAATTCGGACTCCTCTCGCAGGTATGTAGTCTCACTCGCAGGTCGGAGCCAATACAGTCGTAGTGGTGGGGGTGGGGTGGGGGGTCTTTGCATATGGCTCGGCGGCTTTGAATTGCGCTCGGATCATTTTTGAGAATGTGAAGCTCATCCGTACGCTCTTGAGATATGAAATTCTTGAGGTCCGTAGGCATCCTGCACAAGGCTCGGGGTCAGACGGCGAGCAGGACGTGCTCAGACCGTGCCTATCACGCTCAAGTCTGGTACACCTCTATGAGGTTGAGGTATAAAAAGCGCCAATCTTCTAGGTGCCTCTCTAGATGGTTTTATCTGATCATGGGCAGTCGGGGTTCAACTACTTCAAGAAAGTATTTGTGTATGCTGGCTGATAATTTTGTCAAGGTACCTCCGTAACTGATGTTACTCAGACGGCTTGCCGGCATGGCCTCTTCAACAACTGTCTAACGCCTACCGGGTTGTAGCTTGCAGGACTCTTGAAGCATGATGAACGCCTGCTCCTGGATAGCGCGTTGCAATGACAAGCGCAGCTTTTGCCCATTTTTCTGTTCATATCTTGACTCACGCGCGTACGCTGGAGTCGTTTCCGCGCTCTCTGAAGCATCACTTCGAGCGAGTCTTGCAATACTGCGTCGACGAGCCCGGGCCGTGGGCCTGGAAGGTCAAAGGTCGAATCGGCTGCCTCATTTCCGAAAACCAGCGCCTTACTGGCAAAGTGGCGCGTCAGGAGCACGAGATGGCAGAGCTGAAACCGCGCTCCCAGGAATAGCTGGTCGCGAAGTATTGAGAGTGAAATATCACTGGTCTTTGCATGCCCAACGTGCCGATCCTGGAAGGGTAAAGACGAGGTGCCAGACCAGCATAACTCCCAACCACAAAGTAAGGGATATCATGCCTCTAGCTCATGTCACGCGGGGTCGACATCACACAATCCCGCGCGTACGACACGACTTTCATATAGTCATGGTACTGCAGATCCAGCTGTAACAGGTGTCTAGAAATTAAGGTGATGCATGTGTAGTATATTATACGATGCATGTGTAGTATATTATACGATGCAGCGCGGATTTAGCTTGATTAGGCGCTTGTGGAAGTGCTCACACATGTGCATGATAATTGCACATAATATCTAATGATACATACCTACTCATAAGGGCCGCCTGGCGAAATGGCATCGCGTCTGACTACGATGTCGTTGTGATCAGGAGATTGCAGGTTCGACCCCTGCGGTGGTCAATAACTTTTGCCAATCGCAGCTTCCGGATCACTCATTCTTCTCCCTTGCTCGTAAAGCAACCTCTATACTCCGTAACTGTTGCCTTGATGTTCCAGATTGTTTGGTGATATTTTCCGTCTCCAGAGATGAGGTCGCCGGTTTAATTCTTTAGGTGTGTTCTTTATTTGTCTTCACAAGTACTTAAGTCATCTCCACAGGTACCGTCCCGTTCATACTTTTCTATTAGAGACCGCAGATCTATGAGTGAGGGTGTCGCCACCGGCCTGACCGTGTCTCGAATACTGTAGTGCTCTAGTGTGTTCCAGTGGTTTACTCGACAACGGTGCACTCTCATCAGCTACGTTCAGGCACTTTCAATTTAACTTCTCTTGATCCGGCCCCCTCGTAAGTATGGTTCAATGGTTCAAAAGCAATGCTCGACGGCAGTGTAATAAGTACACACAATCATTGATACATTAGTTGTGCTACGTTGAGGCAGCACCTCCAACGGAGAGGTGGCCGACCCCGTCTACCACTTCTTCTGGAATGCCTTCGATGAGCTTTGTGATCTGAGGAACGGTCAGTCAGTGCTACTGTGAAAGAGAAGCTCGATCTACCTTGCCAATGGCAACAGTCTTGCCTGGGAAAGGCCGAGGCATTAGCGGCGACTGGATTGAGGTCAGAGCACTACTTACCTTCATCTCGCAAGGTAAATCTGCCCAGCTGCGGGTAGTCAACGAACCGTTCCACGCAGACAGGCTGTACCGTCTCGATGAGCGCCACGACCTTCTGGCCTACATGTGCATATGAGCTCGTGCATCTCAACGAGCTCCGGCCTAGCACACGCACCTCTCTTAGCGAACTGTGGGGGCTTTCGTGACTTTCGGCCGGTCGCCTTGTCGAAGTAGTGGAGAAGAGCCTGGTGGGGAACGGATCAGGCAGAGCCCCGGCGCAGTCGGAGGCGTACATACCGAAAGCGTGACTTCCTCAGCCAGCGTGTGGACGTGCATGACGCCGGTGTAGCCGGCGCAGATGATGTTCTTGTGGTCCAGGATGGCGAGCTGCGCCTCGAATTGGCGCACGGCATGCACGGGCTTCGACAGGGTCGTGAGCACGAAGCCGGGGCTGATGTCGTCGTCCTCGACGCCGCGCAGCCGGATCCGCACGTTGTCGCCACAGATCGCGGTCTGCACCTCCTCCTCCATCTCGTTGTAGATCGCGGTGACATCAACGATGTCCTTGTTCGGCATGAGCAGGAGCGAGTCGCCCTTGCGGATGTGCCCAGACTCGATCTTCCCGACGGCGACCGTGCCCATGTCCTTGTATTTCTCGGAGACCGGCATCATCAGGGGCGCCTTGACCTTGCGGTCGACCAGAGGCATTGTGTCGAGGTGCTCCAGGAGGGATGGCCCTCTGGGGATAGAAAGGGAAGGGTCAGCAGAGGGTCCATGGGCGCACGGAGGGATGTTGACTCACTCGTACCACGTACACACATTTCGGGGGATGCGGTCCTTCAAATTGATGCCAGTGTATGCGGAGACGGGGATGAAGCTAACGTCCGTTTTAATGTGGAACCCGGCCGCACGGATGAATGGTGTCAGCTTGTCTCTGATCTCGTCGAAACGTTCCTTGGACCACAGGACCGTCGACTCGTCCATCTTGTTGATCACGACTACGAGTTTCGATACACCCGCAGTTTTGACCAACATGATGTGCTCGCGTGTTTGTCCGCCCTTTTCGAATCCGGTCTCGAATTCACCCTTACGAGCGGAGATCACAAGCACTGCGACGTCTGCCTGCGCTGCGCCGGAGATCATAGAGGGCACATAGGTCTTGTGTCCTGGAGCATCAAGGATCGTATACCGTTTTGAACCCGTCTCGAAGTAAGCACGACCGATCTCGACCGTCTTACCCTTCGCGCGCTCCTGAGGAGTCGAGTCGAGGGCCCAGCTGAGATACCAAGAGTCACGGCCGGCTTCCTTGGCTTCTCGTTCATACTTTTCCATCGTCCGCTTGTCCACCATGCCGGTGATGAAGAGCAGATTTCCGCCCATGGTGCTTTTGCCCGCATCGACATGACCGATGAAGACGATGTTCAAATGCTCCTTGACTGATCGGCATGATGAACGGCACATGAGCAAACATCGCAGGATTAGCGGTGCACAACAGACGCACTGTCACCGAAGAGGTCCTCTAGCGTGGTTTCATCGGCGACCGCTCGCACTTCCTGTACGATTGCGGCGGTGTCGGTCTTCGCTTTTTCGAGAGTAAATGTTTTGGATGATGCCACGGGAGCTGGAGAGTCGGTTCGCGACGAGGGCTTGGGGGAAGGTGCAGCAACAGAGGCGGGGACGGGCTTAACAGATGCCGCTGAAGCGGGCTTAGTGGGGGCGGGCTTGTCTGATTGAGCGGGGGCGGCATGCGTAGGTGGGGCAGGCTTGGAACCACCAATGTTGAGGGTGATCGTGGGGGGCGGGGCAGGTGCCTCTGTCGGGGTGGGCCGCTCTACAGGAGGAGGAGGAGGAGGAGGCTGAGCGGGATCAGCACCAGGGACACGGAAGGACTGTCCAGGGACGAAACTGAAAGCATTGGCATTGAGTCTACTCATGGCTACAGCAACAAGGGATCACAGATGAGAGACAGATGCGTAGAGAGGTCGTCAAGAGTGATACAGCGAGGGAAGGACAGGCAGAGAAAGCAGATAGGATCTATGAGGGGCAGAGCCGAGTCGCCTGCCCAATCTCATCTCAAGTTTTCACCCGGTCAGTTGCCTTACATGGCAGTCGCACTGCAAGCGCACGAGTCCGACACTGCGCTGCCGGCTCCGTATTCCTGCTGTGCAACTCCACGGTGACTCTGCATAGCAGCACCGCGGCTCTCTGAGAGCCTTTATGTGTTATTGATGTACGGTAGACGTTTGAACTGCAATCCACAAAGCGCGGGGTCCTGGCACGATCGGCTAAGATCGAGGAGTTGTTGAAGCAGTCGGATTATGGTGTAGTTATTGTGGGGTGAAAACAAAGTGCTGTTATGTATGTTAGTTCACTTGGAGGTTAACCCGTATTGTCGCATTAGGATGTGTGAGAGCATTGTGGCACGAGCGTAGGACGTCATAGAGAGCAGAGTCGGGAAGCTATACACGGCCAAACAGCGGGGGGATCTGGACGCGACCCCGGCGACCGATGCGATCTCCCTGCATGCTCCCTCCTTCCAGCCAGCTCACCTCCTCCCAGAATGGCAGAACCAGAGACCTATCTTGCAGTCTTAAAGGCTGCCTACGACTATGACCCTCAACCAGATGCAGAGGAAGAGCTAGCTATCAAGGAGGGCCAGGCTCTACTTCTACTTGACCGCATAGACGAAGAGTGAGTCGCACGGCCCGCCATGTCTGCAATCCCTAGCTCAACTTCTCGCTTGACAGTTGGTGGAAGGTCAAGGTCAAGCCAGACTCTCAAGATGAGGAAGGGCCGTCGGGACTGGTGCCCGCAGCCTATGTCGAAGAAGTGAGTAGACTGCGGACATCCTAGACGATGTTAACGCTCAAGTGTGATGCACGCAGGCCACACACATCTCCGTTGTCAAAGTGCTATACGACTATGAAGCCACTCAGTCGACTGAGCTCACTGTATCAGAGGAAGACCTCCTTTATGTCTACGACAAAGACGACGCATGGATGCTTGTACGGAAAGAGTCGGACGACTCCAGGGTCGGCTATGTGCCTGGGAACTACGTCGAAGAGGTCCGTCGCGCATTGTGTTCACTACCGCAGCGGCTTCACACTTCCATAGGTCACTAGAGAGGAACCTTCCGACGCCGCACCTCCGGCGCCTGCGATATCACAGATCGTCGTGCCGCCATCGGTGTGTATACTACGACGCTTCTAAGTCGCAGCTAACCACCTCCTCATATAGCCACAACGTCCTGTGAGCACATACGTTGACCCTGCAGAACGTGTCGCAGCAGCATCTGCGAAAGCTCAGGCGGATGACATCAAGACCTGGACAATTTCCGAAGTGGACAAGAAGGGCAAGAAGAAGAAGGGGACCCTCGGTGTAGGGAACGGTGCAGTATTCTTTGCCAGCGAGGCTGACAAGGTGTGTAGTATTCTACTGCCTGACACGACTATCGTCGTTCATGCTCGTCGCATCAGACGCCAGTCCAGAAGTGGCAGACTGCGGACATTCAGAATGTTCACATCGAAAAGTCTAAACATGTACACATCGAGATCGGAGGATCCGATGCAACAAACCTTCACTTCCACGCTGGCGCCAAGGACGTCGCCGAGGCCATCGTCGCAAAGCTTGAATCCTCACGCGCGCTCGCTGCTCCCTCGGCTCCCTCCACCCTTTCACCATCAGTCGAGGAGGTCCACGAGCCCCGACGCGCCAGTCCCCAGAAGGCCGTGCACTTCGACGCGTCGGAGCCCGAGATTATCCCGCCGCGCGAACCCTCGGACGATGGGGCTGAGGAGCAGCCAGAAGGCGAGGCTGCCGTAGCGCTATATGATTTCGCCGCAGATGGCGAGGACGAGCTGTCGGTGGCGGAGGGCGAGACGCTTTATGTCCTGGAACGCGATAGCGATGAATGGTGGAAGTGCCGGAATTCCTCCGGCGGGGAGGGCGTTGTGCCTGCGAGTTATATTGAGGTATTTACTTGACTTGCGCCCAGCATTTACCAGCGTTTACTGACGGCATATGTCTGCTAGCTCGTGAATGCTGCCGCATCCACCTCTGCGGCAACTGGAGACGAGGACAGCGCCGCCTCCGCCGCTGCCGAGGCTGCACGGGAAGCGGAGGAGCGCGCAGAAGCGCGGCGCCAGGAGCGTGCGCGTGAGGAGCGGGAACGCGCAGAGCGAGAGCGCAAGAAAGCCGAGGCTGAGAAACGCGCGAAGGCCGCCGCAACTGCAGCGGAGGCAGACAGGAAGCGTCGTGAGCAGGGGCGGGCGAGGAAGGAAGAGGAGACGCGCGCTGCAGCTGCGGCCTCCGAATCGCGCAAGGAGCGGCGCGACTCTGTTGATCGGCCAGAGTCGTCGCGGAGCAAGAAGGCGAACGGAGACTCGTCGAGCTCGAGCCGCGGATCGATAGACAAGCGGGGTCCGCCTACCGGGGACACACGAGTGTGGCACGACAAGTCAGGACAGTTTCGCGTTGAGGCGGCTTTCCTTGGTCTCATCGATGGAAAGCTGCGCTTGCACAAGGTCAACGGCGTCATCATTGAGGTCCCGCGGGAGAAAATGTCTCCTGAGGACCTCAAGTACGTCGAGAAGCTCACCAAGGACGCGCAGCCTCGTAAGTCGGAGGATGACGACCAGCCTCTCGAACTGCGCCGGCGGTCACTGCAACCAGAAGCCATGCGTGCTGCTAAGTCGAAGAAGAAATCGACCATCGACTGGTTTGAGTTCTTCCTCGGCGCTGGGTGCGATGTCGACGACTGCACTCGCTACGCGTCTGCCTTCGAACGCGACAAGATTGACGAGTCGATTCTGCCCGACATCACTGAGTCGACGATGCGATCCTTAGGGCTGCGCGAGGGCGATATCATCCGCGTCAAGAAGGCAATCGAGCAGAGGCAGCCAAAGAAGGCCCCTGTCGATGCGGACCAGATTCGTCGCGACGAAGAGCTCGCCAGGCAACTGCAAGCCGAGGAGACGGGCTCTTCCGGTGGCAAGCCCAGAAGCCAGCCTCCGAACCTCTTCGCTGGGCCTAATGGTGCTCTCAAGAACAACTCCATGCGCCGGGGTCGCCCGCAGTCGAACAAGGGCGGGCCGCCGTCAAGCGTCGATCTCCAGTCGATCACGTCGGCATCCGATCAGATGCAACGTACGGGCTCTCCATCCGCGGCTAGTCCAGACAGTACTGCACCCTCGTCCGCGGCGCCAATACAGCCGCCGTCGCGCTCGAGCTCTGCCGCGCCGGTAGCCAGTGGCTTCGATGACAATGCCTGGACAAATAGACCAAGCTCGACGAAGCCAACTGCGGCTCCTACCCCGCCTGCACTCGCAGCGCGCGCACCCTCAGCTCCTCCTGCTCCTCCTGCTCCTCCTGCCCCACCAGCCCCCCCTGCACCTGCACCTCTTGCGCCAACACCGCCGGTGGCACCAGCGCAACCTGCGACGCCTACATTCGTCACCACCAGTCCCGCGCCGGCCTCGCAGCAGTCTACGGGTGCGACCCTTGCGAAGAACGATAATGACATCTTCGAGCAGCTCGCCCGCCTGTCTCAGATACGGACCCAGAGCCCTGCGGTGCAATTGCCTCAACGCGCACCATCTGTTCCCATATCAACACCCGTGAGCTATCAGGCAGGCCTGGGTATGGGCCCCTCCCCTGTACCTATGGGCCAACATCTGCAGAATCAACAGACCGGTCTCTTGCCGCCACCTCAACAGCCGCAGTTCACGAATGGCCCCCGCGGCCCCCTCGCACCTGTTCCTGTCAACCAGACTCTTCTACAACCCCTGATACCCACGACGACTGGTTTCAACAGTTTCGTTCCCACCCGACCGCAGAGCGTGCAGTCTCCCTTCCAAACGCCGCCACAGCAGCCTTCGTTCCTTTCCACTCAGCCAACTGGCTATCCCGGAGCCAACCAGGCTATGATGCCACAGATGACAGGCTTCCTTAACTCGAACCCGGTATTGTCACAGCCTACAGGTTTCCCTGGTGGTAACTTCCCGACGTCTGGACCTCTGCTGTCTCAGCCGACAGGTATACCGAATAATTACGGGGGCCCGGTCAACGGAGGTTTCGGGTCGGTTCCCTCTTTCCAGAACAACACCGGCTTTGGCGGAATTCAAAGCAGTAAGTTATCTGACCTCCAGGGGGTGAACATGATGCTCAGTAGTCAACAGACCCTACAGGATATAACCCTGGCTTCGGACAGTCGCCATTTGGCAATGGTGTAGCCTCGCCTCCACCCGTGCCACAACAGCAATCCTCACTTGCGAATACCACCCCTGCTAACATTTTTGCCCAAATGAAGAGCGGGACATTTGCGAACGACAACTCAACGGGACCACAGGGTGCAGGTATGCGGGTCCAATGTTCATTGCGGTCTTCAGCTGAATCATTTGCACAGATAAATACGACGCACTGCGCCCTAACCGTAAGCTGACTGCTCGTTCTAGAAACAATCATTGACTGGATGTCTTGTAGCGTCACCTCTGACTGCCCAACCAACAGGCTGGGGATATCAAGGCGTGAACGGTGGATATGCGGGCGGTTACGGCTTTCAACATTGATTCGACATAAATCTTGTATCACTGCACCCATTACTATGCTAGGATAGATACGATGCGATAATATACCGAGGACTGACGATTATACAAACGTGCACAATAATAAGTAATAGATGCTACATGCGAAAGTGAAAATGTAGGTTATGACCGATCCATGATTCCCTGTATGTATCCGACTCGCATGAAATAATCCCGCAGTCCTTCTCGAATCTCAGGAGACATATCCCGAGAGAGCAAGTCAGTTGCTAACGGATAAATGGCAGGCAGATACCTCGCGAACTGCGAACATGAGGGATCAGACAAGACTTGCAAGTTAGTGTTACACAACACTTACCGCCTTGTCATCGAAGCGAACAAAGCCCTGCAAAATCTCCGCAACGACTGGTGTCCAAGCTGCGATGTTTTTGAGCTGCGTATCTATACGCAACTTGTTGAAATCTCCCAAAACACCAAGGCCAAGGCTATTGTCCAATTTGAGCACGCGTTCAGAAGACGACAAGGCGAGCAACTTACGGCAGAAGTCGCTCGGCAACTTGGGGCCTGGCTGCTTGGTGCTCGGGCCGTAAATCATAGTACATACGTAGTAGAACATGGACTAATGTGGAAGCACTGCTCGACTCCTGCTTTAGCAAGTTCGGCAAGTGCTTCATAAATCCTATAAAATGGTCCAATTTATAGCTAGTGGGTATTGCAGAAGTGGAGCGTGCTTACCAACTTTCCACAGCCCTGTACGCAATTCCTTGTCCTCATTAAACATTCTGGCGAACTGGTAGCTGTGATCCAGGACGCCCATCAAGCGCAGTAGATGTTCGGGAGGTATCGTGTTATACACCTCATCGTTGCGCAGGAGGTCGTTGGTGGTCTCAATCAACAACAGTTGAAGGACACACTTCACAATGATTTGCCGGAATATTCGCCTGCGATCATTGACAGATACCTTGGCGTTCTTTTGCTGCTCGTTTGGAGACAATGGTGCGGGAACGATGGCTTGGCCGTTAGTCTCTGCATCGCAATGTGAGCGCTATCTCCAAACAGCAACGAGAGCGAGAGTACCTGGTGAGTCGGGCAGATCTGATACGTTGCCATCGATCTCCACTCGAAGACTTTCGTCGAAAAGTTGATGCGGCGTTGTTGTCCGGAACAGCTTGACGAATGTTGTCGCGACTCTTTCCCAACGGGCCGGGCTCAGCTTCTTCACGTTGCTCTCTAACAGCTGCTGTAAACAGCTTGTCCCAATCCGTGCCAGAGTGTCGTTTTCTACAGGAACCATGATGAATCAGATCGCGACCTGTTATACACCAATATAACTCACCCTGGCAGATGCAGACGCAAAGAAGATCCAACAGTCCATCAAGGAAGCGTTCCAGTGTCTCGAAGTAGAATGTGTAGAGGTCGATGAGATTGCGGAGTGCCTGGATCATCGTCGTCGAGAGCCACACACTCATATCCTCTTGGGTACTGAATCGGGACAAGTCTTGGCTTGATTTTAGCACAGCAAAGATGGGGAACAACAGCTCCTGGCAGACAGTATCCCAGAAATCCACTGGGAAAGTCTTGCCATATGACTTGAGTGTCGTGAATAGGGAGTCAAGGGCCCTGTAACTCGGTGTCAGTCTCGACTAACATCTCCGGCAAATCAACTCACAAACGGCGCACTTCGAGGTCCTCCCCATTCATAATAACATCATAGAAACCGAATAGCACAGGGAACCAGAATTTGATCATAGGATCGTCTATGCTGCGATTCGAGTCATCTGCAGATGCATTGAACCCACAATCGGGCGAGTTCAACATGATCGGAATGATGCCTCGCAACATGGCTATGGCCAGGAGACTGATCTTTTGGTATTTGTTGACTTTGCAGAAGTCCGTGATGCAGACAGTCAGATCAGCGAACGCGCCGTGTCGTACAATTGCGGTGAAGTGCTCCTTGTTGAGACGTGTAACCAGCTCGAACGCAGAGCTGACAATGCGTTCTATAGGCCATTAGCTCACGTTACAACTTTACTACACAACACACACCTGTTGGCACTTTGGAGGCAGCCGAAAAGACACCAAACATTGTCCGCCAGCCTGAACGCATGTTACCCACTCGGGCTTGGATCATCTGCTGTAAGCATTGCAAGACCTGGAACGTGTTAGTAGATCCGGGGCCAAAACAACAGCGGAAGGGATACCATATCACGAATGTCCGGATTTGAGTTGTGGATCATCGTGTACTCGAATGGTCTCAGGAAATCCTTCTGGAACTTGAAATGCGGCAGTTCTTCCTTCTCCAGGAACCGCATGGCGAGTTGACGTAGGGCATCCAAGGCGAAGAATCCGACGTGTGGGTTGTTGTGGCAACATACCTTGAAAACAGAATCAACGAACCGTACACCGGACCATGAGTTCCGCCCTTACCTGGTTGAAGTGCTCGCCAAGGATCTCCCAAATGTTCGACCATTCCAGACGAATCCGGTTCATGTTATAGTATGCAATCTCGACCAATTTCTGCAGACTGAAAAGACGAGGATGCTGTGATAGGCCAGACGACTGGATCTCTTCCCAAGAAACGTCACACAATGCTCGAACGAATTCCACGATAGCAGTCTGCGACTCCGGTCAGCCTTGAACTGCAGATGTTGAAGGAATACATACTCCGGACAAGTAATGACTGAGGGAAAACACCATGTCTGCGGCGACTGTAATGTGAGTCGACCGACTCTCATTTGCCAATTCCTCAGTAGGTGGTTTGCGAACACGGCTGCAACCCGTCAGACACTATACAACGTCAGTGATATGCAAATGAGACATACCTCTTACGGCCCGCATCCGGTATTTCAACGCCACTACTGATCAGCTGCATGTGCTCAAGTTGACTGACACATGTGAGAACCTCGCGCCAGGATCCCTTTAGATTGTTGCCCTCTGTGACGGCGACATCTAAGAGTGTCTTGATTGCGTCCATGTTCTTCGTCTTCATTTCACCCAAGTTGTTCAAGAAAGTGAACTTCGCTAGCGTTGTTACAAAGGCATTGCGCTCCAGTTCCATGTCGAAGAAACAGACGATACGAATGGCGTTTTTGAAGCCATCAAGGCAAATCTCGACAATATCCAGGTCGTCGGTATCCTGCAGCGGACCTGACAGACCAGCTAGGAAGGGGATCCAAGCGACTTCAAACATCGGTCTCACGTGTACGAAGTGTGATGCGCTAAAGAAGTGTTCGCTAGATCTTGACCCCTTGCGCTGAGAGCGCATAAGTGTCTTGAAGAGGGCCTACAATACAAAACGCAACACGTCAGCATTGACTCTGAAGAAATACAACAAGCACTGACCTCAGTTTTGTTCGTCATGTTGTTGGACTGCATCACGTAGGCTTCCTTTTGAAGGTCCCTGCCGACGTTGGCCAAGGCGCCGACAAGTCCGGGACCTGGAGTGACAACCGGCGTAGCTGATTCTACCTCATCCTTCATGCGAATTTCGTTTGTCACAATACTTTGGTAGATGGATGTCAGGAAGTCCTCCGGAAGGTTAGTGCCGTCGTTGATCCCACGGTTATTCTTGATGAAGTCCTGTAGACTCATCCTACGCTTGACCTGCGGATTATGAGCATCCGTGTTCAATAGGATCGTCGAGTAGGCCAATATATATGCAGCATCTAAGGTTGGACTTTGAGCGAAATACATCTCTTGTCCCGAAAAAAACACGTACCGGCATTAGCAAACGGCGTCTGTGGATTGCCAGCGATATACCGTTCAGCGAACTTCAGCATGAAGCGGTCGATCTTCTGCGCTTCTCCGGGAAGGCGGAAGCCTTGCAGGAATGTCCTCAGGGCATCGACGAACGGGAGGTTCCTGAAGTCCATCTGGTCCACAAACGCATGCATGATTACGATATTCTCCTCGTCGCTAACAATTGTCAATGAGCTACTGCACGTGGAACGCGTTGTGAACAACACACCCTTCGCCGAGGTATTCTCCAATCATCGCCTTGTTGAGGCCATCGGTTTCGTGTAGGAACCTGGCAATATCTTGGGACGAGTTACTCGGAATGAAGCCAGTCTCGATGAAGAATTGAATGCCCTGCAGAAAGATGAGCACTGAGTATTGGCTATGCGATGTAAATGAATACATGCCCGCTTGGGCTTGGTGTTGAAACGCTTGACTCCTTCCAGAAGAGTATTCTTCTTCTGCTTGGCACTCTCGAACTTGCTCGGATCGTCTGTACCATCTGGCGTTGGCTGTCTAGTCGGATCAGCACTCAAGGGAGCAGACATCTTGTCACTGGCTACATCAGGCGTAACGCTATCCTTCCGAATGTCTTCCCCAACATTTGACCGGGCAGTGTCTGGTGGGTTGTCGGTTGAACTGTTCGTTCCCCATGCGACTAGGGACTTGAGGACAGCCACGAGACATTCCAATCCCTGGCGCCGTAGCTGCTGTTCGGACAGGACAGGCTGGGAAGCATCTGACGACCCTGGACCTGTTAATGCTGTAGTGCTCAGCGACGGTGGAACCGAACCACGCTGATGGATCTTCGTCGTGGGAGGCAGCCCAGGGCTCGTTGGGTCGTTTGCCCTTTGCTGTGCTTGCGAGATCGGGGTAGTACCAATTTTTGAGATGATGTTCATGAGGCTGGATATGTGATGCAGTGAGCAACCCGGGCATTAGCGACTGCGAACTTCATGACGTACTGCTCATAAATATTGTCGACTGCCTCACTATCACAGTCGTAGTTGAGGTAAATTTCGACGAGCACCTGAGGATCTTGGCACAGACGCTGCAACATCCCGAGGATAATGGCTTTCTGCTTCAAAGTAGATGTCTTCATCTCCAAGATCGGAATGAAAATCTCGTGCATCAACACCTCGACTTCTTTCTAAACTTGGTCTCAGAATGCTGTACAGGCCAGAGATATGTGTATACGTGAGTCACTGACCTTCAGCTTGGTCCGAAGTCCAGATATAACCCTCCAGAAGACCTCCACGCTGATCTCGAAGACTTGTAGGACGGGGCTGACAGCGTTTCGGCTCAGGCAGAGACACAGATACTGATTGACAGCCTGCACGAAGGATGTTGCCTCATGCGTGGAACTCGAGTAGATGACGGCAGAAGGCGACACGAACAGGGCCATGTGCGAGTTGAGTATTGTCAGGACAAGATGCAATGACAGGAGCTTCGACCTCATGCCATGCGACTTGAGATCTCGCTCACTATAACAATTGCTAAACACTGGTTATCATGGGCTTACTCGAGGGACGTACCTCTCCGAATTGAGGGGCTTCATTGTCAGTTTGCATAGCGCCCTAAAGACGAGGAACGCGTCCTTTATGAAGAGATCATTAGCTGATAACTGCCGACCTGATGCATCGTGATCCTCATCGTGCGCTGCCTCGCTCGCGCCGTATTCAGAGGGCTCTCTATGGGGACTATGTAAAATAAAAGCGGAGCACAGTGCGGCAGTTCACGTACGGTGCATGGTGCGAGCCTTCAGGAACGTGACCATTGCCTGAATATTCCGAGCGGATGTCCAGAGACTCATGGGGCTCTTCTTCTTGATCATAGCCATTAGTTGATCCCCTTGCCTTGAACTCATCCTCGTTTACTAATGTCGAGGCTGTCTGTTCAGAGTAAGCCAGCGAGACTGGTCGCTCCACAGGTGGACTCTGCGGAGGTAGAGAGACCGAGTCGCGTGGCGGCGTCGAAGTGGAATACGATGACGCGACATCTGCCTTGGAATGCAAGGTGATGCTCGAATCAATAGAATGCAGAGTGGGATGGTCAATCTTGCATCGCGTGAAGACATGGTGAACCATCTGAGTCAGACCGCCCTGAGCAACCGTCTGGTTGACGGGGTCTGTGCTCAATAAGAACACATTGTACACCGTTCGGACAGCCTTCAATAGTGAAGACTGGTGGACGAGGATGGTGGATGATAGGACGAGTGCCAGTAGGGCCTTCACGATCTGGAGGGACACCGTCTCTGGCGCGTTCTCTGAGTGACATGAAGTGATCGTATGAACGACAACATCGACGAGGGATATTGAAGGGAGGTTGACTTGTGAACCATTTGACAGCGAATTCCGACTTGTAGGAGCCGGTGACAGAGGCGGAGAGGGCAGAGGTTGGGCATCCGACGAATGCTCCACGAAGAACGAGTAGGAGATAAGCTTGGAGATACAGTCCAAACTGGCAATCATGAGTTTCTCATTGCGAGTCTCGCACGCCAGACGTAAGGGTTCGAAGATCTCGCGCGGTCTGTCTCCGCCTTGCCCGGCCTTCACCATTTCCAGCGCACGCTGAACGCTCTCGCGCAGAGGGGCAGACCGCTTTGCTTCTCTAGATGCGGCAATGGTTTCGAGCGCGGACGAAATAAGAACAACAGAGACCGTGTGACCCTTAGAGATGGTGAGCGAGCGGCGATGGGACGCAGCGGACGATGGCCTTGACGGCGGGGTAGAGGTACTAGACCGACCACCTGCATGGCCGTTGACATGCTTGTCGATGAAATTCTGCACTGGCGTCCCATTTCGAGGCGGAGGCGCGGGCAGACTCTCGCGGCGGGGTGGCGGAGTAGACATGACCGGCTTAGCAGGAGGTGCAGGGGGTATAGACCGAGCGTCATCAGCAACCTCTTCCATACCTGAGTGGCCGTCATGGTCCCGAGTAATTTCCTGTGTTTCATCCGCGCGCGGCCCAGAGGCATGACGGTCTTCGTCAGGCGGTGACGCAGAGGTGTCGGGTACTACCTCCGCAGCATGTTCGCCAGATGGCAGCGGAGTCTCGGTTTCCTGCTCTGTGAGGTCTTCGCGCGAGGTTGCAAGTTCGCCCTCGGTAGAGCGAGCGTAGTTCTCGTCGACAGGATCCCGCAGAACGACGTCAGGGTAGAGCGAGATATTGGGATATTGCAACTGGTCCGGAGGTGGAGACAGCGGCAACGGAATCGACGCCGGCCCGTCGCTGTCGACAGCACTCATTCTCGAGTTATTCAGGCGGCGTGCGCCCTGAGAGAGGCCGGGAGGGAAAGAGGGACTGTAGCAGGGGAAGAGGTTCACAGCACTCGACGCGTTCACCGGTTCACGACCCGGCGCTCCCGCTCACGTAGCATTTGATCGCAGTTACCAAACCCGGCCCCTTCGATCACTCATTTGGCTTCCGGTCCCTCCTCCAAAAATTGCAGTCTCCTCGAATCATAGACGCATTCTCTGTTCACCTGCAGCATGGCTTCCACCACAAATGCAATCCCCTCTGGTGCATCTGCCGCCGTCCTCAAAGCTTCAGAGCCAGTCCCCGAAGCTGCGGTTGCCGTCGAGGGACCTAATTTCGACGAGCCGATCTCCTTGCAGCAGCTGCTGGAGAACTATAAGCGAATCGGCTTCCAGGCGAGTAGCTTGGCGAAGGCTATAGACATTGTGAACAAGATGGTATGTTCCGATCTTCATGCTCCCTGCGTTGGCGACGTTATAGAATATCTAGCGCAAATGGCGGCTTTCAGACGACCCCATCGCCGAAGACGAATCGGAAGAATACATGTCTCCCGAAGTCAGGGCTAATACTCGTTGCGATATTTTCCTTGGATACACATCAAACTTGATCTCATCTGGGCTGCGCGAGGTCATCCTGCATTTGGTGAAACACAAGCATGTGCGCGCGCTTGTAACCACAGCCGGAGGGATTGAAGAAGACTTCATCAAATGTCTAGGCAAGACGTACCTGGCAGACTTTAATCTGGACGGGGCGGACTTGCGGCGTAGAGGGATGAATCGTATCGGAAACCTAATTGTCCCTAATGACAATTACTGCAAGTTTGAAGACTGGCTCATGCCCATTCTCGATGCAATGCTTGCTGAACAAAAGGAAACCGGCGAAGTCTGGTCTCCCAGCTCGTTTATCCGGAGACTAGGAAAAGAGATCAATAACGAGGAGTCAGTGTACTACTGGGCATATAAAGTGAATAAATCATCCACCATGACCCCCCGAGGTAGCATTTACTCAGCAGTTGTACTCAGAATGATATACCCGTGTTCTGTCCCGCTCTGACGGATGGATCGCTCGGAGACATGATGTACTTTCACTCCTTCCGCTCGCCGGGACTGATCGTCGACATTGTCCGTGATATTCGTGCTTTGAATGAACTGGCGCGGCAGTCCAAGAAGGCTGGAATGGTCATCCTCGGTGGAGGCGTTTGCAAACATCAAATCGCCAACGCTATGCTGATAGTGAGTCACTTCTGCTGTATGCCGTATAGTCCAAATGGTGTTCTGACTACCGTGCGCAGCGCAATGGGGCGGATTACTCGGTATACATTGTAAGTAAGAATCGGCAGCCTTGTTTGGACTTCGCTTGACATATCCTTGCAGAATACTGGCCAGGAATTCGATGGTTCTGACTCCGGTGCGCGCCCGGATGAAGCCGTATCGTGGGGGAAAATCCGCGCAGGTGCTGAATCTGTGAAGGTGAGTGGAGAGTCGTCATATTGTAAACCGTATTGACACAATGCTCTGCTAAGGTATTCGCCGATGCTACATTGGTATTCCCTCTGCTAGTCGCCGCAACATTCGCTCGGGATGTAGAAAGCAGAGACTGAACATCATATTATACAAACAAACTTATCCTTTAACATCAATGTGTAATAAAAGCTTCTATGAAGCGGCCGCATAAATGCCAATGGGCGATCATAGCACCATAAGTCACCCTGACTGCGCGTAGCATGCTCTGCAGTAAAGCAAAATTAGACAAAAATGACCACCGCAGGGGTCGAACCTGCAATCTCCTGATTACACCGAGTCGTAGTCAGACGCGATGCCATTTCGCCAGGCGGCCATATCTTCTATCGGCTATTGCATTTACATGTACAAAGCAATTTGCACACCGGAATCGCACATCCTATTATAAACGTCGTTCTTATTTACTACCACCATTCTTGCCATGCTGCATTTCCGCAGACCACAACAACAAGTCGTCCTTTAGAAGCTGAAGGATCATCAACGCATCCTCGACACTCTGCGTGGAGAACGAAGGATCAGAAGCAACCGCTACCGCCTCGTCAAGCGCATGTTTCGCAAGGAAACATGCCCTGTCGGGACTCTGACCGATGTCGTGATAGTACACAGCAAAGTTGAGAGCTAACCCCAGGCGCGTTGGGTGCGCTGGGTCAAGAGTGCACGTTGCGTGTTTGTACGCGAATTTGTAGGCGTCGAGCGATGTCGACGAGTACTGCTCGCGTGTCTGACCCTTTGTCATCTCGGCTAAATAGCGGTAATAGTCTCCCCTCCTAGACAGTACGTCCTCACGTCAGGATATTGTTGCAGACGATCAAGTTCAACTCACATCTTGCAGTAGAACACTTTCTCTTCACCAGGGTTGGCGGCCGGTATGAGAAAGCGTTCGAGCAGTTCAACGATATCCTTGCACGTTTCGATGAGATCCTGCTCGATCCGATCCTTCTCTCGCCGAATGAGCGACATGTGTTGCCATGGAACCCGACCGGCGTGCTGCTTCTGCAGGGTGTCAATGGTGCGCCAACTAGCTCGGTGGTTAGTCGTGATGTTCTTGTACGCGACAGACAAGAGATTCCGCTCCTCGACCGTCAGTTGAGCATTAGAGAAGGTGATGACATTCTTCAACTGTGCGATTACATCTGAACAGTTGTCGCGTTCAGTGTGTTCCCGTACTTCGACTGCCCCAACTGACCTTGGTAGCGCTCCGCCTGGTCAGCGATTCTCGCGATGAAAACACTATCCAGACGCGACAACGTCATGTTCATCTAAGTGTAACCCTCAGTGTCGATCCAGTAACCATAAAGTACTAGACATACGGGTGACATTTTCGCGATGGGCGAGGGGCACTAGTTATATCTAGGCGGAGCTGGTGCCGCTGCCTTATATCCTCTCAGACTTCCCGGTGGCCACTCGCCCATGATATCAGGGCACGGGGTAAACATGCGACATGCAGGAGGTTGCGAGCATAGGACCCATAGATACGGGCTCAATGCCGCAGTATCTTCTCTGCGGATCAAGCCATCCATGACTGTCCTGCATAGCGTCAAGTGATTGGGTATGGGGTTGGGCAAAGGGCACTGTTACATATTATGTGAGGCAAAGCCGCAAGTCCAGTGTGGGACGGCCACCACAGGCCTCTAGATGGTGTTGCAACCTAAGCGAGGTGGTGTCGCTGGTCGGCGGCTTGGACTCGCACAGCGTTTCGGTCTGCGAACGTCCGACGCATCGCAAATGAGTGTGGACGGTGATTATGCCACAGTCGGTGATTGCGACACGAAATCGCCGACTCACGATGACACTAGGATGACACGCGACCGGAGCGACCGTAAAGCAGACGCTGCCGTTTGGAGTAGCCTCCGTCGCTGTTCTCCGGTCCTGCACATATATTTTCCTGCAGCACAGGCAAGCACAAAGCGCATGCGTGCCGTAAACTTGCACTGTCACAATTCAAGGAAGTTGATGTTTAGAAACCCCGTGTTATACAACACCCCATGCAGGACAACTAACAATGTCCGACCTGGGCTGGAATCGTGAGCGAAACGCTGCATCGTCAATCACCCACGATGGTATGGACATTCCTTGTGCAACAGACGCCGTGGGTGGCGCTGAGCGCGCGATGTCGATAATAGGTGGGACCGATGGCTACTCTGTCGATGCCCGTATGTGCCTGATTTGAAATCTCACAGTGCGATGTGCGATGGGGACTGTCGCGCTTCAGCCACTCACACGAGGAAAACGGAGCTGTGAGAGCCGTGTGCCCACCTCCGCGTCCACAAGTGTACGAGAGGGTCATGTAAAAATCACATTCCACGGCTAGTCGTACATTGCTTCGACGCGTTTCTTCCGAAATTGGGGTCCGGACACGAACCTTCACCATCCCATTTGTTCCACGGTCCACCCACACACCATGCCGTCAGCGTCTGGCTTGTTGCAGAGACGCTGGTTCCGGTCGAGGGCCGTAACTCGCTTCACGTCTTCCGGCTCGAGCGTCGGCAGCTACAAATGGTCCTAGTCAGCAGATATCTTGCAGTTTTTCTCAATCGCTCACGTTGACGTTCTCCTTCTGCCTCTCTACGTTCGAGCTCTTTGGCACGACGACGACACCACGGGCGAGGTGCCACGCGAGGACAACCTGTGCGGGCGCTACCTTGTATTTGGCCGCGAGCTCCACAATCAACGGGTCTGACCGAACATTGTTATAGCCTGTACGACGACACAGAACATCAGGGTTCAGAGCCGCGAACGTTCTCACGCGCTCATACCAGTGGGTGCGTACGCGGTCAGGACAATGCCCTTGGAGTCGCAGTAGGCCTTGAGGTCTTCCTGTGCAAGATAAGGGTGCAGTCTGATCTCGGCAGGAACTCAGATCAGTCGTTTGTCAGTGCCGGGGTGGAAGAAGAACCCACTCCACCTGGTTCACCGCAGGCACAACGTTTGCCGTGGTGAGCAACTTCTCCAGGCTGCGCAGCGCGGCTCAGATAGAATGATGACATGACGGATAGAATCATACTTCTTCACCGAGAAATTACTGACGCCGATGTTCTTTGCCTTTCCCTTCTTGTAAACTTCTTCTATTCCGGCCCACGTCTCGTTGAACGTGGGCCCGTCGCGCGCCTTGATTTCTCCATTGTATTCAGGTCCCGCATCTAGGGTTATCATGATCGCATTCTCTTTCTCCAGGCGCTCATTACTGAAGCTTCGCCACTCACCAGGCCAATCCACCACTTGTGGCCAGTGCAATAGATACTATACAACCACAACTCATCAATATCGCTGGCTCAATCAGGTGTCGTGATATTCTGACCAGATCGACATAGTCAGTACCAAGGTTTCGGAGGCTATCGTCAAGGGATTGCTCGACGGTGCGTAGACCTGGATGGTTCCAACTTTTGAAGTACGTCAGTTGCAGCGTCTGGAGACACTGCAGAGCACTCACGGCAATTTGGTAGTAATCCAGATCTCTTCGCGAGGAACCCCCGATTGTTTGATGGCCTCGCCTACATACTTTTCGGTGCCTACGAAGAGCCAGAGTTACCATCGTAAGGTTGACAAACGATACAAGTTGATCCACTGACCATAGCCCCAGGCTGTATCAATGTGTCTGTATCCTGCCTACCATATTTGGAGAAGTTATGCGACAAAATAAATTTGGATGTGTGGAGATATTTCACCTTTAATGCAGATAGGAACCACGGCGTGGAACGTGCATGTTCTTCTTTCGTCGTACCACTCCATCCACCCAAGCCTGTGTGTTATATGAAGACGTGGACGACGCTTGGAACCAAGGACATCCGGAAGCGTACCAACGGCAGGTATTGATGCACCGGTATTGAGCTTGAACTTGGGCACTGAGGACATCTTGAAAGTCGAACGGGAGAGAGACTAGGGTACTTTCTAACGCCGGACAAGTTGTATGTCCCCTTCAACTGCAAGGTCTCTTTGTCGACTATATAATGGCACGAAGAGAACCGCACGAAGGTGTGGTGTCGGCCCGCCGTTTCTTCGGCATATACTCATAGAGGCGCGAGGCCATATACCTCGTGATAGAGCAACCCGGTAACCTTCCCCTGAATTACTCAGATAGACTTCGAGGTGCCTTGAAAGCGCCTTGTACCGAACCAACGCTCCTCCGTGCCCCGATCATTGTCCGCGTCTCATGCATAGTACCAGCAAACTTTATCGCAGTCAACTGACTGAACGGACCCACGGATATCCGAATTCTTGCAGGGACTGCAAGACATGCATCGGACATGCTGTGTGGATCGTTCATATACAAATGGAGCGAGACTTGAATGTCGATGAATCGCTAGACCCGACGACGGGTTCTCACTGCCAGGCATCGACGATGGTAATAATATTTCCACCAAATCAGGGAAACTACATGACGTGAGCTTGACAATAAACCAGATGAAAGGGACGACTCCATAGCGAACGCCCACATAGGCGGGCTATAAACAAGTAGCATCCGCGATAGAGCAGTCAAGTCTCGGCCACTCACAATACACGAGGAAGACAGCGGTAAGAGCCGTATGCCCTATGCGCATGAAACGCTTGTTGCGTACATACCACATCCCATGACGTACATTGCCTCATCCGATAATAGTCACGGACCTTCACCACCCCAGCTGTGCCACGGTCCACCCATGCACTACGTTGTTGGCGTCTGGCTTGTTGCATAGGCGCTGACCACGATTAAGGGCCATTATGCGCTTCACGTCCTCCGGCTCGAGCATCGGCAGCTAGTCCCCATCAACTGCCGTCCCGTCGCGCCAACCTAAAAAGACGTACATTGATGTTCTCCTTCTGCCTCTCCGCGTTTGCGCTCTTCGGCACGATGACAATTCCGCGAGCAAGATGCCACGCCAGGACAACCTGTGCCGGCGATACCTTGTACTTCGCTGCGAGCTCCACGATCAGCGGGTCAGACCGAACATCGCCATAGCCTGCAAGGCAGGTTGTCAATCTTCAGCACAGTAGCGGCTTCGGAGCGCTCATACCAGTAGGTGTGTAGGCTTCCAGGACGATGCCCTTGGAGTCGCAATAAGCTTTGAGTTCTTCCTGCGCGAGGTATGGGTGCAATCTGATATCGGCAAAAGCCCATGTCAAAACCAGGTCACCTGTGCCCCAATGGAAGAAAACTCACTCCACTTGATTCACAGCAGGTACGATATTTGCCGTGGTGAGCAGCTGCTCCAGACTGCATAGAAATGGTTCAAGTTCGGTGGCGGCACTGTGCATGGACGTATGCTTACGTCTTTATCGAGAAGTTGCTGACACCGATATTCTTTGCCTTCCCCTTCTTATACATCTCTTCCATACCCGCCCAAGTCTCGTTGAAGGTCGGCTGGTCGCGTGCCTTAATTTCTCTCACAAAATCAACGTCCACGTCTAAGAGATCGTCAGCCGATCATATTACTTCCGGAACTCCCGAACTCACCAGGCCAGTCAATCACTTGCGGCCAATGCAGAAGATACTGCGGAAACTGAAAGTATGAATGACGATGACTCCATGACATCGGCACTAGATCTGACCAAGTTGACGTAGTCGGTGCCTAAATTTCGGAGACTTTCGTCAAGCGACTGCTCAACAGTTCGATTGCCTGGATGATGCCATCTTCCACAGTATATCAGCAATTGCATTCAAGTATGCACGTCAACATCTACGATACTCACGGTAATTTGGTTGTAATCCAGATCTCCTCGCGAGGAACTCCAGATTGCTTGATCGCCCCACGGACATACGGTTCAGTGCCTGTAATGAGTCAGATCACCGTGCCAGAAACGTTCCCTGTACTAACTGACCATAGAGCCAAGCGGTATCGACGTGCCTGTATCCGGCCTGAGATGTTGAACGAAGCGTTGCATTATTCCGGTAGAGTGCGCATGTAAACTCGAATAACTCACGTTCAACGCTGCCAAGATCCAGGATTCCGCCTGTACACGGTCTTCCTTTGTGAAACCTCCCCAACAGCCCAGCCCTGACCGTCAATGATATGAGTAAAAGCTAGTATCTCGTGCGCATGAGTTGTCTTACCAACTGCGGGCATCAACGAGCCGGTGTTCAATTTGAAGTTAGGCACTGTAGACATCTCAGAAGCTGGCAAGCGACCTCAGAGTGATTCGGATGTGCTGGGCAAACGATGTTCCCTGAACGAAGACGTCTTATCAGCTATATAACTACACGATGGGACGCCCTGCCGCCCTCGGCATATAAGACGCGAGAGGATGTGTATACCTCGTGATAAAAGACCGATAGCCCGCTTCGTGGATTACTCAGACAGACTGGGAGGCGCTTCGCTACTTTCCTCCTCGTCATCAAACCATCGCTCCTCTGCATCTCGATCATTATCAATGTCCCATACATCGTCCCAGTCGACCTTGTCGTAGTCAATCGCCTGATGTAGATAAAATCAGTTGATAGGCCCGAGAGAATCCTAATAGTCAAAGACAGCACACCTCGAGCAGTCCGTAGATGAAACGCTCTCTGATTCTGCGCAGGAACCATGCTTGTGTGTCGTCTGGCGACTCATCATCTTCTGGTGGAAGGACCTCCTCTTCCTCTTCATCTGAGCCCTCGTCTTCTTCGGGCATAGAGTCGATTTCCTCCGCTTGTGCTCTCCGTATCTTCCGCACACGTTCGGACTCACGCTCCTCTTCATAACCACCCAGTAGCATGCCTAGCTTTCCTATATGCGGTTTTAGACTGCCCATGAAGAAATTCTCTGCCCACGCTCGCTCGTCCTCGGCCTGTGCGCGTCCTGGCGGCTCCCGCCCGGGCCACAAAGTCGGCCAGGTGGACTTGGCAGCAGCGAGGCGCAGCTCTGGCGGGTCAGTGCTTGTGTAGCGAAGCCGTCTATTTCGTATGGCCGGAATAACGGAACGCTGCTTCGGTGTCGTGATGGACGAGAAGTAGGACAGGAGGTGGGATGGGAGCTGGTGAAGATGTTTAGTGAGAAACTCGACAGGCTCGCTGTCTGGCGACGGCTCATAATTGTCCTGGAGACCGAGATATGAGAGCGCTGGCGAGCGACGTGTGCTCGGGGCTGCAGTAGCTGACATGGTGGTGGCGAGAAAAGGAGTAGCAGTCAACATACTCGATGAGGTCACTTCACCTCGGGAAAACGTCGGCGTCAGTGTTCGATCACTGCGCAAGCGCAAAAGCGACAACACTCTCATACTTACTTGTTCATGTCACAGTCCCCTGTTGGCAAGGGCCAACCTGAGGAAGGGCCCACCAGCCCTGCCCTACCTTCAGAGTTGGTGTTACTCATATTCATTCATGGGTCAGTCATTGTCCACTAGATCGACTTAGCCGTATCTCACCGCCAGTGGTGTGGAACCAGCTTCAAGGGCACAGACCACACATTTGGAGACTTTCCGGAGAGGCTCCAGCATATTCTGTCAGAAACGCTTGACAACGTCCGCGTACAGAGTGTCGTCTTCCCCGCTTATGAGGTGAGCCTGCATGCGTCCGTGGCACCATGCGCATGAGCTGAGCTTAGCTTGTAGACTAAAGGAGACCTGGTGAGCACCAGTCTAATCTGGCGCGAGACACAAGAGTTGAGGCGTCGAAGACCGAGGCGGTAGTGCGCTTCGCAGATTGGCTCACAACCTTGACCGTACAACGTGAAGTTGCCAACGATCTGGAGGGCGGAGCCGGGAAAGCCAAGGTTGTGCTATGTGGCCACAGGTCTGTCACCCCCGAGAGTGCCTCGTATCTGGGCCTGACCACTATGCAGTATGGGCGGGCTTCTAGCAGCAGATACCGTCCTGGAGTTTGCGCGAACGAGGCCGGACAACAAGGCGCCGTTATGGCCCAACATCGTCGCATGCCTCGCGTTTGATACCCCAGTATGTCTGGCCTTCAGCGGATCCCGAGCTATTCTCAATTGTACATTTTAGTACCTGGGCCTGCATCCGCTCGTCTTCAAGAACCGCGCTACCCAGGCCGTCTCCTACGTTCAGAATGCCTTCTCTTCCTACCAATCGTTCACATCCAAGTCCACCACATCGGGTGCAGCCACGGTTGGCGTCGCGCCGCCGCCGCCGCCGCCAGCCCCAGCGTCCACCTCCGCCTGGCAGAAGTGGGCACCCGCTGCGTACGCCGTAGGGGGTGCGCTCATTGCCGGTGCCGCTGCAGGCACCGCATACTACAAGCGAGAGGACCTTGGTGTAGGTTATAAGTGGGCCACGGACCACATGAAGTATGTGGGCACGCTTTGGGACAAACATGCCCTGGAGAGGCGGCTGCAGAGTCTACTTGAGATCGAACAGCAGATGGGAGTGCTATTTTGCACGTAAGTAGTGACTAGACTTCTCGCTTGAGAGTTTGCGATGTTGACAGCTCTGATAATAGGTTCTATACGTACCTGCCGCCAAGCCCACCCACCTATTCCTCTTCTCGGACATTCATCATCCTCCCGAAGGCGCCATCCCAAATAGCGGATCATTTTGTCCGCGCACCGAATACGCTTGCCTTTGACGAAGTGCAGGCGCATACAGGCATGTTCGACATCAAGACAAATGACGGGTACTACGATCTGGGAATGTCGACGGCTCAGTACATCAGAGAGGCTGTATTGCTAAAGAAGGGACCTACGGTACAATCAACCAAAGAGCCCAATCAATTGCAGGCAGCTACAAGGACTCCTCCGGAACAGCTTCATTCAGACGAGAATCCGTCATATTCTACTGGATCCTCCGAAGAAGCGGAAGATCTATTGTCATGACTGAAGCCGCTCAGGAGACACCCTCCTTGATGTCTTTGTGGGTCAAGCGTGGTTGTAACATAATCGTGTAATATACAATGGAGGTATAGGATACAATCTATCGAGTGAGATGCTTCAGTGACAGTCGCATTGCATATGCATCCTCTCCATCGGCATCTGTGGGCTGGGCATGATTGTCGGTTCGGGGGGGTTTGAGAACGAGCATGACATACAGTATTTCTTCTCGATGTCCTTCACGGTGAAACCCAGAGTGTCTCGGTAGAGACCTAGTGCTGCGCGATTTGACTTGCGCACATGCAAGGAGACGTATGCCGCGCGGTACGCCGTCGCCATTGCCTCTTCTGTTGTACAGACCGCAAGTTCAGCACCTCGACTGCGAGACCACAGCACTCATGAAACGCACGCGACTGCACCATGAGCTTCTTCGCCAATCCCAACCGGCGATAGGATCGTAGGACGGAGATCGAGGTGACATGGCCGTGTTGCTCTTCGCTGTCGTCCACGTCCTCCTCCCTGCGGATGGCGCCATGGGATTTGAGACCATAGAGATAGTACTGCACGTGTATCTAGGGACTTACATCTTGGCCAGGATGTAGCCGACTATCCGCCCCTTATTGTCCTCGGCGACATACGACAGTTGTGGCCATGTAAGCAGGTGGTACATGTCTGCAATGCGCCTCTCTACCAGGTTCTTAAACGCACCGGGCCTATTGGCAACTCACAGTACTTCATGGTGTAGTTTTCCGGCAGGTTCTGCAGGTTGCATGCCTGCATGCCGGTGAGGTCGTCTACCTGGCGCAAATCAGCACTAGAGGCGGCCGAGACGGATAGATCCAAGGCATTCTCACTCGTGCTGGCCGGATGTTCATTGCGAAGACAGAGAGGCTGCACAGGGTGGCAGAGGCACAAAAAAGAGAACCTCTGAAGTGGCCGATCACTCGCGATCACTATAAAGTCCAAGCCCGGAAAACACGGTCGCCACAAAGTCTCCTCTGCCACGTTCACCCTCGCCCCGACGCGGTTCATGTCCGCACGACACCCAAACGACTTTGTTCCCGACGCGCCTTCCTACTTCCGCGCACTCACCAGCGACGGCGTTTCATCGCCCCCGCCTGGTCTGCGTAAGGCCAAGGGCAAGAAACCGCTGGCAAAGAAGCCCCACACGACCACGGCGCCAATTGACTGGGAAATTCCCCGCAAAACGCTACATTCTTCCATCGGTGAGCCCGTCGCGTCGCACGGAGGAGCGCCATGAAGGGAATTTAACCCGTATTCTACAGGTTTCCTTACTCTGTGGCTATACACGTCGCAGGGCTCTTCTCGAAATGTTGTTGTAGTATTGAGCGCCGGCTTGGCCGTCATTATTCCCGTTGATATCCTCCGGCTTCGTTCGCCACGGTTTGAGCGACTGTTCGAACGTTCTGTAGGCTTTCTCATGCGTGAAAGCGAGAAGGTGCGTCACCGGCGCGTCTTTGGGCCCATGGTGCTTGTTCTGACACGTCCAACAGAGAAGTAGTAATGGCGTAATCTGGTACATGCTTGGAGTCGTCTTTGTGCTATCTGTATACCCTCTTGATATCGCTGTCGTTTCTATCATGATGTGAGTGAGCCTCCGAGCACTATTCTACAGGATGGCTAACAGGCTTCTCCTGTAGCCTCTCCTGGGCAGACACTGCTGCCTCCACGATCGGCCGGCTCTGGGGCTCGCGAACGCCGTCGCTCCCTCCTCGCATGCCTATCATACCTCTCCCTCTCGCCTCGCGCAAATCAGTGGCTGGCTTTGCTGCTGCTGCTATAACCGGCGCCTGCATCGCGGTCGGCTTCTGGGGATGGATTGTCCCCCTGTACAGTACGATAAACAGCTGGCATTGGCCTGCGACCGCCATGCTAGGAGATCAAGTTCCCGACACGACCGGTGGCTGGGTTGGTCTCAGTGTCCTGGGTGTTGTCAGCGGACTCGTGTCTGGGATAGCAGAAGCCCTTGGTACGCCTTGCGCAATGTACGGGTTTCGTCCTACTAACCTGGTGGTCTCCAGATCTCGGCTCTCTTGATGACAACCTCACGCTTCCTATCATTTCGGGCGGGTGTTTGTGGGGATTCTTCAAGCTTGTCGGGTTCTTCTCATAAACAGATGAGATATATATGCGCCGGTAACGGACTGTAGAGCTATATTAGGGCCATGTTATACACAACTATATCATTATGACCGTTTAGGATTAGATAGATATTGCAACATGATATTACTGCGGGTACAGAAACCGATGCCTGCTATTGGCCCGAACACAATCATACAAGAGCAAAGATGACAGTACAAAGGGCAGCGGGTATTTATTAGGATGCAAAACGAACACAAGGAATACAGATGATGACTCGGAAAATGTTGACGGGACATCCCACACGAACCAATAGTATGACACGAGTCCAAGGTGAGTGTCCATAATCAAGAAGCAGAGGACTCGCAGCCGTCCTGCTCCATTTCCTGATGCTCCTCCGGATCAAGCCAGCTTTCCTCTACCGTCGCGCGCACGCGTCGGACGTACTCCTTCATGTTTTCCCGATACAGCTGCGCCGCCTCTGCATTAGCAGGGCTGTTCGGGTTGGGGTCGTGCAGCAGACTCTGGATTGAGGTGAGGATCGCGGCGACATCGTATGTTGGCGACCAGCGATTCTGCAGGATGTCCAAACAGAGCTCGCCATTCGCGTAGACGTTTGGATGGAACATGCGCGAAAGGAATTTGACAGTGGGAGGCTTATTCGGATATGACTCGTCGAACGTTAGCAGGAGCTTAAAGGTGCCGTCTTCGAACGGTGTGTCCGCTACATTTCGCAGGTCAGACGGCTGGTTGAGCATGTGCAAGTTTTGAAACATACCTGGACCAAAGATGACGGCATTCCATAGCATGATATTGTCCGGGCATGGGCTGCCAGAGATGCCGCCCGGAGGGTCGGAGGACAGACGTTTGAAGTCCCGAATCAGTCTACGACGGCAGTTAGTGGACTACATGGCTCGTAATCAGTGTCTGGATATGCTTCAAAGAGTATGGTACAAACCATGTTGGAAAGATAGAAACAAGGAGAGCGTGGATTGACGTATTTGTGCTGTGTTGAGTGTGTAGCTGGTGGTAAAGGGTAGAGCAGTACTCGGCTCGTTCCTCGACCCGATCGTGTTTACATAATCGGGGGGCGTAAGCGCCTATCTAAGCGCTCTCGGTAGAAGTTAATGTCACCCTCACACCATTGAACACAGGACACAGGAATCCATAAACATAGCGGTGAATGACAGGAATATTACAGATTGTCTACGGTCCGTATCATGCTACGATTGAGTCAAGTCTCCAGAATTGCAGTCGAATTTCTCTGAGTCAACAATGGTACGCTACTGATCCTTACAAGATGTCGGTGGGTTGAGAATGCAGATAGTTGCTCGGGACATACCACGACTAGTACCCACGGGGATCACCATCGCGACTCGCCGTAGGCCCTGCGCCATCGTGTCCGCTTCCTCCAGGGCCTCTATGTCCGAAAAAGAACGAGCTGGCGTACTGTTCAGCAGCAGCAAACGTGCTTCTAATGTTCCTCTTGACACTCCTACCCCGTGCGTCCACTTCGCGACCATCGTAGGGGCCTGACTGGGGTCCAAGCGCCGAATGGATGGACTCTTGCAGCTCACGGGTTGTGGGGGAAGATGAGAGTGACCTAGACGCGGGGTCATGTCCGGGAGACCAGCCATTTGGGGTGTCCGCTCGCGCCGCGCCATGTATATACGAATTTGACGAGTCCACAAGAATTTGCCGTGAATCGGGGGGGATTTCGACATGGGCGTCGGTGTCAACTACCGGCAATCTGAACGCGCTCGTGGCGGGATAGGATGTGGATCCGGAGGGGGCATATGCGTATGGAGAGTGCGAAGTGCCCGCCATAGTTGGTACTGTACCGCGGCGAGTTGGACTCCCTACATGCAAGGTGCTCGGCCCTGGCTCAGCGCCTCGACCATGACCAATCTCAGCAAAGATCAAATCGGGGGTGATGACCCCGTCCCTCGTTCCTGGAGCCACCGCCGCCTCCGTGTAGTGGCGAAAGAAGGCAGTCCCTGTAGAGTGGTTAGTGCCACCACTACGGTTGGAAGCGACATCGCTAGGTGCGGGTGACGTCGACGTCGAAGACTCGACGATTGGCTGCTGGCCGAATCCTCTTGTTCTACGAGGATGCGCGATAGCTGTGGACGGTGGAACATGCTGTCCGGCCGCCCAACCTGCTTGTCCACCGTTCCGAGGAACGGGCTGATTTGTGCGTTCTCTTGCCATTGCGAGGTCTCTATCGACAGCTGCCATCGCTGGTTGGGGTGTGGGTACACGGTTCTCGGGATATACGTGATGGACAGCCACCGCAGGTACTTGAGTTCTGTGGCCTCCGCGAGATACGACAATATTCGTGTAGCGGAGGAATGCCTCTGCCACCTCGTCGTCGTCATCATCACGGCCATGATCATGGCTCAAGGCTTGGGGAATATCCACGTAAGCGGAATGGTGATTATGCCGATAAGCGCTGTCTTCGTACTCTGTTTCGTCGGCCTCGTTGGCCTCCTCCGTCATGTGAGTGAAGAGGTCCATGAGGTAGTCACGGAGCTGGGCTACGCCCCTCCCGGAATATACGCAGAATGCCGACCTCTGAGAGGTGTTGAACTCCTACATGTGAGATTGTCAGTTCAACACATGTAACAGTGCATTGATGAAGCATGAACTGACCGAAGGAGGTTCCCTACAGAACTGTTGCAGTTCAGGCCTGCGAAACGCAGGAATTCCAGTCAGACTCAAGTGAGTGAGCTTCGGTAGTTTTTGTAACAGAAAATGTATCGCGAGCACGGTGATCTGGTCGCAGTATGAAAGGTGGATGCGTTCAAGGGTGGCGTGTCGTTCGCCTAAAGCATAGACAGCCTGGTCGGTGAGATTCGCGACACGGACAAGCCCAATTCGACGCAGTTTCTGCAGGCTGGAGAGCTCAAATACGGACATATCGGTGAGCTCTACACAATCTGACCGGATCCCATGACGAGTAAGCATTCATCGTCATAAAATGATAGAGACGACTTACTGGCTAGGTCGATATATCTCAGACGTGTACAGGAACGAGCCAGGCATCTGATTGAGCGATCCGTGATGCCACTTGCATGACCTAGATGCAAGTAGTGCAAATTCTTCCCGAGCTTACATATATTCTCCACCGCTCGGTCTGTGAGTTGCGTGCACTTCGCCAAAACGAGGTTACGGATCTTCGGGGCCACGGATGTTATGCCTTCAATCGCATCGTCCGTGATTTGTGAGCAGGCGGTGAGGTCTAGCATACGCAAATGGTCGAATGGGGAGGAAAGGCGTAGCGGTGGGAGTTTTTCCGCCATTACAGCGCTCGTAGAGGAAGAGAAGGGGTTGATTACTGGCGCGATGAATACCTCCGGCCTTGGGGGTGCCGGGAATGCCGCATCGGTCACCTCGACGCAATACGACAGCCGCATCTCCCGCATCTGCGTCGAGTGCGTCCAGACCTCGCGAATTGAAGTATCTGTAATCAGCTTGCAGTTGTTGAGGTCGATCTCCAGGAGGAGTGGACACGACTTTGCTAGCGCCGTGACCGCCTCATCTGTGATGAGCTCCACATTGCCGAGCTTCACCCTCCTAAGATACGGGCAGTTCGCAGCCAGCGCGAGCACGGATGCATCCGTCAGTTTCTTGCATCCACCGAGGTTGATGCCCTGTAGCTTCTTAGTTGATGACGCCAGCGCCACGATGGATGTGTCCGTGACTTCTGTCACTCCCGTAAGGTCGAGGGCAACGAGATTCGGGCAGTATGGTAGGACCCGCGTAAGCCCGTCGTCGGAGACGGCGTTGCAGTTGATCAGTGTGAGACGCTCCAGCCTCACGCATTGCGCGAGGCGGGAGAACACTGCGTCGGACAGCTCGCCGCCCAGGGACAGGAAATTGAGGCGACGAATAAATGTAGCGTAGGGGAATGTTTGGTCGTGTCTGGACAGGACTCGCATGACCTTGAGCAGTGTAGATAGCCGAGAAAAGTTGGGCCTATGCCAAAGAAGCTCGACGGAGCACTGGCACCAGGTGCGAGACACCAGAAGAGCATGATAGACATCTCTGGGAAGATGGAGGTGCTTAAGGATGTGTATGAGGATTTCAGGAGGTAGGCGGGATGCTGGTGAGCGAGGAGGTTCGGTGGGATTGGGGATAAGATGGTGGCTGCCCGAAGACCATTGAGCCGGTGTGATCAGGCATGTCTCCGAGCTGGCGAAGTAAGCAGACTTGTTGTAATCTTCCTCCTCGTTGTCGGATGTCGACGTGGTAGACTGGGCCGGGGAGACACTCCTGAACATGCTGGGACTGAGGGCGCCGCGTTTGTCGTCGCATACAATGAAGAAGAGCACGTGTAGGTAGCAACCATCGACTGCTTGTGCCTTTCCGGTCAGAGTTCAAGCTGCTGACTAAGCAGACTTTCCTTGATTTGCGAGTGGTGTAGGAGGATCTCCCAAGAGCACTCAATGGAGGTGCATACAGTCAGACGCGTTTTCATTCCATCTTTTTGCACATCATCAGCCTGCCAGGCCCCTGCAACCAAACAGTCCCTGACTTTATAGCCGCACTCTACTCTTACTGTGGCGGAGCAGACATGCCACACGAAACCAAGTCCTCGTTCCAAGATCGACTAGCTGTATCGGCAATGCCACCCCCTGGACCTGCATATTTCAATGCTCGACGAGCGTTATGGTGGATCCCAACTCAGGATACACCTCGACCTGCGGATCCATCGCCTGCACGCCAGAGGCTTGAACAGATGCTGAGCAAGGAAGGCGCAGAGGAGGATGATCTCATTTGGTCTGCGGGCGTGGAGAGAGTCTGGCAAGGGCTTACTGGCGGTGCAGTACTCAAGAAGCGTTTGCCTCTCAACATCGTGGTTCGTGTCTGTTCACGTTCGCCGGGACGCCATACAGTACTAGCTTTGGCATTCTGACCATTTAATGTTCGACGGTTAGGTCAAACTGCTCTTGGCAGGATGGATTCGCGACGGAACCTGGCCCAGAGGGGAAGTTGCTCCAGAGCCAGACGACGAGCTCTTAGAAGTCGATCAATCATAACGATATCATGCTTCTCTGCCAATATTGCTTACACCTATGCGCAATGACACGTTGGCAGTCCGGTCCTGGAGGAATATAACGCGATTGATTTGAAGCAGGAGGACGTACACAAGGGTTTCCGCAGGATGTATCACGACGATGGTCCATTGATGGGAAGCATTGCATGTAAGATTGTTGCACAGTCGTTGGATTCGATAGAAAGACCGATGTAGAATACAGGAGCATGCATACACATAGCCTGAGCTTACGCCGAAAAATATATTGGCGTCCTTTTGATTATGTCCGCGACGGAGGTGATACCTGTCCTGTGTGAGTACCAAGGGATCGCTTGATTCCGCGCAAACATACCAGGATCACGCCGTCGCCTCTTACGAAGAGCATTTCCATTTTCCGTTTCGCGATCTATGAGACATGAGTCGTAGCATCTTGAACACACGAGTAGGACACGAAGAGCGTACGTTGACAGTGCCCTGTCCTTCTGGAGCACCTTCTGCATGGTCTACGATCACGATAGTCTCCTCAACGTCGCTTAGGATTAAGTTCATGTGGCCATCGTACGCCTAACATGCAATCAATGAAAGAATGGTAAATACGTTAGAAATGCGGGCCTACATGCAAGACACCAGAGAGCTCTCTGTCTCCTCTAAGTTTGACAAACACACGTTCGCTCAAAGACAACCTGATGAGATCGAAGGGCTCCTGGATGCCTGAGGACGCGGAATCCATGATTGCGCGCAACACAGACGCGTCCGGGAGCAGCAATGCACTTGGTCACGTGTGTGGTGTTAAGACTCCGATGGAATTCCTAGCCCTCAGTCGGCTCTTGCACTCGGCCTTCAAAATCCTCTTTCCCAGAATACTTCAGGAATGCCAGTAAGTGGGGTGCCATAGCCTGTTAAAGCGTTGCTAACGGTTACTTACTCTACAGAAACACTATTGCGACTACTGCGATGTCTTCCTGACTCACGACTCCGCGTCTGGTGAGTTACGTCCGGAGCCAACTACCTACCGTTTTCTGACGTAGATGCCCTCCTTGCAGTGCGAAAAGCACACAACAGCGGTAGGAACCACCTCGCGAATGTCAGGGACTACTATGCTTGTGAGCAATTGCTTTCTTCTCTTCGCTATCTGCCCGCTTACTAGCCTCTTTGAAGCCTTGGGTCACGACAAAGCTCAGAGCATCATTGACCAAATCACGGCTGCGTATGAATCCAGTGGCGGCCCCCCTCCTGGCGGTTTCGGCTTTGGACCTCAACATCTAGCGCCTCCGGTGCCTTTCGGTGGACCGCCCATGGGTTACGGAGCTCCGCCATTCGGTGGTCCTCCTGGACGTGAGTGTTTGCAAGAGTTTCATTGACCTTCGGCTTACGGATGTCGTCTTAGCTCGTCCACCGTTTCCTCCTGGAATGCCTCCCCCTGGGATGATGGGTCCTCCAGGTGCGCCTCCTTTCCCACCGAACGGTCCTATGCCTCCTCCTGGTATGGGTCCTCCAGGTATGGGTGGACCGGGTGGCTTCCCTCCGGGTATGTTGTATTACTACGTTGTTGAGTTATGTGGAGGTTGACGGTTTTGTAGGCATGCCTCCTTTCCCGCCCGGCGGCAGTCCACCTGGTGGCAACTTCAATGGTCCTCCCAATGGCTTTCCTCCGTCTCAAGGCCTCCCACAGCAAAATGGGGATGCAAATGGCATTCCAGGTGGCATGCATCCTGACAGAATGCGGATGATGGGTGGCGGGAGGTAAAGTATTGTGCGACTTTACTCCCTGCCTATGAGGAATATGTTCATTTCCGTATTGTGTCTTTTGTTCCACTTCCTGTCGTCGTATCATGTTCTCGGTTGTTCATTATCCTCAGCAATACCATGCGCATGCTTTGCTTGTAACGTGTATTTAGAGTGTGACTGCCATCATCGGTAATCGGAGAGATTAGGTGATCGAGATTCCTACTTAGATTTTCGTCTCTGCCGCTGGACTACCATGACTCTTGCGCTGGTCTTGCTCTTTCTTGATTCGGCTACGCCTACTTTTCAAGCTTCATGAATCTTTCTGGACTATTTTTCAGTCTTAAAAGGGCCTACGCCAGCCTCGTGTCGCAGAAAGCTATGGCGTACTCAACGGAGATTCTGCAGTGCGATCCATCTTCCATCTCCTTTACTTCTTGTATCCCAGAGATCAAGTCCGTGACTACGCTAGAAGCCATTCAGCGAGGAGCAAAGCAGATCAACGAATGTCAGACGGTAGCATTCCCTACGGAGACGGTGTATGGTCTAGGAGCGTTGGCCCTGGACGCCGTTGCTGCGTCGCGGATTTTCTCCACGAAGGGCAGGCCGCCGGACAACCCGCTCATTGTCCATGTCTCATCAGATGCCATGCTCAATACACTTCTCCCCGAAGGCTACACCATATCTCGGACCTACGAAATCTTGATCCGTCATTTCTGGCCCGGACCGCTAACTCTCCTCTTTCCGACAAACCCGACTTTGGTTCCGTCGATCATTACCGCCAACCAGCCTACAGTCGCAGTCAGGATGCCATCTCATCCTGTAGCGAGGGCACTCATTGCTCTCGCTGACGCACCCATTGCTGCTCCGAGCGCGAATTCGTCGGGGAGGCCTAGTCCTACTCGTGCCGAGCATGTCTTCAAGGATCTTGATGGCAAGCTCGGTGTTATCTTAGACGGGGGACCCTGCGGAGTTGGGCTTGAAAGCACCGTCATAGATGGTCTTCACGCGGATGGTAATATTCGCGTTCTGCGGCCAGGAGGAGTGACCGTGGAAGATCTCGAAAGCGTCTTGCAACGAGAGCTGGGTGATTCCGGCGATGTTCCCAAGGTGTTGGTCCATCGACGTGATTTTCGCGACGAAGCTATCGAACAAGCACCAACGACGCCTGGCATGAAGTACAGACATTATTCCCCTGCAGTCCCCGTCATCTTACTCAGAACATCATCTCCGCCGAGCGATGTTACCCCTACACCTATCAAGACGTTCCTCGAGTCCTTGCATAACAGAGTGCAAGGGTCAGAAGGACACCTGAAAATTGGCTTGCTTGCCCCCTCCGATTCTCCCTTGCCAACGAATTTCACGTCTTCCAGCGACTTCGAATGGCAAACGTTCCCTTTGGGTCCGATTGCGGATCCGTCCATCTCCGCGCAGCGTCTCTTCGATGGCCTTCTTACCCTGGACGCCGCTGGTGTAGACTTGATTCTTATCGAAGAGATTAAGGAGGAGAGGGAGGGCCTGGCTGTGATGAATAGAGTGAATAAGGCCGCTGGAGAGGCAATCTGGCTAGGTCCCAGTTAAATTTAGATTTTAAATTGAGTGCGCACCTCTTCCTTCTATCGCGAGCAAGCGCTGGTCATCCTACAGTACAATGTAATATCACACTCAGGAACTAATGGCAGCGATGAGAATAGCAGGCACTTATATATTCCAGACACTGGCAATACACGACTTCCCTCATGCAACGGTCGCCCCTCTATTTGGCGCTCCGGGTCCACAAGTTCGCCTGCTGCGTGTATTTGCGATGGTTTTGCGTAGGTCGACGCAAGATGCAGTGTCGTATTCTGTGTAGATACTACCAGAGATAGTACTAGCAATAGCCAGAGCAACCTGACGGCACGACACGGTCACGTGTGTCGTTTATCCCATCGCGCTTTGGCCATCCGCGTCTCCAACGGCGAGTCTAGTGCAATGGGCCACCAAGTATTTCCGTTTGTGGCGTCTCCATGGCACCGTTACGGTTATATTCCTCTGGTACATAAAGGTCACTTGGGACCCCATTTGACAGCACCTCCCATCTTATCCTCGAAACACGCTATTCAAAGCTCTGCTAACACATCCAGCACTGCTACTCACCTCCGTATACTTTCCTACAAAAAGCCGTCTACCAAAGCATAGCCCATCCTCTATGATGCTTCACAGCGGTATGCGCTTCGCGATGTTACATCGTGTGCAGCCGCTCAATGTGTCGGTGATATCTTCAGGATTCATAGGATATCGCTACACCTTCGCCGCTGATGCTTTGGCTCTCTACTCGTCGTCCGGTTCTCCAACCAAGTCCCCATCGCCGAACCTTCCAGCTGCCCATGAGTTCCCTGACATCGCTCAAACGGCATCTTCCACTCCTATCCCAAGCCCCAGCCAAGCAGGCACAACACGAGCTGGAGCTCTGAAGGGGCATTACTTAGCGCCCGAACTGACGAATGAGGGCTCGGGCGCAGCATCCTCTTTATTGGTGTTTAATGCGTCGGTCGAGCGAGTTGCATCCACGCCGCCGAAATGTACGCCTGTGGTTAAGCCTGCATTCATCAAGCCGCCGAATGCGTTCATCTTGTTCAGGAGAGAATTTGCCAAGAATCAGACGGACACGCCATCCCAGGCAGAGCGGAGCTGCGCCGCCGGCGTGGAATGGAACGGCATGACGCAGGCAGCCAAAGAGAAGTGGTACAACCGTGCAGCAGCAACAAGGCAAGAGATGCTGCTAAAGGTGGCGCTTGGCCACAAAGACAAGACAGGACAGAAGCCGAGAAGACGCCGGCCAAGGAGCCGCGCGATGAAGGAAAACAAACAAGCTGGTATGTTGGGTGAGACTGTAATACCAGTTACCAGAAGGATTGTGAGGCCGTCCAGCCGCGAATGCTCTCCGCCGAAGCTCCAATCTACCCAGCACGCCGCCTCGCCGACACTGCTCCCCTACTGGTTTCCTGATCTCGACGTCACTACAATGTCTCCGCGTCATGTCTACCATCATGGTGGCGCGCCTCATGGTGCACTGTACCCACCAACTTATACGCCACAGCACGGGCCAGTCCAACATGCAATGCAGAGTCTTCTTTCAGGAGATAATCCGCCGCCACATGCAGGAGCGGTATGTTGTCTCCTTGTGTTACTTTATTGCGTGGCCTTATCATCAACTAGATGCAATCCCCTTACGCAGGACATATACCCGAGCCACAAGGCGCTTTTTATACTGCGCATTCGCCACAATACACTCCTCCTCAGCAACAGCAACAGCAATATATCCAGCAAAACCCGTACGCACCTCCCCTCGCCGCGGCACCGACACCTGACCAGGAGCCAATGGATATGATCAGAGGCAGTCCCTCTTCGACACGGATAGTTCACATAAAGCGTGGCTTATCGCGAACTCAGCCGCAGGACGAGTTCGAGGCTCTGCTTCTGCACGATGACAGCGTGGTCGCGATCTTACGACGCGGCAAAGAGTTGATTGAATCTCAGTCCCGCTGATGGCATTCGGCTGTTCTACTACATTTGTGCAAACTGCCATGACATTACAACTTATTTGCTTATATTCAAGCTGTACACCTGTGCTTATAAATTATAGACCTTTGTGATCTCTTTCTGTAGACATAAAAACGGATATCTTATTTTGAATGCACTGAAGTGGTTTTGTCGAATGCGGCTTCTTGCTACTCGGTAGATTTGATCCGCAAATTTCGGGGAACACGACGCGATCGAGTGTCGGCGGTTGCCGTGATTCACACTTTCTTCCACTCTCTGCCTTTGCTATGGCTGGGCACAAGCGGCGCGCGCTCACTACAGATGACCTCCTTCGTATGCAGGAGGAGCCCGGTCGCAAGAGACTCAAAAGAGATCTAGACTCAGACAGTGATGTTGAGGATCAGGCGTCGGACGTGGAACGAAGTTCCATCGCTTCCTCGTTAAGCTCGAGTTCTCACTCAGGCAGCGGCGGTGACGGTTCAGATGACGACGAAGGAGCTGAGCGCCCGTTTGCATCTAGCTTTGATATATCCTGGATACCTGATGAAACCTCGTCTCGAGTATCTGCAAGAAAGGCCCTTGTAGCACCTCGCAATGAGCCCCCTATTATTTCTCCAACTCGGCCATCCACGTTTGCCTCGCTGGGAATAACCTCAACCCTATTCAATGCCTTGTCGAAGATGTCAATACGTGTGCCCACGGAGATCCAGGCCGCCTGTATTCCCCCACTACTTGAAGGCGAGTACCTCACCTATCCCGGGTATCATCAACATCTGTCTGACACAGGCCGCTTCCAAGGCAGAGACTGCATAGGAAACGCAAAGACTGGCTCCGGAAAGACAATTGCATTTGCCCTCCCGATTCTCCAGAAGCTTGCGGTCGATCCGTACGGCATCTTTGCTTTGGTCTTGACACCTACGCGGTATGCATCGTCAGCATGACCACGCATTGCAAGGAATTTGCTCAACCTGTATATGCAGCGAACTCGCATTCCAGATCTCGGAACAGTTCGCTGTTCTAGGTTCAGCTCTCAGCCTACGCACAGCAGTGGTTGTAGGTGGTATGGACATGATGGCACAAGCTCTGGAGCTGGGTCGTCGTCCCCATGTCGTGGTGGGCACGCCGGGCAGGGTGGTGGACCTTCTCAAAAGCTGTAGTGGAGAGTGGGATCTATCTCGCATTAAGTTCCTTGTATGTATTCTTTGGGATCCAGTGCACTCACTACTAATCGACTCTCGCAGGTCCTAGATGAAGCCGATCGCTTGCTGACACCAACTTTCGCACCGGAGCTCTCGTATCTGTTTGAGACCCTTCCGAGAGAACGCCAAACATGCCTATTCACGGCTACTCTTACGCCTGCCGTAGAGAAGTTAGCTCAAGCGCCACCGCGACCAGGCAAGCAGAAGCCGTTTATTCACAGAATGACCGAGACGTGCGTCTATGAATACTCGCTGTGGTTAATTGGCTGATTTAGTTCGCTAGGATTGAGACGGTCGAAACGCTCCAGCAACATTATATTCTAGTGCCATCACAAGTACGCGAATCGTATTTATATTACCTACTATGCAACCCTCCAGAGTCTACGCTCCACCTCCGCCGCGCCCCTCCGGAATCTACAAAGCCGTCCAAGAAGCACAAGCCCGCACCCAAATCCAAGCAAAAAAAAACAAAGCCTAAAGCATCTGACGACCCCGATGAAATCGAGCAGCCCCCACCGACTATCATATTTTGCAAGCGACCTCGCACTGCCGCGTATCTCACGAACCTCCTACAGACGCTGCACATCCGAACCACCGCGCTGCACTCCCGGCTGACGCAGCGCGAACGCCTATCCTCGCTCTCGCTCTTCCGCGCGAGCGTCGTACCTGTGCTCGTGTCGACGGACGTGGGCGGTCGTGGTTTGGATATTGAGGACGTCGCGCTCGTCATCAATTGGGACATGCCCGACGAGCCGGAGGAGTACACGCACCGGGTCGGTCGAACGGCACGTAAGGGCAAGGGTGGTGTGGCGGTGAGCTTCGTAACGGAGCGGGACGAAGAGCGCATCCTGCGCGTGGAGGAGCGAATTAGTGAGTAGGGTGACAGTACCCCAGTGCAATGCCTTCGTTGTGTGAGCGCTGTCGCTGACAGCGGATGCCCGCAGAAACGAAGCTCACGGAGATGGTGCTCCCTGAGGGGAAGGTACTCGATCAGCTTAACGTTGTCTCCACGGCCAAGCGGCTCGCAAACATGGTGCGGCACCCCTCTTTTCACGAGCCCGTGCTCCAGACTGATGTTCTCTCATCTGTCCCCGAACGCGCGCCACTTACCAACTACAGGAGCTCCACGACTCCGACTTCGGGAAGCGCGAGGAGATTCACAAGATCAAAAACGCAAAACGGAAGGCGGATGTGGAAGGGACGTGACACCGCCCTGGATGCGATATCGCTTTGTACATTTTACGCCCCAGATATCATCAGTTCTGCTTGCCAATTGTGTCCCTCGAGACATATGGGCGCTAAGTCTATCCACTCGCAATCTTCAAGAAGCACGGCTAGGATACTTCAGTGTCTCAGGTACGCTTGAGAACACAGGTCAGGACAGAAGCAGCACTATGCACACACGGAGAGGCACCTCACGAAAAACGTCTCACTCGATGGGTTTGGGTGGGTGTGGCCGAGGCCTCATCTTTTGGTCCTTTTCTCTGTCTGAAGGGTATTTTTCGTCCCTGCGCGATTGGGGAAGACTATCTCTGAGAGGATGCTGCCGAGCGAAGGGAAGCCGTGCCGCCACAATATTTCGAAGCCTGTCTCACAACTTGTTATCTCAGCAGGGTGAAGCCAAATTATTTCAGCATGGTCGTGTGGACCACAGCAGGCTACGCTAGCAGTTGCTGTAGCGGACTATATGCGTGTTGTCCGGCTGCGCGCAGAGCTTCTGACAGGTACCCACCTCACTCCGCCCTGCTTCGCATGCAGCAAATTCTGTCAAGCGCGGAATAGGCTGTCGCTCGCTAGTACACTAAGCTGTGCCAAAGCATCCAATGGTCCATGGCACAGCCAACCCCGTCTGCGTGAGCTGTCACGATGCGCACCATTTCGCGCCGATTCATGAAACCAGCTGTAGACGGGAGGTATGGCGAGCTCCCACTCATATGAACGCGACATACTCAACACACCTGGCCAACGTGTCATAGTCGTGTTCAGTTCCCAGGCAGTCAATGATATCTCACCAGCCCCAAAGGCGGAGTGGGGCATCAAAATGAGGCGCGGACGGCGATGCCACGGTGACTGTCACAGTAAATTTGGACGGGCTGAGCTCAGCCGTGCTCATTCATAATGAACCATCCTGAGAAACCGTGTGCTATTAGCTCACCACAAAGGTACGACAGGTAGGTGAGGTCTAGTAGTTGAGAGGGTGTGCGTACATATTGATCCTCTATCTTAGCAGGCTGACGCACCGCCGATAAGTCAGCGTAATCCTCCGAGATCATTTAGCCATTCATTATCTTTCTGGCAGATGCCTCGTGGACAGGCAGCTGATGCTTTCTATTTGACCGATGCGACTACCGGCGCCGAGTTGGACTGCCTGCCTCACTCTCTGTGCCGTTCACGCTAGAAGGCCCTATGGGTATAGGTTGACCAACACGATCACTGACAGGGTAAGAGATGTCATGAGAAGACATGGAAGGAGTACTTACGGCACGGTACCCTTCTCGGGAAGCTTAAATGAGTACAGTCTGAATATATGCCTTCATGCCGTCACACTAGTTGTCATTTACACTTCCGCGAGGCTGGTACAGGCGACCTGCGAGGGAATCATACACATTCCAAAATGTGCGTTTCGCTAGGAGCATAAATGTTGGGAAAACTTATGCGTCAATCTATGAAATCTGGCGCATGCACCACAGCACTACAGCACTAGCATGCATGCCAAATACTGTGGGGCCCGACGTCTAGCAAGTAGTGTACGAGCAACTCACCTAATGAATGTAAGGTAGGTGGAATATGGAGCTCAGAGCATTGGTCATGACGTACGAAATTATCGATGCACTTGCGGTCTTCACCTTGCTATTGCCATAAATATTCCAGCACTGTGCGATCGAGTCATTGGTGCCGGTGGAATGATCGTCTAGCATTCACTGTGGGCTTCGCGGCTGCCTCTCATGATGGCCTTTCATCATGACATATCCCTCGTGCTCACAACACAATCCCGTTGCGAATCGCTGCAGGATGACGAGACGTAAGACGTGCCCCACCTCAAGGAGTTCACCGTTCAAACTACAATGGTTGCACAGTAAGTTGCCGGTATGTGGGGCATGGAGCCGATCACAGAATCTGTATCAGAAAACAATAGAGTTTGGACGGGGCCAGTCTAGCTGGAAGCGCAGCCTACTCACATATGCCGTGGAGTCGAGACCAACTTGTAGAACTGCACGGCCTAGGCAAGGGAGACTGGCACGCAGGAACATATGCTTGGCAACAGCCACTGAGTTGCGCCAATACGCTGCATGTCGGATAATGTCTATCAAGAGTATTAACGAGGTCAGGTAGCGTAACGATCGCAAATGCGAGACATTATGGTACAGCTGGACATACTCGACGGCGTGTATCGACTCGAGAGGTCACATGAAACAGAAAGGAAAGAGGCGAGTATGAAAACAGGGAAGGTCCGATCCCGAGGAGCCGTACGGCGTGTATGCATGGAGGACAACTAGTGAATACAGGTGGTACAGAATACACGAAAGCGAGGATGGGCGATGAAGAACGAACCGATGAGGGCGGAATGCCAATGCTGGGCTGCGGATGAGATGCGAATCGGGACGGAGGCGCATGAAGGTCGGTTTGGGAGTTTTGGACTGAATAACGGTAGGAAGCGGCGATGCGTGTGTAATCGATTCTTCTGCAGGTGTGAGGGCTTAATGAGACAGACGAGGACGAATGCGTTTTAAAAAATAAGTTAGGTGCCCGTCAGCTGCGACGCTGGCGGACGCGACTGCTATCATTCCCAGTCAGCATGTTTGTGTTCGAGATCCCGATATGGACGTAGATGGTGGGGTGAGTCTTCGACTGAACGAGTCCTGGGCCCTTTCCGCAGCGCCGATCCTCTGCGCCATTCGCGGAGCTGAGATCGTTCGTCGATCAGATGGTCCTCTGAGCCGAGCGAACAAGGTGCGAGTAAGAGGCGGCACGCCAGCGCAAGTCGGATACAGAACAGAAATGGGCGTCAGCATTCGCAGAACTCCGAATATAGTCATGGAAGGGTTTACGTGACTGGGGTGTATATATACGGAATAGGGAGGGAGGGAGGCTCAGCACGCACTTTGACAACGGACCACTGTACGATCAACTGCTTAATGCGTTCCCCCAACGACTTCTTGCATACGCCGCACGACAAGTGCTCTTCGAGCGAGCGTAGCGCTGCTTCTATAGCCGCCATTGATAAATCTGCGTACCCATCGAGTTCCGCGTGAGCTGAAAGCCACCCCTAATATGCGCATATACTCTCACCTGGTCGGGCATCCCAAGCGAGGTACGCCGATGCGAGCGCCCATGCACGCGTCAGCTTCTTCTGCTCCGTGAAGTCGCAGTCCGCTGTCGGCGCGTGCGGATGCGGTGGAGGCAAGAGAAGCCGTTTGAGCGCGTCGATGCGCCCCAGGTGAAGGAAGAACAGACGTTTCAGGTAGATTGGCCCCATCTTCTGCACGAGCGCGTCCGAGAGGCTGGCCAGCTGGTACCCGAGAAGATGCGACGAAATAGGCACAGCGAGGTCGTAAAGGTCATGATGCGCGGCGAGCGCGTAGACTTCGATCGGGTTGAAGGGGGCCTGGGCGAGGATGAGGGCGAACAGAGGGGTAGAAGGAGTGCAGTAGCGCTTCACTGGAATCCCATATTCATGGAGCGCGTCCGTAGCGGCTAGAAGGATGTCGAGGGAGGGCGCATAGTGTGCGCAGGAGATGCCGTATATGGTGTGGAGGACGACGTTGACGACGTGGGCTGATTCGGGTAAGGCAATTATGGGACCAAGCTCCTCAACACGGGGAAAGCTCTTGAGCGCGGGAGGGGGGTTAGCTGGCTTGGCGGGCAGGAGGCCACAGAAGCCGTTCTCTGAGGCACCGAGCACTTGTTCGGAGTGAACATAGAAGAAGACGGCGTCGGAGGAGAGAAATACGAGATCGGGCGGGAGGGGGTTCAGATTTGCACCGGAAAAGAAGGTAGTGCTGATGGACACAACAGGGTTAAGCTCGGGGTCAAATGCGGGTGGGGACCCGCTGTTCGACGACTACAAGGGGAGAAGGCCGATATGCGAGCGGTGAGCAGATAGGCGGAAGACATCTAGACAGGACTTACAGGTGGGGTTGGGACCTGGGACGGGGCAGCGGAGCCCGTTTCGTGAACAAGTTTGTCGGACATAATGTCCATGTCGAGTGGCTCGGAGACAAACTGGAGGACACTCTCCCATTCGGGGCTATCCATGGCAGCGTATATGTGGTAGGTGCAGGTAGGTGCACACCGGCGAGGGGCGTTTATGAACGGGAGCGGGGGACGCGGGATTTGCGACCGAGGCCCTGGAACTGGGCGGACGTGGGTGCAAAGGCCAGCGAGGGGCTTCTTCTGTGGAGGCAGGGTCACGGTCAGTGCTTTCGCGTACTTATGCGCCACGGGCGTCCCGCGCTGAGGGTGTGGCAGATGGCAGCTCCAGGCCGTGGACGGAGAGCGCACGGCTGCTCGTCCTCGTCGCCCTCCTCCCGGAACTCCCTTCTGATCCTGGTGGAGTCGCCGCAATAACTCCTCCGGAGCCCAGGCCCCCTGCTGCCGCGATAGCTATAGGGCACGGCACTCACCAGTCGCCCGCCTCTGCGCGCGCGAGGGGCAAATGAACGACGCGCTAGGGGGCCGTGCCGCGATACCAATATCGGCGGAGGCAGTTCTGTGGCGACTGGTCAGATGTGCGTGCGTTCTGCGTAGTGCGCCAGGGATTCGGGAGACCCCTCTGCCTCTGCTCTACGTTCGGGAAAAGCCACAATGTTCGGCGCCGCCCGTCTCCCGCCCCGCCGCATCCGGTTCTTCGCGACGCCTCTCCTCCGCCCCCATACACCACCAGGCGTCATGGATCACAATACCGCCCACCGCAGAAGATATGGTACGAGACGACCATTAACGCCGTGTGGGGGAAGATCCCACTAATAGCACTGAGGTTTATCCCTCACCGGCCGACGCGACCGCCTACGTCATGGTCAGGCCCAGGGTCCAGACCATTGCGCACACCTTATCAACAAGCGACCCTCAGAGTTCCAAGTACAGCTGATGGTGATAGTACATGGGTATGTATCAGCTACCGATTCTCAACTTTCGGCAATTCGTCCTCCAGATATCAATGACGGATAGGCACACCGTGCCACCGTGGCGACGGGACGAATGGCTCTCGGGGTCAAAGGTCCCCCGCAGGCCGCCGGCCCCGCCAATACGGTCACCCCAATATGCATCCATATCGCGCTATTCTCAGCTACCTGGTACAGGTTAACCGACTACCGCGACTTGTCTTCTGCGAGGATGGCCTCGTTCAGCTCGTCCAGCGGAGCCAGCTCTTTCTTGTCTACCAACTCAAACTGCGGGGGGCGGCGCGCTTGAGCGAGATAAATGCATGAGAAAACCACGCAGACTCACTTCGTGTACGAAGAGGAAGAAATGTCGGTAGCTGGTGTTGAGGTGGGCTACACACAGACGGCCAATAAGTATATTGCAAGCGCTCGTGGTGTCAGGAGCTGAATGCGGTCTCACAAAACCGGCGTACCTTCGATACCCAATGCACATATGTGGTCAAAGTGGTTGCTGTATAGATGCGCATACACTCGGAACAGCCGCCGGAACATCGTGCGTATTGTGTCTCGGAAGCTCCTGGGGAACGGCACACCTGCATAGAGCACGCAAGTGAGCAGTTATGCATCGCGTCAAGAACAACGGCGTCGGGCGCCCACCAATCTTGTTAGGGAATACTTCTTCGTTGTCGAGCAGCCCTTGTGCCCAATTCATGAGCGCGTCAACATACTCGGGCGCTGGAAGCTTTGTAGGACGCTTGTACCGCACACCGTCTTCCCATAGATACTCGTATCTATGCAGATGTGCCGTCAGTGGAGTTCGTGGGGATTATATAGCTAGAGGGCCTGAGAGTAGAAGTGACTCACCGCGGACCCGCGGACATGATTGGACACTGGACGACACAATACGCATTGGCAGGTAACGATTCGGGGAGAGTCAGAATGGAAGGCGGTGCAAAAGAGAACAGCAGAGCGTACCTCCTGCGACGTGCAGAATTCCGTGACTGTCCCGTACAGCATGTTGAGGTGATTGAAGAAATCCACAGCTACGACAACCATCGCCTTGAGCTTCCCGACGAAGTCCTCAGACCGACTGGGCGAACTCACCATGTACCGCGAGCCACTCGTTCAGATCCTCGCCCTCCGGCAGCTGCACTGCAAGGCGCAGGTTGCCTGAGCCCTGTTCAATCACCCCGCGCGACAGCGATCGGCAGCGGCCTCTACAGATCCATGCTAGGGGGACTCACGAGCGTTGCTTCGGCATACTTGCGCAGCTGGTACTGCTTCGTGCCCTCCGGGACGTCCTTGCGCGGTTTGAAGGTACGCGTTTTGCCGCTGGCTCCGCCCCGCACCGATATCGATCAGCACGCGTCCTGCGCTGAGCGCAGGGCGAACTTACAGGCCGAAGAATGCAGACATGGTCAGTTCGATACGCAGTAGATGGCGGACTGTGCAGCAGACAACAAGTAGATGATATGAGAAACCAAAGCCGCAGGGTTGGCTATAACCAGACGGTGGCGGATGTGGGGGACGAAGAGACGGAGACTGATCGGGTGGTCGCTTGCCTGGTCACTTTGATGGAAAGGCTTTGCTTAGATCTCTATCTAGATCGCCTCCCCGGCGTTGCGCCCGTTCGATTGCCTAATGAACGTGTCTTGAGTGTAAACGCAATGGGTTCCGGTCAAAGTGGAAGCAAGATTATGAGGTCAATTTCGGGCATCAATTTCGACTATGCATCTGGAGGTCCTAATTTTGTCAAGGCACACACTGCCTGAAGTGACCAAATCGCACTCGATCCGAGAAGTTCACTCGATGTCGATGCGCGCACTGTGAGACCAGCGGCCGTGACGCCCGGGCTAGTACGTTTTGCCATGGCAAGTTCCCACAGCTTCCAGAGCATTCTTCCAGCCATTATATCATCCCCAACTGCGACGCAGAGCTCGCGGCTGATCTCGATGGCGCGCAGGAGGATTAGTAGTGGAATAACGGATTTTGCGGTGGGTTCATTGTCGATCCCGGCTGTTCCGCGCGCTCCGAGCACCGTCTGACATAGCGTCGACTTCGATTGGCACAACGCGCCTGGATGGCTTCATGACAAAGCTGTCTTCCGTGGAGCTACAAAAACAAGCACGCCTCCTGCCGTCCTTCCCAAGCCCACTCACATCAACTTCCTCATACACCACCACCACCACCTACGAACTCAACCATCAACCAACTCCAAATCAACATCATGGGCCGCATCCTCTTTGTCTACACGTCTTGCAGCCGCACCCTTACCGGCGCGCAGACCGTGAGTTCAACTAGTTTCACTTCTGCGTGAAGAGGTCCTCATGTGAATGCGAAGGGATGGTACCTCCCGGAGGCTGCTCACCCATACTATGGTATGCCTTGGAATTGCCCATTTGCAAAAGCAATGAGTTCGACTCACCGACGCACACAGTCCTCGCGGCGCACCACGAGATTGACTTCGCATCGCCCAACGGGCCCAACCCGCCTGTTGACGAGGGAAGCGTCGAGATGTTCAAGGACGACGAGAGCGTCAAGTTCCTCCAGGACGCGACCGTAACGGAAAAGCTCGCAACCGCGAAGAAGCTCTCGGAGGTCAACCCCAGCCAGTACGACGCGGTCTTTTACGTCGGCGGGCATGGTCCCGTGCTTGACCTTGCAACTGACCCGACGAACATCAAGGTTGGGAACGAGGTGAGCACACCATTCGTCGTTGAGCGCGCAAGACGCCGTTTGTTCACGAACAATGTACAGTTCTGGCGATCAGGAAAGATCACTTCGGCAGTCTGCCACGGACCTGCGTGAGTATCTTATCCCATGATGTTTTGTGCTCCTTTGAGTGACGCCCGACGCGCATATAGTGCCCTGGTCGGCGTGACTGACGCCGAAGGCAAGTCGATCTTCACCGGTAAGGCCGCTACGGGCTTCTCCAACACAGAGGAGGAGCAGGTCAACAAAGTGAAGGTGAGTAATCTCAAGGACGAGATGACTTCGTGACTTTGAATTCACTTTATCGTCAGGACATTCCTTTCCTGCTCGAGTCCAGAATCAAGGAACTTGGTGGCAAATACGAGGCGGCGGCTGAGCCTTGGGGCGTTAAGGTTGTTGTCGACGGCAAGCTCATCACGGGTCAGAACCCCGCCTCTGCAAAAGCCATTGGTGAAGCCATTCACAAGGCCCTTGCTTGAGGTCGTCGCACACTAACAGTATACTGTAATCTTATCTTGTGACACTGTACCAATATCATGATTGTCCATTGGCTCATTTGTCGCGTGGTAACTTGTAGCGGAGATGCCACGTTGTGGATTGTAGCCGAGCGCTGAACGCTCTGCACGAAGTCAGCTCAAGCGGAATTTGGAAGACAAATTCACATGCGACAGTCACATGCAAGACCTTGAGCTACTCGGACAGTGTCGTCCTCATATAGCAGTGTAGAAGACGATGCAAATTTGAGTAATAGTACAAACACAAGATGATCAGATATACGCAACAGTCATAACCCAACCCTTCTTCAGCGTGAACCCATCCAGGGCCTCTTTTGCGACGGACGCTAACTCGGGTGAGTCGAACAGGACTTGTGCCATTTTTACTTTCTGCCCAGCTGCGTTTGGTGTTGGTGATGGCGCAACGTGCGTAGACTGGAATCCCTGATATCTGCATGGAGGATCCCGTATCACAAATCGTGGACGCCACCGCCACAACAGATGTATCACGCACTGTTGAAAGAGAACCGAGAGCACGTCATCTGAGACCTCCTGTGGTAGGTTTGTACATAGCAGTCTCGCAGACTGATACTGTACCGTTTGCGGCATAGCACCTGGCGCTGTGCACTAGAGCATGAACTTGACATCCATGACGTCAAGGAATACACGCACCATTCGTGCTGGCCGAGCCCTGCTTTGTCCCCTCGTCGTCGTCCTCAATTTCCATCTCCTCATCGTCGTCATCGTCGTCGGGTCTCTCCCTTTTAGCTTGCCGCCCGTCGACCTCGATCTTCTCGTCCCTCGGTCTTTTCTCTGATCCGTTCACCGGCCGTGTGCTCGCGGGAGATGGTGGGACGAAGTTCGGGTCTTCGCGCTGCAGCGTCGCATATGACTTGGTCTTCGCATACTCGATACGCTGTGTGGATGTAGCACGCCGGCGACGCACTTATTCATATCAACGACTTCCAAACGCAAGGGCTCTCAGATGAATCGCGCACCATCGGCTTATCATAGAAGACGATACCTTCGCAGGCCCGCATGGCCGCTGTTGCGCCCGCCAGGTCCGCAAAGACGAGGAATGCCTGCCCGCGCATTTTGGGGCCCTTCATCGCGACGATGTCGACGACGCGGCCATAGGTCGTGAAGAGCGCGTAGAGCTGGATGCGCAGCTCCTCCTTGTTCACCTTGTCGTTGAGATTGTGCACGTAGAGCGTCGCATTTGGCTGGGTGGACGACATGGCAAACGACCGGTGAGCAGCAAGCAAAGGAGAGTTTGGGAGTATAACGCTGAACCCTCCCGATCCGGACAGTGACCACATATTCATTTTCCCACGGCGTCACAGGCTGCATTTTCGGGGGCCTTGCCGGCCAGCCAAGCCCTCCTTGCCGGGAATGCGGTGATGGCTCCCGGCGAGCTGGCCGTCACAGGTCACGTTCGTATGGTCGCGCAGTGCACGTTCCCCGAATCAATTGGTGCTAGCGCTGAAGACAGGTTTCAAAAGAAGGGCGGCAAGTTCTGCACGACCTCTGCTGTGTTCCCAGGACCGCCTTGTTGCAATAGGTCAACAAGAGGCACACTCGCGTCGGTGAGTGCCCCAATCCGTCGTCCGAATGCCCTGGAGTCGTCGCTGAAAGGGGTTACACGCGTCCAGGTCCCCGCCCGATCATAGACAGCGTGCCACGATCCCAAAACTAACGAACGCGTCTCTGTACTGCCCATGAAAATCTGACGTGTATAACGCATATACCAGTCGACATGAACGCGCAGCAAGCTATAGCACGGCTTCCTCCCTTCCTCGTTCCCTTCTTTACATTCTCCTACCCAACTGCTCCTCCGGCCGTACCAGATTCATTCCCCAACTCGTCTTACTACAACACTGGTCCGCTCGATGCCTGCATCATCATCTCCTGCATCGCTGTCATGGCGGTCCTGCGCGACGTTGCTCGCCTGTATCTCCTGGAGCCCTTCGCGCGATGGAAACTGACACGCGACATCCGGCTGCAAAGAAACGCAAAGACCACGATAACGAACGGAAAAACGAACGGTGTTACCAATGGTCATACAGCAACGAGTGACTCCGCGAATGGAGAGACAAAGGAAAATGGAGAGGCGAAGGCTACTGGTGTGGAGTACGGTAACGGGCATGCCGTTCTTTCCGCCACGAACAAACACGCAAATGGGAACGAGCATATAATATATGCCCAAGGCATTGCACTTTCTCGAAAAGAAGCCAAGCGGATACACAGGAGTGTGTTGCGCTTCGCCGAACAAGGCTGGTCCGTGATCTCCTATACATTTGTCTGGTGCTTCGGATTGGTGTGTCCTCTTCCCCTTGTATTACGCTGATCGACCCGCTGACCGGCTTGTAGTATGTTCACAGCCAGTTGCCCACTCGAGTGCTAGATCCGATTGATGCCTGGTTAAATTACCCTCACATTCCTCTTGCCGGGCCTGTCAAGTTCTACTATCTCCTAGAGACGGCGTTATATTGCCACCAAATTCTCATCATCAATGCGGAGGCTCGTCGCAAGGACCATTGGCAGATGATGACACACCATGTCATTACCATCGCCCTTATGGTCGGGAGCTACTCCTGCTTCTACACGCGCGTCGGATGTCTTGTAATGCTCATCATGGACTGGTGCGACATCTGGTTGCCTGTATGTTGCCTCCCTGCACATAACGATCTGGCACTGACTGCGCATTGGTAGCTCGCCAAAATGCTCCGTTACCTCTCGCTGACGACCGCTTGTGACATCGCCTTTGTCTTATTCATGGTCTCTTGGGCGATTACGCGTCATGTACTTTTCATCCTCGTCATAAAGTCGACATGGGACGCGCAATATCTCATTCCTCATCTGTGGGACCCTGTACGAGGGCAGCCCATGTCCGCCAAACTTTACTGGTCCTTGCTGGCCATGATTATTGCGCTTCAGGTAATGTATTGCTCTACGAATTGCCTTTGACAAATGCTCACATCTGTATCGCACGTGCTAGGTCATCCAAATGATGTGGTTCTGGAGGATTTGCCGAGTGGCATACCGGGTAGTCAGCGGGAAAGGCGCAGAGGATGAACGCAGCGACGACGAAGAGTGAGTGTTATGCTTTGAATGAGTCACTCACTGCGTGCTGAGTAATATTCAGTGATGACAGCTATGAAGGTGAGGGGGAAGAAAAGAGAGGGCGATGAGTGCTGGTTGAACAATGATAAAGATTTGTTGGTGCTGGTCATCTCACAGCCTCCTGAATGCTCCCACTTATCCTAGCATCTTCCCTTGGTGTAATACATACGTGCTTCATGTGGACTACATTTGCGTACGACCTTGCTTGCGATTCTGCCGCAGACTGCGACCAATAGGAGGTTGCCTTATCGGGCGGATCGAGTGACCCTAGGGCGTCACGCAGCACGGTACTAGTGTTCATTGCTTTCCACAGACCAGCACTCATCCTAAGTACTGCTTCTCTCTCATCGCCCTTCTGCACTCTTGTCTTACATACTCTTTGTGCTGTGACATTCGCAAAGATGATGGCGTCGTTTATGAGTTACTTTGGCGGTCGCCGTGACGCTAAGCAAACATCGCGAAACGCCATTGTGACTCTGCGGCAGCAGCTGCAGATGATAGACAAGAAGGAGGAGTATCTGCAGAAGAAGATTGACGAGGAGCTCAAGAAGGCGAAGACGAATGCTGTGGCGAACAAGGCAGGTGCGTAGCGTGTCGTCGAACTCGGTGGTTCATGCTGTGATATGGACCTTCACGCCATCACGTACGGGCAGCCGCGACCGCTGCGCTGCGGCGGAAGAAGGCGACGGAGCAAGAGCTTGAGCGACTGCAAGGCACTCGGTTTCAACTAGAGATGCAAGTCAACACGCTGGAGGCAGCGACCTTCAATGCGGAGACGATGGCCGCGATGAAGCAGGCGGGTGGTGCGCTGAAAGACATCCACAACAACTTGTACGCTGTCATTCTGAGCATATCATGCATCCTACTGACATCTCATGCAGTTCAATCGCCAAGGTCGACGAGACTATGGCTGAGATTCAAGAGCAGACGCAGCTGGCGAATGAAGTCTCGGAGGCGATATCGGCCAATAACTACGCTGGAGTTGAGATCGACGAGGTAGGCATGATAGCTCTGCCTTGTGCTTTTGCTAATGCTTCTAGCCCCAGGATGAACTGAAGGCGGAGTTGGCTGAGATTGAGCAAGACGAGCTGAATGAGCGGCTTATGGGAGCCGATCATGTACCATTGCACCAGCCCGCGGGTCCAAGCAAGGTCGAGGACAGTGAGTGTATATGCATTGCCTTGCTTTGATGGAACTCAACGAATGCTATAGGATGGCAACCTGCAGCAGAAGATGATGATGAAGAAGCTCAGCTCAAAGAGCTGCAGGCGGCCTTGACAATGTAACATACCCATGTTAATACTCTCACTTGTACCTCTCCACCGCATTCCCGACTGGTTATCTACTGTTACATTATGTTCTAGGATTGTCCTGTCTTCTTAGTGCTGTCCTGATCCTCCACTGCTGTATAGTCGTTGCATATTTCTCTGAGCCATGGACAATCAGCCTGCCAATTAGAGGATCCCCCACTTCCGCAGGTAGGCAAGCGAGAGAAACGTACATACGTGCAATACATGTACATCAAGAGTGAACCATTAAAGAGATTAGCATGCATACAATATGACACCAGGAATATTGTTATTTGATAGTTCCGTTATGAAGTCCGTGCAAGATGGAATTATTCTACTAAACACTCACGCCCATGCAATAAGAAAACAGTTGCAAGTACCATGTCATGAAAATCCGCGGATGCCAAGCACGTGTCGGACATCGCTAGTGAAACGCAGGGAGTCGAGAACAGGCAAGAGGTCGAGCAACGCCTCATCATGCGGATCATGCGTCCAACCCTCTATCGGAATCCCATTCGCTGCGAGAAGTGGGTGTGAACATTCGACGTCAAATGATGAGGCGGGGAATTACCTTCGTTTATGTTATAGCATACTGGCGAATTATCAATTAAGCAAACACGTGCGAGGTCGTCTTCAACTATTGAGAGATCCTTTGTATATGATCCATTCGGCAACTGTGTACATGACTGTCACGACGAAGAGATTAGTAGACCCAACTATACGTGAAACATGAACACATACCTCTCTGAAGAGACGCCGTTGCAGGATACCTCGTCCAGCATCCAACCAGTCAATGACAGGATCGGCGTATTCTTGCATAGACGCCGTGAAAATAACGAGTGTATACCACCCAGATACCTTGCGTCGTACGCGTCATTGCGATGTAGAATGTCTTCAAGACACACAACCCACCTTCCTGAGAAAGTAGTCCACGAAGGGCCGCTTGTATACATGATACAGCGTACTTCGACCACCTAACACAACCTCGACGACATGCCCTGCGCCTTTGTTACCTCTGCCAAAGATACCGAGACCTAGGAGGCCCGGACCACTTGACTGTGCGTGCATCATCGGCCTGGACGTCGAATGTATGAGGGTCTCGTCGAGATCGAGCACTAGTGTCTTCGGAAGGTGGAATCCGGTTTTGCGTGTTCCAGTGCTAGGAGTTGACGAACGAGACGCGACGGATGTTTCTCTTGCTAATGTGGACACTGCGGCCGAGGCGACAGAGGGAGGGGGAAGGGATGGGTTGTCCGGATCTGTTCCGGGTGGCGAATCCCTTGCGGGCGCGGGACGGACGACGGGTGTCGAGGGATCTGGAGGAAGGATATCAACAAGTGGCGGTGGTGGCAATGACGGTAGTGGTGCGGAGAACGGTGGTGGGATTGCGGGCTGGTATGGTGTCTGTGGAAGGTCTAATATTACAGATTTCTCGTCCTTACTCTCGTCTTCAGAGTCCTTCTCGTCCTCGTCCGTGCCCTCCTCTACTGCCACCTCGACTCCCCGTCGCGCCAATGTCCTCCACGCCGTGCACACAGCATTCCAGAATTGCAGGATGATTCGTACAAAGAAGATACTTCTGAGGACGGCACCAGAAGACCGTTTCGGCTTGATGGCCTTCTCCGTAGACGAGAGAGATGGACGTCTGGAAGACGGCTTTGACTGTGAGGAGGCAGCAGAGGAAGAGGACTGTTGCTGAATAGGATAGTGAAGGATGTCCACTGCAGCCGCCGGGTTGACATCCGCAGATGACAACGACCTCTTGAGAATCCACGTCCCGGACGCAGACCTCTCGGGGAATGAGACACGAAGTGACTTTGTCGACCACGAGCGTACGCGTTTATGAACAACATCCTGGTGTTCAGTACCGAGCGAGGGCGACGTCTCCGAGACCGGTGTAGACGGTGGGGCGCGCGGGGAGGCTAGCACATCGAATTGCCGGGTGAGATATGTCAGCGAATTCATCTGCGTCGCACCGACGCCTGAAGACGCTGCGGAGAGCAGACGGTGAAGAGAGGGAAGACGGGCAGGTAGGAAATGAAGTACAGGAGATGTGGGACGAGATGAGGATGGTTCGCGGAGTTGTCGAGGTGCGGACCAGAAACGCGTGGAGATCGGTGCGCGTGGTCGCTCGAACGACTCTGCCATCGTCCGCCACTTTACATCCGCAGGCAACCGCTTTGTCTTTTATTCACAACCGACTCTGCTGACTCCGCCGGTCAACCCCGCTCGTGTTCCTGCCGTCTTTCTCAGTCTGACCGCACGACGAGATCCGTCAGGTCATCTTTCTCCCCGTTCTGTCCGTGCTGGCTATCTAGCTATGGGTATTTCGTGTAACGTGCTTCGAAAGCAGTTCTGACTTCTGACTCTTCTTGTTATCGATTCCACACGTGCGACTGAACATAGCAAACGTGCGAGGGTATGTTCTCAACGTTCCGAGTAGCATTCTTGCATAATGCGTCGGAACCGCATGATTGGCAATCTGATTTTCGCAGGGTGTCCGTGTTCGACCCCTTCTCCGTCGACATTACTGCCAAACGTGCCATGATCAATCCTGAGCTGGTCTTCCCTGAATAACGACTGGGCATTGTACGAGACGATTTAGGCTGCCCACTCGGATTAAGACGTTTGCTCATTTGCGAGTATTCCAAATGGGGTCGTCCAAGGCAGAAGTCTGAGTTTCGGCAAGTCTGCAGGTGATGGCACGCGCACGGAGGCCACAGCCTCTGTACGTGCGCATGTCGTCCGATACGGGTGGATCATGTCATGTCATCGACTGCAACAGAAGGATATGTTGACGAGAATGTCTGGTGACGTCGTCAGCTGCTAGATTCGACATCCCAGCGTGATGCTGCACGCATGTGTGAGCCGTAAGTTATGACAGTGTAGAACAAGAATGAATCTTCGGATCCGAGTATAGAGCCTATTTGATACGCTACGCGCTGTTGTCATAGTACACTATTAGTAACCACGTCGAACGTGATGCATGATGGACTATGTAGCACTTCATGGGTGGAAACATATGGGTATTAGACAAGGTAACGGAAGCCCTTCTCTGTAGCGCCTCTCGCCTCTTCCTCCTTCTCGAACTTCCGGTTCAGCGATAGCAAGTGCAGCTTGAGTATGTATAGCATTATGATTGCCAAGCCAGTCGTTGCGATGCAGATTGCGTATGAATAGCGGTACGTAGGGCCCCATGAGCTTGACCAGGTATACCTAAGCCAGCACATGAGTACGACTGTGCACAGACGAAACAATCTGATGCACTGACGAGCCAGCGACGTTGCCGATTTGGGACCACGCGTTAACGAAGGCCACTGCGACAGCACGCTTGGATGGCGGGCGAGGGAAGGTGTTGCTGGTCCAAGTGTAGAGGACGATAAAACCTACATATTGTTGCGCCATCAGAAACCTGCTCGCATATATCAGTAGGGGCTCTTTATCCCAGATAACTTTAGCCGCCACCTACAGGGACACATATCGAGCAGCGGTGTTCATGGTAGACATCGCTATGATGAATCCAACAATGCCCGTAAGATAGGGCACTGTCATATGCCAGAACCGTTCGCCAGTCTTGTCGGAGTGTCTAAGCGTGAACGATAAAATCCTCGCTCAATATAGACGTGATGCCCACACTCACCTGGAATTGACGTAGCCGAGGATTGCTGCTGTGACGAAAGGTGGCGCACAAAGCAACAGCGACACAGTTGTGTCGAAGCCCAGAGTCGCGGTCAGGGTGGGGAAGAATGCATTGAAGCTTAACGCAACGACCTGGCTTAGCATGGCGAACGCCATCCACCAGACCTTCCAGTCCGTCATAGCCATCCATAGTCCTGATCCCTTTCTTCCAGCTTCGGTCTCCTTTTCGTCGCCTACTCCCACGTCCTCTTCCATTCGTCGCATAGCGAGACGACGTTCGATGTCGCTAAGCCAGCGTCCACGCGTCGTCGTGGGGAAGTCAGGCAGTAGGAAAATGGCGCAGATGGCACAGAAAACCGTCAGAGATCCTTCAATAAAGAACAGCCACCGCCATGCAGATTGCCCGAGCTTGCCTTGCATGCGGTCGAGGATACCGGATGCAATAAGTGCACCAAAAGCATTGCTGATGATGTTTCCGCCGTAAAGGAGCGCCGTTCGAGCACCAGTTTCACTTCGCTTGTACCACTTACTAATGAGGAAAAGAGAGCCGGGGAAGAATGCGGCTTCCATGAACCCAAGGAAGAAGCGCGTTAATAGCGCACCGACGAAGCTGTAAGATATGAATGCGTCAATTGAGGCGTACACGGCCTGATATCGTCCGTCTTACTTCTTGGTGATACCTGCCCGAAGATCATCAAAAACATTCATTAGGGAATAATTGACATAGCAGCTGACCGGTCAAAATTGATAGGACGCCCCATATAATCATGCACAGTGGCAGCTGGAGGGATGGCTTTCCCATGTGGTTGAGAATCATATTTCTGTAGGGACAGAGTTGCATGGAACACCGTCATGAACACTTCGACAGACTTACGAAGGTATCTGCATGATGATATAGCCTACGTATAGAATCGATAGTAACGTGGCAAATTGCTGCCCTTCGAGATGCAAATCGCTCTCGAAACCTCGAAGCCGTGCAGCCCTGCGTACGCTATTGAATGGTGGCGTATACCATCATGGCTCGAATAAACGTACGCTGCATTATTCCGGTCTATCTAGGAGAGCGGGAATCAACAAAATACTATCCCGCACGTTTGTCATGTATTGCTTACATAGTTCAAGATGTATATAATAACCAGGATGAACATGCGCGCGTCGAGTTTCCACAACAGCCTACGTTCCAGTTTCTTGCGTGCCTCAGTGCCGCCAAACTCTGCGTCGGGATCATCAGAGACTATGTTTATGGCCTCAACGTCATCAGCTTTTTCTATGGGAGACGAAGAGCGTGATTTGGTCGCCATCTCGAGAGGGTAACTTGGCGTGCACAAATGTCAGGATCTTGGGGGCGACGCAGAAGACGCGAGGTGTCCCGCATCTCCGGGTGGTCTTTATTCTTATGCTGCATGCTTCCTGAACCATCTGCTATTCACAAGAGGCCGTTGGATGGTCACGCGGCCTAAAATAACGGAAGGAGCGGTGGAGAAAGCGTCCCGGACGAAGATCCTAGGCCAAGCACGAGCCTTGCCTTTTCGGGCGCGCGGTGCTATCAAGGAACGCGCACGTGACCGACGCGAACGCCGTTTACGCGTGTGATGGGACTCGCGCCTCGCAGTTTGCCCCGCGCCCGTGAGCGCTCGCAAGTCCAACCCGCTCGCCAGCCCCGCTGCCGGCCAGCTCGTCAATCTCGCGGCTCTTCCTGAGAACATCTTATCTTCGCCATGGACTACTGCGCCGACGACATTTTGCTTAATGGCTATGAACGCATGTGTCTCGCCATCTCCTCCCTTCCGACGCTGGAGGAGAAAGACATTCCTCTCGACGAGTCGTGCCCCATTTGTTTGAATTCATTCAAGAGCATCCATGAAGGAGAAACACAGAGTGATGGTGCACTGGTTGGCCTCTTGGTTCATCCCATAGAACTCAGAGGCGTCACAAAGTTGGAGGGTTGCGGTCATGTCTTCTGTCGTGTCGAGTGCGTCTCACCTTTCCGTCTTCGAGAACTGGCGCTTTAACTGCTTATCTAGTCTCATTGAGTGGATAAGGGGTCGGGTATGACCCTCCCTGCTTCTTACGTATGTCTCGCTGAATGCTCCCACAGCACGGTACCTGCCCGGCATGCCGCCACCAGTTCGCCAACATTCGCCCTCTCACAGAATCGGATTACGAATCTTCCGACGGGGAATATGTACCTGGCGAAGATGACGAAGAAGAGGATGACGGCTTTTTGGACACTGATGACTTCGACGGCGACGACTTTGAGTTTGATGTTGACGAGATGGATTTAGACCAGTCCGAGGAGCTAGAGGTCTACCTCGACGTACATGTCGAGACCGACGGGGATGTCGAAGTCGACGTCAACGTTGAAGGTGACAACGACGTGACCCACGAAGTCGTCTGGGAGGGTGGCGACGAAGACGACGGCATGGAGAACTGGGGCTTGAGCGATGGGGACGGCTCTGAGAGTTTGTCCGAAGGCGACCTCTTTGTCAGCGGGGACGAAGCGTTAGGTGATGCGTACGGTAAGTTACAATGTCTCCACCTGATTCACTAAAACTAAGCGCGGTCCAGATGCCGGAGTATATGAAGCAAGCGATTATCACTCCGCCGACGAGGGTAGCATTGCAGACGATCCGAAGTAGGAATAGGTCTTATTTTGGATCGCACAGAACATATTGTATACCTTTTTCATCGGTTTGTACATTGGCTGTACCCTTGTTCTTTCTGTACACTAATGCATCACAGATTGTATAACAATAACCAGCATCTATGTGTTTACATGCCTCTAGCAGTCTTGAGTACTTCGTTAACAACTACTCCTTCTCTCCCTTCCAGCCAGATACCGGTGAACTTGCCGCTCCACCGCGTCCCTTTGCCTCCACCCTTGACACTCAGCTTACTATTCAGCCCCTCTCCGACCTCTCTCACCTTCTCCTCATCCGCTCCGAAGATCAACACCACGCTGGTGGATGAAGCGTTCTGAGAAGAAGGTGAGGACGACAGCACAATTAAGTATGGTTCCAGGTCGGACGGCGCCTGGCTCGCGTAGCTCATGGAGATGGCGTTCAAAAATCCGAGTGCATTCGTGGAGTCATCCACGCGATGTCGATGCGCAAATGCCCCCTCCGGACTCTCCAAGTCATTGGCGACGACGTTCAATAGATCCTTCGCAACAACCGCGGCGAGCTCGGCTTCGAGGTCTTCAACGCGCTTTGTGGCCTTCTTCCGCTCCTCCACCACCTGTTCGACGCGTTCCGGCACCTGAGGCGCTCCGCAGCTGAGCGTTGTAGCGGTGCCGGCCAGCAGAGTGTGCGTAGACGTGAGGTAGGTGATCAGCCGTGGACCAGATAGGAAATACAAACGCGCCGAACTGGTGTTCGATCGCGACAATGCATCTGTATGCGGCAGCAGGAAGAGTTGCAAATTATGCGTCGTAGGCATGTGCGTTCCGCAGCATCTAAATATGTGTCAATACTGATCCTATACGCTGAGGTCGTGAGTCTGAGAGGGATACACACGGGCTGCGGTCGATGCCATCAATAATGACTGTCCGTTTTACTCCGCCTGTATAGTCAGACGGGAGTCCCTTGCCAACGTTGCGACCACTTTCAAGTTTGGGCACTTCCGAGATTTTCTCGCGATCCAGCTCCTCTACTTCGACGTGCACGGCTCGACCTTCGAAGACAAGCCTATTGGCTTCCTCTTGTATCGTGGCAATCTCCTCGGTAGTCATGCTCCGAGGAATCTCAACATAGGACGGGGCCGGGTAAGCCGTCAGAGACCAAGATAGAGTGGGTAAGTTTAGCCGGGTCTCGATAACGGCAGATAGCAAGTGCTGCGATGTGTGCATGCTCGTCTAGGGCTAGGTCAGGATCACATTTTACAAGGAAGCAGGTGGCTTGACGTACATGGTCCAGCCGCCGCTTGACGCCGTCCTCACCCAATGCGACACCAACTCTCGATCCTGGTGTGAAGACTCGTAGCGCCGATTCTGCATTTGCGTCTCTCGCACGAACATAGTGCACAGCATGACCGCCATGCCTCTTGACCTCTATGACATTCCAAAGCTCTCCGTCCTCGCTGGTGAGTATTCCAATGTCCGACGGTTGCCCTCCACCTTCCGGGAAGATGATTGTATCGTGCAAGATTACTTCAAGCAAAGGCTCGGATGGCGGAGGCTGCGCCTTGTCCTTCTTGCTCTTCCTACCATTCGAAGGTACCGCTGATTGCTGAGATACTGTGCAGCTCACAACGGTTGTGGCCAGTTCGCGCAGAAGCGGATCTCCTGAATATCACGTCAGCTACAGCAATACTAATTTCACAGACTACCTGCGCACGTTGACATGCCAGGAGACCGACAGGAATTGGCTGCAACGGATCAGTCGGGATCCGTAGTGTAGGCGAGACAATACGGTGGTAGGTTCGTGGTGTGGTAGGTGGTAAGAGGACTACAGACGCAGCCATGTTGTTTCTCGCAGTCAAGGCTTGCTGGAGAAAGTCTGGAGAGTGACTCGGAGATGCTGAGCGACTCAGGCACCAGCATGCACCGCGGCCATTCCCCGATCGCTGAAAGAAGCGGACCGATCGTCCGGGGACGATCGCTCAACGCCCACGGGGAAATATCGGTTATCGCAAGCGACCACCGCTCCTCGAACCGAGCTCGTGCGTTCTTCCGCTAGCTCTTTCACGGGCGGCCACCTTGTCGACCCCATTTTGATTCTGTCATGTCGCACAACCACGTCCTTCCGCAAACAGAGTATGTGCGATGGCTGTCGCTCTGCGGGGCTCCACGGGGTAGTGGTCGATCTTGGAAATTTACGCCTGTCTTGGCAGTGCGTCGCAACGCGGGGTACCAGGCAATACAGAACACGCAGATGTCTGCTTGTGTCGATGTGATAAACCCGGTGTCAATTCTGGCCGGATCCGCCGTCCAGCGAGCATAGATAGCGCCGCCCTTGCCCCGAGGGTTCTGCTCGCTTCGCCGGGTTCTCTTTCTATCGGACCACCACCTCCCCCTTCGTCCCGACTCCAGCCATGACCTCGCCTGGTCCGAAGGTCGACGACCTTGAGATCATTGAACACCACCACGATGATAGACCTGTCGGCGATGAGGAGTTTGGCGGGACCGAAGCGCGGAAGAAAATGGAGAAGAAGCTCCTTCGGAAATTAGACTTGCGGATGTCGATATTGATTATCATCTACATTCTCAACTACGTACGTTAATACTGTTTGCACCGAAGGTAAGATGTACTAACAGGTTGATTTGATTAGATCGACCGGAACAATGCCTCGTGAGTTGCAAGTGATACGTCTCGATCATGTTTACCTACCTGGTCAATAGTGCAGCGAGGTTGCGTGGATTCGAAGTCGATCTCCATCTCGAAGGGCAGCAATTCGACACGCTGCTAAGTATCCTGTATGTCGGGTACATACTCATGCAGGTGCCCTCGTGAGTGATGCCAAATCCCAGCTTGGGTGCACGAACTAAGCAATACTCAGAAATATGCTACTCAATCACATAGGAAAGCCATCAATATACCTTCCTTGCTGCATGATCATATGGGGGGCCATCTCGTGTTTGACGGGTAAGGCTTACGGACGCCTCAGTGAAAATACCACTAAGACTATACATGTACAGGTGTGACGACCAAGTTAGTAATGCGTCTGAGGCCGTCAAAGAAGCAGCTGATCATACCCTACGTAACCCAGCTTCGTCGGTGCTCTGTTGACTCGTTTCTTCCTCGGCTTTGTCGAGGCAGCATTCTTCCCAGGAGCATTGTTCCTCCTCTCGAAATGGTACACGCGGTCAGAGCTTGGTGTCCGCACCGCGGTGCTTTCATGTGGCAGTTTGATTAGCAATGCGTTCGGCTCGCTCATTGCATCAGGAATTCTGAACGGCATGGAGGGCAGGCTTGGTCACGCAGCTTGGCGGTGCGCAGAATCTTTCGTGGCGCGTCTACTATGCTCATGCATATGAACATCTTTGGTGTCTCAGGTGGCTGTTCTACATCGAGGGCTCGCTTACCATCTTTGCTGCTGCGTGTGCAATCCTCGTCCTGCCGGACTTTCCCGAAACGTCTCATACTTGGCTAAGCCCGCTGGAGGTCCGACTCGCAGAGAAGCGTATGGAAGAGGATGTTGGTGTAGGAGACGAAGCACCAAAAGAAGGCCACAGCCAACTGGAAGGCCTTACGCTGGCGCTCAGCGACTGGAAGATCTGGTGCCTTGCGCTGGCACTGACCAGCATGGTCATTTCACTGTCATTCAATGCTTTCTTCCCGACCTTGAGCGCCACCATGGGATTCTCCACTACAGTCACACTGCTACTCTGCGCCCCGCCTTGGGCGTTCGCGACCTTGGTTGCGTTTGCAGTTACAAGGTACGTGAATGTGATATAGCTCAAACGTTCAGGGTTTACAGTGTCCCATCACTATAGGCACTCTGATAGTACTCGCGAGAGATTCTGGCATATTGCCATCTCCTTGATGTTCGGCATCGTTGGGTTCATCATTGCGGTCTCCACTATGAACACCGCCGCACGATACGTATCCCTGTCAGGCATCTTTTCGCCGTGGTTGTGCCCGTTCTGACTTGCAGTTCTTCAGGTTCCTGATGGCTCAGTCATATGCTGCTTTCATCACGTTCCTCGCGTGGATCAGCAACTCGATCCCGCGACCACCTGCGAAGAGAGCCGTTGCTCTCGCTTTCATCAATGCGTTCTCGCAGCTCGGAAATATAGCCGGATCGTGAGTGCCGATGAGTCCCCCTAGCGTGATGTTCCTGACCCCATTCTTTGTTGTCAGTTATGTCTGGCCGTCAAATTGGGGCCCCACCTACCGCTACTCATATGCGATCTGTATTGCCACCAATGGCTTCTGTATTGTCATATGCTACATCTTCAAAAGACACCTCGAACATATGAACCGCAAGTTTGAGAGAGAGGAAGAAGAAGAAGGACGCCTGAAGGGATTCCGCTACATATCCTGATGTCATCAATTCATGTCATTAATGTCAAAACGACTGCAATGTATTTCCTGTGCTCCGATGACTGCGATGCATTTTCTGTGCTCCAAAATCCGTCTAAGCGGAATTAGAACGGATAAAATTCGCAACATGGGTGCATTGCCAGCATCCGGTGGACAGAACGTGATTACTATATAGGGACTCAGGTGCGAGAAGGCGCGATGATAGACTCGGCGTCGGTCGGTGTTATCTCGGCACACTGCTAGGTCCTCCTTCAGCTGACCTCCGCTGCCTAATAGTGAGGCACAGATGATTGTGCGAGTTATAGGTATGCGGTCCGTCGTGCAACGTAGCTCGTTCGTCGCTCACACCCATTCACCATGACTATCACTAGGACTTTGCACGATGGCTGGAGCTTCACCCAGATTGGCGGAGGGGAGGCTGTCAAGGATGGCGAATGGCTCCCTGTGCAATCATTCCCGACCACCGTCCACGTCGAGCTGCTAAAGCAGGAGAAGATCCCTGATCCGGTGAGAGCCATATTATGCTAACCTGATCGCAGAACACTCACATGAGGTGATCTCAACCTTAGTTTCTCGGATTGCATGAATGGGACGTGCAGTGTAAGTTTTGCGTACTACAGGCAGACTTCCATCATCAACTTTACTTGCTTCAGGGGTCGGCGAGGTCCCGTGGGCGTTCAGGACGCAGTTTGCTGCCAGCCAAGCGGAAGTGTCTGCGCCCAACGTCGATATTGTCTTCGATGGTCTCGACACGTTCGCCACCGTCACTCTCGTGAGTGAAGCGTTGCTCAGGCATCCTATATACTGAGCATGATTATGCTTCTAGAACGGACACAAAATATTGGAGTCAGTATCGGTAGTTTTGAATGTAACGACATCCTCACCAGTGTTCTCAGGACGGAGAATCAGTTCATTTCCCACCGAGTTCCTGTCAAACCATTACTCAGGCAAGGCAGCAATGAGTTGCTTATCACGTTTGCGAGCGCGTTCCGAAAGGTATATGCCGCACATTCGAGCAGCTGAGGCGCACCAACTCACTTGTGATCCGACATGTCACCTTTAGGGAAGAGAGGCAGAAAAAGTACACGGGAAACTGAATCTCTGGAATGGCGACTCTAGCCGTCTTCATGTCCGCAAGGCCCAATACAAGTGAGTCTAGCCTACACATTTCTCAGCTTGACACTCATATACTTGCTATACATAGCTATGGATGGGATTGGGGTTCGTCAACTACAGCCTTCCCTTCCGCGCGTTAATCGTTTTGACACAATGCTAATAGGACCGGTATTGATGACCGCCGGGCCCTGGAAACCTATTAGCTTGGAGACGTACCAAGCCCGCATATCGGACGTTGATATCCGTGCCAGGGTGTCCGAAGATCTGTCGGCCAGTCTGGACGTGAGCTTTACGTTGTCGCGCGATGACCACAGCATTGCCTCAGTCAACGTGAGGGGCCCCGATGGCTCCTTGGTAACCGGCCAAAGCAGCATACAAATCCAGCAATCAGAGGCGAAGGCTCGCTTCAAATTCTCCGCGGGTACTTACGAACTATGGTATCCTGTGGGGTATGGTAAACAGCCGCTGTATACTGTTGAGATCGAGGTCAAGGATGAGGTGCCTTTGCTCGCTCTGGTGTACACCGGACACTGAGTCTCACGGTCCGTCTGTGTCATACAGCATGGCGCTCTCGACTCCAAGACTCAGAAGATTGCCTTCCGCCGGGCCCGAGTAGTGCAAGACAAGCTCATCGACCAGGAGGGCCGAACCTTCCTCTTCGAGATCAATAACATCAGGATCTTTTGCGGAGGTTAGCCCCCATTCTCGTCGCGTCCGTACATGTGATGTCATGATATCTGGAAGGTTCCAACTGGATTCCTGCGGACTCCTTCCTCACGACGTATGTGTATTATATTCTCCCGCGAGTCGACGTAGCCGATGCTCACACGGACGTCTTCCAGGATGACCCGTGATAGGTACAGAGCATGGCTCCAGCTTCTTGTGGATGGTAACCAAAACATGGTCCGTGTCTGGGGAGGCGGCATCTACGAGGCCGATGACTTCTATGACATTTGTGATGGTGATTGGCATCCATCTTTGGCATGTTACTCCGCGCTGATGCGGAACATACGTAGAGCTCGGTATTCTGGTTTGGCAGGACTTCATGTTTGGCTGCGGTCAAGTGCGCATGGAATGTCAGCTGTTCCGCGGCGTTAAACTGATTGATGCTATACAGTACCCTGCCTATGACTCCTTTACCAAGTCGGTCGAGCTAGAAGCAGAACAGAACGTCAAGCGCCTGAGACATCATCCATCAGTGGTCATTCTCGGTACGTCCAGCAAACTCCATTGAACCCGAAGAGTGCCGCGCGCTGACGCGCTGACTTCCTTCACAAAGCTGGAAACAACGAAGGTCAGTCATGAGACGCATGTCCGTATTCTGAAGGCCTCATGGTGCCCTAGACTATCAGCTCGCCGAGTCATGCAAGCTCGACCTCGACTATTCCGACGAGCAATCAGACTTCCGCAAGACCACTTTCCCAGCGCGTTACATCTATGAGCGCCTCCTGCCGTCGGTCACCAACAAGCTCAGTGACATTCACTACCACCGCAGCTCGCCTTACAGTGGGTATGGAAAACCGACGACCGACAGGAATTATGGTGACCTGCATCAATGTGAGTTTTATTTATGCTTATGCGGAAGTAGCGTAGGGATTGAACATCGGTGGCTAGGGAACGTCTGGCATGGTTCGCAAGAGCCATGGCACAACTGGGACATCCTTTCTGGCCGATTCGTATCTGAATTTGGAATGTATGCGATCAAGTTGTCATCCCATGACTCGCAATTTACCCTGTACACAGGGAAGCGTACCCCGATATTCGTACCGTTGACTACTGGCTCGGCGGAGACAGGTCTCAGCGGTACCCTCAGTCGCGGTACGGCCGCTCCTTCCACTTCTCCCTTCAGAATATTCTTATTCTGTCTATAGGTCCGTAGTGAATCATAACAAGGCCGATGGCTTCGAACGTCGTTTGGAGGTAGGCCTCTTCATCTCTAGACTCACCGAGACTGAGGACTCAATGTGTGTGAATCGCAGCTCTACCTCGTGGAGAATTTCAAACATTCCTTTGAGATCGAGAGGTAAGCGCGTTATAATGTATCGAAAACGATCCATCGGGTATTCATGTACCTCGTTCCGCAGCTATGTGTACTATACCCAGATCATGCAGGCGGAGACCCTTGCTTCTGCCTACCGCCTGTGGCGACGAAACTGGGCAGGCAAGGGGCGAGAGTACACCGCCGGTGCTCTGGTCTGGCAGGTATGCCAAGTCATACGACCATCCCAAGGACCCTCATTCACTCCGCTGTACAGATCAATGACTGCTGGCCGACGACATCGTGGGCCATTGTCGACTACTTCCTGCGTCCGAAGCCGGCGTACTTCACCATTAAGCGCGAGCTGCGTCCCTACACGGTCGGCATGACGCGCAAGGAGAAGAAGACATTCGCGGACGACCTGACGGCCGCCTTCTTCACCATCGAGACCGTTCTCGAGATCTGGGGCACGAACAGCACGCTCACGGAGAAGAAGGCCACGCTCGAGGTCACCGCGTTCGACCTGCACTCGGAGTGGACAGAGACGTTCACGCAGAGCGCCGTGCTCGCGGCCAACGCGAGCACCGAGCTCTTCAAGGGCGCGCTGCCCGGGCAGCCGACGCGCACCAAGGCGAGCGAGGTGCCGCGGACGATCATCGTCTCCGCACGTCTCCTAGACAGCAACGGCGCCGTGCTCGGCCGCTACTCCAACTGGTGGGTCATGCTCTCCGCATCCACACACATCGATACCAGATAGAATCCCCCTGCCCGCGCTTCTCGAAATTCTATCGCCCGTTTCTCATTTTGCGCTCTATCCCCTCTAGGCCCGAGCCGTTCAAGTACATCAGTTTCCCCGAGATTAAGGACCTCGGGCTGAGCATCACGGTTGGATCGGACGGCGAGTCCGTGGAGCTCTCCACAAGGAAGCCGATTAAGGGCATTGTGCTCGACGTCGAGGGGGACACGGCTAAATGGAGCGACCAGGCCATCGACCTGGTGCCGGGCGACCCGCAGGTGGTGCGCGCTGTGGGACTGAAAGGGCGAAAGGTCAAGGCGCGCTTCCTAGGGGACGGAACGGCATGAGCGTCAAGACACGAGCGGGGTGTGGACTCGGAATTCAGTTGAGAACGCATCTGTACTAGTAAGAGCGTCTGTGCCATCGGCAGCGCTGCATGCGATTCAAATATGATGGGGCTGAACTCTGCCGACTTCGTCATAACACCCGATCAGCGGGAGGGGCGAATTGAGGGACTGGAATTAGCAACATGCCATTAGGAACCTCCAGGGAAAGGTGTACAATGCATGAACCCCACAAGGGGCTGTAACAACGCGTAGCACATCACAGAGACTTTACATACTAGGTAGTAATAAGGAGATAGGGGAGACGGCTGTATAGAGGTAAGAATCCAACAGTCCAATATACAAGAATACCCAAGGAAGACAGCGCAGCATGTCGCATAGGGGTTTGACAAAACGACAACAGTTATGCAGCAGGACAGGCAGAGATCGATGCAATGTATGGTTAGGGCAGTCGAGGGGAAGGGTGCGTGGCGAATGTTCTATGAGTGGGACGCAACAGTGCCGGAGAGGAATAGAAAAGTCTACGCTACATCACATGATGATGCACTTGCTGGCTGGGGGTTCGTTGTTGTTGCTATTTGACGTGGTCTTCTCAATCTCCGCCAGACAGAGCTCGAACACCTTGGCTGTGCGGCGAACGTGCCGATCATTACAGGAAGCGAGAAGCGAGCGGGTGTGTTAGTTCGCCGGCGGCAACGCGCGGGTGGGAGGGGAACGCACCAACGTTCACATTGCTCTTCGCGCTCGTCTCGACCCACGCGGCGTGATGGCGTTTGGCGAGCTCTTCGCCCTCGGTTGGAGCCACCTGCCTGGATTTGCTGTGAGGAAAAACGGACGTGTGGGCAATTAATCCGAGCACTGCGCGGCGCGGAGGCGGCGGAGCGGAGCGGCACGCACCTTTGCTGCAGGTCAGTCTTTGCGCCGACAATGACGCACGGAATCGAGTTCATGCCGCAGAAGTTGGCGACCTTCTCGTAGACGATGTCGACCATGTCGAAGGACTTGCGAGACGCGACGGAGTAGACAAGGACGAAGCCATGGATGCCGACGGCGTGCTTGGAGTTGAGGATGGTGTACTCGTCCTGCGTGCCTCGTCTGAGCGCGCCGGACGGCGAGGGAGGAAAAGGGGGAAGGCTGACCTGGCCAGCGGTGTCGAGGATCTCACAGTCGTACTCGACACCCTTGTAGGTGATGTTCTTAGAGAACGTGCTCTCGATGGTAGGGTAGTAGGACTCGACAAAGTGGTTCTCAATGTACTGGATAACGAGTGACGATTTCCCTGTGTGTGTTTTTCGACGCGGTGAGCGGGCGGGCGAGACCTCGACGGATCACAGGGGCACGCACCGACCGAGCGAGAACCTAGAACGACGATTTTCCTCTTCTTGAGAATGTCGCCGGGCATGACTGAAAGGGGGGAGAAAGGGAGGGGGACAGAGGGACGGTAATTAGGGAGAGGAAATATATGAGATGGATGGGAAGGAGAGAGGGGCGTGGCTGGCTGCGTCGAGACCCCGGATGAGCCACGGTTGCTCGCCACAGCGCATGATCCGCACCTTGCAAAATCTCCGCCTCGCACTTGAGCTCGCGTGTGCTGTTCTGGCTGCTGTGCGCTGCTATATTCGAGCCGGATGCTAGGGGCGAAAATCGTCTGTTTCAGCGGCGGACCGTTTAGCCTTTTAACCACCCGGCCCAGATCCATCACCTCCCAAAGCGCCCCGCGTCCTTCCTCTCCTCCCCACCGCTCTCCTTGTCCAGCTTTGCCCCCGCTTGGACCGTTCCCATTGGTCCTACCGTCCATCTGTGCCTGCCGCCAACATCCCCGCCACCGCGTGCGATGCACTTCCCTTTTGCTCCGGCTCCGCTTACGCACAGCTGTCCATCCGCACTGCATTCCCCCTGCCGCTTTTACGTGCCCGTACGTCGCTCTCGCCAGCCGGCACCTCACCTGAGCGAGTCTCATGATGTCCCCAATTAATCGCACCGCGCCTGCTCCTCTGCATCCTCCAGGGCCATCCCTTCTCCGTGCGTCAAGAATTACCACCATTACGCGGTCATACTGCCTTCTCCAGCACCACATGCAGACCCAGTCTAGAGCGCGCGCCTCGTAGAGATCTCGCGCCCAATAGACTGCCGTATAGTCCACAACTCTATACGTACGTCTTCTCAGGCTGTAGACTCTCCTCGTACGCCTCCGTACCACATCCTTTAGCTCCTTCCGTAACACAGCGCCCGCAATTGGCTCCGCCGGTTCGCCCGTTCACCACGCACGTCTGCTTTTGTTACATCTCCCGCGGAATCCCGCGCCTGACAAATGACAGTGGGTTTCTTCGCAGTGGTCTGTTCTCCTGATGTAGAACATGGCGGTTGCAAATGCCACTCCTGGCGGCCGCTTTGCCAAGCAGCGGGCGTCGCAGCGGATACAGCACCTCTGCTTTGAGATGCATCGTTGCGCGTATCCATATCTAATCCCTGTCTAGATTGATCAACTCTGATAAGGCAGCGTGCCCCAAATTAAAACGCGGCAGCAGACGCCCGAGGGCCGAATTGGCCTTTTTTTGTGATCAGTGAGACCCCTCGAAATGCACAGACCGGACCGCTATGTAGAAATGCACAGGCCGGACCGCTATGCGCACGCCACGCAGGCCGCCGCCGCTTGGAGAAACGGGTGAGCATGGGACGACGATCCAACATCGCAAGTGGCGACGGTACTAGTGCAAGCTCGCAGCGCCCGTCCGAAAATATCACATGGAACACCGCCGGCCGACAGACACCAAGGGAACGGAGACCTTTAGATGGGTATTCTCGATACCGGCCCAGTTGACGCGTCGCGCCACAGACACCGCGGACCGGTCGAGGGGAGAGTTGCAACTTTGCACGTTGCCTCGCATCACGCCGCTATCTGCGCACTCGCTCGCCTTGGAAACTGCTTCCAGTGGCGACCGCGCTGGGAGGCCAGTAGATCGCTATTCGGGCCAACGCCCAGACACAGACACTCCCGCTTAGTGTGATCGTCGTCGTGATTTTGCTCCCTCGTTCTCAAGCTTTCAGGCTCGCTCAGATTATGCGGGGGTCCACCACCCGCATCTTTCGGGCCAGATCACTTCAATTAGTGATGCATTGCGTCCGTGCCCGGGAACTAGGAGACATTTTGTATGTCATATAATGTACCCGAGTAACTCAGGCGCCACTAGTAGTCTGCTAGTAGATATCAAGCCTCAAGCAACGCGACAGATTTTCACAGATATTCCCGTGTGCCTGTGCTGACCATCCGAAGGAAGCCTCGGGGATCAGCCGCATACGCGAGCCTGAGAGCAGCCTGCCAGAGACCCTTTGGATGCCGACGAAGCGCAACTAAGCCTATTATAATTGATATTGCCGGCGACCTGGACACGCCGCGCGTCGGGCGCAGTACGGGCGAATTTGTGTATAAGCTTTCTCACCGCGTCACCAGTCACCAGTCGCCGCCCGCCGCTATACATTTCAATGCAGTGGAGTAATGCTGAGAGATGTGTGATTGAGTTGTGCAGCGGATCTGTGCCGGCTTGGACAAGGCCGCGCAATACCATCCAAATACGACCGTGCTGGGGTTGGTCCGCGACATCAGGCGGAGGGGTTGCTTGATAAACTACCGGTGAGGTGCGCTTTGGTGCAGTGACTGACGTCTGGGCAGAGGAAGCTTTGGCGGTGGTACTTCTGAGCGTCCGGACCTTCACAGGATAGTAGCAGTGTCGTATATAGGCTTGCCAGAGTATGGCAGCTGCCTTCTGAGCAGCGGCGACACCTGAAAAGGGCTAAGTAGCACAGCAATTGGCTGGGGGAGGTGGATGCGGGCAAACCTAACTGTGCGATAGTGGGTCGTGCGGTTCAAGTACTCAGAAGGACGGCAGCTCGAATTTGAAGGCGCTTCAGCTGGTCGGTCGGATGAGGTCCGTCTGACCACCGCCACCAATGACTTGAAGATCTGGGGACACAGTGGCTCGGAAGATTACACGGACTGACTGAGAAGCACATACAAGGACTCGACCGGGTCTACGGCCTGACGGCAATTCAGTTGCTCTCTTGCTCGCATGTAGCATAATTAGGCAGTGCGGGGAGCAGCCTAGCGCCTGCTACCCTCTACTCTCCCTAGGCAGGCTATGCAAGAGCAAAACTCGAGCCAATGGTACTCACATATATGCAGGGGGACCACATTCCAGCCGTCTGTCCGATGCGCTACAATGCGTCGTCACTGTTGGATAAGTGAATTCAGCAGATGCGGATCTGGGTGATACACGCGAGCGTGCCTTGTGAATATAAAGCGGACGCCAGGGTCGGCTATGTATAACTCATCGAACATGTGCATGATCGCCGAGGAGCGAATCGTGAAGGTGTGCACACTGGGGCCTGAACTTCGGTGAAGTATGAGACAAGATGGTCAGCTACACCCATAAGCACCCACAAACCTCCTGCAGCACCGCCGGCCGCCCTGGGTTCCTAAACAAAATTCTCCAACCGCACGAACAGCACACTGTTAGCATCCGCAGTTGCGAAACAGGGCAGTAAAAGACGCTGTGGAGCTCACTTCCTCAGACTCACGGTTGTCCTTAGGCATCAGCAGAACACATTTTTCTTGGGCGGCCGTGATAGCTTGGAATAAACAGGATCGGGACGATCAAGGAAATTAGAAAGTAATTCAAGCAATAACGCGGTTTCGGCGGCTTAATCTGGTATATTTCCAAGACATGTTTGCGTGCTTGATCAAGATGCGCCAAGAAAGTCAACTAGCTTAGGATGAGCAAGCGTCACGACTGATGTAATCAAGAACGTTATAGCCCAGTGACCACATCTTTGGCGTTTGAATCGTGCCAAAGAGCTTGACTCAGGGCAATACAGACTGGCCTCCAGCCGCGGCGAGTGCTGCGACGCGATCACGTCGATGCAGCAAATTGCTACACGTGACCGTTCAACTTTGAACCGTGTGCAAGTGCTGCACCAGCTTCGCACCAACTACTTAGAGCCGTGTTCGTCATTCCATTCCCCTTACCTTCGGACGATCACCGTCGGGCACACACATCTGCTCATCATTGACCTTGTGCTTGGGAGAACATCTCGCTGAAATCGTCATGTCTACAACGTCGACCCCCAACGACTCCCCCGCGCACGTTCAGCCACTGCACAACCCTTCGCAAGCCGCGCACGTCGTCGTGCCTCAGGCACCCCTCGGCAACACAACCAATGGCTTGCCAAGCCAAGCGCCAGGTATGGGGGCGAAGGCACTTCTGGCAAAGAGGCTGGCGAATCAGTGGGTCCCATCTTTCTGTGTGGCGCAAGGTCAAGGATGCTAATCTTGTGGGGGACCAGCAACCCGAAGTATATCTCACCAACGGACAAGATGATGACGCCGGTTAGCCAGAAGCTAAATGCGGCCAAGAAGAAGCATTTCACAAAGTGAGCCCCTCGCACATAGTGTGTTGAGACGCTGAAACTAATGCTCGAGGAGCAGGGGTGCTAAGCCCATGCCGTCTCTATTCGCCCAGAAAGAGATCAGCTCTGATTCTGAGAGTGGGGATGAGGCAGAGGCGCCTGCGTCGTCATCAGGTGACAAGAAGATGGGCGAAGACGAAAACCCCTTCTAGCTTGCCATTGAAGACGAACTGCTGTATCATCATGAAACTTGTACGACCTCTTGTTTCCTCCTGACTTATGCCTTTTACTCGTCGTGTCTGTATAGCTATACCCATCGTTTTCGTGCAGTTTGTACCGCCTGGAGCTGGCTCGGACATGTACAGTAGCTGCAATCGTTATTCCACGAACTGCCTTTGTGCAGTACATGGGCATTTATGTTCTCGCGAGTATGAGCACTATCCTGCCCTAGGCCACCAGAAAGCCATGAGTAACACGCAACGTTAACAGTCCATTCGAATCGTAGCCGTAAGGATCATCGTCGAAGACGCCACCAGCATTCATAGTTCATTGTTCAGAGGACTTAATGCCCGCAGCGTTCGTGCTATCGTCTCATCAGTTAATGTCAAGATGTACAAAGGACCGGTATGAAGATGCCGACTCCGTGATTACGACGAAACAGCAGTAGGCAGACATGTAGCGAAACCGGCGATGTAGTGATGAAGGGACGACAGCATCCAAATGTCCTTAGTCCCGAGATGCAGCAGTATAGTATGATGAATGAACGACAGCAGTCCGTACCCAACGTGTCCCAAATGCAACAGCCCTCACAACATCGTAAACTAATTCCTCCTGCAGCACCGGAACAGGTTACGCTTGAAGAAGTAGTACAAGCACTGTGGGCGAAGTGAGCAAGCGGGACAACCATGAGAGATGGGTGCAGACATACCCCTATGAACCGGACTGCTGCCAACCCGAACGTCGAGTACAGAATGACGGCGAAGTAGATGTTTTGCTTCTTGCGTAATGCGTCTTCGTCGACGGATTCATTACCACTTGAAAGCCCGTTCAAGTTGGCAACGGATATAGCAAGAACCGCGTTCGACAGCATCCAGAATGCCACCAGACGCGTCCGGAACGTTTTGTTCTCGTCGTCCATGGTGGGCTTCTCGATCTCCTCCTTGACCTCCAGCTTGGTGACCGCACGTGTAACAGTCTCCTTGAAGTGCGCGTCGAGATCCTCCTTACTTCTTGCTGATTCCTCGACCACGGCTGTTTCTGCATCCTTGGCCTTCTTCGATGATACTGATGGTAGAGCCTCCGCCTTGTCACTACCCTTGGTACCCCAAGAGACCTTAAAAAACCCCAAATAAGCGATCACAGCATCACCGCCAACACCAATCAGGCTCTTACGTCGTGCAGATTACAAAAGGCGTAGACGTTCAGGACGTTAGTGAAGCTCGGTGCCAAGCACAGGTATTGGAAGAAGCTGGTGAACAAGTGCCACGGGTCGCGCTGCGGGAATTATGACATCAATTCAACGAGCATCTTTCGACTATCGTTGAACGTACGTATAGGAACGAAGCCATGAAGTAGATACCTGCAAGAGGATTAGTCATGGCTTGGATGGCGTAATTATATCGTCAGGAGAAACATACCGTATGTTGATACCATAGCAGCGATCAAAGCACCGACTGGGGGCTTGAAGAACGTCAAGACGATTTCTTTCACTGATGTCTGCGCTCTTATCAGAGCTGGAACCGCCTGAAAATCGGCAGATCAATGAGTGTTCACGGAAACATACACATCTATTGCACTTACTATGAACGCCTTTATCGTCAACGCGAAGGAACAAACGAGTAGGTACAAGGCCAGGACAGCATAGACCCTGACAAAAGATGAGACATTATATTCACATGCCTGATATTTAGTCACCCACCATAGTGTGACGGTGTATGCCATTCGCTCTCCCTTCGGTCTGTTACCCAGAGCGAGCACGAACTGAACAATGTAAATTCAGAGCTGACATTTGGAGATCCTATGAGATAGCACATACCTGAAGACACAGGAAAGCAAGATAGATCCATTTGCACGCTTCGTTAACCCAATGTGTCTGGGTGACGAATAAGCACTTTCAACAACAATTCAGGGAAACATGCTCACAATATCCGCGGTACCGAAGAACGTAAGGCCATCCGAAGGAAGTAGCTCGATGATGATGGAAAAAGTCAACCAGATGTTGGCCAGAGCGAACCACGAGAAAATCAAGCTGAAGACATTGTACTACACAAGACATCAACGAATGAACAGCAGAAACCGCGAATCCACGTACAATAGCCTGGATGTGGAGGAAGAACATGCGAATGATGCCATGGCCGGACCTGTAGAGCTTAAAGAAGTTGACGAGCGCATACTGTCGGAAACAAAATCCGTGAGAGTCCGAAATCTGTCATACACATATCAACCTACCACGGAAGCGGCAAAGGAACCATTCAACCAACGCCGACGCTGACCGATGAGTTCTGCGGCAGACTCGGGTACATCCGTTTCAGCCTTACTAGGCTTGACATACGTCAGAGTCCACCTATCACCCGCCTTCGCGACCAACTCGAAACAGAGGATACGATCCTCGGCCAAGAACATATTCTTTGTGAAAATGTTCATGCCATAGATACCCTTGGGGCCAAGACGATCGGCAAGCGAGTGGTCACCATGGAAGTACTGCTCCAATGGCTTGCCCAAAATGGCGCGGTACCGGTAGGCGGAGAAGGCACCAGGCAACACTGACACGTAGCCGAAACTACTTTCCAGGGGCTTATCTGTAGGGAGTTGTCAACCGAGTGTGACCATCCCAAAGCTTATTTACGCACCCAAGATATTTGACATCTTATACTCGAAGTTCTGGGCGGCAACCAGAGGGTTGAGGAGCTTTCTGCCACCTTCCAACATGGCGTGGATTTCACCACAACAGCCACCCAAGTGAGGGTCATTATAGAAAGCCTCCCATAGGTAGTAGATAGACTTGTGCCCAGGTTTCGTACCAGCGTCAATGAGGACACAATATTCCGGCTATTGACAATTTAACACGATTCAGCAACCAATTGTAAAACACACACCTCCAACATCCGACCAATAGCGTTGAACAACCAACGGTGAGAGTTGATCTTCTTTTGATTCTTCGCCTTGATGACGAGGATGATGGATACGGGTACCAAGTTGGCATGATCATCTCCGTGCGGCAATATCAACTGAGGTGTGGGGTCAACGGAAAGTTGCGTTGTGTACTAAAGCAAGACAATTTTCAAGTAAGCCGTCGAGGTTCTTCGCAAGAAGAACATACCTCGAAAATGTGTGCGACAGTGTCCTTGCCATCAACTTGCTTCTTCATGACACCATCCTGATAGACGCCTACGGTAGCCAGAATATCCAGCACCGTCTTGTCCATAGGTTCCAGACCATCAATGATGAGCGCAACAGTGATCTTTTGCCACCCTGGAACACCTTCTTCCGCAGTACGGCGCCAGTACTTCGACTGCTTGGTCTTGCAGATATCACGGATGTTCAACATGACGCCGTGCAGCGTGCGAGCGTAAAGAGTCTTGTCTTCGTTATACGACGTGATGGCAATGAGTAGCTCTGTCTGGCGGTTGTACATCTTGGTTCGCAGAGAGTAACCGTTCGCTTCAGAGAAGTCATCAGGGTCGCATGTCGCGGCAGTGTAACGCATATGGCTATACACGCAGCCATCAGGATACAAAATCAATGATATGATCATGCACTAAACACGTACGAGAATTCAGTGGTCTTCGAGCCCAACCACTTAGGCTCGATCGCGCTGTATACGGGAGTCGGCACAGGGTACTCCGCAATGAAATTACCCTTCGTAAGCTTGACTTTACGCGTTACACCACGCTTGATCGTCTGTCGCCGCCTCCATGCAGATTCGACGCCAGAAGATGCCGTTGATACAACCGAGATAGGGCGGTCATAAGGATCACCGTAGGCATTAGGGTCAATGGGGCTGCGATAAATGAGGTCAGATACAGGAGAACATTGCAAGCATGCACAACGGTGGCTGATCGAAATCACGCCACGCGACGGGCAGGACGAGCACTTACCCAGGAGGGTACAACCCGCCTTGAGCTGCTGTGAGTGGAAGTTTCTCAACCTCCTCGTCGTCGTAGTTGCTGCCCATACCACCAAACTCGTGCGGAAGAGAGGCCGTGCTCTCGTACGCGGCCATGTTGGGCTCCTGAAACGCGACCTGGCGCGGTGGGCGGTCTGCGAAGGGGTCAGAGTGGTCGGACAGCGTTACTGAGCTCTGAGATGCATAGGAGGGGAGGGGAGGGCGATGGTCCTCGGCCATTTTGCTCGGTGTGCTATAAAACGGCCTGGAGGATGTTAAAGAAGGAGGGCTGGCGTGGCCGGGTCGTCGTGGGTATCGAAAGAGCTGAGCGCAGCCCCGTTGGCAACTTGAAGACAGTCGTCTCTGATCCCCCCGGACACCCTGTATGCTATGGCTGTACCCTCCGGCGAACCCCAGCCTTGCCTTCCTTTCCCACCGGACGGGCATCCCCGTCACCCCCTATTTCATAGCCAATCACCGTGCGTGACCGGACGGCGCGGCGCGCACCGGCCTTCTCAAATCGGGTTGCCAAGGCGATGAAGGGCTGTATTTCCGCTTCATTTGCGTCCGCTATTCTCTGCGTTCCAATAATAACCGGCTTTGCCGCCCACATCAAGATGCTGCTCCACCAGCTCAAACCCACAAATCTGACCACGGGCTACCACAGACCGCGTCCATATCGTGATTGCTGACTTGGCTTGGTCTTTGGTGAGTACACTGCCTAAACACTCCTATTTGGCTGTGGTATGGCTGTGGTAATGTTAATCATGTCGTTTCACACGCCTCATTGTAACTTGCAGGCCGCTCAACAGGCGGTCAAGCAATGCCTGAAACGTGGGTCACAGAAGCAGTAAGCGCAGGCCTCAGCCGCTGTGCATTTGGCAGTCCTCGATGTTATCATCGTGGCACAGCCGTATCTACTAACTTGGTATTTACACTGAACGTCTTCGAGGCGCTGCCATACCGTTACGAAGGCGTGTGAAGCAACCTTATGTGACTTAGGTGAGACCCAGAGTTTTATTGACATTGTCCAGACAAGGCTCACATACATTGACACTGGCATATTGTCATCTTGGATGCCGCGGTAGTCGGGGGCTCCTGTGCCTGCAGGCCCAGTCGTTGTACAGCCTTTCATGTATTACAGGTCCGCTGTGATATTGGTCGTAATTCGGGTCTACAAACATCTAATCGGCGCGAGCTAACGAGGCGCTCCCCACCGCGTCGGGCGTTCGCAACACATATGACGTCCCCCGATCGATGCAAGGCAATGCGGGCTGTTCAAGGCTTGCATTCAACGCTCTTTGCTCTCGTCTATCACGGCCCCCTCCGCATCCAAACAAAAGCGCTTCGCAGAAAAGGTTGCAAAGCAGGCCTCCAAATGTAAGTCTGATGCGTCCACATTGACCGCCAGTGGCTTCGTAAACACGCCCTTAACCAATGTCTCGGCTGCGACCAGCCAGGAAGACCTCACGTCCATGACCAAGCTTCAGATTGCGGCCGATAGGTCAGTCGTCTCCGCATTCGGCTGCCGAACCAGATGATCGTGCGACGCCACCTTCAGGAGTGCAGCAAGAGTACTCGTCTCTGACCCGCGTGCCGAACAGTGGGGACGTATGGCTCGCATGCCCTTATCAATGCTGACTGAGCGGATGACTGACAGGAGGGGGGATATTACCTGGCGGACTGGTCGGGGTAGGAGAGTACTCTCTCCCGCTCCCTTTCAGTTTACCGCCAGGTATGTTTGCTTTCGAGCTAGGTCCACTAGCAACAGTGCGTGCTGACATCACTTTATCGCTGAACTCTTCCGGCGAGAACCAGTGGCCGTCGCCGATTAGAGCTGTTTTAATGACCACTAAGTCACTTCTCGTGATCATGATCTCCTGAAGGACAGTCGTTTACAAGGATCCTCAGAACAGACGTGGATCGAGCCGACCGCATTTTGTAATGTCGATCAGTCAAATGACATAATTCCTCTCTAGGCGGATTGATTCAACCGTAAGGATGGGAACTAGAGCTATATTTTCTGATCGCTCTTGAACTTAGCATGTGAACTTTTCGAGCAAGCGAATGAACACAGGATATAAACACGTATGTTGCGATCGAGTCTTGCAACCTGTTACCATTCGTTCTGCACTCGGGATTTACTCACTGCGTGAAGATGTCACCACCGGTTGTTCTGTACCAGTACGTCTGCGAAATAACGGTTCCTCAGGTATTTCTACAATATCTCTGATTCCTTTGCAGTTATGACTTGTCCCCTTATGCCGCCAAGATCAAGGATGTCTTGGCACTGAAGAAGATTCCGCACAAGAGAGTTGAGGTAACATGTCGTGCTGATCATGGAAGTCGTTTGATTAAGACAATCTTGAGGTGTCATGGATTCCTCCACGGCCTGAGCTCTCAGAGATACTGGGAATCCCCTACCGCCGAATCCCTGTTCTTACAATAGGGAACGACGTCTATTGCGACAGCAATATGATTGCATTGGCGCTCGAACGCCGTTTCCCTGCTTCTGAAGGCTACGGAACCCTTTTCCCCCCGCGAAGAGGGACGAACAAAGTGGATCAGGGCATCATGAAGGCGTTTTCCGTGTTTTTCATTGATAACGCCGTCTTTCACGGAGCAACAGACCACATACCATACGAGCGGCTCACCCCTGAGTTTATCGTGGACAGAAGTTCCGTGAGTCGCCTGGAGAGTTATCGAATTACAGTGACAAATCCGGTCGCAGTTCCGTGGGCACTACATTGATGTTCCCGCCATTGCCGCGCGGCGAGAAGAGGTCAAGAGTACACTCTCATCGTATCTGGTACGTAACCATCCGCTATGACATGATATATGAGACTAGTGTTGAAGCGGTTCTGTAGCATTTGCTAGAAGAACAATTGGTCGACGGTCGCGATTGGCTGTTTGATACCGAAGGCCCTAGTCTCGCTGATAATGCGGCGTACTTTGTCTTCTACTGGATGAAGGATTTCATGCGCTCACTAGATGACCTGTGGGATCCTGTTACGTTCCCAAGAAGCATGGAGGTGAGACTCCGTTAACGACGTGCATCGAACGAAGTACTTGATTTTACTGGAAATTTAGTGGATTTCGCGTATTACGACTCTTCTTGAAGACCTTCGGAAGGAAAACGCGGCGCCGTTCGAAGCCATCACTGGACAGGAAGCCGCCGAACTCATCAGCTCGTCGCAACGGGAGGATTTGGACGTCATCGGCTTCGACAGCGTTGAGGCGAGTCGATTGAACGTCGCAAAAGGAGAAATGGTGGCCGTCATGCCACGGGACTATGGTATGCTGTGTTGTTGCCCCACAAAGTCGTGGCCTGGTGCTGAAATTTAGTCCTCCAGGTCAAGTGCCGACTTGTGGGAAGCTCCTTGCACTGAGCCGAGAGGAAGTCGTGATTGAGACTGGGAACGCTAGTATCATGCTACGATGCCATTTCCCGCGCTTGAACTTCTCTGTAAGGCCGAAGAGGGACTTTGAAGGCGCGGCGAAATTGTGATGCTTAATTCGTCATCCCGAAACATGTACTTGATACGACTTGGAATTCATGCGCACTATTGCTACTACCCCGGTGTCGAATTCGCCGACTATCCATGTGATATACAAATTTGTAGAGGATACACACTCTGATCACTGCGGAATGTGTGTAAGTATCGTCCGCAGTGATCGACAATGCCTCGCGCACGTGTAGCCCTGGCGCGCCAAAGTCACGGTAGACTGGTAGTCGACCCTTCGCTCCGCACCACCACCATCGGTATAGTCGTCGACGCAAACGAAGCGAAGCAGCCATGCCCACTGCTGCTATGCAGTCTGCTCCGCAGGCACGAGCCAACCGGGCCCCTGCTGCCCAGGAGGAGTCAACTTGGGGCAAACTTTGGTCTATTGCACAGGTAAGTACTATGCTGCAGGCTTTAACACAGTCGAAAGCGTCTACTGAAGGAGTGATATGTAGCAATTCCTGATTATGTATGTTGTTATGCAAGTCGGTAAGCTGGCAGGTCAAGTGTTTTGCTAGGACAAGTCTGATTCTTCTGTGCTGAAGCTACGAAGTTCTTCGCATCCAAGACGCCTCCTGTACCTTCCACCGTGCCTTCGGTTGTGCAGGAAAGCATCCCCCAGGCACAGACAGGCAGTCAGTCAGTTCTACCGCCTGCCCAGCCTACACATGCACGGCCAGCTTGGGCCCTCAGCATACCTCTCGCGATGCACGTGTACCTCTCGACGTCTCCTACGGGCGAGGTGTTCGCAAACCAATGGACGTCGGAAAGGCGCGATAATCAAGATGATAAATTACCTCATTTTGTGTGGGAGAACATAACGTATGGCGACTGGTCAGATACGAGAACGACGGACTTTGTAGTAGACCTGCCGGTGGTAAGTCCTATCACAATGGAATCTTTGGCATGTCACATTGTATCATGCAGAGCGTACAAGCCAACGGCTCACTATGGGCGGACGTATTCTTGGTCAAAGATGGAGCCAGTCCCGACCCATCTAAGCCGAATTTCGACAGCAGGGCCGTGCACCATACCAGGAAATGTGAGCCTTCGTGCTATAACTTCTGGCAGTCAGCCTTACAGACCTCTGTTAGTGCTGACCCGATACCTTCCGAAGGCTAAAGTCCGCAAGGTGAAGAGTCTTATATCTGGTCAAGACGAACAGCCGGAGGAGGAGGAGGAACCACAAGTGAGTAGAGATCATTTATAGGGCATTCTTCAATTAGCTCACTCGCCGTATTAGACTGACGTCATCGCGTCTCATTGGCACCCAGTAGGCTGCATTAGCCGCATCTTGATGATTATATGCGCTGAAAGTTGTGTTCATTGTAGAATCTCACCTTGGCTCTTGTGTCTGATGCCACGGTTCTTCCCTACACCCAGCTTCCGCCGCCGCTCGCTCAGCGTGAGTGATCCTATACTGTCAGCATAATCTGAAATCATGCAACTGTCTTATTTGAAGATGTCTATCTGTACCCCGAGAGGGATGAAGCAGGAACAATCGCATTCTACAAACCTATAATATTCCCGAACGATTTCTGGCTTCTTCGTTCTCAGTTCATCGAGATCAATAAAACGACTGCTCAGCTACCGCTTTCGGTGACGTTCCAGCCCCTCTCCTACTGGAAATTTCAAATCTACGCCTCGTTATCACAAGGGCTCGACGATGCAATAAAGCAGCAGGGCGGTAGTGGCGCAGAATTGGACGAAATCAAACGAATGCTTGTCGAGACGAGCCCATGGTACCTGGGTCTTACCGCGTTCGTCAGCGTCTTGCACATGTTGTACGTAGCCATTCTGACGTGCAGGGACGGCAAGTCGCTGACCGTGGCTTAGGTTCGAGATGCTCGCGTTCGGTTCAGATGTCGCGCACTGGAGACAAAAGCAAGAAATGGTTGGGGTCTCTGTTAGGTCAGTGATTGAACCTTGTCAGCCCCTAACACATTTTATTTGACATGCGTTTCTTGTCTACAGAACTGTAGGTGCCAGAACAATAATGGCAAGGTCAGCTAGTGCTCATCGTGAATGCCGGACAGATCGTCACCAATGTCGTCGTCCAAATAATTATCTTGTTATACCTCATCGACAATAACGAGCAGACCAGCTGGATGATTTTGATGGGGTCCGGTATGGGAGTTCTTGTCGAGGCCTGGAAGGTGAGGGCATCGCACGCCTGGAATCATACGATGCTCATCGAATTCCCAAATAGATCACAAAAGCTGTCGACATTAGGATTGTGCCTGCTGCTCCAGGGGCTTGGTTCCCTTACAAGGTTGAAGTTAGAGGTGAGGAACTAGCGCAATTGCAACAGACTTTCGGCTGACATTCGGACGGAACAGACAAACATGTCTTGTCTGAGGACGAGAAGAAAACTCAAGAGTCAGTTCATACCCTCACACTAATGACTCGCACTCACCCGGACATAGGTATGATAAGTTGGCGTTCCGCTACGTCTCGTGGGTCACCATACCATGCTTGGCCGCATACACCGTGTATTCGCTATTGTACGAGACACATCGAGGGTGGTACAGTTTTGTCATCTCGACGTTGACCTCTTTTGTCTACATGTTCGGTTTCGTAAGTGTCACTCTTGGTTTGCGATGTCATCGGACCTTTGACAAGTGTGCTTTCAGGCCCAGCTGGTGCCCCAATTGATCATAAATTACAAGCTCAAGGTTCGTTTTCATGATCGCACACTATACCGCGGCTGATGACGTACTTGTGTCAGAGTGTGGCTCACATGCCCATGAAAGCCATGATATACAAAACTCTGTCCACGGTTGTGGACGATTTCTTTGCGTAAGCCGACACCTTACCGCGGCAGTCGCATAGGGTGACTGATGGCCGCCTTACGTAGATTCTGCATCAAGATGCCGCTGCTGCATCGGTTGGCCTGCTTCCGAGACGACGTAGTGTTCCTCGTGTTTCTGTATCAAGTGCGTTTTCGGGTTGTGATCTCGCCTCGCGCGTGCGCTGACGCCATTCCTTATTTGCAGCGCTGGATCTACCGAATTGATCCCAAGCGAGTGAACGAGTACGGTCAGGTGCTGGCGTCAGAAGTTGATGCCGTACAGGCGAATGAGGGCAAAGAGACGGCAGAGGCGAAGAAGAACAAGTGATCAAGTGGGGTCGGTGACTGTGTATACCTACTGTGTACCCTCGGCCGGAACAGGGATTATCTATCATTCGCCTGCAGATGACCAGGAAGCATATGGATCTGAATCGGATGCTTGCACGGCACTTGCTGCGAAGTCACTGCGACGGGTTGCCGGGAGGCGGTGAGGACTAGTACAGCAACTGCGGTCCGTGTGCGCGGTCGGACGACGGGTGAAATCTGCTAAAATTTCCCAGGTCGTTGGACGGGGCTTTCTGGGCGCTTCCCCCGAGTCAGCGCGCGTTCGTATGTAACACCCTTTCTCTCCGACGTCCCGTCGTCTCTTTTCCTTCCTCCTCCTCCATCTCGCCCTGTGTTATGGCCACCAATGGCCTACCCTCCATATATGCATGCCCGTGTCTAAATGTGCAGGTGCGGCCCCAGCCGGCGCAGGGGGACCCTCCCGCCACCCACGATGAATTCGAACCCGTGTATGCGGGAGATGAGGGTATCTCTGTGGTACGCTTATTCCTGCTCGTACAAATCTACCCATCTGATTTCTGGAAACCTCTAATTGAAGACCCACACCCAAGTAACCTTGCGGACACGCTTGCGACCGGAATCTGACGAACGGAACGCTCGGAGCATACAATATGTATCACTGACATGTCTGATCTGCCACTGCATGGTGTACCGGGTGCAACGGATCCTGGACCCCGAGGTGGATAATGGAGAGGGCCCTGTGCTCCCAGCTGATGATTGGGCGGAGCGGGATTTGCTGAAGAGTGCTACCGGCTGGGTTGAAGTCTCGAAGGGCTGTTCGGTGCGTGTCCCCGTTCCACCGAGCGTCTCCAGGTGCATAGGCGTGCACTGTGCTGCCTTGTGTCCTGGACGTATGCCCGACTGTCTACGGAACTGACCGTTCCACTGCGTTCAGAAGGAGGAAGCCGTTGCTCGAGCGACAAAGTCCCCCTCGTACTCACAACTATTCAAGATTGTCCTACCTTCTGGCAGCCCCTCCTGGACATCCCCTTCTGCGCCAGTTTCCTCCTCTCCGCTCAATTCGGAAGAGATCAGGCGGAAGCATCTACCGCCCTTACCCGTGCTCTTCCTCCCTCCTCCTTTCACACCAAGTCACCCAGTGTTCACTCATCTGTCTTCTGTCGCCGCAGCGGAGTCTGAGAAGGCCCGTGATGCGGCTGAGGAATATCTTTCTAAGATCGCGGAGGAGAAGGCAGCGGAGATTAAGGTTGTCGAAGCGGGCCTTAAGCGGGAGGTCGAACTGTTGTGGAGTAAGTTTAAGGAGAATCTGGAGGCTGCGCATCAAGACGGGAGTACCACTAGCCAGTCGTCCTCTTCCTTGTTGGGTCGCCGACTCAGCCATACGAAATGGTCGGGGCTGACAAGTCCTGGAGCAGATAGCGCGAGCGGCCAACCCTCGTCAGTACGGATTAGCGAATTTGTGCCCGTGCAGAACATCTCCCGGCGGACGTCATCTGTAGTTTCGCCCCGTCAGGTGACATCCACACTCTCAGCTTCCCTGGCCTCGACTTCTTTCCATTATCCCAGGGCACAAGAGCCTGAACGAGCTGCTGCTTCCGCACGTGATGGCAGTACCCGATCTCCTTCCCCATCCTCGCAATCTGTGACGCCGCCATCACTCAGCCGTTCTAGTACCACGCGTGTGGTCTCCCCTTCTACTGCGTCGTCGCGAACAGTCGCCGCCATGGCCATCAATGGGAATGAATCGATCTCTATCCGCGAAGCGTACAGGAGGAACATGGACCAGTCAAAGGACATCGCCACGAGCTTCAGATATGTAGTTGATATGGAACAACAGGCCATGGCGCACCTTACACACCGGGAGCCCAGTCCGCCTGTAGATGCTTCAACCAGTGTCAATGGTGCCGAAAGCTCTTCTGTTGTATCTGCTCCGCGCGGGCGATCTCCAAGGGCAGGCAAGAGCTCCTTCAAGAAGGGCAAAGCTGAAGCGATAGCTTCACAGCCTGAAGAGAATCGCCCGACAACTCCAACTCAGACGAGCCAGGATAAAGAAGATACCAGCCCCAGGGGCAAGCGTAAAGTGACTTTCGATGTCAAGCCTGCAGTTGCTATCATCGACGCAGAGGCGGTTGAAGCGGAGAATAATGACACTGTTGTTGACCAAGGTCAGTCCTGTATACATTGTGAGGTCTCAAGATTGTGCTCATCGATAGATTAGATATTATCTTCGACATGGAAGCTGAGGAGCCTACGGACGGTAGGGAACCATTGCAAGAGCCCCCTGCCTTGATGAATGGCAATACTTCCAGTGTCCCGTCATCCGAAGCGGACACACTTAATCCTGCACCTCGACGTACGCGCTCACGTTTGCAGAATGACTACGGCCTCCCGGCTTCCCTGTCGTCGCTACGACCTGCCTCATTGCCAAACATCTCCGCGATGCGACGACCAGTTCCCCGTGATGAGCCCACAGATCGTCCGCGATCTCAAGTGGTGCGAGAATCCGTGGTGACCACAGCGGATAGCAATCGCAGTCCGGTCAATGGTCGATTCGAGCAATCTGACATTGAGGAAGAAGTTACCGATCCGAGGGAGGCAGAGATCCTCAGGCTGGTCGCAGCGAGCACGCCCAGCCACCGGAGCGCGTGGAAGCGCAATAGCAGGGCGTGGCAGCTGTTCGTGAACAGACAGAGTCGGAAGAGCAGGGATCCCGGGCCTGTTGCAATCGAGGAGGAAGATGAGAGCGATACATCTCCTGAATATGATGGCCCGCGCCTGGGTCGCCACGGCGGCGACGAAGTTGATGATCTATCCGACGATTGGACAGGTTAGTAAACGTCCCTCCACGTATGCCAAGGTTCGAGCATTGAGTTTCTTCATCCAGACGATCGTCTCAGGCGGCATGAGGGCGGCATTGCATCTTCATTACCCATCCCTATAATGCCGATGGCGTCCCATTTCGGCGCAGCGTCGTATCAACAGAAGACGTCGCTCAGCGACCGGCCTGGCATACTTGTGCCGGCGTTGCGTCCTAGTTCTTCGGTAGCCGCACGGAAAGCTGTATACGCAGAGCGCGACCGGATGCGCGATATTGATCCCGGAGCGCTTGAGTTCACCGATGATTTGGACGATGAGGACGAAGATGATGTGGAGGCAAACATGGAAGTAGGCTCGGTGGGACGACGCCGGGCTCTGAAGATACTTAAGGCACGCGATGAGCTGCCAGAAGCTGGTGAGTAATCCCTTTTGTCGAAATGTCTCTGCCTCACACATCATTGTTTCGTAGGCATGTGGAGAAGTTTGGCATGAAGGAGGTTGTAAGGTTATTAACCATTGACAATCATATTCTAAAAGCCCCACCTTAATCGACCCTCGTCGATGCATGTTGTACTGCTACCGACAACTTATACCATACTCACAACTAGTCTACTGCAGTCTGTCTTTGTGCTTTGCAATGCTGTCGTGTACATATTGTATCGCTACGCTTCACGGTCCTTGGACAGCAAGCGTATGCGCTCCGTTCGCGTCCATGCGTTTCGCCACAATCATACACAAGGTTGAGCTCGGGGTTCGAAGTTTGAACGAGACAGCGACGGTGCAGGTATTCGGGATGAGACGCACTATATATAAGTAACTGTGCGATACGATAGCAGGTGTATAACTGGCTACTTAGTCCACATTAGTAGGGGCAGATCTGAGGTACGCCTCGCCGCTAGTGCCCGTCTCAACGCGGTGCACGACGTCCTCGACCCTCGACTCATCCTTCTCGATGCCCATATCGCTCTCGTTGCCGTCTGTGGCCTCCTCGAGACACCTTGAGCACTCGCACTTGAATCGCCAGCCGCGGGCGAGCTCAATCCGCCGCCGCCGGCGTGCCCCCTCGGCGGTCTCGTCAGCGTGCTGAGATGCGTCTACCCATGCAATAGTGATTTCGTCGCCTTTCTTGAGCGGCTGAGCGGCAATGAGGGAGAGTTCGAAGTTGCCTGCGCTGAACGAGGGCCGAGCAGAAGGAGCGCAGGAGTGCACAATCTATGGAAGCCCGCGTTAGACCCGTCATGCAGAGCGAGAAGGCTTGCTCGTTCTTACGTATGACGACACCGGATAGTAGCCGCTTCCGACCTGGCGCGAGGTGCCGTGCGGCGTCCTCGTCCTCGTCTCGTCTTCTGGGCGGTCTGCAGTAGGCTAACAGTGGCGTAAACGTCTGTTCTACTGCGAAGGAATCGGCTGACATACCCTGTCGTCCCTGCCCTCACCGAGAACCACGCCAATCGCGTTGTACGCCAGCTTTCCATTGTACGTCGCATGGCGCTCATCCGTGAGCGACTTGTCGAGCCCGGGCAGCGCAGCGCCGAGCACGTCGCACAGCATTTTCGTCTCCTCCTCTGACACGTTCCCGTCCACGAACCGGAGGCGCTCCATGTGGTCGTACAAGCTGTACTCGTCGCCCGCGATCGTCGCCTCCGCGAGCTCGTCCGCGAGCGCGCCGCTCTGGTGTGGGAGGACCTTCGCCGTCTCGAGCGCGACCTGCCGCGCGACGAAGCGCGCGGTGAGCAGCGGCAAGGACTTGTCTTGCTCCTTGAGCCACGCGGTGAACTTGGTTTGAGCCTCGTCGCGCTGTTGCCGCGTGAGCCGAGACATGCCGTTGTCGAGGTCCTCCGGGAGAACAGAATCGAGGCCGAAGAGCAGGTTCTGCCACTGGACCTTGGCCTTGGTCTGGCATTCGGGAGAGCAGTAGACAGAGTTTAAGCGATCGGACTCGGGGCGGACGGCATTGTCGCCCTCAATCTGGCGCAGGCACTGTGAGCAGTGAGTGCCCTTGCCTTCCAAGTCGGCATCGAGAGCCGCGACAAGGGGGAGTTCCTAGCGTGTCTGCGATCAGGACAGCGCTAGACAGATCTAGTCTGAAAGCAACCTTGTAGATGACTTCGCCTTCAGAGAAGTCTCTTTCTGCGACTACAACCTTACGCAGTTTTGTGGCATCTCCAGGTGCAGGTTGCACCGAGACATTCATGCTTTTGCGAGGGAAAACATCATAGTATCCTGATACAGGACAAATTCCAACCCACTCAGTTCATGATCTACGTTCTGTGGTTGACAAGCTTACCTTCAACACGCGCTTTCACCTATAGGCAGGCAGAGAACAGGAGATATGCAAGAGATGTGTCTATTAGATTCGGGATGTGCGGAGCAAGGATAGACAAAGTATGGCAGAGGGTAGGCAAGGATGATAGGGTGTTTGGGATAGGAACTACAATCCCCGCACAGCGGGAGATATCTCGTTTTACATAGTCGCAGATTGACTTCCAGGATCGGTGAGCCTGTCCCACTCCTGCGATGAAGCCTCCGAAGGAGGCCCAGACCTTGTGGGACTGGTCTCATCCTCTTCCGAGGCCTCTCCTTGCACATCCTCTCCTGTGGACGACGAAGTGGTACTCACGTCCAAGTTGGTCAGTTCTATGAGAATCTGTCGCAGTATCAGAAAGTGTTTCCAGCGTCTTTAGCGGTAAACATACTTTGAAGACGTTTTCTGGCACTGTTTTCTGATAAATCATGATGAGTTCGACGGGCGAAGGGTAGACCCGGAGTGCGCGATAAAATGACAAGGCAGCAGAGAGTTGGAACAGAGGCCCTACAGCAACTGGATGAGATGGAAATCACACATATGCCGCCATGAAGACCGACCTTGGGCACAAAGCTGTTCACCCATGCCAACGTGGCCCATGAAGTACTGCTCCTTCGCCTCAGGGGTCTCGGGCAGTTCCTCATCGCGGACCTTCGCCAGCGCCGCGCGGAGCTCTTCTGTGGTGAATGGAATGGCAGTCGACTCCTCCTGCTGTGCGGCCTGCTTGTTCACACGCTTCTTGTCCTTTTCTGCAATGTGGCGCTGTTTAGCGAGGACAAAGTATGATGACAAGTGAACAACTCACTGAGCTGCTTGCGGAAACTGACATCGTTCCTACGCTTGTAGTCGAAGTAGACAGCGTAGGCGACGAAGCCACCAATGATGGTAACGCTGGCGAGGGTGAAGATGGCGGAGGCCCGGGGGGACATGGTGGCTGTCGAAGGAAAGTTTCGAGCAGCGAGCTCGTGCTCGGTTGCCCGTCCCGGCAGAGCCCGAGACGCGTAGTATGACGCGTGCTATCAGACCGTGTACACGGGCGTCTACGCGCGCTCGCAGTACTTACTGCGCCGCGACCAGACTCAGGCGCCCCAATACTTAAGGCCGCATCGCACACGCTCTCTCATCCCCGTCTATCTCTATCACACCCATGGCGACGCGCACCGCCGCAGTGAAGGATCTCGAAGATGCTTTCGTCAAGGTGACCTTCGAGGACGAGATCAACGCGTCCCAATCCAAGGGCTCAGCCATCGATCCATTCTACAACGACTGGGTCGACCAAGGTGCACCAGACGTGATACCCGGCTGTTCACACCCTGACTCTATTTCCAGCATCGGCTCCGTTCAATGAGCCCGCGACGTTTGCGTGAGTGCCTTAACGATATGTATACCAGCATCAGGACTCAGCCCACATAGTGCGAGAGCTTTGCGCAAGCTCCATTCGAACCACTCCGTGGTGCTCTTCACCGATTACACCGTCAATCTTCTTGCGTTTCCGGGGGCAATATTTCAGCCCACGTCTCCCGATGAACTCATCTCTTCGCTGGTGTTTGTCCCATTTGCCCGCCGGCTGGGGAGTGTCCCTGGCATTTTGGTCGACCGGATCAAGTATGGATCGTTCAAAGTAGCCTGGGATGTATGTTATATGCCATTGCCGCATGTTCAACCTGTCGCTGATATCTGGTATCACAGAAATATGACTTCCTTTTGTATGTTGTTAACGTATGTCCTTGAGGTCCATTTCGCTGTTACGCCATCTAATTAATCTTCATAGTATCCTCAAGGATTTGGAACCATCACACAACACTACCTGATCCACGATGGCCCTGAGGAGCGTTCCCGCACCTTCCTTATGGCGGCTGCTGCATGGAACAACCTCCTCCACGAGGAGATCCTCGTGTTCAATCAGGGAATGTGGAACAAGGATCATGCGCTATGGGTAGAAGTGCAGAAGGCAAACTGGGACGATGTTATCCTCAAGCAGCAGTTCAAGGACGCCATGAGGAAGGATATTAAGGGCTTCTTCGATTCAGAGGACCTATACAAATCGCTGGCTATTCCGTGGAAGGTGACGCGATATTATGATCTGACCTATTGGCATCAGTTTCTCACTCCGCTGACAGCGTGGTGTCATCATGTATGGCCCTCCAGGTGATTGTTATGAGCAGCACTGCGCGTGCAATCACTGAACGTAAGACTCAGGCAACGGCAAGACCATTAGCCTGAAGGCTGTCATGAAGGACTGCGACGCGAAAGGATACGCCCCGCTTTACGTCAAATCGTTCAAGAGCTGGATGGGCGAGGAAGGCTCTATGGCCGCCGTGTTTCAGAAGGCGCGCGAGATGGCGCCCTGCGTACTCGTCCTCGAAGATCTTGATTCCCTCATCAACGATGCGAACCGGTCGTTCTTCCTCAACCAGTTGGACGGCCTCGAGGGCAATGACGGGCTCCTCGTCATCGGCTCGACGAACCACTTTGACAGGCTGGACCCTGCCCTGAGTGGGCGGCCCAGTCGGTTCGATCGCAAGTAGTACGTCTGCCCTTGCAGAGCCCATAAATACTGAACTGACATCGGGGATAGCCTCTTCGACGACCCCGATGAATCGGAACGTGCTCTCTACGCCAAATACTGGCAGGAAAAGCTCACGACCAACAAGAATATCTACTTCCCTGACAAGCTTGTTGAGGAGGTCGCGGCCTCGACCGTGAAATTCAGCTTCGCCTACCTCAAGGAAGTCTTGTGAGACTTGATCACGCTTATTATCTATGACCCGTCGCTCACAGAACTGTTCAGCGTCTCGAGTCTCGTCTTGCTAGCCGGCTACGAGGACGACGAGAAGCTGCCCTTCGCACACGTCCTCCGGGGCCAAATCAAGAGCCTCCGCGACCAGCTCGACAACGAGCCAAAGGGCGCACGCGACGCCCCCACCCCGGGTGCATCCGCCATCTCTTCGGCCACTCCTGCGCAGCGCGTGGGGAGTGGACGCTTCTTCGATTCCTTGGACAGCCGTCTTACCGGACAGAGCCGCATCTGGGACAGCAGCGATAGCGGACCGCGGCTCACCATGCCGGGTGGCCTGCCATCTAGGAGAGGAACGCCTCTCAGGCCGAGGGAGGGCGCTGGCGAGCTGCCCCGCCCTGTGACCCTTAACGGCAACGGACGGTCCTTCTTGTATTGAGTTCATTCTTGTATACGGTGCACGCGGACTTGCATGGTGTTGTATTTCCCTGTAAAAATAGCTGTCTGGAGGTTATGCTTGTGGTTGTGCTGTGTTCGGAGGGTGCTTGCACGTTTGTTAGGATGTAAAATAGCTCTCATGCTAGATTATGTTGACGATATGAAGTGATACAATATCAAAACTCTACGCGTGCGAGGACAAGATACTGAAATATAAAGATAATCAATGAACAATCACCTCCCCGATGTGTCCGACCAATTTGCGATGTCTTAGTGCAGGTGGCGCACTATTCAAGCTGCCCTTCTTCGTATGCTCTATCTCCATGTCTCTCTTCTCAATGCCCTGCAGCGCCTCCCTGAGCTCGCCGCCCAGAAATGCGATCGCCAGGTCGCCTACAATCTTCAGCACGATCCGCCCGTCGCGCGAGGCGTGCCCCAGCGGCCATATGACGCCGAAATCCGAGAACGATACATGTTTCGCGCGCACGAGCGTGAGGAGCTTCACGGGCGTCGATTGCGACTCCTCGCCCGGGACGTGGTTCGCCTCCCTGATGTCCTGCCGCCACGCGCGCACGACGCCCTCGAGCCGCGCGAAATGGTCCGGCCAGAGCGTGAATTCCTCGGAGTTCAGTACGAGGATGCTCGGTGCGCGTGCGTCGCGGGTCGCCTCGACGTGCGGCGCAGGACCGGGTGTCGCGAGTGGCTCGAGCCAGGGGTCTAGGACGAGTGCATGTGTGATTGGAAGTGGTTCAAAGCGTGCCCCTTCTGGGGGGAATGTTGGTGGAGGCTGTGAGAGGACGGAAAACTGGTTGTAGGCAGGCTCAGCGGTTGGCACGCTGTGTAATAACGCATGTAAGCTTACAACTAATGCTCCGCCAAATGAATGCCCGATATAAGTGATGTCGTCTCGGCATTGCACATGGCCTGCTGCCCAACTCTGCCAAAACGCTCCCCTTTTTGGCATTTCGTAGCATTTGTAACCATACACAACGTGGACACCTTTCAGAGGGGATTTATCTGCTCACAGTGAGAATCTTGACATCATGCCTCGTATCAGAATGTGATATGTACTAACCTGATTCTGCACGGGGATGTGCATCCACCAGGTCAGAGAAAGCCTTGTATGCAAGGTACACCTCGATCCGTCTGAACAGTAGCTGATCGGCACGAAAGGCAGACTTGGATTGGGCTCCGTCACCCTCGTAACTGTTGGAGATAATATAATTGAGAATTAAGTTGCAATGAGGTGTCTGGTACTTACAATATGTCTTCGGGATGCAAATAGTATTTAACTTTAGGCCTCCGTCTTCGCTTGCCTTTTTTACCTTGGGATCCTCCGGAGAAGTGAGACATGACAACAGGCGCGGTACCGTCGCGATGCTCCATGGAAATGACAACTTTGCCTTCAGATGCTAGGCGAATGCATAGGTGACTAAACTCGGATGAGCGAGGTAGCGAGACAACGCTCGGAAGAGTGCTTACCTATAAGTGGTACGTGTTCCGCTCAGTCCATGCGAGAAGAATACAAGGGGCCATTGCGCCTCTGGGTCGTCCGAAGACTCTGCAGGGTCGAGAAGAGGCACATCTGGATACACTGGAATCTGACCAGCATGACGTCATATCAACATCCCTTGAGCGCAAAGGGTGCGGGTATTGTACCTTCAAACGAGACGCAACGAACTGCATGGATACAGCCGAGAGCCAAAATGGCAGTTTGGCAAAGTGCGCATACCCCCGGAGTGTCCCTTTGACGGGCCTACGGGTTCACGCTGCATTCAGTGCACGGCCAGCGGAGATAAATGCGGCGCTCACTGACTTGGGCACCCAGTCCATAGTCTTCCTCAGCTGTTCTGGCTGGGTGCCATCGGCGCTAGGACTTTGGAGATCTGCAGGATAGAATACGGTGAAGACGACCTCTTCTAGTAATAGCGCGGGTTCATAAGGAGTGTTTCCGCTCGAATGCCTCAATTTAGCCGAGCCCACGGCTTGCGGTGACTCCAAGGGTACGGCAAACGTAGTAGCGCCGACTGGATATCGGCCTGGAATGTCAGGAAGGGTGAACATTGATGGTGAGAAGGAGAGATGTATACCTACAGCATGTCACTTATAAGTTGGACGGACCCCGGGCGTGCACGGCGGGGGTAATAGGTGAAGATGGAACAGATCTAGAGTTTCAGTCACCACGGTCAAATGGCCGTGATGTTATGTCTGACACAGCCGGCCGTAAGCTCTTCAATGATAAGGCATTTCAGCAAGTACCGGACCCGGATGCCTTAGCGTATCACTGGCATTATATCGATACACGGATAAGTAGCAGTTGTAATACTTCTAGGACTATTGCACAAACAACTCACTCACGCGGCCTTACCCGAGTCCTCCTTCAGACTCACAATCCGATTTAGCACGACAATATCACCCTCTTTCCGCCTCGGCTCGACCTCAGCCGGCTCGTCCAAGCATGCCAGCTTGGCGTCTTTGTCGGTTGCAAAGTAAGCCACCCTCAGGCCCTGGAACCGTATGCACTCCTTCCCAACCAGCTGCTCGCTCGTGGCCTTCGGCGTGTCGTCATGCTCCACCACCGTCCCCGCCGTCCCCGCAGACGCTTGCAACGCCTTGTCCGTGCGGGCCTTGCTCTCCTTTCGCGCCTCACTGTATGCATGCTTCGCCAGCGACCAGAACCCAACCTCTACCATCGCGCCCTTGACAACCTCGAGGCTGTCGGGGTTGATGTCTGCCTTGAAGTCGGGCAGCGCCGCGGCCGGGTTGTCGCTCTTGAACAATTGGTAGAAAATTCGCGTCTCATCCACGCGCACGGGGCTGCCGGACGGAGCATGCTCCGCAACCCACTGGATGAATGCCTTCGGCTTCTTCGCGGCACCTTCTCCATCCTCCAACCGACAGATCAGCTCAGTGACATGCCCAGTCGTGGGATCCGTCTTGTACGAGGTGCAGGTGATCGGGTGAGGCGCCTGGAAGAGCCCCACCGTCTTGCCTGGTGCAAGTCGGAAGTAATCTTTGGAGTCCTCCAGACGGAAGTCATCGGCGTCGATGTAGATCGTGCGCGTGAATGGCACTTTTGACGTGCCGTGCTCTGGGACCTTCGGGTGCAGGGGCTTTTCTAGCCAGAGGACGTAGTCCTCGGGTAGGTTCTCGATCGTCACTTTGACCGGCCGTAGGACCATCAGAAGACGAGGCGCCGAGTTCTCCAGATACTGTCTGACAGTCTGTTCGAAACGCACGGCCTGAATGTTAGTTGCGGACGTCGACACGCCCAGTGAGCTGACGAAGGAGAGGATCGCCCCCGGCGGCACGCCACGGCGTCGAAGCGCGATCAGGGTGTACATTCGCGGATCGTCCCAGTCAAGCACATGTTTTTCCTTCACTAGCTGAAGGATTTTGCGTTTCGACATGATCGTACCCGTCACATTCAGGCGTCCGTACTCGGACTGGCGGGGCTTGTAGACTTCCAATGCGTCGCAAAGCCACTCGTACGACTCGCGTGACGCGATGAACTCGGTAGTGCATAGTGAATGTCTGCAACAATGAGTATCAGCATGCCTTTGGCAGCATCAAGAAATGAGATGTCGCCGTACGTGATGTTCTCGAAGCTATCGCAGAGACAGTGCGTGAAATCGTACGTCGGGTAGATTTTCCATTTGTCGTGTGTGCGATGATGTGATGCATTGAGTACCCGGTATGCAACCAGATCCCACATCATGGTGTTGCCAGACTCCAAGTCCTGCTTCATGCGCAGGATGGCCTGCCCGGGTTTGTACAAGCCGTCTTTCATCTTGACAAACTCTGTAATTGACTCTGATACCGGTCGGCTGCGGTGAACGCATGCCTTTCGAGGCCCGCGTTCGTCACCACCACGATTGGCGTAAATCTCCTCAGCTGCGAAATCAAATCATAAGCTGAAGTCGTCAGAGAAGTCGAAAGCCAACTCACCAGTACAATGGCACACGTATGCCTTATCTCGCTTGATCAACTCGACGGCAAGCTCGTAGAGTTTGTCGAAGTAGTCACTTGAATACGTGATCTTCCACGGCTCGTAACCCAGCCACCGCACCGTCTCCAGGATGCTCTCGAAGTAGCGTCCCTCCTCCGCCTCCGGATTCGTGTCATCGAATCGGAGATAGCAGCGTCCACCATGGTACTGAGCATATCCAAAGTTGACGAAAATGGCCTTGGAGTGCCCGATGTGCAGGAACCCATTCGGCTCGGGCGGAAATCGCGTGTGGACCAGACCACCGGTGGCGGCAAGATGCTGTTCACGAAGATGGGGATGTAACTGCGGATTTTCTCCAACTTTGTGTAACCTTCCGAGAAAACCCTCTGCAAAGACAGGTTTCGAGGTAGATGCAGAGGCTGCGGGCTCGGATGCTGCTGCAGCCTTGGAAGTCTGTTCCTTCTTTGGCTCCTGCGCAGTACTACATTAGCCATGCGTCGGACCAGTCACAGCCAATCTCATAGTACCTTTCCCTTAGGCTTTGCCGCCTCTTTCGGTCCGAACTTCTCAATGAACGCGCGTTCTGCTGCATTCTTAAGCTCAAGTGCATTCGCCCATCGCAAGTCGGTGCCCTTGAGGCCCCCAATTACGGTGCCGAGGTTTGCCCAGCCTGTGGCAGCACTAGAGGAAACGTAGTCGGCGACCTGGGCAACGAGCTCTTCAGGAGTAATGCTAAAACCTGCAGATGAACATCAGCATCACGATACACGAGAAAAAGAAGCACCGCAGGCAGCAACGCTGACACACACCTACGCCACACTGCTTGTCGAAGTCCTTGGGATCGATAGGATGGGCGTGCACCTCGAGATACTTAACGGCAGCTGCGACACAGAATGATCAACATGCACGAATGCCAGTAAGCATGCAGACGCACCAGATACTTGGTCTGTGCTCTTGAGTCGACTGTCCAGGATCGCGCTAACAGCGTAATCTCGTTCTGCCTCCCCCAGCTTCGAGCCCTGGACGGCGAGGCTTGCGAGGAGGACGGCCTGCTTCTCCTCGATATCCCTCTGGACTAGACCATGACGCTCAATGATGTCCTTGAGCGTCACGGCGCTCTTCGCGCTCTTTGCAGCCTCTGCGGCTTTGGACTGGGTAAGGCCGATAGACTTGAAGAGCTCGATCAATTCAGCGGTCTCGGGAGAATCTCCCTTGGGAGCCATGGTATTTGAATAGAGTACTGGTGGAGCTTGGACCTTTCACGGGCTTTGCGCGTCGTGCTCGCGTCGATGCAACGTTAGAAGTGAGTGAGATGGGGTCGTTGTAGGCTGAAGATGACTTGAAGCGGTCGAGTGACCGGAAGCTTGACTCGAAACCTTTTCCTGTTCTTGATCGATGTAATGAGCTATAGCGTCACATCTGCTTTAGATAAGATAAGATCCCTCCAGATGCATCGCTTCCGAGTCCGGGGTTGCTGCATGCACTGTCTCCAAACTTTGGCCTTCACTCTGCCTTGTCTGCTGCGTATCGACGATATACGTTTGATACAGAGAGAGCTTATTTTATTATCCTCGTGGCAACAACACAATGCCTCCTCGTAGGAGGCCGCAGTTTACTCAAGAGAACATCGACCAACAGCTTCAGCAGATCCATCTCCTAGACCAATCATCTTCGTCGGAGAATCTCGAGCAACTGGGTCCCATTATAAAGCAAATACACACCAATCGACAGCAAGACGCCTACCTCCGTACTGTCCAGGCTCTCATTGACTCCAAGGACGCTGAGATCGAGACAATATGCGGCGACAACTACCAGGAGTTCATCAGCTCCGTGTCCACTTTGTTCTCCATCAAGTCGTATACTACGAACATGCGGGAGAATATCATGGCTCTGGACAATGAAGTGGAACGAGTTGGCCGAGGGCTCGTCGAAAAGAAGAGAGCTCTACTACAGTCTAAGAAGACAGCCGCGAACCTGGACGAGGCAATTGATACCTTGCAGGCATGCCTGCGCGTCTTGGACGTTGTAAACCGGGTCGGCGAGATGATTAGAGAGGGAAAGTACTGGAGTGCTTTACGGGTCCGTAGCTCTCATTGCACGTACCATGTGTACTCTAAAATTGAATATAGTTATTCACAGTCTCTGGAAGACATTGAGAGCATGCCTCCAACTTCGCTCTCTCAGACACCGCTCTTCCAACACCTCCTGTCATCATTGCCATCCCTGCGAGGCCAGATCAAAGACGCGGTGACCGCATCGGTCAAGCAATGGCTCCTTGACATCCGGAATGTCAGCGGGCAAGTAGGAGGGCTTGCACTCGACGCCATGGAACACCGTACGCGCAAATGGCGGAGCAGAAGAGAGAAAGACCCTCTGTTGAAGCTCAGTCGTGTGGGCAGCGCGGTGGAAATAGTAACCAACGAGAAGACCGAGTGTAGGTCAAGAAAGTGACACTGGATGCTGCCAATCTCACATCGTATCTTACAGACAATGTACTCGACAATGAGCACCTACATGTCGACTTCACACCATTATATGAATGTATCCATATATACAACGCGCTCGACTCCCTCGATGAAATTCGAAGATCATATCAGGCCGACCGCAAGGTACGCTTAATGCACTATGTAAGATGCCGTACGCCAGATGACCACCCATAGGCTCAATCAGACCTCATTCTCCCGGACACCTTTATGCTCTCGGCTTTGCCACAAGTCACCCAAGAGATAGTCGGTTTTTTCATCGTTGAGAATCATGTTCTCAACACAACGGGGAGTTTCCGCTCGCAACGAGAGGTCGAAGATCTCTGGGACGCATTGGTGAAACGGGTCGGTATGGCAGTAGACAATGCACTCCGCAACGAGGCGGATTCAGATGCATATCTAGCCGTGAAAGAGTGCCTTCTCAGTTTCATTATGACTCTAGAGGTATGTCTGCCCACTCATGTGTCCTTACCTGAGTCACTCACCCTATCCTCAGTCTTACTCATATTCGACCGAGAACTTACATTCCTTCATCCTTCATCTCTTCGAGCGATATGTTGCGATACTCGAGAAGAAGTTTGGCAAGCGCTTCGAAGCTGTCAGTATCATCCAGGTCAAACTGTAGTTTCTCTTCTAATACTGACAGTGCGTTGCAGATCGTCATCCAGGACGATTGTCTGCCGATGTATGTCGAGGCTGCCACTGAGCGCGACAGAGTACTGGACACAGTATGGCTAAATGACGATGAGCGAGAACAACTTGCGAAGTTTGTCTATCCAATTTGTGTATCGCAGAAACCGCTGATGAAGTCACCCCGGTAGAGCTAGCCTTCCTCTTTCGTTGCCATGGTCACAAAGCTTCTACCTCTGCTGCCAGGATGTGAGCAGACCGTGTTCTGTTTATGGCCTGAACGGCTCCTGATCCCTTTGAATGCTAGATTCGCAATTTCGTACAGAACTTTTATCAATTCCTGGAGGGGGTATCTCAACACCACCGTAACATCGACGATCTGTTGAGCAAGGTGAGATTCTTTACATGCCTTGTTCTGAGATTGTCGACGTTTATCTTCTCTAATGTAGTCTCTCGACACCATCCTCGCAACGTTCATCAGCGAGAACATTGCGAGGCGCGCCCAGAACACCTCAAACCTGTCGCAAATCGCACAGATCATCACCAACCTGGAGCATTTCCAAGTTGCATGTTCTGAGCTCGAGCGTTCGCTCACGAACATAAGGTCGGTGCTCCCCCCTCATTGACACGCATATGTGCACTGATCACCGCAAAGATCATCTCAACGAGGCGGAATCATCCGTCTCACAGCGGCGGCGCCGTTCGCGCAGACACTGACCCGTGCGCTATCGCGCGTCACGGCATCCATCTCGTCGAAACTCGACGACTTCTTTGGCCTCTCAGAGTACGACTGGACACCTCCCAGGCGCGAACAGGCCCCAAGCATGTACCTCTACGAGCTGGTCAACTGGCTTACCACCGTCGTCGACTCCCTTGTTGCCAAAGACGCATACAAGGACGAGGCATACCGCGGTGCCGCGAACTACATTGCCGACTGCTTCTTGGTGCGTCGTGTGCCGTGCGCCTAGTATGCGTACTCACTCAAGGCTCACGTCACACTCCCCAGGATTTCATGACCGGCCGCAACGTTCCTATGATGAACGAGAACGGGGTCGCGAACCTGCTACTCGACATAGATTTCCTCGAGGACGAATTCAAGCGAGGCGGACACGCCCATCTCAATGCCGCGTTCCTTGAACTGCGTCTGGTAAGCTCCGTGGCCCTCCCGCTTTCTTCTCGCACATTCCCCTTCATCGATGTTCACATTGGTCATCTCATACAGATGACCACGATCGTCATGGAAGATCAAGTCCAGCAGTACCTTATCCCTGCGGTCCGTCAGGCTTCCTATTCGGTCGTTCGCCCCAAGCGATTGCAGGCGCTGCTAGAAAAGCTCGCGCGATACGGTGCGGAATGCAGGGACGCCCCCTCCCGAGAAAGAGGCGAGAAGCGAAGGAAGGAGGCCGAGACTGTGGGTAGACTTTTCCCCGGGGAGAGTCGATGATCGTACCTGCAGCGTCATGCAGCGCTCACATATACCTGTATGCTATGTCTGGATTCACCCCTTTTGTCGTGGTGGACGCCTTGGAAAGGGCCAAACACCCGACATATGTGAGAGAACTGCGAGGTTGCCTACCACGATCTACGACAGTCTCTAGGCAAGCATTTTAGAACCACCACCAGGGTAACCGCTTTAAGTCGTTAAGAGAACGTTAACTTCCGAACGATATGTGACAAAACGAGAAATCAGGACCAGAGGCAACGGTGTCGACGAGAGTACGCAGTAAAGGGAGTAAGCAGAAGGCGCTCGGGAATAGGCAGATCTTCATATCGTAAGGATCATGCTATTGTAGTGACAACGTGAAGAGAAACACAACGTTGAGGAAAAGCTGTTACACCCGTCGCTTGATGTTCGCGCTGAGCCACTCCAAACCTTCGTACAGACCATCACCGCTGGTTGCACATGCCGCCTACAACATGGACAGTCAGTGCATCTTCGATGCATGACTCGCTTCGACGTACCTGGATGAACCACGTCCTCTGCCTGAGACCATGGAGACCAAGCTTGTCAGTGATCTCAGCGGCACTCATCGCGTTGGGCAAATCTTGCTTGTTGGCGAAGACAAGAAGCAGGGCATCACGGAGCTCATCCTCATTGAGCATCCGCTGGAGCTCCTCTCGCGCCTCAGAAACACGCTCCCGATCGTTAGAGTCAACGACGAAAATGATACCCTGCGTGTTTTGGAAGTCTGGGAGTCAAGAGTCAGTGGCACGGCCCCGCGTGGCGCGACACGTAGTTTGACGCACAATGCCGCCAGAGAGGGCGAATCTTGTCTTGTCCTCCAACATCCCATACTGTGAACGAGATGTTCTTATACTCCACAGTCTCGACATTGAAGCCTGATTGCACAGCTTGTTAGCGAGTACACACACCAGAAAATGGAAGAACGAACCAATTGTCGGGATGGTCGTCACGATCTCGCCGAGCTTCAGCTTGTAGAGAATGGTCGTTTTACCGGCTGCATCCAGTCCGACCTAATCATGGTACACGTCGAATCTATGGCTCGCCACCTATAGTACTTGTACACACCATCAATATACCTGCACAGAACCAAGAGCCAGTCAGCGATGTTCCTAGGGCGCGTCATCATCGATTGGGGTGACTTACGCATCTCCTTCTTGCCAAAGAGGCCGGAGAGAAGACGAGAGACCGAAAGACCCATGTTTGCAGACGGAGAAGAGGGGTAGAGGTGAGGAGGACGTGGACTTGTTAGGGAGGAGTGGAAGGCGACCTGGAAGAGTTGCGTGTAAGAACACTAGCGTTTCAAGCTCCGATCGTGGCGCTGTTATTCGTTTCCTCAAAAGCAGTACGCCGAAGCGCCCACTGCGGTTTCGACTGATATGTGGCTTGCATTCTCAGGCTGCCTGTTCACTGCATTCTGGTGAACGTACTGTACATTTTGTACATTTGAATGTATTGTCCGGCTGTGCCAGGGCCCATTGAGATCGCTGTATGCATACCATCCAACGCCGAGTCCGGAGAGCAAGTGCCATCACGCGCGTCTATAGTTCCGACGCGTACAGGTTCGCACACGGTGATTGACGTGTCCCCGAGTCGTTGGTTGAATCTGCCCCACGTATATGTATGCGCTCGAGGCTCATGCCATGGCTGACGGTGTGTATTTGGTTAATAGCCTCAGGGACCGTAGTCATGCCCATGGACAGTTGACTTGGCCACCAAGTCTGGTTCGCCAAGTCGCGTACTTACCTATTCGGGATATGTGGCTCACGTGCAAACCTTCTGCATTGGGCGCTTGAACGCCAGTGAGCGACCCATTCCACTGCAGAGGCGTGCTGGGCTTAATCTTTTGTAAACTTCCTTTGGCGTTCGCTGTGTTAATGTCTTGAGGCTGCGCAGAGCTTTGTACGTTAGGCCACCGACAACTTACGGCCATGATTACCTTCACCCCGCTTTCCGGTGCTGCACGCACTTCGAGCACCATACCTCTCGCCTATCTACTCCAAGTAGACGATGTCCGAATACTTCTGGATTGTGGCTCTCCTGACTGGTGTCCTGAGGCATCAGATTTAAGAGAGGAACACTCACAGGAATCCCCTTACCACTGGGACAAGTACTGTGATGCGTTAAAGGAGTGAGTATTCGTTACCTGGCGCACCATTCTCTTGAAATGTGTTCCCTCAGCTCTCTCGCTTCCTATCACCGTGCCAAGCTCGTTCCCTGTTGCTCACTACTTTCTGTAGATGCGCGCCCACCGTCGACCTTGTCCTCCTTTCACATGGTGACCTTGCCCACTCAGGTCTCTACCCATATGCATATGCGCATTGGGGTCTGACCGCACCTGCGTACACAACCCTGCCTGTGCAGGCCATGGCACGTATTGCCGCTACCGAGGATGCCGAGGGCATCCGTGACGAGCAAGACCTGCGCAGCGAGGACGAACTCAAGAAGGAATCTACGCCGTCTGAAGAACGTGGTCTCTCCGAGAAACCTGCCGAGTCTACTCCTACACCTGTGCTTCCCTCACGCAAGGACATGTATGTCGCTACACTACAAGAAGTACACGACGCTTTCGACTCGGTCAACGTCCTGAGGTATTCACAACCTTGCCATCTTCAAGGTTTATTCATCCTCCCACTCAACGTCCAGTGTATATGCTAACATGAACCATAGGTAAGTGCCAGGGCCTGACCATTATTCCCTTCAATGCGGGGCACACCCTGGGTGGCACCATCTGGAAGATTCGTTCTCCAACCGCAGGAACGATTTTGTACGCCGTCGACATGAATCATATGCGTGAACGTCATCTCGACGGGACAGTCCTCGTGCGACAGGCGTCCGCAGGCGGTGGCGTATTCGAGAGTCTCGCGCGTCCCGACCTACTCATCACAGATGCCGAGCGCGCCAATGTGACCACCGCTCGTCGCAAGGACCGGGACGCAGCACTCCTCGGTAGGTAGTCCATTGCGGTGAATCACCGGGTGTCTCGGGACTGACGATCTGTATTTTTGGGCAGACTGCATTACCGCGACGCTCACGTCGCGCAATTCGTTGCTCATGCCGTGCGATGCCAGCACGCGTGTCCTGGAGCTACTCGTTCTGCTCGATCAGCACTGGAACTATTCCCGGCTCAAGTTCCCAATATGTCTGCTGTCGCGCACGGGCCGCGAGATGCTCACGTTCGTGCGGAGTATGATGGAGTGGCTGGGCGGAACTGTCAGCAAGGAAGATGTGGGTGAGGACGGTTCTAACAATGCCAACAAGGGAAACAAGCGAAGACGAGACGAGGATGGTGACGAAGATGCTCTTGGGGCTTTCGCTCTCCGATTTAGGTGAGGCTGCCTTTATGTGTAGACATCCGATGCGCTTAGCGGCCAATGGCTGACGCGGATCTTCATCCAGACATCTCGAATTCTTCCCGAACCCGCAGGCGTTGATGCACACCTACTCATCGAAAGACCCTAAACTCATTCTGGCGGTCCCGGCGTCCTTGTCGCACGGTCCCTCTCGCATGCTCTTCTCACAGTTCGCGGAGACCCCGGACAATGTCGTTTTGCTCACTGGGCGCAGCGAGGACGGCACGCTCGGGCGAATGCTGTTTGACCGCTGGAACGACGCGCAACGAGAGGAGGCGAAGTGGGATCGCGGCAAGATTGGGAGCAACATCATGATGGACGGTGTCCTGCGTCTCGAGGTAAGCCCTTACAGTGTCAACCACAGGAATGCTTTATTGAGTATGCCATAGATGCACTCGAAAGTGTCACTGCAAGGCGCAGAGCTCGAAGCATTCCTGCGGAAGGAACGTGCAGCACAAGAGAAAGAAGCCGCCCACAAGGCTGCGCAGGCACGCACCCAGCGTATACTCGAAGCCGACGAAGGGGAGGACGAGAGCGACTCGGACTCTGAAGCTGATTCGGACGAGGAGAACGAGGTCGAAAAGTCTCTGGGTGATGACCTCATGGACACCACGGAGGACACACCGACAGTGGACCCCGCTACAAACGGGCGAACAAAGCGGAAGCTCGCGAAACTCGCTGCAGGAGACGGGACGGACTGGGTGTTGGGTCTCGATGCGGACGAGCCAGTCCAGCGGCTGTCATTCGACATCTACCTGAAGGGCAACGTTGCGCGGACGATGTCGTTCTTCAAAAGCGCAGAGGGGCAGACGCAGCGTTTCCGCATGTTTCCATATGTGGAGAAGAAACGGCGCGTGGACGAGTATGGGGAGACAGTGGACGTTGGGATGTGGCTGCGGAAGGGGAAGGTCCTGGAGGAGGACGCGGAGAGTGAAGAAGTGAAGGAGATGAGGCGGAGGGCGGAAGAGGAAGCAAAGGTGAGTCTAATTGGACTCCGTTGAGGCGCCTTGTCTGAAGCTCGATGGTCCACAGAAAGCCCCTGCGGAACCCCCCTCGAAGTTTGTGATCACAGAAGTGGAGGTGCAACTCGCCTGTCGGCTGCTGTTCGTAGACCTGGAAGGTTTGAACGATGGGCGTGCCGTGAAAACTATTGTTCCGCAAGTCAACCCTCGCAAAATGGTGAGTCTCGCTGTCCAAGGGCTTGACATACATGCCTTGCTGACTGTTCTTTTAGATCATCGTGCATGCACCGGCGAAGGCGACAGAAGTCTTGATGGAGAGCTGCGCAAACATCCGGGCAATGACACGCGACATCTATGCGCCCGAACAAGGCGAGAGCATACAGATCGGTCAACACACGAACAGCTTCTCGATATCACTGAGCGACGAGCTCCTGGCCAATCTTCGTATGTCACAAGTGAGTCCATGCTGTGTCGCTACACTGCGAACAAAGTGCTCATTCCACGCTAGTTCGAAGACAATGAGGTTGGCTACGTTACAGGTCGCATCGCTAGCCTTGCAAGCTCTACCATCCCGATCCTCGAGCCTGCGTCTATCACGTCTCTCCAGACTGACAAGACTTCACGAAAAGCCAAGCAAGGCCGCATGCTCGGTTCGCGGCCAAGAGTGACGCTGCCTCAGTCCACCATGATCGGCGAGCTGAAGTTGACTGCCCTGAAGACCCGTCTGGCTGCGGTTGGCGTGCATGCCGAGCTCATAGGCGAGGGTGTGCTGATATGCGGCGCGGCTGCGAAGAAGGGCAGTGCTCCCGAGTCGCTTGCCGATTCGGTAGCAGTGAAGAAGACGGGGCGGGGCCGGGTGGAATTGGAGGGGGCGGTGTCGGACGTGTACTATGTGGTTCGAAGAGAGATCTACAATTTACATGCTCTGGTTGCAGCGTAATTATGTCGGAGTCTGCTGACGAGTGTATGTGTGTAATCTGCGCGAGCATTCTTCGGTTTGGGGACCTGCATTCGTCGATCGGCGACAACCGATCGGTCCAGGAACCCGGCCCGGCAACTGTCCCCCGGATGAGTTCTGGTCTTAAGTCTCCGTCGACTCATCTCCGTCTGACTCGCCATCCAACCTGCCATAATGCCTTCCACGGTTCTTCAGTTCGATGCCATGCAAGTTTCAGGCCCATCCAAGCAAATTCAATGCCACTAACATGATCCCTCTTCAGTCTCTTCGACATGGATGGCACCCTCGTCGACTCGACCGCCGGTGTGGTGGGTGCATGGGAGCTTTTCAAAGAGAAGTATCCCAGCCTCGATGTAACCACAGTGCTCAGCTGTCAGTGTGTACAAGTTATGCTGCATTAGGGTCGGGATTGAATTGCAGCGCACATACCTCAGCATCCCATGGTGTGCGGACGGTCGAGAACCTCCGCATACACTGCGGTATCGAGGACCCGGAAGAACAGGAGGTGCGCGTCATAATACTTCTTACTGTCAATGGATACTCACACAGCCGTACCCCCACTAGAGAGAAGCGAAGCGCTTCGAGGAGGCAATCGTCACGAACTCGACGAAGAATGGCCGTCAAGGCATCATCAAGCTGCCCGGGGTCCACGAGATCATGGCGGAAGTGAGAATATCAGAAATCCAAACTGCAGCATCTTTTTCTGACCGACGCACGGTAGCTCGAGCCCGTCGCCAAGTACCCAAACCCGCGCTGGGCGATTTGCACGTCAGCAACCCGCACGTACGCCGCAGCTGCGCTCCAGAAAGCTGGGGTTCCTGTTCCCGATGCATTCGTCGTGTCTGAAGACGTGACCAAGGGCAAACCCGAGTTCGGAACATCTTCTAGCTGTCTATGGATTTGAGCTGACACTGAACTCAATTTAGGCCTGACCCGTACCTCCTCGGGGCGGAAAGGTGCGGTGTAGATCCCACACGTTGTCTCGTTGTCGAGGATGCCCCTGCCGGTGTCCGCAGCGGAAACGCCGCGGGATGCAAGACGTTGGCACTTCTCACATCGCACAGCCGTGCGCAAGTGGAGGCTGCCAGCCCTGATTTCATTGTCCGAGACCTTTCCCAGTACGTCATCTGTCGTTTCACCGGAAAATCACCCATTCTTAACTGTTAGCAGAGTGACCATGAAGAGAACCACGAATGGCGTGGAAGTCACAATAGACGTAGAGTAATGCACTGAAATTGTTGCATGCCGAAGTATGAAATAGAGTGTATTAAGGGAAGTCACAGGGGAATCTGGTAGACCATAGAGAAGTGTACATCGACTTACGAGATGCTCAGTTTGTTTTCATATATACATCGACTGGTCGTCGAAATCCTGACAACTCTTCAGCCTGGGGGGCCGCTTCCGGCCAGGATGTCTCGAGCACCTACCTCCTTCACCAGTTTGGCCTAGATGCTCGACGCCACCGAATCCTATGTCTTGTAGAGTGCTTTCGAAGTGTTCGGGCCGCAATTTGAGACCGTGTGCATTTTCCTTGAGTCTCTGCGCTAATTGTAAGCACCGTGCATAAATGAGAATGTCAATGACGTACAGGATCCATGCGCCGCGCCTTCGCATAGCTCTCCCATTCTTGCGGCTCCAGTATGAATCTACCACCTAATCTCAGGACTGAGTGCACGCGTCGGAAGAAGCGTGTGAGGCCCTCGTCTCCGCCATTGAGATGGATCCACTTTGATACCGAGAGGCTGGCCACCAATGGAAACATGAGCATAGTTCTCTCGCGTAGGCGCTAGAATATACTAACGCTAGCACAATGTTATACCCTTCAGAGTCTTCAAGGATCTCCTGATTGACCCAATCCGCCGTGCGGAAGGTCACATTATGCGGGAACGTCTCCTGCTGCTTGCCATGGCTTGCGGGTGGGATTGGGAGGGGACCGAACATGTGCTCACACGATGCGGGGAAGTAGTCCGGTCGCGAAAGCTGTGGCTCCATTGTTGCACTTGGGTCTGTGCCTTCGCTAGTCCTCTTGCGTTTCTTAGGCCCCGCAGGCGCGTCGCGTTCGCCGTCCATAGTCTGTTGGGGTTCTTGCATGCTCCAGACGTAGCGCCGCCGCTTCCAGGCCGCACGAACCAGCGTGTCATCGATGTCCACGCCGACGGCCTTGCCTGCTCCCTTTGACTGCGCTTGCAGGCACGACATCAACAACAAGTGCGTTGGATAGACTGAAGACGCGCGACTTACCGATCTCGCAAGTCACCCAGCCCTCGTTACACCCTACGTCCAGGACGCGTGCACCGATGAAATAAGAGTCAGGTATAACTGACAGCCGTGGGTCCTGAAAGAATGGTCGCTTCATGTAGTACCTATTGGTGGTTTGTCTGCCTCACATCTTCACTTGAGACATACTATTGTCCAACTTACCCATGGTAGTTGCCATGAACCGGCTGGGTGGTCTGAGACATGACGAGTGTTTCCAACCAAGGTGCAGAGCTTGGGGCAAATCGAGGAGCAATGAGCGTGTGGAGAAACCAAGAGATGGTTGAAGTAGGTACCCAGCACCTAGCCCTAACCCTGGATTATGGTCGGCTTCTAAGTCGGTAAATACCGCAGACCCACTGCACTACGTAATGAATCCATAGACCGCCTCAGCTCCATAAGTAAATATCATGATTGGCTGGTAGTATTAGTATGCTCAGGTAGGCTATAGTGGAGTGTGGTAGAGTACAACACAAGGATACGTGAGCACAGCGACACATCCATGACAATATAGGGTCATAAAACAGTGCACTAGAAGTCGCCATTCGGAAGGTAACAGTGGATCCATCTAGTATTCGACGGTCTCCGCTTCATCGTCAGGAGTGTCGGCACCGACTTCCTCGTAGTCCTTTTCAAGGGAAGCGAGGTCTTCGCGCGCTTCGGTGAACTCACCCTGCATTCACCTTGATCAATAACACAGAAGAAGTCGTAGTGGCGTCGACGACTCACCTCTTCCATGCCCTCGCCGACATACCAGTGAATGAACGCACGCTTTGCGTACATGAGATCAAACTTGTAGTCTGGACCGCACGACATGAGAAAAGATCACTCGGAGAAGAAGAATTGATACACACCGAGCCTACTCCATGCTGCGCCAATTGCTGTCGTACTGGGAAAACAATGTTAGCCTTTTGTTCAATGGACCGATCGTGAAACACAGTATATGCGTACTTTGACAACATACAAAGACTGCGCGTCGTCCTAGCGAGATCACCACCAGGCACTGCGACAGCAGGTTCCCTGCAGATGCCGAGCTAATGGAACATGGTCACCCAATGCTAATGTATATCCCACATGTGATGTCACTAACCTTGAAAGCCGTCTTACACCAATCAACAAACTGGATCGTCTTCTTGGTCTTAACAACGCCCAAGGCTGACTGGCAATCCTTGGGAACAACATCACCACGATATAGCATCGCGCATGCCATGTATTTGCCGTCTTGGGGGGCGCATTTGACCATTTGGTTTCCAGGCTCGAAGCAAGCGAATGTCATTTCAGCAACCGAATTCTGCTCATGGTGCGCCTTCTCTGCGGAGATGAGCGGCGCGTAGCTGGCGACTGGGAAATGTATGCGCGGGAAGGGCACGAGGTTCGTTTGGAACTCAGCAAGATCGACGTTCAGAGAACCACCAAACCGTAGAGAAGCCGTCACGGAAGAGACGACTTGGGCAATGAGCCTGTTCAGGTTGGTGAAACCTGGCTGAGAAACGCCTATCCTCTGTTTGCAGATGTCGTAGATAGCCTCGTTGTCAACCTGTCCGTGATGCGTCGGCATTCATCGAGTACTCCGTGAGTAAGTAATGAGTGCTCACCAAGAACGAACAGTCACAATATTCGAGCGTTGCGTGAGTAGTGAGCACCGCATTGTATGGCTCTACTATTGCGCTTGACAATTGAGGGGCGGGGTAGATCGCGAACTGTAGTTTTGACTTCTTGCCGTAGTCCGCGGAGAGGCGCTCGAGGAGAAGTGCACCAAAGCCAGAGCCAGTACCGCCTCCAAACGAATGGAAGGCGAAGAAGCCTTGCAGACCAGAGCAGTTCTCTGAGAGTCTGCGAATCTTGTCCATTACTGGGTCAATGAACTCTCTGCCGATGGTATAGTGGCCGCGAGCATCTGCCGACTCGCAGCTGAGCAAAACGAATGATCATCACGCCTGCAGAAATACTGGACGTACAGTTGTTTGCTGCATCCTCCTTTCCACATATCATGGTCTCCGGGTGGAAGAGTGACCTAAATTTGGTGGTCTTGATCTCGTCTATGGCCCCAGGTTCCAGATCAACGTATAGCGATCGCGGGACATATTTTCCTGAGCCGGTTTCCGAGAAGAACGTGGATGGGTCGCTGTCAAGCTTGTGCCCGTCATCAACCAGGCGGCCGTCCGGCTGTACGCGACAATTATTTAGGAAGCCCTTACCAGTTATAGAACGTACGCACGCTCATGCCATGCTCGAGAGTGTAAAGTTCCCCTGTGAAAGCGCAAGGGCGGTAAGTAGACAGACCCACTGCAAGCCTGAGGTACTCACAGCAAGCGTTGCCAATCTGCACTCCTGCTTGCCCGATATGGAGGGAGATGACTTCACGCATGTCTCAGGTGTGTGGGAGGAAAAGCTACACTTGAAAAGACGCAGAGCAGACCAAGGAGCGAGACGCCCACGACCACTTTAAATTCCCCCGTGTATGACTAGACTCACAGGAAGAAGACGGATGATGACAAACAATTCGGAGCCGCAAAAGAGAAACCTTCTGTGATTCCATCCACGACAGGCTGAATTGCCAACTCGGGAGAATTAGTTATACTGTATGGATGGTATAATGCGAAAGCCCCTATCGAGAAGGACGAGCTGGGATATCGTACGTGATCATCATAGCGATAGAGGAATGGAAACAACTCGACTACAGAACCGTGAACGAGAAACAGAAGAATACCCCGGTGTATTTAGTACTCGCCAACTTCCTCGGCGTCAGCAGAGTCGATGCCAACTTCCTCGTAATCCTTCTCGAGCGCAGCAAGATCCTCGCGCGCCTCCGAGAACTCACCCTCCTCCATGCCCTCACCAACGTACCAGTGGACGAACGCCCGCTTGGAGTACAGAAGATCGAACTTGTGGTCAAGGCGACTCCACGCGGTCGAGATCGCCGTTGTGTTCGACAACATGCACAAGCTGCGAGTGACCTTCGCCAAGTCACCACCAGGAATGTGCGCAGGAGGCTCATTGCAGATGCCGAGCTTGAAACCGGTAGGGCACCAATCCACAAACTGGATGGTACGCTTCGTCTTGATCATGCTCACGGCAGCGTTGGTGTCCTTGGGGACGACGTCACCACGGTAGAGCAAAGCACACGCCACTAATAATTGAGTTAGCTTCTTGATGTGAATCATTTAAAATTGGCACATACTGTATTTGCCCTCCCGGGGGTCACACTTGACCATCTGATTGCCAGCCTCGAAGCAAGAGAAGGTCATGTCAGCAACAGAGTTCTGCTCATGGTGAGCCTTCTCAGCAGAGATGATGGGGGCGAACGAGGCCAGCGGGAAATGAATACGAGGGAAGCTATGATCATAGCATAATGAGCAATAGCTTAGTGCGGGAAAAGTATCACGTACGGAACCAGGTTCGTCTGGAACTCGTTCAGGTCGACGTTGAGGGAGCCGTCGAAACGAAGCGATGCCGTAATCGACGACACAACCTGGGCAATCAGCCTGTTCAGGTTCACAAAGCCAGGCGAGCCGATGTTCAATCTCTTCTTGCAAATGTCGTAAATCGCTTCGTTGTCAACCTGTTACTCACCACATTAGGAATATGCGAGCACCATGAATGTATAGAACCAACCATGAACGAGCAGTCCGAGTGCTCAAGGGTAGTGTGGGTCGTCAGGACCGAGTTGTACGGCTCAACGACGGAGTTAGCCATCGTAGGAGCGGGGTACACGCTGAATTCCAGCTTCGACTTCTTGCCATAGTCTGTCGAGAGGCGCTCGAGGACAAGGGCACCGAAACCAGAGCCAGTTCCACCGCCGAAGGAGTGGAAGACAAAGAAGCCCTGCAGGCCATTGCAGTTGTCCGCAAGGCGACGAATCTTGTCCATCACAAGGTCAATCTGCTCCTTCCCGATCGTGTAGTGGCCACGGGCGTCTACGGATGAAATGTGATCAACGCGTGTTATCTAGCCTAAACTTAGAGTTCGAAACTCACAGTTGCTGGCCGCATCCTCCTTACCAGTAACAAGAGTCTCGGGGTGGAAGAGACTCCTGTACGTGCCACTCCGAACCTCATCAATGACGTTTGGCTCCAGGTCGACATAGAGCGAGCGAGGCACATGCTTGCCCGAAGATGTCTCCGAGAAGAAAGTGCTGAAGCCATCGTCGTGGTGCGACGGCGAGTCATCCATGAGGCGACCATCGGGCTAATCAGAAAAGATCAATACGCGTGATCCGCATCTTCACAATAGGCAACATACGCTCAAACCATGCTCAACGGTGTAGAGTTCCCCTGTAGATTGCAATCAGTACACCAGGACATGTTGCGGTGCTTCAAAACCATAGCAAATATCAAATGACGCGTCGTTCGGCGTTTTTCATGGAAGAAAGTGCGCATGATCTGACTGAATGGTTTGACAACTCACAGCAGGCGTTACCGATCTGGACACCAGCCTGACCGACGTGAACGGAGATGACTTCACGCATTTTGAGGTATTGAGAGAGCTATAAGCGGTTTGCTGAGTTCCTATGCAGAACGACGCGTCTTAAAAGAACTTACACGGAGTGTTTGGTGGTAATGGGAGAGGTCGACGGAGACACGCGCAACGTGTGAGGGGCAAAGGGTTAAGAAAGGCAACACCGCTGACTAAGTAATTCTCACGATTACACTTCTAGACTGGTCCGTGCGCTTACGGCATTAACAAACGTTATGCATCACCAACCTGCAGTCCGCGGCACTGTTGGGCATAGTAAAATTGCACTCTAAAGCCACCGTATGAGCGCGTTTCATATGGTGTTGTAAACTCGAGCATTGTACAGAATACGTGTGTACAGTCCTATCCATGCTGATGATTCTGTTGTCCGAAATCGACAAATACCGCGTCCATAATACGATGCGATGACACCCTGAGTGGTACCGTTAGGGAGTCCTAGTGGCTGTAGCCTACTGCGAGATCTCCGACTCTTCTTCGCCAGAGCGAAGCTTGTTGCCAGTCGCATTGATGGCAGACTCTGCACGCTTCTTCCCGTGTGCGGCCTTCCTTGTCGCCTTCTTGGAGCTCTTACGCATGAAGTAACTAGAATAAAGCACTGTATGTATTGTTGACCATCCTTAGATGGACAATGAACTCACGTTAAGAGTGATTGCCAGATTCGGAGACCATGTATTGGTATGCCGTGTGGGTGTATCTGTTGTTCAGAGACCGATTGTTGGGGTGCCTTGGTGGGATGGTCTTCAGGATCGAATGCGGCTCGGATAGCGTCAGAGGTCTTGAGCTTCGGAACCATCCGATGTGTTGCAGGTGCAGTGTGATATATGCTCTTCTTGAGCAACGCAACAGCCTCGGGCTAGGACGAAAAGGTATGAGAACCGTATGTTGCAACGCAAAGAGGAAACGATTACAGTGTCCCTTCGTCCAGCAATGGCACTCGGCGCGGGTTTCTCGTCACCAAGATCCAGAGGACCTAAGAGGCCAGAGTCCGCTCAATTTTGGCCATTCAAATGAGAAGAATGTAGCTTACCCCAACGTCTGTCTGCCACAATCTCACCAGACGGGCGAGAAGCGATTGAGGCCTCAGAGGACCTGTGCTGTGGCTGTGGTCGATCGTCACTCATGTGGATGTTCCCTTGCTCCATGGCATTGCGTAGCAGTCTTTCTGCTTTGCGTTCACACTGACGTCGCTTGGTAATGACTTTGTCGGCAGCACGTTTATACTTCTTGTCCCACTGCTCCTGACCAGTAAGCCATCGCCTCACAGGGGCCTCTTTGATTAGACCAACACTCGAAGGCTCCAAATGCAACGCTTCGATCTCTTGCGTGGCTTCCATAGGTCTAACCTTGCCGAAGATATCGACACGTTCCCTGAGCATGATGACGCGTGGAAGGTCCTTTTTCAAAACTCGTCATTTAGTTCCCAGACTGATTACTCGAGATGCCTACCTCGCCGGAACCAGAGTTCCTTTCGCTACTAGGCGGCATTTGTTCTGCCTCTCCCGTATTGACTTCCTCTTTTGCCTTCTCCTGATTTTGGCGGTAGCGGTCGGTGCCGGAGGAGGATGTAGCAATGGGCATCTTGTCCTCAACGGCTTTCTCGTCATTCTTTGTCACACGCTGCGATGTCGAGTGACTCTCATCGTCTTCCTCGGAGTCCGACACAGGTTCATCAGGAGGGACATGCAACTCAGGGAAAGGGTTGCGCTCCAGATGGTCTGCACTCTGTGTCGTGACATGTCTTACAAACTGCGCGATCGACCTATACGCATATTTTGCCTAGTTGAGACACATCAGTCGGTGATATATGACAATGGTGATTCACGACTTACACTGTCGGTGAAGGTGAAAACGGTCAGCACGTGGCACATGCCTTGCAATTCAGGTATCGTCAAACACGGGCTGTTTTTAGAATGGAGAGAAGTAAATACCGTCGTAAACCTGGAGATGGACCTGCCCTCGTGATCGTGAACATGGGTTTCAACAAGAACGATGGATAAAACTTACCCTCGTCGGCTCTTGGAATTTTTCTGCGTTCTCCCTCTGCCGTCGCCCTGCCCTGAGTATACCTTCTCGTGCCGGGTACTCTTTCGGGTGTGCTGCTTTGTGAGCCATGTAAATGATCTCGTCTCTGAGAACCTCTCCGTTGCCAGCCAGGATGTACAAGGGGCAAAGGTTTCCAAGCGAGCCTTGCAGAATCGGCGAGACCAGCGGATGCGTGAGCTGCCTGTACATACGATAATACGATGAGCACCAAACTTCAAAACACTCAGATCGCAGAACGCACTCGTTAGTTGCGTACAGCTGGATTTGGGAACGAAGTTCGAGTGGCTTGGCGTTTGGATCATCCATGAACACCTTCGGCGGCTTCGGCTCCCAGAAGTCGATGGCGGCATCATAGTTAGGGTCCTGCTTGACGTCTTGTCCATTGGTGCTAGAACCAGCATCTGAGCTGGACGTGCCCTGAGAAGATTCATCGCCATGTTCAGGACGTGCTATCACGCCGGCTGACTTCGCCTGTCCGTGACCGCTTGAAGCTGCGGAGACAGGCCCATCCGGTTCATCAGGCTGCTGCTGCTCTTTCGAGTGTAGTGACATCCTGCGCCCGCGATTGTATTCAGGCTGATCTGGTGTTTCCTTTTCAGAGTTTTTGAACATCTCTGCTTGGCTTTCGACGTGGGAGCCTTCGGACAGGTCTCCAGTGTGAACGTCTTCGCCTCGTTCAGCACTCTTATCCAACCGTTCCCCCACCTGATCAACCAGCCTGCCTTCGCTAGGCTGCAGTGTGTCCGCATGTCCTGGGTGCGGTGGAGGGTTGGTCTGTGTTGGTATTACTCGCGCGCGCCCTTCTCCCAGATGGGGATCAATGGGCCATGTAGGCGATGGCTTGTAAATAAAGCCATGCGGAGGGATTATATCCTATGTTGCGCCGAACAGCCAACACAAACTAAGTTACACGGTCGATGAAGATTGTAGAAGGGCTCACCGTAGCCATGTTCTGCATAACACTCGGAAAGCTATGTGTCATGTCTACCCAGGGGCTAATGAGAACTGCGCCAGCGGGCTGAGGAATGCCCATGTCTCTCAAGATCGTGAGGACTGTGAGGCATAAGCCTCCGCCTGCTGAGTCCCCAGCGAAGACAATCTTTGATGGATGGACAGGTTGGTGTACAGCGCCTGGGGGAGGTGCTGTCAAGTAGAAATCTGCCTTGAGGGCATAAGTGCTCTGTTCAGTGGATCAAATGGCAGAGACCATACATGCAGCTAAGACATCTTGCAGTGCACAGGGCCATGGATATTGCGGCGCCTTTCTGTGATGTACGTTGTCGTCAGAACAATGAAGCTGACAGCGGTTGTGCTATGAGAGGACTACCTATAGTTCACGGCAAACGCGCGCCCCTTCATTTTGCGTGCTGAAACCGCGTCAGACGACGCAATGGCCAGAATCAAGCAACGTACCATATCGAATTATCTGATACCTGTGGGTGTCTATGCCCAGTCAGAACATGCAAGTTCTTACGCAAGAGATAAGGTTAACATACTGATGGAGCCCCAGAAATACGCGCCTGCGAGAATGCTTTCAGGAAAAGCCAAATGAAGAAGACAAGAAAGTACCTCCATGAACGTAAAGCTTCCAACAGTCGGATCAGCTGCGGATCAGTTATGACAGCGAAGAAGGTTCAGGGCGTACCATGACAGTTTCCAGGTGTTCCATCTGGAGTATTTCTCTTTCGGTGTCTGTGAGCTTCTCCCCATTGATAGACATGATTCGGTCAAGAAATTTCTTCTCGGTGACCCACTCGCAGTCAATACCATCCATTCCTCTGATCTGCCACCAGCGCTCGCCACCGACAACGCACTTCAGATCGTCTGGACCGAACCAGTCAACCAACACGTCAGCGGCTTTATTGCACGACGACAAGGGTATCTGCACGGGCGCGACAGCCGCCCAAGGTGGCGCAGGGACATGGGTATTGGTGCTGCACGATAGCGTGAGCGTCAAGGACTTGGAGAGATACATGACATGACAACTCACAAAGCTTGAAGTGACTCCGTGGTATTGTGAGTGCCCATCTCAATGAACGCCTGAACAATATGGAAAGCCCTAGAAAGAAGAATTCACAGGCGGTACACACTGCACGGATAGAACACATACTCGTCAAAGAATATATTATCCGTTGACTCTTCTGTGTGGTCTCCGACTCCTAGCTTATGTCCTTTGTTTCTCCAATGCTTGAGGAGCGTCTCAAGCGCAACTGGTCCATTGAACGTTAGCTAAGCGAGCCTCTGTAGGACGTCAGCACATACCTGGCGCGATGTATGCCGCAGCGGAGAGCGTGTTGACACCCATCACTGAACTAAGAACTTGGCGTATACGAATATATAAAGTACTGTAGGGGTCAAGAGAGAAGGAGGGTGGAGAAGGGGGGCGTTGAGGCTGACAGGAGGCATCCTGCAGTTTCATTTGAGGCGCCTACGCGAGGCGCGTCGCGATCGTGAGATCTGTGACGAAATCGTACCTGATCACGTGTACCGCGCCACACAGACGCCCTTGATTGTAACAGATTTGAAATAAGCAGCAAGGACGCTCCAAGAAAGCAATGTCAATACATGAGAAGACGCTTGTACATCAATATGAGGAACACTGAGCAGCCACCGGACAAGAAACTCTAAAAAGATTATGGTACACATATCTGACAACATTGGGATAACAGTATCCGATGACCATTCTTAGAATCTAGCAAGAAAGCAAGCACTGCTGCACAAGATGTGTACGGTTTTCTATCAGTGCTTGCTTTGAAGAGAACGCTCGATCTGTCGTCGCCAGTTGATGTAAATCCCATCGCTGGGGGACGGCCGGTATTGACAGAGCTCGAAGAGAACGAGCTGCTGCTACAAAGGTGTGTGGCGTTATCAGTGACACCGTTACCGATCGACTAATTTGAGGGCTTACATGGAAACCCGGATTAATCCAAATTTGCTCTCGAGCTTGACGAATGTGAGCATAATGGCGTAAATAATCTAGCTGAAGACTCACTCTTTCTAATCTCTTCGATGGCATCCGCAGGCCTAATTCTCCTAGAATACATCACTGGAGGCATAGGCGTCAGTTAAGACGGCTTCACAGAATATTGAAAGCCTCACAGTAAGCGGCCACAACCATAGCGCTACGAGACAGCCCAAGAACGCAATGCACGAGCACAATGCCATTGTTGCTCAGCGCTTCGTGGATGAACTGGCATGCTCGGGGAAGGTGTATGAGGAGATCGGCGTGATCGACATCCTCGACGGCAATGCGCAGGTGCCTGTAGCCGGAGGTCGGGTCATCTGCGGGGATGGGCTCGGTACCAAGGGAAAGTATGTGGGTGATACGCCGGTCTGATAAGGAACGGGGGGATCTTGCCGCCTCGACACTGCGGGGATAAATAAACCAGTGAGCTTCTATATAGAAAAATTAGCCGCGGGTAGTGCCGCCGCTACTTACGTCCCAAGGAAAAGTCTTCCTTCAAGGCCGTTGATAGTGTTGATGTTTCGCCACGTAGAACTCATTCTGTGTGAGGTCGCGTCCTGGTTCGCAATGTCCTGACCACCATTCTTGCTTCGGGTTTTGTAGGTGCCTCCTCCTTAGGCGGCCTCTCCGAACGCCCAGCGTCTGCGTTCGCCGTCGACGTTGGTCCGGAGTCAGTGGAAACATGCTCGTGGCAGAGGCAGAGTTCCATGGCAGTGAGCGTTCACAGCCAGAATGGAGGACAAGCAGGCTAATTGAAGCGCACGTGACCGCGCGTCACTCGTGCTTCTCCTCGGAGGTGTTGCTTCTTCTAAGGCTGTGCAGTATGTGCGAGCATCGCAGGCGCTTGTTCACGACGCACCTAGATGTCTGCCGAGACACTTTCACGGATCTTTCCCAATAACGTCCGAGCACAAAAGCGTGTTCCTCTTCGTTGCCATGGGCAACGACCGGTGGCTTTCGTCTGTCGGGCCTCCATGGGCTATGATGATTACCGAGGGCACGACGGACAGGCCTGCATAATCTGTCAGCTTGAAGACGCTACATTTGCCGCGGCTACAGCTAGTGACACCGTGCACAATCAGGGGTCGCGGAGGTGCCACCAACGTCGCTAATGTGGTTTCAAGCAGTCATTGTACCACACGGGTAGATGGGCTTGCGGGCGTCGGACAATAGGAAACGCTGTCTTACCACCCAAGAAGATGCCGCCGATAAAGTTGTCTGGAGGTGTCTTCACCGTCAAGACCACAACGACACAAGATGGTACTCACAGAAACACTGTGAGATAAGCGCACAATCGGGTTACCCAAATAGTTTGGGAGCGATGGGATCGACAGGGCTTCGACTTCTCAGTGACCCCGATCATCAGGTACACACGTTCTGACAACGTGTATCGCGGGCTGAGAATGAGCGAACACAACGTCAGACCACAATTAATGGTGGCTATGTTGAGAGTGCAAGCGCGGAACGAGTTTGGGCGCTCCGAGATTCCGAGCCAGTCATGTTCGTGTATGGCAACGCGCCCATCACTCCGACGATCAGGGAGGCAATCCCTCTCCCGTGCCTTCAGCAAGAAAAAACAGTGGTAGGCAATACGCAGGTAAGTGCCACTCGGCGGTGTTAGGAGATGATATTGATCAGGTACGAAAGTAGGAAATACAGTACGCCGTGCACCGTTCACATTGACATGGTCCTTCATTCATCGATATAGTGTCTGGAGAACAGATCATTCTGAATCCAGATAACCTGTACCGCAACGGTCATCAAAATCGCCGGGCCACGCTAAGCTTCGAGACCGTTAAGTACGGACCTTGTTTATCGCTGAGACAGCATCTATTTTCGTCTGCAAGTCTGCTGTCTCGGCAGGCAGCTGCAGAATCGCTGTCTGGAGAATGTTCTGAACAAGGCCGAGTGTCAAGGCACAATCCCGATCTGTGGGGCATCAGTTGAAATCGATTACAGCACATATCGAGACGTAGAACACACATGGGACGTTGAGTGGTGCGATGCCCATGGTACGTTGGTGCTTGAAAGGGGAAACACCGGTGTGCATGACGCCAACTTTATCCATATAGGCCCACGTTTTACCACTTGAGTAATCGGCTGTGAGGACTCGACGGGCCCATGCTTTCATGAAGACCTAGAAGCCATCGGTATAAGCAGTGTCCGGTGTTCAACGTGCGCTACACACCTTCCGGAATACGATTTGTGCACTATCCAGTGTTAAGTCTTCCAGCCTCTCCGGTAGTGGTCCATCAAACCCCTAGCATTCATAGATAAGCCTAACAGCTTCTCGTCGACGGCGTCGCTGAACATACCTGATTTCGCGTCATGAAGACTTTCTTCGTGATATCAAACTCAAAGAGCTTCGCATACATACTGTCGACCAGACTTGGTATGATGCCGTTTACCGCAGTGGCGATGCGCGTGATTACGTCCTGGTCATGAGAAGAGAAATTGAGGAAGTCGGTGAGGTACGCGACGCGGTCTTCCAGGGAGTGCTTAAGCAACACGGGGTCCACTTCCTGAGTGAATATCGGACAGGTTCCCTCGGTGGAAATGGAACGCAACGGCGTCATGGAAGAGTCTGTCGTTGTGGGCGAACGCGAGCTATCCGACAGATCATCGGGGATATCGTTGGGCGATTGTGCGCTATACGGTGAGAACGGACACTTGTCTGCCGCTCGAATGTCGAGCTCTACAGCAGGGCGTTGAGACATAGCGTTCGGGTCGGAAAATGTTATGCGGGGGAAAGGGGGGAGACAGCACGAGGGCGAGCACTGTATACCCAAGACGAATTGGAGGGCGGGCAACCTCCATCATGATTTTATGGGTCATGCACGACGACTGAAGCGTCAATCTGTCCGGACGATACAGGGTCGTTGCGCGAGGTCCTCACAACGGATCGACTTCGTTGCTGGTCGAGAACGCATATGCCGAGGTGTGGATGGACCGAGCCAGCTCTAGACAAATTCAAATTCAGTCGAGACTTGCTGAAAAGCCCCTAAAGCCGCCAGAATTACTGGACTAAATACTGAGACGAGGTTCGAGGTCAAGGGGGATCGACCATGTGTTCCTAGTCTGAGGGGTAATCACTCGCGAGATGCGGATGCAAGCATTAGGTCTGAGTCGAGGGACCAAACAACTTTCTCCGAAAGACTCGGGCCGGCCCGTCAGGCCAACGACATTATGGGCGGCAATCACCGACGACGTCAACAACCTCTCGCACAAGACATCGTCATACAGCCATACCTACGCTGAACCTTTCGTGTCGCTTCGAGCTCAATCATATACGCCAAGGGACCTGGAAATACTGGGCACTACTCTTACGATCTCAGCTCGCTGATTGCTGTCTTTCTTGCGCGCTCGCGAGGGTCCATAAATCTGACCCGGTTCCACAGCGCTCGGGCTTACGACACAAATGAAGAAGACAGACTGCATGTGGCAATTAGGCTGTCGCATTGCGACCGTACTGACGGACATCTGTGGGAAGTGGATGCCCAGTCTACGTGTCTCAATATCATGGCCAGTCGCACAGTCGAGCAGCGACACATCCCAGCCCAGAAACGCCAGCCCGCTCATGAAGCCGGGGCGGAATTATCAGTGTGTCGTTCTGTGTCTGCATCTGTGGTTATGACTGTGGCCTTGGATCCGCCGTCGGATCAGACCTCACCTTATACCACCATGTGGTATAAGCCAATCATAGCATCAACCTCAGATGGCGCTCAATAACCGGGCATGTCTATTACCTGGTGTTCCGATCCCAGGTAGATTGGGTCTTATACGTCAAACAATGCTGTTGACAGTCCTGCAATCCGCCAGGACGCGATTGCGCGGGGGACACTCGAATTTCTGCAGCGAGTTCAACACGCGTCTATGCACGTGACAATAACGCGGATCTCGACAATGGGAACAACGACATGAGGTGGTAGCGCTGAAGAATCCCTTATGAGCGTGGTAACCTCGCAGTCCCTCGGCGAAACATGCTCTAACCTGCCCTCAGCCCCGCCTTACGCCCGCTATAAGTGATCCAGCACGGCTTATGCACCGTCAGCATTCCTCGTCACTATCAGCCATGATCGAAATCGAGTGGGACGCCGTGCGTTATGCTTCACCCTCGCCTCCCATCGCTTGCTGATAATCGCGGCGCTCAGCCTGAAGCAAGCGGCAGTCATCGTCGCTACCGCAAGGCATCCATCATCCACGGATGGGTTACCAAGCTCCGTGGTACTCTGACCGACAATGAGCGGGTCAGAAGTCGGGGCATCCGCGAGATGCGGGAGGCCCGCGCCATCCGGGCGTACAAGAAGCAGAAGGCTGCTCAGTTCAAAGGGGGTGCCAAGGGCGCGAGCGGGTTCCTTTACCTGCTCTCCTTCTGGCCTGCAAAGCGGGCCCAGACGCAGAAGCAGCTTGTCGTCCGGCGACACCACTCGTCCCACCATCGCAAGGGCAGCAGCAGCCGCTCTTCTTCCCGTCCCAGCACCCACCGCCGCGGCACTAGCAGCGGAACTTCGGGGAAGTCACGTCGGCCTGACGATGTGCAGGCAGCCCAAATCGGACGGCATACGTCTCAGGGCAGGCGTCATAGCGAGCGGCAGAGGCATCACGGGAGCAGCAAGCGGTAGGCTGCTGCTCCAAGGAATGAAATGCAATGTCCGTCATGACCATGACATACACGGACTCTATCGTATTCATTATGTATTGTAGATGCCGGATCGTCGTCTGTACTCATACTCATTAGCATAATCTATGCCACTGGTGGGCCGTGGGCCGCTGAGCGGTCTGTTTGTAGAAACATCACCACGATGAGTCCGAAATTGGAATGCCTTACGAGCGATATCAATGACGTACGTACCCTCAAGGATCAGCAAGACGAGGCTTTCATTGCATCAAGATGGGCGTTTGCGTCATATATAGATATGAGCGTACATCGCAAATGGTAGGCTACCACGTTCATTCATCAGACCCGCTGTCGTCATCGACTGCGACTTCCGCAACTGGCTTCTTTTTCTTCTTTTTGCGTCGTCGTTTCTTCTTGGGAGATGCAGGCGACGCGTCCTCTGCAGTGTTTGCGGGGGGACCACTGAGATTCAGGAGGGGTATAGGTGGACCGCCAAATGGTTTGAATAATTTTGCTTGATCTGGTTTTGAGGATGAGCGATTTGCATCCACATCACCTTCATGTCTATTAGCTATGAATTCGGTCAGCGCAGTATCAAGACAAGTAATGGCACCGTAGCTCTCACCGGAGAGCGACATTTTGGATGGTCCATCCGCGACCTGCTCCGCTGGCGTTTTGCGAGGCGAGGGCGCAGGAGACTCCGTCAAGTCAATTACGCGATGTTTCTTTTTCTTCTTTTTGGGAGAAGCCTGATCTCGCGATGCGGGACTCGGGGACCTCTCGCCATCTGCAGGGTCTGGAGTGTGAGGACGAGCAGCCACTTCGACGTTCTGATTTGAGTGTGAAGCCTTCGGGGACGTCACTTGAGCCTTGGACGTGGAAGGGCCTGAGAACGCGTCCTTTTTGGCCTTCTTCCCCTTCCCCTCCTTCGCGAACACGTCCACCCTGGCCTTTTTCTTACCGACGCTAGCCCTGCTCTCGTCCTCATCATCTGAGGGAATAACAACGACGTCCCTGTCTTCGTCCCTCCCGCGCTTCTTGGCGTTGTTCCCGGTAAGCTTGTTCTTGAGCCGAGCGGCGTCGCGTCCGAACATACTCGTGGACTCCGGGACGGCTGCACCCACACCAAGCCTGCGGCAGCCTGCTAGGGATCTCATAACAACAAGGATACTCTATGGAGGAACATACCTTGGTGGTCTACGCATATACTCCTCAAGCTCTTTCTCATCATTAAGATGCGAGCTAGACGAGGGCAGCTTCCCTTTCGATGGGGTCATCCATGACGAGACGAGATTCTGTGTGAATGCCATGGACATGTCGACCTGAGCCTGGAGGGTCTCGACGTCGATGTCATCTTCGTCTGCAGGGGTCGCCATGGGTAACCAAACTCCTCTGGCCTCGGGACGATCACCAGTTCTGTACAAAGTCAGAGATCAAGAGTAGAGCGCCCACAATCGCGGCACGATCTCGATCGCCGCTCGGAAGATCCCTGTGGCATGTCGTGCGAGACATTCCAGCAGCGTCCCTCCTCTTTCACTTTGCAGCAGGCGGACGGATTCAGCACGACTTCTCGACCAAGACCCGACGGTATTGCCAGCATTGGATGGCTCCTAAGCGAAAGCGCACAGATGGCGATTCTTCAGACGACGACGAGCCAAGTGCGGGCAAACAGGTACTGCCCGTTGCCAATCTACCAGAGGACTTCGATGGCGTACCGATGGATGGGTTGCAGTACCTTTTCACTGTTCGGTGAGTCCTGTGCTAGCCCTTTCTTACAGTGATGCCTGATCATGTACACGTAGACGTGATGCTCGCACGCTGCCTCATGTCACGCGAGTTGCGAATCCCTATGAGGTGAAGGTCGAAGTGTCTGCTGCAGCTGCAGCCAGCGACCAGATGAGCACGCCTCACCCTGGATTACCTTCTGAAGAATGGCGGGAATTATTTCTTAGGCGCTTCAGGAACTTCCGCAAGGTGCGTACACAGCACGCTGTCGAGTTCACACCATGCTCATGAACTCGAGTGTAGAATTCGATACAACCATCTATACATGTCGATACTTCTACATCCAGCTCCACGACGAAGGTAATTCCTGACATGAGAGACCGCGACCGTTGGTGGCTCTTCCTGGCGGGGCGGCCATCTTCTGAGTGGAATCCCCCCAAGCAACCAAATAGAAACGACAGAGCGAGGAACAACTCGTATCACTCGTATGGTGGAGGCATGCGGGGATATTCAGGGTATCAAAACACTACGCCTCTCGTCTACAATGATCATAGGACTGCATTCTCGACAGTTCCACATGAGACCTGGCTTGTGCATAGCGAAAACGCTGAACCTGCAAGCACAGGTGATCCCGCTGCGTCCCTTCCTACCCCTTCTGGGACTCCTGTTCGAGAATCGCGACCAGATTTTGGAGGCGAGCGACCAACAGAGGCGGCGACTCCTGCAGTCGGCGTACCGCCGGAGCCAACGCCATCACTAATGCAACATATTGATCACGTACGTCACATCATCGTTCGTCCGTGCGCTTTTGCAACCGGTCTCACGGCTTTTATCAGCGCTACGCACTACATCTGCTGATGTATTTTACGCACTGGATCAGGCTGTATCTTGAGGACGATAACAGTGCTACGCACCTGATCACTGCGAGCCATGCGCGGTGGATATTCGTGCTGCTTTCGCGCGTTGAAGACTTTGTATACGCGGAAGACACCGCACATTTGCGTGACCTTGTCCGAGCTTGCCTCTCGTTGATCCAGAAGCGCAAGCGCCAACTCGACGATGCATCGCCTGAATCCATCACCATGGATGAGACATCATGTTGGATAGTCATCACTGCCATTACTGGAGTCTGGGGGCAGAGAGATTTGTGGATGGATGCTGAAGCTGCGCTGCGGGAAGTACAGTCATGATTCACACCATGAGGCATGTATGTGCATTCTTGTAACGAACTCGTATCTTAACGCTTGTGAACTATAGCTCAGAACGTGGGAGGCTGCGCGTCAGCAATTCCCGAGCGGAGGCCTCGTCCCGCCCGGCCATACGTTGGGCACACGGCATACTTCTGCGGCTGAGGACTGGACGAGCCCGGCGACATCATGATGGCATAGCCAAATACAGCAACGGTTTCATCGTTGGTGTCCTGCATGCGAACATGCGAACGAGTAGGAAGACATCTGGGGCACTCGACAGCGAGCCGGCGTAGAACGGCCGGGGGACTCGACTTATTCGGCTGTGCCATCCCGGTGAGGGTCGATTATCCAGGTCTTGGGGAGAAGCTGAGCATTGCTAGTATACCTCATGCTGGCGCCTGTGCATCGTGTAACGAAGTGCTGCAGCTTTCAGGTCTCACATCCCTCACCTCATATCATTTACCGCCCAGCTCGACATTGCACGCCGCGAGAGGCACGCCGAGGGCACGCCGGATCAAGTGTCAGAAAAAGTGTGCGAATGCGGGCAGCCAAGGCCGCCCCGGCGCCGGGTGGCCGCTCCAACTTGGCTTTAAGGAAGTCAGCGGCGTTCGTCTTCCTTTGCGTTCTGTCCCTCTTCCGAACAGAGAACACGTTCCCTACCTTCTCCTACTCTATCCTTTTTTCTTATAACCTCGCCCCCCTCACAAGAACCCCCCACAACGCCCCTGTCAGACACGCTACCCACGATGCTCGCCTCTGTCACCGTCCTGCTCGCCCTCGCGACCTCCGCGTTCTCCTATATGGTCACCTCGCCGTCCAACAGCAGCGGCTGGACCACCAGCGGTCCCAACGTCGTCACCTGGACCAAGGTCGATACCGACCGCGCCAACTTCACCATCGTGTTGAACAACCAGGTGAGTACGCGCCCTTGCAGTGTATGGCTATACCGCGTTCTCATGGTATTTGTTCCCTGTGATCGACAGCAAGTGACCCCTCAGTACACACAAATTCTCGACGCCTTTGTCGTCGGAACCGATGGGTCTGTCACTGTGAACCCCCCGAGCGGCGGTTGGGTTGCCGGCTCGAACTACCGCGTGAACCTCGTCCAGGATTCTAACGATCTCAGCGCTCTCCTCGCCCAGTCGGGCTTCTTTACGATCGCGCAGGCCTCTTCGGCTTCGAGTACCTTTTCCAGCAGCTCGACTGGCAGCAGCTCAGCTGCCAGCTCCTCTGGGTCAGTTTCCGCTACCTCGACGGGATCCTCTGTTACGTGAGTGGTTGCATACTCGCCCGAGGGGCTAGGTTTTGATCGACCCCGTTGCACCTCAGGTCTCCCGCCTCCTCTGGCACTGACACCTCTTCCAGCGGCTCTCTGAACCCGACCTCGTCTGACACCTCCACCAGCCCGACTGGCACGAACGCTGCGACTGCCGGTATGGGCATGCAGGCGGGCCTTGTCGTTCTCCTCGGGTTCCTTGGTGTCACCCTCTTCTAAAGGCCAGGCCTCCTCGTCGGACTCTGACACGGTATTTTTGTGATGGCGCGACTTTTCTCTCGTGGGGACGTGCAGAACATTTTCTCTTAGTTTGAACCCTAGTGCATGTCTACTTGGTCTGTCTTCGGTTTTAGAACTGTTGGGTTTGTGTTGATGTAAAATGTTGCTACCATCGAGTACATGCTACTAGATGGTGCATCTATTGGTATACTATTGGACATTCTCCGTAGTGCGTTACAGCAGCCTGTATGTACACTCGTGGTATTGTAGGTGCAACGCATACAGCTATTTTTTCCCTGCATTGCAATTTGTTCGCACAGCGCAGGAACGCATCCTCGGATGCACCCGTAGATTACCAATGCACAAGTATCTGACTCTACTACGCACTCTGAACACGACTGCGAGTCCGGATTTCCACCCACTACAATGGCTACAGCGTCGTCCGCTTCTCACTCTTACGAGCATCTTCTACCGCCGAGTTGGAAACCGCAGGTGACGGCCTGGCTGCAGGAAGACACCCCGTCCTTCGACTACGGCGGGTACGTCGTCGGCGAGGAGCCGCGCGAGGCGTTCCTCCTCGGCAAGGGCAAGCAGACCGCCGTCCTCGCCGGCGCGCCCTTCTTCACGGAGGTCTTCGCGCAGCTCGGATGCGAGTGAGTGCCGCCCCTCGCCTGCGCCGATCCGCATCTCGCTTGTGTGCGCGCTGACGATCGCATTCGCGCCGGCAGGGTGGAGTGGCACCTGGAAGAGGGCGTGACGTTCGAGCCCGTGCGGCACGTCGCGACGGTGCGCGGGAAGGCGCGGCACATCCTGCTCGGCGAGCGCGTCGCGCTGAACATGCTCGCGCGCTGCAGCGGGATCGCGACCAAGTGCGTGCGCTCCCGCCCCCTTCCCCTCCTTCCCCTTCCCCCATTTCCCTCCTCCCCTTACCCCGCCTGGCGGCGTGCAGCGTGCAGAACTGAGGGCGTTGACCGTTGACCTTGCCCGGCAGATCGAAGCGCATCCTGGACCAGGCGCGGGGGTACGGCTACGAGGGCGTCATCGCGGGGACGCGCAAGACGACGCCCGGGTTCCGGCTGGTGGAGAAGTACGGCATGCTCGTGGGCGGGATCGACCCGCACCGCCACGACCTGTCGAGCATGATCATGCTGAAGGACAACCACATCTGGTCGTCGGGTGCGTGTGTGTTCCCTGCATCAAGATAAACGCAAACCCACAAGCCCACAACCCGATGTTTCGGCTCCGGTTTGGCTGACTCTTCTCTCTTCCTCTTCCTCGCTGTCCGCAGGCTCCATCACGGCGGCTGTCCAAGCGGCGCGCAAGGTCGGCGGCTTCAGCCTCCTCCTTGAGGTGGAGGTCGGCTCTGAGGCCGAGGCTGACGAGGCGATCGCCGCGGGCGCGGACATCATCATGCTGGACAATATCGAGGGCGCAGAGCTCGTCGGCGTCGCGCGCACGCTCAAGGCGAAGTGGAGCGGCCAGCGCAAGTTCCTCTTCGAGAGCAGCGGGAACATCACGGAGGCGAACTTGCAGGAGCGAGCTATCAACGGTGTGTCGCATCCGCTGTCTTCTGCTATCAGCGACGGGAAACCCATTCGCTTCTCCAGAAATTGATATCCTGAGCACAAGCAGCGTGCACCAGTCGGTGCAGCACATCGACTTCAGCCTCAAGATCCAGAAACCAAACTGAGAAGATGAACAGAGAGGGTGAAGAAGTAGACCGCTGCGTGTATGCTCTATGTAGACTTTCTGTTTATTCCTCAGATATACGCTTCCATAGCATGTATAAATCTAGCGACGTCCGGCGGGGATTCACTTGGACAGTCCGAACAGCGCCAGTGCATTCCCCCCTCTTACGCCGTCCTTGTCCGCCTCGTCCCAGCCGTGCACGCCCTCAATCGCCTCCAAGTTCTCCACCACGCTCTTCCATCTCTCCGTCTCGCCGAGCGGCGGGAAGAACGGGTGGTCCGTCCCGAACAGCATGCGCCGGCTGCCCCGCCTGCGCTGCCCGAGCCCCGCGCCTCGCGACGCCGCCGCGCTCGCGCTGCTGCCCGCGAACGTGTCCGCGCGCCCGACGACGTCGCCGACGAACGCGAGCTCCTCGGCGCCGTACGCGACGCCGTCGAAGTAGAGCCTGCCGAGGTAGAAGCGCGCGTCGTGCTGCAGGCGCGCGGCGACGACGGGGTCGTGGGCGATGCAGGACGCGAGGCGCGCGGACAGCTGCGGGAGCGCGCCCCCGGAGTGTGCGAGGAGGACGCGCAGGCCGGGGTGGCGGTCGAGGACGCCGGCGAGGATGAGGCGCGTGACGGCCTACAACGACAGCGTTTTGAGACGGCGGGCGCGCGGGGCGCGGGACGGTGCACTCACGATGGTGGTCTCGAACGGGAAGCCGAGCGCGAGCGGGAGGACGTGCCCGTTGTCCTTGCCGCCCCACTCCTTCCCGTCCACGCCGTAGTGCGGGTGGAGGAACACGACGAGGCCGGCGTGCTCGAGCGCGGCCCACACGGGCTCGAGCGCGTCGTCGTCGAGGCCGTTCCCGAGGCCGCGCGAGCCCATGATGACGCCCTTGAGATGCGGGAGCGCGGAGATCTGGTGCACGGTGTCGAGCAGGGACGCGGTGGTGACCTCTGGGACGAGCGGGAGGAGGCCGAAGCCGTACAGCTGCTTGAGCGGGCCCCCTGCGAGGGCGGGCGACGTCGAGCAGTACGTCTCGAGGTCGTCGTTGAGCTGGTGGGCGAGCTCATGTGCGGCGGGGGCGGACAGGAAGTCGAGCCATGGGTTCGCAGAGCTGCGGGGCGCGACGAGGGTCAGTCGCGATGAGGGCACGCAGGCGGGACGCAGCAACCTCACGACGGATATGTCTATTCCGTGTCTCTTCATAAAGTCGAGCTTGAGGGCCCTGTCCCAGTACTGTGCGCGCGGAAGACGGGTCACGCGGGATCACACCGGCAGGGCGAACGAGAATACCTGGGGGCCCATGGGGCGTCCACCGCTGGGCTCTGCATCGAGGATGAGGAGGCGCTCCACGGAGGCGCCGTCGGGGGTCGTGCGGGTGAAGACGCGGGGCACGGCGGATCGCGCGCGCAGGAAGGAGAGGTAGCGGGGCAGGTAGACGTGGGTGTGGACGTCGACGAGCAGGCGGTGGGAGAGCGCGGCCATGGCTGGGGCTGTGATGCAGCGTTGCGCGGTCGATCGCACAGATCGCGATCGGCTTGGGACTCGTCCCGCGATGGCTGGCGCGTGCGAAGCGCCGTCTTGGCCTGCTCTCGACGCTCGTCCTGCTCTCGACGCATCCAGCCAACGCTCGTCGGCGCACGCCTGTGGAGCCGCTTTGACGTCTGACGCGCGATCGCTCGGTGCTTCTTGTGCACCGCGCGATCGAGTGTTGCGCCGTGCCTTGACGCCGGATGCGTCGATGGGCGCTTAGCCAGGTGAGTGCGCGACAGCTGAGTGCGCGAAATCGAAGAGAACTGACCGGACGAAAATCAAGAGATAGGGCTGGCGAAGGGGCATAGAGCATGGTGAGGGCGAAGGGGAATACAGCGCGGTGAGGGGCATAGAGCGCGGTGAGAGCGCGGTACAGAGTGCAGTGCAGGGTCATAGAGCATGACGAAATATATTGGTGAGTCTCGCTGCCTGCCTTACAGTCTCGTCCGCTAACGGCCCCGCTCCCCCGTCTGACGCTTTCTCCACGCCCGCCCGTCGCTTTCTCCACGCCCGCTCGTCGCCTTCCCCGCGCCGCCGTCGTCCCGCCACCATCTTGCGCCCGCGTCTATTCTCTGCAGCCTGGTCAGCACGCTCCGCGCCAAGTCGCTGGCGCGTTGCGCAGAGCACGCGCTGACCGTCGTCGCACGTCGGGCTGTTACTGACCAACGCGCTGCGCTGCAACATCCGCGTCAGTCCGCCTAACGAGAGCGCAGGCCGCCACAACAGATGCCGACCGGGAGCACAGCGCTGCCCATTGCCGCTGTGCGCGTTCGCGCTCGCGCCTGCAAACCCGGTCAGCATCCCGTGCGCGACCACTCTCCACCATGTCCGCACGCCCGCACGCTGTGCCCGGTCAGCTCGCCGCCTCGAACCGTCTCCGCGCGACCGTCTTCTGTATCTTGCGCTCTCGACAGCGCAATATGTCTTGCGCCCGCTCCCAGCCAACCACGCCGACCCGCGCGCGCCGCTTACCGTACTTCAAGTCCGCGCGATGCTTTGTTTGCTGCTGCTGTTGCTGCCGCCGCCTGCAAAATCGCCGCTCAGAGGTCAGCACAACCACATCAAAAGGTAAGCCCCAAACTTACTGTTGCGATGAGACACCCTTGACCTAGCCCGCGTCTGACACAGCCCGTCTTGCGCGCGCGATCGTCGCTACAGCCCCGTCACCACGCTCCGCGCCAAGTCGCTGGTGCATCGCGCACAAGCACGCGCTGTCCCCGGTCCGCACAACACGACCGAGTCCAGTGTCGCGCGACAGGGCAAGGGCGCAGACCGCACAGCGCGGCGCGTGCGCGTTCGCTCGAGCGCCTGCAAAACCTGTCAGCACGACCACTCTCCACCATGTCCGCACGCTGCGCCCGGTCAGATCGCCACCTCGCACCGTCTCCGTGCGATTGCGCACGCGCCGCCCCCGGTCAGCGCGACATGACCGCGTCCAGCGCTGCGCGTCGGGGGCGAAGATGCTGCACTGGGCGCGGAACGCCGTGCGCTGCCATTGTGTGCGGTCGCGCTCCTGCCTGCAAACGCGGTCAGCATCCCGCGCGCCCGCGCGCCCTGCCCGGTCAGCTCGCTGCCTCCGCGTGATTGCGCCCGCTCAACGCGCACAGCAAGACACTCTGGCTCATGCGCGCTCATTACCATGGGTTGCGCGATGCTCTGCCCCCGCCTATGCCTCAAAGCCGCCGCTCAATGGTCAGCACAACCCCCAAAAAGTAAGTATGAACTCACTATGGCACCCTTGACGCAGCCCGCCGCTGACCCAGCGGAAACCGTAGCCACGCCGCCCAGTGTCCCACGGCCAATTTCTGCGCAAACGACCAGCACCGCCGGTCACTCCAACGGCCCGTGTCTTGTGCGCCTGCCGATGGCGCTTGTCCCGTCGCCCGCGCACGCACGCACGCACGCGCCCGATGGCGTACACCGTCTCCGTCGCGATGCTGACCGTGTCCGCAACCGCGCAGACGCGTGCCGGCGGTCCCGAGCGCGCCTGTCGACTGCGCTCCCGGCTGGCGTCCAGCGAGCGCACCCGGTCACATCATTTTGCTGACCGGCCAAGGTAAGCCTAAATACAACTATCAGTATCGGCTGCACTCTGCGGCATTACAACTCACCTCGCCAAACGCGATGCGGTCGACGCGCTGCCCTGCGCGCTGTCCGCTCTGGCCGCACAACACCCACGCGCGCGCACAGCGAGGACCCGAAGGACGCTGGTGACCCGGATGGCTGAGCGGACACCGCGCGGGTCCCGAATATTTGACCGAGGAGCCGCAGATTCATGACACCAGGCCAAGCGGCAGCGTGATGCGGTACGAATAGAGGCCGTAACCGTCTAAAACAGCGCCCGTCAGTGCCGCAGATGGCAGAACAAGACGCCGCGCACTCACCGCATGACGACGGGGCGGTCATCTCTCCGCCACGGGCCTCTGCGCCGTCCGCCAACAGGAAGCAGACCATTTCGCGCAGCCAGGTACGCCGTCATCAACGTGTTTGTGACCGCCCGCTGACATGTTGCCCGCGATGGCAAGGGGCGCACCGCGTGAAATTGTGCCGAGGTCTTGTCTCGTCACGATCGTCTCGCTACCCGGGACGCGTACTGCGAGCATGCGCAGAGACCCGTTGTGTTGCCCATACGCGCTGCTCTCGTGGCGAGCCGTTGCCTTCCAGGTGAGTTGATTTTGACGTGCGCCTCACAGACACCATGCCCGCACATCCAGGGCTATCCTGTATGGCGATCCGAAGGGACACACGCCACCCAGTGCAGAGGGGCGGCATACCGCAGCCGTTGTGAACGTCATCGAGTCGGATTGGAAGCTGGGTGCAAGGCAGATATCGTCGATCTGCGTGCTGCACCATGCCTGTTCAAACAACCTGAGTGACCGCCGGAACCTGTCGAATAGAACGAGACTCACCTCGTCCTGCCCTCGCGAAGCCATGCGCGACGTTGAAGGGCATGTCCGCGTGTAGTGTCTTCCCGCCCTTCGGGGTGCGCGCATCTGGTGCGGGGTCCTTGGCCTTTGCCTGAATAAAATTTTCGATCGGATCAGGTGAGTTGACGTGAGACGTTGATCAACACACGGCATACATGCTTACCTTCAGACGAGACACACACCACCGTGCGCGCGATACGTGCGCGGGCAGGACATCGTCTTCATGCTGGGCTGGGGCTTGAACGGTCCGGCTGCCTGTGCGCGCGACATCTCACCGTGGAGAACCCGGTCAGTACTGAGTGTACCATCTTTCGCGCAGCCACAAGTAGCCTTGATGCGTGAGCACGATGCCTTGTCCACGGCCAGCAGGGCTGAACGCGTAAAGCCCACCTTCATTGAAAGGGAAGTAGCGGGGGAATTATCATGATAAGATTGCACATCGCTTATATAGTCTCGGCCAGACATCGCGGGCACGATCCCCGATGTGGTGCCCATACACTATTCTCGTACGTAATTTGATTCCTTTTCTGGAATCATGACTGTTGTCAGGCCCAAAATTTCAGAATGTCGACAGTGATGGTGCCCTTCGCAACAATGACAGAATCTGTAAGTGCATTCACACGCCTTAGGCTGTATTTGGTAACTTTGCCTCTGCATCATCCTTCCGGTACGCGAGAAGACGCGTCCGCTGATCGTATTACGGTGTCCCGCCTTGGGACTGTAGTGATCACGGCGAAGCGGAGGAAACAGGCGCGTGGGAAAAGCGCACGCGTATGCAGGTCTGCGACTTGACGACAGCAGAGCCTAGGTGGCAGCGGGTGCAACAGCAGCGGCAGAGGCGGAGGACGGAGCGTGAGGAGAAGACGTAAGGAGGGGACCCACCTCGTCTAGATTCTTGCTTGCCAAAATCGCCTTCCGCTGAGCCTCCGACTTTGCAGGTGAGTTGCCCCAGCCGGCCGTTGCGCACGGGAGATGGAGGTGTTGACTGTGTCGTGCCGCTCGCAGGTGATTGATTGTCCAAGGACAGGAGCGTATGGCCATGGCGGCAGGTGCTGCGTGAATGTAGGTGGTTGTTGTCAGTTGTCAGTTGGTGGTCACGACGGTTGACGGCACGCACAGACTCGACCAGCGCGCAAATGCCGGCTCACGCCTCAGCAGGTGTGCAACCTCACCATGCTCATACACTGATTTGCTACCATTGTTCTGTTCACGTCGCGTCGGCTGATCCTCGCAGCGTCGAGTCTGCCCGTCGCAGGAACCAAGAACCCGCGACCCACCTTGATTGCGAAGGACACGGACAGGGCAGCCATGCAGAGATGGAATTCGCATCTCCAGGTACATCGCGTTGTGTGGTCTTGGTCACGAACGTGTGGAGTGCTGACGATGTTGCCGTCTTCCAGCCTTGTGCGCGAGACCGTCCAGCGCAGGCGCACACGACGCTGCGAGTGCGCATCAGGTTCTACACGCAGCCGGTACGCAATATCGTTGCGCTCACGCTGACTTCTCTTACTGATTGGTTGCCGCGGCCAGTGCGTTCGCAACCGGACGCGAAGCTGACGGGTATGCGACAATGCCGCATGAGCGTCCTCTCCAGTATGCTGCCCGCTGACCGGCCGTCCAGTCAACCAATTCCATGCGCGCTGATGTGTTCTATAGGGTCGCTTCCCGTGGGGCTGTTGAGTGGGGACATAACAATGATATAAACATACAATTGTATTTACGACATGTAATACTTGGCCTTTCTCGTGTAGGTCGAGACTATGGGCGTCCGGTGGCGCGGGAGCCGGGCGCGGACTTTGTGACCGGGAGAGAAGCGGGGGCCTGTGTGTGTGCGATGGTGAGATGCGAGCGGGGTGCGAGGCGAGCGCGCAACACAATGCGCGGCTCCAGTGGGTGTGTCTTGGACTGGGATGCATGCGCGAGGGCTCCTGCTTGAACAGGACTGCCGCACGCCCGTGGCGGGATAATCAGTGGGTGCGAGTGCAGAGGACGTGCACGGAGACGTCGTCAGACCGCGCTCGCACGCTGAATCGCCGGCGACCAGCGCGCGCGTGCACGCTGCACGTACTGCAGAACACGACGACGAAGCCGCGCGCGGTCCATCCGTCTCCAGCAACGGGTGAGTGTGTTGATGCGCCGCGTCCAGCGCGCATCCTCCGTGATGGCAAGGCACAAGCGCGGTGCGGGAAGTCTGTGCGTGAGCTACGCGGCGTGCGGTTGCCGTGGGTGCCGTCTTGCGCCACAGCAGGTACGTGATCTTGCGTGCGTCGGGTCGTGCTCGTGTGCTGACCGCACCACGTCGTGTCACGTCGACCGGCCATCCCGCATTGACTGGCCGTCTCACATTGACCAGCCGCGCACGTCGGATCCGCGCTCCTAGGTACGCCGCGCGCGGGCTCCTGACCGTCGACGCATGAAGCACTGCCGAGAGCTGGCCATCCTTGCCCGCAGTGCACCAGACATCACACCGCATTGAACACATCCCCGCCGCTCATCTGGTGAGTCTTGCACATGTTTCGCATGGACGCCCGCTGTCCTGCCTCCTTCTCGCGTGGACGCCCACTGTCCTGCCTCGCGTGGTGCGTCTGCCGCGCCCGTCCGATCCGCATGAGATGTACTGACCGGGCTCTGCTCCCAGCCGATGCCCGCACCAGGGCCTATGCTTGCCGCCGCGGCCGGTCTACAGTTGGCTGTCCGCATCCCCGGAGCGTAGATCACGGGGGACGCTGCTCGCGCGTCGTGCGCTGCGTACCCGCACACGGTACGTGTCTGAGCCCCCGTCTCTGGCACCGCCGCAGCTGACCGCCAGTGCCGTAGCATCACCATGCCAAGAGCCGGCTGCCCTTGCCCGCAGGGCACCTAATACCACGCGGCGCTGGACAGGCCCCCGCCACTCATCTGGCGAGTGGCACCCGTGTTGGATGTGGACGCTAGCAGTGCCTTGCCGCGCGAGCGCGGGGACTTGCAGGTGGTAGGTCCCAGGCTCCAGGATCCTCGCAGTGGCGCATTCCGTCAAGTCAAGTGTCCGCGCGATCACTGAGACGTCGCCGCTGCGATACCCGCCGCGTGAAGCCGGGAGAAGACGAGTCGGCGGGGGGTGTGTGCATCGCTGCCCGCGTCCCGCAACCACACTGGGTATGGCGGATTTGGGTCTGGCGCGGCGTTGCTATAGCTGTGTGTCTGGGAGGAGCACGCCTGACGGGAACCAGACCCATCCGCGCGAGCACCCCGGGTCTTCCACTGACTGACGTTGGCACAGGGACAGGATAATTTGCACGCGGCCTTACGCCATCAATTTAGCGGCCGCGCGATCATTGAGGGACCGCCGTCAAGATACCCGCCGCGCGATATGACCGGGAGGGGGCGAAGCGGCGCGGGTGTGAATATTAGCGTCCGCGTACCACGTACCATCGCGACGATTCCCGCGCTCGGGCCCAGCGTTGCATTGATATTTCCGCGCGCCTGGGAAGAGCCGTCTTGGCGCTACGTGTAGCCATCTGTGCGAGCGTGCCGGGTCTTACACACGTTGAGGTTGGCGCGGGCAAAGCTGTTATATACGCTGTCCGGATGTCGTGCGCCTTGCTGCATGAGGTGATTGCGCCCGGGGGTGTGTGAGGGAGCGCGTGTGAGTGCGAGCAAGTGAAGCACAAGGGGCGCCGTACGCAAAGTCCGCCCGCGTCCGTCTCCAGCAACGGGTGAGTGTGTTGATGCGCCGTGTCCAGCGCGCATCCTCTGTGACGGCAAGGTGCAAGCGCGGTGCGGGATGTCCGTGCGCGAGCTACGCGGCGTGCGGGTGCCGTCTTGCGCCACAGCAGGTGCGTGGTCTTGCGCGTGTCGGGTCGCGCTCGTATGCTGACCGCACCGCG